TAAAAAGTAGAGATCTTTATAATCTTAATTAATTATATCTTATATATTATAGATAAGCTAAATAAATAAGAAGATCCTAGTTAATTCTATAAAAATATCAAGATCTACTAGATACTACTAAAAGAGTATTATAATTTTATTAATATATTCTCGAAAATTAAGTTAGATATATTATTATTTTATTGAAAAAATAATTACTAAATTAAACTAAAAGATATTGATATCTAGTAATTAATCCTAACATACTATTCTCTCTATAAAATATCTTTTAAAAAATTATAAATAATAAAAATCTATATTAAAGATAATCTATAAAAAAAGATTTATAATTCTAAACAAGATCTCTTATATTTTATCTATTTTAATAACCTAAAAATAAGATAATAGCTTTTATTTCTATATAGATTACTAAAAACTAAATAAAATTATAAAAAAGGATTAATATCTTTTTTTACTAATTAATAAGCTATTATATTATTTAAGCTAAATAAAATATTTTATAAAGCTAGGTATTTAAGAAGACTTTTATTAAATATAGATATATCCTGATTTTAAAGATAAGACTATAGTCTAAAACTATTATAGAAGAATAATAATATTAAAGAAAACTTTATGATTATTATCAAGGAATAATGGGAATTCGATAGTAAAATGCTATCGAATTAATAATAGAGGCATCTTTAAAGATATATCGAGAATTTTTAAGCCAAAATTATACTATTCGAGATCAGGAAAGCGGGAGTGTAGGATTTTCTTACATCTTATTGGTTAGATTGGGGTTAAAACCCGAGTTGGGGTCTAATCCTTGACAAAAGTCTTTATAAAAAGACATTTTTTAAGATAGAAAGAGTAAACTTCAGTCTTTGTTCAACCGGAACCTTCTATAATTAGTAATAAAAAATAGTAATTCTAAACTAAAATATAGTTAAGTTCTCTATAATTAATTGATTAATTGATTGATTAATATTTTATTCTCGGGTCTATCAGGTTTTTTTTACCCAATTTGCTAATAGATCTCTCTAGGGCAGTAGGCTATCTATATAAATAATTAGCCAAGGCCTATCTATATTTTCTCGCTAGTCATAGTTTTTCTCTTGTTTAATCTTTATTATAATAGCCCTAATCTACTATATATCTTTTATATACAATTTTTAGATCTTCTTCGAGATCTAGTAGTTATCTTGTAGATTTCTAGACTAGCTAGGAAATTTAATTTATAGTATAAATTAGATTATTTTTGCTACTAGGTCTAGTTTAGTTAGCTAGATTTTATATCTATAAGAATACTAAAATAGTCTAAATATCAAGACTTGTAGGTAGACCTCGCCATAGAACTTCCACAGATAAAGATTTTGGTTCCAGTTCTGTGGGACGGGTAGGCAAGTCCTACCCATTACCCATCCCCGTCTACCTAGTATAGACCATGGGGTACCTGTAGGTTACCCACAAATTACCCAAAAATATATAATTACCCCTTTTTAGATATGCCAAGCTGTATAAAATCACTTACTCATCTAAGTAAATTACAGTTTTTAATAGCTATTCTGGTTAGCCTCTAGTTTATAAAACAATATAACTATATTAACTATATAAATTAAGTATTAAAGTTGAAAAGTATTATTAGTAGCTCTGGTAATAGTAATTTATATCTATATTTAATAGGTTAAATCTTATGATAGATAGTTATAGATAATATTATAGATTATATATTATTAATTATTAAAAATATATATTTATATTATAAGAGAGTAAGTATATCTTCTTAATAATATAATTATATCTTTTTTATATACTCTTATATTAGTAAATCTAATTAGTTATTTAATAAATCGAATTATATATATTATTTCTATTTAAATATAAGCTTTATTTTAATAAAATTATATATATTAAATATAAAATAACTTTGAATAGTGATATCTATCTTAAAAATAATAATATTTAAATATAAAAAAAAGGATTAAAATAAGATAAATAATTTATAGATAACTTATAGATTATCTACAGGTTATCTATAAGCTATTTATCTATCTATAAATAACCTGTAAGTTTAACTAATTAAAATATATATTATAGATATAATAGGTTATTTATTTATAAATTATTAGAAAAAAGGGATTAAAGTTTTTAAGTCTATTAATCATAAAATTTATTATAATAAATACTTATTTTGTTATATAATTAGAGATAACTAGCCTAATCTTATTTCTTTTATTATAATATCTTAATTCTCCCAATTTTCTAATATATATATATTATCTTTATATAATACTAATAATCTAGATAACTTTTAGGTTATTCAACCTAATAATCTTATTTCTAATCTTTTATTTAACTAATAAATATCATAATTAATTACTAATTTAGATTTTATTTATCTATCTTATATAATCTCTATATCTTCTTTTCTTAAATATATCTATCCTAACCAAATTTTAATATATCTTATTTATTATAATATAATAAAAGATAATTTTATAAATTAATAACTTTAGATAGACTTTAGATAAAAAAAGCTGATATAATAAGATATTTAATAGTAATCTAATATATAGAAATACTTTGACTAAATAATAAAAGTAAATAATAAAATATCTAAGATTATATATAAATAATATAAGAAAATACTTGATTATCTATAATAATATAAAAATAGGACTATAATAATAATTAAGTATTTAAAAAGGATTAGATATTATAGTATAAATAAGTATAATATTAAATAATTTTTTTATAAAATAATTTTATCTTATATTATAATATCTTTTTATTAATATCTTTTTAATATAGATTATATTAATTTTAGATAATCTTAGTTTTATTTAAGAGACTTAAAAAACAAATTTACTTTATTTTATTACTAATTCCCGGCTATTATTCTAAATCCTTGAATATCCTAACTTTTATTAATTAATTTATATAACTTTCTATATCTTAATATATTTATAAATCCTATCTATAAAAATAGTTTAATATTAACTTTAAGATATAATTATTAAATACCAGAATATTATCCTCTAAAAGCTATTTAAAGATAATAAACTATTAATTATTTTTAATTATTAGATATCTCTATTCTAATAAATATTTATGATAATAACTAGTTATTTTCTTTATAAAAATTAGAATTATTAGGAGATATTATTTAATTTTAAACTATTTTATAAAATATATTTAGATATTAATCTAAATATTATCCTTCTTAAACTTCTTTAAAAATACTAGATTATAAATAGAATATTTATAATTATTACTAATAATATATTAAATAATAATACTATAATATTAAGTATCTAGGATTTTATCTAGTCTTTTAAGATTTATAATTATATTATAATTATTAAGATTTCCTATCTAGTCTATATTATTTAATTTAGTTTAAAATAATTTCTTAGATAAATAAAAGTAAATCTAAAAAATAATATAATTAAAATATAATAGTCTAAAATCTAAGATTAATTAATCTACTTAAAATAACAAAAATAAAAGATTATTAATATATTAAATAAGATAAATTTATTTTTTAGGATATAAAAATTATTAACTTATTTAATTATATATAGATATAAGACTTAGCTATTTTTATTAATACTAGTTCTTAATATCTCAAGCTATTTTCTAAACTTTAAATAATCTTAATATCTTTTATATTAATTTAAGATATTCGAATATATTAGAACTTAACTTTTTTTATACTCTAATATATTAAATAATTATAATCTATATTTAATAAATTTTATACTAAATATAGATATTTATATTTAAAGTTTAATTAAGAATAATAATATTAGATCGATTATCTTTTTTATATTATTTAATCTTTTTTCTAATTTATAAATATACTAAAACTTTATAGATTATTTTAAGTCTTATAAGTAATATCTATTATAGAATTAGATATTACTAGAGTCTTATATATCTATAATATAGATCTTAGAGTTTAATCTTGAATAGATATTTAGAGAGTCTAAATCTTAGTAAATAAGCTTAACTAAATAGGATAAGTTTTTAAGATATCTTAAATCTAGTTAATATTATCTTAATTTATTATATATTTCATTAATAAATATTAGATATTATTATTAGAATAACTATTTAAGTATTCTAGAAAGATTATTAATATAAATTTCTTGTTCTTATAAGTCTTATATAAGATATTCTTATAATTTTTATTATAGATATAAGGATTAAGTATTTCTTTAATTTTATTTAGGATATTTATTATTATTATTAAGGTTTTCTAAGATCTGAAACTATCTAGAAACTTATAATATATCTTATAAATAGAGAGATTAAGATAGAGAGAGAAGAGAAAAGTCTTTAATCACTATAAGATATTAATCTTATTAGTAATATTAAAGAGAAGAATATAGAGGTTATATAAGAGCTAGATATTATCTAAAATCTTTCTTATAAAGTTTTATCTAATAATAAAACTATAAATCCTCTTCTAGAGACTCAATAATAGATTTTAGATAGAAGTTAGAAACAGAGATAGGATGATGATTAGTTTATTAAATATTAGTTATAAAATCAAATTAATCTTGTTTTAATCTTTTTAATATTGAGAAATCTCTTAAATCTTGACTGGTAGTTATATATAAAATACTCAAAATTATAACTTGAATATGTATAAAATATACAAGTCATAGGGTCCCACCTGTTTATATTGTTTGACTACCCACAGGTACCTAGAAAATACCTATAGGTATTAACCAGCTTCCTACTACCCGCACACAGATAAGCAAACCCTACCCATTACCCGCCAAGAAATAGGTAATGGGTACCCCTGTTTAGGTAGACCCGCGGGTTGTGGCGAGGTCTACTTATAGGGTCTAGATTAGACTTTTGTATAACCTGATTTAGGTCGAAGATTATAATCTAGAGCCTATAGCTTTGAAATACTCTAGACATATCATACTGACGTATAAAAAAGAGACGGGCCCTACTTACCAGGACAGACATATATGATAAGAAATTTATTAACCAGTGTTACTAGGTCAGCTTCGTCTCTCCTGGATACCACCCATCGCCGCCTTCTTGTCAGCAATATGAGATATCATGTTGGTATCCAATAGAGCAGCTTGAGCAGCATCGTCCCCTGCCGCAGCCTTGCTTGCACCCTGCCCAGATCCCAGATGTTTCTTGTCCCACCCCCAGCCCGTTAGGTAGACACCAATGAAGAACCTTTGGGTGCCAGAACCCTTTTCTTGCACACAAGGCCTCTCCTCCAAGTAGTCCAGTTTGATACCCTTTGCCATAACCTTTCTAGCAAGCTCTTCCTTTGCTCTCAGCTCGGTTTTTTGATGGCCTAGGTTATCTAGCATTGGCAACCACAGTGACCTCAGCCAATTCTCGGCAATTTGATAGCCCTCGACCGGATCAGATATAATGACAGCAGCTACATAAGCTTCGAAAACATCTCCTTTTGTCTTGATCCAGCGTTTGGCCTGGTCAGAATAAGCGGCCGGCACCAATACCTTGCGGTCAAAACCATAGGTTTCTGCAAAAGAGGCCAATGTTGAATTCTTGACCAAGCCTTCCCGGATCTGAGATATTCGGCCTGCCGGAATGCGAGGAAATTTGTTCCAGATCAACTTGGTCGCGATAAGTTCGATATATGCATCCCCAAGGACCTCTAATCTGTCATAGGCTTCGTCCTGGGCCTTGGCACAAGCGGGATGTGTAAAAACGGACCGCTCTAGGATAGGGTCCAGAACTGCCGGCAACTCAGGGCTCCTTGCCTTATCAGCCTCAACATTGTTGGAGTGTTGGCTGACATAGACATCCAGGTTTGGCTTAGAAGAAGAGTGAGGCACTCGATGTCCAGGCAGTTTGAGCGCATTTGAAAGGGCTAGAATCGCTTCTGAGATTTCAGGACTAGATCCCATGACATTAGGGTCTTCAATAGACTCCTGGACAACGGTTTTCAGAACAGCCAGAGTCTTTGGAGCCTCAAGGGGATCATGCTCTGTTGAGGCCCCTCTTTGGCTCTGGCCCAGAAGACAACCATCAACCTTGAGAAATGATGTTAGAACATACACAAGGAAGTCACCAAATGGATAGCATCAAGTTAAGAGGGGCCAGTGCATAATTCACCTTGGTCCGTTTGGCGCGAAGCTGAGACAGATGGCCTGAGAAAAGGTCGTCCGGGGTGGTCACCAACTGCCCCCGTCCAATTTCACGCCTCTTCTGTTTTCTTTTGTTCACTCTGTCCATTTTAACTCGACATGAAGAGGATGAAAAGGGTTCATAGAGAGAAAGAGAGCTCTTTGCTATACCTCAAAATCAGTGCTCACGAACTTCATCACGTGACAAAAACGGCCCGCAACTCGCGAAGCTGTCATGACTCTTCTCTCTACCGCGACATCTTTCGGAGCGGCGAAAATGTCCCAGACTAGGATTCTGAGACCTGGTCAAAGTATGATACGATGATGCTTTCATGCCCACTCTACCTATTGCTAACTCTGCCTCTCCTTGTTCTTAGACGCAGTGTCGGATCTTCTCGCTCAATTTCAATCCTCAACGGCTTCGACTTGGCAATAAAATCCTCAGACAGCGGCTTCGGGGCCCATCATTGGCAGCATGGTATCCGAAGAAAATTGTATCGTTCCGTGACCTTCAAAACACGTACAAGCCTCTAGGTCTTACTACTTTCGACGAGGCCGAAGATGATCGAGAGGAGGGTATACAAGTGTAGGTTCTCCTTCATGATTTTCAATCACATTTTCGAATGTAATTCTGATCATACATCCAGTGCAAAACTCAGAGGCAAAGGTCGACCCAAAAAAAAGAGGACTGCAGCAGGTAATTCCACCCTCTGAACCATACTTGCTCCTTCTGAGCGCTAACTTTCTCGCCCTACCCAGAGTCACGTTCTGCAAAGAAGAAGAAATAGGCACCTTCCTCTTCCTGCAATACTGTTCCATTCATACAATGCTGTTCCAATCCAAGCTGTCAGTCCTAAAGTGTGAAATACAGGCTGGGAAAGCCGGATGTGGTTGGCTAAACATCATTGATCAGTCTTGGCGCTGGACTATTCCCACTCCCGACTTGACCCCATTCTGTATAATATGTGTACAATTCCATCTTCACCTGAATTTTCTCTGATCCTCTGGCACAACCCCCTGTTTTATCAAGGCATGTAACTTGTAAACCTTGATCCTAACTTTTTATGATTGATAGCGAAGGATATAAAAGATTACCAATGCTGCATGTAGGAGTGTCCTAAGCAAACCGTTCTAGAGGATGTACCTCTTGCTCCGGCAAAAAACTTACGTATGAAAAGTCGGTTAACTATTGCAAGTGGTTGTTTCTCACCTGGTGCCTTTTGACATGGAAAGTTTGCGCAAGGAACGAAGGCGGTGTGTGAATATAGCCAATGGAACGCGTTCTGCTCTGCAGAAAGAAGTCCTGCTTTGTCGCGCGCAAAAAGGGAACTAGTTAATCCATCTTCACCTACAACACTCGCGTTTCCCCTCCCTCGCTCTCTTCTTTGTTCTCTCCCTCGCAAGTAGTCTCCATCCTACCTTTTTTGGTGTCTTAAGATTCTTGGCCCAAATTATCTACAGCCATGAAGCAGAGCAAGAATCAATTCCGACGGGCAAAGAAAAAGGCCCAAAAGGTCGAGGTACTTTACCCTTCTGAAAACTCAAAAGCCCAACAAATCTCATATGTACTTATTATTCCTAGGCTCTCGATGGTGCTACTGCAGAGTCCAAAAAGGCTGCCCCGCAGGAAAACGCGCAGGAAACCGCTCCCATAAAGCCAGTTACATCCACCATTGATACTCTTCCAGAGGCCCCAGAGCTAGACAACCCACTATGGAACATGTACAAGGGTATCATCAACAAATTTGATGATCCTACTGGGGAATCGACCCAGGCACATGCCAGACCCGAAGTATTCTTCAATGATGACGATGATATCCCAGACGAGGAACAGGAGAATGAGGCAAAGATCTCCAAGAAGAAGCGAAAGGAGTTGAACAAGCTATCTGTGGCGGAGCTTAAACGCCTAGCTCGGAAACCTGAACTCGTCGAATGGACTGATACATCTGCCATGGACCCCAACTTGTTGATCCAAATCAAAGCACAATGCAATATCGTTCCCGTCCCTTCGCATTGGTCACTCAAGAGAGAATATCTTTCGTCGAAGCGAGGAATTGAAAAGGCACAGTTTGCTCTACCAAAGTTCATTCAAGAAACTGGAATAGCCGAGATGCGCGACGCTGCGTTAGAAAAACAAGAGCAGTCGAGTCTGAAACAGAAGCAAAGAGAAAGAGTGCAGCCGAAAATGGGACGGTTGGATATCGATTATCAGAAGCTTTACGAAGCATTTTTCCGCTTTCAGGAGAAGCCGGAATTGACCCGTTATGGCGAGACCTACTATGAGGGTAAAGAATACGAAACTAACCTACGACACCTTCGTCCGGGAGAGCTGAGTGATGAGTTGAGGGACGCCCTTGGCATGGCCCCTGGAGCGGCCCCTCCCTGGCTCTTTAACCAGCAGACCCATGGACCCCCTCCTTCATATCCAGCCCTCAGAATTCCTGGAGTTAATGCACCCCCTCCTCCGGGAGGAGCGTGGGGCTTCCACCCGGGTGGCTATGGCAAACCTCCTACCAACGACCACAACCAACCCAAGTACGGAGGCGATATATTTGGGGTTCTTCAACCTCAGCAGCGCTTGCAGCAAGGTGAACCTATCGAAAAGGACCTCTGGGGCGAATTACAGCCATCTGAAGAATCCGAAGAAGAAAGTGAAGAAGAGGAGGAAAGGGAGAGCGAAGAAGAAGCAGAGTCTGACGGGGAGCATGGAGACAATGAGCAGCGCTGGCCCAGTGCTCCGGAGACCTCGGGTCGAATGGCTTCAGCAGAACCACCTGAGCTTTTGGGTGCCGAGAGTGTCTCTGGGGAATTTGATGCGCGAAAGCACCGAGCCAACAAGACCGAAGAGACTGTCCACCCTCGTCAAGCGTACCAAGTGATCCCCGAGAGGCAAACCCGCATACAAGGACGCTTTGGTTCAGACCGAGCTTATGACTTGAGTGGAGTCTCTGGAAACCCCCCCCACTTCTTGGTGCTGAGGATCAAGGGCGGAAACGGAAGAAGCCTGGAGATGTGGATGTTTCGGTGGATGTGGATGCGATCTCTGCTGGAGAGGGCATGAGCAAAGAGAACCTTCAAAAGCTGTATGATACTCAACGACAGCAAGAAAGTAATCCCCAATGGGGGTTCCAGGAGGATCTTAGCGATATGATAGCTCAAGAAAGCCGCAAGCGAATCCGGAAGGATGAGGAAAAGCGTGGAAAGCAGTGAGGCCACTTTGCATTTCTTCTCCTGAGCTGCCTTGTGCACGGGGAATGAATTGTTTGTACTTTTATGTCACTGGTTTACAGCATAATGGACCCAATGAGGATGAAGAGCCTAGTTGAAAACAATACCATCCATCAATTTTGCATTTTGGGACGCCTTGTGAAAGGCGAGTGTAGTGTTTGTATTTTACAACACTGGCAGTCAAAATGTGAAGATACCATTACTGCCCTGCTGTTCTAGTTAGTAGAGAATATAAACCCTTGTAGGGCCTACCAAAAAAATACTAAAAGAGGCTTAGTGTAAGTCTCACCGCCCTCACCGCCTGCGCTATCTCGTGCATTATGATCGAATCTTTTTCTTATCAACGCCCTATTTTGGGGTCTACTCGCTCACATCTAGGCAATGGACTGGGATCGTAGAAGGTGAGTAACCATTTGGGGGTGGTTTTTCTAAACAAAAAGGCTCATGAACTTCCCAGATTTGAGGATCGCCGAGGAGGGGAAAGCTATCGTCCTTCGGACCGATCTGGCCGTTCTCCTTCTCGGGGATATGATGCGCGTCCCTGGCGCTCACCACCCCGGAATCGCTCTCGCCTACGTGGCGATACTTGGGTGCCTTCCAGCAGAGCATACCTCGTCCCCGAAGCCGTTCTCCCCCAATGTACCGCCGACGCTCCCGTAGTCCTCCACCCAGAGGTTATGGCTCCGGCTCCTTTGTGAGAAGACGTTCCCCTCCACGAAGACCTTCTCCCAGAAGAGAGGATCGGGATCGCATTCGCTCTCCCCTCGGCTCGTGGCGATCACGATCTCCACAAAGTGAAGGCCGATCACGCGATATCTCCCGTGGCCGGGGCAGTCCTAGGCCAGCCCGCGAGCCTCATCTAGACGCAACCAAGAGCCAACCCAACATGCGGTCTGGACCAGGTACTCCGGCCTATTCCAGCCCCGGAGCAAAGAGTTTATCGAGGCCACCTTCTCCTCTTCATTATGCTGGCCCTGCCCGTGGCCCGCCCCCTATGAGAAACCGTAGCCGATCGCCGGCTCAGCAGTCGCCCTCGCGTCACTACTCCGATCGTCTTGGTCCGCGATCTCATAGAGATCGTGAGGGCGCATTCAATGCCGATGCCGTCAACTGCCAAAACGGATCCGGAAGCCTTGATCGGGTTGAGAAAGAAAATACTAAAGCAGACCAAAGCCGAGCTAGTCGCGATACTCCAACCCAGCCAAGGAACAGCCGTACCAGCCAGTCCCCTCCAACAGGACCCGCTAACGACTCGAATCCTACGGCAAACACGCACCAGGCCTCCTCGACTCTTTCTCTACTGTCAGCGCCGACACGCCCCCGCCGTGGTCCCGGCTCCCGAGATGGTCCCTGGGGAGGAGGTCCAATAGTACGCCGTGGCCCACCCACAACCACACCGCCGAATGCCCCATCAGGCCCTCGAGCCTCATTCATACCTAATTCAGCCAGCGCAGGATTTTCTGGGCCAGGACACTATAGGCATTCTACGCCTCGCCAGAATAATCCACCTCCCCTTACAACTTCGGCCCTCCCCAAAGCCACCAACCACCTCGCGAACCTGAGTACGGTGCTTCCAGGCGGACGGATGCTACCATCGGCACTGGATGCGGCGACCGAAAAGCGATTCTCACAGCTCGAGGCCGACCAGGAGAAGCTTCTAGAGCAGCTTGCTGATGCCCAGAGGCTGAAACGAGCAGGTCTCCGTGACTGGGACCGACTGGATCGAGAAACTTCAATTTGCGCCCTGAAGAGCGAGTTAGCCGAAGGGCATCTGCAACGCATCGCAGACGAAAGCCTCGCAGGTGGAATTCCGTTTTAATGGCCCGTTTCTTCAAGTCTATTTGGTGGCGCTTCACTTACACGGCGTCTCTTCCTTCCGCTTACGGATGTGGTGCTTCACGGCGTTTTTATGGTGACTGGGGAAAGCAAAAGGGAACTTAGGAAACGGCGTGGATAACGAGTGATCACGAATTCAGAATCTCAATCTTTGCCTCTTACAATGTTTGGAAATTGCATAAGTTGTAGAAAGTAGGCGTAGCCTTCCAGATGGGCGGTGGATCCAGAAATGCAACGAAAGTGCCGCTGAGGCCCGCTTTAGGCCCGCGCGCGTGTACCTGATCGACGGGTGCCGCCCTTCCATCTGCTTTCGTGTCAACAACTCCCTCATCTCGCATCTCCCTCCACCGCGCCTAACTCCAAGATGAATCTCTTTAGGCTTTTAGGTGCGTTGTGGAACTTGCTTATCATGAAATTGCTGATCTAACTCCCGATAGCCGACTTCTCGCATCTGGCATCTATCTTCATTCTTCTGCAGAAGATGAAGTCGACCAGCGTAAGGGTCCCTCGTCCAATTGGCCATATCATTGTTAACCATGTCTACTCTACAGAGCTGCGCTGGGCTGTCATTCAAATCCCAAGTCCTGTATCTTTTGGTCTTCGTGACTCGTTATCTCGGTGCGCTTCAATACTCCTGGTCCCTTCCGGCCATGCTGCAGCCAACTAATCCAATCACCCTTGTCTTCTGCTAGATCTTTTCTGGACGTTCACCGACTCATTGTACCTCACCACGTTCAAGCTTCTCTTCATCGGCTCTTCCGCCTACATAATCTATCTCATGCTTAACGACTACAAGCCGACCCATGACCCTAATATCGATACGTTCAAAGTCCAGTACCTTCTGGGAATCAGTGCAGTCCTGGCGATACTTTTCCCGCATGACTATCGAATCTCCGAGGTTTGTCGATACGGGCAGGACTCGTCCATCCGTACCAGTATAGCCAAAGGTCACTAACTCGGGATAGATACTGTGGACGTTCTCAATTTGGCTGGAGTCTGTTGCGATTCTACCCCAACTGTTCATGTTACAAAGGACTGGAGAGGCGGATACAATCACCACTCACTACTTATTCGCCCTTGGGTCGTACCGAGCCCTCTACATTCCCAATTGGATTTACCGATACTTCACCGAGACTCACTTTCAGCGGTCATTCCAGCCAGTGCCTATCATTGCGGGTATTGTTCAAACCTTACTCTATTCTGATTTCTTCTACATCTACTACAACAAGTGAGTTGCCCCCTCGATGTACTATGCGTCGAATTCATGTGGCTGATTGGCTTTTATATCCAGGGTTCTGAAAGGAAAGAAATTCTCCCTCCCCGTTTGAGCTCAGTCTCGAAGTCTGCCTTGGAGATGCCGGTGGTTTACCGACCAAATAGCCCATTTTCAGCCCAAAGGAGTTGGGCCTTCGCTGAGTTTATTTAACTTCTCAGTTAGTAATTACCTGTTCTCATGGGCAGTCAGTTGTCATTCGGAATGTTCAAATGCAGTTTCTGGCCACTCATCAGTGATACACGAAAAGTCTAGTCTCAAGCATCTGTGCGATGGTAATTGCTGGGCGTTGGATCAATTTCTTGATTTCCAACCCTTCTCATACCAATACCACCAAATGTATATGGGGCCCTGGCTTAACAGCTTCAAGGGCATTTGCGACTGCAGGATCTCCATAGACAACATAAGGCATTTCCTGTCTATGAACTTATATACACTTGTTTCCTACCTTTCTCTATAGCTTCGGCTGGAAAAAGCTCGACCTCAATTTCTATCTGCTACTTAGAACCAATAGCTGAAAACAGAAACAGAAAAGCAAACCTGTCTGTGTCCATTTGTAATTCGATGTATCAATTCTCATTTAATTTTTCCAAAAAACTCATCCGTCCTAACTGTGTAACTTTCTCACATCCTTTTTTCTGGTCCGTCCGTCTTTTTTTTTTATTTTCAGGAAAACACAAAACAGAACAGACAAGAAAGGCAAAACAACACACAACTGCATTGGATACAGCGATTCAATAAAATGTCATGCCAAGTGCGACTTTTCTTTCCGATAATAACAGCAGACGACTACACACCTGAATGAGAACGCCACGAGATGCCCAAAACGCCATCATCCACGGAACACTAGTATTCTCGCTGGGTAGGAGTGCCATATGTAGGGACATAGCCCCCAGCGTAGTTCAGCTGGGTCGTAGATACTGACAGATCCGCCGAGAAAGGGTCTATGGTACCAGCAATTGAGTGCGATATATTGTTCATTGACCCATGGGATGAACGAACGCCGGTACCAATGCCTGGCCGCCCCTGCAATGCTGGATGGTTTTCCATCCACCCATGACCGTGTAGCTGGCTGAAATAGTCCGACTGTGCCCGGTCAAGCGCAATCTGCCCTCCGTACGCGGATTCTCGCTTCGAGACTGGCGGTGATGGCAGCTTCGGGGAACGAGACACTACCTCTGGCCGAGGTGAGCCCCGGCGGGAATTTGGAGGGGTGAGACGTGATCCTCCTCGGCGTACTTGGCACGTTGGACAGATCTTGACAAAGCGTGAGATCAACTCCTTAGGCACCCTGTAGACTTTATAAGACAAATCTTGACCCGGGATTCTGATCTAGAGAACATATTTTGGGATGGCCTACCATGAGTAGATGCGTCTGACCTGAGCAGACGTCTTGTCACGGCCGCCGTGCTGGCATTGTTGATGAGCCTTGGTCAGGATTTTGAACAGCTTCTCGCGAATAGCGACAGGCTTGCCCTCATGACAGATCATCTTCCGGCACTGCTTCTGGTTGTTAGAACCATCCGACTGGCTCGCCATAATAGATGGAAAGGTAGCGGGATGGGTACGTACGTCGGTTGTCCCAATCCCGACGGATTGAAGCTTGAACATTTTCTTGACCCAGAATCTAACATGGTCAGCATGGACTCGGAAAGACGTGCAACAGGAAAATACGGGGTAAACAGCCGCATACCGAAACTGGGCAGACTCGACCGCAGTGTCTTTTGGGTCTATAAGGACACTTTTAATATTCCGAGCCCTTCGAGCATGGATAAGGGCTTTATCTTGCTTCTTCACTGATAAGTCGTCGACGTAGCTAGTACATCATCCATGTATTAGTCGATTGCCAGTCGTATGAATATTCTGGGATAGCCAAGGGTTCACCATACCTTTGCATTAGTTGGTCAAATTCCTTCACGTCCGGGAATCCATCTAGTGGAGGCATTACAGGCTCAGAAAGCATTGTCCCTTCATTGCGAGATTCTTGATCTTCGATTTCCGTCTCACTAAGAGCGTCTCGCAAGGGTAGATACCTCGGTGACTGGAGATAGCGGGATTGTGGCATATACTGCGAAGACGGATGGTGTAGTCTCATTTCATCCGGCGCAGCCATTGACGGGATTGTGTGATCTGACGTGTACTGCAAGTGTGGCATTCCTGCAGAGAGGCCAGACTGCTGGCCATATGACGGACCGAATTGAGACCCATAGGGATTGTATGAATGCTGCGGGAAGTGATACGAACCAGACCCAGTGGTGCTAAACTCATGACCACTGGGATGACTATAAGTCCCGGGAACAGCAAGCTGTTGATTCAAGAGATAGCTATCACTCCCTTCGTTGCGCCTTGTGAAACTTCCCATTTTGTTGGTTGGTATCAGAATGATGACCCGCTCTTGGTGATGATGCTTCTCTCTTTCTCTCTGTGTGTGTGTGTGTGTGTGTGTGTGTGTGTGTGTCTGTGTGCGCGTGTCTATCAGTGCACCAGTGCCCTGAAAAGCCCAGTAGATCCAGATCCAGATTCAAGTGCGAGATAAAGAGGGCAACGGCAGATAATACAGTAATAGGAAGTAAATCTGGGGCAGACAGGAGAGTTGGAGAATGAAACGCCAGCAGGCAATGATGTAAAAAGAAGATGAAGCTATCCAATGAGGAAGAGGACGCGCGAGAGGAACGACCACAACGAGAAACCACAGGAACTCATGATGAACATCCACGGGGCAGTAATTGTATTAAAAGGGACCCGCAAGCACTCTTCTCTGCGAGCCAATCGTGCAGGACATGGCCGATGCCCAAGGGAGTGCACGAGACCATGTCGAAACAGAGTGGGCGGAGGCAACAGAGGACATCCCTGGAGAAGAGACTGCAAATATTCCACCAGGAAAAAAAGAAAAAGAAAAGAAAGACAGAGCTAGACGGGTCGACTAGAGCTCTGTAAGGTACAACCACCAAAAGTATTACTCTGGTCCGCAGGGAAGAGATATGCCTACAACGGGAGCCAGAGGAGAGGATGGCGAAAAATAATATTGGAAAAAGTCCGAAAGAGAAATTAAAAAAAAAAATAATGTTAAGGAAATTCAGCGGCAAAGATGACTGGGGTTCGTGGTCGAAACCTTTCCGACCCGCCGAGAAGATCGAAGCGTGAAGGCAGAAGCAGGCTGATACGACAGCGCACACAAGCAATGGTGATACGGATTCCTGCCTCGATACCCGGCGCCTCAATTCGCCTAATGGAGAGCCACGTCGGACCCAGTCAAGGCCACCTATAGTATGTGCCACTTGTGAGGGGAGGGTCAGATCGCCTTCTGTCAAAGAGAAAAGGAAAGCAGGGCATGGGCAAGATCTGCCCAAGGATTGGAACTCGGGGACGATGACAGCAGGCGGAACACTGCCCATAGCGGTTTCCCGGATATAACAGGCGTGTAAGTGTAGGCTTTGTTTCTGCAGGTTTGCCCCGTCAAACAAACATCAGGCTGGAGATTGCTCCGGCAAAAGTCCCAAACATGCACGTAGCCGGGTATCAGTAAGGAACATGGATTGGGAGAGTTTCCACCGATCTGGGGCGGGGGCAATGCGAATGGGCATGAATGGGGGCCGAAGCGGAGCCACCCCTGCCTGTCCTACCGCCTCTCGCCTTTCTCTCGATCGTGGGCTGTCAGGGAAGCTCCCGGGCATGACCTTGACGTGGCGTGGATGTTAGGGCGCTGCGGATTGGGTCTTGTTGACAGGCAATCAAATGCATCATGCGGGATGGCAGGAGTGCATGTGTTTGGTCCATCCGCGACAGGCGACAGGCGTTCGATACGACTTGGCGCCGGACCCTCGCAGTACCAGCGTCTGGGCCAGTCGCGAAACCAAAAAAAGGGGCTCGAAGCCAGTACGCGTTAGACAATCTATCACCCGGTGTCACGCTGCTGCTTCCCGGTTCTGATGCTCTGCGCGTATGCGGATGCGAGCGAGATGCTTCATGGGAGGAGCTCAAGGCCCGCGGAGGCACGAAAGGGCGAGCGCTTGTATGCACGTCACGTCCCCCTCCCAACCCTGAACACCCCGAGTCCGAGGGTTTCGGATATGCATGGGGGAGGCGGTGGCAGTCGATCACTGTAGCATGGATCTTCCTTGTTGGTTAAATGCGAGTGCCGAATTATAGACGGGGGATCTACGCGGATGGGAAGCAGGAGTAAGAGAGAAACCGAAGAACTCAGAGTCGACCTCATAGCCCTGAGGGGTAAGTCAGAGGAAACCAGTCAGCAGAGGACTCGAGACTATAACAGGATGACGAGAATCCAGAAGAGAGAACACTACAATCATGATACAATTATTCTTCAGGGCCTGAATCCGAACCCATATACATGGGCCATTGAATTAAAATATTTGAAGAGAAACAAACAAACAAGAATCCTCCTATCATGCTTGAAGGCCATGAGAACAAGGAGTCAGAAAACAAAGGACAAAGAGTATAGGTACAGAAGCAAGACCATAATTTCGTGCATAGCCTTTTGGATTAGCGCCAATAAGGGCAAGGCGTCCGTCGTGTCATTAGTTCGTGTTCCATGCCCAACCTGTCACCACTGGGGGAAGGGTGTCCGAATCGTGAAAGAGCATAAGCCTCGATAGCAAATCCCCGCAGGTCTGGTGGTGGATTCCATTGGGCATCAAATCGAGAGGGCCTCTGGCATACGCGGGCGATCCTTCCTCTACCCTAAGGAGGTTGCAAGATCATCGGCTATTAGATCCCGTATCGCCCATCGCCAGTAGGTTTCGTGCTCCCCCGATCAGGGCCAACCCACTTGTTTACTTTCCGCCGCCATTTATCTTCCTCTGCCCGTTGCCGTCGAACGAACTCTGGTCCGACATCAAACTCTTCGGTCATGGGTCCCTCGTCCGAAGACTCCCCTGCGCTTGGATCTGCATCTGCACCGGTGGGATCGCAAGCTTCTAAAGTCCCCGGGCCTTGCTGGGGGGAACCCGCCAGCTTGTCGTCCAAATCATCCAGGCCTGCAAAGACATCTTCTTCATCCTCAGGAGCAATACCGCCATTGTGGCCAGATCCGGGTGATGCGGCCCGAAGCCAACACATCCGCTGCGGGTCGAAAATCATACCACCGACAGTCTGGACATTGTCCACCACCCCCATATTGGTGATGAGAGCCGGGGCGGGTTTTGGAGACTTGGGTGCAATGGACACGTCAAAATCCTGCACAAGATTTTCATTTCCTTCCCAGCGAAAGGTGGTCGGGTTGTATTGCATTCCTTTCACAGCTAATGATTGGTGAGTATTGGTCCCCAAAGAACAAGGCAAAAGACGAGGGGAAAATAGAACAGGGATTCATACACTTTGCTTCCTGCACGCCAGTTCCCATGGGTTTTATTAAATGGGGCTTGGAAGGGGGCTTGGTCCCGGATCTGCTTTTTCGGCTCCGTACTGACCCTGCGTTTGGGGAAATGCGAGAGACCGGAGGAGCCTTCCAATTGGGATTGAACGATCCGGGCGCATTCAACTCTCGATTCTTGGAGGACATCGAGGCAATACGTTGTTCCCTTGCATTCCGGGACGCGTTCGTGTCCCGGGCAAAATGAGGCAAAGAGTTCGTCGGTTTGGAAAATGAAGGTGGTGTAGAGGATTGCACCGCAGAACTGTCATTTATGTTAATACCACTCTGGCTGAGCCTGGCACGCATAGTCCGAGGAGCTCCTCGACCAGAGGGATTCTTCATGTATTTGCTCTCTGCGGAGACAGATGTGGGTAAATCGTCAAAAGATTGTAACTCCGATCCATCGCCAAAGTTGCGGCGCCTGGTTGGTCGCGTTAGGGTCCGTTTCGTGGGCGGGCTAGCGCTTTCTGATTTACCATCCCCTAAGCTTAAACGCAAGGCTTCCGAACGACTCGATCGTGATGACCGGAGGAAGTTGTTCTGCGGGGTTAAGAAATCTCCAGAGCTGTCCGAATGGTGACGTCGAGGAGGGCGAGAGGCTTTCACGCTAACATGATGAGATTGTCTTTCAGAAGCACCTGCCGGAATGAATGGTGTATGCGCCTTGGGGATAGATATTCTTCTATGAGACGCCGCCTGGTCAACAGGTGTTTTCGGTCTAATAAGGGTAGCTTGAGTTGTTTCATCCTGGGGAGGTGAAACACGGTGAAAATTTCGGGCTGACGTAGTAGTGGTTGTTCCCTGCATAGAAGGTAGAGATCGCTTAGTACGGAGGTGTCTGGATGGAGTTCGGTATTCGCCTGTAGATGCTGTGGCATTCGCAGTGCGTGATCCAAGCGTCTGTCGACCAGGTTTGGTTGATGTGAGCGACGCAAATGTAGTGCGAGCTGCAGGAAGACTGGAGATTGAAGACTGAGATGCATGCCCAAGGCGAGTCTGGGACCTGGGAAACTTGGAAAGAGGAGCACCGCTCTCTGAAACGGTTTCAAGATGGCTTGAATGAGTTGAATGGGCTCGATCGTGATTAGACAAGCGTGGAATCCGAGTATTCTGAAGAGGCGAGGAGCTTGAATTGTTTGTAAAGACCAAGGTAGTGGCCAACCGACGAGTCGGACTCGCTGGCCATTCTGTTCTGCACTTGACGTTCGGATTCAAGGAAAGCTTCCCAGAAACGAAGGCTCGCCCATCATCAACTTCAAGCCCGGTGAAGAAGTCATCCGTATCATGTGACGATGCCTTCAATGTTTCTACTCCACTAGAGGTTTTCTCATGGGTATGGGCTTCTTGCTGTTTCCTGAAAGTAGCGGTCAAATCAAGTGGCCCGTCCGGGAAGACGAGTCCGTCGAGACCGTCGTCACTCCCACCGGTGATGCAGCTTGAGGCACTCGGACTAGCAATGGATATAGTAGAGCTAGGGATTGATCGACCATCCCGAGCAGTTCCTCCAACTCGGACGCCGATGCTGCCTTCAGCCCACTCCAGGTCAAATTCATCTAAGATAGGGCTGGGGACTCCGGTTCTATCTTTTGGGTCAGATAGTCTCAGAGGCTGGTGTACCGGAGGGAGTTCAAGATCTCCATCAAAGTCATCTATCTTGTCTTCTAGGACAATGCCCCTTGCTTGTTTTTGAAGGGGTTCCGATACACCTTGGTGGGTTGATGTCTTGATAGGAGAGGCGTTGTGGTACATCTTGGTAAAATTTTCATCATTGCATCGATCCAGAATTGCGAGCGCTGGCTGCTGACGAGTTGATTTATCGTCGGCCCAGGACGATGCGGCTGATTTGACTGGACTTGCGAGTGTCGAGCCGCTATGGCGAATCGCATCCGGGAAGCCCAGATCTTGCTGAGTCCGAAGCTGCAAGATTGCGTCTGGACCTGGCAATTCCACATCGTCGGACCAGTCATCCACAAATGTTCTTTTTGGCTTTCGAGATGATAGGCGCTTGATCACACCTCCCAGGAGGGCAGAATTCGGAATATTTTCTGGAATGGGAATCCCTGCATCTTTGGCCGAGGCCAGAGCTTCTTCCTTGGCAAACTCATCGTGGCCTTGAAGAATAACCTGCCAATCTTCATCACCAGCATTGGAGTCTATCTCCGACCGAGTAGATAGACGAGACGATATTGAATCGCGATGCCCCGAAGGTCGGAAAGAGGAGTTAGTGACGGAGCCAGCACTGGAGGCAGCACGGAGCTGAATACCATCGTGGAATTGCAAGTCGTCGTCGTCATCCCAGCATTCAATCAGTTCATCGTCCTTTCCAAGTGTTGGCGCCACCGAAGCTGCCATGACGATATGTGTCTCGGCGCCTGAAGGCCGCTCCAGGGAATCAGAGGTAGATTATCTGGTAGCAAACTCCAAGCCTCGCAACACTGACAAGAGATACAACGAGAAGTGGAAAGTCATTCCGCCGCGCCGCGACCTGGGATATGAGAGAACACTCTTGAAGATCTCCTTCCCCTTAATCTACCTCTTAATCTTTCTCTCACAACTCTTCCGGCACCGTAAGAGTGTGTCTCGGCGAGCTATTGTGCGACGAGCGGGATGTGAAGGGACGTCGGAAGAAAGCAAAAAAAAAAGAGCAAGGATTTTGTTGATAAGCGATCGGGGTGGGGGCTGCAGGTCTCTGGGAGGCCAGGGGAGAGATCGCGGAGAGGTTGCGGAGATCGAGAGTGGAGGCTGGAACCCAAGAGGGGAAGATTCCTGAGGCTCGGGAGAACGTGCTTAGTGTGCGCGTCGAATGCAAAGGGCTGGGGGAATCAGAGTCACAGTAGAAAGCAAATCACCCTGATAAGCACCTTCTGGATCAGTTTCAGCTTCTTGCTACCAATTTTGGGGTTACTTCTCTTTCAACTCATTGTTTTTGGGTTCCAGGGTTGCATCGAATACCTCTTACTAAACAAAACTTACCAAACCTTGGAAGTCACTGTTGCCTAACGAGTTACGAGTAGTACGATTTCTGGACAGACTTGTTTCTAATACAGCCCAACTTGCCCATCGCAGCTTGTGTCGTTTCTTGCAGTGGAAGTTGTCGCGACCTTTGAACACCTCCGCTCGACACACAACACGCGCTTGCTTCGCTCCCCCGCGCTAGATTCGGAACGTCCTTTGAAAAACCTCATGTCCTTGCCACGGGTCATACGTATCGCTCGTTCAGACGAGTCAAATACGTTTATTCTATTGAATGTTCGTAGCGCAGGGCCTGCGCCTCTCGACGTGAGACTCACGGCCACGGAAGGAGAGTCCCCTTACACTGCACTAGGTATGGCATTCTATTCAGGCACAACCCACAAGTCGAGGCTAATATCTGGCTAGTCCAAGCATCACAAATAGGAAAGTTCCGGTTCAAGAATTACCAGGGCTCTGACCAAGAGTGGAATCACATTGTCTCGCTGATTTTGGGGCAATCAATTGCTATCAGGGAATCAGGGCCATTGGCGGGGCTAGAAGCAACTGCCAGCATCGCAGAGACGAAAAATGAAGGAAAGGAGATAGTCATAACCATTCGAAAGAAGGTCCAATCCATCACAGTTCGTTGTACTCGTTATGCGTGGAGCTGTGCTCGCAAACAGCTAATGTTTTTACCAGCAAAAACTTGGTGCCTTTATTTTGAAGCAGGATGATGAGCAGGCCATCGAACTCTTTGAATGGTCAGGGATTGCTGCTGCCACGGCAGAGTCATTCCGATCTCAAGTAATGGGGTTGAATGATCGATGCCGAGTCGCTGAAGATACAATCAACAGACTGAAAGAACAATTGGAAGACCTACTACAGGCAAAAGACCAGCACGAGCAGCAATTGATGGCAAGCTTCGCACACCTTTTGAATGAGAAGAAACTCAAGATCCGTACTCAACAACGACTCTTAGCATCTGCAACCGTGGATCCTGTCAAAGGTATTTGGACTAGGAATATTACTAGCTCCAGTTTATTTTCTTCGTTCCCCAAACTAACCTAGAGTGCAGTTTCTGAGCTACGCGGTGTCGTTGCCCGTTCAATATATTCGCGGGAAACAGAAAGCCTTGCTAAACGTCGAGCACAGGATGTAGATCATTCGGATGGAGTGTCTGGCGGTGACTCAAACCAAATGGACATTGATAGACCAAATTCTGCAGGCTCCTTTGCCAGCCAAACTACAGACGATGAAGACCAAGATTTAGCTACACATGACACTCATGGGGATGAGTTGCAACCTTCAGGCGCCCAGGCCACACCGACAGAGGACAGAGAACAGATGCATTCACCTAATGCGACAGCCCCGCCACGGAGACAATTACCCTTCACTAGGCGAGTGCTGCCAGAGAGCAACAACGAGACTAAGACTGTCTCGACTGAAATGGCAGACGAGCCTGCGGGTGAGACCGATGACGATGAGCTGTAAGCTTCCAACACTTGCTCTGCTTTGCAAGGAATAAGCGCTAGTGAATGCGAACATAGGGACTAGTCAAAAATGTATATAATCAAACGTTGGTCACTACTCTTTATCTTATTTATCTTATTTTCGATGAATCCTAGATTCGATCGTGTCTGTTCAACGACACTACCATCCCTGGTGCACTAATGTGCATCCTGGAAACGGTAGAATGGTGCAGCCATGTCAGTCACTTACCTAGGTGACCAGGGTTTATATTACGTACCACGGAAGTACCAAGGAAAGTGAGTATATAGAAGTCCAGAGGAGGTAAGTAAAGCTAAACCCCACCCCCAAAGAGAAGAATAGTTGACCTGCGCGATACTAGTATACCTAGCAGTCGAAAACATGGAGATTACACCAGCGTCGAGATCTCATATGTAAATGATTATATACTGACCTGAATCAGCGTTGAAGATGATCTTCCTAGAATCCATCGTCTTGAAAACCGTAAGACTTGGGTTGAGGATTGGCAACCGACGCAGCCAGATTTACTCTCCGAAATGGAACTCGTTCTTCTCATATTCTCTCCTGGCCGTCGTTCTTTAAAACAAGGTTTGAAGTTTTGCGTCTCAAAATTCATTTTTATGTACAAGTCAACCCAGTTGAGTGCTTCCCAAAGATCCTACAGGGCAGACGAGGAGATCAATGAAGGGGAACGGCATCAGATGTTCCAGGCAACGAAGAGAAAACAGGAAGGGAAACCAAACAGTACAGCAAAGAAATGTAGTTTGATGCGATACAAGATACAACGCCTGCGGCCATTAGAAGTGATGAAGGGAAGTAATAGAAGAGCCCGATCGCTCTAGAGAGAGCTCTCCTTTAGCCGTACAAAGCCTGGGGAGACATCTCGCCGGCGGCCATGAAATTAGTCTCAGGATTTCCTGTGGCCTTCGCAGCCGAACAGCGGGCCATAGTCGGCGAACTAGGACAAAGCATTAGTACCAAAATACAAGGATACGTCGAACAAGCAACTACCCGAGGCACATACCTTCTAGAGATAACGTCTGTGAAGAAGAAATCTTCAATAACCTTCTTGAAAGGAGCCCCGGTGGAGGCGGAGCCCTTGTTTTGGTCGGCCAGCTGCACCCTGCTCAGAGCGCTGACAGATGTGGGCTCAACAACATCATAGCGGCGCATCACTGGACTGATCTCCTCCATGCGGTCACGTAAGGCCTCAACATCATCGTACGGAAGGGGCACACCCAAGAACTCGCTAGTGGCACGAATGATCTTCCAGTCATCACGAGCAGCACCTGGTAGGGAGGTTGCTGCGCGCGTAACCTGGACACGTCCCTCGGTGTTAATGTACGTCACAGCCTTTTCAGTGAAGGCTGCACCAGGAAGGACGACATCGGCAAGCTGGGCGCCTCGATCGCCGTGGTGACCTTGGTAAATGACAAATGCATCCTTAGGGATTTCGCTTTGGGAGATCTCATCGGCACCCAAAAGCCAAACCATCTTGGGGGTTGTCTGTGCCACATCGGGGGGAGGGGCAGTAAAGCCTACTTCGTAGGCTGCAGCACGGGAAGCGGCACGTTGAAGGACGTTGTAGCCTTGCCACTCCGGTGTATTGAAGTTGCCGGCATGCTTTTCAACAAAGCTACCCACAGCTTCGAATATAGCCTTAGCATCAGGATGCTCAGCCGCAGCGCTACCAACGACAATCATAGGTCGCCGGGCTGAACCAAGCTTCTTGCCGAACTCTCCGCTCAAAGCAGTTTTCAAGGCAGACAAATCAGAGCCCAGGTGCTCATAGTCAAAAGTGCTGTCGAAATCTTCACCAACAAGACCAATCTCCAGATCGGAGCGCAAATACTGCTTGCGGATGCGGGCGTTGAGAACAGCCGCCTCGTGACGGGGATTGGTAGCCACCAGAAGGATCGCATCTGCTTCCTCAATACCATAAATCTTGGAATTGAACAAGTAGTTCGAACGAATATCGACACCGTGTGCAATTGGGGCACTTCCACCAGGCTGATCAAGGGCAAGGTTATCGGATCCTAGCTTGTTGGCCATGTCTTTCATGGCTACGAGCGACTCTGCATCCGTCAGATGGCCGGCAACAGCCTTGAATTCATTGGCCTTAAGCTGGAGTTTCTCTTTTGCGGACGAGATTTCCAGCAAAGCCTGCTCCCAGGTAGCGGGAACAAACTTGCCTTCCCGGCGAATCAAGGGAGTGGTGAGACGCTGAGTCTTCAGTCCATCGCATGCAAATCGCGACTTGTCATTGATCCACTCTTCATTAATGTCGTCATTCAACCTCGGAATGACTCGCATAACTTCTAATCCTCGGCTATCGATTCGAATGTTAGAGCCTAAAGCATCTAGCACATCAATAGACTCGGTGTGCTTGAGCTCCCAAGGACGGGCGCGGAATGCATAGGGCTTAGATGTCAAAGCACCGACAGGGCAAAGATCGATTATGTTGCCTGACAACTCGGAGTCGAGACTCTGTTCCAGATAAGTGCCAATTTGCATGTCGTTTCCGCGGCCGGAGGTTCCGAGCTCTGGTGCACCTGCCACATCATTCATGAATCGGACGCAACGAGTGCATTGAATACAACGGTTCATGGAGGTTTTTACGAGAGGACCAATATTTTTATCTTCCACCGCACGTTTGCCGCTGATTTCGTGGAAGCGACCTCGGTCAGCACCATACCGCATGGATTGATCCTGAAGATCACACTCTCCTCCTTGGTCACAGATAGGGCAGTCCAGCGGGTGATTGGCGAGAAGGAATTCCGTGACACCTTCGCGAGCCTTGTGCACCAAAGGTGAATTGGTCTTCACGACCATTCCAGGCTGGACTGGCCACGCACACGATGCCACGGGCTTTGGAGCTCGCTCAACTTCGACGAGACACATGCGGCCTGGAAAAAGAAACCCCGAAGTCAGCCTGATATCTTCTTTGTTTAAGTACTTGGATCGCAAGGGGCATTGTAACACACAGTTTCCAGCAATCAATAGTTTTCTTCATACTGCTCGTTAGCCAATTTCACATGGTCCGTTCTTTATCAATTGAGGCACATACTCATGATAGCAGTATCTATAAATCATTAGTACTGAGAACACATGTACTACATCGATATTGAAGGTCATCTACCTGGGGATTGTTGCGCCCGCTTTCTCGCACGCTTGAATAAGAGCAGAACCAGCTGTTCAACGGTGAGTTTTTGATCACCCTCAATAATCTGGGTCGGAGTTACCTTCTACGGACACCTTCTTGCCATCTAAGTATTCAGTGAGCCAAATATCAAGGCAATATGAGTACCCTAGACATACCAATGGTAAGTTCTACCTCTGCTGCGCGAGGAGGAGTCGTGGCGAAAGGTCGGGCTCGAGGCACCCGGAAAGACCGGGCGGCCGCACGGAACAGCTGCGGCCGCAACATTGGGGCGATCTGACGAGTGGAGAGGGGGATGGGGGATGGTGGAGAAAGAAAGAAAGTCAGTAGACGAGGGGGGGTTAGAGGGAGAAGAAGGAGCTTGGAGGACTTCGAATCTGCGGGTTACCTAATGATGCTGACCATTCCTTTGCTGACTAAGGAGCCTCTCGCAAATAGAAGGGCGGAGATTGGCTCGGTTGATTGCGCGGTAACGGGAGGCAGCGGAGGAGCGGAAAAACCATAGGTCCGCGGTCAGCAAATAAAAACTGAGATGTGTCCCGTCAACTTCTAGAAATCATCTCATTTCAAGGGCATGATTTATTGTAGGAGGCAGGGCTTGTTTCTGTCCCGGTTTCCTCTGCAGCATTGTCCAAGAGCAATGCACCGAACTGGAGCAGTCAAGGGGAACAGCTCCCCTATTATGATTCGTTCTTTACCGACGGTCGCGACATTTCCACATCAATTTAGAGCCGGCTCAGAGCCCAAGACAACCACGCGTCCCAAGATTATCTATTCTTTTCTGTAGAGAACGAGGAAATTGATACAGGGCTTTCGTATGACTCTTGAACTAAAGCCGGTCTGACCATGGATCGTGGCGAGAACGAAGAGGCCCGAAACACAGAAGACTACTGCTCTAGGTGTCTACAAGCGCTGATGTATTCCTACCGACATCACGGTCTTGGCCGGGCTTCTTGAATACAGTGGATTGAAGCCTATGTACATTTCCACATATGCTGTATCGTCATGTTTAAGACACTTGAGTGATGGGCGGTCAAAAGCCCGCACGAATGGCTCAAATCTCGGAAGGAAATGCCAGAACGCCATGAATATAGTACACAACCTCTCGATTCCAATAGTCAGATAGGTTCATGAAGCTACGTAGCCGCAGAAGAGTCACTTGCTTGCCACGTTGACTCTTGCCTGGTGCCGGGTAGCCAAGCGCGATTGACACTACTTCCTCGAGGTCGTACACGACCTGGACCATCATCTTCCTTTTTCGAAATGTTGGAAGTGTGTGGATTGCTTGGAATAGTCGCATCAAAGGCCCGAGATCCGGGAAAAGCATATCCGTTGGAGTCCCACGGCCTACTTGTGCGTCGAACATTCACAGGCAGAATCGCCTCTCGCGCCCGGAAATGATCAGCGTTCGCCCGTTGGTCAGCCACATCGTCATGACTGTTCCGATCATACAGATAGAGGCCCACAAACGTGAGACCAATGCCAAAGGCCTGGATAGAAGTCGTTGAGTTTCCGAACCACACGATCGCAGCGACGATCACGAACACTCGTTTGACCAGAGATGCCACGGAATAAGAAACGGGCGATATCATGGAAAGAAGCACAAATGCCAGAATATTCTGGGCAAAGTGTGAGATTCCGTTGAAGACGAACTCAAGTACCAAAGCTCCGTGGTCTAGAGAACCCTGCTTCTCTGAGAGAGAAATCACGCCATCGTGCACAAGGTCTGACACCAGCGGATAGCCCTCACTGACAAACCAGATAGGCAGCGTTAAGAAGAAAGCTAGCCCCGAGCAATAGCAAAGTAAGTTGAGCTTGTCCAGCTTCCGCCGGGATGGATGCTGCGGTTCGGATTCGGCACGGTCTGCTTCGTTGAATAATTTTTTCGAGAAAATGTTTTGCGAGACAAAGACCAGCGCTGCAAGAAAGGCGCATGATATCCCAAAAAGGTTTGTCGACACTCCAGTAGAGCACGCTAGCATGACACCTAAAGTGAGTGGTATGAGCGATAGATAAGTGGCCCGCGCGTAACGTATGCGAAACAGGACTCGGTATGCCAGGACTGTAAATAAGGGTGAAAGGCCCTTGATCGTGTGGACCAGAGAGACAGGGATTTGTGACGTGGCCATAGAGCTGAGGATATGTCCTGCTAGCTGGAAGACAGCTAGAGGCAGCGCAGTCGAGATCACCTCCCGGGAGGGGTAACGGATGCCATGTTTGAGCACTGGCACACTTTGCCGTAATCCAGGAATGACTGTTGATAGGTAGACTAGGAGTAGACACCATATTGAGACAAAGGCGAATTGCACTATCGTCAGGGTGATCGGCATTGGAAGAGCATTCAAGATGGATTTCGAGGACGTGTTTGTGAGTGCAGAGGTCAAGTACCAGACTATGCAAAGACCCTAAGAAGACGTCAGTCCCGGAAACAATCAATTATTTGATCTCCACATACAATCAACCGATATGAGACTGGTGCACGAAGTGCTTCGGCCAGTTCCTGAGCATTGGCACTGACACTACCATTCCGAGTTCGGATACTTGTGATCGCTTCACTGATGCTTTTCCGTGGCCTGTGCTTTGAGCTTCTCAGTGGTCCATTCATAGGGTCCCGTGAATAATAGGCCGACTTTCGAGGCTCCCATTTCTCATTCGATGCGTATTTCACAGATGGGCTTCGGTTTGGGCGGCCGGAACCAATGGCCGCGTCGAGTGTCTCTTCGTAGGGAGGGAATTGATCGACGGGGCTGGTGGTGGCTTGGGTGGTTGAGTTCGAGCCCGAGACCGAGGGCTTCGTAGGTACTTGTAACTCGGTTTGTCGCATGGACGCCCGGCGGCCATGGCCGGTCACTGTGGTGGTGGCCATCGTCCACAGGTCTCGTATGCGCTATCTTTGCGGGGCATTAGCAAGCGGATCATATTGTGCTAGTGCGTCCATGCCAAACCATTACCTTCTCTGAGTTACGAAAATCTGATCCTACACGCCCCAAATCAAGTGGCAGGTTCGTTGGGCGTGGGAGGATAGCCTGGATTTCGAGCGAGGCGGGAATCGGATTGAGGACGACGAATTCTCATGAGCGGATGGGCGTGAAGTTGGCGTGGACAGTACACTAAGGGTGTAGGGTCCCACGCAAGTTCCAAAAGCACGCAGACTGCAGAGGATGTCCCGATCTTTTCAAGGTTGGATACACAGCTGGGTAGATTGAAGGTTAACAACTGGCCCCATCTGTCCGCGCGGCTGTCCGAATCAAGGCGACCGCTACCGTTACATGTATCCCGTTACCAGACCAATACATCTTGTATGTACCATGAAAACGATGAAATACTTGTACACAGTAGGCTATAGGTTTTTTTTTCTTGTTCTTATCGGGGCATGTGATTCGAATTATATTTGATGGATGGCATGCAGGTGCTAAGAGCTTTGAAAAGGTTTAAGTTATTATATTCAACTAGCAGCATACATTTATTTATAGCTGTGATAGCGGGTCGTATGGTATGTACCTGCGTCTTTGGATGCAATCTTTGTTGACAGTTTCACTTTAGAAGTATTATATACAGCACCAATGTATTAGAATGTGCTTATTCCAAACTAAGCTATATAAAAAAGGTGTCACCAGACTACAATCAGATCCCCAATTATATAAGAAAACCTGGCGCTTGGGATTCAGTGCTGGTGAAATCGATTCCTGTGACTGCCACTCGGTTATGCCACTCATCACCGCCTCTGTATGGTAGACACCGTCTGAATTATTGTCGCACGAACCTGGACAGGATGGGAGGGTGGACTGGAGTGGGATTCAGATATGTTGCGGTAGTCCCTCCTCTTCCTTTCCTCTCCTTCTCTCCCTAATCTTAGTATTTCAAATCCAACCGCCGCTGTCGCTCTGTTCCAGCAGTTATTAGGCTTCCCCCATGCCAGTGGATTTGCACACGTCTTCCAAGATTGTACTGTTGACAAGCAACCTATCCATCCTAACTTCAACAACTCAATCACCTCGTTATTACTCTTCCGCAATCTTGTTTATTTATCACTGGAATGTTACATAATTTCCTATACTTTATCCCAATTAATATTCAATACTTATTCTAGCTTCATAATAAACTCCCTAACCTTATTTCCCCTTCACTCCTATAACCCATCTATCTAAGTTTAAAGGACAAGCTGCATCCTTATATTCAATAATTGCGAATTCTACAGAGTGTCAAGGGGAAACCTAATCGGAGTTGGGGCACGGCAACAACGGCGCTTCAATTTGAAATACTAAAGCTAGGGAGGGGAAAGAAGAAGAGGAGGAGCTACGGCGACGATCTATATCCCCCCTCGCGAACCTCCGTCTCATCTTCGCCAGTCTTGTAGTTTAGACGGACCTCGTCGTCTCCCTGAGCGGTGGCAGAGTCGGCCAGCGGCTGACACAGAGTCCAAGGTAAAGAGCTTGATTTTCTTTTGGTAATTCCCATCAATCAGGAACTTCGGAGTCGACTCTAGCTATGGCTTCTAATTCTTCCGAAATTTGTTCCCTATTTCCAAGCCTGCGGGAACCATGGTCTTGCTGCGGCATGTGGCTTATTGTAAGGGAGTTCGCTGGGGGCTTAGTCGTATTGATACCTCAAACCATCTTTCTCTACCTTAATCGTACTCTATCCATAAATAAAGTCCTGAAAGTGATCACGAAAGGAATCCAGTCTTTTCTGATTAGAATATCAGATTTACCGGTTCAACTGCTATCCCTGTGAGTGTAAACTAGTCTATTGGATATTGCTTGCTAGAAGATAACTAGCTAGGAATTGTAGGTGTGTTCCTAAGTTTTAATTACTATCTTTAGATGATGGTGGATGAGTTTTATTATTCACAGCATTCGAGCACTGAAACGATGAAGCACGCAATATAAGTTTGTTCTTAGGAGAGGTTTTGCTAAATTGCATCATTCATTTGAATGATTTACTGAGGCCAAATAATACAATTTTGCTAACAGAACTCAAACAGGCTACACAGCCCTACCTCAATTAAGAAGAAACACTCAAACTTGATAATATTTATCACTCGAAGAATCAGTCTACTATCTATAGGGGTACCTATTACATATATGTCCAACTGATCCACATACTGAACAAGCTGGAGGCCTCCGTTTAGTAGGTTTTTGAGGCGAATTTTGGCCCAAATCCGAGGCTGGGCTAGGCTCCTCTGCTGTAATCGAGGCCTCTCATCGCAATTCCAGCGCTACTTGGACCTCATTTTAGCGTGTTCCGATGCTTTTTGCTTGCTTTTAGTAGCTTCATTTGTAACCCCATGTTGTAGCATCGTAAGTTGATGAATATGAAGTTCGTTTCCTTGATGAATTGGTTGATTCGACGAGCTAGCTCCTCTGGAGTTCGCGATCGTAATCGTAATTTTCATTGCTGTTTACCTAGGGCCTTAATAGAGGATGCTTGTCGCTGGAATTGACGTTAATTTTAGGTGGTTTAGGCGACTTGGACTTAAGAGGAGCTGGTGTGCAGAGTTGGATATCGAGTTTAGAGATAACTCGATTCAAATCAAAAGGAATTAAACTATCAGTAGCCAATGAATTCACGATATCATTGAATACAAAGGCTGTTGACTGTGCTTGTAGATAAAAGTTGGAAAAAAAACTTGTTTATCAATATAAAGCCGCACTTATCCAACTACTGACTGCACATAAGTCATACACTTCTCAGTTTAGTACCGTGGTAGGTGGCCACGTAGGAAACCCGACTGTTGTATTCTTTTTGATTTCTTTTTTCCAGGTCACTTTTTTTTCTTTAAGGGATGAGTTTTCTTCTACGTGGTACAGTGTGGGTGGTTGCCAAGCATAGCGTCGAAGGGCCAATAACCAATGTCATGCAATACACAGACCGTTCATTGTCTTACATCTGAGGACAGTAACTATGAATTCTTCCATCCAAGCTCCTGTAACATACACTTTTCCAATCAGTTCATATCGCTTTGATTTATACATATGCTGGGTAGTGGAAGTGGAGGCCCAGGAAGCAGTTCAGCATTTGAACCGAGGGTCAGCGGGCGCACCTACTTGGTAGGTTTATCCATGGATGGATCGAGTGTAGTCTTCTATCTATTAATAAAAACCATCTACCGAACACTGCGCCTGCAGATCATCAGCTTCCATGAGTACATAAAATTCCCAACAGTGAAGCTTCTTCAGGTCTCAACTATCCTGTAAGACAAGAGACAAGAGGAGAGGAAACTTTATGTCGCTAAATGATGTGTTGGGGGTCTCCTGGGCTGAATATATCACGAGGCATCCCGGTAAGCGAGCTCCAAATCTGGGATTTCCGGGACGAAACTAAAATGAAGCAATGGGGCCTGGACTGTCATGAATAAAAACCCGCAGAGCTATTGCTTCGACAGTCAAGCTGAACACCGAAGAGACCGAGGCAGATCCTTGATATTCGATGGCGGCTACCCCCCTGTGACTTGAAATATTCGTAGATTGATTCTTCTCCGTTCCTTCCCAACATGTTTCTGAGTCCCTACCTAGTCTTTCCTTGTCCGATTCAACTCACTTCACCCACCCCTCCTCTTTCCTTGTTGCTCTCAGCGTACTTCTTTCGTTGCTTGCCCCAGCAAAAAGCTACCTCCAGTTTGTACTCGGTTCTGTGCATTCAAAATTGCTCCCACTGGTACCCGCGAAAGAACCCTCGAAAGATACGATGGCTTCCTTCGAAGGACCATCCAGAATGGTCCAAATTGGGAAAGAAGTTCGCTTCTCAAAGGATACCCTAGATCCCTGGGGACTCGCCTTGGGAAGAGAAGCCTCTGTGAGCTATCCACGATAATCAAAAGACCTGATCGAGCATTGTAACTAATCGAATGTTGATACTGTCAGAGCCGTTGCCATCTCAACCACCCCGATCAATCTGTCAACTTTGAAGCCCCAAAACTCAGTGATCCTTCAATTTCTTCCATCGAAACTGAATCGCCCTCAAGTAAGGTATGTAACACTTTCCGTTCCACTGACTGTCAGACAAAGTATCTAACAAGCCCAGAAGCAGAAGGTAGATCAAGGCAAGGTGGACTCTACGACAGCACGTCCCTCGGGGTTCGAAAAAATACCTGCAACGCTCCCATCAAAGGGGTCTCCAATCCATTCCGAGGCTGAAGAATCTTCTGGGTCGTTACAGAAAGCCACGGTCAACGAAATCCGACCATCCACGAGCCATCCGCGGCCTTCAGACTCCTGCGACTCGGAGGACAAGGCAACAGAACTTGTTCGACTCAAACAACAGCTCCTCGCAGCAAATTCTAAAATCGCCTTACAGGAGCAGGAACTCGCCCAAACCCGTGTGATCAAGCATACTTTGGATCAGGCTCTAGGGCCTCCATCTGAAGCTGACTTTGGAGGCCGCGAGATCACTGAGCAGACAATCAGCCATCTGCAAAACGCCTTTAACTCGTCACAGCCCACCTTCGGTCAGATGCAGGATGCGTGGAATTCACAAGAGGACTCACAGTCCGACATTTCTGATGCTCTCTCTGCTGGAGCCTATAATCGTACTCGCGGGTTGTGGCACCAGCAAAGACAGCCGTCATTCGGACCTCCAATCAACGAAGCTACCTTTGATAAATCTTACGGCGAGACTCTTCACTGCAATCCTCATCAAACAAGTCAAGACCTCAGTCGTTTTTGGGGTGGGTCTCCTGTGTATCCCACTTTCCCCTCTCATGGAATGATACAGCCCCAGCGAGTGTTCTCGGGCCCTTCGAGCTCTTCGGCGAGTACATGCAGTTTCTTTCCTCGCCCTTCTAATGAGCAGCTTCGGAATCCACAGGCTCCAGGCTTGATACCTCGTCGCTCTCTTACTCAAGGCAATAGACTTGAGGCGTTTCCTATGACACACCCCTCTTCATGGGGTGGGTTCTCACCGGGGTCACCACTTGACGTTGAAACAAAACCTTCATCTCCAACCACGAGACCACCCAGCACTTTTCAGCCTATTGGAGTCTTTCAGATGCCCCAATATCATGCAAGAACAGGAACAACTGCACTCTCACCAACTGCCACGGAGTTCACGACTACTAGTTCGAGCGAAACACCGTGGACCTCTTCAGTGAGTACAACACGACTACGCAGTTGTGAGCTAGGTACTTATATCATGCAGCCTAGTAGAAGTTCCTTACAGACCTACATCTCACCACTCGAACCTCTCAATTACCGTCGTTTGCTCGATAAGAATGTTTCATGCGACTGGAAGTACATTGTGGAAAAGATCGTCTGCAACAATGATCAACAAGCTTCTATTTTTCTTCAACAGAAGCTGAAGGTAGGAACGATGGAACAAAAATACGACATAATTGAAGCTATTGTCAACCAAGCATATCCCCTAATGGTCAATCGATTCGGCAATTTCCTGGTTCAGCGGTGCTTTGAGCATGGGACCCCCGAGCAGGTCATCGCAATCGCCAATTCGATCCGAGGAAATACTCTCAGCTTGAGTATGGATCCATTCGGCTGCCATGTCATTCAGAAAGCATTCGACTGCGTCCCTGAAGAAAACAAATCCACTATGGTGCACGAGCTCCTTCGTCGGATTCCGGAAACCGTTGTTCATCGATACGCATGCCATGTGTGGCAGAAGTTGTTTGAGCTTCGATGGGATGGAGAGCCGCCCCAAATTATGGCTAAAGTGAACGAGGCATTACATGGCATGTGGCATGAAGTCGCGCAGGGAGAGACTGGAAGCTTGGTGGTCCAGAACATCTTCGAGAATTGTGTGGAGGAAGAAAAGGTACGTATCTCCAACTCCCACAACCACCAGCGCCCTTCCCACCCCTCAAACGCCCAAGCACATGAGTATGGTGTTCCTACTAACTTCATGAAGCGGCCTGCAGTTGAAGAGGTTCTCGAAAAGATTGACGTTCTCGCCCATGGTCAATTTGGAAATTGGTGCATCCAACACATTTGCGAGCATGGCGCTCCCCACGACAAAAGTCGTGCCATTGAGCATGTTCTACACTTTGCCGTTGACTACAGTATGGACCAATTTGCTTCAAAAATTGTGGAGAAATGCTTGAAGATTGGGGGTGCTGAATTTCTGGAGCGCTACCTTTCTCGAGTATGCACTGGACGTGCCGATCGTCCAAGGATGCCCTTGATTGATAGTAAGTTGAATATTTCGCTTCCAACCACACACATTGAACTCGTGATGCCAGAATACATGTACTAAAACTAAGAACAGTCGCGGGTGACCAATATGGAAATTACTTGATACAATGGATACTAATGAACGCTGCACCTCACCAACGGGAGCTGGTCGCCAGCCACATCCGGTAACGCCTTCTGTACCCCCCCCTTCCTCCATCTGTGAATCTAACGTGGCTCATGCAGGAAGCATATGGTTTCTCTCCGAGGCTCCAAGTTCGGTTCTCGTGTAGCAATGCTTTGCTGTAATCCATCGCATGCTACTCGGCCTGGTCCGGGAACTGGTATCCAAGTTGGCCGGTTGCACCATTTCAACGAAGATCGATACTCAACTGCTGGAAACAATGGTGCTCGCTTCAACCGTGGCAGCCAGTGGGGCTCCAGCTACGCACCTTTTCGTTAGGCCAGCCATGCTAACACCTTAAGGGGAAACCCTACGCGCTGTGGCTCTTCTATCCGCGCTCCGTGGAAGAAGAATATCAAGTGCTAACATCAGGGGAGGCAGATCCAGCTTGTGAAGAAAATCAACAATCCAAAAAAAAAGTGAAAAAGTAAAAATCAAAAAAGGAGGACGAAAAAGGAGAGAGCACACCCAGGGGAAAGGGCCGCAGAAACTATCAGTCATACCGTTTATCATTCCAACTGCTTTCCATGCCTCCAGCCTTCTGCCAGTCAAAGTTGATGCAAAATTACCTCATCTGACATGTGTGGTTCAAGTCTCGTCTGCTTACCATGTCTATTGATCTATCGGTTTGGTATGACATTCGTCCATTGCTCGATTCCTACGACTTCTTGTGTCCCTTCGGTGACGAGCATGGCCCGAAGACCAATTTTCTCTAAGAGGTCAATCTGCTTGTGATGGTAGATCAAATATCTGACGAAAATCCGGACTAGTTACTCGGTGACGATTATGGGAGGAGTTGTTTAACAAGAGGCCATGCTATATCTTATTCGCTCACACGCCCAGCTATCTACTGTCCACCTTTACTGTCTTCTCCCTTCCCCCCGCTTCCCTTTTGTTGCATGGGCTAGCTTTTATGGTACCTATTCCTGAAGGATGCTTTACTGTGATATGGAAAAAGGCTCCTGGTTATGTTATTATTCCAGTTACCAAGGACTCACATCATTATAAATACATCATTGTCCATCCCATTGAAGTCTTCCTCTTGGGCGATTGTTCATGGCTGTCATGTCTTCGAAAAAGTAGGCCTGGTCCCATGCAATCAAGAAATCTCTGTGGATTCTATGCCATGCGTACTGTTCCCCAACTCCTTCTCGTCCTTCTCATCCTTCTCCCAGGGTTTTCTGCGCCGAGGCTTATCGCTGGAGGTGTCGTGGCCAGTCAACACTGTGTCCGGGATTTCCTGAATCCCTGGTATCGGTTGTCCCGTTGTGATCAATTCCACAATATGAGCGAACGATGATGGGTAGGCAGGCTCTGCGTCAGTTGGGCTAGGGGTCGGGGCTGGGTTCTGCGGTTCATTTGCCAACGACACCAGCCATTTTTTATAGGCAGAGGGGTCTATGGGTGGTTTTATGCTTTCTTTGCTATACCATGAGGCAAAATTAGCTCCGAGACACGTTTGCAGTCGGGGGGGAAGGCGCAGTACCGTGAAAAGAAGAAGCACTTGGCTTGAATGACAAGATCATCCTCCCGGCGTATTTCCTCTTTCGTAGCGGGGCATTCAGGGTGGCCCAAGATAATAGCGAGACCGTTCGCAAATTCGGGATCAGTCTCAAACGAATATGAGTGTATCTTTTGGAACAAGGAGAGCTGGGAGGCTTGGTCCATGTCGCGAAGTTGAGTTCACGTGGTGCTGAGTTGCGGAGTTGCGGAGGTAGTGGGGTAGACTCTCCTCATTTAAGACTTAGAAGTGGATTCCTACGAGCCGAGGCAACTCCAGCCTATAGATATGAAATCCGCTGGTGGATTGAGAAATAGATCCCAAGTTTTAATAGACCGAAGCCCCCCCTCGAACGCCATGCCATGCAATCTACTTCAAAGGAAACTGCCCCGATCAAATCAAACCGTGATGTCCATCCCATCTGGGTTTCCCACCTCATTTACCGACGGGATGCTCTTACTTTGGCAACCCGGGCAATTATGTACGACCTCGTGGGCAAAAAGGTCGCAATCAATACAGAAGTGGTTCTGGCACGCTGTACACTCATAGCGACTGCTTGCACTCATGCCTTTGGTCGGGTTCTCCACTGTCTGCGCCTGGTCTTCTGGAGGACCGGTGGGGAAAGGTAGCCCACAAGCAAAGCAGGCTTTGCTCCGAACTGCTTCACGCCATGGCACCTCGACCCAATTCATTAGGGGGAACAAATGGTGATATGATCGCGCCAGATGAGTAGACAAGATAAGGGTAAGGCTACAGGAAGGACATTCTGCAGGCAAGCTACAAACCTTGCTGCCACAGCGAGAACACAAGTATCCTCCTCGTGAGGGCTTAGAGTGGCATGCGCAGAGGGAGGGGCTAGACTCCACAGTCCGCGAAGGAAATCCCATCATGAGCAGCGAACTTGCAGATTCCTTTTGAGAGTAGGAAGCAGGAGGCGTGGTCACATCCAGCATCAAATCTCTGAAATGCTGCTCATGAAGCGCCACACCGTAGGCCGTCTCGTCACCCCCATTAGTTTTGGTACAAAGTTCGCGACATATTGCTACCTGCGCTGCGAGACCAACAATTCGTACGCGGACCTTGTCATTTATCAGCGTATTGATGGTTTGATGGATATCACCCGGGTCCGAAGATAGAAGGGAGCCAAAGATAATTAGAACTTCGCGAGTGCCGTGGCTGGGTGTATGGCTACAAGCTTCTGTCAGCACTGACGATCTCATTGGCGGAGCCGAGCGTGCATATGAGGGCAGATAGTACGGAAACTTACAACAGTGCGCCTCTCGCCATTTCTAGGCCATTCTGAAGACTGGGCAAGCCTTTCGGGTCATGCGTCCTTAGCGACTGTATGGCCTCGATATGCTCTGTTGGATTTCCACTCATATCACTGACCCTAATCGCTAGACCGTCTCGAAGGCCAATAACGCCCAGCTGAGAGATGGGATTCTGTTCGAAAAATTCTCGAACAAAATCCTGCGCATAGCGCAATGTCAAGAGATATCGTGTCGGCCGTAGGTCCTTCTCGGACATGGACTGGGATAGATCAAGGGCGAGGATGAGGTGTCGAATGATTCCGCGCTGTAACGGAGTGGTGTCTTTGAGGAGTCTACATCGTTATATGTTATTCAATGGTCCATCAAAAAGCTCCAGGGTCGCCGAGGTCCTTACCTTTTTCGTTTTCCCGCCTCGAGTAATCCTTCCACCGTCGAGCTAATGGTGCCGTCGGCGCCTTCGACCAGAGTCTCCCAGGTCCTAGCTAGCTCCCATTCTGCACCACCACGCTGTTTCTTCTTTCTAGTCGTCACGCGATCTTTCCGGGTGACCTGAAGGTCATCCTCGTCATCTGTGACATCTCCTACGTATTCCTCGTCCGAGTCGGCCATGGGGTTGAAGAGATGTTGAGACTTTCGTGGAACCAAGTGGGTTTGTTGGAATGAGAGTCGCAGGCAGATGGCCCAAGCTCCGACGGAGTTCCGATTTGGAGAAATTGCGTTTCCTTTCGAACTTGAACCGGGAGCAGTAACCGGTTGCAATTCTCACGCCACAGCCCGGCGATAGCCGTGAATTGTTGATACCGGATGTGGGGAAGAATTTTTCTCATCAGGCCTGGTGTAGCCTTCGCGGCGCGACCAGCTGCGTGTCTTCCCTTTTGTTCTGCTCTTCTCCGCCCTTTCCATTCCGCCTGCCCCTCCCCCGCTGGCTCCTTCTCTTCTCTCACCTCTCCATTCAGTCGGCCCTGGATTCGATCTCCAATTTCTGTGCCTTCAATTCCCCTCAGACTCACACGATTCTGCTCCGCCCAGGCTCGCGTTATGGCATTAACTGATAGAGAAACCCTGCCCGACGTGTAAGTCATATCTTTACTTCCCACTCACTACACATCGCGATAGGCGCCATACGAACGTGATGCAGGGCCGTCCTGGGCTTGTGTGGCTGGGGGGGTTTTGCCTTCAAACAACAGGATTTGCGTCATTAACTCAAGACGATAGGGCTAAACCGATCAACTATCATCTTTCCCTTTTCGATCTACAGACTGCTGATTCATGGGGATACAAGGGTCTTCTGAAAATCGATCTCAAGGTGACACGTGCTACCAACGAGATCATACTAAATTCGAAAGATATTCAAGTCCAAGGTGCTGACTTAGTGGCCAAAAATGGTATGCATGTCCCTCGTATCCCATATCAACCTTCACTTCTTGCCAACGCAGAAGGCTGACGAATCGACGCTGAATCTGCCGCTCTGGGTGATATAGGCACTCACTTGGCCAACGCATCCGAGATTTCATATGACAAAAAGTCCGAACGAGTGTCCTTGAAATTCCCTCAGGAAGTGGCTCCATCGGACGTGTTGCTTTCGATCAACTTCACCGGTACCATAAACGATGCCATGGCGGGCTTCTATCGATCCAAGTATAAGCCTATTGGTCAACCAGCGCCTGATACCCCAAAGGAGGGGAGATTTCCATTTCATGCTGAGCACTCAGTTCGAGTCTTGCGATGCCCGCAGAGCTTTTCCATGCTTCGATGAGCCTAATCTGAAGGCTTCCTTCGACTTCGAGATTGAGATCCCCAAAGGTCAAACAGCTTTGAGTAATATGCCAGTTATTGCCGAAAGAGACGGTAGTCATCCCGGGTTAAAGTTTGTCACCTTCCAGAGGACACCTGTGATGAGTACCTACGTGAGTATTTTCAAGACTATATCCCCCGAACGAGTAAACTAACATGACATCCACCGAGGCATAGCTTCTTGCCTGGGCGGTTGGTGATTTCGAATATATCGAAGCCATGACCGAGCGTAAGTATCAGGGTAAAAGTATCCCTGTCCGCGTATACACTACTCGAGGCCTCAAGGACCAAGCTCGCTATGCCCTCGAATGTGCCCATCGCACGGTTGACTACTTCTTCGGAGATTTTTGAGATCGAATACCCCCTTCCCAAGGCTGATCTGCTCGCCGTTCATGAATTTGTGAGTAATAAAAACCAGTTTCGTGTTCTGATGAAATTTTGGAACGTTACGTTGACCCCCTGAAAGGCCGCAGGAGCTATGGAAAACTGGGGCTTGGTTACCTATCGAACAACCGCGGTTTTGTTCGATGAAGGCAAATCAGACAATCGATATAAGAACCGCATTGCTTATGTTGTGGCCCACGGTGAGCATGCCTAAGTTTATGTATTCGTCTCTGCGCCTAACTCGGCATATATTAGAACTGGCCCATCAGTGGTTTGGTAATCTTGTCACGATGGACTGGTGGAACGAGCTCTGGCTCAATGAAGGTTTTGCGACGTGGGTTGGCTGGCTTGCTGTCGATCACTTCCATCCTGGTATGTTTCTCTCACGCCGGTACACGTCAGGTCTCTAACCCATTGATAGAATGGAATGTCTGGTCCCAGTTTGTGGTACGGAACTCTCGAGGTAAAGCACATCTAGATTCCGATGCTCATTAACCATTCTGTAGGCTGAAAGTGTCCAACAAGCATTCCACCTCGATTCACTGCGGGCATCTCATCCAATTGAAGTGCCTGTGCGAAACGCCCTTGAAGTTGATCAGATCTTTGACCATATCAGCTACTTGAAAGGAAGCTCCGTTATCCGCATGCTGAGCTCCCACCTTGGTCGTGAGACATTCCTCCGGGGCGTCGCCGCTTACTTGAAGTCCCATGCATACGGTAATTAAATATTTATAATTAAGCTACTCGAGCCGCTAATAGTCTTGTTCCCCATTTAAAGGTAATGCCACGACAAATGACCTATGGTCTGCCTTGGGTCACGCTTCTGGTCAAGATGTCCACGGTTTCATGGTATGTTCCAAGCATTACATGGGGAAATTTTTCCGAATTCGTCTACTTCAGCTGTTCAAGGAAGCTGACAAAGTCATGCTAGGACCCATGGATCCGAAAGATCGGCTTCCCAGTCGTAACTTTAGCAGAGGAGCCTGGCCAAGTCACCGTTCAGCAATCCCGCTTCTTGTCTACTGGAGACGCGAAGCCTGATGAAGACGAAACTATTTGGTGGATTCCTCTTGGAATAAAGTCTGGGCAGCAACTTGCCACTCTGGATACTCGCGCCCTTACTAAAAAATCCGATACATTGGGGACAATCGGTGAGGATACTTTCTATAAAGTGAACAAGGACCTTGCTGGGTTCTACCGAACCAATTACCCTCCTGCACGGCTGGAGCGACTGGGCCAGTCTTTGGAACTTTTGAGTACTGAGGACAAGATCGGTCTTTTGGGCGATGCTGCAGCCCTCGCTGTGTCGGGTGAAGGTACTACTCCAGCGTTGTTAGCACTCTTGGAAGGCTTCAAAGATGAAGGCAATTATTTGTAAGGACATGGACATTCTAAACAGGTACAATTTAATCAGTCTAACAAATTCTGCAGGGTGTGGTCGCAAGTTTCTTCCTCTCTGGCGAACCTGCGGTCTGTATTCTCTCAGAATGAACAGGTAGCAGCTGGATTGAAGAAATTCACAAAGGATTTGGCAAGCCCGGCTGCAGAACGAGCTGGCTGGGAGTTCCAGCCTGACGAGGATTATCTCGCCATTCAGCTTCGTAAACTGCTCATCTCCATGGCTGGCAATGCTGGCCATGAAAGGTTAGCATTACCCTCTCCGCAAATACCCGAACACGAAATTTTCAGTATACTGATTATGCTCCAGCATCGCCTCGGAAGCCAAAAAACGGTTTGCCCTATGGGCGAGCGGTGAGGACAAGAGTGCCATTCATACTAATCTTCGCTCCGTCGTCTTTAGCCTCAATGTATCAGAGGGTGGTCGCAAAGAATTCGATGCAGTCAAGGAAGAGTACCTTCGGACAGATTCAGTGGATGGAAAAGAAATCTGCCTCGCTGCATTGGGCAAGACCAAAGACCCGGCCCTGGTAACGGAGTACTTGGACTTTGTGTTTTCCGACAAGGTGGCTGTCCAGGACATCCATAATGGAGCAGTCTCACTTGCCGGAAATGCTAAGGTTCGCCATCTATTGTGGGATTACATCAAATCCAACTGGACCTCAGTTGAAGCTCGTTTGTCATCCAACAACATAGTTTTCGATCGGTTCATTCGTATGGGCCTATCTAAGTTCGCCGATCACCAGACTGGCGAAGATATTACGGCCTTTCTCAAGAGCAAGAACATTGGAGCGTTGACCCGCGCCCTCATTATTGTGGCGGACAACATCCGAACAAATGCGTCTTACAAGGAACGAGACCAAGCTCTTGTTCTCGAGTGGCTGCAGGCTCATGGCTATGCTTGAGGAGGCTATGGCGTGCGAAAAAAAAAAAAAAGAGCAAGTCCGAAGGTAAGAAAGGAATGCATATTTGGCCTCCAGATATCAAGGGAAGGTATGCTGTTATGTCGTCGAAGACCCCTTTGAAGTCTAAAAATGGAATGCTCTTTGTTCCAAGATATCTTTCTAAGAAATCCGTTGTAGGCCCCTTGTAACTTTTTTTCTCTCTTTTTCATTTGTAGTCTTTCATCCAACCAAATATAGTCAGCATAATTTTCGAAACTGAGTCAATGCTAGTCATATGCTGATACCATCTGAGATCACTCACGGGATATCATAAGAAAGTCAGTCAAGTGACAGAAAATGCACTCAGATGTTGATGAGCCTCCTAAAATCTACCAGTAACAGTACTCAGTAATCGAATTGATCAGCTCCCAGTATCCAGCAGATCTGTTGGTATATCGCATAGCAGAGGACAGCACCTGGGAAAAAATTACTATGTATCAGAACGGTCTCAACGGTGCTACATGAATCCGCAGATTACAAGGAATTGGAAATCTGGTAAAAGCGGTGACGGCGGGTGACTGATGAAACAAAGCTGCACATCAGGTGCATCTGCCCACCTGCACCTCCTATCATTTCAGGCGTTCATCATTGAGTCCCCTCCAACGTCTCTCCCAAGTCACCTGCCTTGTCCCATCTCAGCTACCCTTCTTTCGGTGCTCTATTTCAACCGCGCTCGGTGTCCTTGTCTTATTTTCCTCTACCTACGCCGTTATGAACCCTGAGTGGTAAGTCTTCTCGTATCCCCCCGTACCATCCGCCGTGTCTTTTGGGACACACCAGAAATAAACCTCTAATCGCCATATCGAAAATCCCCTTGCTAACGTATCCGTTGCGCCCTTTAGAGTTGCAAAGCCTTGGCGATCCCGCGTCACAATCACATCTCCTGCATTTTGCCGATCTTTCTAACCCGACCGCAATAGATACGACTACCTTTTCAAGCTGCTCCTCATCGGAGACTCCGGTGTTGGAAAGTCCTGCTTGCTGCTCCGGTTCGCCGATGACACATACACGGAAAGCTACATTTCCACCATCGGTGTGGACTTCGTATGTTACCATCAGTGCTTGGGTGGGGGTTGATCCTGAAAATGGCATGCTGACCGGTCCGTCACAGAAAATCCGCACCATCGAACTGGATGGTAAAACCGTGAAGCTTCAGATTGTACGTTTAAGTGGCCTTCTTTGATTGTGTTCTCTGTGTCTTATGGCTAATGCGCATCCACAGTGGGACACTGCTGGCCAAGAGCGATTCCGTACCATCACTTCGTCTTACTACCGTGGTGCCCATGGAATCTGCGTCGTTTACGATGTGACCGACATGGATTCCTTCAACAACGTCAAGCAGTGGCTCCAGGAAATTGACCGATATGCCACCGAGGGTGTTAACAAGCTGCTTGTTGGCAACAAGAGTGATATGGAGGACAAGAAGGTCGTGGAGTACACTGTAGCTAAGGTAATCCCTTTCCTTATTGTCCACGCTGTCATGTCTCTTCCAGCGTGGTATCGGGATCTTGCTCGCTGACTCCATACCTTCTCAACAGGAGTTCGCCGACAGTCTTGGAATCCCCTTCCTTGAAACCTCTGCCAAGAACGCGTCGAATGTCGAACAGGCATTCTTGACGATGGCCCGACAGATCAAGGAGCGCATGGGAACGGCCACAGTTAACAACAAGCCCACAGTGCAGGTCGGGCAGGGCCAAGGTGTTCAGTCGGGCTCGGCAGGCGGATGCTGCTAGATATGAGAGATGTGATGCTTCCCATTTGGCGCAATGTTACAGGTTTCCAAGCGATGTAGTGTCTCTGGGCCGCCCAAGTTTCTTGCCCTTCGCATGCTTGGTATCGAGGTCTTGATAAGGCGTGAGGGCCCTTCTCTTTCTCTTTCTTCCTGTGTTTTAGACGGCTCTGCGTTCTGTCCTGCCACGTTTGCTTCGTCATTACCGTGTTCTTCCTCATTCCCCTGACCTCATCTATCTTCCTTGGGCCCTCGCTGTCTATGCCTCGTTTTGACCTTTTTTTCTTGTTGTCCCTTCCTCTTGCCTTATCTTCTTTCTCACTTGTAGGTTGGATTCATCCTTCTGAACGGATTAATAGCGAGAACCACTGTTTCTTATTCTATCTCGATCTCTCGAATATTCCATTTGAATGAGGCTATTCTCAATGCATACGTAAGACCAGTGATGATCTTGGCATGCGACGGTATCCTTTAGTTCGCTCGTCAGAACCCAATGTTTGCATAGGTCTTGCAAGAACGTACAGAACAAGACTGTGTTTCCCCACAAAATTCACTATGCCGGGGAAATCACATGTAACATTAAATTTGGTGTCTTCCAGAGGCCCGAGATGCTCAATGCGGGTGCTGTCCAAATCGTTCGGGCCTTTCCATCAGCGACATGCTTTGTGCATTTTCCTTGTGATCTAAGTTAACATCGTACCTGGCATCCAGAACATGAAGCATGTGAGCCTGGCAAGGGCTTGCTGGAGTCTCCGCAGAAGCACTTTCGGGAGGCATTAGGCATGAGCCGAGGCACGGCCTACTCGGTAAAACACGTCATGAACTCTTACTTTCACCTACCGATTAATTATCGCGCTCTCTTCCCCCTTTCTACCCTCGGGTTACAAACATCTTTCACTCCTTACACCAATCGACCCCTGTCAGACACTACAGTCCAACTCTATAGAATCGTCCCTTCTGCCGAAGTCCCTTCGAATCTCCATCATGTCCGAACGCCCTCAGCAGAAGGCCGCCCCCACGGCAGCGGTCCAGCAAAGTGATAATATCGCACATGCCTTAGCTGGAGCTGGTGGAGGAATCCTGTCCATGGTCTTGACGTGGGTACCCCGCTTCGAGTTCCCTGTAGGTTGCAAGGCTAACACATACCCGTGAACAGGTACCCTCTCATCACTCTGTCGACAAGGGCCCAGGTGGAGTCCAAACGCGCGCATTCTAGCAATCTCGATGCCGTTCGTCGAATCGTCCAGCGGGAGGGAATCTCAGGGCTATATTCGGGCTTGGAGTCGGCTCTGTTCGGGATCAGCGTCACCAACTTCGTATATTACTACTGGTATGAATGGACTCGGTCCGCTTTTGAGGGGGCCGCAGTAAAGGCTGGCCGGGCCTCGAAGAAGCTCACAACTGTCGAGTCCATGATCGCTGGTGCTATTGCAGGAAGCGCCACCGTTTTGATCACCAACCCCATTTGGGTGATCAATACTCGCATGACTGCCCGCAAGTCGGAATCGGAGGAGTCCCTTCCAGGAGGCCCACAGAAGACCAAGGCTTCTACGTTAAGTACGCTGATGGAACTGCTACGCCAAGAGGGACCCAGAGCGCTATTTGCCGGGGTTCTGCCTGCATTGATCCTTGTGATCAATCCAATTTTGCAGTACACGATCTTCGAGCAATTGAAGAACGTGGTTGAACGCCGCCGCCGGATGACTCCAAAGGATGCATTTTATCTTGGCGCATTGGGAAAGATCTTGGCCACCAGCATCACATATCCTTATATTACCATCAAGAGCCAAATGCACGTGGCCAGCAAGAATGGCCCGAAGGAGAGCCTGAATAAGAGCCTCAAACGAATTGTCGATGAGGAGGGATGGTCAGGACTGTACAAAGGTAACATAGCATCCCCTCACTGCCCTTTTTGATTTTTTGATTTTTTTTGATTTTTCTTTCTTTATCATAATCGCTTGCTAATGAATGGTTATCAAACTGAAGGTATCGCCCCCAAGGTGACCCAAAGTGCTATCACTGCCGCCTTCTTGTTCGCCTTTAAAGACGTCCTCTATGACACGATGGTATCTATGCGCAGGAAGAGTCTTGCGCGTAAATAAAAACCCCGCTCACGCTACCAGGCCAGTGTCTACCACCATCGATAATCCCTACAGGAGGATTCGCTTCCTTTCGACCATGGGTTCGGTTGTTTAGGGAGACACGATACCAAAGCGGAGCTTGGCTCTAAATCTTGCCTTTTCCATCTCTTTCTCCAATTCTCCTGTATATATAGCAATGCGAGGTCTCTGATTCGCCAAATGCGTTGGGATGAAAAAGGTTGGGTGCTACTGCGCAGGGCTTGGCGACCTTGGAAGTACCTGCCGGTGGACACCCTACTCAAAGCTGAACATGAAGAACAGTAAATACTATTATGCTTAACCGATATCTTAGATAGTACATCATTATAGTTGATAGTGTCTGCCCTAGGTGGTATTACCAAACTATGTGTAAGGAGCCTTCGGTTCACTACTCATGTGAAGTCGGCAGTGAAGAAAGTATGTATTCTGACCGAACTACAATAGAGGGCAAAAGTCTTGTGTGCATACCGCTTTACCTACCCCATCAAATACTGATGTAGTTTCCAGACCAGTTTAATAAGGTTAAGATCAGGCAAGTATACAGGCAACTCTTTAATATATATCCTGCGCTCTTTAAACCAAACCTGTATATCTTTCACTATATAGATCTTTTTATTACTTTGCTAAAAGATCATTTCAGATTGGTCGTGATCGATGCCATGGGGGAGGTGTAGGAGAAAAAATAAATATGTGGGTGATTGTTAGGGTGATGGTAATGGGGCCGAGTGCACACAGACTTTTGGCCGGGTGGTGTAGTATGATCGAGTGGTGGATATGGATATAGGTCTCAGGGTGCGTGTCAGGCAATTCCGTTTGAAGATAAACATCAACTTTAGCAGATGGGTGTAAGGACATGAGATTCACGAGAAACATATCAGTTCTTCAAAATGGAGATTCGACAAATACGCAAAAGAGGATCATTTTTGAAGTTGCTATTAGTTTACATCTAAGTATACTATAATTGTAGAGGCTCTCACCGCCCTGGGCTCAGTCGCGTAAGCGCGTTTGTACCGCGACTGCTGTAGGTCACGTCGATCGGAATTGCTTACTGACATGCCCAAATGCCTTAGCTCCTTGACCTTTGCGGCAGGTAAGTACTGACAACGGAGTTTGGTCCTGCTTACATCCGTCTCTCCTTCCGACGTATTGTCTTTCTTTGTCTGCTTCTGCTCTCTCTCCTTGTGGAACCTCATCCGGAAAGAGACTTCGGACTTGGACTGAAAGAAAGATTCTATAGGCACTCAATCTCCTCTTTAAATGGGCTCATGGGCTCATGAATCTCGAAATATCGAATGTCCAGCTGTGTGGTTGGTGTGATGTCTTCTACGACTGCTCTCACTGGGCAGAGCCGATTGTGCCAGTCACGCTGCTGTGCTAATTTATCCAATTGCAAACCCGCAAACGCCCATTGCAACGGTCGCTTAAAGCCTGAAAATATCGAGAACACATGAAGGACTTGCTCCAAATGAAATCTTTCAATCACAATCCCCGGAGTCTGGCTCCTGGGTTCATTGGAGACAATGGCAGTGAGAAGCAGGTCGCAATAGAGCAAGAGGCCAGAAGGCTCATCATGCATTTCAAGAGACACTCCTTAACACACCGAGAGCAGCAGAGTGAGTTCTATCCTGACATGGTCACTCATGGCCATACAACGTTCCACTCAGGCTCGGCGGACGTCGACTCGAGACCATCCCAAGTCACAAAGACAGACAACCCTCCTCATACAGACCCCCCCGGCCACCGTCAGATTGCTCAGCTTCCTACAAACGCTCCTGAGATTTCCCCTTCAGCAAAAGATACAACTTTTCTGCGAAGTGTTGCCCTTAATCATTGTACACGACCAAACACCGCCTCGCCGCCAACTGATGCACTCAGTAGAATATCCTCGCTACCAAGCGCAACCATGAACGCACAACGCCGATCCATTTTATTAAAAGACCATTCCCCTAGGGAACCCATCCAGACTATCATTTCATCTTCTGGCTCCCCGAAGTTGTCCGAGAATACAACCCGCCGTCGCTCAAACCGACAAAGAAAGGATCCTAGCACGTACAATCTACGAATTCTGTCAGGGCTCGAGAAAGAGCAGATAACAGAACCTTCTAGTGCTGCTGATGGTGACTCGGTTCATGGCTCTGTATTCTCGCGGCCTCCGGATCTGTCAAAGAATCCGCCAGCACCTCCAAACCGGAATATCGAGCGACTGCTGCTGAATCGGGAATTGCAAGGCCAAAACGCACATGGGACAATTCACAAGAACACGGCGGGTGATCTTAAAAAGTGGAAGTCATGGACTGGTGCCTCGAGCGATGTGGTAGCCTTGGCATGGTCCCCGGATGGTACCAGGTTTGCAGCAGGCGCAATAGCCTCTCCGGATGTTTACAACCGTAATAATAATCTTCTTGTGGGTGACCTTGTCAGTAGTGCCCTTTATGAGCTTCCTGACCACTGGACTCTTCATCCATCCAACGGTGAGCGCATATACGCCAGTGTGACGGATACCCAGTGGGTCGGCCAACGGCTATACACATCAAGCTACGACAACACAGTGAAGATTTGGGATGCAGGAAATGAAGGACGGCCCTCTCGAGTGGGAACTCTGCAGCATGATTCTCAAGTCGTGGTGATGGCTGTCTCAGGTCTCCAACCCAATCTCATTGCCACAGGTACCAAAAGCTTCCAGCTCTGGAATATCCGTGAATCCCAAAGCCAAACGTGCAAGCCGCTTCCAATTCAGCGTTCAAATCGACAAAAGTCCGGCATTGACCTTAGGCCGACGACTCTTGCATGGGGTCCCCACCATATGACAAGCCAATTTTTAGTCGGTGGTATGACGGAACAGGCAGATGAAGAGTTTCGAGTCCCTTCCTATGGTCATATAGGCTTGTGGAGAATCGGCGAATCTTCCATATTGCCCGGAAAACTAGATCGCGGATCTCAGAACGTTTTCGATATCAGGTGGGATCCGTTGCTACCTCGGCTTGCCACAGCTACAACAACACATGCTGCAATGAATCTTCCCTCGGGTTCTCGGTCGGTCGTTCAGGTTTACGACTACGTCTCTGCGGATGACAGGTTTGTATCCACGAGCGTCTTCCCCTGCACGGCCGCAGATATTAACGTGGTCGGCTTTTGTCCTGTGGATTCCTTGTATGTGACGGCTGGTTGTACCGACGGCCGAACCTATGTCTGGGACATTCGAAACTCGTCACGGACTTTACATCGGCTTAATCATGGGAAGCCGCTCGACCCATTGAACCATGAGCATACACGGGAGCTAACCGATTTCGGTGTTACGGTGACTCTATGGGGATCTACAATCGACCACTTTTACACAGGGGCCTCTGATGGATGTCTCAATCGATGGGATATCCGTCGGTCTCCTGAAGATGCGCTGAGAGAAACCTTCTCCTTTGGAGAAGGTATTGTCAGCGGGTCTTTCTCGGGTGATAAATCTCAGCTTTTGATTGGAGATCATCGTGGAGGGATATCAATTTTATCTTCGGCTCCGATGTCAGATCCTAGCGATAACTTGTTTGCTTTCGAGAGAGCCCCTGACGACACCGTGTCTGACACGATGACAGGAGTTCAGATCTGTGAGGAACTCCTCACTTCCGGCCAGCTCGAAATGGATCCCATTTATGGTCCAGTACAGGGGCCTAATTACAAAGGCCCGTATGCTCTTTGGGCCCGGGGTCTTTCGCAAGAGAATTCATCAGAGGTCAACCCGCCTGAGGCCCCTCTCTTGAGAGAATACCAACTTCGACAATTTCACGGGGCTCCACCTCGAGAACGGGATGGCCTAGATGCCCACGCCAAAGAAGAACTTGAGCGACGAATTCGTCTTGCGAAGTGCCGGAATAATTTCTGCGCGAAGTTGCGCAAGAACCACCGGGTGTCAGGGAATCGTAAAAGAAAACGTCGAAGCTCCGGGCTTTCTGGGAAGCCTTCCGAGAGTGGCGGCAAGAAAGAGATGAAGAAGAAGAGGAAGAAGGAGGGGAAGAAGAATCAGAGGCAAAATATCCCGTCCAACATGTGGCGAGAGCACAATGGGGTCATCGATCTAACGGGGGATGATTCACCCGTGCTAGCCGCCCAAGGGGACACCATGGACTCGTCTTCTATTTCGCTTCTTGATCGCCTCGAGGCATCCGAGTCGCATGAGCTTGGACCCTCGCCGCAAGATATTGAAGATCGATTAGAAGAAGATTATTGGTGGCCTGATAGTTCAAAGTACGATGCCAATATCTGTGAAAGCGACTAAGGCAACACAGCATTAATGTCCATGATAAATGCATACCAGCATAGCCATATGGATGTCTCTAGTTTATTTTTCTATTCACGCTGTATACCATACTTGTTGATTAGCTTTTACAACGATGTTACCTGTTTCACCCCTCCATCAGATGGTCTGTGTGCCGTAGCGTCCAGCGAGTCCAGACGAACCAGCCCCACCTATCTCCGTCATCGGTCCCAGTAGTTCGGGTACGCATATATACTTGCTCGACTTTCCCAGGTTCGCTTCTTCAACACTACTGAACACTCCCATCTTACTACCGCAGATTCTCGGACCCCCTCTATTGTCAAGCAACTCTACTGTCTCTCCACCCTATTTTCTATGTCTGCTCCTTATTCCGCTCCACCCGGGCCACCCCCGCCTTCTGTCCCGGCAGGGTGGAAAGCACAGTATGATGAGCACTACAAGACTTGGTAGGTGCACACGCTTTTCGTTTCTATCATCGGTTGTTGAAAAATAAATGAGTCTAACCAGTCAGGTTCTACGTGGACCTTTCCACAGGCCAGTCGCAGTGGAATCCCCCCCCGAAGCCTCGGTCCCGCGTCCCAGTGGCTCTCCTAGTGAACCCCCGCCATCTTATGAAAGCGCTGCCAGGCCTTCCGCCATAGCGAGTCCCGGCGATAAAAAGAGCCCAATGGCTTCCAACAACCCGTATAACCAAACAAATTCTCCTCCAGCATCTTCTGGCGCCACTTTTGACGAGGATGCCCGCCTCGCGGCCAAACTTCAGGCGGAAGAGAACGCGCGTGTCCGCGGCGGTAGCAGTAGCGAAAAAGCATCTGGGGCCGCAGCTGATTATTACAGTAATTCCACGCGCCCAGAGCCTACTGCCCACCCTGGCCCGTCTACTGGGAGCCCCGCCCCAGAGGGGAAACGAGGCTTCTTTAGCAAGTTGACCGGCAAGAGCTCTAGCAGTACTTCACGACCTCCTCCGCCACGTCCCCCGCAGGCTCAATATGCCTCGTACGGACAGCAGCCCCCTGGTGGCTATTATGGTGGCCCAAATTACCAACAATACCCCCAGCAGGCTGGTCCTGGTTACCCCTATCCGCCTCAGGGATACGGCGGAGGTTATGGAGGATACCCGCCCCAACGTCCTTACTCTTCCTACCAACAGCCTCCCCCGCGAAGACAGGGTGGTGGAATGGGTGGGATGGGGACTGCAGGAGCTGCTGCACTTGGAGTCGGTGGAGGCTTACTGGGTGGCCTCCTCATTGCCGATGCAGTGGACGATTTCGGGGATCATGATAACTACGACAATGATTATGATGATGGCGGTGACTTCGGCGGGGACTTCTAGTTATGAGTCATGCATTTCCAGCAGTTATCACTGTGCTTTTTTTGCGTGTGTTTTTAGGCGCGTGAAGTGGGATGCAGGATGGGCGGCATCGTTCTTGCTTTTCTTTTTCGATCCCATAATTTGCTGTCCTCAGTTCATTCGGGAGATAGTTCCCCCAGGTTCATATTGCCAAGATGAATCTAATTTGGAGTCTGTATTATAGCGACAAGATTCGTCTCTTGACGCGAGCCCGTATCAATATCGTTTAATATCGTAACCTCAGCCACGAAGGCGGGCCGCGTTACTCGACTCACGGCCTGTAGTGCCCCCGGACGCGGAATCAGTGCTGGCCATGGGCCCAGGCGATGTTCCGGCCATCCATCCAGCTAGATCAAAACCGCCTCCAGTCATGGCATTGCTTGTGGCTGCGTTCATAGGAGACGCACGCGACTGCTGCTCGAACTCGGCTCGCATTTCAGGATCCATATTTTCCATGAGCTTTGGCATGCCAAAGGTGAATCCCAAAGCAACAATTGCCATTAGGATCATAGGGTTCTTGACCAAACTCAATGGGGAGACTAGAAATCTGTTAGTTCGAGTCTCCGGCTTCCTCCATACACAACTTACATTTTGCTCTCTCTTCATAGAAGCCTCGTCGGCCCACGGCTCTTGCCTCGATGACCACACTGTCAGGGCTTTGTCGGGAGTCATCGACCACATACTTTTCTACGCCCCGATTATCCCACGGATTCCCACGAAAAGTTTCCCAGACTCCTAAGATAGAGCCATCGGCCGCGACATCAACGCGGTAGGGGATGAAAGCATATTCGGACGAGCGTATATCCAAGAGGTATGATTCTTGCTGAGCTGGAAGTTCCGGGAATACGAGGGTAGACGAGTGGGAAAGCGAGGCCGTCAGGACGTGGACATTGCCAGCAGAAGGAAGTGTAGTCAGGGTTGCATGAGTGGTGGCAGGGAGCATTTGAGGGTTAGGGAGGATAGGCGATGCAGGGATCGAGATCACAAGCGAAGCTACTGCAATATGACAGAGCAGTAGAAGGGGGGCGATCAGCATTGTGTAAATGTTCGGAGGTTGCTTGATCCTGATCGGTGCTGGACCTCTCGAGGCAATCCACCTGGGTTGCTCATAAGTATGACTAAGCAGAGCTCGTGAACCCGTGGACTACTTTCCTCGAGGTAACTGATTATTTTGGCTTGACGCATCTCAGGTGTTTCGGCGGGGAGGATCTTGGAAATCACTCTATCTTTGTTCTATAGAAAACTATGTGCCTAGTATCTCTCCGGGTTGGAAACGCCCGATCACTAACAAAACGGGAATGTCATATGATGAACCTGGCTGCGATTCTACGCTTGATAGGCTTCACCCGGAAGTCTGCTGAGGATCATACAGCTGTCCACGTCATTTCGCTAATTCAAACCATGCATCTCCATAGAGAGCGGACTAGACAAGACTATTTCCTGGGCTTAAGTTGGAGCAGAGATCCTGTCGTATAGTTTGGCCGCAGGCGAGGCCTCGGGTGAAACCGCCCGCCAGGGATTACTTAATCCGATCTCGTTGCTGCCAGTCATGCATCCATGGATGCATGGCGATAATTCTCTTTTCCCGTACGTTTCTAAGGGAGTATGTAGGTCAGTAAATTTACCGGTGTCGCTCTTGCTATATCCGCGATTTCTGGTCACTACCCCATAACTCCAGGGACCTTCCCCTACGTCTTCCCCGCCACAGGGAGAAAAAAAAACCCAAATTTTACAGTACAATGTACCTATGGAACCATCAGGTGGAGCCTCCTGCCTTTTGGCCGACTCCGTTTCTTGTAAGCGAATCAGAAGAATCAAGTAGTCGAGCACCCATGGTACATTGGCCAGGTTATCGTAAGTCTCATCGGATCGTAATTGTCCTTTCCAGGAGAGACAGGGCAGTCCTACCCTCACCAAGCCGTTAGCATGAAGGCGCGGGGGGTTCTAGGCGTTCAGTTGAAGACGAAAATCCCACAGACGCCGTTAGCGCGATCAGGACGACAGGGCTTTGTATTGGCCGAACCTTTTTTTGAAATCGAGGGGAATATAGGCTCTCTTGCCGGAGATTGGCACCCCCTCTCGTCTTTTTCTCCCAGACCCCATCCTCCTCATCGTCGATCCTCAACTCTCAGCCCCTCCTCACCTGACTGGTTCCCGGAATCAAGCTGCCGCTTGATCCGTTTCCCCTCTTTGGCTCTGCAATTCCCACACCTCGCGATCTCTGCGATCTCTGCGCTGCGAGAGCATGGATCAACCCTGGGAAAACGCCGAGCACGAGGGCATTGTCCCCTCGGACGAGTTCGCTTCTTTCCTCGAGTTTAATGGCATGAACAATATGCAGTTTGAACTTGAGCACGGAACACATTCCCAGTCGCATCACAGCCCAATGGTGCCTTCCACCAGCGCACCGCCCTCCGTCTCTATGCAGCAACCTCAGCAAAACTCGCAATTCGTAACCGCCATGGCTATCGACGGCATGTTCCAGCACCAGTCGGGTCCAATGCCTTACTCGACCCCTCAGTTAACCCCCGGTTTCGAAGGCCAGGATTCATCTTCCCAGCAATACATGGCCAGCCAACCGATGATTCCACCGACTCCCAACAGCATCGAGCTGCAGGCAAATGCCGCCCGTTATCCCCATCGCGTCGATGAGACCCCCGATATGTACGACCGGTATCAGTCGCGGGTCAACGAAGAACAGGTATGTCGCGGCAGAGAAGCTCTTGTTTCATAGGTTGTATCGTTGAGGACCGTTGCTAAGCTGGTATGCTTAGGCCCTCTACACTCCCCTGGTATCCCCCGCCATGACTCCGTTAGAAAGCCAATTTCGACTACCGGAGTATACCATCCTGGGGGAATATTTCACTCCGCTCACATCTCCGGCTCTGGAGGCCCAAAATTCCAACAATTCCAATGGCTATTCTCTCTCCACTCCCGACAAGTTTCCGATGTCGGGTTTGTCCCAACCAGTGCAGAAGTCCACCCCTGCCCGAACCATCGACGCCAAACTCCCCTAATGTGATTCGGAAACGTCGCCCTTCCCGCTTGTCAAGTCGCAAAGTCAAGCAGTCTCCTTCCATTCGAGCGCAGACGCAGCGGAGAGGCAAGCCCCTCCCCAGTCCAGAAGAGTTCTACAACAACCTGGCACACGAGTTGAATAAACCCCCAAACCATGATGTTCGTTCCCTTCAGGCCAGTAGCAACGAGGGCTCTGGACAAGATTCGGTCTCTCCAGAGCCTTTGTCGGAGCCATTGATGCCACCTCCAGCGCTTCCTCCTCCACGCAAATCCCCCCGCCATTACTCCCCTAGCTCAGTCGCCCGGTTTTGCTGCTACTCCCGCGACACTCATGCGCATCTCACGATCACAGCATTCCCAAGGGTCACCCGGTCAGTTCACCGGCCAAGCACAGCTCGAGTACCAGGATGAGATGATGGAGGACATCTCCCTTCCGGAGGCTGCTACTGGACTGGCTCCCCGACCAAAAGTGAATCAAATCGATACGAGCGTTCACACGGGCACCGCCAGTCCGGTTGTATCAGCCAATGGCACCCCATCGCTAGAACCGCGGTCCGGCGCTCTCGTTAGCCCACGCACAGCTGCTATGCCATCACCAAGCGGGCCAGTCCCAAGAGGAGATACATCCCGAGCATCTATCTCGAGTCGCAAAAGACCAAGTGTCAGTTCAACACAGGCTAGTCCGCAATTACGCCCAAAGATCAGCCCCAATATTCAGCCATTGATGAGAGGGGGTGAGTGTGAGTATTGTCCCAAGTATCAAACCTGTGCCTTTCCATGCTGACAGTTGATTTTCTTTCTCTTCCTTAGCTGGCCTTTCGCAAGACGCTCTCTACCTAGCCTCCAAGTCAAACTATCAACATATTCTGGACGGTACCCTGCCCTCGGGCGTCTCATATCCGGAAACATTGGCGGAGAACCTGAGCTCCAAGCGCACCAACCACAAGCTGGCAGAGCAAGGTCGCCGAAACCGTATAAACAGTGCCCTCAAAGAGATTGAATCGTTGATCCCACCGGAGTTCATTCAAGCTCGGCAAGCCAAAGAAGCCGCTGTGAATCAGGCTCGGCAAACTAAAGAGGCTGCTTCAAATCAAAACCGACAAGCAAAGGAGACCGCAGCAAACCCTATTAGCAAAGCAAGTGCTGTTGAGATGGCCATCGACTATATCAAAGATCTCCAGCAGAATTTACAAACTACAACGTCAAAGCTTGCTGCCCTTGAAGCCCAGCTCCGATCCACTCACGAAGACGGAGATGCTTCTGCCGTTCCCCCGGAAACAGCCATCAACGGTGCCGGGTCCAATTCCGAAGAAAAGAACTCATCTGAGCTTTCGATGAGTAAACCTGAATGACGATCATGCATTGTACTGTAATAATCCTGGCTTGGGGGGACGGGGGAGGGTTGTTCTTTTATCTTATTTGCTGCTCCATTGCCTTTTCTTCTCTTTCCTCTTTCCTGTTATTCGTTTAATTCCTGTTCAGACTCCTCTGGACGAGGCAGCTATGGGTCGGTGGCGGTCTCCGTTTGTTGGCAAGGGAATTGATGGCCTTATTCCGTCTGTGCTCCGATGGAAGGATAGCGTTGGAGTTATGATTATGGGTGGCTCTCGTGTTTTATGATTTCCCCTCCTTTATTTCTTGTTTCGTGTACCCAAAGACCTAACATACATATGTCCTATTGACTGCGCTTATCGCCTATTTCAAAGTCCCTTGGTGAGCCCTGTCTGCTCCCTGGCGCGCTGATGCACTATTAAGTCCAATTGCAAGCTGGACCAAATTGATGGAAATATTGTACTGGTAGAGAGCTTATGAACAAATTCTTGCGTATTTCGGGATCCGCAGTACCTATGCAAATGCAGAAGAAGTGAAGATCATGACCCATTCCCAATAAAGTACACCGTCACTCATGCCAATGACCGTGGCAGATCAGTAGTCCCGAAATACAGCCACCATTTCATCCAGGCGAGACACTTCAGCTAGGAGAAGTGCCTCTTTATCCCTCCATTGCTGCAGAATCTCGAGCTCTTCTTCAGTGAGATATTCCTCCTCGTGCCCTTTCACATCGCTGCGTTCCGTCTTATCCAAGAAATCTTTTAAGCGGTCCCGCTCAAAACGAATACGTTGCAAGGTACGTGACATGGCCTTGTACGTATCTTCTAATAGATTGCTGCAGACACGGTCTGGGTCATAGTACCAGAGGAATATCGTTTTCGAAGGTTGGCGTTGGGAATCCTTAGGTACTTCTTGCAGATCCACGAACCCACCGGATTGCATACTGGCCAGAGTCTGCCGCAGCTCCTTAAAGGGCAACATGCTGATCTCGAGAAGCCGTTTTTCGTCCAGCTTGCCCTTGGTATGGAGGACACGTATAACACGCAGCGCAACATCTCCATATCGTGTTTCGATCATTCGCTCCAATTCTAGATGTCGCAGCTTGCGGGCCAGACCACGAAATTCAACACGCCACTTGATGACAGCCTGCGAAAAGGAGGAAGTAAAGTTGTAAGGGGGTTCGGAAAGAAGGTTGAGGTGTTGGTTGACTTCGAATGCGCGGCTGACGCTGTTTGAGGCGTCGGTAGAATCTTCATAATGGTCGCCATTGACTCCGTTCGCCAAAGGCCGCTTCCCAAGAGAATTGGGTTGTGACGTGGGAGGGTTGGTTGGTGCAAATGTCGAAGAGAGATCTAAGTCGGGATCAATGAGATCGACTAGATCTTGTAATTCGATCGGAACGGAAAAATGATCATTTTCTTCACCCTCGGCAGGGATTTCTCGGAACTCTCGACAGCGAGGTGTTGCGTACTCGATACGTCGAAGAAGGCATTTAAAGACTTCTGTGGTGGCGGTGGGCGCATTACTTTCTGCGGCAAACTGAACAAGCTTGGCATTGCGTAAAGCTACATCAAGCTTGTCGTAGTTGACCGTGACCACGAGATCAGACTGGCCAAGTAAGCTTTCAATCCCAGGGAACGACAGTAGCGGTAGTTCAAGAGCTTACATCCATAGGAGTCTCGTCCAACTCATTTTCGTCATCTGACCAGTCATCGTGCTTCTTCTCCCTGTCTCCCTCCACATAGTTTCCGTTAATACCATTCGTTGTGACGGCTCCTTGTCGCTTCCTTTTGACTCCACGGGGGAGACCGTTGACCTGAAGACTCTCAGATAAATCCGCACCTGTGCGCTCCTCGATAAGATTCTTGACACCATCTTGAACGGCCTCTATGTACTTTTTTCCTTTCATATTCTTGATGTCGGCTCGGGAAGTCATAATTCGGTGCGCTTCAAGGTAGTTATCTGAAGGGCTTTGGAAGTGTGCTTCGCGGACTCTCATGAGGTACCCATGAGAAGCGAGTTTCTTGAGGGTAGAAAAGATTGGTGCTCTCAAGGCTGGTGCGTGATTCCCATTGGTGTGGGCGAATTGGCCGTCATCTTCTGTTTGAGAGACCGGGTTCTCGTCCTCATGCGATAGTCCATTGGTGTGGCTGGGGATCTGAGCTTGTAGCTCAGGCATGGTCTCAAGATGCGCAACCGATGCATGACCAAGATACATGACCGTTTCCATTATCTGAGCCGCGTAGTCTCCAAGGCGATCGGCAACCAAATGAAGGATTTTCCCGCTGCGGACAAGATAGTATGCGGCGTGAGGATTTGCCTCATAATAAGTAAAGCCGTCATCTAGAGAGGTGAAGTGAAACACAAGATGATGTTGTATCATAGCTGTAAGGCCATTTTGTAATTGTCGGTCAGATAGATGAGAGTAGAACTTCAACCGAGGAAGAGAGAGTCTTTCGTAACGTTGTAGAGTGGAAAATATGCGCTAAAATGTGTCAATCCCGTGGTACTCGAGAGCCGCCGCAGAGGCACTGTTTGCGAAAGTACTCACCGCGAAGAGTTCGCCGAAGTGATCCTCAATGAGGAGCGTGCATAGCTCCACGGCATGCTATACAGGATGTGTCAGTGCGGGGATGAGGCGCGATATTGAGAGCCGGCCATACTTGGGACATCATCATGGCATACCAAGAGGATCTGATAGCCTCACTCGCAAGGGGCTATCCAAGAACACCGCGACAAATGCATAGAGCGAGTACAATTCGAAGCTATTCGTGCAGACAAGCCCGCCAACAGCCACTTCTTTTTTCCCGATCTTCTGCTTATCGCGGATCACGTGTGGCATGAGTCAGCCGGAGCGGTTTTTCCCAAGGTTGAAGTTGCAGACAAGAAAAGGAGACGAAGGAGACAAGCACAAGAGCTTGGAAAAGCTGCGGAAGTCCACGGGTTAGCATTATTCGAGGTCCCTCGAATGTCTGACCTGCCCCTTCACTCCCATATAAAACCAAACTAGGGTAGCTCAAGCATTGGTCCATCAACTGGTACGCATAACGTGAGTGGCATAAAAGGTTATTCCGATTCCGTCCGATTCGTCACCGCAGCCAATCAGCGGCCGAGTAATCAACCTGGCCCCAGCATCTTGAAGCTTTTCGTGACCGTCTGCTTCCCTCTCCCGACGGACTTCCCTTCCCCTCCCCTCAATTGTCTCCCTCCCTCCTTAAAACCCACTCGGGTTCTTATCTCTTTTTTCTCCTTCTCCCATTGTCCCCGGCGCATCATGCTGTCGCGGTCTCCTCCTCTGCCGAAATGCGCCTCGTGCGGTCGCCGCTAGCCGCCGGGCTATGGCGACTGCTGCCAACCCAACCTTCCAATACGATGTCTCGGAGACTGCCGGCGTGAAGGTCGCCAACCGAGAGGTCAATGGTGCTACTGGAACCTTGGCCCTGGTTGCTAAGGCCGGTTCCCGTTACCAGCCTTTCCCTGGTTTCTCCGATGCTCTCGAGAAGTTCGCTTTCAAGGTTTGTCGTTTGCTCATCCATTGGCCATCGCGTCTCGAGCTCTTGCGCTAAGCCCATATCATATAGTCTACCGCCAAGCGCTCTGCACTTCGAATTACCCGCGAGGTCGAGCTTTTGGGAGGTGAAATCTCGTCTACACACTCCCGCGAAAATGTCGTCCTTCGCACCAAGTTCCTTGCCAACGACCTGCCATACTTCACAGAACTCCTTGCGGAGGTTGCCAGCCAAACCAAGTTTACAGGTAAGTTAACCGACTGATGCATACGAGATGTGAATGATACGCGCAGTGGGAAGGAAGATGGACGGTTTTGCTAACGCAAAGTTCTTGGATCATAGACCACGAACTACACGAGGTTGTCAGCGATCTCCTCAAGTACCAGCAGCAGGCTGTCTACTCCAACCCGGAAGCTGTTGCAATTGATGCCGCTCACGGTGTTGCTTTCCACCGCGGTCTGGGCTCTCCCATCACCCCTAGCCAGTCCACCCCATACGAGAAGTACCTGTCCGGCGACGCCTTAGCCCAGTTCGCCCAGGATGCCTATGCCAAGTCCAACGTTGCCCTTGTTGCTACCGGCCCTAACTCTGCCGAGGTTTCCAAGTGGGTGGGTCAATTCTTCGCCGGCCTCTCCACCGGCGGCGCTGCAAGCCAGTACAAGGTCCAGCCCACCGCAGCCAGCAAGTACTTCGGTGGTGAGCAGAGAATTCCTTCAAAGGCTGGCAATGCCGTTGTGATTGCTTTCCCAGGATCCAGCGCTTTCGGCACCGCTGGTTACAAGGCGGAGGCTTCTGTCCTGGCCGCTTTGCTTGGTGGCGAGTCTTCCATCAAATACACCCCCGGATTCTCGCTTCTCTCCAAGGCTACCGAGGGCTTCTCGCAGCTTACTGTTTCGACCAAGAACATCTCTTACTCTGATGCCGGCCTCTTCACCATCACCCTCTCCGGTGCTGCTGGTCAGGTTGGCACTGCCAGCAAGAACGTTGTCGACGCCCTCAAGAAGGCCGCTGCTGGTGAGGTTTCCAGTGAGGACATCAAGAAGGCCACTGCTCTGGCCAAGTTCCGTGCTCTGGAGTCTGTGCAGACCCTCGAGACTGGTCTCGAGGCCACTGGCTCTGGCCTGGTCCACGGTAGCAAGCCCTACCAGATTGGTGAGATCGCTCAGGCCATTGAGGGCGTCTCTGAGCAGCAAGTCAAGGAGGTATGTTTTCACCTCATCGCCCATATCATGATGGTCTGGGGAAATTGTCCACTAACTTTTACTAGGTCGCCAAGTCCTTCCTGTCTGGCAAGGCCACCCTCGTCAGCGTTGGCGACGTCCATCAGCTTCCTTACGCCGAGGACTTGGGCCTGTCGGCTTAAATTTTCTTGTAACTCATACAGCCCTAGATCGAGGGAAAAGCGTGTTTCCTCACTTGGATTTGATGTGATCACCTGTGCCTAGACTCCTTGCCAATATCTCTTTTGTGCTTTTGCAGGTGTAGTTGACTGTAATACAATTGTACCTTAGTTGTGAAGCAGTTCCCCAGGAGAGACCCGCACACACGTTTCTGGTCTCCTGTAAGTCGTAGAGGCCCGTGCGATGTCATGGTGACTTGTCTTCCATTTGTTTATATGAATTCAACTGTATTTCATAGCCTCATACGAGAGCGGGGATAAATCGAATAGACACAAGACGAGGCTAAGCAGAGTCGCGCATATAGTAAGGGCCTTAAATGTATCACGCTACATGTTGTATACAAAGCATGACTATGGAGCGAAATGCGGCCATTTCATATTTATTTATCTATGAGTAGATAATCATATGTTATTTGCAATTTTGCATTCGCTTTGTGATGGACTATTTAACAATCGCCACGCTGCCTACCAGAGCCTGTCTTTTCCTGGTTTGGATGGTCACCCTCACACTTCTCTTCAATGTCGCAGGATCGAGGGCATTGGAGCCTTGGGTCGCTGAGGCCCAGCTTTGATCGACTAAACTAACCCTTACATACAGAATGAAGCATTAGCGTAAAACTGCCGCTTTTGAGCAAATTTGAATTCAGATTACAGGACATGGAGTCAGAACCAACGTCATTTCCGGGTGAACGCAAGACTCCATGGCGCAGTGCGTATGTTAATAGTTACGTAGGAAATGATGCCAGAAAGAAAAGAGAGGGTATAACTCAATTACCACAAGAAAATTGAGTACGTAGCGGCATGGAAATGAAGCGCTGGTTGGAAAGTGGTGGAGAGTGCCCTGACGATTGGTAAAGGGCTTCACAGGTTCTCATAACCGAGGCTGATGGATTGTCGGTCAACTGGAGCGGCTGCAGAGTGAATCTCAATTACAATCCTCAATTACATATAAATCAGATCAAATTGAGGCCCCATGTCACCGAGAATAATGGCGAAAGCCGCATCCAAGCTAGGAAACAGCCGATATACGCACCCGACATCGGACCATTGCAACACAGGATGCTCCGGTGCAGCAACCGTGAAATGTGGAGAGGAATGTGGAGAGCAAATAGCAAAAGCGAAGTGGATCCGGTTATGCGCAGTACGATTTCATGGTTGGAACAGAGAATATCATGGTAATTGAGACTTTTGACAGTTGGAATCTCTTCGCTGATTTCACCGACTTCAAAGGGGCACTTCCAATACTGTCTAAATGTCTATTATGTGGAATCGAGCTAACTAGTTGACAAGGCAGGGGGAAGTTACAAATAAAGAAAGGAGTGCTGCAGAGTCCGTAAGAGATGACGCGAAGTCGGGTATTTGGAGTCTGGGGTTCCGGGTGGATCTAGGCGCGAATGATGGCAGAGACACCCGGACAACTATCGACATAGCAGGAAGGGTATCTCAAACCTTCCCTCTAATGCTTAGCGGTAACAGTCTCGCCGGTCAGTTTCTCGACTGCTTCTTTGGCCCTGCGATACGTCATATGAATTAGTCCGAGGTCTCACATGAAAAGGGGGCGAGGTGAACGTGAAGACGGGGAGAGGGCGTCACAACTTACAAGTCACCAAGAGCAACCATGCAGACGGTTTGCCAGACACTCAGGCCAATGCGGGGAGTCACACCCCGGTAAAGGCCCTTGATGCCACTGTTACTGTAGATGTACTTGAAGGTCTTGCCGACAGTCAAGTTCTTAGGACGGTTGGGGTCATCAGTCTTGCTCTGCATCTCAACACGGATGACCTCAATAGGTTGATTCCAGGCAGAAAGACCACCACCGAGACCCGCAGCAAGGACCTTCTCCCATGGAGACAGCTTCTGGCTATCATCCTTGCCGGTAACACTGCGGATGGCAGACTCGGCCAGACGGGAGAGACCGAAGCGGGATCCCCAGTTGGTGGTCTGGCGAATGGCCACTGCATTGACACCACGGTTGATACCCCGGATCCCCTCCTTGCGGTAGATGTCCATGAAGGTAGCAAAGGTGCTTGGAGGCTTGACACCCTGAGCAGCCATCTTGTGCTTGGTGATCTCAACCGTCTTCATGCAGGTACAGAAACCCATGGTCGCATAGGCCTGGGCGACACCACCGGCCATACCACCGGTGATGCCTCCGATGAAGTCGTTGGCACCGAAGGTCTTAGCGTAATACTCGGCTTCGGAGGCAACGAACAAAAGGACCGCGCCCTTGGTGGAGGCCTCAATCCAGGCCCACGGAATGAGTCCCTGATAGTCTAAGATTCATAAAGCTGGGTTAGCTGGGTGCGTTCAATTCGCCGGGGGGGGTTCCACGCGGCTAACTTAGTTGCGCGAATCGGAGGAAATGGGATACGTACAACCAAGGATCCCGCCACGACCCCAAATCCGAGCCATAGCACCGGCAAAGCTGTCGCCCCGGTTTGCAGCCATGGTTGTCTTGATCACTTCCAGCGGCTGTCAAGGGATGTCAGTGAGAATAGACCTAAAAGGCGCCCCAAAACAGGCACACCGCGCAATGGGGAGGATATACATACCTGTCCCAACGAGGTGACTTCAAACAAGTTCAATCCCGCGCCCAGCAGCAGGTTGCTGAACTTGATGGGCTTCTTCTCGAGCTTGGGCGCGGCGGCCGCCTCCGGGGTTGTGGTTGTCGACATCTCTGGGGTGGTGAAAACAGCTGAAAGGGGCCCTGACCAAGGGATATAGGGGCTTCGTCGCCTTTTGGGGATCGGAAGAAGACGGAGAGGGGAAAACGAGAACTTGGGGAGGGAGTGGTTTTGTAGTAAGAGACGGAAGAAGTTAACTGATTTAAGGGAAAATCCACCGGGCGGAGAAAGGAGGAGGGTACTGGGTACCTGAACTAATGCGGAGAATCCGCCCACTCCAATGGTTCCCTATACCTCGGGGCTCCTCCCGGTCGGCTATTGAGAAACTCGGTTACGGTCTCTCTCTCTCTCTCCAAAAGATTCTGATCATAAAATGGCATTTTTTGGCTCAGTGTTTTTCTATCCACTTGGACATCCAGTGCCTCACATCGCAACCCCTTTCCCTGGCCTATTTTCGTCTGATCGAATTGGGTGGGTCGGTGAAAGACGGTTGGGCCCAACATTTCACGTGTACTCGATTCTCCCCGTAGCCGTCAGACCATTGTGATCCAACGATTCGACAAGGATCTTAGTGCTGGGTATGATGTGCGGTGTGGAGAATGCCTAGACGGCCTGGTCTTTGTTTTGCTTTTTCGAAGGGATCCTGGTTGCATCGGTCCCGGAGCAGAGAGGGTCGGCTTCCGAGGTCTTACACGTCCCCCCCCCCCGTTCGGCCTATACAAGTGCTACTCTGAAACTACTCAGATCTTACGAAAGGAGGCCCCGCTGACATGACCAATCATGATGCTTTGAGGAAGTGCTGTTACAAGGCCCGCTCGAATCGGTCAAGTCCTATCATACAACATGAGAACATATCATAGGGAAACAAAATAATACATATTACCGAAAACTCGGCGAGGCAAGACATTAAGGAAATCCTTCCGTTCCAGAAATCCGTGTTTTGAGTTTACAGCTTGGCGCCAACCAGCTTGGCGTAGGCCTCGGTGCTGAAGGACTTGGGGCGCTCAATGGGCATGCCAAGAGCACGGTCGATGATCAGCTGGGGCAGGACACCAAGGGCACGGGAGACACCGAACAGGACGGTGTAGTAGTTGGCCTCGGTCAGACCGTAGTACTGCAGAAGAACACCGGAGTGGGCATCCACGTTGGGGTAGGGGTTCTTGGTCTTGCCGTGCTCGGTCAGAACACCGGGGGCGATCTTGTAGACCTGGCTAACCAGCTTGAACATGGGGTCATCGGGCAGCTTGCGCAGAGCAAACTCACGCTGCGACACGTAGCGAGGGTCAGTCTTACGCAGAACGGCGTGACCGTAGCCGGGGACGACCTGGCCGGCGTTCAAGGTGGACCACAGGTAGTCAGTGATGGACTTGTCGGTAAGGTCGTTGCCGACGGCCTGCTTCATCTTGGTGAGCCAGTTCAGGACCTCCTGGTTGGCCAGACCGTGGAGGGGACCAGCCAGACCCTGGAGACCGGCCGAGAGAGACAGCATGGGGGGAGCTCAGGGCAGAGCCGACCAAGTGGGTGGTGTGGGCGCTGACGTTGCCTCCCTCGTGGTCGGAGTGAATGGTCAGGTACAGACGCATCAGCTCAACGAAGTCCTTGTTGCCGGCGAAGCCGAGCTGGTTGGCCAAGTTGTACGAGTAGTCCTTGTCCTTTTGGATAGGAGCGACCTTGCCGTCCTTGAAGACGTTACGGTAGATCTTGGCCGCGATGGTAGGGAGCTTGGCGATCAGGTCCATGGAGTCCTCGAAGGTGTAGGTCCAGTACTCCTTCTTGTTGACACCCTTGGCGTAGGCCTTAGCGAAGGCAGACTCGTGCTCCAGAGCGGTCACGGCCAGAGAGAACTGGGCCATGGGGTGAAGGGTGCTGGGGCATCGGTCGATGAGCTCCTCAACGAACTGGGGGACATCGGAGCGGGCGGCCCACTCGGCGGACAGGTCGCGAACCTGCTGCTCCGAGGGGATCTCGCCAGTGAGCAGAAGCCAGAAGAGACCCTCAGGAAGGGGCTCCTCGCCGCCGGGGGCCTTGGGGAGCAGCTTCTGGATCTCAGGGATCTACATAGGCACCGGGAGGGTCAGCAATGCCGGGAACTATAATGTGATAAAAGTACCACCAAACATATCCAGTTGACTTACAGTGCGGCCACGGAAACGGATACCCTCCTCCGAGTCAAGGACGGAACCCTGAAAGATAAATATGATTAGTCGCGGCGCGAAAGGAGCGCAATGCACTCGAGCTCGGATGTACTCACTTCCCAGACGAGGGACTTGATTCCACGGGCACCACCGTAGGCCTGGTCGAGGGTAACCTCGCCGATAACCTTGTTGCCGAATTCCCTAAATTTAAATCAGTACCTGGCACGGAAGAGGCTTCCGGTGGACGACATACTTGCGGAGCTTCTTGACCTTCTCGATCTCAGCAGGCAGGTTGTCGGCAAAGGTGTCCTTGAGAGACTGTCCAAGTCGTTAGCATTCCAATTCAAGGGCCATCAGGAAAGAGCAGCGCGTACCTTGGCCTTTGCGGAAGAATAGCAGCGCGCGCCGTTCAGGACAGCAGTCTGAACGGGCTTAGCCACAGAGGACCGCAGAGCGGTAGAACCAATTCGGAGAGAGGAGGCCATGTCGACTCTATGAAGCAAAGTAAACAAAGATGGGGGAATGGAGGGGAGAGGAAAAAGGGAAGAAAAGCAGCGGGAGCTCCCTTGGAATTTTTTTCGTAATATACGGTAGAATCAGGTTGACCATGTAATTTACCTCTTCCCAACGGTAACACCGAGTAAAAGGCTCGGGCTGCCGGGTGGAGCTTGCCCAGCAATCCGACCCATTCCGCCTCTTATCCGCGGCTCGCAGCTTCTTCGGGCTTTGAGGTGTAGGCGTTGCGACTGTTAGGACCACTGAGACTACTAGGACTACTAGAACTGCCGAGCGTGTTGAACCTGCTAGCACTGCGAAAACTTAACCATTGCGGCTCGGTTGTGAGTTGTGCAAGGTTTCCCTAGGATGCCCTTCCCCTTACGAGTACCCCGGTACGGTATTACCAAAGCAATGACGTCGGCAAGTTGCCATTGTGATGTCCCGTGCCGTCATCCGCATCTCCGAATCTGAATGAACTATACCCTCGGCATTGTGGGCGGGGGCCCATCTTATGCAGCGGGAGAGGGAATCCCCTGAACTCGTGCGCAGTTCCGAAAGGTGTACATGTAGGCTCCCTGGCAAACTGCCTCGTCGAGTTGGCATTCCGTTTGTAACCGATAGTCATCTGAAAGGGCTCACCGAAATCCGGGGGGGGGGGGTAGGAGACCTTCGGGACAGCCAGAGATCTACCAGAGTACTGGAAATAACTGATGCAGGACAAAGGAACGATTCATGTGTAGGTACCTTATGTACATGAATGACGGCTGGGACTATATTTATTGAATTAGATTCTAGTCCGCTCCCCGACAGATGAATATATTCATTCCTCTTTCGGCGATTCTTTCCATTCTCACGATACACTTATGACATATTTACAGCAATGACAGCATATACACCATAAGTCCATCGTTTGTTTTGATGCCATCTCCTATAGTGAGTGGAGCGCCTCATGCTACTAGTTATCTGTCTTGAAAGTCAGGTTCATTGGCAGGAGTCCGTAGCCTAGGAAACCTCTCAGACCGGGCTCCGTTTTATCACATGACCTGCGACTAGCTCAGAACGTAACACGGGTCACATGATAATCACGTGTAGATTATTCTAAGACAGGACTAGTGCACTGACACGCAGATTCTTCCCTTGGGGGTGTGTGTTCCTTTCACTTCCTCACTTCACGAACTCCCCGTCCCCGTCCCCCATCTTTTCCATCTCCTGTCCATCTCACCCATCATCTCGACCGTCTTTCTTCTACCCACGGATTCTCTGTACTACCGTAAATCCGTCGCTAATCACGGACTCGTCGGTCCTGGATCTGCAGTACGCGCCTTAGGTTGTACCTTCTCGTACTCTTAATTCTCGTACTTTCCCACCGGCTCAGCCGTGGCTATCTACCTGGTGGACATTTTCCATACGCTAGGCTGTATTCCAGCTGTAGGCGGCGTCGCTTAAAGTTTGCTTTGGTCTCCTCAGTGAATACGCTGCTGTAGTGCAAGGCCAACCATTAAGATTATTCTGCTCCGGAAGTCGACTCTTCTCTCTAATCTTGTTTCTCTTGCCCAAAAAAAAGAACAGAGCTCACTTTCTTCTTCACTCCTCATCTCCCCGGAAGTAGCGACGGCCTCGCGACTTGTTCTACTGGTCGCAGACGGCAATAGAGTGGAACGTCCAACTTTCCTTATTCTTTCTCGTCTCTCACACGCGCCATGTCATCGGCTGTAGCGGAGTTGGAGAACTATCTCCAGTCCATGCTGGCTCTGAAGCCTCCAGGCGTCTCTGGTTCCAAAATTGGCAGTATCACGGCTCTGTGCACTGCAAACGTTCAGGTATGGGCTCAACGGCGCTTTAAATCTCCAAGAAACGACTTGCTAACTGATCTCAGAACGAATCGGTTCTGATCCAAAAGATTTTCACCCATTTCAAGAAGGCACCGGGCACGCACAAGCTGGGGGGTGCTCTATGTCGTAGACTCTGTAACTCGACAATGGGTAGAGGCCGCTCGAAAGGCTGGGCAGACTCCCGGGCCTGACGCCCCCGATGGAACCTTTGCTGCAGGCGTGCACCGAGTCTCAGAGCTGCTCCCGGTGCTGATGGACAATATCATAAACAACGCCCCACAAGATCAAAAGGTACGCACTAGACATGCATTTTAAGCCGCGGGGCTTCTTTCCCCAGGTTTTGGGGGCCGAACCGCCGCTGGCTAGATAACCGTATTGGGATTGGATCGTATAACTCATGGTGTTTTGCGATCTGTATAGGAAAAGATCAAGAAACTGATCGACATTTGGGAGCGAGGCTACACCTTCCCCGCGCCTTTACTTGCTTCATTCCGCGAGAAATTGAACGCTCCCCCGCAAAGTAAGCTGCCTTCCCCTACCAATTCTCCTTCGCCTCTCTTTCGTTAGTGGTCAGTTCGCGAACTCAATCCTCTAACTTCCCCTCCAGATGTCGAATCGACAACTCCAGAAGGCTCACCTGCCCCTGGCCTGAACAGCATGGCGCCGACCCAACCTCCTGCAACGAACGGCGCAGCTCCCGATACCTCTAGCATCCTCAAGGCATTAGCTGATATGGCGAAACAAAACACAGCCGCCCCTGCTGCTGCTCCTGTCACCGCTCCTGCGAACCCTCTCGCTGCCTTGAATCCATCCATCCCTCAGGTCTCCTCTGCCGACTCGACTCTCTCACCTTCTACCGCAAACCCATATGCTACTACCGCCGGCGTGGCAAACCCCTACGCTGCCTTAGCCGGCTTCGCTCAGAATCCTGCCCTTGGCCAGCCGCAAAGCCAAAGCCAGACCCCCAACCCAATGGCTCCCGCACCTAATCCCATGGCTGCAATGCTGCCCCAGGCCGCAGCCCCTCCCATGGGAGATGGAAATGCATTCACACAACAGCTGCAGCTTCTTCAGATGCTTGCAGCGCAGGGGGTTCCGCAAGATCAGTGGGGCACTGCGCTGCAAATCTTCAATATGACCAATTCAATGGGTTCCACCCCAGGCCAGCTCCCTGGATTCAATGCTATGCCAGGTCAAATTCCCGGTGGCTGGAGTGCTCCGGACGGCCAGGGTCGTGATGACCGTGAGCGGGACTATAATCGCTCTCCTGGTGGCTACCGCCGTCGCTCTCGCTCCCCCGGCTGGGACCGCCGCCGAACCGCATCTCCTCCCCGCCGCCGCGACAGCCCAGTGTATGGCGACTACCACGGTGATTCTCCCGGTCGCCGAGGGGATCCACGGGATGCCCGCGGCCGTCGTGGGAATGAGTATCGCCAACGAAGCCCTCCTGGACGTCGTCGCCGCTCCCCTTCACCTAAGGGCAAGGATCCAAATCTCCCACCTCCGGGGCCCAAGCTGATCGAGTGGGATTATTCCATCGGCCAAGGGAACATCAAAGTTCTCAGCCGGACTCTGTTCGTTGGCGGCGTTACCTCCACCGAAGCTCATCTGCGTGGTCTTTTCAACAAATTCGGCATCGTACAGACTTGCATCGTCAATGTCGATAAACGCCACGCTTTCATCAAGATGATCACTCGCCAGGATGCTATTGCTGCTAGGGATGGCATGGAATCATTCCGCTCGGGGGAGATGCAACTGCGTACTCGCTGGGGTGTTGGATTTGGCCCGCGTGACTGCAGTGACTACCAGACTGGAGTCAGTGTGATTCCTATCGAGCGTCTCACCGAGGCTGACCGGAAATGGATGCTTACTGCGGAATATGGTGGCACTGGCGGTCGGCCCATTGAGTCCGGCATGGTTGTTGAAGAGCCGGACATTGAAATTGGCGCTGGTGTATCCTCGAAGGCCATTAGTCGCCGTATCCCCACTGACGCTGGCGGTAAGCGCGGCCCTGTATCCACTCGCACCAATGATCGGTTCCCTGTGGGTGGCGGTCCTGGTGGGCGCCGTCAAGAGCGCGATGGATTCGGTGGATCGGGCATGCCCCCTCAGAACGACCGCCCCGACTTTGGCAATCTCAACAACCCTGCAGTTCCCCCCGCGGTCCCTGCGTATGGTTTCAACTTCCCGGGTATGCCCATGCTTCCTCCTGGTTTCATGATGGGAGGGACCCAGGCCGGTTCTATGCCATCCAGTCAGCCTCCTCCCACAGGTCAGGGCAACTAGAGCAACCAGATCTTACCTTAATCTCTCCCGCGATGTTCTTCTCCCCCACTGGCTTGGTCTCACCCGTCGTATTGTTTTTTTTTAATCCAACACTCATGCATATGGGTACTCGGTTTTCAGGTCCATGTTGGGCCTTGGCGTTTTAGTGGTTTGGTAGGCTTCGTATCAGTTCGGTGGAGAGGCTCTTTGCGCTATCTTCGTTTCTCTTTCTCTTTGTCTTTTTTCTTTTTCCTCTTTTCTCATTTCCCTATCTTGCTGTCGTCTTTCACATTCATGTGTTACATTGCATATGCCCACTGCGGATTGGGAGGATGGTTTAAAGATGCTAAGCTCCCAAGGTTGGGCTAAATTCCTACTGTATTTTGGATTTTTATTATAAGCTCTGTGTGTCTCCCTATCGTAGAACCATTACCTTGTCAGCATGCGGCGCCCCTTCACAATGTAGGAAATTTTGGAATCCTCCCGAAAGCTGCTGACTCTGGTCAGAGGCGTGTTTACTAAAGCGGATGTTAATGGATGAAAGCATCTGACATGTGTTCCAAGGATGACGGGGTGTCCATTCATCTCCTGAGTAAACCCCTTTTAGCCAGGATACGATATCAGACCTCTCAAGGTCATCTCATATAAGAACAAATGTGGTATATGTATATAGTCTCCTAGTTTCGTAACTGCATTACTATGGTGTTCGGCCATCAGCGCAAAAGAAGGTTGCGGCACCCTTCTTCCCCTAGTCGCTGATTTTGAGTGAAGAGGTTGCCCGTCTATTCTTCTTATCTTTGGATTGGGCTCATCAAGCAGTACGGTCAGGGATTGCTGCCTTAGATGCCTTGAATGACTGCTCAAAGTCCGCAATGATGTCGTCAATATGTTCTGTGCCAACCGAAATACGAATGCCATCTTCCGTAACGCCAGAATCCAGCTTCTCCTGGTCAGAAAGCTGCTCATGGGTTGTAGACCAAGGATGGATAGCCAGAGTCTTCGAGTCACCAACACTGGTCAATATAGTCAGTAAATTTCGGGAAACGCGGGGCTTGATAAAGGTTTCCGAGAGGGCCAACATACTTCGCAAGATTGGAGATCAACTTGAAACCATCAACGACTTGGCTTCCGGCAGCAGCGCCGCCTTTGACACCGACTGAAAGGACACCACCAAAGCCCCGTTTCAAGTACTTCTTCGCAGTCGCATGGGAGGGATGATCTTCAAGACCGGGGTAAGAAACCCAGCTAACGTGCTCATTCTGCTGAAGCCACTTTGCCAGAGCCAAAGCATTGGTTGCATGGCGTTCCCCCCGGAGACTCAGAGTCTCCAGCCCGAGAATCAGCTGCTGGGCCGCAAATGGGTTTAATGTAGAGCCGAGGTCGCGGAGAAGCTCAACTCGAACAGCAATGGCAAAAGCTATAGGGCCGAAAGTCTCCCAGAATTTCAACCCGTGGTAGCCTTCGGAGGGCTCGACTAGCTGTGGGAAACGAGCAGCATTCTTGCCCCAGTCGAACTTGCCGCTGTCCACAATCACACCCCCGATGGTAGTTCCATGACCCCCGATCCACTTCGTGGCACTGTGTACGACGATATCGGCCCCATGGTCAATAGGACGGATGAAGTAGCCACCGGCTCCAAAAGTGTTATCCACCTAGCAGGAAAAATGCCGCGAGATAAGCGAAGATGTTCTGCTTTCGTTTCTCGGTATTGAACTCACCACTAAGGGGACACCCTTCTCGTGAGCCACTTCGGCAATAGCCTCGAAATCAGGTACATTGTATCTGGCTCCATCGTTAGCCGGCTCATTCGAACGTGGTTCTCTCCTACCGGTGGAACCCAGGTCCCATGTCTTACCGTGGATTGCCAATTGATTCCACATAGACAGCCTTTGTTCGGTCGTCGATTGCAGCTTTAATATCCGCGGCATTGTCACCCTGCACAAACTTCGTGGTGATTCCAAAGCGAGGGAACAGGACTTTGAACTGATTGTAAGTCCCACCATATAGATTGCTGGTAGAGACGATGTTATCGCCCGATCTTGCCAACGCAGCGATGGTCAGGAACTGGGCTGCTTGTCCAGACGAAGCCGCGACGGCAGCAACACCACCTTCCAGAGCCGCAACACGCTTCTCAAGTCAGCGCAAGTTACACATATAGCCATATACGAAAGGCTACGCAAGCCCAGTGGAAGCTCATAATGTGATCTTGTTCTCTTACCTTCTCGAACACATCGACCGTCGGGTTCATGATACGTCTTGTGGGAAGTTAGCTTCCAGTTCGGGCGCATTGGAGCAGGGGACCTTTACGAATATATGTTGCCGAATTCCTTGAGGCCGAAGAGCCTTGCGCCATGGGCAGAGTCATTGAAGTTGAAGGAGGTAGTGGCATAGATCGGGACTGCTCGGGCATTGGTGGTGGGATCTGGTTCCTGGCTAGAACATTGTTAGCTTCTAGAATTCCGTGCCAGCCAGAGATCAGCTTACCCAGCATGAAGCTGGAGAGTCTCAAAGCGAAGGTTCTGGTCGGACATCTTGACAATGCGGAGCGATACACGGAGCTACTGGTAGGAAAAAGCTTGCTCTCGGCAACAGGGGGTCAAGTATCTGCGATACGAACGGGCAGCACTCTTTAACATCGGCCTGAGGGAGGGGCATGTCCTTTTAAAACTATAAGGGGGCGGTACGATGGCGTGATTGAGTCTCCCGGGCGAACGCTTCCACCGTCCAAAGTTCATTCCGGAGACTGCAGCTCCAATTACGACATCTTCCAGCAGCCAATAGAAAGAGACAACCCGCCAAACAACCCCCCACAGACCTGACTTTGGCGGGGTATAGTCAGTAGTAGCTCCACTATTGTGACCCTGAGCACTCAGGGTCCAATGTCTGTTTGGAGGTTGGCGGTACGGCACTCAGACCCGATGGACTGCTGCTCCTCGGTGCTGGTAACGAACATGGATTCAAAATGGGAGCAACGGTCAGATACAAGCAGTATGGGGTACGGAAAGTCAAATATATACATAGGATTCCAAGAATCACAAAATGAGCACTTTCCATGCTTCCCTCTGACTCCACAGTAAAGTGAAGAATTCTTCCCCAAAGGGCATAGATGAACAGTCCAAGTCCTGCTATATCGATTCCCGGGGTTGAGGATTGAGACCAATCCAGAGTACTTGCATGGATGTGTACTGAAGTACCGTGCCGCCCGGGCAGACCTCCACCCGATTATTTGGTGGGATTGGCCAGTATGTTTGGGCAGTTTGCACCGCTACACGCTTCTGCACGCCCTCGATAGATGCTTTGACCTTGGAATGTTTCGATGTTTTGGATATTTTGGATGCTTACAACTTTGGAGGCCCCAAGGGCATATAAAACTGGCTCGCTAGCTGGGGCAAGTGTAGCACTAGAATTCAATCCCAATCAGTGTGGCTTATGCTGCAGATTTGACTGGTCTCTGGGCTTTGTAGCGCATGTCCGTATTCCTTTCTTAGTGTTAAAGCTACTAGTAAGTCCTTGCAGCCGCAGCATTAGCCCTTTCTTAAAGGATTCCCAATCACGGTAACGACTCGGAACCCGGCACCCATTAATGTTTTACATGGAACCGGCCTCGACGATGTTATGATCAATAGTAGGTCCATTGTGGTTGAAGTGCAGAAGCGGAACCCCTTCCCCAAAATCCTCGAACTGGTTGGAGTTGTCACCTTGGACTCGTTGCGGGGCCGCAGTGACAAACGGACGTTTGAGCAGTTCACACCCTTTGGGGTCTACTCCTTGCGCAGTAAAGCTGACTACTTATAAGAGTACGCCACAGGCTGTCGGGGCGACACCGATTGAGGAGATTGCTTATGACATAGTCAAGGGTAAGATGGAGTTGCCTATCAAAACATTCACTCTGGATCAAGTTATGGAAGCGCATCAGTTGTTGGACCAAAGATCCTGGGCTACGATTATCATCTTACCATAGCCATCTGAGAGTGCGCCCCGTGAGCTCTTGAAGTAGTGATCGACGGAGTACGCATCTTGCGATATCTAGGCGATAGTAATACTCCATGTCCGCATGCATAGAGCATATTCACTGAGTCCTCAAACCCCTGTTGCCTAGTGCTATGTATGCTTCTGTGGCTCGTGATCTATCTTCCGTCATTTTATCAGTAACTCCTTTTGTGGCATACGAAAGATGAAAAACCTGAATGGACCAGTCCCGGTCTGTGGGGTGCCGAGGTTTGAGACAAGGGGCTCATTAGCCAAAAGCATGACGTCCTAGCTAGGACCCAGCATAGGATCCAATGCAGATAGCTCTATCCAAACACGCAATGGTTACCTAAAATAAAGGTTTGTAAACATTACACGAGTCTGAATTTTAGGCAGTGAAGCCTCACCCCACCAGTGGCGGTGCACTTCTTCAAGTTACCTAACGGACAATCATGCCAAGAGGCCCGAATAAATCTCGACAGGCAGCAGCTTTCGATATAACCTTACATATCACTCCCTGCAACAAATACATTCCACGGTCGATCTGAAGGTGAGTGTGAGGGGGCTCATTCCCCAGCAGCCCTATTGGGCAGCATCAGCTGCAGGGTGACACCTGACCCGAAGCTGTTTCCCCAGGGGCGCTCGTCGCGACGCCGCTGATTTCATTCTAGTATATTGTACTAAACCCACGTCTTCGCCCAGGTTTACCGCTCCAAAACTATCACCGAGTCGTTCGCATACACACCATTTACAATGATACCGTGGATCCACGTTGTTCGTGCCGTGCAAGTCGTTTTCGCCATTATCATACTAGGGTTGACAGCATACGGTCAGTCGTCCCAAAGCAGACCTTCGAGGTGAGACTAATCTTCAGCAGTGGTCAGTACATGGGATGGATGGAATTACTCGAGCACAGTTGATTTCAACCTCTTCACGAGCGTCTGGACAGCGTTCCTTGCGACCCCGTATCTAACAGTCGCCCCTCTCCACGCGCCCAATCTAGCACACCCCTTCGTAGTGTTGGGGGTGGAGGTGGTGACGATGATCTTCTGGTTTGCGGGCTTCATCGCCCTTGGAGCCCAGTTGCCCCCGCCGGCGGCCTGTGTCTGGAGTACCTGTCACGCGCTTCAGGCCGCCACGGTCTTTGCCTCGTTTGAATGGTAAGTGCATGATTGCGTCGAAACTGGGCTGGTTAATAACTCTGATCATCCGTAGGGCCCTCTTCGCCGTGACAAACTTCTTCGCTGTTCTTGATGTCTTGAATCACCGAAACAGCGGCGAAAGCGCCCAAAAAACACCGCACAACGCCCATCTCGGGGTTTGAGGATGGGCGCTAAGCTCCAAGTCCCATGGAGTTTGCGTTGGTGATTTGCTTTTCGCCTCTTGCGTCTGAATGTTTCACGATACCCGATGATTGATGACCAGCCATGGCGGTGTTTTAAGCTTTGTATGCGGGAAGCCACGATATGTCATTTGTATTAGTTGTGGGATCGAATTTATCAAAAGCCCCCGCTCTTATCGGGGCAACCCGAACCAAGAACGGAAAGGATGTTCCGCAAGCGGAACTCACCAATTCGTTCCCAACACCCTGAATTCTATGATGTCTACAGAGTACTGGAAGAGCTCAACTTACATGAGAGGATTGAAGCTGTTTTCCTAGGTCTGTAAACAGGGTCCTCCAATCTTGAGGCCGAAAGCTGGGGTTTGTCACACCGGGCCTTTTTAGCTTCAAAGTTAATTTCTCACAGCCAATAATTTAAATCCTACATTAGGGGGAACGAAGGGTTTCGAACCCTTAAAAACCTGGAGATAAGCCAGGCGCATTGGTCGCCACCGAGTCAGACAACATAGGGAAGAGATAAATCCAACCGAGTAAAAAGCAAGGAAAAAAAGAAAAATTCGTTCCAATCTCGGTCTCTGGTCCGTTAAGGCCCACATTTTGGCTTGAGGGGCAAATTTTTTCTTAGTTCCGGAGATGTCGCGGTCTCGTGCGGCGAATATAGAAAGTCAAAAAATGCCATTGCGCCAACTTCTCCGAACAAAAAAAAACGAAAAAGAATTCGTGTCACTTCTCCCGTGTCAATAATCCTTCCCCTTGTATCGTCCAATTCACCAAGAGGGGTTGGAGCATCTCTCCGCACGGCCTTGGGGACTCGGACTCGCCCGCTCCTGCAGCGACGTTTGGAACCAAGAGTGGAGAATCGGCGCGCCTTTTGCAAATCTTGCCCCTAAGGTCAATTGGTCTCTCTCTCAACCGGCCACTTTGCACATCGCTCCTCGGAGTCAGAGATGGACGCAACACAGGCATCATTGGAGAAGGGAAAGATGGACCAAGACGGGCCCATCACACAGGTACAGCCGGAACCTGCGCACCCATATGATGTCGACTATGAAGAGAAGCATGGAGCACCGGCCAGTGCCGAGCCCGACCTCAAACGGGGTCTGAAGTCGCGACACCTTCAGATGATTGCTATCGGTAAGTCAAACGGAGGCCTTATGGGATGAAAAATGTGTCTGACTCGCGGTCCTTCATAGGTGGTACTATCGGAACGGGACTATTCATCAGTAGCGGAGAGGCCGTTTCCACAGCCGGTCCTGTGGGCGCCCTGATCGCGTATATGTTTGTCGGCTCCATTGTCTATAGTGTCATGACCGCTCTGGGAGAGGTGGGTTCTTGGATCTTGTCCCAATTTACCGTAAGACTGGGCGCTGACTGACATGTCTCCAGGTTGCTACCTACATACCCGTCGCAGGAGGTTTCACGAGCTACGCAACCCGTTTGATCGATCCTAGTCTGGGCTTTGCCATGGGCTGGATCTACTGGTTTTCCTGGGCATCGACCTTCGCATTGGAATTGACCGCCACCGGTCTGATCATCCAATTCTGGGACCCCACAATTCAGATTGCCATCTTTATTGCAGTCTTCTGGGTGGTGATTATCGTCTTTAATATGCTCCCTGTGAACTTCTATGGTGAGCTGGAGTTCTGGTTCTCGAGTATCAAGGTGCTTACGGTGATTGGGTTCATGATCTTCGCTATCTGTATGAATGCTGGCGTGGGCGATGAGGGTTACCTGGGGTTCAGATACTGGGTCCATCCGGGTCCGTTTGTCCCTTATGAACATGTCCACCCAGATTCTTTGGCCAAGTTTGTCGGTTTCTGGTCTGTCCTGATCCAGGCCGGATTTTCTTACCAAGGAACCGAATTGGTTGGCATCGCGGCGGGTGAAACCGAGAACCCCCGTAAGACGATCCCTTCCGCGATCCGAAAGACCTTCTACCGTATCATCTTTTTCTTCGTCTTGACCGTCTTCTTCATCGGTATCGTGGTTCCCTCAAACGACAGCCATCTGGTGTCGAGTGGTGGCACCGATGCCAGTTCCAATAACGGAAACGGCTCGCCATTTGTGATCGCAGCACGCCGAGCCGGTGTTGCAGTGCTTCCATCTTTAATTAATGCGGTTCTCTTGACGGTGGTCCTTTCGGCCGCGAACTCGAACGTCTACAGCGGTAGTCGTATTATCGTCGGTCTCGCGCAGGAAGGCTTCGCACCACGGTTCTTCACGAAGACCAGCAAAGGCGGAGTGCCATACTATGCTGTGGGCTTTACGGCTCTGTTTGGGTTGCTGGGCTTCCTCAATGTGTCCAATGCGGGTTCGACGGTGTTCACTTGGTTGCTCCAGATCTCGGGCGTCGCCGGTTTCATTACCTGGTGCTCTCTCAATGCCTGTCATCTAGCATTCCAGCGCGCTTTGAAGGCCCGTAACATCTCCCGCGACGTGCTGCCTTACAAGGCCATGTGGCAGCCATGGTTTTCCTGGTACGGCCTGTTCTTCAACGTCCTTATCATTCTCACTCAGGGATTTACCTGTTTCTTCCCGACGTTCTCCGTCGAGGACTTTTTCATCAACTACCTGAGTCTGATCTTGTTTGTGGTACTTTACATCGGCCACAAGGTGATCTTCCGCCCTTCGTTCGTTAGGTCGCTCGAGGCGGACCTTGACACCGGCCGAACGACTTTCGAAAACGAGACGTGGGAGACGAACGAGCCAAAGTCAACCACGTGGTATGTTAAGCTATGGCAGTGGATTGGCGGCTAAGACCTGCCCCGGGGTTCAGTTCTCCTGTTGCATATTTCCTTGATCCTGTTTAGTTTTTGTTCTCATGTAGCATTCTCCCTTGTGGCATGGCGTTGGGTACTTCGAATCAAATCCGTGTGATAAAATTCACGGACCGCACGTAGAAATACATCATCATACATACTCCTATCCCATCCTGACCTTTCCCACGCGCCGTGCGATACCCGAGGGGAGCCCGAAAAGCCAATCTCGTTGCGACCTGAGTTCTGCCGAGTACGCCCTTCCATGTGATATCGGCATGTGGAGGACATCTGCGCGCATGACGATCAGCCCGGGGCGACTGGCAGGATCGCGCCAATCAGACGTTCTCCATAGTGACCAACTGCCTTCGATTTGGTTTCTGATTGTTTTTCCTGTGCGCTTCTAAGGAGAGGGGTATTGGATTGTAGTCGAGCTATCGGCACACTAGTTTTTGCCAGGAATCAAATTATTTGTTTCAAAATTCGACGGTCTGCCGGTATCTAATTGTAGTGGGCCATAGTGACCGAAAGTACCCCAACCGCCCAGAATCAGCCGAGGTCCATTGTACGCCCATGAACCCCGAGCCCCACACTTCGACCCACTTGCGGTAATGCGCGCGCACCCAAAAGGGTTGTCTTCTCCGGATTTTGTTCACTTTTCCCCAGTCCACCTCCCTTTACCCACATCTCCTCTCTGCTGTCGAATTCCCCGGGAGGCCAGCTTCTCTCCTTTCCGCGTTTCTCTCTCTCGCTCTCCCTCTCTCTATAGATTACAGAACCATTGAGGTATGTGAGGTTCGTCGGATCCTTGAAGCGTTTAGTATTGACACGTGCATTAGATCGCTATTCGCCATGTTCTTCTCCCAACCTCCCCACCTCGCAAAGGCAGAGGAGCTTCGGCAGGAGCCTCCGAAGGGCACACCCTATGCGGTGGGGATTCCTGGAACAGAGCAGCCTGGCCGCAGTCGCGTGTATCGGGCATGGAACTCGCAAAAGGATTTGCTTGCATCATTGGATCCTGAGGTATGATTTCTCAGCTTGGGAGCCGTATGGCCCCTATGGCACAGGATCGTGAGGCTGAGATCACATCTTCCCCAGGTTTTGACCGCCCACGACATGTTTGAATCGACAGCGAAGCGCTCACCGAACAGCCCTTGCCTTGGATGGCGCCCTTTCAACCCCAAGACGAAGACCTTTGAGCAATACCAGTGGATGACATATGAGACCGTTCAGAAGCGACGTGCGGCCTTCGGTGCTGGCCTGGTAGAGCTGCATCATAAGCATGAATGCCACCGTCCCGGCCAGTACGGTATTGGTCTCTGGTGCCAAAATCGGCCAGAATGGCAAATTACCGGTAAGCCGACCTCCCAGAACGGGCCATGGGATACAAAACGGGGATTAATTCAATCGTAGATTTGGCTTGTATGTCCCAGGGCCTCTTCTCGGTCTCTATCTATGACGTTCTGGCTTCCGATGCCACCGAATACATTATCAACCATGCAGAGTTGAACTGTGTCGTCACCTCCCTTCCTCACATCCCGACCCTCCTCAAGTTGAAGAAGTCTTTACCCAACCTCAAGATGATTGTCTCGTTGGACCCCCCTGGATGCGGGCGAGCAGGATGGCCACTCCAAGCGTGCTATTTTGGAGTCCATGGCTGCTGGTCTAGATGTCGCCATATACACCATCGACGAGGTCGAAGCTTTGGGTGAGGCATCCAAGCGCGGCTATAATCCTCCCACTCCAGATGATATCATCACCATCAACTATACCTCAGGTACCACTGGACCCCCCAAGGGCGTGGTTCTGACCCACGAGAATGCCGTCGCAGCTACCTCGGCCAGTCTTCTGACCATTGGCCAGAGTAGCAATGATAGCATGTGCTCGTACCTTCCCCTTGCCCACATTTTCGCCCGTCTTGTGGAGCACGCAGCCTTATGGGGCGGTGCTCGCATTGGTTACTTCCACGGTAACGTAGCCGAGCTGGTAGATGACTTGAAACTCCTGAAGCCAACAGGCTTTATCTCCGTCCCGCGCCTTTACACCCGCTTCGGTATTGCCATTCGTTCTGCGACAATTGAAGCCCCCGGGTTCGCCGGTGCTTTGTCGCGATACATCGTGTCTGCCAAGACCGCCAACCTGAAGAACTCGCACACTTTCAAACATGCCTTGTACGACCGCATCTGGGCCAAGAAGGTGGCATCTGCCCTTGGCTTGGAACGTGCCAAGTACATGGTTTCCGGATCTGCCCCCTTGGATCCATCGTTACATGACTTCCTACGTATTACGACTGGAACCCCCCCTTCTCCAGGGATACGGCCTGACCGAGTCGTATGCCTGCACGGCGGTGCAGTCTCTTGAAGATACCACCACCGGAACCTGTGGTCGCCTTGGTCCTTGTGTCGAAGCATGTCTCGCGTCCTTGCCAGACATGGAGTACTCTGTGGACGACAAGCCCTTCCCCCGAGGAGAACTCCTCCTGCGTGGCAAGAGCATATTCCGCGAATACTTCAAGAACCCTGAAGAGACCGCCAATGCTGTCACTGAGGATGGCTGGTTCCGGACCGGAGATGTGTGCACCCTGGATGCGAAGGGCCGATTCATTATCATTGACCGCCGCAAGAACGTGCTCAAGCTGGCACAGGGTGAATATGTCTCCCCTGAGCGACTCGAAGGTGTTGTGCTGTCAGAGCTTGGATATCTCGCCCAAGGATACATCCACGGCGACAGCTTACAAACCTTCCTTGTTGGTATCTTTGGCGTTGCGCCCGACTCATTCGCTCCCTGGGCAAGCAAAGTTCTCGGGCGAACCATCGAGCCCACAGACTTGGAGGCAATCAAGACAGCGGCCGAAGATGACAAGATTCGCCGTGCTGTGCTGCGAGATCTGGCCCGCGTTGCTAAGAAGCACAAGCTTGCTGGTTACGAGCGGGTTCGCAACGTTGCTCTGAGATTGGAGCCTTTCACTATTGAGAACAACCTTCTTACGCCAACGTGAGTTTCCCATGGGTTTCTCCGGACCAAGCCTTTGTCTTTACTAATTTTTTGCCCAGGCTTAAACTGAAGCGCCCCCCTACTACCAAGATGTACCGCACGCTCTTGGATCAGCTCTACGCTCAGGCTTTGGAAGAAGAAGCTGCCCCCAAGGCCAAGCTGTAGTCCTGCGGTTCTGTTTCTTTGGACCCCTTCTGAATTATCGGCATCCGTATTCGATGTTATATATAGGGTTTGCATTTGGCCTCTCAATGCAGTGTAGTATTTCAACCAACAAATGTTTCTATTTCTTCTTTGGTTTGCGCAAGAAGTACAACCTGGCAGACACTTTAAACTAGACAGGAGCATTCGGATTGCATCGGAGTGAAAGAGAGAGGGCTCAATAGGAAAGTGGCAATGGATTGGCTTTATTGGCAGAAAAGAAAAAAAGGGAAAAAAAAATTGGTAAAAAAATTTACAGATAAGATGACAAGAGTGAGACTCGAACTCACGCCCCGTAAACGAGATCAGGAAATGGTGTTAAGGTAAGCCTTAACCTGACGCCTTAGACCAACTCGGCCATCTTGCCATAGATGTAGGGGTAGCCAAAATATTGCATTATGGAGTGGTCGCTCAGCCTGCTTGATTCAGCACGCTCTCGCCCCCGATTTTGTGGCGTGGCAAGATGGTACGGTGAACAGGGCTTGAGAAAAAGGAAAAAAAAAAAAAAGGGGGCGTCACACCAAGAAATTCCGGATAGGCGTGCTCCACACCGACACTAAACGCTAAAAGCAATAGGGATCTAGAATGGCGACAATGAGATTCAAGGAATTTCAAACAAAAAAGCAGAATCGAAAAATAGAATCCAATTGACAAGAGTGAGATTCGAACTCACGCCCCGAAATCGAGACACGGATGTGTGGATCAGGTGAACCTGAACCGTGCGCCTTGGACCAACTCGGCCATCTTGCCGTTGAGTAAAAGTAGTGGCCCATTTTGGCACTATGAGCCAGGTGGCTTATTCGGCTTGTTTTGGCTCACAGGCCAAGAGCGCTGCTGGGTTGGGCCTAAGCGTTCTCAGCAGTCATGGGAATGTTTCTCAATCATTTGGTCTCTCGGGAGAGTGCCCTTGTATCTTGTAGATAATACTATGGACAAACCAGGTACACCTCACCTATCAGACTCTATCTGACCACTCCCCCTCAATCCCGACCTGGAGATCGTCGCGTGATGGCTTACATACGCACGATGATATGATCCCCCTCCCCCTCCCAAGCTTCGTCTTTCAGGTTCACTTGCAACTTTGACTTGATTGCCTCCAGGCTCCTTATATGTTGCAACAATGCGACTTTCTCCGGATGTATCCATCTTCCCTCGGAAACCCTCCTTTGATTCTCCATCTCCGCCCTTGGACCCCCGCACCGCGGTTCCAGCGACCTTCTTCTTATCTTGCAATCCACATGCTGCTGAGTCAACGCATGACTCTTGTGTAGAGGACACCGGAGATTACAAAGATAATACATATGGAGTTCAAAGCCTAGCAGATATGCTATCTCAGTCCGAAGCTATTGCGAGTTCACATAGCGATATCCCGGTCCACCAACCGATAAGCCACCAGTCCCAGGATTTGGATGATGGCAAGGAACCACGACGGTCAGACCGCAGATCAACGTTGAAGCCCTTTGAAACAATCTCTCGCGATTCATCCATGCCGCCACCAGCTGATATCATCTCTCGTCCCCTAACACCACTCATCCCGGATGAGCCGTCCTTCCCTACCTAGTAGTCCGAAATCGATATCGAACCAATCACTTCGGCCCTTGGATGAAATCTCAATCACAGATGAGATCTGCAGTCCGGCCATTGGGTCCGATGAAGAGGACAGACCAGGCCCTTCGCCTCATATTGGACCAGCGAATGTCTCACAGTTAATTATGCCAAGTATCAAGATGCCAAGTCGGCGGCCATTTACAGAGAGGGGAAAGGCTATGGGCCGATTCAAAATCCTTTTGGCTGGAGCACCAGGTAGGAGAGTTCAAGATGAATGAGAGCTTCACTCAGCTAATAATCCCCCCTCGAAGGATCCGGGAAAACGTCTCTTATTAAATCCATTGTCCAAAAGTGTGAAGATATTGTCCATGTCGACGCTCTTCCCGCGACCAACAACAGCCCGGGGGAGCGGCGGCGGCCGCCACGCCCCCACACCAGTGCGAACCCCACTCGCGGTCCCGCGATCACAGAAATATACGCTAGCACTAAACCCTACCCTTCTTGGTGGTCGGATCTCGAAGATTCACGTGTATTACGCCGACGAAAGAGCATCGGGGAAATTGTCCTGGAGCGCAATTTATGCTTTGTCGACACGCCGACGACCTCACTAAGCCGAGCGGGCCACACGGACGCTATTGTGCAATATTTACGGCAGCAGCTGCACCGTGCAAGCAATTCCGTCGCAGCTGCAGGTATAGACTTTCAAAATCTACTGGCCGGCAATGGTGGCTCACAGGTAGATGCTATCCTATATCTGATATCCAGAGGTATGGCCCAAAAGCGAATAGGAAGTATATCAGGAAACTAGGACTGACGAACCTAGATTCTCTATCTAAGGATATTGAGTGTGTACGGAAACTCTGCGAGCTCAGCAATGTCATCCCGGTAATTGCTAAATCGGACATGCTTTCACCCGAGGAGTTGTCCGCCCTCAAAGCCCAATTCCATCAACAGGCACAGGTTTTAGGAGTCAGACCCTTCTTGTTTGGGGACTTACCGCCCTTTAACCTTGAAGGAACAGAACCCCAACTTCCATATGCAGTATCCTCCGAGCAAGCTGTCGACCTGGAGATAATGGACGCCAGTACATTGATGAGCCCCGACTATATACAGCCGCTTATCACATCTGAGCTAGATATTCTCGTGCAAAAGCTATTTGATCGAGATAATTTAGCTTGGATGCGTCATTCTGCCGCCAAGAAACTGATTACCCAACGAGGTGATTTTCCTTATGATCCGGCAATCAGAGGACCACCCCATAATGTATTATCTGGTAACTCTGCAGGGTGGCGTGCGGCTTGTGCGACATCCACGGCACCCAGTTATGCGATGGCGCGCTTGACGGACCACACTCAGCAAGAAGAACGAATGGCACAGGTACGCCTTGTGGACTGGGCCACAAACCTGCAGCAGAGTCTACAGAACGAGCGCGACAGATATGCCGCCTTGGCTCGTGGAGACCGTGCTGTCTGGCTCACAGAGAGGCTCAATGAGTGTGTCATTGACGGATCACTGGTGCCCATCTCGAAGACATCTGGATTCTGCGGGTTGCACGTCTCCAACCCAACCGACGCCGGCGATTCACAACCCTTGCGATCTTCCAATGAAAAATATACTTCCGGGTTTTACGTTAATAGCTTTGGCTCCCATGACCCACTTGGCGTGGTCGACTGGATCGATGACATGCGGCGGCGTGGATGGATGTTTGTTCAGATTGTCGGTAGCGTCGGGCTTGTCGGTGGCCTTGCGTTCTGGTTTGCTCGCAGCTTGGGGGTCCCAAGTCGAAGCCTGTCTGGTTTGCCTCTCGACTGGTGCGGAGGGTCAGAACGATAAGTTATGTCACGCCAGCATTTGTTGGAGTCTTTCTGAGATCAATGCGAAATCGGGCAATAACTGGGATCATCATTTGATGCATGATAGGGTTGGGGCAAGATTCTCCTCTAATGGTGCCATTTGGGTTCTTGAGTCGTGGTTGCTTTTCTTTTTATCTACTATTTCCCCGTCCAGGTCTTTGGGATACCACCGCATTTTCTAGATTCTCTTCAATCGACCTCTATGCTATGAGGCTGCCCATCACTCCGCCTTCAACCATCCCATCTTCAACCATCTCTTGAGCCACAGCTACTAGTTGCTGCATAGACGTGTTCTTTAGTTGGTCGATTTTGGCCTTTTGACCCTCTAGGGCCGCAGCAATAGCTTCCTTGTGCACCCCATCTCGCTCTTCCTCAACCGCTCCATCTCGACGAGCCAAAGCAGCGGCTCCTCGGTAGTAGGTCTGTGCATTGCGTAAAAGAGTTGAGCTGTTTTGCTGCGCCAGTGAATGGTTCCACGGCGCCGTTCCTAGCCGCCAGCGCTGCATTTCGGCATCACCACGGGCAATATGAATTTTGGGTAGATTCTCAGCATTTGGCAACTTAGATGCCGCGGTCAATGCGTCCAAAGCGGTCGACAGTGACTGCCAGCGGACGGCCAGAGTACGCTGGAGAGCATCCGCATCAGTAGGGGGCAGATCAGCAAAGGCCGCATTCAACGAGATCAGTGCATCAGCCTTGGTGCATAACCCTTCAGGGTCCTTCGATACATCCAAGTCTGGACCGAATGCCTGCCCAATCTCTTGCTGGTAGATCTGGGCATCTACGAGTCCACCGCGATAGAGAAGATCGTTCAAAGCACCAATAAATTTGGCCCGTGAGAGTCCCGCCTCATACAGCCGGTCGGAGCCTTCCATGTAGGCAGGCAGCCGGGTTTGGATGAGTCCTGAAGAATACTCCTGTACCCACCCTACACCGCCAGCGCTGGGGTTATTACTCAGAACGTGACAAAGGGTCGTGAGGGTATCCAGCTGCGCGACAGCAGTGTCTACCAGGGTATTCTTGGTCACTGGTTCAACGACTGCCGCCCATTGCTCCTGTTCTCCATCTTCAGGATGAGGCTGGGTACTGTCTGAGGGTGCTGGCGCCGGTTCAGTAGGCTCAGCCTGAGCACTGGACATCATCTGTTCAATCTCCTCTTGCATTTCTGTATACTTCAACTCCTGAAGCAAGAGACATCGTTGGAACAGTTCAATGGCCTCTTGGAGGTATGTGCTTGCCTGCACGAGTTGCTCCTCTCCCGGATGCTTGGAATCCGAAATGGCCTCCGCCAGACTGTTTAGCACCTGACCGCTGTTGAACAAGGCATCGGTGTTATCTTGATCCAGCTTGATGGCATCCCGGTGAGATTGGAGCGCCACTGTCAAAAGCTCCGCCGGTGGTGCGGGCAGCTGGGCAGCCAATTTAGGGTGTTGAGTGATATCATACTGCACTCGAGCCCTGTTTGTTTATTTAAGGAAGGGGGGTTATTGTTAGTGAACTGGTAGTGCACCGAAGTCCAGTCTCGGACTCTCCAGACAACCTACTTGTTATAGGCCAGGTCAAAGGCTGTGGGGTGCCTTCGTAATCCATCATCGTAGTTGGCAATGGCACGCATGAAGAAGCGCATGGACTTGGCGGCATCTCCAGCTCGCCATTTCTCGCCCGCCTCTTCCAGTTCAACGCCGGCTAGACATTCGTCGGGTTAATGAGTATCCCAATCAGAGCGGAAAGGATCCTCACTCGCTAAAAAGTCATCGGCGGTCACAGGTTCCTAGGCGGGGATGAGATAATGGGAAGGATCAAAGTGGAGTGACGGGTTTCACCTGTTTAGCAGCCTTTTTCTTTGGCTTGAAGTCCTTCAGAAGGCCCTTTGGTTTGCCCATTTCGGTGGGTTTTGTTTTCTATTTTTTGGGAGGAACGCTGGGGGTTTCGGGGTTTCACTTTCGCCAAGACTTTTCAGTGCGGGCTTTGTTTTCGAGATTACCTGCGCAGTACCGTGTATTATTGCAGGCTTTGCCTCCAAGAATGTCAATGCGAATGGCTCTTGAGATCTCCGCACCTCTATGATTTCATCAAGTGCGCTTCCTGGAAGAATTCTACGGCCTTCCGTGCGGAGAAGAGTATCTGCCAATATGACGTTGCGAAGGATGTGGTCCCCCCTACGATGATTGGATGATTGGAAAGGCTCTGACCTAACACAGCAGCCAGGTTCCCGCAAAGGAACAAGCCTTGCGCTTGCTACTGGAAGGTATCGTTGGATCTGGAGAAGTATGTATGATGAAGTCGCCTGCAGGTGATAATATTCGTTTTGCGATATGAGTGAAGATCCATTTCGGACGGAAGGAGCGTAATTCGATAGTACGCAGCATACAAGAGCATGTCAATCATCTCCGTCTAGGCTGATCCGCACGTGGCAAAGTTCCACCCGGGCCCCCCTGGAAAGGTTTAGCCTCCTAGGAAACCCCTTCATTTCTAGACGAGCTGCCGTCTACGTTGTACACAGTGTGGTTCATGCCGACCTGTCGGGGGAATTCTTGTACGCCTAACCCTCTGGAGGCGCCTGGGTTGCCAAAGATCCATCACTCGGGAGAAGGTGAACCTGGGCCAATTGGTCCGCGGATGCTCGTAGATTCACCTTCCTCCGTACTTTGTCCTCACCTTTGCCCAGCCGATAAGGCGCGACCTTGGGATAGCCTCAAATGCATAAGTAAGCCTAGGTAAAACGCTCTTCTCAGGCCGAATTGCATGCCCACTTTGATTCCCCACCGCCACGCTTGACCCACTCTTAGCCGTTTAGCGCCTCCTGAGTCGTCTGAGTCGTCTTGAGTCCGCAGCGGCCCTGGCTCACTCGTGGCTGCATTGGTCGTTTCAGTCCCGCCCTTCGCTGCAGCTATTTCTTTTCTGTGAGCCATCTCTGCCGTCCCCTCCCCTCAAATACGATATCGTGGTAGGTTTGCCTGTTGTGTCTCCTTGGGGGCTAAATAGGAGGCCCGCCAGAGAAACTTCTCCCGCTAACTCATTTGCTTCAGCAGTCAATTCCTCCCGCCCCAAAAGATCACCCCCCCCCTGCTCGCCCTGGCAATATCGTAACAGTCTGCCTTTTTCAAGCATCAGATATGACTCGCCAGCCTTCTCTCGACTCCGAGCGGCCCATTATGAGCAACTCGGTGAGATTCCAACCCCACCCCCTTTAACCCCTCTTCTTGCCCCAGCAGAGTTGATGGGCGCTGTCCATCCCGCCAACACCCTTAGTATGATGTATCTAACTCGTCTTTTTGAAGAACCGGAACTCTAAACGCTTCTCTACCATCAGTGGAACCCCCTCGCTCGCTGTTTCCGACCGCACAACAGGAAGTCTTCCTAGCGGAGACCCACGAACCGCCGAAATCACCCAGTATGGCGATGGCCTGGAACGTCTAGAGAACAAGCCTCTTCAGGCCCAGCGCTTTGTGCCAACTACTGAGAAGACCGACAACTTGAATAAACTGGCTCTCGGAGCCAAGGTTGAACGCGCCTTGGGCAGACGTATGACCAGCCAAGATGCTGTAATGCGCCGCAAACCAGTCATGAACGAGAAGTCGGCTGGCACTGCTTAGACTCACCAGATGTTTTTGATATTATATGCACCATGGCTATTGGGCAAAAAACACCCTTTTTTACGCTGAACACACATCAACTCATCTATATTGCTGGATTCTGTTCTCCCTTCTGCCTGTCCCATATGTGCCTTGGGCCTCTATTTCCAGTTTCTCTGATCTACTGATACTTTTCATTTCTCGTTTCGGATTCATTTACGTTCTGTCATACCCTTTCCCCTTTTTTCCCCCCTCGTGGCGTTTTTGATTTTGATGATAATCTATACGACCATTCAACTAGTTAATATGGCTAGGATTTCATTTTATTATTGAACTTGCGGCTAATCTCTCTCTATTGACCTGGTCTGCTATCTGAAATTTTGACGAAAGACTTGTATTTATTGCTGCAGAATCATGTTACTCTGATGCTATCGTTTCTGAGTCGCATGGCTCGCCTGCATTGGGACTGACTAAAGGTATGGCTAAAGGGAAGAATTAAAATAAAAGAAATACAGAAAGAGAAAAGGCGTAGTTACGCTAATAGGCATCTCACATCGGAAATAAGCAATTAAGCGCAGGTTATCTTTCGAGAGAGACCAGTGGGCGATCTACAAGACAGTCCTCTTTCATGAGTGTTTGCACCCCTACATGGTGACCATTGCTCTCGACCTCCAATCGACCATCCAAGCACAACTCTCGACCCTTGTGTACACAGTACCTACATGCTATTGCCTACGTAGTTATGCAGACAGTATCGAGGAGTGGATACTAGCGAAACCACACAGATCTCTCCCCGGAGCCTCCGCCATATCAGATACTGTTTCTGCCGGGCGGTGAGTAACTGCCAAGCCCACCAAAAACCCGCACGGAGAGTCGCAGTCGAAGGAAGTCGCTTTTTCTTCGAAGGCGAATTCCCCCTCTTGAGCTTCACTCCCGTCGTATTTCCTCCCCACGCCTTTCTCTCTCATCACCCACCGTCGACTCTCGACCCCATTCTCCAATTTGCCTTTAACGTGCCCGCTTTACTCGTCCTCCGCGCCATCCTACAGACTCTTCTTCGGCCGTGTCCAGCACAGCTATACTTCCCGAACGCTCCGCATCGACCAAGCGTCTCTAGCTTCTTCGCTCCACCTATTCTCTTCTTTCCTTCCTTTGGTGCCCTTCAATTGATCGCATTGGTTCTTGGTTGTTGTCGCATTTGTAAGACTTGGTCCTCGCCATTTCCAGCGGGGGAATATTGTGAACTGACCACATTCCAGTCAAGCGAGCATCCCCCCAAAAAGATTCCAAATAAAGCTTCGATCAGTTTTCCATACCGGTGTCACCGCAAAAACTCAGACTTTTGCCTACTCTGAGTTATATCTGTCTCCAGTAATCACCGCTCCTTGGTTTTCGATACTGTCACGGAATCTTTCGGATTTTCAAACTCTCCCCCCAGCGAAATGGCCGACATGCAAGCTCCTATCAACGGAAATTTTGCCGCCCAGCATGGCTACCCGGAGTCTTTCAACCCGGCCCATGCGGCTCTGAACACCGCCGCTAACTTCCAGCCCGCTCAATCTTCTACCCCTACCACCGCCACCCCCACCGAACAGCAGAAGAGCGAGATCACCAAGGACGAGGTCGGATGGTTCTTCGTGGAGCAATTCTACACCACTTTGAGCCGTAACCCGGAAAAGCTTCCTCTCTTCTACTCTCGACGCTCCCAGCTCGTCTTCGGAACCGAGGCTGATCCCGTCCCTGTTGCTATCGGAACTAAGGTTAGCACGCCCCTGGGGAGTTGCAAGAACCTCCGAAAACTGACTCCTATGGATAGGCTATCAGCGAAAAGTTCAAGCAGCTGGACTTCCAGGACTGCAAGGTCTGTGTTTTGAACGTTGACTCGCAGGCCTCGTTCGATAACATTCTGGTCTCTGTCATCGGCGAGATTTCCAACAAATCGGAGCCCTCCCGTAAATTCGTCCAGACTTTTGTCCTGGCTGAGCAGCCCAATGGCTACTACGTTCTCAATGACATTTTCCGCTACTTAGCGGACGAGGAGGAGTTTGTCGAGGAGACAGTCACTGAGCCCGCAGAGGTTCCTAAGGTTGCCGAGCCTGCACCTGCCGTCGAAGCCCAGGTGACTAGCGAGGCTGACATTGCCAAGGTCGACGAGAAGCTTGAACATGACACCAACGGTGTAGTAGAGCAAACTGAAGAGTCCCTTCCCCAGACCAACGGTGCTCCGGCCCAGGAGGAGACTGAGGTTGCCGCCCCTGTCGCCGAGGCCGAAGGTTTGGACACTGAAAAGCCCACTACCCCAGAGCCCACTCCTGTCCCTGAGCAGAAGGAGGCTTCAGTTGAAAAGGAGTCCGCCCCTGCCCCTGCCCTGCCTAAGACTTGGGCCAACATTGCGTCTTCCATCAAAGCAGGCGCCGCAGCCACCCCTGTTATTCCCGTCATCCCCGCTGCCGCTCCCAAGGCTGCTGCCGCTGCCACCACTACTCAACCTTCTGCCGCTGCTGCTGCCGCTTCCCCCGCCACAGAAACTGCCACTCAAGATGCTCCTTCCGGTGACAGCTCTGGCTGGCAAACTGCTGGTGCTGACCACAAGAAGACCCAGTCACGCGCCGGTGAAGAACAACCCGTTCTTGGATACATTAAGAATGTCACCGAGAAGGTCGACAGTGCTCAGCTCCGACAGGCCCTCAGCCGTTGCGGTAAGCTGAAGTACTTCGACGTCAGTCGCCAAAAGGTTTGTAATCTCGTGGTCACCTGATTGTTGTTCATTTGCTTACTGTTCTAGAACTGTGCCTTTGTTGAGTTTGCCGATCCTGCTGGCTATGCCGCTGCTGTTGCTGCCAACCCACACCAGATCGGCGACGAGCAGATCTTTGTTGAGGAGCGCCGCCGCAACGGCTTTGGTCCCAATGGATTCAACAACGGCCGTGGCAATGGTCGTGGCCGCGGTGACCGTGCCGGCAGCCAGGGCCGAGGTGGCTTCCAGCGCGATGGCCGTGGAGGCTTTGCTCCCCGAGGCCGTGGCGGTAATGTAGCTGCTAAAGGCCGTAGCCAGGCTCAGGCTGCTTAGGCTCGACCTCCCGAAATTTACTTTGGGCGGATGACTTCTCAGGTTGTGTATTACTCTTGACTTTGTTCTTTGATTCGGTCACTGTCTTGTTTTATCCTATAATGACATGTGTTATGTGACTCCTCAAACCCCCTCCCTCCCCTTTCTTTCCTGTCACAATGCATATTAGCGGTTCGGGTCCGGGTTGGCTGGAAAAGTTGCGTTTCTTTCCCTTCCCTCTCTGGGCATTTTGTTCTTTCCCGCCTGTCTGAATTTTCTTTCCACTCTTGTATCTGGCTTTACATCTTCCTGGTCCGGCTTTCGTGGTTCTTCATGATTTGCTATTCCATCCCCCTTTCCGCTATTGATTCCCTCCCTCTTCCCCATTGGCTTGTGTCTTTCCCTCTACCAATTCTTCCGTCGCATATTTACTAGCATAGCAAGCTGCAGGGTTTCGAGTTGTTCTTACCACCCGGGTCCTTTCTTCTTCCTGATGACACTTTCATTTCTCTGTATCTTTTTGTTCTGGGTTCGGTGGAGAATTTGATGACTGGCTGTAAATGGCAGGTTTCGCGGATGGTTCGCAGCGCAATAGGCAATACAGGATGGTTGCATCGCCCTCAGTACTAGAGCTGGAATATCAATTGTGTCAATTATGCTCCTCCTACCTTAAACTCAGCTGTGTATGAGCTTTCAATCCCTGAACTAGACAAGTAACCTAGCTCCGCGGTCACGGTCAAAAGATGGTTCGGAACGTTCTAGATGGTGGCCTCAGGCAGCAGGAGAGCTCCATGGAAACGCTTCCCCCTCTTCTCTCCATTCTCCATTCTGCTCCAGACCCAGAAACAGGACGTAGAACAAGAAAAAGCAAAGAGATCCCTAGGGGGAAGAATACTCTAGAATTCAAAGCTCCCCTAGCTATAGCTCCACGCTAGACTAAACAGGGATATTTCGACATAAGGGGGGGGGTTGCCTGACCGACCCGTGGAAGTTGCTGGATCATCGTAGAAACTCCCCATCGAAATTTTTGGGAACACAAAAGGCTTCCCGCTCTCCGCTTCTTTCCTTCTTCTTTTCTCTGTCAGTATCGGATCTGCTCTGGTTCTCTCCGGCAGTTTCTCATTTCTTGTATTTCTTTTCCCTGTACGTTGACTCCATCTTACCTCGCTTCCCCCGCTCATCCAATTTGGATCTTTTCCCTGTCTACTTGCCACTCGACCCGGGTTATTTGGGTTATTTGACTCACTTTCTGACTTATTATCTTCCCCAGAATCCTCTTATTCCCTTAATCCGCCATCATGCCTGAGACCTTCGAGTTCCAGGCTGAAATCTCTCAGCTGCTTTCGCTGATCATTAACACCGTTTACTCCAACAAGGAGATCTTCCTGCGTGAGCTTATCTCCAACGCCTCCGATGCCTTGGACAAGATTCGCTATGAGTCCCTCTCGGACCCCAGCAAGTTGGACTCCAACAAGGATCTCCGCATCGATATTATTCCCGACAAGGAGAACAAGACTCTGACCATCCGGGATACCGGTATTGGTATGACCAAGGCTGTAAGTCTACCGCTGACCCGCCATTGGCCCATCTTCTTATCTATAGAAGTATGGGGTTGCACGTGAGGATGAGGCTGACTTGTATACTTTAGGACCTGATCAACAACCTGGGTACAATTGCCCGCTCCGGTACCAAGGCTTTCATGGAGGCTCTGTCCGCTGGTGCCGATATCTCCATGATCGGTCAATTCGGTGTCGGTTTCTACTCCGCATACCTGGTTGCCGACAAGGTTACCTTCATCTCCAAGCACAACGATGATGAGCAGTACATCTGGGAGTCCGCTGCCGGTGGTACTTTCACTCTCACTCAGGACACCGAGGGTGAGCAGCTCGGTCGTGGTTCCAAGATCATCCTGCACCTCAAGGATGAGCAGATGGACTACCTGAACGAGACCCGCGTCAAGGAGGTTGTTCGCAAGCACTCCGAGTTCATCTCCTACCCCATCTACCTGCACGTCACCAAGGAGGTTGAGAAGGAAGTCGAGGAGGCCGAGGAGGAGAAGAAGGAAGAGGACGACAGTAAGGAGGCTAAGGTCGAGGAGGACAAGGAGGAGGAGGAGAAGAAGTCCAAGAAGATTACCGAGGTTGTCACCGAGGAGGAAGAGCTTAACAAGACCAAGCCCATCTGGACTCGCAACCCCGCCGACATCACCCAGGAGGAGTACGCCTCCTTCTACAAGTCCCTCTCCAACGATTGGGAGGACCACCTTGGTGTCAAGCACTTCTCTGTTGAGGGTCAGCTTGAGTTCCGCGCCATTCTCTTCGTTCCCAAGCGTGCTCCCTTCGACCTGTTCGAGACCAAGAAGACCAAGAACAACATCAAGTTGTACGTTCGCCGTGTTTTCATCACTGACGATGCCACTGATCTCATCCCCGAGTGGCTCGGCTTCATCAAGGGTGTTGTCGACTCTGAGGACCTTCCCCTCAACCTGTCTCGTGAGACCCTCCAGCAGAACAAGATCATGAAGGTCATCAAGAAGAACATCGTCAAGAAGACCCTGGAGCTCTTCACCGAGATCGCTGAGGACCGTGAGCAGTTCGACAAGTTCTACTCCGCTTTCAGCAAGAACATCAAGCTTGGTGTCCACGAGGACGCCCAGAACCGTAACACTCTGGCCAAGCTGCTGCGTTACCAGTCCACCAAGTCTGGTGACGAGACCACCTCCCTCACCGACTACGTCACTCGCATGCCCGAGCACCAGAAGAACATGTACTACATCACTGGCGAGTCTATCAAGGCTGTTGCCAAGTCCCCCTTCCTGGACACCCTCAAGCAGAAGAACTTCGAGGTTCTGTTCCTGGTTGACCCCATTGATGAGTACGCTTTCACCCAGCTGAAGGAGTTCGACGGCAAGAAGCTTGTCGACATCACCAAGGACTTCGAGCTCGAGGAGACCGATGAGGAGAAGGCTCAGCGCGAGAAGGAGGAGAAGGAGTACGAGGAGCTTGCCAAGGCCCTCAAGAACATCCTCGGTGACAAGGTTGAGAAGGTGGTTGTCTCTCACAAGCTCGGTGGCGCTCCCTGTGCCATCCGTACCGGCCAATTTGGTTGGTCCGCCAACATGGAGCGTATCATGAAGGCCCAGGCTCTTCGTGACACCTCCATGAGCTCGTACATGTCTTCCAAGAAGACCTTCGAGATTTCTCCCCAGTCCCCCATCATTCGGGAGCTGAAGAAGAAGGTTGAGAGCGATGGCGAGAACGACCGTACCGTCAAGTCCATCACTCAGCTGCTCTTCGAGACTTCCCTCCTGGTCTCCGGTTTCACCATTGAGGAGCCTGCCAGCTTCGCCGAGCGCATCCACAAACTCGTTTCTCTGGGTCTGAACATCGATGAGGATGCCGAGACCTCTGAGGAGAAGGCCACCGAGGCTGCTGCCCCTGCCGAGGCCACCGGAGAGAGCGCCATGGAGGAGGTTGACTAAAAAGCTCCAACTTGCTTGTTTTTGCTACACAAAGTTCTTATGGGAAATGGGAAACGGGACACGACCCTTGATGTTTTTCTTTTTAAACTATTTTTTTTTTTCGAAATCAGATCTTAACTTATTCACTTCCATTGTTCCGATCGATTAATAAATAGGCAGCAAGCTTAGAAATGTATTGCATTTAATTCCATACTGTTCCGGGACGTCCTTTCCAGACCGTATACGCGCATATGTAGGACATGAGGAGCGGGGGCACCGTTTCGAGTATTGGAAACAGGGCGGAAGAGGATCCATAAGCCAGAATCCGATCCACCACCTAAAACCAGTTCGGCATCACCTCGGTGGCAAGTTCGGGGATTCTCGATCCGCAGCCTTACTCACCGACGCCAAGGGAGCGAACGACTTTGCACAAGTTCTTTTGCCCCGCGACCGGCAAAAGCTATCCATCATTCCCCCCTTCTACAGCCACAATGGTCTACACAATTGTTGTCCGTATGTGCCCTACTTCTGCGTCCCAACCTCTAGCAGCGTATAGGACAAGCAGCCTTTCGAAGCCTTGATACCCCGATTCTATACTAACGTGAATAGACATGCGAGCCAAGGCGGACCAGGAGTCCATCTCGAAGCTTCACGCGAAGCTCCTCGAAGCCTCGGCTGTTTACTCTCAGGACAAGGAGACACTCTCTTGGTTCGTGATGCAGTCCGTCCACGACCCGCAGGACTTCACCATCGTCGAGCGCTACGAGCAGGAGTCCTCGCAGCAGTACCACCTCAACAATCCGTACTGGAAGACCTTTGATCCGTATGTGATCCCTCTTTTGGAGAAGGACATGGACCTGAGACGCTTCGAGGAGCTGGTCCCTGCCTCTTCTTAAGCATTGCCAGTGGCTCTGATGGTTATGAGACGCTACTGGTGAGCAAAAACCTCCCATGGTGAGAGAGGAATTCGCTTTCCAAGATTAGCTTGCTAGTGATTACGTACGGAAAATCCAAAAAATATATTTGGCAAGTTCTTGTATGGCTCCAGAGGGGCCCGTACTGAACATACGGCAAGGAGCTGCTCAAACTAAGCGTGGTTTTAAAGATCCGCCCTGGAGAATATGTCATTTCTCTGAATCTAGGCAACGCGGAATAGCGCATGTACAGTGAAACCGCCAAGGACCGGGGATATCATGAAAAGCAAAGTCCAGAAATCAAAACGCCGATCGTGAACAGAGAGTATATCCCTCTGGTTCTGCAATACATAAAAGTCATGATCCCGTCTGAGACCCGTCCGCTTAGTTCCCAAGAGCTTCCCAAGGGCCCGAACGGGGTCTCACTTCCCCATCTATCTCGAACGCATCCTGACGAATATGACTGTCTTTGCTAAATTGGGTGGCCGCATTCGCAGCCCCCCTCTATGTCCGTAACGACCGATTCAAGATGAGACAAGAGCTTCTCGATCTCTTGCCTCTGCGCCTGCACGGTCTGCGCTAACGCGGAATTCTGTGCGTTGGTAGTCTCAATCTTGTCGTTGAGTGACGATTGCGCCTCCTGTAGATATGGCGTAAGGTGCGCTTGGTAGAGTTCTTCGGCGCCTAGTGTATGTGGCCTAGGGGTCGAACGGGTCAGCTCTCTATTAACCAGACTGCCAAGGGAAGAAGAGCCACATACGCATCTCCCGGCGGTGCATCCCCTTCGGCGCCCCTCCTAGCCTTTGCCTCGTTGACTAGTCGGTCCAAGTCGTTCAGATGCGCCACGGCGTTCCTCTCCTCGATGATCTCCTCGAATTCAGACTTCGCGCTTTCCTCCAGCTTCGCATTCAATTGTCTCCATACACTCTCCAGGCTCGCAGGGACGTGACGGGCAGGCGTGGGGAAACAGCTAGCAAAGTTGGAGTAAGAGTTTGCTCGCAGTGTACGCGCCAGGGCTTGATCGAAGACCTGGAGTAGACGTGATGCGCGGGGCCCGGGGGCTTGCGAATCCGGGGGTTGGGAGGTCTGAGATGGGGGGAGGTTTCGTTCAGTCATGATGCCACACACCAGCAAATATCTCGATCCGGTCAAGTTCACCAGATTTAGCAATTTTGCACGGAGTATGGAAGCGTTGCTTTTGGTCGGGAATCCTCTCCCACTTTCTTTGGTCGCACCTCTACGCGACGCGCCCGCGGAGTCACGTGCTCCCGCCCAGTATGTATTCGAACGCAGCACGTACTAGTAATGCTACAAAATACAACCATGTAGATAAAACAATTCCCGGGTTCTTGGAGAGAAAGGACGAAGCTAGACGCTTAATCGAGACCGAATGAGAAATCATGCAGGCTGGATAAATGAATACAGTCTGTTGGCAGTAGACGGGGCCTATGGAGCTTATTAAACCGATGGACCCTACTCGTGGTGGAATGAACGATGAACCGACCCAAGCGACCCGTAGTGTAATAAAGACTACCATGACGTACTTTTCACAGGCCGATATCCCGAAGAGTCCCTGTTATCATTGATATCTGAAGCCAAGACATGAAGAAGCCCTTGATTCCCATGCAGTCTCTAGAAGATTCAACAGCCCGGGGGGCCATACGCAAATTGATGGACGCAGAAGGAAGAATGATCCTGCTTAGAGTATTCACTTATAAATAAGCCAGATCACCAGTCGGTTGAACGGCAGAGAGCTACAGTAACAAGATATGTTGTAATCCCTGCGATCTGTGCGTGGCTGTTCCCTCCATCTCCACATTATGGACCTAGAAAAAAACAACGAAAAAAGTGATGCCCCCCCTCATCGGGTAAAAACGCCGCGTTCTCCCATATCCGATTGTCTAAAACAAGCTGATCGTGTCATCGTTCAAAAGAGCCCATCATTAATAGGCTGATTGAGGTGGAACCATGCCTCCATACCCCCCAGCCATCTGCTGCTGTTGTTGTTGCTGCTGCTGCTGCTGCAACTGGGCCTGGACCTGGGGTAGATCATGGAACCACGGATGTTGCAAAGCATCGCTGGCGCTAATACGCATTTCTGGACGAAGCTGGAGCATGCGGTTCAACAGATCCAGGCCTAACTGATCAATCTGAGGGAGGATCAAGCCCAGGTCTTGGGTGGCATAGACATGGAAAGTGGGCTTGTACTCGGGGAGTTGCGAGATGCCCGGCCAGGAACGTTCAGAGGGGGTTCCCATGAGCCGGAAAATCTTCAACAGCTGATCTTCGTTGGTAGTGCCGGGGAACAGGGGACGACCCGTGTACATCTCGGCCATGATACACCCGGCGGACCAGATGTCGATACTGGTGTTGTAGGTGCGGCTTCCCAGCAGCACATCGGGGGCGCGGTACCACAGAGTGACCACCTCGTTGGAGAACGTGTTCACGGGGATCCCGAAGGCTCGGGCTAAGCCAAAATCGCCAAGCTTAAGCTGGCCCTTCTTGTTGATTAACAAGTTCTGTGGCTTGAGGTCGCGGTGGAGAACCCGGTTCTCATGGCAGAATGCGATGCCTTTTAGCAGTTGATGCATGAAGGACTTGATGGTTGCTGGGTCCAACTGGCCGCGATCGCCACGAGTGTCCATGTAGCGCTTCAGATCCTTGTCCATGAACTCGAATACCAACATCAACTTATTCTCGGTGTGGATGACATCGTAAAGTGACACGATACTTTCGTGCTTCAGCTCCTTCATCAGTGAAATTTCGCGGATCGCGGTCGAGGGGGTGCCTTCTTCGGAGTCAAGGTGGATCTCCTTCAAGGCGACCATCTCGCCCGTCTGGCGATTGCGCCCTTTGAAGACCTATACCTTTCGATTAGCCGAGCGGGGAAGGGATACGAGGCAGAGTCCTCTGCATGCGCGAGGCCGGGAGGACGGGTCGCGAAGGAATGGGGACGTACAGTGGCATAAGTGCCTTCACCGAGCTATAGAGCAAGTCGATCAGTTGACTATTCAAGGCCTGCGGGGCTGGGAAAATAAACCTTTTCGAGCTGCTGGAAGGAACTGGGCTGCTGAGACTTGTCCATCCTGGGCTGGGAGGTTCTAGGGCCCGAAGAGAGGGGATTTGGAGAGAGAAAAGAGCTGGGCGAGACGATGGCCGATCTGGAGCTTTTATGTGCGAGGGAAGGAGCTGAAGAGTTGGAGGGATCCATGCTGATGAAAGGGACCCCGCGCTTGTGGGCCGAACGAGTCGGATTGGCTTATGTACGCTGGGCGCTTAGAACCTGGAGTTTGGGTCCACCTTTTCCAGGGCTATTTTTACAACAGTTGGACCGCCTGCATTTTGACTTTCTCGGTCTCAGCAGCAGGAAAGATCACCTGTCCGGGGTCTGTCATATCAGAAAAAGTATTGTGGGCGGCGGTCTTCATGGCGAGGCTCTGCTGGGACAGGGGACGGTGGATATGCTCGGGTAGCATGCACCTTACCATGTTCCAAGGTCATCTTCCAGTTTGAATTGCTCTATGTTATAGTCCGATGTATAGTCCGATGACAAGTACTTTACATTAACACGGTTGACTGCGTCATCAAAACACATTGCTGGGTAGCCTCGCAACGACCGATGGTAAGATCGACTGCGTGGGGTGGCTACAGCGAACGTGGTCTGTCTGATCCGTTGTCAGACCCCTAAAAAGAACAGCCTCATTGCGCACACCCCCAATGTTGATGATGCCTATAGGCATACCTCGCTTCTGCGCGCGCTCGACTAGGCGCCAGGCCGAGTAGGTGGCCAGACTGCTCCCGAGGACCAGGAGGCGCCCAGCATCATCTATTGCTTCCTCAGCCGCAGTCTTCACTGCCGGGTCGATATTTTCCCCGAACATGGTCACAGCAGGCTTCAGGATACCGGCGGTGGATGTTGGCAGCCAGGCCCCGTCATTTTCCACCTCGACGTGCCCTCTGGTACCGTCTTTCAGGATCGGAGGGCTCTCCAGGCAATTTGGGCAGGAGGGATACCGGAACGTAGAATACGGCGCTTCCGCAAGGTCCACATCACCATCAGGGTTCAGTCTCAAGCCCTTGCGCCGCTGCTCCTCTGGATTGTCAGTATCTAGTGCCCCTTGTTCTACCATGCGCGCAAGAAACTCTGCCCACGCTGGATTCAGTTTCTCCAAGGAGGACTGGAAGCTGGCGCGTGGGACTTGGTTGTGACAACTGGTACAGACAACGGCTCGCAAGTATCCATGTAGCTCGATGGTAGGCAGCTCTGGGTGAGCTATGGAGTGGAAGGAGTCGACATTTTGCGTCACCACCGAACTGATATACCCCTTGGCTGCTAAGTCCCGAATGGCCCAATGAGTTGAGTTCGGGTGTGCCTTGACGAGCCCTGGCCATCCGACAAAGCTCCGAGCCCAATACCGTTTACGCGATTCATGCTGTGACGTAAATTCATGGAAATAGATCGGCCGGTAGGACTTGTTTCGTCGGTAGGTACCCTGGTCTCCTCGGTAGTCGGACAGACCTGATGCGACAGAGATTCCTGCGCCGGAAAGGATGACTGTCTGCGAATGCCTGCCGACATCGACCCCGCGCAGGGTCGAAGACGGCGGGGCCGTGAAGAAGTTGCTCACGGCATCGATGGCACCAGCGAGGGAGGCGGCAGCGGAGGGCACAATGATAGCTGGCGGCAATGGACCCGTGAAAGGAATACGTATCGCAGGCGTCGTCATTGAAGACGCATCCCCGAAGCCAAAGCGCTTGGCGTGGACAGGAAGATGAGAGTCCGGGTCGGAAGTGTACCGGAATTGGGGCTAAGAATTCAAACCTGGAAATCTAAGGAACGACGCACAGCCGGCAATCCAAACAGGCATCCAATCGTAAGCTATCGAAGGCCGGCTCAGAACTAATGCAGTTCTGACTGGTCTTCTGTGGTCCCTGATCTTCGCGGTTTTTCGAAGCTGTACAAATTGGGGAGGTTGCGGCCTGCGAAGAGTTCGAAGGAAAGAATCCGTTTCTTGCCGGATTACATGATCGCATTGAACCATACCGCGATAATCTGATCTGAGGCTGCGCAAAGCTCTCGAGCTCTTGCTTCGCTCACGTTCATTTTCAAGGTTCTTGAGAACTATGGGCAGCATAGCCCCCAGCACATCCCTTGTCCACTCTGTTCGCCCGTGCTCGTGTGCCTCGAGCTAAAACGAGCGATGCCGCTGACGCAGCCCCTGCGGTGCAGGCTTCGTCCCTCCCTCCACCTTCTTGGCCACTCCTATCCCCTTTGTCTTTCAGCCCAGCAGCGTATCTTGGCCACCCTTTCGCCTCATAAAAGCCGGCTTTCCTCGTTATATAATGCCCGACCAGCTTCACACCCTCCTGTAAAATCGATCTCCATGACGCAGACCAGGGGCCATGGTGGCCACAGCCACGGCCATCACCACCACCACCATGACAATGTGTACCTGACCTCCTCCAACAAGAAAGACGCCGGTGTTCGCATCACTCGCATTGGATTGGTCGCCAATTTGGCCATGGCCATCAGCAAGTTCATTGGTGGCTACGTCTTCCATTCCCAGGCCTTGATCGCAGACGCCTACCACGCGTTGGCAGACCTGGTCTCCGATTTCTTAACTCTAGGCACGGTTGCATGGTCCCTCAAGCCCCCGAGCGAACGGTTTCCCAACGGATATGGCAAAGTGGAAAGTGTTGGCGCTCTGGGAGTCAGTGGGCTGCTCCTTTTCGGTGGAGTGTTCATGGGTCTCAACGCCGGACAGCTCCTTTTGGCCCAATTTTACCCAGAAGCGGCCGAAATGCTAGCCCATTCGGGCCTCCTAGGCCACGGCCATTCGCATAGCCATGGTGTCGACGTACATGGCCCCAACATCCACGCTGCTTGGCTGGCCGGTGGCTCTATTATCGTCAAAGAATGGCTCTACCATGCCAGTAAGCCTCCCTCTAGTCTAATTTAAGGATTCACTAGATGTTGACCTTCTTATTTTTTTCCCCCTAGCCATGAAAGTTGCTGAGGAGCGCAAGTCATCCGTTCTTGCATCCAACGCTATGCATCATCGTATAGACTCTCTCACCAGTATTGTGGCCTTGGCCACTATTGGCGGCAGTTATGTTTTCCAAGATGCCACCTGGCTGGATCCAGTTGGTGGTCTTGCAATCTCTCTGATGGTAGTTAGAGCTGGATGGGGCAACACCGTCACTTCCTTATATGAATTGGCCGACACCAGCGTGGATGATGAAATCAAAGCATCTGTGCAGACTGCTGCCTCGAAAGCTCTGAAAGATATTGAGGGCGGCCAGCATGTGATTGTCCGTGATGTTCAAGGTATGAAGTCCGGACAAAACTATTTGATGGACGTTGAGCTCGCTTTACCGGGCGATTGGGCAATCAAGCGTTCTCGAGGCGTCGAAGAAGCAGTTCGTCATTCGATTGGAGCCGGAGTGCGTGGAGTCAAGCGTGTGAAAGTGCGCTTTGTTCCTGTTGAAGAAAAAGAACTCACTTTCGCGGAGGAGTTCATCAATCCGGAAGAGAGTGCGAACCTGGAGACGCACGAGCATGCCCATGACCACGAGCATGACCACGATGACCATGGGAAGGCCTCTGAGTCTCATAGTCACGGTGGTTCTACTTCTTTGAAAAAGCGATAAGTGGGGGTTTGACCTGCGCGGCAACCCGGTCCATGCTTGAGCGAATTGGTAACTCCACCTTCTGCACCGTCACTCTGGTGGAAATCATACGCCATGAGGGCTCGATTCTTGAAAACCAAAGAACTATCTGGCCAATATGTTGTTCCATTTCCCGGGCAGATCATTGTCTCTGGTTTGAAGAATTTGTACAACTGAAACACATCATAGATTTAGTTTGGTCTGGGTTACTAGAGATGGGGCACGTGCCCTAGGTTGGAAGTAAATAGTGTCAATTTGAAGGCCAAAATGAGGCTTCAACTTCATTTTACGCATTTTCACAGCGCTCAGGGCAATGGGGACGTCGGCCTTATAGCCCCCGACTGCTATGATTCAACACAACCGTCCAGCACATCGCGTTTCGCGAACAGTCGAGGCTTCGAGGCTTCAGGGCTTCACCCGGGGTGTGGACACATAGTACGAGATGACATAAGCTAGGCTTTGAATGACTAAACCTCCTATTCGGGATAAACGTAGTGTGGGATTTTGAAGAAATTCAGCCCGGAACAAAAAGAAAGAGATAAAGTCGTTACAGCTTCCTCCTTTTAATCTTTCAACCCTCTTGAACTCCACCGGCCCACGCCCAACTGGAGTTAGCGAGGGCGGACACTGCGGGAGTCTTGATTACCTGACCATGGACGTGCTCCTCCACCGAAAACAATTTTGAAACTCAACACCTTTCCCCCTCGCTCCACGTCCCACTTTCTCCCACGCTCTGAAAGGGAGTTCGGCTGGTCGAAGATGGAAGAACAGGTAAGTCTCATTCGTGCTTGGGATACCAGGATCTTTTCCCTCATTCCTTCCATGGCCCCTCCCCCACTACCCCAAATAAAAATGCCCCTCCGAGGGGCGTTTAAAGACCACACTGAGATTGATGTGTTCTTCCTCCGTCAGGTTACAAATGCCATTGAGATCGCCTGGAATCCGTCCTCAGACCAAGCCTTGAAAGGGCAAGCCTTCGAATATCTCAACCAACTCCGCTCCGACCCTGCGGGATGGCAGGTTTGCCTCGCTCTCTTCACCAAGTCTCCCCCGCAGTCTGAGATTGTTCGACATACGAGCCTAGAAATTGTCAATAGTGCTGCACAAGCTGGGGTCATTGACTTCGCATCTCTCGGGGTCGCACGGGACGGATTGCTGGCTTACTTGCGACAGAACTACGGCCCTGATGGCTCCGCAACCCCCGACCCACCCTACATTCAAAACAAAATCGCCCAAACTATTACGTTTCTTTTTTCAGCCCTCTATGCCAATGGTTGGGAGACTTGTATCGACGATCTTCTAGGATTGACGTACAAATCGTCTGCCAGCACCGTTCGGGATAACCCTCTCGGAATCATCTTCTACCTGCGTGTGGTGAACTCGATTCACGAGGAGTTTGGCGATGTCTTGGTTTCTCGGTCTCGGGTGGAGCAGGATAAAGCGAACTCACTGAAGGATCTGATCCGTCAGCGGGACATGGAGAAGATTGCTAGCTCCTGGCAGGACATTCTTTCGGTGTGGCAGGATGGAGAGGATGCGGTGGTGGAGCCCTGCTTGAAGGCTATCGGTAGCTGGGTGAGCTGGATTGACATCGGATTGGTTGTAAACCAAACCATGCTCGACTTGCTTTTCAAACAGCTTGGGCGAGCCGAAAAGCAGGAGCTGCGGGAAGGCGAGCAGCGGGTTCGTGATGCTGCCGTTGATGTCTTTACTGAAATGATCGGCAAGAAGATGAAGCCTGCCGACAAGATCGAGATGATTAATTTCTTGAACCTGGAATCGATGGTTACACAGCTTTCCAATAGCACGCCCCTACGAGAGAACCGGTTTACCTTTAAGTACGACACCGACCTGGCAGAGACCGTGGCCAAACTCGTCAACATTACGGTTAGCGATATTGTGCGGGTGCTAGCGTCCGACGATGCTGGCCCGGTGAGAGAAAAAGCGGATGACCTTTTGCAAGCTTTCCTCCCACACATTTTGCGATTCTTCTCGGATGAATATGACGAGGTCTGCTCGACTGTGATTCCCTGTGTCAACGAAATGCTCATTTATATCCGAAAACTCAACAAGTCAAACCCGGCCTACGCAGAGCGGAACAAGACTATAATTCTTCCAGTCCTGAAAGCGATTATCGCAAAAATGCGGTATGATGAGACTTCGAACTGGGGCGATGAGGATGAACAAACAGATGAAGCGGAGTTCCAAGAGTTGCGCAAGAGACTGGGTGTTCTCCAGCAAGTCGTCGCCTCTGCAGACGAGCAGTTGTATATTGATGCGATTTCAGAAGTCGTTGGAACAACCTTTGAAAACCTACGTACATCCGGTGGACAAATTGATTGGCGAGATCTCGATCTTGCTCTCCATGAAATGTACCTTTTCGGCGATCTGGCTGTCAACAGAGGTGGGATTTACCAGAAGAATGCGCCCAACGGCCCTGCCGCTGTCCGCCTGATCGAAATGATGCTCCGATTGACAGAATCTGGTAAGGCACTCGTGATCCCACAACCCCCTTGAACGCCAAACCTGACTTGTTCTAGATATTCGATCTTTCACCCATCCTGCCACTCAACTCCAGTACATGGAGATCTGTGTTCGTTACACCAGCTTCTTCTTCCATCATGCTCACCTGATCCCCGGTGTCTTGGAAAATTTCTTGCAGCTCGTTCACCACCCAGTCCGCAAAGTCAAAACCCGCTCTTGGTATCTTTTCCAACGGTTCGTGAAGCAGCTCCGAGCACTTATCGGCAATGTGGCTGAAACTGTTGTGAAAGCCTTGGGTGACTTGTTGGTTATTCAAGCCGAGGTTCCCTCAGAAGGAGACGATGGGGATGAAATGTCTTCGGAAGATCACGAAGGCTCGGCAGACGCGGTATTCAACAGCCAGCTCTACCTTTTCGAGGCTGTGGGGATCATTTGCTCGACCCACGGAGTGCCTGTTGATAAACAAGTTCTGTACGCTCAATCCGTCTTAAACCAAATCTTTGCCGATATGGAACGCAACCTGGAAGCGGCCAAGGCCAATGACGAACGAGCATTACTACAGATCCATCACGACATCATGGCCCTGGGGACCCTTGCCCGTGGCTTCTCTGACTGGCAGCCAGGAACAAGTGACCCCTCTACCCTGCCTTCCGAAGAGGTATCGGCAGCTTTTGGTCAGGTAGCCGAAGCGACTCTCGTTGCGCTCGAATCTCTTAATTCTTCATTCAATATCCGCACCGCTGCACGTTTTGCATTCTCACGACTCATCGGTGTTCTGGGGGCACGTATTCTTCCCCAGCTACCTCGATGGATTGATGGGCTTTTGACCCAAACTTCCTCCCGTGATGAGATGGCCTTGTTCCTTCGCCTTCTTGATCAGGTCATCTTCGGTTTCAAGGGTGATATTTATGGCATTCTCGACACACTTCTAACCCCATTCCTCCAGCGAGTGTTCTCCGGGATCGCGGATCCTACTACTGGAACGGACGACGAGGTCCAGCTTGCTGAACTCAAACGGGAATATCTACACTTCTTGTTGGCGGTCCTGAACAACGACCTTGGAGCCGTCATCATCAGTGAAAGTAAGTCGTCATCTCATCCCACGCTTTGGTTCCTGGTGACTAAGAATTTGAACTCTACAGCCAACCAGCCTCTCTTCGAGACGGTCATCACTACCATTGAGCATTTTTCCAAGGACGTGGAGGACTTTACCACTGCTAAAATGGCATTCGTCGTTCTAGCTAAAATGGGCGCATGCTGGGGAGGACCGGATATCGCGCCTCCTGCGACCAATGGAGCAGCTACCCAGACCCAGGCAGCACTCCCCGGATTTGGAGGCTTCATGATCAGCCGGTTCTCCCCTCTATGCTGGGCCCTCCCCACGACGCCATCATTCAATTCGAAGGATGCCCAGGCGAAGAATGTACTGGCGGAAGCGGGAGGTCTCCAGCGGACAATCTATCTCAAGACTGGGATGGAATATGCTGATTATCTGCGAAACCAAGAACTTCCTAGAATGGGCATGGGTCAAGATCTAATCGAGGAATTCTTGACTGCATTGAATCAGCTGGACGTCAAGGGGTTCCGTCAGTTCTTCCCGGTATGTATCATCCATCCACACTAGGGTTCCTTTCCCTCATCCACTAACACTCAACACAGAGCTTCATCCAACGATTGAGTGCATAAAAGCCTCGAAAATTTCATTTCTGTTTTAGATTCCCCCATGCCATATTGTCTTCCTGTCGAGAATGAGATCATGATTTCTCTCGTCCTCGACCACCCAATCATCCATGCGAACTCCGCCTGATTTGATCATGTCATCTGTACTCATCTGTTTATGGATACCATTTTATGCCTGTCACGTCAAGAAAAAAAAGAACCATTTAACTTTGGAGCGGATAAACATCATGCAGAAGCAACAAGACTTCATTTTTCCATTTTGCTTGACATCGAGCATCACTCCGTATACTACTAGTAGGAAAGTTTACGGGCCATCCCAACCATAAAATCCAAGCGCCATAATTTGCTAAACATAATTAGATCGGATACCTTGGTAAAAAAAGATGGTATTCTGAACAATGAGAGCATCAAAAGGTATCGTATCGTGTCTCGAGGCATTTTTGTACCGCTACCGCTATAAAGTGATATTTTGGCATCCTTTTCGTTCAGATCACGGATTTCACACGACCCTGGTGCTCACTGAGCAAGAAGAAATATCCAAATCAGAATCCATTTCCACTCAATCAGTCATACTTTACTTTCAAAACCATCTATGATATCCCATGTCTGGTAACACACACACACACACACACAGAGAGAGAGAGAGAGAGAGGGAGAGAGAGAGGGAGAGAGATAGGAGAAACCCACTATAGCAGGTACTTGGCGGCGTGCTCGACGTGGTCGTCCGAGAAAGTGGCCATGGTGTAGTAGGAGTGGTCGTAGTCTGGCTGGTAGCGCACCTTCACGCCGTTGATACCAGCTTCCTTGGCAGCCGCCTCGAGGTTCTCAGGGAGAAGTTGGCCCTGCTTGTAGAAGTTGTCACCGGTACCCTAGACGGAAGACAGTTAATAAGCGTCATTGGACACGAATGGGAGAGACCAGAGCGACACATACGACGTCAATAAGGATATCGAGAGGGCCTCCACTCCACTTCTTAATCAATTCGGTCGCATCATGCTCCTTCCACTTCTCCTGCTGGTCCTCACCAAAGTACCCGCTGAAAGCCTTCTGGCCCCAGGGCGCCTTGATGGGGTTGCTGATAGGAGCAAAGGCAGAGACCGACTTGTACTTGCCCGGGTTGCGAAGGAACTTTTGTTTCCCGTTAGTCTCTTGATTGACATTGACCGGAAGAAGAGAACTTACAAGCGTCAGAGCCCCATGTCCACCCATGCTGTGGCCAGTGATACTGACCCGGCTAGAGTCTAGCTGCTGGGGGGAAAGCCGCGAAGACAGTCTTGGGAAGCTCCTCAGTGACGTAACTGTACATGTTGTAGCCGGCATTGTAAGGGGCCTTGGTAGCATCGACATAGAAGCCGGCGCCAGTGCCAAAGTCGTAGGAGTCATCTTCGCCCTGGATGTTGAGGCCACCTAGAAAAATACATTAACATCCGATCATTGTAAGTCGCGATTTCATGCTTTTTAGGATCGCGCGAGTCGAGCTAGCGTGAGGCTCATGCGGAACGTACGTGGGCTAGTATCGGGGTAGAGCACAGCAATGCCCTTCTTGCTGGCGGCGTGCTGGAAGAAGCCCTTCTCGGAGCAGTTGGCTGCCGTGCAAGTCAGGCCAGACAAGTAGATGAGGACGGGGACCTTCTGGGTCTGGGCCTGCGGGGGGCAAGTAGAGGTTGAAGTTCATCTCGCAGCGAGTGGTGGTGGCATTGTGGCTAAGCTGGAGCAGCTTGCCGCCGAAGGAGGCAATGGTGGCTTTAGTTGTGACGGACATGATGGGATTTGGAGGAAAGGGGGAAGAAAGCGGGAAAAGAGAATGGGTAACTTAGGGATGATGACGAGTTTATGAGTTGACGTTTTTTGCGCCGCGGGGTTTGTCCCGCATGAGGGGAAACTCCACCAGTCGCCGCTTTTACTTCACGATAGGACCGCGTGAGATCATAACTTGGAGATGCGGTGCTGTTTCAGCTGTCACGATGGATTCTTCGTCGATTATAGTTCTGACCACCGGGTTGCAGGCAGAAAGAGAACCACTGGCAGTAGACACTCCAACCCGCAACGCCGGGATGGGCACTGGTAACTAGTGCAGCAGTCCCATTCAATGCCACTCAAGTGACATGCACAATGCTATTTTCGGCATAATACACAATGTAGGAAACTAGAAACCCAATTGACAGGTTCTGTAAAGCGGCAAGGGGGTTGTCTCAATCGGGTAAAAGGTTCCTACAGCTCAATGATAAAGTCGCCCACGCGAATCCGAGCGCTGCCCACAGTGGAGAAGCTAAATGGAAGCTGGAACAAGTAAATGATACAAGATAACATTGAAAACCCTAATTAAAAAAAAAAAAACGAATAAAACAAAAATCCTATTCCCAATAAAATGCACGCCTGTGCTTCAATCCAAAAACACTGGAACTCCATACACCACAGGTGCGGCCCCATTCAAGTACTTCAACACACAAGATCTCCGTGATCCAGCTACGGCTGCGTCCAGACTAGTATCTCCTGGCGTGGACTGAGATTTACCATTGTTGCCAAGGAGGCCCCAGGAGTTCAGGGTAGATGTCGTAAACCGATCAATGTCTTTATCGGTAACATCCCACAGGGTAGCGACGAGAGCAGGGCTGCCCGCATGGAGATAGTTCATAGGCGTACCGTAAGGTTCATATTCACCAGCCTCGGTCAAAGCACCGCTGCTGCATCCCATGAGGAAGGCAACTCCGCATTTCGACAGTCGTTTGATGGTACGACCGCGAATGTACTGGGCCCCGCTGCCATGGCCGAAGTACAGGAAGAGATCCTTCGACTCGAGCGCCTGCCGGAACTCTTCCTCTGATGGCTCCCGCTTCACAATGCCCGTCCAAGATTCGAGACGCGAAAGAGCGGCCTCGAAAGTGGCTTGTGTGGTTCGCAGATCTCCAGTCGGGTTAAGAATGAAGGTGCCGGATGTAATATCTATCAGGGCACCAGATCGCGCTTCCCGGAATTGAAGGACTCGCTCCCGAAGGCATTGTAAAGATGGAACGCGGCAAACTGGAAATCCCTGCAGACATGGGAGGGACTCCCACGGAAAGAGATGTAGGGCTTTATCGAGCACAAGGACCGTGTGGCTTGGCGGGCGCGAGGCAAGTTCTTCTCGTGCGCTGTCGTGATAACCACGCAGAGCATCGAGAGTATCGACAACCATCATGTCAAAGTCAATCTCGTCATATGCGTTACGTTCGCCCTGGAATTGGAGGATGTCGACCACGAAATAGAGGAGGTCCATAAGCGTATCTTCAGGCTCCTCTTGCTCCTCCAAATCGCGAAGCCCAATGAATAGCTCCAATACATTCTGGTGGAGAGTCAAACGAGGCGAGGAGGCCTTGCCGCCTTTTTGACGTGACGGAAGATGTTTATCTAGAATGCCTTGGAAGGCGCTAGAGAAACGTCCTAGGGCAGTACTATCTCTGGGGAGGGGGAGAAGACCCCACGGAAGCCCCCAAACCAAATATTCTCAACGTTGTGGAGCAAACTTTCCATCCGACGGTCTAGAGTTTCACGCGTTTTCCACCATTCTTTTTTTGACTGTGCATCAGTCTGGGCCTTTGCTGCGTGAGCGCTTTGGTTGGCCAGTTTGATGAGCTCTTGCATCTCCTCCTTTCCCTCTTCGAAAGTGAACTGTTCCTCGTCGTCATCGTCTGTATTGCCTCTTCGGAGAGGCAAGCGCAGAAGGAATGGCGATCGATTCTTCTGAAGCCTTGAAACCACAAATTCCGTTCCATCTGCACTCAAAGACAGTGAGAGAACGTTCCAGTTCTCTGGCAGGATGTCGACATAGTTTTCTGCAAACCGAGTACATAAGTCCTCGTCGAGTTCAGTTGCCTCAAGAGCCGCAGGCCAGAGAAGGGGACCGGAAAATTCAGCTATGTAACGGTCGAAATCGATGGCCATGCGCTCTCGAGCAAATGCGCCCACGCGACCAATTTCTAAAGAGTGTTAGAGAGAAACCTCCCATGAAGATTAGTCCTATTACACGTACCGTTCATGTTCGCAGGTGACTGCGCCCAAGTGGCAGGGTCCCCTGGGTTCGTAGCATGCGACAGCATGGAAATTCGACTCATCAGGCGAGAAGCGGCGTGGCTCTGCAGAGTAGATCCGAGGACCGTAGCGTCCGTAAAAACACTTGTGAGACAGTCATTTGCTTTTGCAAGCATAATAGAGAAGGCCTCACTGGCCTTTTGGGCCTTCACTCGAGCCCCCTTGGACTGTGCCCGACCCCGTTTGGCTGGTGCTTTCGTAAGTTGAACGCTTGCTTCCTCGCCTGCCTTGCTGGGTGTTTTGAGGGATGGGAGTGAAATGGTGGATTCTGGCAAAACGCAGTATACTGCGTGACTTGCAAAGTGGCGAATAGCTTCCGCAAGAAGGTACTCACTTTCACCAATCTCGAGCGACACTTTACTTTCCCGGGCAGTCGCAAATAGTCGGGCTTGTTTCAAAGTATACGCAGATTGTTCAAAGTCTCGCATCTCACGGAGACAATCCGCTTGTTGGCGCAGCAGATCCCCTTTCAATTGTAGAAGAGACTTAGACTGAACTTCTGGAACTGCGGGCTTCTGATATGGTGCCTTATTGCCAAGAGAAGGAGTCGCGCTAGCCGTCCGAGTGTGTCGCGTCGTTCTGACTGTTGTGGACGATGGCGGTCTGCGGCTGTTGCGTACCCCCAGATTGCTCATCTGGGTGTCCAGAGCTGCAATGCTTGGAAGATCTGACGCATCAGATGCATCAGTAGAGGCCACTGTGGTGATTGACTTATCTGCCTCTTTCAGTAGACTTAGAGCTTTGTCAAATTGCCCTTGTGCCTGGTGAAGCGAGGCAATAGCCATTTGAAGAGAAACAGCTTCGATGCTAGTCTGGAGCTGCTTGGATGACTCTGCTGCTAGAGTAAGGAGTTTCTGACCTTCATCAACATGCCCCCCAAGGATCCAGTAAACCCCGAGCTGTGTCTGGGCTGCTACGAGACGGACATTGGCGTCGAGAGTCTTGTCAATCTTCAATGCCTGCTCTCCGTAATAGATAGCATCTTGGAACAAGCCATGATGAGCAGAGAGATTCGCAAGATTCAGCAGGCAACTGTGGTATGATCCAAGATGAGGCCAAAATGGAGCGCCTTGGATGTAGCTAGCTGGGGCCACTGGGGAGGAGCTGTCTTGAGATGAGTCAAGTTTTGCGACACCGTCAGCGACCGTATCAATATCCGATGGCCCTGCAGCAGCCAAAGATTTCCTTTCAGCAAGTTTTTCAACCTTGGCCCAGATGCGACAATTGAGTTTGACAGACAACTTGGCGAAATAAAGCGCATGGCTCATGGTGCCCTGAGCCGCGGCCAATCGCGATTGGACAAAGGCAGCATCAGCAATGAGCCTCTCCCAACTTATCTTTAATAGGACTGATACATTCGCTAACTCATCAGATTGCTGAGCTTTCTCATAAAGCTTCTTTGCTGCAGAAAGTGCAGACGTCGCTTTCTCGACTTCGTCTGTTTCGAGGAAGAACTCCACCTGAGCTAGTTTATATGAGATGGATGCCAACGAAGAGAGCCTGTACTGCGAAGCATATTGCTCGCCGCGTGAGAGAAGTTCTCCAGCTTTTTGGCAATGCCCAATGCGGCAGTGCTGGAGCACCAGACGAGAAAGAATGGTAATGGCATCAGAAAGATCCCCGGTTTGCTGAAGCTCCGACACCTTGAGAATGAGTTCCAACGCAGACAGCTGGGGTTTCCAAAGGCCATGAATTTCCGTATAATCGACCAAGGCTTTCAACTGAAGGATAAGGTAATCAGGATCGTGGACACAGAGGGCCAATGATTCGTAGTCGGAGCATCTGCGGATCATTGAGCTCCATGAAGCCAGAGTATCGTCCAACACCCCAGGATCAATCTGACCTTCATGAAACCCAAGAATGATACGTAGTGAATTTTTGATATGCGTTGAGAAGGGAGCAAGATCTGTGTCATTTCCACAATTTTCAGTACCCAGGCACACCTTTCCTTCATCAAGGAGCTTTCGGCTGAAAGCCGAGTCGGTCGAGATCGGATGTTCTAGTAAAAACCGGAGCGCAGTAATGATGGCCCGCCCACGCCGGATCGGATAGGAAGTGAGGGAGTATATTTCCAGGAGGCTGGATATGGTAGCAATGAGCATGGACTGAAAATTGCCTTCGTTTGAGGAAAATGAATTCATATCAGCCAAAAGGTTTAGTTGCCATTCCAGAATAAAGCCACGCAGCTCAGTGTCAAGCTCGATATCATCATATACCGTATGAGATTCTGGCCTTTTTCTTCTCAGCTTGGCTTTCAAGAATGTTGACAAAACACGGCCAAGCATGAAACCAGGGCTTTGGGGGTCTTGATTAGATGATCGGAAATGATACCCAGCACCATCTTCTAACATTTGATCCAAAACGCCGGAATCGACATACTCTTTGACTGATTGTCGAAACGCTTTCTCTGATTCATTTTGTAGGTTGCCGTCCATGTAAAGGTGCGCCATCCTCTCAAACTTAAGAGCAGCAAATGCCGTGACTCGATGAGAAGGGGAGCAGCCGGAGAGTACTTGTGTCGATTGCTTGAGAAGAGGAATGAGTTCACGATAGCCGTGGCCAGCTTCCTTTTCCTTGATATAGCGAGACCAATACAAGTTAGAAAGCTTCACAAGGCCATTCGAAGTGCTCGATATGTCAGGCTCTATCTCTCCGTCATCGATGCTAATAAGCAACCGATGACAATCGGCCAAAATGGAGAGCATGTCATTCCAAAGCGGTCGTTCAGAAGTGACGGAAAGCTTCCCAACAGCCACGGCCGAGTCGACGGCAGCGAAGATGATATTTTTCGACAAAGAAAGGCGGGCTTGAAACAGCTCAGTCTCCTTTTGATCGCTATCCTCTGGTGCTCGTCCAACATAGCGCCTAAGGAATCGCAAGAATGCTTGTAAGTACTCTCGGATTTGACTCGCAGCCTCATTCTTCTCCGTCTCGCTTTCGATTGCTTTCGTAATCGCATCGCCAAACCAGGCGAGTGCAACTTTCTTAAGCCTTGCTGCCTCCACAAGGAGCTCATCAAGATCGTGTGTACTGCCTCGTAGTTGTAGGCCAAGAGAATCAGTGGCCGCTGAAAGCGATTCCAGCACTTTCTGTGAGGGTTTGCGCGATCCTTTGAGGCTTTGGAAGTGCACAGCCGCAATCTTGCAGCGAATCGTAGCCAATGATAGGCTCTGGGAGCTCGAGAGAGGGGCGATAGATTGAGAAAATAATTTGAGAGATTCGTCCAAGCAGCCTGCATCGAGACCGATCTGACCAACCATAGTCATAAGCTTGGCAGCTGAATTTTTATCTTTGGGTCCCTGAGGCTTCTTAGGAATATCATTTGAAGAAGCTTGTATCCGGGTGATTGTTGTGTAGATCATGGCAAACTCCGACTTCTCGATTGCCTTGCTTCGATGCGAAAACCCTGCAAGATAGCGAAGGAGTGGATCGATTAGCTCTTTACTTTCATCACATTGATGGCCAGAGATCTTCCACCCCAGACATCTTATTTCCAATGAGAGTAATTGCAGATTCAGGATATTACACGGTTTCACTGAGTCTTTAGCATCGGATGCGACCATTGACAGGACAGCATTGGAGAGAAGCTGTAGTTGGACTGCAGCTTTGTCTTTGGCCAAATTTCCGGACTCCAGGGCGCTGGTAATTATCTGAGCGGGGCTGCTGGGATTTGATAGCTGCAGCAACTGATAGACTCTCTGAATCGTAGAAACCTTGCGGTCTGCTGCGATAAGTCGCATAGCATTGGCTTGGAACGAAACTAATAACCCATGCACGGCTTGCGCGTTGTTGAGATTTGAGAAGGCGATTAAATCAGACAACCGATCCTTGGATACTTCATCTTCGGGTGTGTCTTTGATCTCTGTGGACTTCTTTCCAGTCTTAGACTGATCCAAATATTGCTGTATCCTTCGCTTGAGAGACTTCAGTTCCTTGGCAGCCGCGTCGTATAGCCCCAATGATATCAATTTCCCAGCCAATATGCAAAGCCCTTGCTCAAGCTGCATATTGGGGAATCCATCGCTTTGGTCGGTCTTGAGAGCTCTGAGAACTGATAGAGCCAACCTGGCGCACTCGGCTGTGGCAGCAATGCCTTTATCGAATGTTTTTCTTGCGCTCAACTTGTCAGAGGTGGCTGTCTGCCGTTTTGGGGCTGGTTTTGTTGGCTGCACTTTCGTCGCATCGGTCAAAGTCTTGAGCGTCGTGTTGAATATTTCCGTCGCGAGAACTAGCTTCTCTTGAGGCGACAAAGCGAGCCCATCTTGGTCCACAATTGATTGAAACGAGTCATTTGCCGTAGTTGGTTTGGCCCGGATAGTTCTCGACCGACTTGTAGGTCTGCTCGAATCTTTGGTTGACTTTGGTGGCTTCTTGCCGAGCTTGTCGGTCGCTTGCGATGACCCGCGGAGGAGGGATTGGAGGGATAGTACGGTCGAATCGGAGCAGGTCGTGGCTGACCGAACAGCCTGTTTGACGGACTCAGTCAAGGAGTCGGCGGGGAGAACAGTGACCGCCATCATGGGGGTGAGTCGTTCGTGCAGGAGATCAGCGGTCCTTGAACGAGGCTTTGACACCTGATATCATTCAAGAGCGTCGCGACCCAAACTGGCATTGTTGTCCCGGCAACAGCCCACACTATACCTTATGTGGACTTACAGCCTTGACACCTCAGGCCAGAACTATACGCATATACACTCGTATAATTGGTGCCTTAAGGCATCCACAAGGTGCGGGCGCTCACGGGGGATCCCTGAGCTGTGGGTTCCCAACGGGGAGAAGGACGAATTTTGGATCTCACTTTGGCAACGCGTCGGTCATGGCGACAACCTTACGGCCACGGCCCTTAGGGTCCATTCGCTATCTATTATCTTGTCGAACTACGTTCAATCTCCCTGTCCGGTACAACGTCTCTGCCTCACGCACCTATGCTACCTCCGATGCCCTCCCGAAGATCGCAGATCGTTCAGTGTGGACATCGATGATCCCCAAATTTATTCGCAACCGAAAGGCGCGCGATCCAAAAAAGTCCAAAGAGTGGAATCCCGCAACCTTTTATATCGTTATGTTCACTTTGATCGGCTCCCAAGCGATCCGCATGCTTTCCCTGAAGAATAGCTATGCGACATACAGCCGAACCACTGATGCGAAAATCAGACTATTAAGAGAAGTGATCGAGCGCGTCAAGAATGGGGAAGAAGTAGACGTGGAAAGGATTCTAGGGACGGGCAACAAGGCAGAGGAGCGTGAATGGGAAGAAGGTATGTTTGATCTGTGCAAAATGGATGCAATATCTAACGGTCCATCAGTGATGCAAGAAATCGAGAAGGAAGATGCTCTATGGCGAAGCAAGAACTCCAAGGTACCCCTTCACAAGGTCGAAGACCGTTCCGTGGAGACTCAAGAGAAAGATTCGACCACGCCGTCTTCAAAAGAGCCTGCCATAAAGACCGAGTCAAAACGAAAGGTGAATTTCTTTTAGAAGTCCCAGCCAATGGGCTTCAAGATCTTCAAATGTATTATAGGACCATATAGTTTGTACCTTTTACAGCATCATGATACTTGCTGAGCAGTCATGAATCGTTTCCCAGCCTGGGTCTTGTGTTGATACCCAAGTTGATGTGTGGCATAGCATTTCACTAGCGATATGACCTATCTGTAAGAAAAAAAAGAGATTCGCACAGATCTTTCGATTCTATCTGCTTTCGATGTAAATACTGTACAAAACTCGAACCACAATGACAAGGACGATGCAAAGCCGGGATAGCTCGCATAGCGCCACAAATGAGATATGATGACAAGAACTGGGTGGAACCGCACAGTCTACATCTGCCCATCTATAGAGCTCTTCTCTTCATACTTTTCCACAAATCTATCTTCTGTTGGTACAATGCACATCAACTGTCCAACAAAGAGGGAATGATGGGCTTACCATATCCAACCAAATCCCAGGTCCTTTTGCACAGAGGAGATAACAAAGGGTGGCAATGACCAGGTCACATCCACTAGATGGCCAATAAGAAAAACAAGAAAACAAGAAAATGAAAGGGCCGGATTCGATGCTAAATAGGTGAAGAACATGGCAGAGAATCACAAAAGAGACCGATCGTTATGTAAAAGGGAATTACTGCTTGGAGCTCTGGAGGAACTTTGGCCAGTTCTCAGGGCGAGGGACCTGCACTCGGCCGATATTCTGGTCCAAGTCAAGAATAAGCTTCAGAGCATTCCGTGACCGGAGGTAAGGCAGAGGTGCTTTAGCGCCTTGCAGGCCAAGGGCAGGTTCCACGTGGCCACTAGGACCCTCGTCCTGGTGTGAGCCTGGCATAGGAAGCAAGTTCTGCAGGACCTCATAAGCAGCCAGGGTGAAACCGAATTGCGGCGATGAACGGAGAATACGAGCAGGTCCACCCTTGAAGAAGGCCTTGAACCCCTCATCCTTTAAGATAGTCTTGGCACAATGGCGCAAGTTAGTATACTGGGCCTCACCCTTGCGGGCTTCGACCTGCAGGCGAGTCTTGATCACGTCACAGGGTGTGGTCAGGTATGCAGCAGGCATACCGGCAATGGCACCAGCAGTCAACAGTTGGACAACGCTAAGCGGCTTGGTGGGAGTTTCACCGAAGAAATCAGACTTCAGGTGCGCATAAGTGGGGAAGTAGATCATTGAGAAAGGAACTGCGCAGAAGATCAGAGCTATGCCTTACTAAGAGAGAAGTAAATACTACTTACCATCGCGGAGAAGACAAGCGCTAGCTCCCTTGTACAATCCAACCAAACCCAGGTTCTTCACAATCCAGAGAGCAGAACGGCGAGGGGCACCTTCAACGTTCTTCGCGATCTCACCCTGTACCTGCAGACGAATCTTGACGATTTCGAGGGGGTTTGTGAAGACCTAAGAAAATCAGCAGCTGAACACAGAAGGTGAGCCATCGGTTGACATACCACTTGACATCCACCAGCAGCACCACCGGCGAGGATTTCCCAGGGATACCAGATCTTCTGGGTGTCCTTGTCAGTGGCCCATCCACGGACCAAGTCGTTAACAGTGAGCTTGATGGCTTTCTCCGGGGCAACACCAATAAGCTGAGGCAATACACCGGAGTATAAGCCAGTAAAACCCTCGTTGCGAATGACCTTCTTGGCGCAGTCCAAAGAGTTGTTGTACAAGCGCTCACCAGGCCGAGAAGACCGCTGGTTCTGCATGCGAGTCTTAACCAAATCGATCGGGTACACCATGAAAGCACCGAAAGCACCAGCAATGCTACCGAGAGCAAAGTGATGCACAGATTCGAGCACGCTATGCAGGAGCGACTTAGTCTTCTGGGCAGCATTTCCCACCGCGTGACCAGCTTGACCGGCAATGGCTACAGGCACCCGCCATGAAGCATCAATGACTTTTGTGAAATCTTTCTGGGCAAGACGCCCAGAAGGAGCATCCAAACCGGCGAAATGGAAAAGAATATCCGCCTCCATGGGGGTGAACAAAGAGAAACGGGTGATTCGCGCCGCCTCGTTCAAGAAGTCTGAACGAGTGATCTTCCCATCCGAGCTCTTGTTGGTGGCCTCGCGCACGACAACATCAATGATATCCATCTCGCGCATGATATTCTGGAAGGCGCGCACAGTGGCATAGGAGATCTTGTTACCGGCCGAGATGTTGCAGAGGGTGGGAAGATGCTCAAGGACATGGTCAGAGAGCTTGTGCTTGGACGTCTCTAGGATAATGCGCTGGAAGTCCTCCGGCTCGATGTATCCGTCTCCATCTTTATCGAAAGAGTGGAATGCTTGTCGAATGCGCTCACCCTGGAGCCCGCGCAGCATTTGGGAGAATTGAGGGTAGGTCATGTCGTGGCGGGATTTGGTGCGTCCAGTACAGCGAAGCCCATTCTGAGTTCCAGTCGAATGGAATGCTGTCTGCTGTCTTATTCAAGTTATACAAGCCCTGCATAGTCTCGAACTTGACGGTGCCGGATCCATCGAAGTCAAACAGACGAAACGCAATCTCGTACTCAGCGTCGGGCTTCGCAAGGAGGTTCTCGAAGGTAGCCCAGTCGGACAGGTTGAGCTTGCCGGTTTTCCGTCGGTCTGCCACATGAAAGAGGATGCCATATTGCTCACGCTTGATTTTGTGCTGTTTGGTTGGGACGGTCCATCAGTGTTTGTTTCAACCTAGACTGCGACGATAGCGGAGGATCCGACGGCAACTCACGTAGTCCTCCTGTTTGGGAGCGACGGCGCTGATGAAATCCTGCTCGGTCATGAACGACTCGCCATTTTCATCCTTTTGCGCATGGCGGAAGAAAGTCGCGCGAGATTGGTGCGACAGCTGAGGCTCTTCTGTGCTGCCCACCAACTTCTCCTTGACAACTTCGGTAACGCTAGCCATTGTGACACAGATCAGAAAGGATATTTAACGAAAGAAGTCAAACGCTAGACAGCAGCCCGAATGCGAAAGCCCGCCACACACAATGAAGGAAGGGGGAGAAAGTCGGGGTGAGTGGAGAAGGGGAGGTTTGAGTCAAGCAGGGATGGGCTAGCCACCGGGGCGATAATAATATTGGAGCGCCGAGCGAGAAATCGACTCTTTTTGGTTCCTGATTCTCGTGGCCTGTCGGCAATTTTCTTTTTGTGTTTTGTTTTTTTATTTTTCTCTATCTTTTTCTCTTCTACACTAGGTGTAAGGAATTAGAATCCATTCACTACGATTCCTTGTCTCAAGATCTAAGTGCTAGACTCTATAAGGATCACGATTTACTCGAATCGCAGCCACGCCGAGGGCTTTTTTTTTTTCACCGCCCCTAAGATCGGAATCGCGCTATTTCTCCGGTGAACATCGGTCTTGGGGCCGAGTCCGTTCCCCCTGGGCCTCTCCACACACTCCTGCTTCCTTCTTTCGACCTCCGTGCATTGGTGCCTGATTTCCCGTCCCGGACATGTAGGAATTTCTAGAAGTTTAAGATGGTTCGTTTGCCAGGACACGCCACGGTAGCCAGAAAATTTCGACCAGGGTCCGGCACAGCCAATCGCAAGGCCGCACACTCACTGGAGTTGAAGATGTCCAGGTGATCTTCGGAAGATGATGATCCACCAGCCGTCAGGAAGAAACCGGAGCTGGAGCTCACATGGCCTCTTCGCCGGCCTCCCGGTGTCTTTGCTGGGCAGAACAATGTCGGCCGGTGTCGGGTGCCTCCGTGCGCCATGCGGAGCAACAGCGGGTGTAGCGGGTCTTCCTTCCAAGGTTGGATGTTTGTTGGAGAAGAAGCTTGCTCTCATTGGGGAAACCCATCTTGATTGGTCTGTTCTGCTCACTTCTCCTCTTCTTCCCCCCAGCCTTCGTCTCGGTTGAATTCTGGGGAAGATCTCGCTTCTCCGCAGAGTATTCTGCTCGCTCTCGATCCTACCTCCCATCTACCTCCCCCAGGTCCCTTTCCCCAGCTATCAGTCCTGGTCTCCGCCTTTCCCCTCTCAATCGATCGCATATGGGGGCTGTAGCCCAGCTCAACTAAGAAAATGCCAACGCTTAGTACTAATTACAATATTTCTGGTCACAATCCTGAAGCGTAGAAGTTGAGAGCGATAGATCGGATAAAAAAGAAAAAAAGAAGAAACAAACAGAAAAATAGCGAGACAGAAAAAAAAAATCCACCGTGGAACATACACAAGAGCTATAGCTACCTCATGCATGATCAGCATTGACTAATGGTCAGGTGCAAGCCCTGGAGCAGGAGGAAAAGATAGTGGGGATGGCCCGGTCTTCGCACGTACTAACTAGTTACCCGTATGGCTTGCTTATCATATAACCAGCCCTGGAACCTTGGATCACCTGCAAGCGATTTACACGACACCTCAGTTTTGTCGTCCTCAGAATAGACATGGAGAGCTATTGCTTCATGGAAATCCGTGAGAGCTTGGAAAGCCCTCGAATGAGTAGAACCATTCTCAGGCGAAATTATCTTTCCCACATACTTATGGCACAGCCAAGAGCGGCATTAAAAACATCCCAGAGTGCATACTGAATGCTCTCTTCTCTTCGAATTACTGAGTCGATCCTTCGGTTGTCCCAGACTCGCCACTAGCATTGACAGATCGTTGTTCAAAAACGCAGGTAGTAGTTGAGAACCGCCAAAAAGGTGAATAAGCCTTCTGTCTTTCGGACGCAGAGAAGTTCTAGTAGCCTTATCCGAACTAGGGGCGATCTCCTGGTGAATGTCGCATTTTTTTTAAGTCAATGACTCGTATTTGGATCCATTAATATTAAAATTTGAATGGCGTTGTTGGACTGAGATTTTGGCTACATGTGTACACATCCATCTTGAGCGTCCAGACTCGGGTCCATGACGAAGAGGAATAGGGCGACCTTCTTCACAGTCTCTGATATGGAATCGCAGCTAACAATGCCCCCAAGAAGATCAACCCACGCTTCCGGACTGTGGTGCGTCTCCATACTCTGCAGGCCCGGCTCATTTGATTCGTCCCAATGTTCTAGGGCAACAGGCCGACAGATGGCTGGAAAGAAGTGAGCCCTCTAGTTACAAGAGGCTTGTTTCCGTCACCGACCAGGGGGCTGGACAGAAATTCACACATGCTTTTGTAGCGCAATATTCAGATATGGCCCGTCAGGCATATCAACGTTGAGGGGAATCAAGTAAAATGTGCCGTTGGCTGCAGCATAAGCTGTGATGTCACAACCTATCACGCAGGATAGTGGAAATTGGCGGTGGAACATCTGCTTAATGGGCCGTGATTGGTTAGAGATCATCCCCGATCGACTCTAATTTGGAACTAATGTGTGACGAGAAGGTGATAGTGCAAGGTGGTGCATGGAGACCGGCGCTTAGGGCGAGGGCGATGGTTGGCCGAGATGGACGGGCAGCCCTCCCGCTCCATCGAGTCCCAGCCTATATAGCCGCCCACCTCCCTCCCCAGCGCTCCATTCTGCATATTAGCTGTTTGAGATTTTCTATTTTCATTTCTTCTATTTTTGTCTCTGCGTTTCGTCTTGGCTGGTCCAAACGAACGGTCTTTCTATATCCCTACGTCAATAATTCTTTCCATCTCTTCTCTATCACTTTTCACTTTGTTGATCAAAGTGTCTTGAGATTCCACATCTTCTTTTAATCAAGCCCTGAGAATTTCCGACACTACCAAAATGTATGCTGCTCGCGCTGCCTCCCGACCCAAGTTGTCTTTGAGCATCTCGGCTACACAGACTGCGCCTCGACCATCGCTGTCTCTCAAATCCCCCGGCCCCGTTCCTCGAACTCCCATTTCGCCTGTGTCTGCTGCAAGCCCTACAAGCAAGAGATTTTCGACTCTTCAGGTGCCGTCATATGGCTACGCCAACTCTTGCTCTTCTAAGAGCATTCTCAAGAAGCAGCCGTCGGTGCGACCGACCGCCCAAGACAAGCGCATTCAATTCAAGAGTACACCTACTGTCCACTGCGTGACCCCCATTGAGAATCCAGACGAGTACTATGGCAAGCACACCAGGATTTCCCGAGACGAACGACGATGGGGAAGCCGCGAGTGACGTGACGTCTGCGCCTGCAGATGATTATCACTGCCTCGTGAAACCTCACCTGACCGAATCTTCGCGCGGCGCCGGGCTAGATGCCATTTATCCGTCTATGTTGACGGTCTGTTAAATGGATGTATTCCATGAAAGCATTGGTTAGCCTGGACAATAGGCAAAGAGGATCTCGAGCATCACACACCCTGGCAAAAGGAGTTCTCATACCGGCACGACGTCAAGTACACTGCATTTTGGGAATCCGCAATCTGGATCATGAACCGATTCTCCAGGGGCCCAAAGGCTTTGTAGCGAGACACTCAGCTCTATAAGCGCCGTGCTGGCAAGAAGAGAAGCACTGTTGAAGAGACGATATATTATGACGTTAATGGGCCTCCGACTTTTATGATTGCAGTTGACATGTTTATTTTAACCTAGCCTGTCTTTACTGCCAAATATGATCCTATTGGCGCCGAGCGCCGACCAAGCCTTCCGATAACGGGTAATTCCAGTGATCTAGGTATACTATCGTAAATGACTCAAGGTTTAGTTGTAGGACGTAGCTGCTGCTCCTGACTGCTTCTTAAGGTTAGGGCAGACTTCAAGGGCTTTCAGGGTCCGTGCGCGCCAATATTTCTACCCGGCGCGTGTTCGCCATCCCCCAAAAGCTTGCTCAATGTTACTACCAAGAACATCTCTGACGGCACTGCGCCAGTCTGTGGCTCACGCTTCACGACGAGCTGTCGCATACAGAAGGAATCTACTGACCCTCGCAATCGAAACATCATGGTAGGTATTGGTTGATGCCAGAACTGGATACCGCTAATGCGCCATGAACGACAGTGACGATACATCTGTAGCAATCCTTGAAAAGCAAAATGACGGTTCTGGGAAACGAGCTTGTATTCATTTCCTTGCGAATATTACTTCCGATTCCCGAGCACATCGGGGTATTCATCCAATCCTCGCCCTCGAATCCCACCAAGAGAACATGGCCAGTCTCGTCGATAAGGCCCTCCGACATTTGCCAGCTCCGAAGGGTACTCTGCGGTCATTACATTTAGCGGATGGGTCTAAACGCCGTATGCCGGATTTTATATCAGCTACAAGAGGGCCAGGGATGCGCTCAAACCTTTCAGTAGGGCTTGACACCGGGAAAGCACTCTCTGTTGCGTGGCAAATCCCGCTGGTCGGGGTACACCACATGCAAGCGCATTTACTGACACCGCGGCTTGTGTCATGTTTGGAGGGAAACGACAGCATGAGCACGGCCTATGATCCACAGTTCCCATTTTTGTCGATCCTAGTGTCTGGTGGCCATTCAATCCTCGTACACTCAAAGTCAATCACGGATCACAAAATCATGGCGTCGAGCGAGGATATAGCAATGGGTGAAACACTTGATAAGGCGGCCCGTGAGATACTTCCTGCTGAGCTGCTGCAAGGGTCGAAAACGACCATGTATGGAAAGGCCCTAGAGCGGTTTGTCTTTCCAAATGGCGAGGCCGATTTTGCCGATTATAGGCCCCCTACGAGTCGAGGAGAGGAATTGATCAGGCGGCAAAATTCGTGGGGCTGGAGTATCACGACGCCCTTCGCGAACACCAGGGTATTGCAACTGAGCTTCTCTTCTGTAGCAAGCATGGTCAACAAGATCATCAAGAGCAAAGAGGGGAATCTGTCCTACCAGGAACGAGTCGATCTCGGTCGTGAAGCAATGCGTGTATGTTTCGAACACCTTGCATCACGGACTATCATAGCCCTCGAAGAACTCCGTATCAGGCATCGAGACGAAGAAGAGATCAGAACGTTGGTTGTTAGCGGCGGTGTTGCGGCGAACAAGTTTCTTATGGCAGTTCTTCGATCATTTCTTGATGTGCGGGGATTCGAACATGTGAAACTCGTCGCGCCGCCTCCATCTCTGTGCACTGACAATGCTGCTATGATCGGCTGGGCAGGTATAGAAATGTTCGAAGGCGGCTGGCGGTCAGATTTAAGCTGCCGGGCCATACGGAAATGGACGCTCGATCCTCAGGCTGAAGATGGAGGCGTGTTGGGGCCCAATGGGTGGATCCATGAATCGACTCTGTAGGAGTATGATTAACGATACGGCCCACCCCCTTCCTACTAGTATCACACCTTGTATATCTTGTATTATTGTGTTATGACCGGTCTACTGCACCTTGACAATAGATCAAATTTACAAGTAATCAATATTCTTTTTGGAGCAATACAGATTTACTGCAATTGTCTCACAGAAAGCAAAACAGACGCCGATGCAATGATAGCATGAAAACCGTCCTCCCGACCCCAGATCCTCCCATCACATCCTGGAAACCATCACAGTAGGGGGTATCGATGATGCGCCGCTCTAATCCGTGCAAATTTTCCCAGCCCAAAACCACAACCATCACGCTGTGCAATCAGGTATTTGAAAAGCAAAAGAACAGGGCTGCATTCTCCCCGTTCAGCCTCCAACAGGAGGACCGCCTCGCTGCAACGAAGCCACTTGCTTTCTGAGTTCGACGAAGAAATCCTTGCCATTGACCATGGTATTAGCTAGAGGAGTTAGTATGGTATGGGATGATGAGCGGCGCAAAGGTAAAAGGCATACCCTTCGAGCCCCATGGACTGCCTGATCGTTGGTTATTGGCGTCCTTGCCGGTCGGCTTGTAAATGACTGCTTTCGGTTCTTCGCTGCGTTAGAAACGGGTTGGTCCCCATGGGAAAGGGAAATGAAAACCTTACCTCGAGGGTCTGGTGAGAGAGAGAAAGCACTTGGATTAGTTACTGTCAGTTCTCCTGGTCGAGTGTGGCGCACCTCTTTTTAAAATATTCTTTGCCTCTGTGGCATTGAACCCCCGAACGGGGACATGTTGTGCTTGTGAAGAGGCCGAGGTAGCCCATGCCGTATTGTTCCCCTGAGAGCCTCCATGCCCACCCTGAGCGCGATCACGGTTTCCGGCGCCGGAGTTTCGTTGCGACGACTGGCGACTAGGCCCACGCCATCTGGGGACATTAGCACTGATATGGTATACTAAGACACATATTCGTACCTGTTCTCACTGGATCCACTCATAACGGTAGCCGATTCGAAATTCCCAAGTACTCTTGTTTGGTTTTTGTTGGGCAAAGGAGTATGCGGGGAAGCTGTTCACGTCCGAGCTGTAAAGAGAGTTGAGATTGACACCTTAGGCGGCGACGGATCTCCGCCTCGACAGAGCCAAACCCTTGCGGTCCTCATATTCCTCCAGCCTTCACAGCTCTAAGTGCCTGGGGCATTTTCATTTTTGCCATTTGAGACCTTTTCACACCTTCGCATCCCTTCTTTTACGTCATTCTGTCCGCGAAACTACCGGCTCTTTGTCATTGCGATCCCCTGAAACGCGACTTGGCGTGTTGATTGCCAATCCTCAAAAGCCAAGAAACTGATAAACACACGAGCTCCTCGACCTTATTCCGCGATGGCACCCATGCCCAGACAATCGATATCTGGAAGGCCATCACGGTCTCATCACAAGTCATCCATGAAAGCACCCCGCCACGTTGTGGGATCCCCCCGAAGAGCCTCCGCATAAGAAGCGCAGATACGTGCCTGGTGGGCCGGGAGGAGGAGGAAGGTTTGTTGAACTCGACGCGGCAGCTGTGGCGTCCCCCACAGCTCAAGAAAATACCCCCCAAGAAGAAGAACGGCACGCCTCGAAGGCACTCCAATAACGCTCGCAGCCGGCCTGCGCGTGAGATCGAGCAGTCCCTATACGCCCCTCCGCCACCACCTCCCATTCCAACAACACCTCCATCTATGACGCGTCCTCGACGAGATAAAAGTCAGAATCGCGGTCGCTTCACCTCTTCAACAGCAGCAGCCCTTGCTCTGCAACAAGGCGACGGTTACAAACCGCGAGAAGAGAGGGGATGGGAAGAATTCCACCCTGATCTGGACATTGATGGGAAACTCGCAGTATTTACAGCGGATGAGGTCGACGCTGCAGATGCCCCTCCTAATTCCGCGAATCCAGACTCGGTTTCTGGAGCTTTAGAAAGCTTGGGCTCTCCGATCCAGACTTCTACAGATGTGACGCCGCTTCCATTTAAACGTCGACCTGGTCGCCCCCCGCGTCGTCCGGAAGCTCTTCTCAATGCGATTCGTTTTCAACCTGGGCCGAAGGTGATCCCACCGCCAGGTCCAAATCCCCGTGAGAAGTTAACTCTACCAAAGCCCGCTTTTCGCCTACAAGATCCTTTCACATTTTACGAGCAGAAGGGCGGCGGCCAGCAGAATTATGTCGACCGAACTATGGCCAGTGTAGGTTATCAAGAAAGCGATGTGTTCCTACGCCATGATAGGCGCTTCATTCGAATGACTGAGGGTGCCCAAGAGGATGATATGGACGTGATACAACCTGCTGCTGTTGATAATGATATCAACTCGACCGTTGGACGGGTCGAGTATGATATGGATGAACAGGATGAAAAATGGCTCGATGACATCAATGCCAAACGCCGGGACGACCAACTCGAACCGATAAAGCCTGCCATATTCGAAATTACCATGACAAAGATTGAGAAAGAATGGCATGCTCTGGAAAAGCGCATTCCAAAACCTAACCCAAAGCCCCCACAGACACAGCGGCCTCGCTCTAGCTCTGCCGCTGCAGTCAACGGAGAGACCGTAGGGCCAGGGAGGAACAAGACAGTAAATGTGCAATTTGTGACGATGGTGACTGCGAGAACTCCAACGCGATTGTGTTCTGCGATGGATGTGATCTAGCTGTTCATCAAGAATGCTACGGCGTTCCATTCATTCCTGAGGGCCAGTGGCTCTGTCGCAAATGCCAGCTGCTTGGACGCGGCACTACGAATTGTATCTTCTGTCCCAACACGGAGGGTGCCTTTAAACAAACTACGTCCTCGAAGTGGGCGCATCTCCTGTGCTCCTTCTGGATTCCCGAGGTTTCCATAGGGAATCCTTCTTTGATGGAACCTGTGACTGACGTTGAAAAGGTACCACGAGGTCGCTGGAAGTTGCTATGCTATATCTGTAAGCAGAAGATGGGAGCCTCTATCCAATGCAGCAACAAGAACTGCTTTGTTGCGTTCCACGTGTCGTGTGCACGGCGTGCTCAGCTTTATCTTAAGATGAAGATTGGCCACGGTCTCATGGACTCTCACCTTCTCAAAGCCTTCTGTGATAAGCATGTCCCTCCCGATTGGCGATTGGAGCATGGTACCGATGCTGCTACGGCGGATGCCATTGAGTACTACCGGAATACTATGCAGGGTAGACGGTGGGGCGATAGCCAGGCAGCGGCGTTGTCTCTGGCACCCTCGCACGCGGAAGAGGGAGAGGAAGAATGTCTCCACACTCCTCGAATTACATTGACTGTCGGTGGGAACAAGCGCAAGCGAGCGGCTAGAACCATTTGGAAGCTACCCTCAGGCGCCCCTGTCATTCCACAGGTCGTCCTCAACTCGGTTGTTGCTTCCCTTGGGCGATTCACAGTTCGTGGCCGCAAACAATATGCGGAAGAGGCTTGCAAGTACTGGACTTTGAAACGCGAGGCACGACGTGGCGCCGCTCTCCTCAAGAGACTCCAACTGCAGTTGGAGACATTTTCCTCAATGGAGATGACCCGTCGTGATTACGTAGCTATGGGTGTTACTGGTCATAAGCGTCTACAACGTCGTATCGAATTTGGTGAGCACCTCTACAAGGATCTTGATCGGTTGCGAATGCTTTGCGATGAGGTGAAAAAGCGTGAGAGGGAGAAGCTCAAGGATGCTGAGATGCTACGAAGCATTGTTGACCTGGTCTACTTCCCCATCTTTCCACTCTTGTGGCCGGTCTTTGAGAAGGCTCAAGTGTAAGTCTCGACTAAGAGGAATTGATCTTTTTGGTGTCCTACGTACTAATTTTGTATTATAGTCTCGATGGGAAAGCGGTATTCGCTGCTGGTTTAATGTCAATCCGCAAGCGACTCCAAGAGAGGTTTTACCCGTCTGTGGCGTCCTTCTCTGCTGACTTGGCTAGCCTTTTCACCTCGGAGATAGGCGTTGGGCCTGCCGGTGACACCGCGCAACTCCAAGAGCAGATCAGTGGCCGGGCCCCTGAACTCAGTGTAGAGCAGCGCGAGAAAAGGAAATTGGCTAAGCGGATAATTAAATCTATCCAGCCCGCTTTGGAAGATGCTATCCGAAAAGAAAGCGAATTGAACCGAAAACCTTATGAAAAAGAACTGAAGGAGCTGGATGTGATTCTGGATCATAGTGTGATGTCCCGTCGGGGCGATTCCGCCGAAGTCGAGGGAGATACTGAGCTTGGGATCGACCCAGAAGACCACAAGGTTGAAGCTATGGAAGGCGTGGAAGCAATTGATAACCATGACCAAATGTCAACTGCACCTCCGGCCGATGAAGTTGTACCTTCACGAGAGCTTGCTACGGAAGACGTTGTGGCTCAAGCATCTGTCTTCGAGGATGAAACAAAGCCCAACATCAATGTGATCACTAAGCGCCATCCCACGCCTGTTCTGAGTGAGGAGGACCAGCAACTCCCACTGGCACAGGGGGGTATCCAGTGGTACATGGAACCCTTTGATCCAGTTGGAACAACAATTCACGAGGAGCGGTGGACTGGTCGGGATGTGATGCGTGGTATGAGCGAAGAATTGAGCGAGCTGGATGAAGATGAACTGAAAGATTTGGTGGACGACGAGCTGCCTGACACTGTGAACACGTCGGCAGACAACCCGGGTCGTTCCAAGCAGAATGTCCGTAGGACTCGACGTTCTCGTTGGTAGCTCTCGGAATTCTTTGTTGTTTCTCTTTTTTTTTTTTTGCTTTTTTTCTTCACTGACTTATCTATTACGAGCAATGGGCGCAGGGAGGAATTCGTTTTCTTTGTGCCTCTATTAGACCGTGTATTTTAATAGCAGCATTATTCGCATAAATTGAAGGCGTATGCGAAACGACTGCTTTGTAATCCGAACTTTGTCGCGCTGTTTCGACCTCCTTTCACATGTCTTGGTAAACTGTGAACTTGGTTTACGAGAAAGTCTACGAAGTCTTCTAGATCAGAGACCTTCAACCTGTTCTCTCCCTTTCTTTGTATCCTTCGAGAAGCTCGGGTCTTTGTTTCTGCAAGGACGCGCGGGTGTCTGGCTTGAAAGGTGAACGTAACTCGGCTGTGTTCCTTTTCCGGACCGCTAGCGCCCGTCTTATCAGCTCTCATTTCTCACTCTCGATTTTCCTTTTTCCACCTCTCCTCATCCACGACCATCATGGCTGACTACGACAACGACAACGGCCGTTACGCCGGTATGTATTTCAGCTCCCTTGACGCGTTTCTTCAGCTAATTTTCTTAGATGAACCCCGTTACGAGCGCGACCGCAGCGCCTCGCCTCGCGATGAGCCTCGAGGCGACCGCGCCCGTAGCCGTTCTCCCAACGGCCGCTCTGATGACAGGTATGAATCCCTCCTTCGATGGTACCGCACTATGACCATCACTGACACCACCTCGATGGGTAGACCTCCACCCCGTAATAAGAACCTTGACATCGAGGAGGATGAGGAAGGTGCCCAGAACCCGGGCTCTAACTTGTTTGTTACTGGCATTCACCCTCGTCTGACCGAGTCCGACATTTCGCGCCTTTTCGAGAAGTACGGCGACGTCGACAACTGCTCCATAATGCTTGATCCCCACACCAAGGAATCCCGTGGTTTCGGTTTCGTCAACATGACCACTCCTGAGCAGGCAGATGCTGCCAAGGAGGGCCTTCAAGGCGAGGTCATCGAGGGTCGCACTCTGAGCATTGAGAAGGCCCGTCGTAGCCGTCCTCGTACCCACCCCCGGCAAATACTTTGGCCCTCCCAAGCGCGGTAAGTTTGATGTCCCTCTGAGCTCTGAATTTATTTTTTCCTTTTTCTTTTTCTTCCTTTCTTTTTTTCCCCCCCTCTCTATCGCCCTTCCACCTCGTATAGGCCCACGCGCTAATACTTTTGCAGATGGCCGTGGCCCACCCCGTCGTGGAGACCGCTACGATGAGCGCCGTGGCCCTGGTGGTGGTGGTAACTGGCGTCGTCGTGACGACGATTACTATCGTTACGGGCGTTACGACTCTTACAACGACCGCCGTGACTACGGTCGCGACTACAATCGTGGAGGTGGTGACTACCGTAGCCGCGACTACGGTGGCCGCGACTACCGCCGTGATTCTCGTGATGATTATGGCTACCGTGGTGGCGGCGGTGGCGGCGGTGGCGGCGGTGGACCTGACCGCTACAGCGACCGCTACAGCCGTGATGATCGCCGTGGTGATGACCGCCGTGGTGGTGGTGGCAGCGGCAATGGTGGTGATGAGGGTGGTCGTGGTTACTACGACCGTGACGCGAACGCTGGTAGCTATGATGCCGCCCCTCCCCGCGAGCCGCGCGAGCCTTACAGCAGCGGCGGTGGCGGCGGCGGCGGCGGCGGTCGCTCCTACGAAGGCCGTGGCGGCGAGGAACGCTACGGTAGCAGGTAAAGTGCCCCTTCATCAAAAGCACGAGTCGTGTGCACCACTCGATGATTAAAATTCTCAAATTGCCCACTTCCTCTTGTTTCACTATCCCCTACCTGGTTTCCCTTATGTTCTTTACCCCTTTCGATTCCTCAAACTGTTTTAATGCGGGGTTTGCTCAACGGGCTTCAGGCGTCGTTGTCTTTCATGTGTTCTTTATTTTGCTATTTTTTTCCCTCTTCACGTCCAACAAAACACACCCACTCGAGCGCGATCGGCCAACTGCGACCGACCCGGAAATTATGGCACCTCTTACGGTTATTCATGTCGTCCATCTCTCGCTCGATGATGTGTCTCTTTTTGTCTTTTCGCGACTCAAAACTTCGGGAAACTCTAGCGGCAAGGAAGAAAACAAATATCGCTGTAATTCGGTTGTCTTGTGGAACCAGCATTCTCGAACTGTTCGCCTTATGCCCACCATTCTCCAGTAACGGCCCGGTTGTATTCGACAGGTTTTAATGTCGCCTTCTTATCACCCTTCATCATTGTTCCCGGGCTTCGCCAAAGCCGCCTTTATCCTGGTCCTTTCGCTTGTAGTATCGCGCCAAGGGCTCCTCAATTCTATTGAGGTCTAATCTTTTAACGATGATATTCAACCATACAGAAATATGCCAAATAAAGGTAAGGCTTTTTTTTTTTTGCTCAGGCTGACTTGACTCTCTGCCCCTGGCTTGGGTGCGTCATGTCTTGACCATGGGCTTTCGCCATTATTTGGCCTCTGGATGGACTATTCAGGCTGGTAGCCAATGTTTTCTACTCACTTTCCCTAGGAACAGCCTGAGATGGTTTATCCTTGGCCACGCTCGGCCATAGAAGCAAGTTAACATGCAGCAAATGTTTTCTTTCAGCAGTGATGCGCTGGCTGGCCTGGATCGAGCCTGCTACAGTCTACTGGAGTGCTCGAAAAGCTCTCTAAGCAATGCAAGCATATGGAATCTGACGCTTCACGTCTCACTGCTCGATTCGTAGAAAGCTGGGTTGTATGTTAACCCTATCTCAAGATATCTTAAATAGTCCCTTTGTTACGGGATAAGGTTCTTGAAGTTTCCTATCTATGGTGCAGATATCTGGCTTTGGGTCTCTCCCTCATCGACTTGCCAATGGGTGAGGTTTAGCTTGTAGATGTTTACAGCATAGCCAACAATTGGGCCTATGTTGATATACTTGCATCAGTATATGGAAGTGACTCAGAATCGTCTTTTTAAACAAACCATAGCTCAGATAATTCAAATAGTGATATCCACCCATACGCCTAAGAACACCGTGAATTGGTTAAATTGCGATTCGATTTCAGTCTTTGCCCTCTCCATCTAATTCGTTGCCTCTCTGAATCAAGAACTCCCCGAGCACTTGCAATGGATTGGGTGGCCTTGCAAAGCCCGACGTTGTCAGCAATTGCTCCAAGTTTTCGTTGGTTGTAGTTCCCGGGCGAACTCACTGGTCTCTCGCAACAGCCTTCATCCCTTCCAACAAATGAGGCACAACCTTCTCGTTCAAATACACGCGCGCGGGGGCGCCGCCAGGTCGGACATGAGTCGCAGCCGCAGCAGACAGATCCGCCGTCGGAGTATTTGAGGTACCGTTTGGTTCGGCCATGACTGTCGGCGAGAAAGGTTTGGGAGTGTGCCCAGCGTCCGCTGGGGCGAGCCCTTGTTCCGAACCTGCTGGATGCTGTTTGGTAGGGAGAATGGAAGGTTCAGCAAGAGGATTGCGAGGGAGAATTGGCTCAAATCAATGGGCAGAGAAGCAAAGCTCGAAGAAACAGTCGAGAGTTCTCCGGAGAAGCAAAAGGTTGCGCAGAGCGGAGCTGTGGAGCTTCCAGACCCTCCGAACAAACAATCAACCGGGTGAGGAACTGGGAAGCAAAGGATTTGTCTCTTACCGGTGCGTCGGCCATGGCGTTTATATAGCAGCAGGCACTTTATTCTGTCTTTCTTGATCAAGCCAGCATGTCTGTAAAGTTCTCTAGTCATCATGGCCCCTCAATCACATCAAGCTCGACAGCCCCATCACACATGCAAACACGTCAAACATTGGCCGATCCGCTCGAAAAGGCAATATCATTCACGTGATTTCGTGTTCTTCTCGTAGCGCAGATCGCGTGCGCGAAAGGCTGCAGCGCGATCTAATAGCCGCACCTATGGCCTGCTTCCAGCATGTCCTTGCTCCACTATTGGGATACTCAGCGATCAGCAAAACGCAGGAAGGTCTCAGGAACCGGCTCGGGCCATGAGAGTACTGACAGCAGGCAAACAAGTCCCACACCTTCGGCAGGCGTGGACGCTCCTCCTTTGGTGGAAGACCCAGAGACTCAACTATTCAGCAGCCAAACGGACCTTGAAACTTCTCTACCGCCGATTAAAACAGACGAAGAAGCCATTAAAGAGTACGAGTTTTCTCAGAAAGAGCCAGGGTTGCATGTTAGATTACGAGATGGTGTCTGGCGGAAGGGCAAAAGTTCTATCTATGTCGATGCCTTTAATCTGACGCTGGAGACTGTCCTGGATGAGGAATCACATCTCTTTAACCAGCGCGAAATGCAAGTTTTTACACAGTGGAGGGAATTGTCTTATGAATCACAGTACTTGTAAGCTTTCTCCTACTTCTGTTGCCGAATTTCGTTGGTATTCACAGTCTAGGTATGTTCGACTCTTCCTGCGCAAAACATCCGCATGGCATCGTGTCAGTCGCCTCGGCTACTATTCAGATATTTCCGATCTATCAGTGGTAGCTGCCGATCTTCAACAGGATCGGCCACTTCCCAAATCGGAAGAACAGGATGATGCAAGCGAACTGAACACCGACACTTTTCGCTTCGCGGACTGCAGTCAGGAAATTAAGACGCTCGAAGAAGCTTCGTCTCTTCTACTTCTGGAGGAGCTGAAAGGATTCGCCAAAGATGTCAAGGCACAGGGCAAGAACAAAAAGGAATTGCTGGCATCGTTGCATACCGCAAGTCAAACCCAAACAGGCCTAGGTTTTAAAGAGGGCTCGGATCAGTCGGACAATCGCGACACCTACTTCGTCGAGAAAATCCTGGATTACACGGGTGAATGTATTCGCCTTTCGTCGGGACCACGGGCTCTCTTCGAACGGGTGCATCTAGTCTTCTATCGTTCGACCGAATGGACCGAGAAATCTCTCACTACCATCATTCTTGCAAAGATCTCAAGGAGAAATTTCCCCCAGTATGTGGTCTGTCGCTCAAATTCGATCTTTCCCTCCCGAGCGGCTCTCCTGGAATTTGAAGCTGCGGTTCGCACTCAGTTTGCCGTGGATCAAATTCTTGAGTTCAACGGCCCTCCGAGCCACGAATCTCTGCAACACATCATAGATCTGGCAGATCGCTATCACCCACGATGGGCCGAGTTGGTCAAACAAGAACAACAGAAAGAAGACTCTATCTATGAAAGTGGCGAGGGAGCCTACCTTCGCCGCTTCTCACCCGCATGGGTATACACGAGGATCATCCATAAGAGTCTGCACCCTCTCGGTCGATTCAAAGAACACAAGCGCGAGCATGAAATACTTAGCGAACTTCTCGCGCAGCGACTATTCCACGCTGCCCGACGAGGAGCCTGGTATCAACGGAAAGCCCTCCTAGAAGAACACTACATGTGGGCCTTGATGCCATTTGAAGGCCGAAACGAAGACAAGCAGCGCAAATTCTGGAAACGAGTTGCACTGCGCACCTGCGAAGAGGGACTGGAAGATCCGCTCTGCCATCTCATCTTCCACTACGACCTCCAGAAACGGATCAGCAAGCTCGAAAGAGCCCTGAAAGTTGTCAAGCGGGAACAACACGATTTCGGACATGTCATGCTGAGCAAGCCCGCCGAGCGGACCATCGAAGGGATCCGCATCGACCATGACGAACCTGCACGCAAGGGGAAGGCGACTGTCTGGGTTGACGAGCGCGAAGGCGGCGAGTGTAGAGTGGAAAGTATGTGTCTGAGTTGGTATCGTGACAATGGGTGGAAAGGATATCACTCCGAGGGAGGCATCGTGCGGACATTGTTCGGGCTGCTCTTCTACGATATCCTGTTCACCTTTGTCCCCAATGTGTTCCAGACTCCTTTCCAAACCTGTCCCCTCGATCTCCATACAGATGTCTTCTACCCTTCGCGAGCGTCGGAGATAAACCACCGACTCGTAGAAATTACGAATGGGGATGCAGAGCGTATCGTTCGCGATATTCATGCTCGCGAAGCATCTGCTCAACCGTGTGCGATTGGCATCGACTGGTCCTTCGAACTGGACGATCTTATAGAGATTGTACAGTGTTTTCGTGGCGAGGCTCTGGCTACTATCTGTAAGGTTATGGCACAGGAGTATCAACAGCGTGGCGGTGGCATTCCTGATCTATTTCTTTGGGATTACGAAGCGAAGACTGTCATGTTTGCGGAGGTCAAGTCAGAAAATGACCGCCTAAGTGATACTCAACGTCTCTGGATACACATCCTTCTTGGCGCTGGAGTCAAGGTTGAATTATGCAACGCGGTCGCGAAAGAGGTTAGGGCTGCGGCTGAGTGATTCTGTAAATAGCAGCCACAAGCACATACTTCACGCATACGACGAAATGAAACCATTCCCATACGACCCCTACTACGATCGACTATTCATTTTTTACAATAGAGTAAGAGGAATTGAAGTATATCATCAGCACTAGCATGAACGGGGTACTAAATCGTGAAAATTCTTTTCTTTTTAGTTGGCGTATCTAGTACGAAGTGAGTCCCTGGTAGTACCCCAGGGTTCCTTCACGACCATAACCATATCCCTAAACACCACAAACCAACACCATGACACGCTTATGCGACAAGGGTGGAGGCAGTGGCGCTCTCGTAACGCCAGGTGGGGGGGGAGGACACCGACGGTCTTGTAGTAACGGGACAGACGGTGGATACGGGACTCGATCAGGAATGAGGCGGAACTTGCTGTCCTTGTCCTTGCGGTTACGCTCAAGGTGCTTGCGGACGGCAACGGCCTGTTTGGTTATTAGTTAGGAAGATTTCAGCTGACCCTGCATATCGCAGGGTATCATCAAAGGGAAAAGAATTTTGCGCACCTTCTTGATCAGGAAGTAAAGGTCCTCGGGGAGTTCGGGAGCGAGGCCTATATTCCAAAAAAAATCTCTCTGTCAGCCATGTTCTTGACCAAGCAGAGGCTTAGTTGCTGGTGCATTTCTGCGACCAGTGTGTAGATGGAACGATGCAGGATCTACCCTTTTCCCCTCCAATTCGTGGATCAATGGGGTGGGATCATAGATCTCATGCAGTAGCGTTTTATATCTCATCCGACTGAAGCGAGGAGGGGAGTTGTGACTGGAGGCGTACCGTTGGACTTGAGGATACGGAGGATCTTGTTTCCTATTTATACAAGTTAGATTTTTTTTTTTTTTTCAAAAACTGCGAGAAATCTTCTCGATTGCTCGGAATTTTTCGCAGGTCCAGGGGGAATGCGTACCGGTGACAAACTTGACCTGGGCGATACCGTGGCTGTCACGGAGGACAACACCGATCTGGGAAGGGGTGGCACCCTTCTTGGCCAGCTTGGTGATGTGCTCAACAACCTGCTCGGGGGTGGTCTTGAGCCAGGCTGGGGGAGTGCGAGAGTAGGGGATAGCGGAAGAGGCAATGCCCTTGCCCTTGGAGTGAAGGCGACCCATGATGAAGTTGTCCGGCGGAGGGGATGCTGGTCGGAGGTTGTCGAGGTGGATGAGGAAAAAGATTCAGGGCTCAGAGCCGGTAAAGGGTGGAGTGGGGATTGTGCGCTGTGTGGGGTCACGTGCTCTGGTTTTCGCTTAGTTGGTTGGATCGTCCCGAGTTCTCGAACTTTTCTCTCCTTCGCGGATTCGGTTCCTGGAACTTCAACAGCTGCGCGACTGGGCCTCAACTGGGCTTTCTTTTCAGCAGATTTCGACTGGATGTTGGTGATGTTGGTCTGGCCTGCTGGATACTTAGGGACAAGTTCCGCTTGCTCATGTTGGGCGTAGTTTTCCCCGACAATGTTGAACTTCCTGTTGCTCACTCCAACAACCAGGTCAGTCTCGCTCAATTTCCTCCGCCCTAACCTCTTTATGATGAAAACACACATTACTTTTATTTTCTGGTACCTCTTATGTCAGAAGCGTGTCTTCGGACATGTCTTCGATGATCTAACTGGACTTCTGATCACAATCATTCACAAGCACTCACTACCATCTTCGTGGCGAACGTCATGCTGACTTTTCGCTAGGCTTCGTCTATCATATCAAATATAATATGTAGCCTCAGATAATGCAATCAACATCACATTTTGTGGATTTTCAAGTGGTTGTGGCGGCAGTGTTGCCTTAGCCTTAAGTTCTAGATCTATTGTACACATCATAGCTAATTACATTATGCCGTTAAGGCCCCGACCGTCGTGTCCTTTTGGATACTCTTCGGGTTTCCGTAGTCTGCGACTTATGCACCAATTCGTCTGGTGATGCTCCTCGCTTCTTCCCTCGAGGTGCTTTCGCTTTCGGGGTAGGCTTACTGGCAATATCCGTGGCTTTAACCTTCACAGCCTCCTCGTCCTTGGGAGCTATTAATGTGACGGCCGAAGTGACCTCAGTTTCGATTTTGACTGTGGAAGAGTCCTCTTCCTTCACGGCCACATTCACCTTCTTCGTCGCGGCAAGTCGGTCGGCGAAGGAACGTAGATCCGCAGTAAACAAGACACTATGCGCCCATCCAGCTTCTTGTCCCCATAGCTTGCGAAAGTGATTGCCGACGGCATCATAAGTTGCCTTGGTCAAGGATTTGTGGGATCCCTTCCCAAAGCGATAATCTCGCTGGGCGATTTGCCATACTGTAACCCTTATTAGACTCGATCTTGTCAATAGCTCTTGCATCCTTACCATGCGTATCGACAGGCACTGACTCGCCCCATCCGAGTCCCATCAAACATACACAATCTGACACCTTGGGTCCCACGCCCTGCAGCTCAAGTAATTGTTCATGAGCTTCCCTGTACCCTTCTCGTCCCTCGGGTCGCATTTCGGCTCCAGCCTTTGGCTCGCCACCGAACGCCGGCGCTTCTGGATTGCAGAGGCTTTCTAACCATCCTTTCTCGCGTTCTTGGGAGACCATCACGGCGGTTTGGTAGATATACCTGGCTCGGTAGCCAAAGCCAAGGGTTCGGAGCTTGCTCTCGACGCCCTGCACGGCCAATGCTTCAGGAGAGGGAAAATCATGGTAGGCGCGGCCATCCACATTAGCGACGAAAGGGCCATAGTTCACGCATAGCTTCTCTACCATTTGAGATATCCGAGCAATATTGTTGTTACTACTGCAGATGAAGGAAACCAATGCCTCCCAGGGGTCTTGGCGCAGAATCCGGATTCCGGTGAACTGAGAGGCCTTCTTTTTGAAATTTGGGTCATGGGAGGACCATTGGGCATACAAATCGGCGAGGTTCGAGGATAGATGGAAATAATGTTTAACAATGCGAAGGAGCTGATCGTCTCTACCAACTCCCAGTTCCACACCTGAAAGGGCCGTCGTAGAAGCGGAAGACGACGACTTTGTAGTGCGGTAGTAGAGATAGTTAGAATCTTGTTTCAGCGACAGCAGATGGCCATATAGAACACATCGCCACTCTTCCTGCTCAGGGATATTGTGCCATCTGGAAAAGGGTTAGGTTAGTAGGAGTACTCAAGAGGTAGATCAAGAGAACTTGCCGGAAGGATTGACCACAGCGGAGTGTTGTATTAATACATAGCTCGGACAAGCTCAATGGCAGCTTGCGCCATTCAGAGAGAGCCATTATTGCTAAAGTGCAATTGCTCCTTCTGGCGGTGCTGGGCTGGTCCCGTGCTTCGTTATCGATAACGTTAACGGGGTACTGTGACGGCACGGGCGGGAAACACTTTTTCTGCCGGCAATTTCTCTGTTTACGGGGCAGCCAGATTCAGGTTCGAAGGGCGGTGGAGCCGTCATCATTTAGTCATTATTATTCCCCCGAGGAGGGCGACTTTAGCTTTAGGAATATAATACCTTTCCTTTCGGATCTTGAGTCATCTTCTAGTTTCTGAGATACGGTTCTGGTTTAGACAGATTAGGATTGTATATGCTATATTGGTGACCGACACAGGGGGACTTGTCAAAGGCCTGAAATTGCCTAGCCTTGTTGATCTGTAGGAATTGTGGGAGCTGTGGACTTGGTCTAAGCAGGCTGTAAGAGACTGGATCATGAAGCTGTAGGCAGATGGATGGATTCGGCAACAACCTCTAAAAAGGTATCGAAAATTCCGGTTCACTAGTTAGTTCTTTTATCTAGCTAGTAGAAACGTTATTCAGTTAAGCTCGATTAACTCTAATAACAAGACTCGAGTACTAAACAGTTTTCTTTCGGGGGATTATTGTTTACAGCTTAGCTTCGGCTAAGGAGAAATTCCTAGCCGAACCTGGGGCTGGACGTTTTCTTGACGAAATCTGTAATCTTCCCAACCAAGATTAAGGGCAGTAACTATCTAGGGAATTTGGCGGGAGATCTTATAGGACAGTTTTTTCTAGACTCTATTCTATTGACAAATCAGGAAGGAGCAAGTAAGGCCTCCTGCTCTTCTCAAGGAACCCGACCCATTATCTTTAAATCTTTTCCTTTCTTATTCTCAAGTAAGAGCTTAGAGACAAAACCTTATAATAAAGAGCTAGATAAATTATTGTCTAGTTTGATAGATGTTACAGAGTCTGAAAAGATAAAGCCTAGGAAGTGTCTAGGTAACTAGTTGTGGTTAGACTTTCGAGAGCAGAAAAATAGCCAAGAATCTTTCGAAGGATTAGTTAGGATAGACTCTATATCTTTATCTTTATTACTATTAATTTTGCCAACTTCTACTAAAAAGAAGTTTGTCGAAATACCAGATCCTATGTTTATAAGATAGGTAGGTAAGAATGTGGACCTGTTTTTGAAGTAGATATATTTTAAATAGATTATAGTATCTTTATCTGATAAGGATATAAAAGATACCTAGATTACTAGTATTATTAGTGGATGTACTGGCCTAATATAGTACTTTGTTATATAACAGCTGTCTGTTATTATGGTTTATCTAAACATCCTTACAGAGGCTCTAAGGACTTAGTTCTTCTAGACTCCTTTCTGTCCTGATAGCATAATTATCTAAAAGATTATTTTGCTTAGATAGAAAGATTGTAGTATTATAGCGTATATTCGGGAGATAACTAGACTGAAGTCTTATGTGCCGCCGGAGTATTAAGCCTTATTTGTAAAGAAATAGATAGATGGAATATCAGATTTAGCCCTTCAATACACTATAAATACCATAGTTACAGGGTAACAGAAAATATTAGATACAAAAGTAGCGGCTAAAACTATAGCTACCAGAATCTTATATTATATGGTATCTATAATAATCAATATAGTTATCGAGATAGTAAGTATTATAGTAAGAGGCTTGTTGTTATTGATGGAGGTCGAGAAGTCTTGTAATAAATTCTAGAGAGAGTTAATCTTGGCTTTGACTAAAAGGATTGAGAAGATACAAGTTTTGTAGTCTTATTAACCTATCTAATACCAAGTATTATGCTAACTAGTAGTAGAGATGTTTATAAGAGTAGGGAGAGCCGGATATCCAGCTATATTAATAGGGTCGACTAATATGGTATACTACTAATATAGCTAAACTAGATATTAGGCTCTTATATATATAAATCCTCCAAAGCTTATTAAAGAATAACGTCGATTTCGGGAATCGGACTAGTTATGGAAAAATCTATCTCTAGAAGTAAAGATATCTCTAGTCCTGCTAAATTAGATTCTAGGAAGAGATAAAAGGATTATAGCCTAGATTAAAGTAGACAATTATAACTAGGTCTATAAGATGAACTTGTGCAATTTTTAGGATACAGTATAGGTTTAATATCTAAAGAAGGATAACCCTATTATTAGTTAGTAGAGTGATATTCCTTACTATAATATTAACATAGCATACTCTACCAACACAAATAAGTTAACAAAAATGGTAATAGTGTTCTTATATAATAGATCACAGACTATACAAGACCTATATTATATAGCTATTACCCACCAAAAGGCTGCTAAGATAGAAGCGATAATAGAAATACCTAAAAAAGATAAGAAGAGCTCATCATTTAGCGAATAGGGTAGGCTAGCGAAACTAAAAGGGATCTGTGGTCTAAAAGGGGAACGGTTTAACATCTGAAAGAAGTTAAATGAGGTAGGATTCTTCATCATAATCTCTTAACTTATAGACATCTTTTCTATTATCTACCAACTGATCAACAAAATAATCCAAGTTAAACAAAAGAAGAAATAGGACATAAAAGTCCCGAAAAGCCGGATAAAAAGAAGAAACCTTAGGCTGAAAAGGAGAGAGGATATCTTATAAAGTAACACAAAACGTAGATATCTTAAATGATACTAGAGATATCTGAAGTCTCTGACTAAGAAATAGAAACTATATCTATGGTCCATCTAAGGATAGCCAAAACTTAGATAATGATTCCTAGAGGAGTCTCTTTTAATATAATAGGTGATTATGATAATTACTTCTACTCTAAGGATAAGTATCTATATGAACTTTTCTATACTTAAGGGATGATATCGGGGATAAGCCAAGATTAGAAGATACAGATAGCATATTTAAAACAGATCTTTTTAGATAGCAGTTCGGAGACAAACCTTATCTCGAAACAGGTTATAGATACTTTATAACTAGCTACAGTCAAAGTCCCTAAAATTGTCCTCTTATTGGTAAAAAGATCGAAAATAAAGGCTATAAAGCTGGTCTAGCTCTAGTTATCTTTGGTAGGATCCACACAATTTATCGTAGCAATTATAATCCTAGGTAACCCCACACATCAGCTGCTAATTAGACACTACTAGATATACTTAGTAGACATTTAAGGAGCCTATAGAGCAGATATCTACTCGATTAAGGATAACAATAGGTAGAGTATAAAAGTTGAATATATTGATTTAAGAAACCCTTCTCATTCTATAACCAAGGATAAATTATTAGGTTTTAGTCTGCCAAAGATGGTGAACATTAATACTATCTAGAGGATCTATTAAAAGCAACAGAAGTCTATTAGTATATCTTAGTATTCTAAAGATAATAAGATTAGAATTGACTGGGAAATCAGTTATTAAATTCGATTGGGAGTTTAGATATCTATAGAAGAGTTATTCTCTAGCTTAGAGACTAGAACTGACTAAGAAAGCCTAGATAATTTTAATATATTGAAAAAGATCTGTAAATATATCTAGTTAGTCATGATTAATTTTTATAGACCTGATATAGATATAGATTTTATATACTCCAGAGATATAAAGGATATATAGGAAAACTAAAGATTGTGATGTTAGGACTCTTGATCCTATCTAGCACCACAACTAGTATATATTCAAGAGATATATATCTGACCGATAAAGGTAAGGCTTATCAGTCAAATTGAAACAGATTAGATAGTTACTTAAAGAAGCTCTTGCTTCTAGAAATTAACAATATCGATTATTAGTAGTATTCAATATTATTATTTGTAATTAAAGGGTAATTAGAGTATAAAACTGATTTCTTATTCTTATGGGATAGTTATATGGTTTATAACTATAATATAGAGACTATTATATAGGATAAGGTTCTGGAATATAGGGGCCTAGGATTTCTAGTAAATAAATATCTCTATTAATTTTAGCGGCTGTTTACCAATACCAAGATTTATACAAAAGATATATAACTCTAGATTAAAGAAAACTTGGGGATGATCAGGAATCTAGTAAAAAATAATATCAAGAAGAGAAAAGCTCTAAAAAGAGTTCTTTATATTTAGAAAGATCTGTTCATCAGTGAAATTAGAGATATATCTCCTACAAAAATCTTAATCTACCAAATTCCTACTTATCCCAGAATAAGATCTATAACTATAAGAACAAAGCTCTACAGCCCAATAGAAATCAACTAGCAACAAGAAAACCTTCTAGTAATAAAAGAGATAGGAATTATTACTAGGTATTTGTCATCCTAGTATTTATAAATCAAGTTTGTCCTAAAAACTAATGATAGACTATAGATGGTTTACAACTTTATTCTATTTAATAGTGCTATTATAAAGGTTAACTATCTAATAAGACAGATTAAACCTATCCTAAATATAGTCTTATAAAATTGGTATTATTGTTTTTTTAAAATAGATAAGATTAATAGATACTAGGCTGTCTCTCTAGATATAGAATATATCTGGAAAATAGTCTTTTAGATATATTATAGCCAGTTCTATTATTTGAGAATAAGACAGAGACTGACTAGAGTCTTGATAATATATGTATGGTTGAAGGATGTCTTTAGTGGGAAAATTCTTTTATCTTATGGGGAACCTAGCCTGGATAAGTATAGTATAGGCTTTAGATGTTTTATGGATGATGATATAGGGGTAATAGAGATAGTTATAGAGATGGTTAACTTCTTGTATAGGGTTTATTTTTCTCGGGTGGCTTAGATGGGATTGATCTTGAATCTAAAGAAGTTGGTTTTCTACTCTATAGAAATGTGTGTTCTAAAGTATAAATGAACCAGGTTAGGGTTATAGTCTTTTATAGACAAATTAGATATAATAACATCTTAGTTAATATTGATAGATAAACCCTCTCTAATAAGGTTTCTATATATACTCTTATATCTAAAATCTTATATCCCAAGATAGATAGATCTGTATTATATCTTTAAAAGTATAATTATGATCACTAGAAAAAGTAAGGAATAGAGAGTAGTCGATTTTATCTAGAAAAGAGATCAGGAGCAAATATTTAAATAGATTCATAATTTATTTAAATATATACAGCTATCGGGAGAGAATCTAGACCTTTAATATCATCTTATAATAGATATGTTAAATATAAGTCTAGGGAGAGTGTTCTTCTAGATCGAAGATTATATTATAGGGACCTGTATGTTAAAGAAAATTCTGGTGTAGGAAAGGCTGGTTATATTTATATCTTATATCCTAGTAGATCTAGAGATATGGTATAATACTACCGAAAAGAAGGCTCTAGTAGTTTTAAGTTATCTCGAGAAAGTATATTAGTTAATAATAAGATCGAGATATTCGACGATTCTTTATATAGACTATTTAGCCCTAAAATCGATCTTCTTGGTAGAAAGTGATATTAAGGTAGTTTTTGTAGACTAGCTGGTTTGTTGGTAGTATTAGCTTAGCGAATATTAATTAGATGTTTAGTATATTCTGGGGAAGATATAGATTATGGCGGATAGCTTTTTATGTCTTTTGTACTAGACTATCTAAGTAAGTCTTTTAAGCCTAGAAGATAGCTGGAATCTGCTGTTTTTGAGCTGTTTTTAGATCTTGTCGGGGATGGATATAGGGAACAGTTCCTTAAAAGGATTATTGTGGCCGGATCTGAGTAAAGAAGGCTGGTAATGGGAGAGATATCTGTTTATCTATTATCTGAGGGACAACTGGTATAAGGATATTATAAGACACCTTTTAGACAACATTAGGGAGTTGTGAGACTCGAAGTTCTACTTGGTGTATATTATGGGAAATGGAATCTTGGTAAAAGAGGAGTGTAAGGGTATTTATTCTAAGTATATTCTAAAAAAAGACTTATAGGATGTATTATATAAACTCTACAAAGTTTATGGTCACTATATGGTTCGAATTATCCTAGGAAGAGCTATCGAAAAGTACTGGTGGCTAACAAGATTTATAGATATTTAGAAATATTATAGATCATATAAATTATACCAAGTAATTAGACCAAACATCTCGAAGTAGAATCTAAGGGCTATTGTGGTACTTTAACTAATAGATATTTTTGTAATTGACTATATTAGTCTGCTAAATCCTCTATTAGCTCGGGGATATAACTATATTCTGGTAGACATTAACTACATAACTTGATTTGTGATTGCCCGGCTGGAGAAGTTTGTTATAGAACAGGTCTCAGTAGACTTTATAAAAAGAGATATTGTTAGTTACTTTAGATGGCTAGATAAAGTGTACTCTGATAATAGGTTGTATTTTATTAGACAGAGATTTATCGATAGATTGATATTCTATGGATGTAGCTACTAGATAGTGCTAAATAAAATACCATAGACATTAGGGCTGGTAGAAAGGATAGTTAAGAAGTTGGTCTGAATTTTATGGGTTATATCTATCGAATCCTATAATGTTATAATCGACTAGGACAAGTATATTTAATTTATAGTCTAGAGTATAAACTCCTGTGTTATCCTGGTATATAGGTACTTGTTTGTCTAGGTACTCCTAAGATTCTAACCTTGAGATATAGGATTTGTCTTCTTAGATAGTCTATTAAGGTTAGAAGAATAGAAGGAGGTAGAAAAGATAAGAGAACCTGTATTGTTTTACGGGAATATAGCAGATATCTATCTAGATTAGTTAGATCAGATATAAGACAGAATTTAATAGTATTTTCTATAAAAGAAAGCCGAGATAGAGGTTAAATCTATTTAACAGTTCTAAACAAGAGATCTGGTTTTCTTATAGAAAACGTAACTAGATAAAGGTCATAAGAGAAAGTTAGAAACCCGCTAGAAAAGCCTTTTCTTGATAGGAAAGATGATAGCAGGGAAATAATCTATAATCCTTAAAGATCTTACCTTAGAAATAATAATTGGGAAGTACTATATCGATCATCTAAAATAGTTTATCTTATAGATAGCTTGTCTAGAAAGAGAAGCTAAGAAGTTTATATGATGGAACTAAGAGTAGTGGGAATTTATAAAGAAAGTAATTAGAGATAGGATCCCAATCTCGAGATAATAAAGGATGAGTAAATAAGACTTATTATTAGATCCCGATCTAGATTTTGGTAGTATATAAGGATAGCTGGAGGTTAGATGTTCTGGATATAGCCGAAGCCAGAAAAGAAGTTCCAGAGATTATAATAAATAAGAATGAAATATTGTCTTATATTGTAAATAACAAGTTAGTTATTTAGATTTTATCTTATCCTATAACTTTTCTATCTCTATATCGACTTTTTGATTGTGCTAGAAAGATTAATACTTTTTAGTCTTAAGTCCGGCTTGACAAAGATATTCTTTCCTTCTTAGTTTAGATTTATTTCTTTTTTTTTTTATTTTTAGTTTATTTTAGACTTTTTTTATAATAGAATCTCTAGATATATATTATAGGAGCTTGGGTGAAATCTAAAGATTAGATGATTAACTAGAAACCGATAATCTAGGGATCTCTGAGTAATAAGAGTAGGATCTAAGAAATATCTTAGGTTTAATATTTATAATAGCTAAGCTGTGATTTTTAGAGGTCTTTATAGTTAGATAGGGATTTAGATAATCTTTATAATCAAGATTTCCTATATTGCCAGCGATTTCGGATCTGGTAATCTTAGAAAGGATATTTTTAAGTGACTATATGATCTTATCTTCACCTACTAACAAAGTCTTAGATAAGATAAAAAAACTAAATAACTAGAAACCGTTAAGGATACTATATAGGGAGCTGGAGATAGCATTCCCTTCTATCATAGAAACAGGAGAATTATGGATAGAACTGGGAAGTACCTTATAGATCGAAGCTATATCTTAAGAGATAATAAAAGTTAAGGAATAATTAGAGTTAGAGAAAGATATAAAGAAAGATAAGAATGATCTAATAGAAATCTATTAAGATTTTATAGAAATTATAACTAGTAAGAGATAGTATAGTGATAGATCTATTAAATAGAAATATTCTAGGTTAGTATTTATGTTACTCTCTAAATATCCGGGATTTATGACTTATATCTAGATTAATATGGGAAGAAGAGTAAAGCTGTTATTAATAGATAGGGAACTGTAAGAACTAGTCTGCCTCCCTCTAAAGATCTGAAAAATCTTCCTTGATTACTTTAATTTGGATAGCCTTCTATAATTCTAATATTAGAAAATCATAGAGGAGAAAACTAAGACTAGGAAATATAAGTTTATCTATGATTTATAAAAATCGAATATCTAGAATTATGATAATTAGATAAAGCAATAAGATAGCTCTAACCTATACAATAGGACAGATAACTTTAGACAAAGAAATGTCTATACTACAGCTCCGGCTTATAATTATTAAGAGAAATTCCAAAAATCTGATCTGATAGAGGATATAATAGACAAAGAACAGACCGAAGATTGATTCGAATTACTAAAAAGGTTCTAGAAAGTGTCCTTACAAGAGTTAAAAGAGCGTCTAGCGTAGGCAATCATAGATATAAAAATACAAAACAAGACAGAAGTCGGGGAGCTAATTCGTGAAAATGCTTGTCTCAGAAAAGAGAATAAAAGGATACAAACTAAGCTTATAGCTCAGACTCGGATCCGGAGAGGCCGAGTATAAGACAAGAATAACTTACAAGCATGCTTCTTTCTGATAGTATCTGATCCGACTCAACACCCAAAAAAATCATCTTCTGAGGATAGAGGGCCGAAGACTCTGACGATAGAGGACGAACAACGACCTATAAAAAAGACAAGATCGGACCGAACACAACCCGCAGCTATCCAGGCTTCTGAGGAAGAGACTGAAGATCCTTACCAGGAGACATCCCCCCGTGCGTACAATCCAGAGGACTGGATCGTCTCGAACCTCTATTCCCCAACCCCATCAGATAAGATACAGGATCGCAACAAAGACGAAAACTGAGAATATAAAGACAAGCTGCTGGGACTGGACCTCCTGTAGAAGGAGCAAGAGTTACTGGATCGCTACGGAACGGGCTGAGGAGGGAAGAACCCTAGAAGGTTTCGTATATTGATCCTACACTATCCACTATTCGCAATAATGATGCAGCTCCGCAAGATTTCGGCCTGAAATCTGGGCTCGGGCCCCAATATGACGGCACGGGCGGGAAACACTTTTTCTGCCGGCAATTTCTCCGTTTACGGGGCAGCCAGATTCAGGTTCGAAGGGCGGTGGAGCCGTCATCATTTAGTCATTATTATTCCCCCGAGGAGGGCGACTTTAGCTTTAGGAATATAACACCTTTCCTTTCGGATCTTGAGTCATCTTCTAGTTTCTGAGATACGGTTCTGGTTTAGACAGACTAGGATCGTATATGCTACAGTACTCCGTACTGCCTGGTCAATTGTGCTAAGGCGGTCAAGGCGGGTGCTCCCACCGCCGGAGCAGCTCGCAGTTTTCCCCTTCAGTGAACAACCGTCAAAGAGCTTCCTGCCATCCCCAAGCTCAACATGAACGGTGATACCTATGCTGCCAGAGGTGAGTCTTTTGCATTTTTATAGGGTTCTGGACCAATTCATGCTGACCTTTCAGAACCTGGCCGTTCGCGCGATTACTATGTAAAGTCTCCAGCATCACAAAGTAAACCTGGATTGCGACTAACCCATCTTTAGCGCGATGAACGGCGCGACAGGGACCGAGGTGATCGTGGTGAGCGTCGCCGATCGCGTTCGCCTCATCATGGATCTCGTACCTCGCGCCGCGAGGCTGAGGCTAATACCTATTCGACCAGTCGTGATTACCGTGCCCGAGAGCGTGAGGACCGTTATTCGACCAACCGCCGAGATGACCGAGAATGGGACCGTGGAGATCGTGGTGGGGATCGCGGCGATCGTGGTGATCGTGGTGATCGTGGTGATCGCCATCGCCGTGATTTTGATGATCGTCCTCCTCGCCGCGACCTGTTTGACGACCGACGTGGTGGAGGCCGGGGTGATCGAGGTGATCGTGGCGATCGTGATCGTGACCGTGGAGACCGAGGGGAGCGTCGCGAACGCAAACGCAGCGGGTCACCTGCCCGTAAGAAGGAACCCACGCCTGATCTCACCGACGTCGAATCAATCCTGACTCGCAAGCGCCGTCTCACTCAGTGGGACATCAAGCCCGCCGGCTACGAAAACGTCACCGCTGAACAAGCAAAACTCTCCGGCATGTTTCCTTTGCCTGGTGCCCCTCGACAGCAACCCATGGATCCCAGTCGCCTGCAGTCGCTGATGAACCAGCCGGCTAGCTCTGCGGAGGCCAACGCGCTGAAGCCTTCCAACTCGCGCCAGGCCAGACGCCTCTTTGTCCACAATATCCCTCAGAATGCTACCGTCGAGTCTCTTGTTTCCTTGTTCAACTTGCAGCTCAACGGCTTGAATGTTATTCACTCCACTGATCCATGCACCTTAGCCCATATTTCTGACGACCGATCTTACGCGCTTCTCGAATTCAAAACACCTGCCGATGCTACTGTCGCCCTCGCATTTGACGGCATTACAATGGAAGAGGGTGATGAAAAGGGCCTGGAGGTGCGCCGTCCTAAGGACTACATTGTTCCGACGCCTGAGGAGCAAGAGTTCCAGCAGGGCGTTCTCCTGAATGAAGTCCCTGATTCCAAGGACAAGATCTGTGTTTCCAACATCCCGCCCTACATCCCCGAGGATTCGGTCATCATGCTGTTGAAGTCCTTTGGCGAACTCAAGTCGTTCATCCTGGTCAAAGATGCATCGACGCAGGAGTCTCGCGGTATTGCTTTCTGCGAGTACGTTGATCCCAGCACTACTCCAATCGCTGTTGAGGGCCTTAACGGAATGGAATTGGGCGATCGCCACCTCAAGGTTGTTCGTGCCAGTGTCGGACACACCCAAGCCGCCGGTCTGGATATGAGTGTCAATGCCATGTCGATGTTTGCGAAGACTACGTCTTCTGACCTGGAGAGGGGCCGCGTGTTGCAGCTGCTCAACATGGTCACCGAAGACGAGCTGCTCGACAACGATGACTATGAAGAGATCTATGAAGATGTCCTGGATGAGTGCAACAAATTCGGCAAAGTCCTCCGCATCAAGATCCCTCGCCCTGGTCGCCAGACCGCTGGTGTAGGCAAAATTTTTGTCAAGTTCGAAACCAACGAAGCAGCAGCCACTGCCCTCCAGGCGTTAGCGGGCCGCAAGTTTTCTGATCGCACCGTCGTCGTGTCTTATTTCGGAGAGGAGAATTTCGATGTGGATGCCTGGTGATCTTGTTTTTTTTTTTCAACCTTTATTTTCGTGTGTTCTAGTTTTGCCTCGCTTCAAGCTAAAAGGAGTTCGATTGTACCATAGCAGACAGGCCCACAGTATGCAGTCATGCTGATTTGATTTGTTATTTCAGGGTAGTTGCATGAGAATGGAATGTGACGACTTGGCCCCATGGTCCCGAGTTTTGAATCGTGATACTGAATGTAAGTAGGCCATCAAGTAACGAGGCGAAATGATGGCCAGAGGGACTTCTAGCACCTAGCAACAGTTGGCCGGTCTCTAGGCTCAAGCTCAAGGAACACGACCCAAGTTCGCTGAATCAGTAGAGCTGTGCTACGGAAGTTGAGCAGGTTTGTCGAACTTGAAAGGTGACCTCTTCATCACGATTATGTCTGCATTTGCTGAATGGCGCGACGAATACCCTGCGTACTGTGGTTTGCGAGTCTTTTTCCCTTGCCGAGGACCTTGGGGAACCCAGGAAAGCTTGCTACCACCAAAGCTTGCTACAAACCAGTCAACCCATATCCTCTTGGGGCAAATTGATCCTTTCAGCAATTCAAGCAGCAAGGAAGGAGCCGAAAGCTTGTCCTCCCGCAGATCTATTGAAAGCACCTTAGCAGTGTTGGCTTCGGAGATGAAGCACTGCCAGTGAACACCGGTCTACTGGTCCACTTACGTACTGGCATGTCCACGTGTGCTAGTCTTTGCCTATACCCGTACTGTGCATGATCAGAGGGCCATCACAGCTAGAGTGGCTGACAGCAGGAGACGATGGGCCCAGGTTCGCAAATAACAAGCTCGGAATTGAAGCAAAAAAGCATTAGCCGCTCCGGATCTGAGCATCCGAGTGAGCTGCGAAAACTGCCTGCTGACAGGGAATCCGATGATGTCGAGATGTATGGACTCAGTATCTTGACCCTCTGTATCTCATATCAGTACTGCAACTGATTTCCAGGGGACTGCGTTCGCTTGAGACTCATTTACGCAGTAGAATCGTATCGAGACAAACACAGTTGTCGTATAGCCCTGCAAAACGGGAATCGAAGCATTGCAACCCCAATTCCACTAGGAGATTCAAGGGGTGTTAGCTGCATAGTCCCTCGTCTGTAGTCTGACCTGATCAAGGCTAGTCGAGAGCTATACCTTCAATGACAGCTTTCTCGCAAATTCCGACATTCAGAGGCACATGCAAATCAAAGGCCGATTGGAACCAGGTTTCCAATGGAGGGTGGGGGAAATCTAGTCCCCTCCAATCCCCGCATCGAGGGCAAGATCTGGGCGCCCTGTGATTGGCCTAGCTGCAAATGGTCAACCCATGGATACGTGGGGGAGTGTGGGGACGGTGGAGTCGCCCGCAACTGCTTCCCAAAACCGCCGGTAATTGAAGGCGCTGTCGGGTTCATGTTTGTCCGCCGAGGGGCAACAACCGATTTTCTGCAAGAATCCTGGAGCTTCTCCTTTAAGAGAGCTTGTCAATTGGAAGGGCTTGAGCTGTTTTCTCTAATCCTGTCTTGTTCCTTCCATCATGTCTCAGAAACTCCAAGTCGCCGTCGCTGGTATTGGCCGCATGGGTAAGTCAAGACTCCAGATCAAATAAAAAAAAAACTTAGAATGGAGCTCTTTGGGTTTTTGGATAGCCTTCTAACGGTGCTTACGTATAGGGATGCGCCATGCCCGTCATTTCGCCAACTTCACGCCTCGTGCGGAGCTCATTGCCGTGTGCTCTCCTGTACAGGCTGAGTTAGATGCTGCAAAGGCCGAATGGCCCGATGTGCGCACCTACAAGGACTACGAGGACATGCTCAACTCGGAGAAGACTCTGCAGGCCGTGGTCGTTGCCAGTGCTACCACCGTCCACGCCGAGCAGGCCATCAAGGCCATTGAGCGCGGATTGCACGTTCTCTGCGAGAAGCCCATCTCCACCAGCCCTGAGATCGTGAGTACGAAACCGTGTAAATTGCATTGATCGATCGGGTCTAATAAGCATGCGCCATCAGTCACAAACCGTCGTCGACGCCTACGCGGCCTCCATTAAGAAGTTCCCCGCTCAGAAGGTGATCTGCGGTTTCTCCCGCCGGTTCGATGCCTCCTACCGTGACGCCCACCGCCGCATGGCCAGCGGCGACTTCGGGACCCCTTCCGTCTTCCGCTCCCAGACCTGCGACAAGCTTGACCCCAGCGGCTTCTTCGTCGCCTACGCTGAGTTCTCCGGCGGAATCTTCGTCGACTGCTCCATCCACGACATCGACCTGGCGCTGTGGTTCTTCGGCGAGGACATCAAGATCAAGAGCGTCACCGCCATCGGTATCACCGCCGTGCAGCCCGACTTGCGCAAGCACAACGATCGTGATAATGCACTCGGCATCATTGAGTTCTACGGCGGCAAGATCGCCCAGTTGTACTGCTCTCGCATGATGGCGGCTGGCCAGGAAGACTGCACCGAGATCTTCGGTACCAAGGGCAAGATCGCCGTCAACACCCAGCCGCAACTTAACTTGGTGAACCTGTACGAGCCTACCGGTATCCGCCGCGAGATTCCTTCTGACTACTACGGTCGGTTCCGTGAGGCGTTCATCACTGAGGCCAACGAGTTCACTGCTTCCGCTTTGGATAACACCCCTCCCCCGCTTCGTTTGGATACTGCTGTCAAGGCTGTCACCATCGGTGCTGCCCTGCAGGAGTCTCTCATCACGGAGAAGAAGATTGAGTTCACCGAGGATGGCAAGCGAGTGACCAAGTAGAGGCACTAGGACATCCCCGGGGCTTTTAATGAAAGTATATACATGATAGACTTGCTTTAGATGATGAAACGGAAACATCGACATCACTCTTTGCCATACCTTCTTTCTCTCTCTCTCCAGACCAAGTCTTTAGCCGCTGGACTTTTCCAGAAGAGCTTCTGCTGCAAGCAGGCTTCATGTATAGATTGGTGGGAGATGTCGACACATGAGCAGTAACGAGGCCGGGCAGGCTCTACTCCAAGGTTGTCTTCAGAAACATGCTATTGGTAAATCCTAAAATAGAATAATCGACCAAATACATCCTATAACATAGTATATATAGATTCTAGGCACTCTTCGAACTGACAACACTCCTTACCTGCAAGTCCGAAATCATAGCGGTGAATCTCACAAAGAATGTGTACGAGCAGCTCCTCCTCTCTCCGTCCACTCCCTGTCCAAGGGCCACTCCCCAACGCTTTCTGAGAAATTGCAAGCCACTTAACACCCTTAGCTGGATAATCGAAGAACTTTAAGATTAATCTGCACCGCTTCCCTACCGGTGACCTTGCCCATATTGCTCCCCTGCGCAGGAATCTGAAACGCAGGCTCCCCAGTTGACGATGTATTCTCCTGCACATATCATCGAAGCGATAGGGTTGCATAGCTCAGCCCGAATCCAAAGGCCATAAAGTGATCAGTATTCAAAGCGGCAAAACTGACACCAAGTCAGGCCATAAAATGGCTCGTCAACACCTTTACCTTTAGCATTGCGAGACGGCAGCCAGGGGATAAGCGGCCGCGTTGCTCAGTATCATCTGCAGTAGGTTAACCCGTATTGGGGTTAGTAGTCCTTACTATGTAGGGTCACGGGGAGCTATGAATGGTTCAAGTCAGACGGTTCATTTTATAGACAAGGCATATGTACCGTAGCAGACTGACAGGACTGCTGCTACGAATAGAACAGTGTCACCTGGGCAAAGCATTTTAATCTAAGCTCTACGACAGAATTCAGTCCCAGACTCCAGAACAACTTGGGAAACAATGCCCGTCACTTTCCAAGTTACGGCCCTGCATACACATTGCTATCACCATAAGACCTGATCCAGACTTTAAATGCCGAAGCGCTGCAATTGACTAACACATGGACAGACGGTCAAAACGGACCCAATGCCCGGCTAAGGAAAAAATTAACGGAGAAAATGAGCGGGTAATAGGGCACACAGAAAAAGCGGGCAAGAACAAGATATGGCGTAGCAAAAAAGTACATCACAAGAAGTAAAAAAGGTCTCGGGCGACCCCCGCGGATCGTATTATCAAACCCATTCTTTTTGCGACGCGTGGGCCCATCCAGTGGAAAATAAAGCAGTACGTTAGGGGATAAAGAGGGAGTGTGGGGGTGACAGGAAGGAAAACAGTGAATCTCAAGGAGCGGGAGCGTTGGGGAATCAACAGCCGTCAACGGCAAACGTAGACATCTTAGCGAAGCGAGAAACCCTTGCGTTTGCCCTTCTCTTCGATGGGGCGTCCGCTTTCGATTCGGGCTTTCTTTTCTTCTAGTTCCTGGCGCTGCCGGTCTAACTGATCCTTCATCTCGCGGTGGCGGGCATAAAGTTCGTCTTCGCTCTGCTTGAGCTTGCTCTCCTTTTCGGACACCTTCTGTTGGAAGACCATCTTCATTTCGGTTTCCATCTTCGTCAGCTTCTGCTCGTGCAGGGCGCGCTCCTCCTCCTGCTTGACGGCAGGGTTGACTTCCTTGAACACGCTTGGGTCCTGGGCAACACCCATCTGGGTGAGCTTATCCGAGCGGTAGTTCTCGTATAGGAAGTTGTTGGTGTGCTCCTTGAGCTCCTCCATGTGGGTGCGGATCAACATCTGGCGCAGCTTGACAAAGTCACAGTGCTCCTCGTTGTCGACCTCAATGGTACCCCATGGGTAGCTACGGCCACGCACGCGGCGGCCATCGGCGGCTGCAACCTCGGCGTTAGCACCGACCACGGCGAAGGGAACCTTGGACATGATCTCGTTGTTCTCGGCAATGGTCTCCTCATCATCAAGCTCGTAACGTGGGCCCTCGAAGATCTGGATGGAGTGGTGGGAAATATCGGCAAGGATCTAGAAAGAGTATACAAAGTCAGACGATAATTCCCAGAGAGAAAGAATGAAGTCGATCAAAAGGAAATAGAAGAAAAAGCAAAAAGGCTATACGTACGCGCTGCTTGAAGAGAGCAATTTCCTCATCGGTCAAGGTATCAGACTTGGCAATGACGGGGATCAGGTTGACCTTGGTGTGCATGCGGCGCATGACCTCGATGTCCAGGGGCTTCAAAGAGTGACCGGTGGGTTGGATGAAGTAGACACAAGCGTGGATGCGGTTATCAACAATGTTGCTGCGGTTGACCTTGTTCTCCGCCTCGAGGTAGGTGTCGAAGCGCTGCTCGATGTTCTCCACAATGGGGCGCCACGAATCATCGTTGTTAACAAAGTCACCGAATCCAGGGGTGTCGACAACAGTCAGACGGAGGCGCACACCGTTCTCCTCGATGTCGGCGCTCGTGGACTGGATGGAAACAGTCTTGGGGATGATGTCGGCATTGGGACCGGTACGCTCCTTAGGCGGATAAAGGGAGGTGTTGAAGAGGGTGTTGACGAGAGTCGACTTTCCGAGACCAGACTCACCTGGAGACTGTTAGTTTCCTGTCTGCATCTCCGTCTCGCGTCAAAACCCGTCTCAATCGAGGGTCCACATACCAACAACCATCACGTTGAAGTTGAATCCCTTACGGACACTCTTGCGATGCCATTGGTTGGGCAGGTTGGCGAAACCAACGTAACCAGCAAGCTTGCGACGAACAACATTCTTCATGTCACTGGCGGCCTGGGCAACAGCCTTGGGGTCGCGAGAGCTGACGGTCTGGACATTTCCACCCATGGGATTGCTGCGCTCAACATAAGGGGAGCCCTTGCTAGAGCTGGGCGGAGAAGAGAAGTCGTGGGACACAACGGGTGACCCGTTGGGGACCGGGGAGGGAGAAGCTACAAGGGAGATATCAGCATCTGATACGTGGGAATTGCACGAGGCGAACGGTGCGGGTTTCTGGGTCTGGATTCGAATTCCGCTTTAGAGGGGGTCGTCGCTTACACATTGGCGAAAGTATCGACGAAGAATTATGGAGGAGAGAAATTCGAGTAGACACCAAAAAATTAACCCTAGAGCACGAAGCAACCGCGTCAGTAAAGGAACTGCAACGCCGTTAAAGGTCGGAGATCGCCAAATGGATCTTCAGCCTTAGGAGTAAAAAAAAAGCCGGGAGAGGCCAGTTAAAGGGGGCGAATCGCACCTGAACAGGGAATGGATCGCGAGAGGCGAAAGAGATGATTAAAAACAAGAAAGCGAACGAAAGAAGGGCCAAAATGGACGGCGTGAACACAAGAGAAGGAAAGGGTGAGAGAGTTAACGGGAAAGAAAGGGGGGGGACGTGTCGAGGTGTTCGGGCCACAGCTCTCTTAGTGGGGATCGACTTCGGGCCTGGGACCAAGTAAACCTACCTGTCTTCTCTATCATTTTTTTTAGGTCTTTTTTCTCATTGGGCGTCTCATGTAGGATGCGAATAGTCCCCAGTCTCAGCTGCAGCCGTCTGGACTGCATAATCTACCAATTCCCCTTTTTTTTTTACTCTGTTAATTCGATGGTTCTACTCGAAATCCGGCTACGAGGGGTGGCCTGCACGATGCATGAATCAATGGCCCCGGAACTCTGTTCCTGTGAGTCCTATCTGCCCCCTGCTACAAAGTCAAGCGGAGAAGGGGGTACACATCCATCTGGACCCATGGTTATAGAGGAACTTCGATCAGGGGTTGAAATGGAGTGTCACGTGAGGCCCACCCGATGGACCCATCATACGCTTACCGTAAATAAGATCATCGAGATAATTATCTGATACGACCCTGAATCAATACCGGGGCTGGCTCCCTGAAGTAGAAATAAGAGCGGACTTCATTATCTAGCCTTTGCAATTTCCAAACGCCCAGCCTGGTGATAGGATAAAAATATGAAAGGTGGAAGGAACTAGCTGTACACTCATTTGCCGGTCTTGCTCTTCTTCTTTGGTCGTGACTCTTCCTCGCCATCTGAGCCAGCATCTGAGCCATCATCGGAGGCATCTGCCATCTCTTCATCACTGCCGCCGCTGCTCTCATGATCGGAGTCAAACTCCTCCGCGACATCAGATTCAGAGGACGCGTTGAAGTCTTCATCAGGAGTGTCGGAGTCCTCGTCGGCCGAGCCTCGGTCGGCGCGAGCTTCTCCTTCATCGCTCGACTCCATGTCTTCAGCGTCAAGGGCCTTGAGGAGATTAGAAGGATCCTCCATCATCTCGTTCTTAACGCGGATGCCCTTGACCTTGAAGAAATCTTCGAGCGATTGTTGTTCCTCACTAAGGACAAGTTAGCTTTTCATCCATGCATTTGACAGAGAATCGAGCGCCCATACCGGTTAATGTTGCTAAATTGGAACTCGCCCAGTCCACCCTTTAAGCTCACGGTAATATCAAATGTACGACTAGCCGACACCGCACCCCCAACTCGCGACATGGTCACGACTGCCGCATTTTCAAGCTGGATGTATGTGGCCGGCTTGGGGACAAACATCAAGCTCTTGTCCAAAAAGTACAGCAGGCCTTCGTTAGCCTTGATAGAGCACTTAACTCCATGATGCTGGTGATGGCTGGAGAAATCCTTGGAAGGCATGATCACCTTCTTTCCGGAGAGACCCCGGAAGATCTTGGTGACGACCTGATGAATTGGCTCTTCGTAGTGTGGTTGCAGCTTGTCCTTGTATTTGGTGTTCAAGAGCTCACTGGAATCATGTTAGCATATGCACACAAGGTGGTTTACGTTCCCTATCAGGGCCACTGACTCTGTCATGTTGAGCTCGAGGCTGATCTCTTCGTCCAGCTTAAGTTGCATAACCAGGAATGGGTACCGTGTCTGACCCTGGCGCAAAGGAGGATCTAGACCCAGCACAATAAGAGTATGTGTGTCGTCGGGCCTGGGAAGCAGGAAGAATTTCTTGATGGCGGAGTATTGGATCTTGTAGTCGTACGTTTTGCCGCGGAGACGGAAGGACGATTCGTACATATCGATATCGAAACGACCACTGTAGATTCATTAGCAACGTCAACACATTCACCCGCGGGGCACACGAACCGAGGAGTAAGATGGAGCACGTCCAAAAAGGTCGCGAACGTATCACCAGCTACATCACCAATCTCGGCCTTGTCCATGAGAGTTTCGTAGAACAGATTCGCCGCATTCTGCTCCTCCGCTTCTTCCTCCTCGTTCTCTTCGCCTTCAGCCTCTGTTTTCTCCTTTTTTACGGCAGTGCCTGGGATGTAGAATCGCATTTCCACCAGTTCATCGGGCCCCGCAGCAGCCTTCCGGCCCCGGTTCTGTGTGCTCCCAGCGGACTGTCCTTTGGCAGCACCGGCTTCAGCACCAGAGAGGGCAAATTCGACCGCCACTTCATTCTTTCCTGCCAGGTTGGTATTGGAGATCTCAGAGTAGGGAACCTCGAAGGCTGGTCGGTTTTGGACATTGAAAGCCAACTCTGCTTTGGTGAATTCTGCTTTGCCCCAGTTCCATCCTCGCAGAGCGTGTTCGCGATTCTCAACGTTGATGCCGTACCAAATCTTGAAGGCTTTGGACAAGCGCTCGAAATCCTGATATCACACATTATAGTCAGTTCGCACTCATTCTTCTCTTTGGGGGCGGGTGACTTCAACACCAACCTCCTGGTCAAATCCATCAAGCTGGATCACACCCGAGGATCGGGACAGGATTCTCAGTTCAAAGCCTTTGGCAGCACGGCTCCACTGGGCACCGCCAATATTGCTGCTGTCCAATGTAAAGGTATCACCACCGCCTGAGGGGCGCCATCCCAGACCGCTCTCTGCAAGCTTGCATTTTCCGGACTGCTTTGACAAGTCCAAGTGAATGTTGTCGAAGCTCTCCCTGTACAATAATCAGAATGAGGTCGAGGAAAGGTGAGCGAAACACCTACATAATGGAGAATCTGGCCGATCGGGCTGCTATTTGAGAAACCAGATATGGAGAAAGAGGCTGGGGAAGGTTGAAGGCGGGCGGGCGAAAGAGAAGTAGCTCTCAGATTTCTCGGTTGTCGCGTCGGTCGCGCGCCGCAGGGGACTTAATTCACCCCAATCGGGAATAGGTACGACACCTGACTAAACAGGCATCAATATACAGATGGCCATCTGCACAGGGCCACTAGTAAGATGTTGTCCATGGTGGGTGAATAATGACAAATATGAGATAAGACAAACAGGTGTGGTATATAGCAATCAGGCTCTTAGTTAGGGCGGTAGGTCTTTCAAAGGGGTGGGCTGTATACTAGTATTGGCTTCAGGTTTTCTGAATGTTCTTGGCGGCGAAATTTGGTTGATGCTGTTCGAATATATATACATTTGCAGACTGCTGTGAAGAATCAGCACAAATATGTTCTCTCCCAACTGAGCCTACTGATTTCAGGGATAAGCCCCATTACTATGTTGTCAAACTATCTCTCCGTATCTAACCAGTGGAATACTTAGCACAGAATCCCTCAGACCCTGCGGGTAGCCTTCCGAGGTCCATTGGCACAAGTCTTGTCACTCAAGCTCGGATACTCACGTGGAGTTTAAAATCCCACCGTGAGCTGCAGACAGTCACAAACTGCAGCAAGCCATTCCAAAAGTGGGGCCCAGCGATGTTTCATTTAAGGATAGCTCATGGCCTGTTCGGAAATCAATTCGCAGGTCAAACCAGAGGACAGTGGTAAAGAAGCTAAGGCCGGTTCTAGAGCACCTTGCTTCTATGTTAGGACAGACTGTAGTTCAAAGAAATCCCTAAAATCCTTACCAGAAACCACACCTATGACCAGATTGACAATTGCTGAGCAGAAAGTGTTGCGTAGAGGAGAGATCGGCCCACATAGGCATACGTATGCGAGTGCCGACTGTGGACCTTCAATCATCACTCCACTATGTACCAGACCTCAGACAACCAAATATGACGCGAGGACCATATAGCGCGGGATCGACGTCCGTCAAAAGAGATATTTCCAGCTCTTATCATTATGGTCTACGGGTGGGCACGTAGACTTCTCTAAATACTAAAGTTATCCGAAGCTGAAATAGCTATTGCACGAGGCATTATGCCCACGAACGGAGGTTTGCATGGACAATAGGGCCGACTGGTGGGTGTCTGGGAAGAGTAAGCCAGCCAAGCATCTGACGTAGGCTGATGAGCGTCAAAGGTCCAAGACTGTCTTCATCAAACCCAGTCTGAGTATACTCGAAGACTTTTCAATAGAACGAAAGGACGATGAGATACCATTGATGGGCCCGCGAAACAAAGAGTTCCAAATGTCTTTGGTCGAGTCTCAAAATACTTTCGAGAAGCAGGTGGCTTGGGTGGCTGGACTATCGGGCAAGGGTAGAGCTTCCTTTGTTCTGGGGGCGATGCTCTTATTCTGACTTCGAAAGAAATGCCTTTGTTTGAGGGGTGTTTTGCACAGGGAGTACTTGATAGCTTGATATTTTAAGACATTAGATGAAACATAAGACAAGTTAGTGGTTGAAGGGCAGGCTCAATCTTACGGTACCTGTTCTGGTGATACTTGTTCTAGGGATACTAGGGATACCGCGCAGATCCCCGTTTGGGGGGACCACACGTGTAGATCCTCATCTTCAAGTGTATGATGACCGTCATGGCGACGCAATTGCGATAACAAAGATCAATTGGATTCCCCACACACTTCTAGAATGTACTATTAAGACATGTTTGATATTTTCCGTCTCGTTGAATCTAGATCGGTTTACTCGGTACAGATCGCTCACATGACCTGGCAGCTTTGGATAGGGGAGATCAGAGCGGGACTTTTGGGAAAGGAGTTCAGGTATATTATAAATGGCGTAGGTTGGCCCAAAGGGGCTAGCGGGCCCCAAGTCTTCAGACGGCAGGGAAATAGCTCTTTCTGATTGGCCTGATTTGGCTGTTGACTGGGGCCCACGGTGGATCCCCTCGGGTCGTGTAGTGCGAAACACAGCGTGGCTTGGGCGATTTAGATACCTTTAGTGCCATTAGCTCTCATTTCGGTGTATCGTCCTCTCCTTAGCTGTATTATTGGTTTCTCTCCTCCCACCCCCCCCTGGAAGAGCCCATATCGTGGGAAATCCAACCTCTGGGATTCTACCAAACACTCAGTCATTCGTTGAATTCGTTATTTTTCTTTTGCAGTGAGACTCCGGTCTCGATATGCATCCCACATTCTTTTACATCTAGGATCTTTTTCCATGCCACATTCCTTGTCCTTCCTTTCGTTTCACGCGTAACTCGACGCCTTAATTCCCTTCGGGACCCTTCGCTTGTCTTCTTTGATCCCCTCCAGAAATAAAATACACCTTCGCCAGTCGTCGCGCCCGCAATGAAGACACCTTCATTGCTTGGGCCTGCGGCGGCCGGCCTGTCGACCTTGCTCACGGCCTTACCGACCGCGCACGCCATGGCTTTCGACGCCATTTCACTCCCCGACTTGGACCTGTCCTCTTTTGGCCGGGTCACTATCACTGGGGACTTCAACGGGGTCTCCCTGTATGAATATAAGGGACAGCACGAAATCACCCAGAGCAACGGCTCTTCTTCAATTCTCACACCACTCCCGAACGGTATCCTCACGAATCTTACCAATGCCGATGCGCAGATCCAGGCCATGTGCTCTTTCACTCAGAAAGATGGGAAATTTGCGGGAATCTTCGTGGGTGGTAACTTCTCGACCTTGGGTGGCGTAGAATCGCCTGGTGCGGCTTTGTTCAATCCCAATTCCAGCCATGTGACAGCTTTGCCCGGTCTCAATGGTTCGGTTTCCGCCGTATTGTGCGACCAGGATACCAACAGTGTGTATGTTGGTGGTACCTTTTCCTACAAGAACAACACCAATGTTGTCGCTTGGAGCCCCGATGACGGCTGGACCGATCTTTCTTTTCAGGGCCTCGATGGCCCCGTCAAGTCGATCTTGAAGACCCAGGATGGCCACATTATCTTTGGAGGATCGTTTCAGACCTCTGGCAACTCGACCGACAAAAATAAAAAAGTTGGCCAGCAGATTCTCAACTTGCAGAACGCCAAGATCACCTCCGATGCGCAAACCTCACTGAGTGGTTACCAGGACCCCAATAATGTTGTCTGTTCGACCAGCGGCGAGTCCGGACAGGGTAAGACCTGGTTGCTAGATGATGCATCTCCCGGCTTCTGGCACGCCGACCTCGGTTTCACTTTCACCCCAAGCAGGATTCGTCTCTACAACACTCATATGGACGGCCGCGGAACAAAGTCCTTCCACTTGAAGGCCATTCCAGACGACGGCATCATGAACTTGACTTATACCGATGATTCTGGCAAATTGGCTCATTGCGACCAGAACTGTCCACTCTCCGACAGTACCAAAGAAAAGTACCGCGACTTCACCTTCGTCAACAGTGTTGGTATGCAAGGATTTGAGATCGATATTTTGGAGTGGTATGGCCAAGGTGCTGGTTTAAATGGAATCGAAGTTTTCCAAGACGAAATCTACACTTACGCCAACAACAACTTCAACGAGCCCACCTGTGCGGGTATTGAATACCCTGCCACTGCGAAGGTCTCCGGCGATTGGTCGCCGCAGTCCACTTGGTTGAAAGCGAAAGTAACGGATGCCAACTCTGCCGACACTTCTGTTGTCTTTGAACCCGATGTGAAGAAGTCCGGTCGATACCAAATTGTTCTTTGGACCCCTGGATACAATCAAGCTAACACTTTCAATTCTGGTGGCATCGCTAACATCACTGTCTCTCCGACGAAAAGCGGCACCGGCACCGCTCAACCTCCTGCAAGTACTCAGAACCAGGCGAACGAAAAGCTCGAATACCTGTACGAGGGACATGTTGATGCAGCTAGTGATGATTTCCGACCTAGTGTCACTCTCCGCCCTATTCCTGGACAGGGGAACATTGACTTTTTGGCGGGACATATTATCGTGCAGCCGCTTTTCAATCTCACTGCGGGCTCCGATTCTTCTTCCGACGATGACGACTCTGGCGATTCCGACGATTCCGATGACTTGAATGGGATCTTTGAGTGGGATCCAACATCCAAAGCCGATTCCACCGACAGCAGCAAATCTCAGATCAACAAAGTAGGCGCTTCTCTCGGTAAAGATGCCACCATTACGAGCTTGGCTGAGAACGATGGTGTGATCTACGCGGGCGGTAATTTCTCTGACAAGAGCGTTCACTACGTGATGGCCATTGACGATGGCAACGCCACTGCTCTTTCAGAAGGTGGCCTCAACCGTGGAGTTAATGCATTGGCTGTTTTGGGTGATACACTTTACGTCGGAGGCAACTTTACAGACACCTCAGATGGTGGGTTTGACGGTCTCTCGTACGTGGCATCTTACTCGTTCTCGTCCAAGAAATGGGCTGCGTTGGGCAAAGGTCTCGATGGCCCTGTCAGGACCATTTACCCGATCGAGTTGAATGTATCCTCTGCGGTCAATGAGACCACCCTCGCCGTCAGCGGTGACTTCACCCATATTCTTGCTGCCAATGGCAATGCGCAAGTGTACGCCCCTGGCTTTGCTATCTGGATTCCTTCCAACAAGACCTGGCTCCAGACCTCCAATGTCACTCAGATGCAATTCGCTGGCCAGCTTGCCGCAGTTGCCACTGTGAACGATACATCTATCCTGGCGGGCAGCCTGGCCACTGATGGATACACTGCCAACGATGCTGTTTGGTTGGACAACCCTGACGACAAAGTCAACCTGATCCCCCTGTCCATGAATGTGGATCACTCTCATGACGCGATTGGTCTGGTCTCCAGTGTTTACGACACTAGCTCTGGTCGCAACCTCACCATCCTCGGTGGTCAATTCAATGCCACTGCTAGTGACGGGTCAACCATCTCCAACCTGGCTCTTTTGAATGGAACAGGTGATTCACAAGTCATCTCTGGATTACCTAAAGGCCTGGATAGCAACTCGACATTCATCGCCATGTATGTCTACAACGACACTCTATACGCCGGAGGTAACATCACTGGATCCATTGATGGTTCCAGTGTTAACGGATTTGTCACATATAACCTGACCAGCAATGAGTTTGTTCAGGATCAGCCTTGGTCGCTACGTGGCGGTGATGTTGTTACCGTCAATGCTATCGCCAAGCACCCTGGCTCATCTGACATCTATGTTGGCGGTGACTTCAAATCCGCAGGCTCGCTGCCTTGTGCCACCGTTTGCGCCCTCGGCTCCGACAACTCGTGGAGCTGGCCTGGTGTGACGATCAGTGGAAATGTTCTGTCTCTCAACTGGGCAAGCTCGGAGACTCTCTATGCTGCTGGTGATATTGAGGTTTCTGGCACCAAGACTCTTGTCGCGACGTTCAACACGAAGTCGCAGAACTGGACCCCTCTGAAGGGAGCTTCTGAGTCCGACCTCCCTGGTACCTTGACCGCATTTGCACCTGCGAAAGAAGACATCTCCGAATTCTGGATCGGTGGTACTTGGACCAATGGCTCAGCGTACTTCCTGAATTATGACGGCTCAAAGTTCCAGACTCCGGGTAATATGTTCTCCGAGGGCACTTCTATTCGTGGATTAGAGATCCTCCCCCTCAAGGACACTCACTCCTCTGTTTCTCTCCTGAACGACGACCAGACGCTGCTGATCATGGGTGAACTTGTCATCCCAGGCTTTGGCAACGCGTCTGCAGCGTTGTATAATGGCACTGCTGTCACCCCTTTCATCTTGTCGTCCAAGTATGACGGTCAGCCTGGCAGTATGTCTCAGCTGATCTCGGAGAACAACAACCCTTACGACCGCAAACCGGGTGGCCACTCCAATGGCATTGTGGTTGTTGTAGCTCTCTGCTGTGCACTCGGCTGCGTCTTCCTTATTGTTGTTGCTGGTGTCATCTTGAACAAGATCCAGCGCCGCCGCCAAGGCTACACTGCTGCCCCCCAGACATTTGGCACTGACCGGCCAACTGACATGCAACGTGTACCGCCTGAATACCTCTTCAATTCTTTGGGCAGAGCAACCCTGCTGCCCCGGCCATCTAATGACCTTTCATCTCCCCTTTTTTTGCATAAAATTCTTCCGCGCTTTTCAAACTAGTCGAGATGAGCGTCTCTTTGTTTTTTTTTCCCCTCGAATCTACCTCCCGAAAGCAGTTGTTGCTTATACCCCTCCCTCATTAATGTCTGATTTGCCGGCGTTCTTGTAATCGCACTGGCTGTTCTAGCGATTGTCTTTTGTGACGGACTGTTATTGATGTTGACTTGAACTGGGTTGTTTTTTCCTGTTCATATGCTAGTTGAGGGACCAGCCACATTTGTATGTAACTTAGTGATTGTGTCCAAGGATAATACTACGATTGATCCATATACAGCTACGTCCTTTCCTTCGTAAAATGGCCTTCCTAGGTTGTATGTCCCTCTTAGATCAGACGTAGGAGTTCTGGATATCCAAAGCCTATTCAGTATCACAGCGTGTGTCGAAAATCCTTATTCTCAAAATCCGTCCACTCCCGCATCCCAGCCTGATTACTCTGCGCCGTGTCCGCTGGACACTAGCGTGAATCGAGATGCTGGTTGACCATATTATGGAGAATAAGCACTCTTGACACTGTTTCCAGATCGGGTATAAGCGACATGCCCAGTCACCAAGGCCAGATGGCAAACGGCCTTAATCAGATACTGGCATCGAGTATCAGAAAAGTGGGTTGTCAGATGATGCATGGATCGGACGAAGTTAAAAGGCTTTTCGACCGCTAACTAGCAGGTAGATGGGTCGAAATGCTGGCCATGCAGGTCTATAATTGTCTGGTATCCGAATAGATTGACTACCTGTAGTCGTTGTCGATGAAATGTAGCGCTTGAACTATGAGGAAGATTAGGACGATCAGGTCAATCCTCCCATGTATTTGGGGGTTCCTACCAATTTCCTCCTTCCCAGCTGTATCTATATGAATGGACAGTTCTAGTTGCCAAGGCCCATGATTTCAAAACCCGCAGCCCCTTTCATAATCGAGGTTTCACAGGAGCGCTTCCCCAGATTTTCGTCTGATTAGGCTTCTCCAGCGATTTCTACGAGACAAGTGGTCCGTTATGCGTCTAAAAACATGCAGAGGTAAAACTCAGTTTATTCTGTAGATCAACTACTTTCATGGGGAGAAAAGGGGGGGGGAAAGAAAGAAAAATATGATGCGAGATACACCGGCTAAACGAGCCAAAAGCCGGTTATCCCAAGCGACCTTCAATGACGAACGACGGAATGGCCTAAGAGCATTGGGCTCGTCGCAGCAAAAGACGTGATAGGCGGAGCGTGCCGTCTTTCTTGGGGTTGGCAGAGATCCGACCGCGAAGCGACGAAGAGGAAAGAGGAATTGGAAGGAGAATTAGAGGGATACTCGAGTAAGAAGAGGTACATATTATCATAGCCAGATATAGGAAAAATCCGGGGAATTAAGGGGCGTTGCTATTATTTGCGAAGGGATGGAAGGGGAAGCAGAGATATGTGGGGGCCGCTGCCCCCGGTCACCTGCCTCTCCCCGCAACTCTCCAGGTTTCGCTTTCCTCATCCCCCCGGCTTCAAAATATGGCCTGATCTTGCCGTGTATCGCCATGCGCTCTCGAACCGGCTGGTTTGTCTAGCACTCCCTCTCCTAGTTCTAACTAACGCCGTCGCAGTCTGACATGCCGAACCCGAAAGCTCAAATGTCAGCATCTCTCCCCAACCCTTCGCTCCGTCTTGCTAACCGTATTCTAGGCGACGAGCAGAAACCGCAATGCTCACAATGTCGCAAAGGAGGGCGCCAATGTCGGCCCAGTGAAGGCATCGTGTTTCGCCACCAGCAGAACGCGTCCATGAACAACCAAGGCGAAGAAAATCCAGAGGGTCGCGGGAGCCTGAACGGCTTCTATTCGTATAAAAACACGTTTGACAAGGATAGCGTGTGGCTGAGACATCCCCAAGCACGGTAGGTTGGTGCGATTTCATCGCAAGAATCCGCAGTGATTGATGTAATGCCAGTCGTCTTTGTCGATAATTCCGATCCATATGCCGATGAACTCGAGACCTCACTCGCCGAGTCGAATGCGATGGCTTTGGCACAGTCCCGAAACCAAAGATGGGAGAGTGGCTCAAGAGCAAGCGATGCAGGCTCACAAACCATGGACGCTTTATCGGCTGTCGGATCCCATGAGCGCTACCCATACTCGCCCTTGGACCATCCTTCTGCCCCGGATTCCGTCTCATACCCTTCGCCGAAACGATCACGCAGCAGTGCAATGCTTCCACCGGTGTCACCATCCATGTCGCTTCCCTCCATCTCGCTCTCTACCAGCAGTCACAACACCAACCCTAATCACAACAACATCAACTTCCTGTTGAACCCGTCGTCTCAGTCCATATCCCCTTCGATTGCTTCCGCCTCCGTGCATACTCCCCGACCCCAAGAACTCCTCCCTTCCATCCAGACCAGCACTTTCAAGATCGTCGGTGTCAATAGACTACCGAGCGGACAACAACGCCGAGACGGATTTTGAAATAGCCTTCCTTCTGCGGCATTACTCCGAGGGGCCTGGACTTTGGTATGGTGTCTCTCTGAGCCCCGCGTGAGTTTCAGATCATCGGTTAATCTCAAGTTATAGGATGGATCTTTATGATCTTGGGACGTATTTCGCATCAGATGTCCCAGTGAGGGCGACCTCCAACCCCCTCTTGAAATACGCAGCTTGTGCATACGCTGCTAAGCAACTTGGCCGAGTCAAAGGCGCCAAGACGCAGATGGGTGGGACCTGCACCCGTCAAGCAGCCATGGAGGTCTGGTCTGATAAGAACATCGATTTCTTGTGGTGCGGTGCCAAATATTACGAAAAGGCCATCCAACTGCTCCAGAAAGAATTGCAGCCTGATCCCGATGGACCGCCGCCCCTGAGCACCCCGGAAGCCTTTGGGCAATGGCAGGCGAACGAACTGTGCGACGACGGGCAGAACCCAAACCCTCGTAAGCGCCGGAGACGGTTGTCTAACAATCGACTTTCGCACGGCGTTCACTCCGACGAAGTACTGGCGGCGACGGCCATTCTATCGGTGTATGAGTTTCTTGATGCGACTGGCCAGGCGTGGAGTCGGCATCTGAGTGGCGTGAAGTCATTGCTTGACGTGGCAGAGATCGGCGTAATGCCACTCGAGTCGCGGTCCTCGGACGGCGATAGTCCTTACCAGACTATGAAGAAGTCTGGGTTCTCCAAGGCTCGAAAAGCAGCCTTTTGGAATTTCGCGCGGCAAGACTATCTAGCAGCCTGTGAGTATTGCTAGTCTGGAGAAAGGAGTGAGAGCCCAACTAACCGCGCATAGTAATCAATGAATGCCACACGCGACTGAACACCGAGGACTTGGCTCTATGGACAGAAGCTGGGTTGCAGATTGACCAAATGGGTTTCATCCGCCCGAGCAACACTGCAGCCATAGGATACCCCGAAGGCGACGACATAATGAAGGAAGATCTGATATGTAACGCGTTGGTGTGGATATTATCGAAGATCGTCAACTTTGTCAGCTCAGGAGACACCCTGGGCGTGAATGGTAGCCGGGCTGCCCACAGTGTACCCCTTGGAGTATCGCAACAAATGCTTTTGGAGCGGTGGCATCGTCTGGAGCTGGAGCTCGATCACTGGTATAAAGGCCTGCCAGACACATTCCAGGCGTGTGCCCGCATTGAACCAGCGAAGCTCTCGCATTATATCCCAGCGGAGGAAGCGAAGGACCTGGTTACCCTGCAGGAGGTGTGGCACAGTATTCCCATGTGCGCGTCAAGCATGCAGCATTATCATATGGCTCGCATCCTGCTGCTGGTCAATAAGCCACACGGGGCCACGAGCCACCGAAACACGATCAATATGCAGCTTCAGTCATATCGATCCATCGAGGTCGAGATCGGGTTTCATAGTCGTGAGATTGTGGGGATTGCCCTCTCGCGACCTGTTGGAAGCGTGCGCATCAACTCGTTGCAACCCTTGTTCGTCAGCGGCCAGTGCCTGACCGATGCCCGTGAGCGCCGAACAAACATTCGGCTGCTGCGCGCGATCGAGAGTGACCTCGGCTGGGCCACTGAGTATCGTGTGCAACAATTGCTGAAAGAATGGGGTTGGGACGAGAGCTTTCTCCAGACCAGCGGGACGTGACCCGTCCAACAGGGTGTCACTGGAAAAAGAACTTGAGCAGATTCCCCTCAATATATCAGCGTCTGAACCCGACAGCGTCTGATGAGGGGTAGATCGACCATCCTCCCGCTGTGGATTCCGCCAAAGGAAATGTGCAACGGCGTAGAGGGACCGATCATTTGTAGAATGATCTGATCGTCGATTCTGAAGAAACAGATCGTGGTCATTACCACCAGCCTGCAGAAACTACGGCAAAAGGCTTGGCGACATTTGCAGCAGAATAGAGAATCGACCCACGACTCCAGGTCTTCAGCCGTGGATTCAAATGTGGAACGTAGACCGGATGACATTCATGATCATATCGTCCTCAAGTCCATAGCCTTATGAAGCCTTGGCTTCGGATACCAAGAAACAATCAGGAGTTAAGATACAGGTGAAGAACACAAAATCAAACCAAGAAAGGCTCTCAAGATTTTTCCTCTCAACCCTGAATTGAATCTGCAGTAGTGCTCGGTCAAGTTTCCTCCAGTGTCCCTCGTTGCATCATAGCCGAGCGATTCGGCAGGTCAACCAGCACTGGCGACCCCGCCACACAAGCTTCTGATGCTCTTATCTTTCACGAACTACGACCCTTCTGCTATCTTCCAAGTAGCCTCCTTACCTCTCTCCCTTACTCCCTTTTTCCTCCCCGGACCCCAAATTGCTCCAAACCATGTGAAGAATTCCCCCCCCCCAACGCCATTTTCGTCACCGCTGCATTGCCCCCACTGATTGACCTCACACCCCCACACCTACAGGGAGGTTTACCGAATCAGCATCGCCTCCGGATTCTGCACGCTGATTTGCAGGACAGCTATCTGTTATCGCCCGGGTTGCCTATTCCTGCTCTCCCGGACGCTAGCGTCGAGTCCATCTTGGTCTCGGGGAGGTTGCCAGCACGAAAGAAGGTGTAGCGAATGTTCTCCTGTGGGACCTGAGCGATCGTTGCAGGCAGCCCTATGGACTCTTCTTTACGGGCGGTCTAGCCTGCTTTGCCTTGCCTTCTTATTAGTTGCGTGAGCAGGGGAAAAGAGGGGGCGGTGAAATTCTTTTGCGGGGGTCTTCACGGGTTACAACGGTTCAGGTACTGTACCTTCGCGTTATGGTGATGATCCAGACTCCATGCTCTGGGACAATTCCCGAGGACACCCTTCTTACCTCCAGAATTATGTGGGATTTGGGAATCGAGGGCTCTTGAACAGCCTCGGCGAAGTCCTCGCAATGCTGTTTCCCGCCCGATCGTACGAGAACTCGCTCAAAAAATATCCATTCAGAGCTAGTAGCAAGTCCGATACTTATGTAGCTCTACTGTACTATCAGGGGCTAGGGGTCATAGATAGTACTACTATGGGTGGACATGGAGTTGGGCGCTTTTAACGCGGCGAAGACTGGTCTCCGAGAACCTTTTGTTTTGTTTTTTTTCGGAGCATATGAAATCACCTTATGTGAATTGCCCGCTCGAGATCCTCTATTCTTCGGCCATACTTCTCTTCTACTAGTACTACTAGTAGAGTATATCTGTGAATTCTGCGAACGAGACACGGGTATAAGGGAGGTGTCCATGGTTCGCTGGCTTCGAGTGCCAAAGATACGATGACGTTTACAGCACTTCTTTTAGAAGTGCAGTTCCAAGCAAATCAGATAGAAGTCTATCCTGTCCTGCTTTGTTCCATGTCACTGCTTCCACTAGTAGCTGGACCGACTTCGCGATTCGAGGGGCGCTGATAATGGGGTGTCTCAGCCATGATCGACAGTCTGCGTCAAGTTTGTTTCGAAGCCCAGACAGTACGGGCTAAAACGAAGTCCCCCAATCTTCCCCTATAGTTAGATAGTAATTGAATGACATCACGAGTTGTACATGGAAATTGGGATCCCAAAGGGCGCAAAGTGGGCGTCCTCGAGCGGTATGTTAGATATCACGGTGGAAGGCCCCAGATCGACCTTAGTGGCCATTTTGACACACTGGCCGGCGTCAGCCTTGTATTTCAAGTGACAATCAGAGAGAAGTGACAGGATAAAATCCGGGTAAATGCGGCACATCTGTGCCTCCTGTCATGCTTAGTCTCAATTGGAATCCACCAACACGAAGTTGACGTGTAGATCAGCACTAAAATGGCGTATGTCTGTCAGGATTCTCGAACATCGCCATCCCTTGGGGTCCATACCGCCGCTGGATTTCAGCAGCGGAATGTTGATAGGTCGTCTTGTCAAGTGCGGCGGGCCCGATCCTGCAGGACCCTTTGCTATCGCGAGTATGGTGGTCTTTGACATTGGTCCCGCCCCATCCACCGCTGTCACACCGGCGGATGGGAGGCCGGACGCGAGCCCAAATAGGAAGTTGACAGCATGAATCCATCGCCAAGGAAGATGTGCCTGTATCCTGCTAAGTCACACACCGGGGCGAAAGTTGCTGGTATCCCGGGCCAGCGTATTGGTCTTCCCGTTCGGAGGGTCGTGTATTCAATGCGATCCGCAGACTCAGCAGACAGATCCTACGAGCTCAGGAACCGGCAGGGCCGGGTCAGCTGGTTGTGGCGCTGGAACGGAGATCGCCGTTGCGATTGGACTGATCATGCATGGGACCGGGAGTTGACTGGATGATCTCCGGGGAGAGCTCGGTCATAGCTCCAAAGAGGCATGGCCAGCGACGCGCGAAGGGACCACCGTCATAACTGCCATCCATGGCCTTGAAGACTTGACTGGTCAGAACGTAGAGATATGATGGATCTCGGGGGTAGTTTGGTCATGATTGGGTCAGCCTCGCAAATGAGTCGCAACAGTATGTTTGCTAACCAACGGTCCCTGATAAGGAGCATGGCTCACTTGACTACCTCCGGTCTCTATTCGTCAACCTCGTGGCAGTCGTGGAGGCTGAGTATACGAGTCGCAACCCGAAGGTTACCCCGTCACGTTGAGGGGAACGCACAAGAAATACTGTAGAACCAATAGAGCATAATGATTACATGGAACTGTCCGGACCAGACTAGTCTGCCTGTCACGTAGTCAGCCTACGGAGATTTTGTGGCCAATGCGGCCCAGCTATTGGCCAGGTTTACAGCGAATGTCTGGGGCGATCACAGTCGGACGCGGGATGTTCATGATGATTGGATGGATTGGCGCGGGGGCGACACGATGGAAGGCATGCCCTTTGGCAGCTCTACGAATCCGCAGACGGTGGGATGTTGGATAGAAGCGCGGGGAATGATCCGTACATATCGGCCTTGCAAAGGCCTTGGAGGGGGGTGAATGAGAGGCGGATTTGGTGGGGAAAAAAGAGATGACGGATGGAATACGAAAGGTTCCGAAAGTTACCAGCGCAGTGACAACTGCTGTGCTCCCTCCAAGCAGGTCTTCTCATTAAAATGTCTTAGAATTGAGACATTCCTTCTTTTTGGATGATTCTGTCAGACAGCCCGGACCCAAGAGACATTATGGGACTTCTCCCGGAAGCCCAACAAGCCTAAAAAGTGGGAATAGACGGATCAGACTTCATGCACTGTGGACCAGATGGAGACTAATTTCGGCAGTCCACGAGCCCCTCAAAAGGCCGATCTACATCCCCCGGGATTGGGAAAATAGGGCTACAGCATAGACCCGTAAATGGGGGGATTGTGCAAGTGGGCTTATCAGAGTATAGGCGTGTTTCTGGGGTCTCTCGCCTGCTCTGTAATGGATTAGGAGATTCCACGAAGCGCTCTGCATGCCCGCGAAGACGCTGAAGCGCACGAGACCTGCCTATTCGAGCATGGAGGATCCCTGAGGACCTGGTGCGGAACGCGATATTGATCAACATGCACTAGACGGTGGTTTCTACGGTTGAGCCACGGTTCCTGCGTGTGCACTCGGCATTTTTCTTCCAGAACTATTGCGACCGTGGCACGCCAAGCTCTCCTAATCCATGCTCAACGCATGCTAATCCCTGCCTACCCAAGGACCCGGCCTGCTAAGCGATTCCAGTCACTTGTCACGGTTATTGATCCTGTTGTAACGACGATCTTTAGCCCAACGCGCCATTCGTGGAACGACGATCTTTACCCCTGCAGGTCGTATTGTGCGCTAGTCGAGACTCGAGACTTACGGAGTACAGGGCTGAATTGAGTTCGGAGGGGACCGTGTGCTTCCAGACTCCAACCAGTACCTTTGGTCCGCTTGGGGTTCTCCACCGTCAGTCCCCATCACCAATAACGGCTTCATGGCTGCAGTGCCAGACTCGTGTGCTCGTGGGCTGAGCTATGGGACCGATCCAATCTGGTTGGATTGCCTGTGCCCAATCCTAACGACCCACTGGTATTAATACTGACTCGACAATGTATCCCCCGCCCTCTGTTGGCCCTCGAATGGTCTTGCCCCATGGACTAGAGGCTATGTATATCGACGTAGTGCCCACTTTGACTTTTCTCTTCATATTCCCCAGATCAAGCCTATCCCACCTCCTGATTCCCAGATACTCCCTTTTGCTGCGCGAGTATTGCGCGCGGACTCGCCGCGCTGGCGCGTTAGATTCCTTGTGCAAGAAACCTCCGGGAAGGCTAGACTGGGCCTGATTTCGACATGACCACATTCACATCATGCCCGGATCCATTTCTGATGGAATCGCAGTTCCCCGAAGTCGGTGGATGTGAGTCGCTGCTCTACCGGTTCGTGCCCTCAAAGTTTTTGCTGACAATGTTCGTTCTACAGTTGTGAAAGGACGATATTGCGAAACTGTTGGGAACGTCTCGTGCTGCCTACCATGTCCGCTCGCCGACTGGCGATATGCTGATAGTACGTACTCGATCCTTTGCATCGAATCCTTGATTATTGGTCAAGGGCCCCAGGGATAAGCGACGCTGACGCCGATCTAGATATTTCGAAACGGGTGGATACCGCTGGGTGGATTAGTGTCGCCATTCTTCCGCTATGTATCTTCCTTCTTGTTTCGTATGCGGTTCTGCCCGCCAAATGGACCCATCGCCACTATTTGAGTATCTGTTTCACACTGGGCATCTGCTGTATGCAGGTGGGTTTGCAGCTCCTTTCCGTTTTCGCAACCCACGGGCACCGGGCTGACCTCCAAGAAGATCGCATTCATTATCCCACTGGGCACAAAGCCCGAACAATGCTACAATGCTATCACGCCGAAGGACATGCACGATGATCTGTCCTGCGCCTTTTCAGGCTCGCTGTTACTATTCGGAGGCTGGATGGCGGTTATCTGGAGTGAGCATCTCCCCACGGCCACCCACTTTGTTTGAGTCCTATTGACCATCAGTAGGTTTCATCCGCACCATAGGGTTTCACCTTCAAGTCTGCTGGGAGGTCGTGCTGGGACCGAAGTTCATGTGGGGGTCGCTTCTCTGCGGGTTTGGCATTCCCGCCATCGGACTAACTGTCATGCTTGTCTTGACTGGAGTATCATATCGATTCGGCAATATCTGTCACATCAACATCGACAATGGCATCAACGACTATTGGGCCCCCATCATGGCATTTACGGCGGCCGCGCTGGTCATCCAGGCTGCAACAATAGCCTACTGCATGCACATCTATCTGCGCTCCCTCTTCGATACATCAGCATCCTCCGAGAACAACAGCTCCGGTCTCTATTCGTACGCTGCCAGCGTTCGCACGGTCTCCGCTCGCCAGGCTTATCGCCGCGTCCGCCGCGTGCTACAGTTACAATGGCGCGGAGTTACGCTAGTGCTTGTCATGCTTGGGAATGTGATTTTCTTCGCTGTGGTCTTCATCAAGTTAGACCGGCAGATTCAACCCAACGCGACGAATCTGAAAAAGGCCACCCCGTGGCTCATCTGCCTTGGGACGGGTGGTAGCAAGGAGAAATGCAAGACCTTGGCCAAGGATCTAGGCCCGAACGAGGCCACCTTACTCGCCATGGTCTACCTGCTCGCACTGGTTGGGTTCTGGAACTTCATCCTCTTTGCCCGCCCATCCATGTTTGCCGGATGGGTCGATCTCTGGAAACGGACCGTCGGGCGAGGCAACCAGTATATCTCCGCCGACGACGAACGCTACATCGACAGCAAGGGCTTCGAGATGCTGACGAATCACCCCGGCAAGACCTCCGAGCCTTCCTACCCATGCGATCACCCAGTCCCGGTCGCATGGCGAGCCGAATGGGGAGTCCAAGTCCAACGCAAGACCGCACGGTCCACTTTGGGCAGGAAGCGAGTTATGTTCCTCCATCACTTAGTTTCTCAGGGCCCCGAGCACCGTCATTATCACAAGCTCGTGGGTGGGACCCGACTTCAACCTTTGCACCAGGCCATGCGCGATAATCGTTGCCGTCCTTCGTCTAAAGTGGCATAGCCCCCCCGCAAGGCCAGGGGCCCACAGAAGGGAAAACCCACTTCCCAAAGAAAACTCACATAACGCGACATGACCTGTAAAACGGAATTTACATGGGGGCGCTCGGGGCGGCGATTTTCCGCAAATTTAGGTTCACTTGGGAAAACAAAAATAATGGGCCTTGTTGCCCTGACTAGCGATGCATGGGGATTGCTGTATTTTTCTCTTCCGAGTTCTTGTTCTGGAGTCGCATCTACTGTACCACCAACCCGAACTATACTTTGTATAATTTAATTGGACTCCGAAAAAGAAAAGTAAGTTCGGTAAACTTCAACCTTTAGATGGTGACAAGAAAAGAGACTTTAGAGTTCTCGCCAATGACCCCAGCCTTGGGGGGAAATCGAGAAGGCAACGGTGGAACCCAGTGGATGCTGAACTATCCGCTAGCGACCAATACTACAACAAACTCCCCTCCTCAAGTCCACTGACAAGGGCATATGGACATCTTCAACAAGACTCAAAATTTAGTCCTGCACTGCAGAAACTCCACCTCCCACTTGTCCCAGGCCTGCGCGTGATGCCTAGGTCCTAGGTCTCGGTTACAAAAGATCCTGAAACGCCACGCGGAAGTGGCCAAGCCCAACGGGGTAAGACACGCCGTTTCTGCATGAGCCTCGAGGGCTTCCCAGGGGGGGTTTCCGAGCCGGGACCGTCCATGGCTGGCCTGAAACTGGACCAAGGCCTTGTTTCACTTGGGCCTAGACAGGGAGCTAAAGCAGGTCAGTTCCCCTGAGTTGCCCCCCATGGTACCGGGAACCCCACTAGAGCCTGACGAGGATGCACGTATGCACAAGGCTGTCAAGTTCTAGAATGGGTGTCAGCGACCCTTTACGGCGTAGTGCCGGAGTTTATTAGAGGAAGGTCGCTGGCTCGGTCTACGCTGCTCCCTAGCACTGACTCGCCATGTCTGCGATGTGCTACACAATTCCGGGTGAGTCCGTCGCATAAGGCTGTCGTACCCGGGAACTCTGGGGAAGCTACTTGTGTGATTTGGGTATCTCGGGGGGGGATTGACTCGGAGATGTATTCCAGACGCGGAAATCGACCCAAGCAAATGTGACTGTGAGTTTTGCTTCAAGTTCCTCACCCCGCGTGGCGCACATGCAATCCTTTGGTCCGACCAGATTCTATCCAGATGTGGTTCCTCGCCAGGATTGAACTTCCCCATGAATGAGACTCGTTGTCGATCATTGCGGGTTTGACGGATAGGTGATTCGTTCCTGCTTTCTGCGCCTTTTCTTTCTCCATTAGCCCGCAGCTACATATCACCAAGCGGTGAGCGTCATGAGAGAGGCCCTAGGGCTATCGTGGACTGAAACGTTGATACGAACGGAGATCGGCATCTTACCCACAACTCCAGGATGGATAATTGAAACCTTATGCGGGGCTAGAAGATGTGAGGCTATAGACTACCCCGCCCTCAGTCGAGGAAGCAAGTCAGGTTTCCCCCGCGAGAAATCCCCCCATAGTTCAACACCCCGCAGATTCTGCTAGTGAAGTCAAAATTGTTGGGCCTCGCCTGTCCGAACGTGAACGCACGTTTAAGCTCCCGGCAGGCGCCGAGGCACATGTGATTCTTGAGGTCTGAGCGTGCATCGCTAACGCTCACGGAGCTTTGTGGTTTGGTCCTCTTCATGGCACCGGAAGAGCGGAGAAGGTGACAAAGGGGCTAGAATTCGAACTGGTATGGCATATGAAATGTTGACTAGCATCTCTTAGGAGACTTAGCCAGGCGTGCGTGATTCGGGCATTTTTTGCCTGTATATCCAGTCTGTGCTATCTTGCCTGTAAGTGCCGTTCATTGCCCATAACAGCCCTGGAGTTTATTCCTTATACTATTAAACCTTACTGTAGAGCGCCTCTCCAAATATTCATTCGTGAATAGGGAGGACACTAGTTCTACATACTATCCACCGTCGAACACTACTAGGACCGCGAAAGATTGTCCCTGCAGTACCTTGTATTCCCATCAAAAGCGGGGAGTATATTTCCAGGACAGGCTCACAGTTATGCGGAAATATCAGGAGGTGAGATGGCGGAGGTTCCAGCTCAGACCCGCCCTTGGTGACCCTTTTCGTTTATACAGGCCATGCCGCTGACTTGTTCAATTGGAAGTTTTGAGCTATCTTGTTAATCCTGAATAGATGCCCCGTCTACCCCTCTTCAGGCTCATTCCACAATATAACGTACCCCTTCAGAATGGTGGACAGGAGACGGAATACGAATTCTAGTCGTCTCTGCCACCGTTAACCTCAAAAATTCCTCTTGAAATACAGCATCTGGGTGAGGTAGCCTGATTTACGGCTCCGTCAGGACATCGACTGCCCTTGAACATAAGAAATATTACTCCTAGTAAATGCTAATAGTACCCTTCCTCTGAGTTTCTTGTCAGTATCGTCAGACGAAGGTTCGCTCAATCGCATTCTTTTCTCGCAAACGGGAACAGAGTCCAAAGGCGTGAGATTGAAGCTACCGAGCAAGGGATGACCCAGAATCTGGATGTATTGCAGTGGCTCTACCATTGGGATACGCTGAGGTGGGAGAACCTTGAGTACGTCAGGGAACCGAAATGTTCCTGCTCACAGAAAGAGCCGCTGCTTTATTCTCCGATGACATTCATATCCAGGCGATAGAAAGCCAGACCACCAAAAACATGAGAGCGACTTGGATTTTTCCTTCTGTGCTCAGGCCGCGTGCACCACAGGCGTTGATCCTGATAGCATCTGGGACCAGCGGTTGAGAAGGAAATGGCAAATGAAGCCATCGCTGCTGTCTCGCCATTACCATCTGTCAGTGAAAGGGCATCAAACCGAATTGAATGTACCAAAGCTGCTCTCAGACACCCGACGGGTTGTGGGAGTATCAGTTGCGCAAGTGCCACGCATAACTTTAAGCCTGGCACCGTAGCTCGACAGTTCGAGATTGAGCACAATCATGGCCAAAGTCATTCTGATCATCATGTGTACTACTGTTTGCTGAAGGTTCAGGATACCCCCCAGCGATCTAGGAACGGTCTTTCAAGGTGAAGCCATGCTAGTCGCTATAGCAGAACTCTCTGTAAACTGTTCCCTGGATATTCTTGGAAGTCGGGTTTCTTCTCATCGAAGCAATAGCCGAAGCCCTCATCTACATAGCCAGCGCAAGCATGGACGTGGCCATTTTCGGAACCCCCGGGGATACGTTCTGAGACGAGGATGAGAAACTCCAAGTTCAAGATATTCTACACGATCTGTGCGGAGACTATATACACTGCCGTGGTTGACCACAAGGGCTGGTTGACCACAAAGCTCATCGAATTATTCCCGAGGCAGTTGGGGCAGGTGACTGAGAAAAGAACGACAAAGCCGGGTCTCTGCGGATGAGCATCTTTCACTGAATGTACCACGATTACTCGGCCATTTGAGCTGAGAAGGGTACGAGTAAGAGAGTAACCAGCGGTTGATGCCTGGCGGCTCTGATTGTGTCATTGTGCTGTCACATGCACGATTTCCTAGAAGGTTGAGACATGATGTTTCCGATGCAGGCGCTGGCCCGAAGCTGGTTGGTGGGAGATCGAGTCGAGCAAGGCCTACCAGATAAGCCCCAACCAAGATCTTCGATCAGAGATCTCGAATCACTTGAAGTAGCTAAGCTTGCCTAGCTGTGGCAGAAGCTCCGACGATTTTGATGAAAAATAATAGGCATTTACTTTCTCTTGGGGCAGCGCATTGAACACCGGACCAGTATCTACTTAATATCGACATTCATAATCCCGATTCATACATTTCGAGTCCTTCAGAAACAATCAAGTCCAGAACAGGGTCTCGAACAAGGTCTCGCAATATAGCCGACGTCACGGCTGAAGGCGGAGAGAGCACCTTAGCTTCCGAGTTGCGGAAAGCACAAGTAACACACAACCTCTTCCCCCGCCCCAGCCTCCTCTTGTTCTAGCTCGTCATTTTTCTTTCCCACGGCTTTTTTTCCCCCTTCGTGGTTGTCTCCCAACCTCTAACACTTCCCTACATTCTCCCTACCAACCTTTTCTCCTTTCCTCTCGCGCTCGGATCACGAGTTTATCCCCATGGCTCCTCCACCTCCGGCCACTCTGCCTCTGGCTGAAAGGCTCAAGGCACTAGCGCAAACCCTCCAGTATGTCACTTCCCCGAGCTCCGTTCAGCCCCATGAGGTCTCAATTGAAGATATGAACTTTGACTGATCCGATCTAATTCGCAGGTTTGCCTGGTTCGTCGGGTATGTGCACCAGGATTCCAGCTTCACCGCCGATAGTGAAGCTATCGAGCCAATGAGTTGGAATTACTAACTCGCTGCAGCCATGTCACCCTCCTCTTCTCTGTCTTCCGCTACACGGTGTCGTTCATTCTCTTCAACTCTTACTCCTCATGGGCTCGATTCTCTTATCGCCTAGCGTTTGTATCTGCCGCCGTGACGTATGGAATCGTGGTGTATAAAGGTCATTTCGCCCGCGGTGTCCAGGGAAGTGTTCCTCAAATCTTGACGAAGCTCATTTCCGACGAGAACGTGCAGTATCTGGGTGAGTTTGCGAGACCTCAATGCTGATATATGATTAGGAATGCTAACAGACAATATGTCTTTAGGTATGGCCCTTGTCTGGCTCTACTCGCGCCAGCTCATCCTGGCGCTCCTGCCCTTCAGCGTATACTCGGTTTTCCATGTCGCGACCTACAGTCGCATGTACCTGATTCCGACTGTGTACCCACCCCAGACTAGCGGCGCAGGCTCCCCCAGCTCCCCCAGCTCCAAGCCTGCAGCGAAGCAGAGCCCTCTCGTCGAGACTATCGGCCGCTTCATCAAGCAGTACTACGATGCCAGCATGGGTGTTGTCGCCGGCCTTGAGATCCTGCTTCTCTTCCGTCTGATCCTGTCTGCCATTTACCTTCTCTAAGGGTAGCTGGGTTCTGCTCGTTGTGTACTTGTCTTTCTTCCGTGCCCGCTTCGCCCAGAGCTCCTTCGTCCAGCAAGCCGTTCGCCAGGTAACTGCTCGTGCCGACGCCTCCATCTCTAACCACAACACTCCCCCTGCTGTTCGCCAGGGCTGGGAGACCTTCAAGGGCATTGTTGGCCAGGTCTACGAAGCTACTGACATCGGTCGCTACATCTCGGGTCCTGCCGCTGGCAAAAAGCCCCAGTAAATGCGATCCGTCATATGGGATCGTATTATCCTATTCTAGTAGAAGTGCTCTCAGGAGCTTTCAATCTCATGAATACTCAAATGCTCATTTCGGAATGATCAGTGGCTTGCTAATGGCCATGTTTGCTCTGTGGTAAATGATGCTTACTCCTTAGGGGTTCGGTGCTGGAAAGGAGGGTGTGGAAGGATGGGACAGACTGGCCCCTGTGTAAAAAGAGGCGGTTGCGAAATGATTGCCGCCCTGACGATGCTATACGCCATGCCATGTTCAGTTTTCTTTGGTTTTCGTGTGTTTCTCTTATGTTCTAGAAGTTTGCGACGCATTATCTCTGTACTGCCTGTCAAGCTCCGTTTCGTTCAGCCACGTTTATGAACTCCATTTCCTCTCATGACTCCATTCGAAATGGCCTCTGCGATGGAATCCTCTCTAATCCAGGGCCCAGGGCTTAGCGAGTCACCCAGGCAGTAAGCAGTAGCCTCAGAGGGCTCAAGGTCTTGCCGTATGATGTAATTGACTCCGAACTGCACCCCTATAAAGACAATATAAGCATGGTCAACATGGATAACTTGAGGGCCTCCTTCATTTCTATAACATCATTGAGAAGAACCAACTTATCCACTAGAACTCATGCATATACCAATCCACATGATTGCATACAGTTGCATGATGTTGTTATGCCTGATTTATCAGGCGGTCAGCGGACCGGAAAAAGAAAAACACCGACAGAATTTTGATTCGGGCCCGAGATAGGCCCTCGATGTTAGTAACACCCTCAACCCCCCCCCTTTCTCGTCGCTCTTTTCTCCACTGCTATTGTGCGGGGGGGGATGATCAATCTTCCCTTTTGACAGCCCGCCCATCACCCCCGGGACCGGCACAACTCGGGAGTGCAGTCTCTCAGCCTATGCCATGAGCCTGACTTCGCGAATCTTCGACCTGTTCTCGACAGCAGAGCCTCCGGACCGATCTATCTCCCAGGGCCCAGGCCTGACCGATAAATTACACAATGAATCAGACATGAGGGTTGGCCAAGTCCGGTCAGAGGATCTGACGGACGAGGAAGAGCCGCGTCCTCCATATGCACACGTGAGCTTTTGATGTGACATGGCCAAGTAGACCTAAACAATGCTAATACGACATATAAGGCCATGCTGGCCGGCGGAACAGGAGGATGTGCAGGCGATATGTTAATGCATTCCCTTGATACCGTGAAGACCCGACAGCAAGGCGACCCGCATTTCCCGCCACGATACACTTCGATGACTTCTTCATATACGACCATCTACCGACAAGAAGGCTTTCTTCGAGGACTCTATGGAGGGGTTATTCCAGCATTTCTCGGATCGTTCCCGGGGACCGTGATCTTTTTCGGCGTGTACGAGTTCACCAAACGGCAGATGCTGGACCGAGGAGTGAATCCTAATATTGCGTACCTGTCCGGTGGATTTTTCGCAGATTTGGGCGCCTCTATTGTCTACGTGCCATCAGAGGTACTCAAGACCCGGCTGCAATTGCAAGGTCGATATAACAACCCGCATTTCCAGTCCGGCTACAACTACCGCGGGACCTCTGATGCGTTCCGCACTATCATTCGCCAGGAGGGTGTGTCGGCGCTCTTCCACGGTTATAATGCAACAATCTTCCGTGATCTGCCCTTTTCAGCACTGCAATTTGCTTTCTATGAGCAAGAGCGCGATATGGCCAAGCAATGGGTTGGACAACGGGACATTGGACTGGGATTAGAAATCCTCACTGCGGCGACGGCCGGAGGTATGGCGGGCGTGATAACCTGCCCATTGGATGTAGTTAAAACACGCATCCAGACTCAGCAAAACCCGCCAGAGAAACCCACAGGATCGTCAGGACCGAAACATGCCGGCGAACACGTCCCGAAGGACAGTCCGCGACCTCACCCGGCCGGATCATCTCATTCTCACGGCTCTAAATCATCCTCGCGACCGATTTCCACCTCCTCGCCGTCCACATCAGTGCGACCACCAGGCACGCCTCGATTGGACACATCCTCCGTGTTCACGGGCCTGAGGATGATCTACCGCACCGAGGGGCTAGCGGGGTGGTTCCGCGGCGTGGGCCCGCGTGGCGTCTGGACCAGCATCCAGTCTGGGACGATGTTGGTTCTGTATCAGTATTTGCTTAAGCAGCTGGAAGCCTGGGACAGCCTCGAGGGCTCGCCGCTGTGATTTTCCCATTTCCATTGCATTTATGAGGGCTTATCTTCCATTGGGATGGAGTTCCGGATCTTTCCCCCATTGTTTTTCACTCATGTCTTTCCTCTCTCCTTGTCAAATCCGTCCCCTTCCTTTTCCTTTCTGATCCGGCGCTCCTTGTTCATACATACACTGTACCAATCTCCAATAGACTAGAAGCGGACCGAATGTCCCAAATGTACCATACTACCATACTATCAATTCTGAGACAAAATCCATCGTATATTCTTCATCTGCCAACCGGAAGCAACAGTCTCATCCTCGAGAAAGGGACATGGCGTAAAAATACCAGTGAAGGTACGAAAGTGAATGCCCGAGAGTGAATGCGCGCTAGCGTGTTTTGTTTTGGCGATCGCGGGTATATGTAAACAATTCCAGCCCCAAGTCAATCCCCCTCCTCCTTGCATCCGCACTCTTCCCCTCATAAATCCAAACACCAGATTTACCTCTGTTTATGGTCGAATTGGTCCTAGCCTGCATCTGATCTGATCTTCTACACACTATCATGTCTACCGCTCTTCCTTTCCTCAACAAGCTGCGCAAGCCGGAGCTGGTTGAGTTGGCCCAGCGCACCGATCTCAAGAGGTAAGTTTCTACTCCGTCGCGCACGAGCGTCGCGTTCCCCAGATCCGCTAACCATGCATCTCATAGCTATCGCGACTTGACCAAGCCTGACCTCGTGCTTGCGCTGGACAAGCATCTGCTTGATAACCAGTCCGCCTTCGAAAACGACAAGACTTTTGCAGAGTACTACAAGCGCCTGCCCTCGTCATCGCCAGTCAAGAATGAGAGCTCGGTCGAGGTAGCTTCAACTGCTCGGACTCCTGGTCGCAAGCCCAAGCAGCCCAAGGAAACAAGGTAAGAATCCTCTTGTTCTCCCCGATGCGCGACGCGTCCTTTTGCGCCGGCGACTGCATTTACTGACGGCCATGCAACAGTACGCCTGAGACTCCCGTCGCAAAGGCACCCAGCAGCGCCGCCCCCCCGGACTGCATCGCGCTCCTCCCGGGTGCAGGCTGTTGTCGATGCCGTGCACCTGCCTCCGTCGCCGGCCGTGGTGACCGATGCTATCGACCGCCAAACCCGCCGAGTGCGCCGCGGACTGGACCAGGCATGGATCGCATCAGGGGTCCAAGAACACACCGACAGTGTACGCGCAAACCTGAGCAGCCTCAAGGCGGTTTTCACTGTTATTATCTTGCTCGAGGCCGCGTTCCTGCTCCGCGACATCATCCCACTTGCCTACGTGACCACCACCCCAGCCGTGCCAGCGGTTCATTTGCCCTCTCTTCCCATCAAGCTTCCTGACTTGTTTGTGCTGCTTACCGCTAGCTTCTGGGCCCCTTTCTCGCTGTGGACCCTGACGAATTTGGCTCTGCCATTGGTGGCTGCGTATTTCTTCAACCTTAGCTGGCACGCTGCTACCGGTGGCCAGGTGCGTCGCACCCGCTCGACCACGTCGCAGGCTAGCTTTGATCCCTTGGCCTTCAGTATTGCCAAGGCTGTCTTGGTCTACAAGGTCTACGTGGACCACTTCCGTTTCTTTGATGTGTTTAGCTACGAGGCTATCGCTGTCGTCAATGAGGCCGTTCCTGGTGGATACTCTGGTGTCCTTGCCGGGACTGCTATTGGTGTGATTGGTACTCTGTATGAGGCCATTCTGCGACGTTAGTAGATCAAATTCGCAAGTGTCTCCTGTTACTGCCTGGGGCTGTACGGGTGCATCTAGTAAGTATGTGAATGAAGAGCAGACTTTTATCCTTCTCGCACGTAGAAACGTGATAAAATTGCTGTTTCTTTTTTTCCTATCGAGTTGATTATGCTTTTTTTTCTGTGACGTGCTTTGCAACATCTGGATCGGGATTGGGGTTGGGTATCCTGTTGGATGATATTCCCTTCTATAAAGGACTGGTTGACTACCCCCTTTGTTTGTTTGAGATGATTCTCGGGCTACGGCTCGAGTGTTTTAATTGGGATATGCGGCGATGAAAGCGACGTGCGTTATTTGTGATTTTCCCCGTGTTCATTTCTTCTCTTCTTGTTCTCTCGCTGTGGCCAGAGAAGGCGCCTGGGTTGGGGTTTCTATTCTTGTCTGGGTTTCTTTTCTGGAGGTTTCCTCTTTTCCCCGTCCTCTTTGCTCCCATTAATGAGTTTCTGTCTTCATCTTGAGCTCAATGCGGGCGGCATACAATGAGCAGTATAGTAAAACCTTATCATCGATTATTTGGTTTCTAGATTCATCGCTTGAGTCTCTCTGCCAACTCCACTGTAAACAGCACCGGCACTGATGTCTCAACCTCGACGGTGTCTGCGCGAATATGGTTACTGGTGGAGATTTGTCCTCCAATTTCGGTATGCCAATCCTGGACGTCCCATTCGAATCCATGGGTGGTTATTGATGCAGGTGTCGAGAGAGGAATGATCCCAATGTTCTCCTCGAACAGGTATTCCTGGTCTGGCTCTTCAGCTCGTTTTCGTTTCTTCGTTGGGTCCACATTCTCCTGATGAGAGTTCGAGGAGGCCTTAAATGCACCGGGGCGTCTAGTCGCCGGCGTACGAATCGTATTCTTTCCTTTCTGCAAGACAAAAGTGATACTCTCTTCCGAAACAAGGTAAAGATCTCCGCCAGTTGCTGATGAGGCTTTCTTGTTCTCGACATTCTTGGTATGATGTGCTTCTTGGAGCTGGCGCTGAGATTGCGTCATCATGTATAAATGATGTATCTGGGAAAAAGCCTGGTCCACGCGGCCGCCTAAGCCACCTAAGATCACGATGTCAAGGATCGTATGTGAGCCAGAAAGCCTATGGCTCTCTTTTGAATTGCCCGCTTTTTGACGGGGCGCCTTGATAATCTCGGCTGCATGTTCGTTGACATATTTGAGGCACTTCGTGAAATCCGTGGAGTATTGATCTGGATCCACTATGATCGGCACTCGAAGCTTCGCGTAATGATGTCGTACTGAAGGGAGAATCGAATCACAATCTCCGACAATAACATCTGGCAGCTATTCTTGTAGGTTAGGATAAGTTGCGCGCCGACGGTCGATTTGAAACAGCACCGGCGGGGAAATCCACCACACTGTGCTACCAAACATATAGAGCTTGTCTTACTTGGGTTGACTGTTTCCCTAGACTTTTTGTCACATTGTATAGTCGATTAGCCCCGCCGTCAGCGCAAATAATATATGAAGCTATGAAGGAAACAACGATCAGTACACTTCCAAAGAAATCATCTCACGAGGACGATCTGCCCCAATTGGGAAGCCCTCACCATGTTCACTAAGTACACCAAACGCCTTCTCGTTGATTGGCTGATTTAGGACCAGCAGCGCATACGGTGACGCATTGCCTGTCGCCCGAAAAAAGCGACTAGGATCCCAGTCCATCATAGAAGCGACAAGGTGCAAAGTGCACAAGCGAGGGGGGTTGCAAACGAGCTCGTTGGTCGCGGCAACGTGACTGCCGGGAATCAAACCTCAGGCCGAAAATATCCACCTCTTCTTCTGCATCCGCTCCGAGTCCTCCTCTCCTGCTCCCCCACCCGCGCTTCTTCGAGGTCCTTTCGCGGAATTGACTGAGATCTCTCCCAAATTCCTCACACCATGTTCCGTCCAGCTACCAGAGTGTTAGCCCGCGCGCCGGTCGCGACTCGTGCCCCGGCGAGTGTTCGATTGATAAGCAGTGGTCCGGCCAAGCGCAGCAGCTGGAAGAGTTATCTCGTCCGGCTCGGTCTGGCTGGCGGTGCCGTTTACTATTACAACACGAGCAGTGTGTTTGCGGAACAGCCAACGTGTACGTCTCTTCACATCTAGCCGGTCGTTTTGGTGGCCTTCCGGGTGCTTCGGCGCATTTCGGGTCAATTGGTGGACAGGCTTGCTAACGATGGAACCCCTTCGAATAGTCTCTGCCCTCTCATATCTTAAGCAAGACGAGCAACCCGAAGAAACCAGGACTCTCGACTCCATTACCCCCAAGATCCGTCAAGAGCGGACCCAGCAGCTCGAGGACGACGCCGGCCAGCAAGGCGCATTCAATCCCGAGACTGGTGAAATCAACTGGGACTGCCCATGCCTCGGTGGTATGGCCCACGGCCCTTGTGGGGAGGAGTTCAGGGCTGCTTTCAGCTGCTTTGTCTACTCCGAGCAAGAGCCCAAGGGAATTGACTGCATCGAGAAGTTCAAGTACGTTGCGATTAGTAATTCTGATATCAGTGTCTTTCGCTCGGATTTACTGACAATTTGAGCAGGGGAATGCAAGATTGCTTCCGTCTTCACCCTGATGTGTACGGCGCCGAGCTAGAGGATGACGAGCCCGAGGAAGGTGCCGCTGCACCTGCGCCCATCGAACCATCAGCGGCGACCGAACCATCCAGCCCCAGCGAATCCCCCGCCCCAGCTGACTCTCCCGCCGCCGTGGAAGAGGTCAGCGCAGCAATTGTTGAGTCATTGCCAGCTGCTGAGGAAGACCTCCTGGTTACAAAAGCCGCGCACGATGAGGGAATGGGCCACGAAACGAGGAAGACCGAGAAATAGATTCGCACTAATCCCTTCTGACTTCCTGACACAGTAGTGTCCCATTTCTTCCATGGCTACTAGGATCGGGGTGTGTACTATAAAAAATCCCACCTGCTCTGCCCCGACTTTGAGCCCCCCCGTCGCATTCTCCTCTACGAATTCTCCAGCATATCCATTTTCTCATTTTGCAATTTCCTTTGGTTTTCCCCATGTGCGCTCGAGTGTCCTTGACGTGTAACTTAGTGTACTGATATTTCCCATGTGTTTCTAATCTTGACACTAAAAGCGGGAAAATAGAATAGACTTGTGACATCATCCTTTTTTTTTCATATTATCTCTGTGTCTGAGCTATTCAAAGCACTTCGTTATATTGGGACAGAAAGCCCAGTGAACTTCGCAACGACTTGTCATTGTTCGAGTTAAGAAGCGCCCTGATGGTACCCCGTCAAGTGTACTTGTCGGAGCTTTCTTACATATAGCTCTACTGTAACTATATATGAACGCTGATCAAAATGCAGGCCCGTTACTGCTCATTACCATTCTAGTGGTCTTCAAGCCGCAGCCTCAATCCACGAGTCGCGCAAAAGAAAGAAATCTGCCAGGAAACTTAATGCACCCTCCAGCTTCTCCATTCTTTGCACATCATGTGGAAAACTCCAGTGTATACACAGAACCGTCCACAGAGAGCTTGAAACCAAGTCTTTCCTCCATTCCTGGCCCTGGGAACGCGCACCTTCGTCACAATCATCTGACCCGAGAGCTCGTTTGCCCTCGGCAGCCTGTGGCGTGGGTGCGCTGGCACCGCCGGTGTCTTTCATGCTCCAAAGCTTTGCACGGCCCAGCTTCACGAGTTGGACCACGAAGTGGGCCAACAACCCTCGGATACTCCCAAGGTACAGCCTGTCAATACCACCGAGCCTTCTTATGCAGTAGTCGGGGATAATATCCTTGGAACCGAGATACGCGATGTTCTCAAGGAGTTGATACACGGTGACAGATGCTATTTGGCAAGCATCCAGCACATTAGAAATGACGTCCTTCGACGGGCTATCCACCAATTCCACTCCTTGTTTCCAGATAGGGAACAGGCCGAGAAGGCGCAGGGTATACCGCGTCTCACAGAGCAATGAGGATAGCGAAAGTAGGATCGACGGTGAAGGATCTGTCGGCGTGCATCCGGTGGCGAGTGTTGATGTTCCCTGACGCAGTATGTATCGTCTCAAAGCAAATGCTAAACGGTGCCGAAGTCTGGCGAGCGCTCGGGACGCGATCAAGTAATGTAGTGCGTGGCAGGCATATTCAATGCTGCCCAGTAGGCAGTCTTGGCCTTCGGTTTTCGCGATGAGTCTGTGCAACGTGACAGTCAATAACTATGCTTCTCCTGTTTACGTAGTTTGCTGGTTGGATAGGAAAGGCATTCTCACGCATTGGTTCTATTCAATGCAGCATTCGAGGAGCGTAATAGCTCGGAAAGCCGCCGCGAGAACGCAGAGGTTCTGGGGATCGAGTCTCCGCGAGTCATGTCGGACTCTCTCCTCTCGATAGGCTTTTTACATGCATCGTTACTGGACTCAGGAACGGGGCCCATGAGTTCTAAGGTTCCCTCGCCCATCGGACGCTCTCGAGCTGGATCTCTTATTCACGGAAGATTTCCGTAATCCGCTTGAGCCAGGGAGTCGCTGGTTTTTTGATGGATAAGTAATTGACTATCGCCCAATTTGTGGTAAATCGATCGGAGGAAGTGTCAGCGTCGTTTTTAGGTAACCAAGCCGTGTGCTGTACTGCTGTTAGTGTCTAGAATTGTATAGGCTTCTCCTGCCTCTCCGGGTCGTGCTACCATATCGGGCAAGTCCATCCGGGGCCTCAGATCGGCTGCGAGATGAGCTGCTGGCAGGCTGAAGGCTTCTATTTAGAATGAGAAGAGAACTATAATGTTGATGTGGAGCATCATTCCCGTGCATGTTGGCAGTGTGTCATTGCACGGCCCTATAAGTCTTGTTCACGATGCTCTACCGGTCGATTCATGCAAAGTCAAAGTCCAAGATATCGTGATCTAGTTATCCGGGCATCATTATATCACCTATTACCCCCACAAAATATTGATCTTCTGCCAAATGCTCTCTTTCGCGATCGGTACGTTCTCAGGATCGCTTTCCGCCTCCTGAAGAGCTTGGCGGATCGGTACCTGATCTAATGGAACAATACTTGTGCCGCGGATCAACTTATAGCCCAGGTACGCAAATAAAACAAGAGGGATGTCCCTAGAAGAGGAGTTAGCCTTGATTGAAGGCATTGAGAGGGGTTGTACATACAAGTAGGACGATACGAATGAAGCGGGGTCCCAGTTACCCTTCGTAAAGACCGTGAAGCCTCCTGTCAGCAGGAAAATGACACAGGTAACTAGGGCAAACCAGCTAGAGTAGCCTGAGATTCTGTCAGTTGTGTTGCCGAGAAAGACAGGGCGGGAGGACACTCACGAGTAATCCGGTTATGCCATGGCAACTCATTTGGAGAAATTTCCTGCGCCTTCAACGCCTGCAACAAGCGGATATGATTCAAAGCGATGCTAATCCAAGAGACCAAAGTGCCAGCAGCGGTCAGATCCACGAACCAATAGAACACGGTCAGAGCCTCATTAGAGACGCACATGTACGCTAGCAGAGCAAAGGCGATCTGCAGCAACACACACATATAGGGGACACCCCAACTGGTCGTCTTGAGAAAGATCTTTGGCGCATGGCCCTTGATAGCAAGGCCGAACAGAGTACGCGTTCCAGACAGCATACTCTGATTGGACGCGGACCAAGCCGAAGTCAGGCAGACGGCATTGACAACGGACGGAATGGCCTTGATTCCTGCATCACTGGCCGCAATGACAAAAGGGCTTGTGGCTGCGGTTCCCGAGTCGTTGCCGAGACGGGGATCACTGCTGGAGACCAGCATACCGACGACCAGCACTGCGGCAACGTAAAAGATCGAGACACGAGCGAAGACGCGCTTGCATGCCTTCGGGATGTTGTGGCGTGGGTTCTTGGTTTCCGCAGCGGCCATTGCCAGCGATTCTACACCGGCGAAGGAATACACAGCGTTGGTCATCACGGCCCAGAACCCCAAGAACTTTCCCCAGGAGCCTGAGGCAATGTACTCGACGAATGGACCCGGCGTCTTCCAGTAGTGGAAGCCCAGGCGGGGCTTGCCAGGCACACCACCCAGGTCAATGACCAGGCCGAGAATGACGACGAAAACGACGAGTAAAATCTTGAGGATAGCAAAGACAAACTCGATTTCCCCATAGACGCCGATGAAAGAGATGGCGACAACCACCGACACCACGAGGAGGATAGTTACCCATACGGCGGCATTAATGTCGGTCCAATACTGGATCAACACGACACTGGCCGAGATTTCGCTCGGCACGCTGATAAAGCAGCCGTACACAACGTTCCATCCGATGGCAAATGCCAGCGCAGGGTCGACGAGAACCTCTGCATGGCGCACGAAGGAACCGGTCACGGGCAGCAGAGCCGAGACTTCACCCAGCGAGTACTGGATAGAGCAGACGACGAGGCCTACGAAAATGTAGCCTAGCAATGCGCCAAGAGGGCCACCTGTAGCGATGGAGCCGCCAAGACCGAGGAAAAGACCAGTTCCCTATATAGGACAATTCGAGTCAGTTGAAGATGTAGAATGTATAGACTTGATTTTGAGCCTTCGGGATCAACGATGAGAAGACAGTAACTTTGCTCCACCAAGATAGGCAAAAAAAAATAAAATAAAAATAAAGAAGAAGAAGAAGAAGAAGAAGACGTACAATTGCGCCAGCAATGGCAATCATCTGAATGTGCCGTTGCGACAGACCGCGGACCAAGCTGATTTGCTCATGCTGAGACACGATCTGATGGTCGCTGATAATGGAGTTGGATGTGTCCGATCGCGGGGGTGGAGGAGGGTGATCTTCAACATCGTGGACCGCGTATCCAGTGATCTTGGGATACTCCTGGTCGACCGCCATCGGGGGGCTTCAGGGCTGACGAGAATATCCAGAGAACCAAGTCGATCCCTGGTGTGCAAAAAAAAAAAGAACAATGGCCTGGAGGGCCAATCACACCATCGGAGTCGCCGATGAGGGAAATCGAAGATTGGGGCGGACGAGTCGGGCGTTCTGGTATTAGCCGCACCCAGTCGGACCAGGTTCCTCGATTCCGCAGCTCTAAGGCGCTACTGTGGAAGAAGCTGGGGTAGAAAAATCCAGGTATGCGGAAGTTCTCTAGAGCAAATTATGGCTGATAGGGGAAAAATGGGCAGATAAGGCGAGATTGGACCCGTGGGCCACCTCCGCGTCTGGTTGTCGAATTTGACACTTGACATCCACTTGGCCCTGACAGTAATTTTGCCGGAACGAAGTAGACGATAAACTAGTAGAGTATAAGCGAGTGGAGTTAATCCCCTCAAGTACATGCAACACAGGCACACAGGACTATGTGCATTCAAGGCGCTTAGTTTTGGCGCCGATTGAATCTACTTCGACTCTAAGGGGGGAAGCCGCGGCGAAACCGTAGGCATATTGGCATTTTGTACTATGGCATAACAGGGCAGCTACTCACAGGTAGCTGGGGTAATCAGGATTGTACCACCTCGTACCGACGGCTTCAGGCATTGAGGAACACCGGTCGGCGCCCTAGTCCATCCCCCAGATGAGTGGGGGTGTAAAAGAGTCCTGCTAAAACGGTCAAGTGCAGCTGTCACACGGCTGTCACACGTAACCTTTAAGAGCTCTGAAAAATAAGCTGATAGGTAGAATACCGCCTGCAATGTTCAAACAAGGCCTATTAGGCGCAGAGAGCGACAGTTCGGGATGAACTCGCGACACATTGCTACTTGGCTGAAAGTATTCGCTGTGGAGCGAAACTTTTGCGGGTTAGGCTGCCCTTCGTAGTTGAGGTCCGCCTGTTTTGCGGTGATCGAGATGTGAGTCTAGTCTCCGGCAGTCGTTACCAGTTCACGTCGCTCAGCTGAAGTTTACGAGATCGGAAGGCGGATTTTCCACCTGACTTGTCTAGGCGTTGGTTGGCAGGGATGCGCTTCTCGAAATCCGCTAATTCTTGATTAGCAGGTTTCTAATCCATGGGGTGCTCCCGGAACTTACACTCAGGAGGCTCTGTTTCGTTCGAGGCCTCGTAGTTCAGAACAAGGTTCTTAATACGCTGCTGTTCTTCCCAGTCGGCCTGTTTGCGGGACTGCATGGCAACTGCTAAGCTGGAGTCGGACGGGAGATCAATAGTCCGAGTCTATAAACACCGTTAGACGATACATCCCATCGAACTTTGTCAGGGGTCAGCATTTTTCATACCTGTTGCTTGTTACCTCGCTTGGTCATCAAAGAGAATGCCATGGTCTTTGGCGCCACCGGTTCAACCGGCGCCGACTCAGACTCCGACGCGTCGTTCGCTACGGTCTCTCGGGCAAGGCGCTTCATCGGCAGGGGAATATCGAAAACAGCCTTGCGCTCAAACTTCCTAGAATCCATGCTCTCGGCCATCATCTTCTCGAACTCGCGATCAAACTCCGCTTCGGCCTCAGGATCGCGTTCTTCTTCCTCCTTCCTAGTGACGAAGATCTGCTCGTCCTCGGACTCGAATTCGTCATTCGCTTCCATGTTTGGACCAGAAGCCTGCATCAGTGTTAATTGGACTGTGAATTCCATCTGAGAAGACATGGGGCTCTCTTACCTCTGCTTCATCGCTGGATTCTTGATCATCCTCTATCTCGGGGATCGCATCTTCTTCTAAGCCAACGTCAGATGAGCTGCTCTCTCCATCATCATCGTTGTCATCCGGCTCGGCAGGACGCTCGGAGTCTTGCAAGTTGTAATTCCGCGACACAGCCTCGCCGAAGAGCCGAGTGGCTTCCTCCAGGTCCGTAGCAAGTTTCCACTGGGGTCGAAGGGTGGAGTACGTATCTTGGACCAGGAAATCGATATCCATAGGCAGCGGGTCTTTGGTGAAAAGGTAGTACTGGAAAAAAGTGAGGAAAAAGTCAAGCTTCTTCTTTGCAGAGCCTCGGTCGAAGCAGTGCCCGCAGGTATCGAGGAGTGTACAAGCGAGACGAACGCGGAAGTAGTCATCCGGAAGGTCGAGGTCAATGTATTTTCCAGCAATCGGCGTACCGCCCTCATGGCCGAATGTCACGATACGGTAAAGGGTATGGAAGATAACAGGCGAATCGATCATTTTGTAGTTGTACAGCTCGCCAACATATTTGACTTCGGCAATACGCTTTTGGTTGAACTTGAAGTCATTCTGCTCCAGGCCCAGGATAATCTGCTCTAAGACGTTGTCGACAACGCCAACCACAAACTCTTGATGGTACCGGTACAAGGCACTGACAAGAATTGCTAGCAGATGAATGCTCCCGTATTTGACCTTGACTGGCTTGCTGAAGACTCGCTCCAAGATATCCACGACCTCCTGTTCTTCCCAGTGGAGCTTGCGAATGGTTTTCAGGATCTTGGTGTAATTGCGCTTGTTCATGTCCAGGTAGATTAACCGGCGGATATACTGATCCATCGGCGTCCGCTCTTTCTGTTGGATCGCAGGTCGTGGTGGCGGATCAACGTAATAGATGGCATTCTCGATTACCATTCGCTCCTGTTGACCCAGGTGCTGGACTGTCTTCTTGCGACTCAAGGTCTCCAGGAACGAGGCCATACGCGGCGATGTCTCTGGGTTTCGCAGGAGGTATCGACCACAGTTTTCTAGAAGATTTCCGATAATCTCAATGTTCATGCGCGAAAAATCGTCCAGAGAAACTTTGAAGCAGTGGAAGATGATATGTTCTGGCACCACCCCAAACTTGGTCAGCTCAGCTAGGTAACGCACGTTGCCCATGCGCACCTGACCAAGGAACTCCTTGGACTTTCGGCGCTGCAGGCTGCGGAACTCTTCATCAAGGTAATTCGTGAGGCCTTGCGGGATATCTGGTAAGTATTGACCGAGAGTGGCAACCAATCGTGAATATAAGGGCAATAGATCAAGACGGCCCTCGGAATATCAGAAACGGCCTTGACCAGGCGGTTTCGAGATGCCTTTGAATTGACGAAGCAGAAGTCTAGGGCGAACTGATCGACTTGGTCCTTCGTCTGTAATTCCGGCAATTTGCTGAGCAAGGTGTCAACTTGTGCGCCAACAGTCTTGCTGGCAATTGCAGTCGATTGATCGTCGAGATCTGCTGCGGCTTTATCCTCGGCGGACTCGGAAGCGTCGCCGTCCTTCTTTTTGGCCCCCTCTTCACCCTCTGGCTTCTTTTTCTTGCCGTCTTCGAGTAGTACCGCAGGCACTTTACCCTTCAAATCAACTAGGTTCTCGTAAAATCGGCGCTCTTCCTCGTCTTCCCAGATACCAGCGCCGTCACCCTGGCCACGCAAATAATCAGTAGTCTTGACCAAGCCGATGCCAGAGCTGGATGTCGCGTCGTTCGTCTCTTTCTCAGCTAGATCAGGCATCTCCACTCCAAAGCTTCACATAGAACCTGAGTATTGCTAACTAGTTTCTCAAGAGTCTTGGATTGCTTCTCGAAGTTCGACTGTCGGTCTTCAAAGATCTCGCCACTCTTCACGTATGCCTCTGCATTTCGGCGACTCTGGGCGGCGAGTGCTTTCTGATCTCGAACAACATGCGCCTTAACGTCATCCAGATATCTATTCAGAATGTTCTTAAATCGTTGCCGAGTTGCCTCGGGGGCAAGCGGAGGATCTGCCTCCGCCGATTCCCCGCCGGCATCTTGGTCTGCCGCCGTCGCACCGTCCGCTTCAACGGTCTTGCGCCCTTCATCCATGAGCTTAGAGCCTAGAATATCCCAGCTAAAGCTCTTCACAAACAGAACTGCGAGTGGCAGATTAGTGTGGTCGCGGTCATGGCCGAGTAGCTCCTTCAGCACCTCCAACGGAAATGGCTCCGCCTGCTTATCCTGATCTTTGGTAGAAGTCGGCGCTTTTGATTTCAACGGAGGGTCGGAGGACTTGCTACCAATCCCTACAGCGCCATCCTTGCCGCCCTTCGCACCTATCTCGTCCGGCCGCTCGACGTCATCCAGAGTCCTCAGAACCCCAACCAGCCACAATTCCGTCACCACGCGGAGGAGTACGCGGTGTCGCGACAGGCGCTCTTTCTCGTCGCGCTCACGGACTTCCGGGGTTAACTGCTTGAGCCATGCCTTGTCTGGGGAACTTAGACCGCGGCCGAGTAGCCAACCGATCTGACGGGTGAATTCGGCGGGGCCGAAGCGTTGGTGCAGTGCGCATACGATCTCGACCCCGACTGCGATCTCGCCGGGGGACTTGAGCTTGCAGAGGCCTTCGTAACAAGCAGAGATGATCTCGGAGAGGTATTTGTGCAGGGAGAGGGTGCGGATATCGGAAAGAAAGGTGGACAAGGCCGATGTGGTGATGCCCGTGCGGAGACGTTTAATGAATGCTGTGTTCTTCTTCAAGGCTGAGTCGAGAGATTTGCTAACGGGGAAGATATCTATAGAAGAGGAAAAATTAGGTCAGGTCAGGGCCAACCGTCAAGCTAGGGCAGGGGTGTCTGGTACCTGTCTCGTCGGCCCAGGCCCTCTCATTCAGATCGCGTAACTCCCCTGCAAAACAGTTCGTCAGTATCAAGGCTGTCAAGAATTGGAGGGGACGCATACTCTTCTTCTGGCGCTCCATGGCCATCGATGTATGGTCGGAGGCGGGGTTCAGTGGGGTCCTTTCAGAGCGTCTGAAAGGAGGGCAAAGTAAGCGGTTCGCCACATTGAGGAGATTTGAAGGAGAGAGGAAGGGGAAAGGAGACAATTCTCAAGAGATCCTTTGAGTGGGGGAGCTTCGGGAGAGAAGGCGGGCTCTGCTCCCAAGGCGGTGCGGAGTGCAACTTTTCTTTGGTTGGCTTCGGTCCTTTCTTACGATCCTTGGAAGCATTCGTGGATTGCTTTTTGGAACTGAAATGGAAACTCAAAAAGGCATATCGGCTGATTTACAGGGATGAAGCAACAATGGGGCGTTGGCATCATTCTGATTCAAAAACATTATACAGGAACCCCCACCATGATCCTCGGTCGCCCAACTCTTCGCAGTAAGCGACATCGAACCACTCGCCAAACCTGTGGACACAAATTTAACGCTTAGTTGCCTCATTACTCTGGCTTTCCCTCATGCTTTTCCGAAAACCCTAGTTCTCGGCCGGCCTCCATATCCAGCAGTCTCTCCTGCAGTTCATGCTTGCGATCCTGGTCGCTCCAGCTCTGTCGACGATCAAGTCTTGGCTGCCAGGATGGCTCGGCTGCAGGCTCCTTGGTAGAGTACGGGTTTTCACTGTCTCGAGGGACGTCAAATGGGACTGCTGTTGTAGGAGCGGTCTGTTCCCTGGAGCGATCTGGGAGGCTGTGTGGCGTGGCAGGCTCCATAGTGTGCGAGGTGGAGATTGAAGCTTAATGTAGTAGGATGTGGTCCCGTTTGGAAGATTGTGATTGACTATGCTTGTGTCAGCGAAACGGGGGATTCAATATGCTGGGAGGAGTTTTATAAATACTTCGCAGATGCGGGGTCTGGACGGTCAGGGTGGCGAAATGAATGCGTTCATTCTAGACGCCGTATTACCTGTGGTAACTTGAGAGTACCTAGGTGCTTACAATGCAATACAGGAGTAGGTGACAGAATTAGGGCTGAGGCCTACGGTAGCTGCAAGACCGGTTCCATTAAGTGATCTTCTGATGATCTGCGAGCCTGACTTGACCCAAACAGGAGATGGTTAGACCTCAGTAACATGATATACGGAGGCAAAAGTGGCGTACTCGTACAACACTCCAAAACCCCACGATCGAGGAAATATTAAATAACACTTTTAAAATTTGATTAGCTAACATACAAGTCATGACGGCGTCAAACCATACAGGAAAGGCCGAGCATCGAGCAGTAGAAGGAAGCAGGAGGGATGAGGTACAGTGATGCCCCAAGAGCCAAGAAAACTGATCAGAGGGCAGAACAATGGCCAGAGCAAGCTTAAAACAAAAGCACCTTCGAGAGCAGGAAGCCATCACACATCAGGGCACAAAGTCCCACAAGACACATCAACAAAGACGCTGCGATATCGTACACTTGCTGGGGTGAAAGAAGATATTGAAGTCAAGGAAATAATCGGATCAAAATCAGGGTATGCCTCACGCCACGCTATGCGAGTCACCGAATCAAGTGACAAAACAGTACAAATATATACTCGAGAGAAAGCCAAGCCATACAGGACGACGTGAAATAATTGTCTGCCAAGGACTATTTAGGCTTGCGCCAGAAGTATTGCTGAGGGAATCATGTGAGTATGCTGTTTTGGCAAGGGTAATGATGAAGATCAACGAACCTTGTGCTGTTTGCGACAATTGCGAAGACCGGGCTTCCGCAGATTGTTCACTACGGTCTCGCGACGCATCTCGTCCTCGTCTTCATCTGGCAAGTAATAATACTCACTTTCAAGAGGCTTTCCGGCAGCATCCTTGCCCTCACGAGCAACTTTGCCGATACACTTGGTATTTTCCAAGATGAAGCGAATCTCAGACCGAGCGGGCCCAGAGCCGCTGCTCGCACTGGACTTCCAGTATGACGGCGGGAGGTTGTTCAGGATGGTAGAGAACGGAGTAGATGAAAGTCGGGAAAAAGCCAATTGGTTGACCGCGTGGTTGCGGACTCGAGCAAAGCTCTCATCATCAAGTATGGATCGGCCATTGTCGGGTGTAGATTCTTTCTCGGCCCGAGAAGACTGGCGGGAATGGCTGGAGATATTCGAAAGGTTTGAAGACTGGCGAGAATGAGTAGACTTGAGGGGCTGGGCTGGAAGAAGAGACTGTGGTGACCGAGCAGAGCGGAGAGGCGAATCATCTGCACGGAATGAAGCCATGCGAGGCAGCAAGTTGTCTCTCGAAGGGACCAAAAGAGTGAACAATAGGGTCATTTTCCTCATCATTATCAGAATCTTCCTCGACCCTCGAGATGTCACTCTGGAGAATTGCACTCGCACGACGAGCACTTGGAGAACAGAGGTCAATGACAGTGTTATGGCGCTTCAGAGGGGAAGGCTCATCTTCATATACCACGACAGCGGCACGAGAGCGGGAGGGTGTGAAGATGGGCGACGACGGGGGGATAGCGCGCTGAACAGCAGGCGACGGGGAGACAGGGGACGCTAGACGTCTGTTTTCCACGAAAGGGCTATCCTGAAGTACCCTCCGGGTAGTGCTCTTCTGGGTAGGAGTAGGCTCGTCCCATGTCTGCTCCGAATCCGTCGAGGGGCAGTCCTTCCTGTCAGCTTCATTACGCGGCCATTGCACCAAGACACGTGCCTCATGAACGTCGATCATAATGTCTGCATCCTTTATATCCGACGTGAACGTCTTTCCCTTTGCCAGATCATATTTCTTGCCTTGGCAGTGGATTTTGATGCCATTCCATCCCAGACACATAATTTCCACGCAGTCACGATCAAACGGGTTTGGGGCTGGTTTATAAGTGGCTTTCACATGAACACGAGAGATCATACGACTAGCAGGGAGTTGATGCTGGCACGAAGCACTTGAGCGGCCCATCAAGAGAGGCTCCCCACTCTCGGGCAACATCAAGGTCGGCACGGCACACAAGGGACTGCGCTCGGAGGCAACAGAGAAAGTACGACGCGTTGAAGAGCGTGCACCAGCACCCGGGGGGGGACGACGACATTATATGAGTTGAGGAAGTTGGGACGGGGGTCAGGATAGGTCGACACCGCGCTTTCGCGTGCTACACGCTTTTGAGGCCGAGGAAGGGAGGGGGATGAGCTCAATGGCTCGAAAGCCGGCAACAACGAGGCAGGACGCTTCATGCCTGCATGAGGAGCAAGAGCCGTCCTGGTAGGAGACGAATCCATCGCGACCTAAAGTTTCCAAACCACACAAAAGGCTCCTTTTTAAGACGAGACGAGAAACGAGGCCAATTCAAGACCTCGCGTCACGTCCGAATCCTTCTGGGTAAGAGACCAACGTAAAGACAGTAAATAAGAGGGAAGGTTGGTCCGAACAAAGGAGACTCCTCTCTATAAGTGGGAAGTTAGGGGAGAGGAAAGGGTGGAGGGGGAAAGAGAGGAGCTGGGAGGAAAAGGTGAAAAGGTAGTGGAATGTACTGGGGCGGAGGGTCTTGTTCGCCCTGCGCGGAACCTGCACGCTTACAGCCCGAGACGCGTTCGATAGGCGCCGATGAGCCTTTTACAGGCTCCACTATCCCTTCGTGTGCACGGATGAATCCCAGCCATTTATACCCAGAAACCCGCGTCGTTCTCTTAAAATTTCCAGGTGCTACGCGAGAGGATACGGCAATATTGACAATTCATGGATGTCATCTTGATCTATAAGTTAACTAACTAGTTAGTTAGTTAGTTAGTTACACCTCTAATCTGACAAAGCGCGTCCGCGTCTCAAATCACGTGAATGTGGAGCGTGACGGGCACGCGAGTCGGAGTATGACAGTCTCTCGGTATCCATCACGACACAGCGGCATTTGTGACTTCAGAATGCATTTACCAGGGTTGGCCACGCCTGAAATTTGGGAGTGGCTGGTCGCTACAGTTGCTGTCATTCGGAAAGATGGACTTCCACTGCGACTTTTCACGGCCAGCAAAGCTACTCTGAGACTCCGAGCTATCGTAGCTATGGAAATTTAGAGGTGCAGTGCTAATTTGCTCTATATTAATTTAGCAACATTCAATATGGAATCCAATAGTGACATTGATACTTTCGCTTAGAACCTAACATAGTAAGAGGGGTATCTGACCCAGTACTGACGCGCTAAGCAGTTTTTTTTTTCTGCGTCGCGGGCCATACACGGTGGGCGCGTGGGTACGTGCTACTGCACCGTCTTAATCTCGCCCACCGCGGTCGGAGATAGATTGCGTGTAGGGCCTGGAATCCGACCTCAGCAAATCCTTTGCAGAAACGACAGGTTGCATGCAGCTGGAGCGGGTTTCGTAATGCTGTTTGCCTAAACTCGGTCGGATTCTAGCTTTTTCGAGACACTAGTTGTAAGGCTCTCTGGATACCAGGGAGGTGGCCATTGCTCCCCGGAAACGATCTAAATTCCGGTGAAGCTCACGGGCCTACCGATATCTGTCGGCTTGCAAAAGAAGTACGAAAATCATGGTCCGAGAATATTGCCCGCGGAAAAGCTTATAAATCGTCGAGCTAGGTTCCAAGGTTGCCAAACAAAATCAAAACAAAGTTGAATGAATGAAAATCCACGAAGTAACGACCATCAACAAGTATGCAATGCAAGAAGCGATATCCTGACAGTACTCCATACGTCTGAGCTCCACCTTTCTCGACATTTCCCACATGGATGATCCATGATAGCCGAAAAGTCGATTGCAAGGGGGGGAATGTATGGGCGCCACATCATAGATGAGATTTCCCCAGAAACAGAATGCCAAGAGCCTGGAAGGGATAGCTCACAAGCCTCTGCGAAGTGTCGCTGATACAAATGACGGCTGGGACTTCTTGTAGCAGGGCAGATGCCCTCATGTGATCTGCAACTGGCGAACAATGATGCAATTACACATGTGCAAGATGGGGTCGAAAGATCAACAAAGATCCGCGCTGATTGGCTAGATTCCATTCCACATCGATTTGAAGAATCCGTGTTTCCCTGGAAATCTCGATGGCTTGGAATATGACTCTAGAATGCGTATGTTTGAATGGGTAGTTCGACGAGTAACAACAGGGAAAATGGAGGATTGACTAGGCGGGAATGGTATGTGTTGATCGACTGGGGCGCACTTCCATTTCTGAGCATCTAGAACATGCATTTCGAAGCGCTCAAACGAGACTGCCTCTGGCCTGCAAATCACCACACCAATCTATCCCATTCTTGCCCTGATGATAGCCTAACAAAAAGCCGACAAGCACGTTAAAAATGCTCGAGCGAGCAGCAGTTCCACAGCGACTGCTAGAAACCTCAGATTACTACGGATGCACCGTCGGAAGTTTGCAGCCAGTTACATTTCGAGTTCATCCTCCTAGGGGCTTGAACAATATTGAAATTAACAAATGCATGGAGAATCCATAAGACGTCAGTGGTCGTAATCAGATAATGATGACGGACAATCGGGCATAGTAAAGTCAAGATTGGTCCCACTTGAGGTAACGAAGTAAAATCTAGCCAACGAGTTGCCGCCTGGATAGAGCTTGCCGGGTGACGAGCCAGTAGAAATGAAGAAGTCTGAAATAAGAAATTGAAGTTGCCGCCCACGCATCGTAGCACGGGATCAAAAATAAGATACAGAGAAGTAAACTCTTTCAGTGAGCAAACCACAGTATAGACAAAAGAATATCCTGAACCCAGCGTTGAGGAAAGCCCTCGACCTCGGTATAGAGGACCGGTTTGCTGAAAGATGGGGGCACGAAATCCTCACTTCCTCCTTACATGAGTTTCTTAAGCTCTTCGAAGGTCTCGGCGAAAACGTATTGGGCAGAGCCACCTGGGGGGAAGCTGGTGGTGCAGCCATTGCCGCTGGTAATCCGGCCGTCAGAGTTGTAGAAGTTGCCCTTACCGTCGTACATGCAAGCGGCAGTAACGCCGTCGCCAGTGATGCCGACAGCAAAGTCAAGGTCAGCATCAGTTGTGGGCTCGTTCTTGAGCATAGAAATCCAGGTAGCACCGGCAGAGTACCCAACGCCAATGTTCAATGGGGCCCAGTTACCGATGGGCTCAGAGCCATCGCCCCACTGGCAACCCTTCTCGATAGAGACGCCCTTATTGTTGACGTAGTACTGGGCAGAGGTAGGCTTACCCTGCCAGACGAAGTACTCGGCGCTGTTGGGGCAGGTAAGGGGGTGAATGCCACCGTTGGCGGTAGCCTTGAGAGGGATGGTCTCGGATTCGGTGCCAGGGTAGTCAGTGCGGCAGATAGCGACATCCTCGCTCATATGGTTCTTGACAGTAACACCGCCAGTCCCCTCGATGCAAAGGGTCTTGCTAAGGGTTGGGTTGGTAAGATAAAGTTTGCCATTCTTGCACTCCAGACCACCGACAGACTGGCCGGTGCTTCCTTGGGTCTTGGGCCACTGGGCCTTTTGGTAACCAGCTGGGCAAGCGTAAGAGCACATCGCACCGTCAGTGCAGCCCTCACCGCTAACAGCAGTGGTGATAGAGCTGACAAGTGCGTCCACAATACTAACATACTGAACACCCGACCATCCACCAAGGCCAAGATAATCGAGAGGAACTGCGCCATACTCAGAGGGGAAGGTGTCACAGCTGAGTTCACCATCGGGAAATTCAGCGGTGAGTCCAATGGCCCCGGTATTCGAGCTGGAGCTGGAGCTGTGAGTAGGAGCCGACTTGATCGAGGTCGAAGTTGAGGTCGACGTTGGGATTGAGGTTGAGGTTGAGGTCGAGCTGCTGGAGCTGGAGCTTGAGGTGGAGATGGCAGCCGTCTGCTCGAGGAGAACCTGCGGCTTGACAGTCGTGGTAGGAGAAGGAGTAGCAGTGCTAGTTGGGCAAGCTAGCGGAACGGCAGTGCCGAGCCATTCAAACTCGTGAGATGCAAGGCCTGCGCAGGCTTTTTCCTGGCTCAGGGCCTCGGGCTTGCCGTTTTGCTCGGGGTCAATCACAACAAACTCGTACGCAGTAGGACCGGGGACTGCAACAGTCTTGACTTCGGTCTCGACAGCGCGCTGGTGGAATTTGGCGTGGCCGTGACCGTGGGCCACGACCATGGAGGCCGAAGCCAAGGAAAGAACCAAAGCGTATTTCATTGCTCGCGATTGATGGAGAGATGCTTTGATTCGCGAAACTATATTATGTCAGTTAATTGCCATCGCTCTTATATCAGCCATGTCTCCTTGGAGCTTGCCACGCGAAATCTCGAGTGAATGAGAATGAGCCTGATTGCGCACTAGGATCACTCGACTGTGCTCTCGCTGTGGCTGTCTCGAGGAGGGGGTTCAGCATTCACATACAGCAGGTTGATGCGGTTTCACGCAGGTGAAAAGGTAGTAAACAGAAAAGAGGAGTTTAGAGAGCGACTGGTTTCCAAAAATGAACGTAGGAGAGAGAATGAATCCCTCTGGTCGGATAGGAACACACGAAGCTGAAGTCGAAACAAGGCTGTTGGGACGTCAATAAAGAGAAGGGGTGGGAACGAGGGAGTAAGTAGAGAGCAACAGGGGCGGGGGAAAGCTGGTCCTGAAGGGGTTTACGGCCAATACAACCAAGATACGCGCCCCACGCCCTCTTTTACTCCTTTGGATTGAATTTTAAGATGGGCTCCCCGTTGCCAGCTACATCTTACAGCATGCTTAACTACCCGAATCTGTCGTGGCCCAGCGCTTCTAGCCTCTTGGTCGAGTGTCAGACCACTCAATGTTTCGCTCTCGGAGTCCATTATTACGAGTACCGCACCGGCTGGGCAGCTTGGCATTATCTTGGGAGCTTGGAAACCAAGACCTTGGACTCTGTGGGGCCTCAGTCTGCACATGTTCATCTCTATTTACTCCTTTGTGATGGACTTGGCATAGCGTCCCGATATGTCCCACGCTTGAAATTGAGCCAATCATCTCCCGCATACCTAGAAGTAGCCAAGGACTAGCGGTCCACTGGCTATTCAGGTACACCAATCACGACCCATCCTCGTCCCCCCAAATGCCAATGGTCTCCATGGGTAGCGAATGGTATTTCCCGCTGGTCTACTCCGTAGCGCTTGATCAAATCACTGGAAATTATTACGTGGTACTCAGTACTCCGTAGAGGCGGTTGCTCAGCGCCTACTGAACCTTAGCCATTGAATCACATTTTGCCAGCTCTCAATGGGATTTACTACATATTCCCTGGAGGGCAACCTATGCTGTACTCCGCCAGCTGTTTCTGTGACGATCGCAAGGGGCAAACAGGGACATCCGGGCCTAAGTTTCCCCCCTATGCATTGTGCACTAAAGTACTCCATACCAAGAGCCCCTAACACCCACCAAGTCAAAGTCCCCCGAAAATCTTCCCCCAAATTTCAGTCTTTAATTTCCGCCCCTTGCCCAGCCTTGTGCGGTCCCCGCTCCTAAAAGTATACTCCGTAAGATAATCTAAATTCTAACCCACCGGGGGAACATCCGGCCTATTCACCCTGATCATGGTTTGATCCATTCCCTCTTACTTAATTTAACATGGCTGCCTCCAAAGAACAGACCTCGTACCCGAGTCCAATGGCTGTGCAAGCCACAAAGTTATCAATCAAGACTGGGCTTGCAGATACCTCTGAAGCCTACTGCATCACATCCCATAGTATTGCTCTTGGCGTCAGTGCTGGTGAAATGGTTCCCGTGATCTCCTTGATCGGCGGACGGTATACATGAAATTAATCATCCACATCATGAGTCGCTCTTATGTACTTAACTCGGGGGCCCCGGCAAATCTCACCCTAGATCCCGCATTATTCCTGCTACGCCTGACTCACTCGCCCGCGGAGGCATATGGACTTAGATCCTGATGTAGGAAGAGTACATCCTTCGGTTCTTCAGGCCATTCACTTCCCTATACATTGATACCGTCATAGCACTTACCTTGATTGGTGCTATGTTCTGAACTATTTGAACCATCACCTAGCAGACAAGACCTTCAGAGAGACATCGGCTTACGCCGTACCGGGGTCGTAAAACTTGAGAAGACAATGTATATGTATTACTTTGAACTACTGGTAGAGGCTATCATGCTGATATCAGTCCGGACGGGGAAAGGGGTCCCTCTCTAGAGCCAAGGTCGAAACACTCAATAAAGTAGTCAATCTCAGTTGGGGCGAAGGCCTGCGATATCACCCTATCGTCTTTCCAGACTCGGACTGTCACTTGCTATGATCACTTTCCGAGGTTGCTTGGTGTGTGCAAGCGATTTCCGGGTTGGGCCCATTCCAGGCTTGCTTCGGATGTGACAGGGTATTACAATACGATATTGTGGCACTCTAGCTTTTCCGATCTTCCCAATCGAAAAAGCGTTCACAACACTCACTTCAATTCCAAGTTCTCCTAGCAGACGTCCCGCATTCACTAACGTTTCATGATTCCCTGGCTGATGATTCAAATGAAAATAACAACTTGAACGGCCCTATGTCTACTCCAGCGACAGAAACTGAATGTGAATTGGAGAGAGCTGCAATCCATTTCTATGCGTTAGACTACAGATATATATTTCCTTCCTCGAGCTCACATATGGAAAATTAACGAATTCCAAGTCTTCATATAAAATTGAAGAATGGTCTCTCCGATAAATTGGGTGACTTTTTCCAATTGCACATAAAATTCTGTCCAAATTGCCGAAGTCTCACTTAAGCAGGCGAAAAACGGGTTAATGGCAGTTGTGCTGGGGAGAGGGATATCACGTGACACAGATATGATCTGGGGTTCGACTGCCAAGCCGGGCAAAAAAAGAGCCACCGCCTTCCCGAGGAATTTTTTTTTTTTGGTCTCGATATCGTCGGGGCGATTAGCGTTGAATTTACAACTCGCCAAAATGGTCTCCTCTACTGCTCTCACGACCAAGGTCGAGTCGGGCTCACCATACCAGCTGGACAATCCACAAGTACGTCAAGAATTTTTCAAGAGAATATCCAGTGTCGCTAATTTGAGATCAGGTCCAAAAAGCTTCCTCTGCGCTGCTGCGCCATATCAAGACCAACCAAGTGGAGCAAGAGAAGAACGCAACCAAGAAAACTTTGATCGGCGACAATGATTCCGATGATGAGGAAACGCCCCTCAAGAACGAAGCCATTTGGCTAATCCTCACAACCAAGAAGCATGTGGTTGATAAGAACCGCTTGAAGCCTGGAAAAATCAGCCTCCCTCATTCTCTCAACTCGTCGCCCTCGCTCAGTATCTGCCTGATCACTGCCGACCCACAGCGCGGTGTCAAGGATATTGTTGCCGACCCCACATTCCCTCAAGAACTTTCGTCACGCATCGATAAAATTATTGGCTTTAGCAAGTTGAAGGCCCGCTACCAGAGCTTCGAGAGCCGCCGCCAATTGCTCTCTGAGCACGATGTCTTCCTGGCTGACGACCGCATCATCACCCGATTGGTTCCTACCCTTGGCAAGGCCTTTTATAAGTCCAGCAAGCGTCCGATCCCTATCCGCATCGCCGCGATCGAGAAGGTGGATGGTAAGCGTGTCAAGAAAGACCCGAAGAACAAACCTTCCAAGGACGAGCGAAGCGCATCTTTTGCCTCCCCAATAATCGTCGCCAAGGAGATTGAGCGAACCTTGCAGTGCGCTTCAGTGCAGCTTGCTCCATCTACCACTGCGGCCGTTCGTGTCGGCTCATCCAACTTCAGCGCCGAGCAACTTTCCGAGAATATTGCCGCTGTTGTACAGGGAATGACTGAAAAGTTTGTCTCCAAGGGCTGGAGAAACATCAAGGCTCTTCACATCAAGGGCGCAAACACCATGGCCATGCCCATCTGGCTCGCCAGTGAGCTTTGGGTCGAGGATGCCGATGTCGTTGAGGAGGCAGAGGAGACTCCCGCCATCGAGGCTGGAAAGAAGGACAAAAAACGCAAGTCTGTGGAAGATGGAAAGCTGCTCGAGGACAAGAAATCGAAAAAGTCGAAGCCTGCGGCCGATGACGACGAGACTGCTTCAGGAGCGGCGCGAAAGGAGAAGCTGAAGCAACTCAAGGCCAAGGCCCTTGAAGATGGAGAGTCCACCAGTGCTGATGCTAGCAAGGAAAAGAAGAAGAGAAAGTCGACTTCATGATTCGGAGTTATACCTGTTCTATCTAGATAATGTTCTGCATGTGTAAAGGGTTTCTCGGCGTACAAAATATCATCCGTGTTACTTCTTCGTTCACGAATAACCAAGTAAATTGAATTCAATTGTAAGATCTCACAATGGGATCAGCAGCAATAGCCGCCCAGGAAATAGATCTGATAAAAGCTGTTTTGGCCAGATTGAGATGGTCTTGCGGTTAGCCGAGGTCCTCCGAGTTCGGGAGGGCGAAGGCTTGGCATCCCGACGATAACCACATCGCCGCAAATCACCGAGGCTTCATCATTGACCCTCCACTTGCTGCAAAACCGCCTGCAGGAGAGTAACGTCCTTCCCTCCCGTCTTGAAAATGATCCCAATTGCCAGACATTCCGTCCTGCGGGCTGCCCGCTCGCAGATCTACCCTGCTCGCTCGCTGAGCACGCCCGTTTCCGCTGCTCTCGCCCGCCTTCTTTCGACCCTCGCAGTTCTCGAACAGCGCGATGGCAAGCTGCAAAACTCCTCCTTCTCCGCCATTGCGGCTGCACAGAAGCTCGGTGGCCCAGTAACAGCTTTCCTCGCTGGTAGCGGTGTCAAGGGAACCTCTGCGGCGGAGGCGGCTAAGATCAAGGGCCTAGACAAGGTTGTGGCCGTGGAGAGCGATGCCTACGAGAAGGTAAGGCCTTGGAAGAAGCTAGAGGACAAGGCGCAAGTTGCTTATGACTATTTCTATTCACAGGGCCTTCCAGAGAACTATGCCCCGCTCCTCGTTGAGAACATCAAGAAGGGCGAATACACCCACATTGTTGCCGGACATTCAGCTTTCGGCAAGAGCTTGCTGCCCCGCGTGGCCGCTCTCTTGGATGTTCAGCAGATCTCTGATATCACCGGTATTGAAAGTGAAGACAGTGCGTTTTCTGTTGCCTATGCATAGCGGGTAGACAGTACTGATTTTGAATGTAGCTTTTGTCCGACCTATCTATGCCGGAAACGCCATCCTGACCGTGCAGTCAAGCGACAAGATCAAGGTAATTACCGTGCGCGGCACTGCCTTCCAGGGCGTTGAGACCGAAGGCGGCTCTGCCGAGATTGTGGATGGCGTGGACTCAAATCCCCCTGCTCAAACCGAGTGGGTGTCAGAGGAGCTTTCGAAGTCCGAGCGCCCGGATCTTGCCACCGCGACTCGCGTTGTTTCTGGTGGACGTGGTCTCAAGTCCAAGGAGGAATTCGACCGAATCATGCTTCCTTTGGCTGATGCCCTCGGCGCTGCGGTCGGTGCTTCCCGTGCCGCTGTCGACAGCGGCTTCGCGGACAACAGTCTGCAAGTTGGACAGACCGGTAAGAATGTTGCGCCCCAGCTCTACCTAAGTGCTGGTATCTCTGGTGCCATCCAGCACTTGGCTGGTATGAAGGACAGCAAGGTCATTGCTGCTATCAACAAGGACCCTGAGGCACCAATCTTCCAGGTCGCCGACGTTGGCCTGGTCGGTGATCTGTTTGAGAAGGTCCCTGAGTTGACCGAGAAGGTGAAGAGCGCTTAGAAAGGGAGACAAGTGGTGGAATTTTCACGTTTCATGCCGATTGAGCAGTTTTGTCATTTCTTTCGCTTTGTATTACGCGCACCGTATAGTTGACCATTCATTAGAGGGCGGTCGAAGACACCAGCCTATGTAGATGCAAAATTTCTGAATATCCAAACGCGAAAAGAACAGTCTATGAATATTGTATCAACGATTATACTCTAGCTGCGTTTGGTCCCGTTTGGGCGATAGTGCCATAATCCCGAAATGGATTAGCGTGTTGCACGCGTCGGCGCGTCTCACTATCGGGTGGGGATTAGACCAAACCAAGCAGAATCTCCCATTGAAATGACTCGAAACGCTTGAATGATCCCCTCGTCACCAGATTCCCTTTCCTCCTTCGATCCGGCCCTACTACTTCATTCCGAAGAACCTGAATACCCTCTCCACCCACCCTCCGAATCGTTCTCCGACGATCTCGAGGCTATCCACTCGCACCGGCGCGAACTGACTCGCAATAAAGTCGTGATCCAACACCGTGCATGGAATTTATCGGATGTATTCCGCAGTGAAGACGATATAAGGCCAGGTAATAACTACAAGAACACGAACTTCCCAAGTATGTGCTAAAAAAAGAGTAACAGACACTCCGACTAAATCGATTGACAGAACGCCCAGGGCAATCACGCCTACACCCAGTCGCAAATTTCCTCTTCTACCGTCTTCCCCTCCCGCTAGAATGCCGTTCATATCTTCTCCCAGTGCCTCAACTGCTGGGAACGCGACCAGCGAGGCACAGAAAAGAAAAGCCGCCGAGGTCGAAAGTCCCCAGCCGGCTCAGCCTAAGCGGCCGAAGTTTGTTGGAGGATTCATCGATGATGACGATGACGACGAAGATGAGATTGCTGCTCTGAGAGACGAGCAGTTCAAGAACCAATTTGAATTGCAAGAGGAGGGCAATCTAGGACCCTTCGCAATCCCTGGTGTCTTGGAAGAGCCCTCTCAGATCCTATCGAGTCTAACCAGGGTAACTGACTCTACAGCCACGAGTACAAATCGGCAAATGGAAGTTACGCCTCGACCAGCACTGAAAAGGATTCAGATCAAGACCTGCAGGGGCAAAACGCATGATGTACCATTGAGGAAGGCTCAGGCCCCCGTGTCTTATGAGCAAATGATTGCTAGCCGATCAGAAGCGGATCCGGGGAAAGCTAGGAAGGCCTACTACGGTATTGAGATCCATAAGCTTCTAGACGAGGCTGCACAACAAGACAAGGCTCCTGTTCCAGAGCCGGCACTTGCTCCAGTGCGCGAATCGATCGAAAATAACGGAAATCCTAAGAAAGCAAAGATCGACTCGATGATGTGGACAGAGAAGTACCGAGCTCGCACATTCACCGACCTTATCGGAGACGAACGTACGCACCGAGCAGTCCTTCGCTGGCTGAGAGGATGGGAGCCAGTTGTTTTCCGGGGCTCGCTAGGTCGCGAGCAAAGAAACCTGGCAAAGACGACAAGGGTGATAACGAAGAAGAACGTCGACACCGCAAAGTTCTCTTGCTGAGTGGGCCCCCCTGGTCTCGGGAAAACTACTTTGGCCCATGTTTGTGCCAAACAGGCTGGCTATGAGGTGCTTGAGATCAACGCAAGTGATGACCGAAGTCGAGATGTAGTCAAAGGTCGCATCCGTGATGCGCTTGGCACAGAGAATGTCAAGGGCGCGAATGTCGAAATTGGCGAGAGAAAGGTGCGCAGGGCGGCAAAACCTGTGTGTGTTGTGGTGGATGAAGTGGATGGCGTTGTTGGAGGTTCTGGAAGCAGTGGGGAGGGCGGTTTCATGAAAGCCCTCATCGATTTGGTGCTGTTGGACCAACGGAATACTAAGTGGGCTGCCGAGAATGGCGGCCAAGGCAAAAAGCGCAAGGGGGATAACTTTCGCTTCTTACGGCCATTGATTTTGGTTTGTAATGATCTTTATCACTCTAGCCTTCGACCTTTGAGAGCTTCTTCGATTGCTGAGATGATCCACGTGCGACAAGCGCCATTGGAGAATGTCGTCCAGAGAGTCAAGACTATTTTCACACGGGAAGGTATCGCATGTGATGGCGATGGCGCTCGAAGGCTGTGTGAAGCTGCCTGGGGACTCTCCAGTAGACGACAGAAAAACTCCAAAAATTCGGGGTCTGCGGAGGGTGATATTCGAAGTGTCCTCGTTGCTGCAGAATGGGTAGCACATAAACTCCGGAACGAGCGCGCAGATTCTCTGAGATTGACACGCAATTGGCTTGAGCAGCGAGTGTTGAGTACCTCAACTGAAGGTGGCTCATTCTTCAAAGAAATGAGCCGTGGAGGTGTCCGGGAGATCGTGAACCGTGTTTTCACCGAAGCGGCTGGCTTTACTGATGCCCCGATCGGGAAGACATCATTCCAGGGCCAGTATGATGATGCAACTAGTCGGGTGCCCGTTGGTGTTGCCGACTTACGGAAACGGCATGGTATTAACAGACTACGTGAGATGATCGATGCTAGCGGCGAGCAAGATCGGTGTGTGAATGACTGCTACGCGGTGTACCCTGTCCAGCAGTACCAAGATGACACATTTCTCTCGAAGCCCAACGAAGCATATGACTGGCTTTACTTTCACGACACGATATCTGCCAAAGTGCACTCGTCGCAGGAGTGGGAGTTGTTCCCATACCTCAGCCAGTCCACTCTTGCCTTCCATCACCTTTTTGCATCGGCCAGCGGCAAGACCGAGGCAGTTGACAAGGACGATGACGAGGAAGCCGAAGAGGAACATCCTTTCTCGGGCCCAAGAGCTGACTTCGCTGCGTTCGAGGCACATAAACAAAATCGTGCGGTGTTGAACGCTTTCCACTCTTCCTTTTCAGCTCCCCTGACCCGGATATTCCGCTCCAGCGAGAACGTCATCACCGAGCTAGTCCCTCATCTTATCCGGATGTTGTCGCCTGACATCAAACCCGTAATCGTCCGAAGCGGGGGCGAGCAAAGGAGCACAGCTAGCGTGCGCAAAGAATCGGAGCGAGTTCTCGTCCAATCAGCGGTGCGAGTGATGGCGGGTTTGGGAGTGACGTTTGATAAAGTCCGAGTCGAGCATGAAGGAGGTGGCCATGGGGGATGGGCTTTTAGAATGGAACCGTAAGTTTAATCGGCATGAAACCAAGATCGAGGCGGAATTGATTCTAACAACTCCCAATCCAGCCCTATCGATTCGCTAGTCGCATTCTCAAAAATGCCGAGCAACGGCCTCTCCAGCGGCACTGCGCCTGTTCGGTACGCTGTCCGCTCGGTGCTAGACCAGGAGTACCGGAAAGAAACGATGCGCAAGGCATCTGAAGCTCGCGGTGTGACAGGGAAATCTGATCTGAGCAAATTGAAGGAGCAAGGGCCTTCCCAGAAGGCGATCAAAGAAGGTCTTGTGAAGAAGGACTTTTTTGGCCGAGTGATTGAAGAACCTCCTCGAGAGGCCAATGATTTGGGTCATACTAAGGTGAGCGATGACATCTCAAAGGCCGGCAGGAAGGTCTGGGTTACCTACCATGAAGGGTTCTCGAATGCCGTTCGGAAACCCATCTCAATGAGCGAGTTGCTCGCGGGTCTGTGATGGTATGATAAAAGGGTCTTGCAGCTTGTGCTATGATGTCTTAGCGATGCTTCTTCTCATCTCATTCTAGGAGTTGATGTTTTTTTTTTTGTTCTACTGTTCATAATATACGGTTTACAGAAGATTATGGAGATGATGAAGTGCAAATTATTCAATATCGACCATTATGAGACAAATTGACACACAAAAGAGACAAAACGCCATCCAGACTTTTCAGATAAAACGACCGACATCCCACCCGTATTTGCAAGTGTATAGGAAAGAGTTCACGAGCGCAAAGTAGCAGAGCAGTATTAAAAGGCGTATCTAGGGCGTTTCATAATCGTAAAAGCGGCTCAGTCAGGCGCGGTGGTATCGAGGACAAGATCGCGATGCAGAGTGAAAGGAAATTCGTAGACAAAGGCTCGGCTCGTCGCCAGGCCCGATGTACATAGATCTTTAGCGCAGGGCCATATAATCGGCAACAGCCCTAGTGTGCAAGGCCTTCTGAGCAGTTTCTTGCTCAGTATCGAACTTGTGGCTTCGGGAGAACCATTTCTTCTTCTTCTCGAGATGATCGTCAGACCCCTTCAGAGTTGTGGCAGCGGAGTAGGTTGACGCATTGTCATCCTGGACTGTGGTCTTGGTGGAACTGGCACTAGAATTCGAAGTGCGGCGGTCGTTGAGCTTCTCGACGACAGCGTCCTTGATGGCTGTCAACCAAGGAGCTGGCTCATCGGCGACAGACGAGTTCAGAACCCGAGGGTTATGAGCGAAACGGGGGAAGCTGGCGTTGGCCATTGTGGTAGTGGTTATTGATTTAGAGGATATCGTCGAAGGAAGTATGGCGATGGTATGAAGTAGAGTATGAGAAGTGTTGCGATGTCAACAGTAATCAATGTTGGACTTGGATATGGAAAATAAATCTGTTTGGCCTGGGGATCCCAGGGTCCTTTATAGATCGTAAGAGTACGTACATTCCCAGGTGCCTTCTCTGACCAATGTCGATCTACCCAATAAAAAAAAAAAACATCCGAACTATGGAAAAAAGTCAATCACAAGTCCGAGCCCCCACCCCGGAGACCTAAACCGATGAGTCGAAACTCGAATGAACTCCTCTCACCCAGACCAAAATACGTCAGAAGAAAGGCGCAGGGTCAGAAGTGGAGCCACCCGACCAGCGTCGGAATGGAGCTTGGAGTTCGAGGGGAGACTTGAGCCACTCATAAGCGGAGTGTCACGAAAATAGGGCCTAGAGGGGACCAGAAAGGGTCAAGGGCGCGCAATGACCTCTAGCCCTAGGCATATGACGATCTCTGACTCTGGACAGTCCCCGACGTTTGCGGGCACCTTATTAGGCAATGGTGGCGCGGCTCTGGGTCCACGGGACTCTAGTCGCAGCTTGTTCCCGTCCACGAGTGCCCTACGGAGCACGAGGATTCACATTAGCAGGCGTCGGCTTGCGTGGCCCTTGAGAGGAGGTTGAGTTGACTCATAACGCCTCAGGCAAGTGCATTCATAGTAGATGATGGATGCCTGAGCCCCGGATGAGTGAGGCACCTGTGATCCAGTAAGATCAAGCTTCAGCCTTGTGTCTACAGAGATCCCAAGTATTCCACATACCCAAGGGTCTGGACATGGGCATTTGACATTGCCTAACAAGGCATGCATACTACTTAGTCTACAACATTCCGTTTCCAATTGACATGATTGTTTCTCTGGAGCCGGGAGGGCTCCCATCTTGACCTTTGAGAGGAACCTGTAGCACCCTCGTAGAGATCTATGGAATTTCTAATCATGATAATTTCCAAGCATGTGTGCCTGAGCCAAAGGAATGGCTCTTCGAGCCCACGGGCTATGCTTGACGGGGTGGCTTGGAGTGAGTCAACTTGGGTCAGCACGATTCCAGCCTTGTGGGGGCGCAACCCGGGGTGCAAACTCCTCACGCCAGGACCATCTCGACCAAGGGTTGCTTACGCGACTCAAAATGAATAGTTATGTTTGCTCGAGGCTTTTCACTATCTGACGGACAGAGATTTTTCTTCCTACCAAGGAAGTGGGGTGAAGAAGACGGCGCATTGAGGTATTCCGACGTTTAGTCCGAAGTTGACTCCGAGAGTGGGGGTTGAGGCTATGGGACTTCGATCTGGACCCTCCCCAGAGCTTTCATGGGTTTGAAGCAACTCCGAAGCCAAGGATTTCAGCGCTTTAGGGCTTTCAAGTTTATTCCGTGTGTGCCTTGAGTGGGCCTCATTGGGTGCTTGGTGTTTCTGTGCGGAGTACGGGGCTGCTATTCTTAGGCGGATTCGGACAAGCCAAGCCGCCTCAGGCACGACTCGGATTAAAATGCTGACGGCATATAATTAGTTGACTAAATCGTGAGGACCGCTTAAGTATGCAATTAGGATCCCTCTCCTTGTATTATCAATTTTTCACAGCCCTATACCATGAGGCTTCTGCCTCGGAGTCACCACTGCCCAGATCTGTCCTCCGCGCCCTTCGTGGTTTGGAAGAATGGGAATCGAGCGCTCGTCCCGCTTCTTCTAGTGGCGTTTTGGAGTCACGAAGGGCGTGGTTAGTACTATCGAATACGAGATTTCATGATGACTCTTCCAATATATTGATCTTGGATCTCTTCGTTTTGTCCTTTCAACCCTCCACTTGCGAGTGAGCCCCCTGAGGGTCATTAGCACTAAATGGATGACGAATCGTTAGCTGCCCAATGGAATAAGAGATGCTTTCGCTTTGATGTCGCATTCGCAGGATCTCTGTGTCTATTTGATCCAATGCCAATCACTACTTATCGAAGCTGAGCTTCTACGCCCTTCTTTTCCTTTCGTTGCGCTTCGTCGCGCTTCGTCGCGCTTCGATTTAACCTGCGGCTGACAAACACATTGAGCAGGGTGCAGGGTGACGTCAAAACGCAACATTTGGTTAACCAAAAGACTGCTTTGTCTTTCATGAACAGCACGAACAGAGAGTTGGTCTCTCAGTGACCTAATCAATTAGGTCTTAATCGGTCCAATGAGCGCCTCCCTTGCATCGAAGCTCCCCTGGGCCGAGTCTATTTGTCAGCCCGGAATTAAGGGCCCCGAGTACGTGAACTAGCTGCAGCTGGACTGCTGGGTAGCTACATGTGGACCGCGGAAACCATGCAGAATGCATATTTAAGCAGCCCACCTGGCGATGGAACCCCTCATTTATCCTTGCAAGAAAATCTCAACCTAGCAAACTCCAATCCACTCTTCCAATTTACCCCTCCAATTTACGTCGCCAATTCACTCCCATCATGTCACTCAAGCCCATTGTTCTCTACGGTCATTCTGGCGGCCCAAACCCTTGGAAGGTCGTCAATGTTTTCCACGAACTGAATCTCCCCTACGAGCACAAGATCCTTGATTTCAAGGATATCAAGGCCGAGCCTTACGTTTCCATCAACCCAAACGGCCGTGTCCCCGCCATTGAGGACCCCAACACTGGTATCTCATTGTGGGAGTCTGGCGCCATCCTCGAATACCTAGTCGAGACGTATGACAAGGACAAGAAGATCAGCTTTGCCCAGGGTACCCCCGAGTACTTCCAGGCGAAGCAATGGCTCCACTTCCAGATGTCTGGCCAGGGCCCTTACTTTGGACAGGCCGTGTGGTTCGCAAACTACCACCCCGAGAAGCTCCCAAGTGCCATTGAGCGCTATAACAAAGAGATCCGCCGTGTTTGCGAAGTTCTTAACGGTTTCCTCGCGGGCAAAGAATACCTTGTTGGTAACAAGTTTAGCTACGTTGATCTTGCTTTCATCCCTTGGTTCAAAATTCCTGTCGCCGCCGACGCTGTGAAGGATTTCCCCAACCTTAGTGCTTGGCTGGAGCGCATTACTTCTCGCCCAGCAGCCGTGACTACATATAAGGAGCGTGAGGAGGCTATGGCCAAGGCTCATTAAAAATGGGGATATACCGGCAGGGATGGGATATAAGGAAGAGGTATAAGTAGCTAATGTTATCGCCCAATTTGTTCTGTCTCAGGAGAGGCTCTGCCGAGTAGTTTCATACTATCAAATAAAGCATTGGATAGTTTGCTTATAATTCTGAAGTCATAGTATCCTTCAGTAGGACTTTTTACTGGCATCTTTTGAAGAGTAGGGTTTAGGCCGGGACGATTTGTTGTCTGTGCCGTTCCCTAAGCTTGAATAGTCAGCGCTTATCGTCATCCATGGATCCAAGCATTCACTATCTAGGTAGAATTCACTCTTTTCGTTGACCGGATATTGGAGTGGAAGAACACGTTCTGCCGCCTTCACTAAAGCTAGTCCCAATCGGGTTAGCGCAAGCATGATCTTGGCGAAACCGCGAGTTTTCCGTGTCGCGACATCCACCGTCTCCCCGTTGAATCAAGCACCCGGTCCAATCATCCCCTCTAGCCTGGTTTCCCATCAGATTGGGGCTTTCATCACACCTGTCAATCATTTCGCCTTATCTTTTGCTCTTCTAGCGCGCCTCCCATTTGCATCGCGCGAGAGAGTCAGCGAACGATAGGCAAGGAGTCGATCTTTCCGTCGCCCGCGACAGCTGCTTTCTGCTTATAAAACCATCATGGATGACACTTCCTTTAATCAGGCTGTAGCGCCTGAGAACATTCAGTCGGGAGCTGGCTCAGATGCTGCCGCAGAGACACCCCACGGCGCGAGTGGTTCCGGTACGATCCCAGCCTCCCCCAGCTATCAGAATCAGACACGGTTATTAATCCCATGGACAGAAGCCCAATCACGCCAAGAATCGCCCTTAAAGAAAGTTGAAGGTGTGGCTGGCTCTGACAACCCTCTTGATGCTCCTGCTTCCCCCAAGGCCCAAAACGGCGATGCCGAACCCGAGGATGAAGAGATGGGCGGCACTGAGACCGATACCAAGCGCGATACTGAGGGATTAGAAGATGCTGCTGGGGAATCGCAACCGCCTGCGGATGCCACAGAAGGCATTGAAGATGCCGTTGGAGAGGAACAGCCCGCGCCGACCAAGTCGTCTTTGGAATCTTCCGCTCGTGATCAACTCATCACCCAGACCCATGCCATCATCCTTCCTAGCTATGCTAGCTGGTTCGATATGAACCTCATTAATCCCATTGAGAAGAAGGCGCTCGCGGAGTTCTTCAACGGCCGCAACCGCAGCAAGACCCCTGCCACCTATAAAGACTACCGAGACTTCATGATCAACACCTACCGATTGAACCCCATTGAGTACCTTACAGTCACCGCTTGCCGTCGGAATCTCGCCGGAGATGTCTGCGCTATCATGCGTGTCCACTCGTTCTTGGAGCAGTGGGGTCTGATCAACTACCAGGTTGACCCTCAAACCCGCCCTTCTAACATTGGCCCACCGTTCACCGGCCATTTCAGAGTGATCGCCGATACCCCTCGAGGGCTTCAACCATTCCAACCTGGCCCACACCCCACGGTCACCGCGGGTAAGGCTCATCCAGCCACCGATCGCGCTGCCTCCAGCACCCCTGCTTCAAAAGCCGATCTCCACCTCGACCTTCGCCGTAACATCTATGACCAGAAGGCCAAGGACGTTACGCCTGCCGATGACAAAGAGAAGCGGACCAACGGAGATACCAATGGAATTGATGCCCAAGATTCCAAAAAGAAGTCGCATTGCTTTTCTTGTGGAATTGACTGCACCCGACTTCGTTTCCATTATGCGAAAGCGGCCCCAACGTCTGCCAACACCACCACTCCCGATACCAAGTACGATCTCTGCCCTAATTGCTTCCTGCAAGGCCGCATGCCCTCCAGCCACAATGCTTCAGACTTTGTGAAGCTTGAGGATAAGGCTCACACTCACGTTCCTGACAAGGATGCTCCCTGGTCCGACTCAGAACTTCTGTTGCTCTTGGAGGCATTAGAGAGCTTTGATGACAACTGGGAACAGATTGCCAACCACGTCGGTTCCCGCACCCGTGAAGAGTGCGTGTTGAAATTCTTACAATTGGAGATTGAGGACAAGTACTTGGAGGATCTGCCTGAGCTCCGCGCAGGACCTGGCCGAGATCCAATCAGTGCTACTGAAAATCCTGTCTTGTCGGTTGTTGCTTTCCTCGCTGAGATGGCGGAGCCCGCTGTGGCTGCTGCCGCAGCCGGTCGCTCCGTCGAGGAGATTCGCAAGGAGCTGCGCAGTCAACTCGAGAAGGATGGCAAGGGCAAGGAATCCGTCAAGGCAGAGGACTCGATGGATGTTGATCCTGTCCGAGAGGCCGAGCGGGCCGTGGAGAAGCCTAAAGAGTCTATCGCTACTGTGGCTCTCGCCGCCTCTGCCGCGCGATCCAGCGCCCTCGCGTCGCATGAGGAGCGTGAGATGACCCGCTTGGTCGGTGCCGCCGTGAACGTAACACTGCAGAAGTTCGAGATCAAGCTTCAACAGTTCAACGAGATGGAAGAGATCATCGAGGCCGAGCGCCGAGAGCTGGAGCAAGCACGCCAGCAACTCTTCCTCGACCGTATGGCCTTCAAGAAGCGTGTGAAGGAGGCCCAGGATGCACTGCAAGCAGTCAGCCTTCAGGGCCCTAGTGAGCACACCAACACCATGCTCGCTAATGCCGCTACGGCTGGTATTGGCAACCACTATAGCTTCCAACCTGCTGGTGCCGATTTACGAGCTGGTGCGCAACCCTTGAGCGCTGATGCGGGTGCCGACTTCAAGTCTCTCGACCTGTAAGCCTCAGTGCATGTACGATAACCCATGGATGTGCCCGGGGGTAGGATTGCTTGCTGTGCGCGGCGGGGTGTTCATGAATACTTTTGTTTGTCTCTTTTCATTCGGTTTGGAAAAGGCGCAGTTATTATCCGTTGGAGTTTTTAAGTCGGATTCGCCCCCTTGCCTGAGAATGAGGATGGCGGAAGAGGGCCTGGGGATTTTTAACGTTTCTCAAATGTGTTTACAACTTTTTTTTTTCTTTCTAATCATATGCCCGTAATGGAAATATTACTTGGTTCAAGGATTTCTATTTCGTGGTCCCGTATAAGTGCTGTAGGTCTTGACAGACTTACACCTAAAAAGAATTTCTAAGTCTGATAGGATTTGTTCGTAATTTTTTTGGAATAGAACTCGAGTCCTCAGGCATTTCAAATCTCACTGTTACTATGATGATTCGGTGGCTGCTGATCTAAGTGCATCGCTTCACCATCGACAGAGGCAGACGGGGACGATGAGATTTCGATAGTTACAGGAGCTCTTGGCCTTTCATCAGCCGTAGCTTGTGCATCGCTTTCTTCATCATCGTCGCTGTTAACGACAGACGCGGATAAGAAGACCGGTTGTTTTGCACCCTTGGTATTGGCATCGTCATGGTCAGAGTCACTCTCAAGCTCAATGCGTCGGCGCTTGCGTCGATTCTCCTCCAATTCATCCTCCACCTCTTGCAAGCCAGCTCCATACTCTTCCCACTCACTGCGGTACAAAGTGTGTTCGCGCCAATCGATCAAGTCTTCTCTCATCTTGCGGTCCGCGGGCATTTTGCGAGCGGCTGCTTCTTTGGCATTCTCTTCTTCTGCGATACCGGCGATGGTGAGCTGGATCGGTCCTGGTTTTCCCAGAATTTTCCAAAGCCGGAGTTCTTCTTGTCGGCTTTGCTCGCGGTCTTGCATGTCAGCGTGATCTTCCTCTGCATCTGCGGGTAACGGAGGGCGGTTGGCAGGTGGTTTGTGGTTATTTTCGATTTCGGGGCTCCCGGGAGAGCTATCGTCCTCCCCGTCTGAGGCTTCACTCTCGGAATCAACCATGTCGTCCTCAGCGTTCAGGATGTCCTCTGCTTCCTGATAGCTGAGGTCCTTTCCGGGGTGCTTCTCATCATCTTTGATGAGCAGTCTATGACGCTTGGCTACGTTGAGGAAGTGATTGTGTTCGAGGGTCTGCATATTCAAGACGTCCATCGCGGCTCTGACATCTCGCTTCCGCACCAGGTTCCCTCGCTCGCGGCCGGGCTGCTGCACATCACGGAGTCGCGCCATGGCGAAAAAAAGGCTCGATTGAACGAGCCGCTTCGTGAGGCTCACAGCCAGAGCATAGAAATCCATGAAAGCCTCACCGTATATGACAGGTGACTCGTCTTCAGACTGAGCATGGTGATTCCATGATTCCTTTTCTCTCGAGCCGCCGAAGTTCATGAACAGCTGTGCAGAAAGCTGGATCCACGATGGAAGTTTGAGCAGGCTAGCAGGAAGATGGAAATTGCCCTGAGAGACTGCGTCTTTCTGGAGGAGTTTCCTCGCTTGCGCCTCCGTAAGCAACCCATTGCTGCCCCCGAATTTCAAACTGCAGGCTCGCATGATAGCATTATCTTCTTGCATGACGAGGGCATCGCTATATTTTTCTAGTTCAGCGCAGCAATCCTCACTGATCTCCGCAGCAGCAGCAATATCGCCCATGATGATGGTTTTGAGCTGTCGCTCCAGGAGATGTTGGCCCTCCAAGCCGCGCTGGAGCAACTTCAGATAGTCCATGACCTCTAACTCTGATTTCGTCCGAATAGCAGTGGCTATATCCTTGATCCCATTCTTGCCTTTATGATCAAGCACCTTGAACAGGACCTCCTTCTCAGTCGATGTCCAGATCACCGCGCCGTTCTGTGTAACCGTGTAAGGCTCTTCATTTTCGTTCACTTTGGTGGTGCTGATATCGGCCTCCATTTCAGCGAGTAGTTTTGTATAGGCTTCCAAGGAGGATGGGCGGAGAGTCTTGAACATGGCATCGGCTTTCTCGAATCGGTTTTGCGCCGCGAATTCGTACCCATCCTCGTCCAATTCGGACTCGGAATCGACAAGATCGATAACATTATCGGAGGTCGCGCCAGGAGCAGGGGCTTTTATCTCCGAAAGTCCAGTCTTTTCAAATTCCAATTGCGAAGGAGAACGCGGCACCCGCTCGTCGTTGACCTCGGAGCCGGAATTTTGTACCGAGTCTTCATCGGGCTCGTAAGCAGGGGAGCTGCTCATCGTGGAAGACTCGCAGACTCGCAGCGTACTCGTATCGGAGGGAAACGAAACATCACCGCTACATCTGCGCGGGGCTGACGAGTCGAATTACGAAGAGTCGTGTGTTTGACTGGTCGCCGAAAAAAAAAAAAGCTGCGATGCAAGTAAAATAGACTCTTATCGCGATAAACCGGTTTGCACTGTTTGCGCGCTATTTTTCCGCCTCGTCACGATGCCATCGCTTCTCTTCCATGGAGCTCATTCGCAGGTTTCGACTACTGGCGATTTCGAGACCGTGGACGAGGCCTTCGTCGCGGAATCCTGCGTGGCATTTCTGGAGTTACGCGCGTCTACAGTCGACGCAGTCCCCCCCCGCCGGGCGGCTCGGGCATCGTGCTTCGGGACTACCAGGAAGAATGCATTCAGTCGGTGCTTAAGTACCTGGACGATGGTCATCGGCGGCTTGGGATTTCGCTGGCTACTGGCGCTGGCAAGACGGTTCGTTTGATCATTCCTTGTTGTAAGGGGTAGGACTCATGGTTGATTCTTGAGTAGGTCATATTCACGCAACTCATCGACCGAATCCCGCCGCGCGATGCCACAGCCACCAAGACCTTGATCATTGCTCATAGACGAGAGCTAGTCGAGCAAGCTGCGAAGCAATGCCGTCTCGCATATCCGGACAAAATCGTGGAGATAGAGATGGGGAATGAAAAGGCGGCAGGCCATGGAGATATCATTATCGCATCCGTGCAGACCCTTTCTCGGGGGCGAATCTACAACTTCGACCCGAGTGCATTCAAGCTGGTCCTCGTGGATGAAGCACATCACATCGTGGCGCGATCCTATCGAGAAGCTTTAGGCCATTTCCGGTTAAACGAGCCGGCCTCGGATGCACCCATTCTTGTGGGCGTGTCTGCCACCTTTTCGCGATTCGATGGACTCAAGCTCGGTGCGGCGATCGACCATATTGTCTATCATAAGGATTACGTGGATATGATAGGGGAGAACTGGCTTGCTGATGCAATCTTCACTACTGTGAAGTCTGAAGCAGACCTCTCTAAGGTCAAAAAGGATCAGTTCGGGGACTTTTCTCTCAGCTCCCTTTCCGAAGCTGTCAACAAAAGGACCATTAATGATGTGACCGTCCGTGCCTGGATGGCTAATGCGAAGGATCGCAAGTCGACTTTGGTGTTCTGCGTGGACATCAAGCACGCCATGCAACTTACGGAAACATTTCGGGCACATGGCGTTGATGCGCGGTATATTACAGCTTCCACACCCCCAAAAGTCCGTGCCGAACAGCTTGAGGCATTCCGAAATCAAGAATTCCCAGTCCTTCTGAACTGTGGTCTCTTCACGGAAGGTACAGACATTCCGAATATTGACTGCGTTCTTCTGGCGAGACCTACCAAGTCTAGGAATCTGCTCGTGCAGATGATTGGACGAGGGCTACGCTTGCATCCTGGGAAACAGAATTGCCATATCATCGATATGGTTGCTTCGCTAGCAACGGGCGTTCTCTCCACGCCAACTCTGTTTGGGCTTCACCCAGACGAGATCCTCACCGAATGCACCGTGAAAGAATTACGAGAAGGGAGACAAGGACAGCCTGAAATGGAAGCTCCTGAACTGCCAGACAAAATGGAGGACTGGGATCAAGATGTCGACCTTACATTTACTACTTACGACAGTGTCTACGATCTCTTGAATGATTCCCGATCTGAACGGCACATCCGTTCCTTGAGCCCACACTGTTGGGTCCGAGTAGAAGACAAAAAGTATCTGCTGTCCGATTCATCGGGATGGTTAACCATTGAACGTCAAGACAAGGAATTCGTCGTTCGGCACGTTATGAAATTCCACGACCCGGTGACTGAAAATCCAACGTTCACCCGCCCACGCGTGATTGCCACGGGGGAAGACTTCGAAACAACTGTGCGGGCAGCAGACACCTATGCAAATGAGAAATTCAACCAACGCAACATTTCAAATTGGATGCCTTGGAGACGAGCGCCAGCCACCTCCGCGCAGATCTCACTGCTGAACAAAGCTAAGATTCGGAACGCAAAGCTGATGAGTGGTGATTTGACCCGCGGCCAAGCAGCTGATATCATCACCAAGCTCAAGTTTGGTGGCAAAGGACGGTACAAGGCAACGGAAAGCAAACAGAAGAAGTTGAAAAGGAAACAAGATGCTATCGACGAATTTCAGGAGCTACAGAAAAGAACCCATGTTAGCGTTGGTCCGCTGGAAGCTTGAATTGAACTTTTCGAGGACAATTTTTCAAGATCGTTGGGGGTGGTTCCATAGGGGAAAGCTCTTTATCGGCAGAAATACGGCTCTCTTGCTGGATATAATTGAATTAACTCTACTTCAGGAAGACATGTATTCACTGGTAACAAGTCCACAGGGTTGATCAAGACACGATAACCAGATACCTGGACTCCAAGATAACTTATATGAACCGTGTGTTGCATTCTGCTTCCTACTAACCAATGCGATACGAGTAGGAGCCGTCGTCGCTTCCGGCCCAAGCACTTTCGAGGATCCTGGGATTTCCTGCTTGAGCTTAGCGAATCTCGTGGAAGTCCTTTACCAGCGAGAAAGTTGGATCGCCGTATGCATGGAATTTTCTCTAATATATCTTTCTTTTTCTTTTATTATTTCTACGAGGGTTTCCATACTTCGACATCATAAATTACAGAGCCAGTACGGACAAAGTGTTTGTCCGAGGCTTCGAAGCTAAGCCCGTTTGGTCCATGGGCTTTGTAAGACAGCACTCGCGGGCTTGGAGGCATTTAAAGCCTCATATCTGCGATGAATCAGAGGCGAATATGGTGGGCGAGAACGGGCGACAGGTTCTTGTGTGCATAAATTGTAAATTACGCAAGAAAAAGTGCGACAAGGTTCAGCCGCAATGTGGTTATTGCACCCGGTGAGGCCCGCCATACCCTTGGAGGTATTCGTCCGTAGACTAATAAGGATCCTAGAAAGAAGCTGGCCTGTCGATATCAGTCGTCGACAGATGCGCCCTTGAATGTCGTGCAAAGACCTGATCCGACTGCGTCAAGTCCTCTGATCCAGTCATCTCTTCTTCTTTCATCGACTCTGTCCGAGGTCCTAGCGTCTGAGCCCAAGACTACTGATTCTATGGTGTATCTTCAGGTCTTGCGGATCATCCGAGCAACGGGTCAATATGTGGATGATGTGACGGCACGGTATTTCCGTGGGATTCACAGTTTCGTCCTCGTCATTTCCCGGCCTCGTTTCTACGATCAGCTTATCAAGTCGGAGGCTCCTCCCCCGGGCTTTTCGATCCTCCTGCTGAGCATGTGCCTGATCACTGACCACGTTGATCTGAGACCAAGAGACGCTGGTACTATCGACCAAGAAACCCTGTACTTGGCGACAAAGACCCTTTTTGCCCACGTACAGGCTTCCTCTTCCCCGTCGTTGCACCTGATTCAGGCTGGGATCATCGTTGCTTCATACGAGTATTCAAGCGAGAGGCTACAAGAAGCGTTCGCAACGGTCGCTGTATGCGCCAGGCTGGGATACGCTATCGGACTCAACAAAGCAAAACCAGCTAGAGGAATGGATCAATCCAGCTATCAACAGGCAGAAGAAGAAGCGAATACCTGGTGGGGGATTCTCATCACAGAGAGGTAAAGCATGAAAGTTGGCCAGCTGCGAGGATCCTCGCCAGAAAAATCAACCTAACAGCACTTGTAGGACCGTTCTATGTGAGCTGTCCGACTTCACGATCCCGCTCTCAACCAGCATGCCCAGTGCAGACGCCCAGCTCCCCTCCGATCCCAGCACCACCGACGTTGACATCAACTTGATCTTCCCATCTAACCTAAGCCCGGACAAGGACAGCCTTTAGACGACGCAGGCGGGTTTGCGTGCGTCGCACAAGGAGCCTTGCTCTTGGACCAAGTCATCAGTGCGTTCCAGATTGCCGATGCCGATGCCCGGCTCAATCGATTGAACGGGCTCCACCACGCCCTGAGAACCGTTCTTGGAACGGTCTTGGAGCAGTCCAACCACGCCATGGGGGCGTACTGTACGGCAAATAGCCTCCTTATCCGGTGTGTAACTTTGATTCTTAAAACACCGGCTGATATAGCCTGCTAATGAGCCCCAGAACCATGTACCTCCTGCACTGGCACATCCTGCACCACGCGTCTCGGATGACTACTTTCAAGTATAAATCACAAGAAGAATGGTGTCGGAGCTCGAGTGCGGCTCTGGATACGGCGACTAAGATGGTCGAGGATATTGCGGTCAGCCAGAATATCTACTCGTTCCATATGATGGATGGGCTGCCTTCCAGTTGTCGGTACCTTCTCCGAGCGGCCATAGAGCATATTGACCGGGAGTATGCCGATGCGGATGCGGGGATCTGGAACCGCGGGCAGATTCAGACTTCACTGCATAAGTTTGATTATCGCTGGGGAAGGTGATAGGATTTGTAGTCCTTCACAACCTCAAGTCGAAACTGGGTTCCCGTGGCTACGAGTAGTAGTTTGTCAAGGGGGAGAACCCAGGCTTACAAGGCTGGCAGAATAGTGTCCCAGTGATGGAATAGCAAAGGAATCACAGACATGGTAAACACCGAAGAGGATTCTGATGAGAGCCTGAGACTGGCGAGAGGGGGGAAAGGACGGGCGCCATTACAATCCTCTCATGGGTGGTGCAGTTGGGGAACGCCTTAACGAGGACCATCTGGCTCGTATTGAGAAGTCGATCTAGTCCAGTATTTCTAGTGCACCGGCCAAGAAGAGCCAGGAAGGAAGGGAGGGGTAGCTGGGCGTGCTCATAGACACTCATAGACAAGCAGGATGATATACTCTTATACCCTCGATTGGGGAGTCGGACCGTGGACGCCTACGTAGATGAATAAATTCGAAGTAATGATGGGAACAATGGTGGAACAATAAGAAATGTAATTTTGTTCTTAGCGACTACTATGAAATTCATCAAATGTCATAAACTCCATGATAAACAGTGCTCTAATGGTGTCATTCCGGTAGACGTCAACTCCTTACAAGTCATCCTCATCAGAGAAGACCTCCTCACCACGCTTGCGGCGGGCAGCACGCTCCTTCTTCTTCTTGCGCAGCTCAGATCCTGTAGCGATAGATTAGTAACTGTTGCCCGGGGATACCGATGCAGAAGGGAAGACTTACCAGTGAGCTTCTTCTTCTTCTCGACGACGATCTTGTTACCCATGGCATCGAACTTATCCTCCTCGTCGTCAGCCTTGGCGTCAAGGCGGGGGCCGGAACCTTGACCCTGGACCCAGTTGTGTCCTGAGGGAGACATGAGACCGTTGTTGACGGCCCAGACTTCCTCAGTGAGGTTCTCAGTGAACTCACGAGAGTGAGTAATGATGATAACACCACCCTCGAAAGACTTGATGGCCTTGGAGAGGGCACCCAGAGAGTCACGGTCCAGGTAGTTGGTAGGCTCGTCCAGGACGATGACGTGGGGACGTTGCCAGGAGCAAGCGGCAAGGACGACCTTGACACGCTGGCCACCGGAGAGACCACGCATACGCGAGTGAGAAACAAGCTCGGCATCGAGACCGAAGTTGGCGCAGTGCTGCTCGATCTCCTTACGGACCAAAGGACGGAACTGACCGGAGGCGAGGGCCTCCTTCTGGTCAACCTCGGCGACCTGCTTGGAGTGGGACTCCATGATCTCGGAACGGGGCACCCAGGTGTTGTCGGCGCTCATGAGAGGAGTCCACTTCTCGGACTTCATGCCGATGTTCTCACCCAGAGCCCATGAGACTTCGTACTCGTAGGTGTTCTTGAACTTACGACGAGAGTGGACGCCGATGACACGACGAAGGGTACCATCGACCTTGTAGATCTTGTCCATGGCCTTCTCGTCGGCCTCGGTGACGATCTTGTTGGCACGGTCCATGGTCTCACGGTCCTCACCGGTCTGGAAACGCCATTGGATGTACTCGGAGGGAGTGGAGTCAAGGTGGTGGTCGATGTGGGCGAAAGCGTGCTGCTTAATGTAGGCGATACGGATGTTCTCGTGCTGGTAGACATCACCGCTGGTGGGGATCAGCTCACCAGTAAGGACGTTGACCAGGGTAGACTTTCCGGCACCGTTGGGGCCAATGACGGCAATACGGGAACCGAGGGAAACTTGGAAAGTAATGTCCCGAATCTGGGGCTTAGGAGTGTTGGGGTACTGGAAAGCCATGTTGTTGACACGGATGATGGCCTTGGACTTGGTCTTGACACCCTCGAGGAAACCGGGCTCGGGGAACTTGAACTCCATCTCGGAGGCACCCAGCTCGTAGTAGGAGCGGGCAGAGGGGACCTTCTTGACGAACTCGCTGAGGGAGCCACGGTAACGCTTCAGCTTGAAGCGCTCGTAGTGGATAACGTGCTGGATGACGTGGTCCAAGAAGCGGGAGTCGTGGGAGACCATGATGGAAGTGCAGGGGGAGCTCTTGAGGTAGTTCTCGAGCCACTCAACGTTCTTGACGTCCATGTGGTTGGTGGGCTCATCGAGCAGGAGGATATCGGGGGCCTCGAAGACGGCACGGCACAGAGCCAGCTTCATCTTCCAACCACCAGAGAGGGCACCAATGGGGCCAGAGACCAACTCAGGCAGGAAGCCGAACTCGTTGATCAGCTTGTCAGTGACCTCAGCCTCGTTGGGGTCAAGGCCAACGTCACGCAGCTTCTGGAGGGTCCAGCCGATGACGGTCTTCTCGGTGTCAGCAGCATCGAGGTCGTGCTCGACGTAGACAGTCTTGACCTCGTCCTTCTTGGGGAAACCCTCAAGCTGCTCGTTGTTGATGGCACGCATGAGAGTGGTCTTGCCGGAACCGTTGGGGCCGAGCAGACCGTAACGCTGACCACGCTTCAGGCGAAGGTGAGTCTGGTTGAGAAGGATCTTGGCACCGTAGGCCAGGGAGAAGGTGCAGTTGCAGAGATCCTCACCCTCCTCCTCGTCAGAGTTGACGGCATCATCTTCAGCGGCCTGGGGGGAGGCACGCTTGCGAAGCTCCTCAGCGATGGGCTTGGCGTCCTGCTCGCCGACGATGGCAGTGATGTAGGGAACGGCGTTCTGGACCCAGGTGAGGGCATCGGCGTCCTTCTCGTCAACGAGCTGACCACCGATGGCGGCAACGTAGTTGATGATAGTCTCGTTATCGGCGATACGGTCCTTGTACTTGGCCTGGAGGATGTCCTTCAGGATAGCAGAGACGGTGGAGATGTCACCGGCGGTGGAGACCTCAGGGATCTTACCATCCTTGACATCACCGACACGGGTGAGGGTGTCCAGAGCCTGGCGGGTCTTCTCACGGGCCTCGGGGTCGGCCAGAGTCTCGTAGTTCTTGTTCAGACCCGGCAACATCTTGGGCAAGAAAGGAGCGACGATCTGGGGGTCCTCGACCAGCTTACACATGTTGTCGACAATGACAGCAGACTTACGCTTGATGGCAGTCTCACGCTCGACAAGACCACGGTCAAGCAGGGGAACCATGATAGCGAGGGTAGGGCCAGTGACATCGGTAACGAAAGTGGTAGCACCGAGCAAGTGCACGGTCTCGGGGACGTTCTCGGGCTTGGCGATACACTTGATGAGCTCGGGAATGAAACGCTCAATATCCTTGTTGACAATCAGACCGCAAACCTTCTCCATGGTGGAGTAGGCAGCCTTCTTGATCTCGGACTTGGTGTCCCACATGGCTTCGGAGACAACGGGAATCAACTGAGGGACCTGGTAAGAGAGCTGGGCGGGGGCAGCCTCGACGAGGATGCCAAGGCAGTTGAGGGCGGCCATCTTCTCGGGCCACTTCTGGGCGTTCTGGAGGGAGTCGATGATGATGGGGGTGATGGCCTTGACAGCGTTACCGTTCACAGCCTGGACAATGGCTGCAGCAGCACTCTGGGCGGCCTCCTTGACGGGGACCATCTTGTCACCGACAGCAGCGAGGACAGGGCGCAGAAGGTCGACAAGGTGAGGCTCGACGGCGGGGGAGATGTTGGCGTGCGAGGCAATAGCCCGGATACCCTCCAGAGCACGCTCACGAACGGTAGCATCCTTCTTGTTGGCGAGCTGCTTCTTGAAGGCCTCAGCAGCGGCCTTGGGAAGAGCCTGCTCGGGGATAGGACCGCTGAAGAGGTGGGCAATGTTGCCGGCGGCGGCGTTGACCTCCTCGGGGCTGGTGGAGACGTTGAGGTTCTTGATCAGATCCTCAAGAACAGCAACCGACTGAGCGGTCTCCTTGGCGGAGGTGGCAGGCACCTTGGTCTCGGCGGCAGGCATGTTGGTGGAAATTTTGGCGGAGGATTAGGGTAAGGAAAGGTCTATCGAGGGGTATCTCTTTTTTGGGGAGGTGTGCCGTGTCGGCTGTCACGACACAGCAACGCTCTAAATGATTGAGCGTAAGAAAAACTTTTGTCTTCTGTCCTGAGAACAGAAAGAAAAAACAAAACAAAAGAAGAGGAACAGGACCTCAGAGAGTGATGGAAGGAGAGTAGAAGGAGGGGCGGGCGAAGAGGGGGGGCGAAGATATTTATCCTGTGGCTCGCCCACTTTTCTTTCTTAAGCAAAAAATTTTTTCTGAACCCAAACTCCGTCCCGCACTAAGCCTATCTGGGACGCAGGGGACATCTCTGCCGTCCATGATTGGCCATGGGAGGGGCAGCGCCCGAATCCCAACCATATGATTGGTTGAGGCCCCATAGTGAATAGACAGGCGTAAAATTCACTATTCAGATCCAATAAATCAAAATAAGAGATATTCGGGAAACGAGGGGTGGGGGAGCTAGTAGTCTGTGAACATGGGGCCTAGTGAATCGCAAGTGACTTGATGCTCCAGAACTGGGAGCAATAGTGACTATGTTCTCTACTGGCGATTCCTACACGAGTAGTCCCTTAGGCTCGCCCTCCCTAATGTACTTGGAAGAAGCTCTCATGACTCTCTGCCGAAAATTACCATTCCTACCTAGTGCAGCCTGTATATATTTGAAAGCAACCTCCATCGTCCTAACTACCGAGTCCAGGGAACAACACCATCGCCTGCCCCCATATGCAACCAACTTTGAAATTTGAGTATTTGAGTACATCCATCTCGGAGGTCCCATAGCCGCTGTCAATGGCGGTTTGCCACTGACCCGGTGGCGGATCCGATCCGGGCTTACCAAAGAAGACTTCTCCAATCGCTAGTTAACTAATTCGCGACCAATGCGTTTGGCAATAAAATGAAAAGCAGTTGAGATTTCCCGTTTGGATTAGTGGCTCAGCCCAACCTCGGACGGGTTGGGGGCAACATGATATTGTCAGCAGGGCCAGAAGAAGTACCTGTACCGTGCCATATTAGCGCTAGAAAAAAAAAGGATCTGCATTGACACCTCTCGGGCTGAAGTAACCCTCAGACTCTCAGGGGTTCCCATAGCAGCTGAAACACAGACGATAGAGATTGAGGACGGCTTATCCACCTTATCGAGCACCTCCAGGTTATACGGAGTACAACACCGCCTCTTGCTCACCGCTCCGTGCTTATCGCTTATCGCGATCAAAAAAAAAAAAGATTTTGCACGCCTGAACGTAATTGTCTGTGTCTGACTCGTACTCGCACTGCTTGTATTATTTTCGATACTGCTCTTTGGACCTCTGTAACTATCATAAAATTACGATAGCCCCAAGCCTGGACCGAGTCTTCAGGGCACTACCAGTATCGCTTGCATTATCGCTTATCCCCCGCGAAAACCCGGTGGCGAAAGCCCGGTGGGTCTCTACGAAATTTTATCTACAGGAAAGAAACTTCGATCCAACTTTCTTCAATGGCCATTGTCTCCTCGGAGTCGGGCTCGCCGTGTAGCCTGATCCTACGGCTCCCGGCCATATTTTACTTGAAGGCTCACGGTCACACGGGCCACGAATTCGAAAGCTACCTAGGTTCAGGAGGACAGGCCAGGGGGAAAAGAAAAGTTTACTGATCCGTCCTTTCTTATCCCTCCTGTGCATGTTTGACAAGACGCCACCGTCAAGCTAGAAAATAATCTGCGCCTCATCCTTTGATAGATCCCGACTTCTCGCGCTATGGCTATGAATAGCACCATGAATACAAAAGCCACGTAGTCAAACGGCACCTCAATCGGCCTCTGGAAAAGCCCCTTCAAGGTCTCCAGCCCGGGGAAACGATAAGGCTGGGGGGGAGTCTCCACCCTTGAGGACGCAAGGTGGAATCCGGGGGTAAATATACCCAGAAAGTATTGACCTGTATTGTTACGGAGGTAATTCCAAGAGGGACCTGGTTCAGCTGAGAGCCTTTCCCGCGGCCCCTTGAAGGCTCATGCACCCCTTTCACCCGCGTGTCTGTTACCCTAGCAGCCAATGCTGGTGTGCGAGAACCCCCCCCCTTTTTTTTCATGCCTCCTTGGCGCTCGGGCCTGGGGCTGATGCGCTGGCTGGGAGTGGCTGGAGGGAAGGCCAGGAATTAAACTGAAGGGACCCATTTATGGGCGTCCCCTCGTCTATCCTCGAACCCCCTAGTAGAAAAGTAGTGGATTCAATGCTATTTGGAGACGCAGAGCACGTAGAGAGACCGTACTAGCACGAATATATGTGATGGGCGGGTCTATGAGCTACCGGCAAAATGTGCACAAGCCCCAGACCGTACTGGCCAAAACCCAAGCCTTCTCAGCCCCGTCAGGGTGAGACCGAATCTATGTTGAGCAGGGAAAAATCCACGTCAAACCGATGATGAAGACAATCAAGGCAGAGCATTCGGTGGAATGATTGCCGAAAAATTCAAGGGGATTGAACGTAAAAATATTCATAGCCTCTAGAGTTCCATTGCCTGAGAGCACGTACAAATACATGTAGATTCCATCAAAAGCCCCAGAGGCGTAGCGGCCGAAGCTGCCGACCCCGGGTATGTACGAAAGACTGGGATATTTCTGGAACTTCAAAGTCTTCAGTCATTGGTCTGGGGCATCACGCAGAGCCACAACGCATTGACTTGTAAGATAGGTACCTGGATGTCAGACATGATAGCCACAAGGGGGGCTGTCAACAATTAATGACAAGGGTGTTCGTCCTGGATTCTCTGTACAGAAGTGTAAACGCTCAAAACTCCAAACCCAGATGCGTAATTCGGAAGCATAATGGCAAAAATTGAGAACATAACTAAACTGGAATCTTTTCCTCATGGCTTCTTCTTGAAGTGGCGGCTTCCTGAATCTGTAGGAGACTCGTCACCGTCAATGATCCGCCATAAGCGATAGGGGGAGAAGTTGTTGCCGACTAAATAGATCCCAACAAACCAAGCTGCCAGGAGATTCGCAAGGTGGTGAAGAAGGTAAGCGTAAGTGACGCCGTACACGGCCGAGTAAATGGCAATGGCGAAGAAGATCATGGAGGTAACGTGCTTGAACCTGAAAAAGCGGATTAGCGTTGGAACAGGCATGCGAACCGCAGTCCTGGTGTCGATAAGAACGAACCGAGTAGTGATGCGGGGGATCATAGCACCACTAGTCATCGTCTCGACAAGCACAAGGAAAGGCATGATAGACAAGACATTGTGATGGGACGAGAAGGGCATGAACCAATGCACCACAAGATTATGGGCCCAAACAAGGAGCACCAAAACATTGATGGGCAGGATCCACAACATCAGATTAAGGATGGAATGTGCATAGTTGCCGAAGTTGAGATGGGGCGCAGATCGTGTCTCTTTCACATGCCACTGGGCACGGACGCATGTTGCCAACTGGACGATACAAGCTACCATGTATGCAAACTGGTAGGGATGATGGTAGACACCAGGATAAGTAGGATGACTGTGTTGATGACACGTCGACGAGGTGTAGGAGCGCTGAAAATTGGAAGACCTCCACGATCCTCATGCCGGATGTATCCGGATCTAGTGTGAAAAGCACCATACACCCAAGAGAGGATGTTGACAAGGAGAAGAGCAGCATAGTTAACTAGCACACATGAGCCAACACTGATGACCCCAAAGATTGGCACAAGGAACCAGAAAAAAGCATCCTGAGACCCAAGGAGGAGATCGTTCTTGGTGAAGTCGATCGGAGTCTCCGTGGAGTTACCTCGCCAGTGGAACGGGTCATCGGACTGAGGAAGAGCTTTGGTCGTGGCCAGAGACGTTGCAAGCAGCGACATGGCAACCAATAACAAGGGGAGAGAGGATCGTAAAGCGCGATCCATCCCATCATTGAAAGGAACAAAGTAACCTGTCTCATCGTAGATCTGGAATTGTTTCCGAAGTACGAGTGCTACAACCAAGAGCGGAAATGCAGCAAAGATGGTACGATACCGCATGACAAGTTCTCCGAGACTACTAGCAATGTCAACTTGCAACGAAATATCAACCGTCGACTCAGAGCTGGGATCAGTCCATAGATGGAACGAAACGCCAGCTTGAACAGCTTGTTCTCGGAGCGGAGGGGGCATGAAGGGAGCCACGCCGTGCAAGTTTACATGGACATCGTTGACATTCACGAAAAACTTGGATTCATGAGGATCGGCGATCGACTGCCTCAAGAGCGGGGCGAAAAGCTCCTCCTTCTGAGGGTGCCTTGTGACCTTGAGACGGTAGTCGAGAAGGCTCGAATGCAAGGCCGGAATCTTGATTTCAGTGAGCATAGGTCGGTTAGCTGGCAATCGCATCTTGAGACCAGCACCCAACAAGCTACCTAGCCCAACCTTAGCACGAATCACGGCATCAGAGCTATCGGAGAACTCCGCGACCACGAAGCCTCGCGTAGGCGCATTGGCCTTGTCCACGACAGCTACAAACTGGTGCTCTGCAAGAGCCTCCAAATCGTACTGAAGGTAGGAAAATGGTGGGACGCGGTCGTAAGCAAATCGTGAGGTAGTAGTAGAAGCGGGCAGATGAATCACATCTTCTTCCGCAGTCTTGCATGCCAGCCGGGTCGATCCCACAGTACCACCGGAGAAATCCAGGTTCATCGAAAACGCAGTCGAGCGGCCGTTGCTGAGCGGAAATACGCTACAAAAGAGCACTTCGAGATTTCCGTCTTTGCCGATCAGTTGATCAGTCAAGAGCGTGAACTTTTTGCCCGCGACACCTTGTGGGGGAATGGGTACAAGGCGTACATCCGGGCCATGGCGGTGACCAAGCTCACGTAGAGTCAGTCGTTGGCCCTGTGCAAGGATGGTGTTGGCATTATCTTCAAGAGTCAATAAGGCATTTGGCTCCTTCTGAGACAGCGTACGCTCAGATACGTCCTCTAGTCCGGTCAAATACCATTTCTTCAGTAACCGTACACGCTCAGCTCGGGGTTTGGTTTGAGAGGGGCGGCGGGCGTCAATGATTTCAAACAGTGATTTGATGATCGATTTGCGGAATTGATCACACCATGTGATAGACAAATGGTCGTTACCGATCCATACATCTGGCATAGACGACGTGAACACGGTGAAGCCGTGAGTCTCGGGCACCAGTGACGAGATACTGGTGTAGTCCGAAGGCACCACGGTATCCCGCGAGCCACCAGCAATGGAGACAAGAGTGACATGCCACAGAGGATTGTTGTTCGCCCATGTCTGTGAGTAAGCCTCGCGCCAGTAATCGTTGATCTGCTTGTAGGTATGGACAAGGTCTGAATCGAAGGAGACTGGAGACCGTGCGTGCGGCGTGGACATGGTGATGATCGTATTGACCGAATTAGCCTGGAAATTAGCCATTGTTAGGACAGTACGCGCTACCACGCCACCCATAGAATGGCCAATTAAGATCACCGAGCTCGGATCAGGGAGTGAAGGGTCTCGCCGGGTTCGTCGGGGGTCGTGGTAGAGGGATAGGATGTACGAAATCGCTTCATTCACGTATTCCGCTTGGTCCAACAGGGTCTGGCCATGGAATGCAGCCATATCCTCATTAAAATCCACCATGAAGAAATCCAAGCTGCGCGTCCCGGCCGCGTGTCGCTCCTCGTCGTGTCGAACAACATCGTAGTAGTGTCGGGAGGCCTCCGCAGCCAAAGATCGGACCTGACGGTAGCTTCCAGCATTTCCGGGAAGGAAAAGAACTGGAACGCCGTTCAACTGAAGATCATAAGTACATTGTTCCTTTAATTCGAGCTGCCATACTGGAAGAGCACCTACCCCAATATTGTCCTGCGTGTACGGATCCACGCCCTCCTCCCGGTACAGGAACAAATTGTATTTGCTCGCAAACCGCGTATGCTCCGTATCGAAATCCACCATCTTAATGAAAGTCGGGCTCATCATGGGCACTCCACACCCATCACCATCCCGGCTCCGGCCGGTGAAGGAGCTGACGATCGCCAGTAAGATCGCGACGGCGACACAAGTGGTCACGGCGGTCAGGATAGAGCAGGACCACGGGCTGCGCTGACGGGACTGGCGCGCGCGACGGCCATCGGGCGCGGCAGCCTCCATGGGCAGCCTCGGCGACCCCAATGGCATGGATTTGGTATCGTTGACGGGTTGGGTCGAGGGGTGCGCCAGACGCTCGAGTTCCGGGAGCGCGGCGTGGACGAGCCGTTATCGCGGCGAAGATCGAAGCTGGTACCGTGGCGAGCTATGGACGATTTGTCGTGAGGCGCATCGATAGCAGGGCCATGGTCGTCTGGTCGAGCCGAGGAGTCTTCAGTGTCGTCCGCGACAGGGGAGCCAGACGAACGTCTGTGCATTGGAGGAGGCGGAGTCGAGACTCATCCAGTACAGGGAGACACGTTCTTGGCACAGGGAACTGGCGGAAAGGGAGTTGGAATGCAAGAGGAGGAAGGAGAAAGAGTGTGCTCGGGATCTGGTTGGCCTGTGGGGACTTGGGGGGGACTTAGCGGTCTTTTGAGGGAAAAAAGGAACAGGGAAAAAAAGAGGTTCCTCGGTCCCCTTGGAAGGCTGTGGGGAATATCAAATCCTTGTCATGACTGGTATAATTAATGTAAATTATATGCCCCCCCTGATGAATCAGAAATTCGAAGGCCTTAGGTTCGAATTGTCCTCCTACGCTTATCGAGGTCTTTCATCCCCAAGATCTACGTACATCTAAAAACGGAACCGGTAGGCTTGGCGATGAAACCTGGCAAAAAGAGTAGACCCGCCTGCTCCGTACGTTGGTATAGATTGGGACGATCATGTTAAGATCTCTACGCCAGGCAGTAAAACCCGGGCCAGCCGATATTCTGGAGTTCTCAAGGCAGCCATTTCTTGTGTTCACGTACCTGCAGGACGCGTACGAACCACGGTCGCACTGGAGAGACTCGGCAGATGCATTGTGATGCGACTGGGGGTTGTCACTAGTTGATTCTCAGTGGTTCTCGATGAGACGCTATGGCCTCACTCCGGAAAAGCGCTCGTTTCTATCACCGTATGGTTAATGCCGATGGCGTGACCGAGGCGAATAAATAGCTTATCCAAGCCCAACGAGGAAAAGGATCGGCCAGGTACCTGTGCTTCGTCGGTCGCGAACCCCTTAAGCAATGCGGGGCCTACATCGCTTGAAAAGCCTACTCCTACCCAGGCGCCTTCTATATCCTCTATTTCCACTAGTTCGACCTTAAAAAAGAGATATGACTGTTCCTGCCCATGAAACCTAAGCGACATCGTTTCCCTTCTTGGCCGCTAGCACATAGTTACTTACAAGAATCCTATAACCGGGAAGCGACACCTCAGCCTACATCAGAATACTAGGCGTTCTAACCTAAAATATGGTAGACTTTCAAAATCTGCCATATTCTAGAGATAAATTCTAATCGCCAATCTGATAATAACCAAATAACAATCAGTGCTCAAGATCTCAATAGCCGCCAAGGCTTTAAATCAAGGCACCTCGGAGTCTACATAGCCAACCAGAACTTGAGAGGACTGTGAAGGTGCATCCCTGGGCTAATATCCCAATATCTAGGCCAAAATACTTCTATATCCACACATGAAGTGCAGATGTGCCCAGACACGCCCTATATAATAAATCCTCTAGCTGGAATCCGTGACAACCAGAGGATCGTCTTTTAGTGTAGCTCAAGAAGAACGAAACTTTTGCGTGATCAGATGTGGTCACCCTAGGAGATGTGCTAGCTCCATACAAGTCCAGTAGGGCCAGGAACTTAGTTAGGAGATCGGTTAAATCTTGATCTTGCTCACGGGGTGGCATATACGAAACAGTGAAAGCGGGGCACAGGAATCTTCTGTGCTATCATAACCACTATCAGTAGCTTTTTATGACCAAAGGAGGGTGATATAACGGCTGAGTATATTGATAGTAGGTGTTAATGCCGGTCGAAACCAAGTCGAACGATTGCCGAAGAACCATTTACATGTCTGCAAGGCGATCAGAGGCATCGTTATAGGGCCCGTGTCCTAAAGAACAAGGCGAGAGATCAGCACCTCGAAAATAGCCTGTCAGACAAGGAGACAGTATCCATCCGAGGCTTTTTTACATGGGAGGTTTTAATGGCCACTGTCATGTACTCGGTTGCGTTTGAAAAGCAAAGAGATTACGCAAACTTGTAAGTGCTACCTAGGTTGCCAAAATCATTCGGTGACGAAAAAGAAAGCAGATGGATCTCAGGTCAGCGCTCAGGAAATCTTAACAGAAAGGCTGGCTCTGACATCAGGCTTGACTTGTAAACTCATCTAGATATTGTGGCATTATGCCCAAATTAGAAAACAAACGAACGATATTGTTAGCGCGCGCTAACTGCTATCCATCCCAGCTCATTAGCGCTATTTATTTCCCAGCAATCAATTCAAACCTCATTAAATCACTATTTATTAGATTGTTTCATCAAGCACCTTTGTGGACATGAAGACCCATGTAATCCTCTTGGTAGGCTTTGGCTTCCCTTAGTTTAGGCTCACATACCAACTATGACAAGTTCTCAAGCGCCTCCCACCGAGGTTTCCGCAAGGCCTACTTGGCGGGGTAAGTAGATTGGATTCGAAACGTTTATTAAGGGGCCTGCTATTACCACCTATCATTAAGCGCTGTATAATGTCGGTTGCTGCCTGTAAATAGTAATTGCTTAGCGCCAGGAAGATTTCTGTATTGATCTGCACCTTTACAGGTATAAGGAGAAGACCATACTACTTATACAGCCAACCACCCCTTGTTGAGGATCATAGTTTTTTTCATTGAAATCATCAACAATTGGAACCCAGAATTTCGATCTTGACTTTCAAGAAAGTCTCTACCTCTCATCTCATTTCACCGCAAAATGCCAACCAACGTCGCCATTCTTGTCTATGTTGGCTCACCACTCGACTACACCAAATATCGCCATACTGCCTTGTTCTTTGAGTTTCCCGGCGGATCCACATGCGCAATGCATGTAGAAGGGTCCCCCTGGGTTTTTTGAGTTCCAGCCAATCGAGGGTTACCACCCGGAACAGAGCCGAAGAATTGTCAGGAACATCCCAGTGGCAGTGATACCAGATCACTTTGGCGAAGCTTCTATTAGGGGTGTTGTTTCAAGAACACCCGTCAAAAATGGGCGTGAGAACGCAGACTGGAATTGCCAGAACTGGGTGGGAGATGCTCTCACTCGAATGGTGAGCTGTGGTTATTTGAATGCGTCGCAAAGAGCGTCCGCTATTGACCAAATGATCGATGCGTGCTTGGAAGCTAAAGATGAATGACCTTTCGTCGTTTCTGATGGGAAAGCCATGCCGCTTTTTCTTGTGACTAGAAGGTTTGGTACTGATCCAGTGGAGAGATGAGAATGGATCCCGTTGAGGCGAGGTTAATGTCATTTTTCTATTCTGTTTTTCTTGTCAGCTTAGATGCGCAACAATGTCATTGTACTAGAGCACTTCTTGGAATCCCACCTTTAACTACTTCCAAGTGCACATAAAATTTAATGGCGCATCAGACGAGCCAGGAATGACAACCCTATGTATTCCTTCTCAAATCGGGGAGGAAGAATTCGAGCCAAATACTCGGGCCAGTCTGGCATCGGCTTCAGTTCTCGAAGCGCTTGAACGTATTCCCAATGTTCTGGATACCAGCCCGCATATTCCCAGTCAACAATAGCCATCACACGGCCTCCCTCGACGATGATGTTCCGGGGAGCAAAATCGGCATGAGTAAAGACGATCTGATGGTGATCTGAAAGTGCAAATTTGGCGTAATGCCGCAATAAATCAGGCACAGACTTGATCATATCCCCCAGGATAAACTCGTTGAATTGCTGCTCGGAATCAAAAGGGCCACCTTCAATAGAAGCAATTTGACCAATAATAGCTTGGCCGCGGTTGATTGCTCCAATATAATCCCCTTTCAAAGCACGGAGTTGCTCCATATAGGAATGGAGTTCATTCGCAATAGAGAGTTTCTGATGCGAGTCTAATTCGTCCCAAGCTTCATCAAGCCGCTTGCCTGGTATGTAATCCATCACAATAGCCACGACTTTGTCTCCGTCGTAATGAACGTCATGAATTTTCGGTACAGGAATCGTCGTTGCCGTCGCTATGAACTGGAGGGTTGGTGCCTCGTGAGATCGAAGATGGCCGGTTTTCACAACAACGTTATCATATCGAGTAATCGTGCGACCATAAAATGAATGGAGGGTAATGCCTTCCTTTTCGCTGAAGCTTTCCATTATTGGGGGTTTTCGCTCTTTTCCCGTTTGAAGAACATCAAGTTGCGGCAAATTGAAGCTGATGATAAATCACCGAAGGAATGTAGAGAGAAAGGAGGGCCGCTGGGCAGATTTCCAAGTCCTTAAAACAGGCAAAACAGGGGAGGGGTTAAGCAACTACCGTAGCGGCGCCGCGCTGGCCACGTGATGAATTATTGACCCCCTCGACAGCAATCGGCTTCAACCCCATTAAACTGATTCCAAACACGTGACTCCTGAGAGCCAATGTGGATGTGGCTCGAGAAGCCAAGCATTAAGCTAACAACGGTCGTTCCTTTAAAGCCGGGGCCTCGGAGCTGATCGTCGAATCGATACCGTCCTGCACTAGCAACCTTGAAATGTGTATACGTGGTGCAATATGTAGAAGCTACTCCAGGTACAGCCTAGATCTACTGCCGACTCTAAAGCCGATTAAGCAGCCTACTTCTACCGTGGGCCGAAGCCAGTCTATGTGGGGCAGGGGACAGTATTGCTGGCCGGTCTTGGATGAAATTGTGTTGATGCCGATTCTTTTTACATCATCTCAGAGCCCCCGCGCCTCAAGTGCGTGGCATAAAGACTTATGGAAACTCGCTACATGTTCCGGAGACAGCATGGTATAGTGCGCTCCGTCGACATCGTGGAACCTCACTTCGGACCGCGAGAAGTCTCTCCATTTACGCAGATGATCATCTAACCACTGCTGCTTGGATGCCGCGACAGCCTGCAGTGGAATACAGTAAAAGCAGTCGAGCGAGGCTACTGACCCGGACGGTTCATAGTCAACAGCCATTCCTTGAAGTGCCGTTGCTAGACAAGCCCATTTGGACAACGCGTCTTTCGAAAGTGCCAGCTCAGCTACGCGGTCCGGGTTGCTCTTGCTGAGAACAACATCTAGCACCTGTTCTTTCGGCTGGCCTTCAAGCTCTTTGGCCAATTGTCGCGCATAGTCTTCGCTCATCAAGTCCAGGAAATATGACAAATGGAGAAGGCACTCCTTGAAGTCAAGCTGGCGCATGCGAGTTTTGATGTGGGGTGGAAGATTGAGAGATCCGAGAAACCCTACAGTATCTCCTTGAGCTTCGAAAATCTTGCTCACCTCGAAAGCAAGCATCGCGCCGTAGGAGTAGCCGGCGATCGCGTAAGGTCCACTGGGTTGTTTTTGCTTGATTGCAGCATGGTATGTGCTAACAGTTTCCTCTATGTTTGAGAATGGAGCGTCGTTATCGTTGAATCCACGCGCACGCAAGGCGAAGACCGGTCGGTCCTTGATCAGGTTGGCGAGATTCAAGAAGACAAGAACTTCCCCGACGCCTGGGTGCACAAGCCAGAGTGGAGTCTTTGTGCCTGTGCTTTGCAAGGTGACCACAGGGTCATATACACGTTGAGCTTTCATGTCATCCAGTGCATCTCTAAGGGCTCGGACACTTTGGTTCAGTAGGAGAGTAGCGATAGGAATCTCCTTATCAAGGTTCAAATGCGCTTCGAGATCTTTCTTCAGCTTAATGAGCTCGATCGATGTGATCCCAAGGTCGAATATCGGAGTATGTACATGGATGGGGTCGTCGATACCGAAGGATTCCTGGAATATTGCCAGGAGATTCCTCTCAACGTCGTCTCGCGGACCTTCCCCGTTCATGTTCCGCGAGCTTTTGACTGTTTCATTGTTCAGATCCTCGTAGGCTTTGTAGTCTCCATTTTCATAGCATTTCTTGATTCTTGCTCGAGACAGTTTGCCTAGCGCTGACTTTTGAAGCAAGGATTTAGTCAATGGGATGACTGGGGCCGAGCCCCGGTAAGCACAATGACAAGCCTAGATATTGCATCAGAGGTTTTCACTGAAAGTTGGGAGTCGTCGCTGGGGAAAGTTGGCAGGTAGACGATGCAGATCTCTTCGGTGTCTCTACCCGGAGGCAATGTAGAAAAGCAACAATTGAAGCTAGGCGTGAGACCGGGTATTTGCGATGAATCGAGTGCAGTCTCAATGGTGAACGGATCGTGTTTCACACCATTGACAATGATAGTATCCTTCGTCCTGCCCATCAAATTGAGAAACCCATTCTTATCGATGAAGCCTTCGTCGCCAGTCTTGAACCAGCCATCGCTTGTGAAGCTCTGCGCTGTCGCCGAAGGGTCATTGAGATACTCTTTGAACACCGCTGGGCCTGAGACTTCCAAGTATCCCACCTCTCCCGTGGGCATGCGGGTGTTTGAATCGGTGCTGCTAGTAATTCTCATCTGGATGCCTGGCATGCAAACACCAAGCGACGCATATTCAAGCTGCCACTCTCGGTCGTACCTGGGGCACATCGTGTTGAAGATCGAACCGGCACACGTTTCCGTCATACCGAAGCCAGGAACGATAACGTTCTCGGGGGCACCATATTGAGTTAAAAAAGCCGACAATTCGTCGCATGTCTGCGTCACATTCGCTTCTCCGCCGGAGTTGATACAATATAAGCAGCTGAAGATCCCACTGCGTGGGACTATCTGAGCTTGATTTCAATGCTGTTCGGAGCTTCGCCAAAAAGAAGTTTGGTGCAAAAGTCCGCGCAACCCGATGGGCGCAGATCAAATCGAGAAAAGACGTTGGGGACGCCAATATATCTGCCCCCTGAACGTGAACTTGGTCGCCGCGGGCATATATCGCCAAAATATGAATCTCGATCAGCGAGGCGACGTGATCGAGACTGATCCAGTTCATGAAACACTTCTTATACAAGGGAGCGATCGCCATTTTGCCAGCAATCGCTGCCAGAATCTGGCCATGGCTTAGGCACACGAGTTTGGAATTCCCGGTGCTTCCCGATGTTAGCAAAATTATTGCTGTATCGGACAGCCCAGGCTTGGTCGCAATCTGCTTGATGGGTTGAGCATGGGCGACATCCAAGGTCTCGATGGCGATGGTGTTTGTGAATATCTCTTGACCGAGTGCCGCTTGAAGCTTTGCCCTTGTTAGACATATGGAGCTTTTCATCGTACTGTTGAGGTGGCGCAAATGCGCTATTCTTTGAGGCTCGCTATTGGGAAGCGAGATCCCCATGACCGGTACATAACCGGCAAACAAAACTGCCCAGAGCCAGAGAATGCGATCCCAATGCGCATCGAAGTGAAGAAGAATCGGCGAGCCCTGGTTTGTCGAGCCAGAGACTTTGGACCGAAGAGCCCAGCTTGCACGTTGTGCTTGTTGTAACAAATCTTGATAAGAGAACGAAATTGGCTTGTCCGTGTCCCTGCCTCCCGGTGGGTAACATTTAATTTGGCCGCTTTGACTGTCACTGGCAGCATCTTCAAGTAGTTCCAGGATGTTGTTGAAAGACATCAGGGCAGCTTGTGATTTACTCAAGTGTACAATGGAGCTGTGCCTCCCTTTGCCGGTTGATATGCGGGCACAACTCTACATGCTGGGGGTCAATTTATTTGAATATTAGAGAAATGCGTTGTCAGAAGCACTATCACGAGAAGAACGGTGTAGTACGAAAGGAAGAATTCGGGGTATGCGGACTTGATTGCCTGCGTCCTGTCCATGTGGATCTATTCTACGGTGTGATCGAAGGACTCAGACACACATTCTCAAGTCTTACGTCAGTCCAGAGAACATCATTCGAGCCAGACACAACGTATGGAGGCACAGCAGGGTGACTGGCGCCTTGGAAGAACCGAAGACAACGAGTGCAGGACAGATACACATTGGAAGGAGAAGCGCGTCAGACCATTTTGAAACGTGTTTGGTTCCACCAACGCCTTACTGGAAGAAAAATGATTGGCTTTCCCCTAGAACACCTAGTAATCTCATTGCTCGTATGACATGACAGTCAGCGTCATAGTCATCAGCTATATTATGCTACTGCAGCTGGTCATATAAAATGGTTCTTATCGAGCCGTATTGGTCGGTGAAGAGCCCAGACAACAGCGAAAAATGGCCCCACAGATGAGCTTCATTGGCTTGGGCCAAATGGGCATGGTACATTTGAATATCTGCATTGTGCCCCTTATGACTCCACTGACTAAGAAACGACCTCCCAGGCCATATCGGAGAATATTTTCCACGACGGCAAAATCCAGAAGCCGCTTGTTCTCTACAACCGCACCACGGCAAAGGCGCACGAACACAGCGAGAGACTTGGAGGTTGCGAGGTTGCAGATTCCATTGCTGCAGCAGTCGCCCCGGCAGATATTGTCTGGCTCTGCCTTCAAGACCGAGATGCTGTCGAGGAGGTCTTCGCGGAGATCCTTCTCACTCCGATCAAAGGAAAGCTGTTTGTTGACAGTTCTACCATCTCCCCCGAGGCGACAAACTCTATTGCGGAGCGAGCTTTTCGTGAAGGAGGCGAGTTTGTGGCATTGCCTGGTACACAGTCAGATTATTCCACTGGGAATAGAGGTTGCGAGGCTGACTGTCTGTCTTTAAGTGATGGGTGCTCCTCCATTGGCTGTGAAACGATCGTTGATATGTATCGCAAGCGGAAAGCCTGAGTCCGTGGATCGGATACGGCCGTTTCTCGAAGGAGTGTAAGTTTTTATCCCTGTTTAAGCGTGGGATAATCTATTCTAAAAGTGGATGATGCATAGTATCTGCCGCCACGTCATTGATCTGAGCGGCGAAGCCCCAGGGACTGCCGAACTTCTCAAACTAATGGGGAACTTCTTGATTATGGCAACTATCGAGACAGTTGCCGAGGTAAACGTATTTGCAGAGAAGTGTAAAATTGGCACTGCAAACATGAACAAGCTGCTTTCAGCTATGTTTCCAGAGCCACCACATGCCTTATATAACCGTCAGATGCTCACTGGCGAGTATTGCTCCGGCAACGCAATAGTCGGAGCCTCCAAAGCCTTGCAACTGGCCAGCGAGGTCATGGGTCTAGCCAACGAGTGCGGTGCATCTGTGAAAATCTATGAGACTGCGGTCGAGAATTTGAAAGCCGCCGAGGCTCATGCTGGCCCTGATGTGGACATCACAGGGATTTATGGGGCCGTACGACTGCAGAGTGGGCTTCCATTTGAAAATAGACTGAAGGAGAGTCAATGAACGAGCAATCTCTAAGTATGACAAACTGTCTCAGATTGAGTAAGCTAGGGAATCTTTTCCACTGAGCTTTGTATGTAGTAGTCCCTAAAAGGCCGGGGAAAAGAGTGGGAGAAGTTCAAGTTCAGGTCGATGATCATAAATAGAACCTTAAAATACATTTCATTTTAAGTTCTTCACCTGTCCTTTACCAGATTACTCGTGGTGGCTTTGCAACAGAAGACGACGATAAGAAGGAATGAGACAGCGACTCAATTTAGGACCTGAAGCTGTAACACAGTCCTGACTTATTGCGAGGTCGTGCAAAGAGTGTCGTGGATTGGCTGCGATGATCCCTGACCAGCTTCACCTTAGGTACTAGTACTACATCTATTCCGTGACTACTGTAGAGATCCCATCCATTTGATCATGCCTTGGTTGAGCCGTAGATAGACTGTGTACAGAGAAATTCACCCCTCCATTCCATTTCCACCATCCATGGACCTTTCCGCGACTATGACTCCCTGATATGCGTCGAGGCCATAGTATTTAATGTCCGTCACTTGTAGTCCCGTAGAGGAAAGAAGCTCTATCCAATGTCCTCGGGTCCTTCCCTGTGATCCCAAGTTTGCCATCATCTGTAGATCAAGCCCTGTTGATTGCCAATTTATATCTCTGTCTGGCAAGATCATTTCTTCAATGAGGATCATTGAACGAGGACCCATAGATGCAAGCGTATTCTGCAGTATGACTTTGCATTTCGCATCAGGAAAATCATGAAGCACACCTCGGAAGTAATAAAAACAGGCCCCTGTAGCAGATTCGCCGGGTCAGCTTTCATCCCAGGTTGCCTTCTTGTGTCTGACAAGCTTACCGCGAACGGGCTGCGGAGTAAAGATATCATAGTTCATTTTCGTCACCCCTGTTATGGACTCTGCACTTGCCATGACCTGAGGAAGATCCTGCAAAATCATCTCACCAGGAACGTCGGGAAGCTCCGCTCGAATGCGTCGGGACTGATGGCCGTTGCCCCCTCCGACATCGACAAAGAGTACCTCCCCAGGAACAGGATGCTTGCTTCGGATGAGGGAGCAAAGAGTGTCCCAATTTGTTATCAGGTTTCTTTGCAGTTCCATGTGCGTATTGAAAAGGGCTTGTTTTTGCGGGAAGGTCTCAAAATAAGCAAACATGTCCCCATCGAATCCGTATGCATCTTGCAGAGGGAGCTCTGAGGGGTTTGTCGGGTTCACATAGCCGGTTCTCTCAAGAAACTTTGGTAGCTCGTAGAAGACGGGGGAAACAAGCTCATAGTAAACACGGACGTAGCTTTCTCCCTTTGGTGAGGCCAAGACTTTCGTGATGTTATTAGCAGCGAAAGTGTCGACATCAACCTCCGTAAGCATCGAGACGCTGGCCCAGTAGCGCAGCAGCCGCCCTATCAAAGTTAGAATGAGACATGCAACTCACAGTTGAAGCATACCGAGTAGTAATGGGTCGGCTTGGGTTTCATGAGCCAGTGTTTCTAGGCCAGTAGATGATTCAACAGCTGCGAGTCGTCGGAATATATGGAGGTCGACGCCGATCTTTGCTGCAAACAACTGCAGAGGCTATGATGTCCCATTAATGAACAGTCTTTGAGTCAGAAGCGTATAGTTCGATACCGCGAAGGCAATCCTCTCTACAGTGTCTTCAGAATCTTCCAAGGATATGCTCAATTTGCGCAGGCTCTCGGTAATCGCCCGGCGGGTTTGTTCATCCACGCCCTCTGCTATCGCTTTGATTTGATCGAGTAAGTTTTCCATGATCTCTCGCTGATGACCTATCGAGGAATGTAAATAGCGAAAGCCAATAGCACAAGACTGTTAAGATAAAGATGCTAAGGGGAGGAAACCAAAAATCCGGGACAATCCTACTGTCTAAATACAGACCGAAGGAATCCCCTTAATCTCCTCCTGAAAATTGCGCAACCTCGCAATGCAAGCGTCCAACACTAAAAACTCCGCACCTGTGCAGTTAGGTCAACTTCGGCATATACACATAACAGCCTCAAGTGACCAGCCCGATGCACCATCGCATTATCTCAGCCATTAGGATCTATCGCAACACTCAGCGTGTATTGGTAAGGGATGACCATGAGAGCGTCATGGTAACAGAGTCTGTTGATTGCAGACAACATGATGAAGACTCGTAAAGACCTCCCGGAGTCTGAGTAGAGAGGTAATGGCTTCACTTGGACACCACGGTTTATCTGCCTCAAGAATAATCTCTCAGGCGGAACACCCAATCATATAATGCTGACTATGCACTATCATATTCTAGACAGATATTGTGTTACTGTCATTTCAAGAAAACGGCCAAATGGTACGGTCCATGTAACGCAAGCGAGAAAGTGATTAGGAATCAAGTTCTCTCCAACCAGCGCACGGTTTCACAACCGGTCCGGATTGCATGTAGAGTGTCTAAGCACTATACTTGGTTTAGGATGGACATTTTCGTTTTCACGGTCATCAACCTTTGGAATCGCCTTCGCGGCTTGGTCAGCTTACTACTTGGAGCCCTGGAGCGCTGCATATAATCCTGTGAGACGGAGTAATGTCTTTCGTATAACCCGAGCGGTCTGCAGAGAGAATCTCGAATCGCCAACCACAAGGGGATATGCTGTAAGCTATGCACTCTGCTATACGGCCGTACTCCCCTTGATGGTGCCAGCTCCATGATAATATATGATAGGGATCGGAAGTCTTTCTTTGCAAATTATCGCGATGACCATGGGAAACCCTTCCATAGTGACCCCCAAGGAGGCTGTCTTTCGGCTATACCAACAGGCGCTTGCGAATGCATTGCCAGACTACAGCATAGACACCTCAGCCCAGCAATCGCCGCCCCAACCCGACGAAAGATATGATGTTGTCATTGCCGGCGTAAGTACGCAAGACTGTTTTCCCGCATGAGAACTATTGATTGAACTGAGGCCTAGGCAGGGCCGGCTGGTCTAATGCTGTCGCTTCTCCTTGCCCGCCTTGGCTTACGATCCCCCGGATCTATTCTATGTGTCGATCCTCGCGAAACACCCCTCTCCTGTGGCCGTGCGGATGGTCTCGTTGCGCGGACTCTGGAGACTTTCAAAGAACTCGGAATTTACCAACAGGTCCTCGATGTTGGCAAGAGCAGAGTGAAACTGTCCTATGGGCTGACTCACCTGGCTCGCCTCACATCCAGAGAGTCATGCGCCGCAGCCTTGCCGGAGACATGCCACTAAGCCGAGTTCCTCATGCTGCATCATCTCCTCAGGGTCAGATCGAGCGTATCCTTGATCGCGAACTCACGCGCTACGGGGTCGATGCACTCGAGCGTGGGAGCAAGGTTGTCAATGTGACGCTTGACAAGGAAAGCATCTCCAGCCATCCTGTTGCCGTGACCATCATGGATAAAGAAGGAAAGAATCGAGTCGTCAAAGCTCGTTTCGTGGTTGGGGCGGATGGCGCACATTCCACTGTGCGAAAAACACTAGGTATCCCGATGGTTGGAGACTCGAGCAACACTTCTTGGACAGTGATTGATCTTATACCCCAAACCACCTTCCCTGACATCCGGCGCATGGGAACTGTCCATTCATCACGAGGCAGTATCATGTATTTTCCTCGTGAGCAAACTTGCGAGGGCTACTGGCCCTGTCGCTTTTACGTCGATACACGACATATCAAGAACGGAGGCACCGAGGTAGATGAAAATTACAAGGAAGAAGACCAGTCTGTAATGACAGCACAATGTATCGTGGATCAAATCGACAGAGTATTCGCTCCATACGAACTCCGTGTGAAGCCGGGTACCAAGATCGAATGGATGAGCACATATGAAGTTGGGCAACGCGTTGCAGAACAGTTTGCTGTTTATGACTCGGATGGCCTCGCGCGTGTCTTTCTTGTCGGTGATGCCTGCCACACCCATAGCCCAAAGCTGGGTCAAGGGATGAATGTGAGCATCGCGGATTCCTATAATCTCGCTTGGAAATTAGCCCATGCAATCCTAGGAATCAGCAGTCACGCCAAAGCGCTTTTAGAGACATACGCAAGTGAGCGCCGCTCTGTGGCGCTGCAGTTACTTGAGATAGACAAGAACTGGTATCATTTCGAATACGCCGTGCGCGATGCCGAGAGACACGATGATTATCAGCAAGATCGTGCGGAGCTCTTGAGGCAATATGGAGGCTTTTTGAGTGGCCAGGGCATAAAGTATCCAGATGGCTATCTCACGAAACCAATCGCTGGCAATTGGGCTGTTCGTACGGGCTGTCGCTTGCCGGCGAGCTCAGTCCAGCGCTTCGCAGACAGTGTGAATTTCAATTTACTAGACCAAGTGGTGCCAGATGGCCGCTGGAAGGTGCTTTTGTTCACAAGCGTCGATCTACTCCTTAAAGAGAATCGCTCGACCAAAGCGCTGGATTCGCTGTTCAGGGACGTGGTCCCTTTACTTCTTCCTGACACACTACGGGGTATTATTGTAACCCCCGAAATGGTCAGCACTGTTGAGAAATCAGGCACAGGAATCTCGGTAAGAGATATCCAGTGGTCGGCTTTCCCTGAATGTGTGAGAGAAGAAGCAGAGATGGACACATTCATTGGCTCCCAGGATACATACAGCTTGTACGGAATCGATCAGCAGAGAGGCGCCGTTATAATTGTCAGGCCAGATGGTTATGTCAGTCTCATATCAGAGCTAGAGGATCTTTTCCAGCAAGACAGGCTTTTCGCGAATTTGGCATCGCTGATAAAGTCTGCGTGAAGAGAGGAGCCTGAGAATCCCCTCTCCGTTGGGCTGAGTGTTACTAGATCAGAGATAGATTATGAAATGTCTCCCATTTTATGCCAGTCGAGGAAGAATTGTAATTGGTACTAGCGACTTGACTTCTAGGGCTAGATATCAGATCTCTCAGTAATGAGTTACCTATAAGTGACCGGCTCGGATATTATCCCTTCTAGGCCTTCCATTCCCCTCCTCGCCATCTTCGACCACTTAAACATTACTTATGCAGAGGCCAAAGCTTGAATTACTGAATATTGCGATGCGGCGTCACTCGAAGCCGGCCAAGTTGATCTTAGTCACGGGGACACGATGCTTTGTAGTATAGAGCTGCTTTTCCCCTATACTAGCTGCCAGACATGCGTGTCATTTTTGGCCATTTAAACTCGGCGAATACGCGTTATCCTCACTCGGAGGGCTTTGTTTTACGTTGATTGTAGAAGAAAATACAACCAGCTAGATGCCTGGTGGTGGGTTACAAGTACTGGGGAAATGTGCTTCGCAGGGAAGTTGCCAGCCCTGCATAACATATGTCGTGAATTGCTTGAGTATATATAGTTCGTCGATAACACATTACCAGCACGGGTATTACGGTGCACAGAATCAAAGAAGAGCCTCCTACTTCTCCTCATGTGCCGCTACCGCCTTTTCCACATCATTGAAATGATTGCCCGCGACTTCTGCCAAGTCAGAGTCATGCTCAGCATCAAAGTTGCGGCCAAGGTTCTCGGGCCCAGCAAGAGTAACCAGGATTGTGTAAGCATAAACACAGCCCATGAAAATGCAAATAACCTTGCCGTAGTCATAGCGCTTAGTCCCATCCACCGGTGGCAAGGGGAACCGCTCGCCAATGGTCGACTCAATTGTCGAACTGGCGGACGAAACCAGGTTACCCAGCTGGTAAGCAGTTCCAACGGCGAACGTGCGAATGGAGCCGGGCGACAGCTCCATCAAGTGAATGGGGATGACGCCCCAGGCACCTTGGACCATGAATTGCTCGAAGAAAGCCGCCGCGTTTAGATCGGAACCGTGGACGAAAGTATATGGGTAAAGCAGGGCACCGCCCACAATGCTGATCACAATGATGGAGAATCGTCGTCCGAAGATCTGACTTGCCCAACCGCACAATGTTCCACCAGTTAACGCGCCGAGGTTTGCAACGACCTGCGTAACGGTGACTGCATCGGCCGAGAAATTAAATTGGCTCTTTAACATCGTCGGGTAGAGATCTTGCGATCCGTGGGACTATACTCAGATTAGTAAGATTATTGAGAATCGCTTTCGTGCGGACATACCATGAAGTTGAAGCCTGCCATCAGCAGAACCAGATAGATCAGGATCAACCAGTGACGCTTGAGTGCGATCTTGCCTTCTGCCATGAAGGACTTCGCCACACCCCCAGTGACAGATTCACGGGTCTCTTGACGTCGGCGGAAGGTCTCCGTCTCAGGCAGACAGAGACGGAACGCAATGATCAAGACTGGAGGGCAAGCACCGAACCAGTACAGCGGTCGCCAGCCGTGCGGAGTAGTGTCCACCAGGGCACGAGCGAAAGCAGTCGCTAGCAAGTATCCAAACGCATAACCTTGCTGCAACAAACCGGATACGATACCACGGGCTTCTGGCGGGCAATCTTCCAAAGCTGTGGCAGCTGCATTACCGTACAATCCGCCCATCGCAATTCCGAACAGGGCACGACAAGCCAAAAACTGCTTGTACGTCTGACAGAAACCCGCGCCCAGCTCCAGCACCACGAAGAGCAGCTGATTCACCACGAAGGGCCACTTACGACCCCAGCGATCGGCCGCGATACCGAAGGTGACCGCGCCCACAGATCGCAGCATGAGCACCAGGGTGATACCCCATGTAATGTCGGTGACGGATTTGTCAAATGTCTTAGCGAGCTGAGTGGTGGTCAAGGACACGGAGAAGAAATCGAAGGCATCCCATGTCCAGCCAATAAATGCGACCTGGTGGCAGTTCTCCGTTAGCTAATGCCAGGCAGACCCCCCCCGGGTACCCTGCAGGGAAATCGATCGCAGATGCAACCCCACCAGGTTTCGGGGTTAACGAGGTGGGGGGGAGATCCCAACGCACCGAGAAAAACAGCCATTGCTGGCGATTGAGAAGTGTAAGAGCTTTGAACGGGTTTGGAGCAGGGTTCATCGGCGGAACCAGCGTCGGAATACGGGTGACGATATAGCGTCCAATACTCATATTCTTCTCATTGTCCGGCGACACCTGCTCAGGGTAGGAGGTTGCCATTTTCGGCCAATTGAGACACCGGGTGAACGGAGAGTGCTGGGCTTGCAGCAGAGCCGGGTTGGAAGGGAGAAAGGGATGGAAGAAGAATGGGAGGGGGGGAATAACGGGCTCTAAATAAGGGTTTCGCCCAGATGTGCATTCAGCTAGGGTTTTTCTCCGAAAGTTTTAGACCAGCTCCTCGCCATGCGCAAACCCTCCCCGCTCGATTGCCAGCGCGGCCGTCTCATTCGGTTAGATGAGCGGGTCAGCATCTTGGAGCCGGGGACGGGACGAATGATAATGATGTGATTTGGTGGCGATTGTTGATCGAATGCCGATCCATACTGAGCTTCTGCTGAATTCTACGGGGTCTTCTCTGTACCGATCTGCCGGGGCATTTTCGGGGTTCATTACTCATTCTGCTTCGCTGATCCATCTCTTGCTACACTTGACATCTCTTTCGCCAGAAATTTTCGTGGTGGTAGGCTGTCAGGACATTTGCCAGGGTCTCTCCTATTTTGCCAAGGCGCCTCCGCAGTCAGCCCCCGGGTTTCTTATCTCCGCAGAACAATAGGGCCCTGCCTTGACTGTGCTGGATGTCACAAGGCACATCCGTGCAATGACCATACAGTAAAAAAGCCACAGGTAACATGCCAAGACGCATTCGGAATAAGCTAACTTGAACAGGGCCCTGTACCCCAGAAATACCCACGGCATGAGTACTCCAGAGTTCCAAGTGGGGTCGAAGCAGAGTTGGCAAAATATCCCGGCGAGACCCACCGTCCCGAACAGCTAAGCAACACAAGCACTGCCCAGGTGGTCCGGCAAACTCGGTTCTTTCAAGTGGCATTGACTTGCCAGATCTGGGGAAGCCCGTTTCAAGAGGTCGGTCATCGCATACGAGGTAGTCTTGTGCCGGGAGAACGTCCGTCTCACAAGGCCAAGGTGACCGCGGGTCGGCTACTAGCTCAAAGTGCTAAGGACTGCTATACATGGTATTAGCTCACTGGTAAACATGAGGCCGAGACGTTCACCCGCTTTTCGAAACCCCAGGTCTCCACTTTCCCTAGAAACGTGGAGGACTTGGCAGCTTGGCGCGATATTTTTTCGCGGGGTAGAGCCGGTGGCTGACATACAGTTTCGGAGTTTGACCGACTGAGAAACATCCACCTCGAGAATCTTGATAGAGAGGGATCTGTGGATGAGAGCGCCGACCGCCAACACGTCCGTCTCAGGAAGCCTTGGATGGGAAAATTCTGGAACATAGTACTATGGACATTGGGCTACTCCGATTTCTATTTGCTAATTGCCCCGGACAGCCAAGCCGGAACATCCTGAATCCAAACAAAGGCCCCAGGCCGTTACCAATGCTTGAGTAACTCCGCGGCACCCTCTTTCATCCACCCAGATGAGATACTGATGCCGGCCTGGTTATCAAATCCATGGTCGCCGTCGTGCGCATCGAATCTCAAGTTGGCATCAGGATGATGTTTTTGGATTTCCTTCACCAAAAGCTCGCTTTCCTTGAATGGCACTAAGCAATCCTGCTTGCCATGCATCACCCAAACAAAAGGAGGCAATTTATGTACTCGAGGCAAATTTTCCAAAGGGAAGAGCTTCGTATCGTCCCCGTAATATTCAAGGAACTTCCCATGTTGAATAATGCTGAGCGCAAGTGGAAGGCGAGAGAGAGCAACGGCTCTATCTGGGGCTCCATCACTGCTGACCACTGTACCAGGGGTCATATTCTTCACATGTTGCTCGAAAACGTCGATAGGGACCTGAATTATTCAGTTAGGATTACCTGTTCTCACAAACATGAACCGCTGATCATAACTCCAGGGGCATGGCTCACATTTTCAGCCATTCCAAAGACTGGCCGCTCGAAGTCCTTCCACCACCATTCATCCCGTAGATCAATCATCGGGTATGACATGATAACCGCTTTCGCATTGACCTCGGGATGCAGAAGCACACTTTGAGCGGCTAAGTAACCACCTGCGCTACCGCCGTGAATTAGGAGTTGATCAAAGTGCGGTTGGATGTTGAGACCGGGATAAAGGTTGGCTAGAGTGGATTCGAACTGCTCAGAATACCAAGACCAGAAGCTCGCTAAGTCTTCAAGAACGTCCAATCCATTTGCCTCCGGAAGGAGTCGATAGTCCGGGGAAATCAAAATTGCGCCCTTCAGCTGAGCGAGCTCGAGAAGCCTATGACCTGCTGTATCAGTCTACACTTTCAAGCATAAATCAGGTAAAGGTGATGTGATTGCGACATACCACGTTGACAGCCAAGGCGAGTACAACCGCGATCCTGACACGAGAGCGCCGCCGTGGAACTCGGCAATTATCGGGAACTTCTTGGACACCTTGACGCCTTTATCTACCAAAGCCTTGGGCACCACAATGGATAGCTCAATGTTATGTCCAGCGACAACTTTGTAGGTGATATTGTGAACGTGGTAGTCCTGGAGTTTCGCAGGATCGTGAGCTTCAGACATGGTTGATTAATAGAGGCGATAATGCTTCGCTGCGTAGTGTGCTGTAATAGAGTAGGCCAGTGGCTAGTGGTCAACCGTGTAATGATTTCTGATATCCGGATCCATTTCCAAGTCAGCATGCGCTTTAAGTAGTGCCGAATTGATGCTATCGATGCAAACTGCTGCAAACTGTTGCAAACTGCTAGCCTAAGCTCGAGCCCCCTCGCCTGTTTGTTGCCCTCCCTTTTTTTTAATAATCAACGTGGTCCACGCCCGGGCGCGGCCGAACGGCCGGATACCGAAGTCCAAGTTGATGCTTACTGGAATCGGAAACAATAACCTTGGAAGACGCTCGTTATCTGATAGGTGGTACCTTAATTATGTTCAGAGGGGAGCGACGCGGACACCCAACACCATCTCCACAGCGATTAAGCGTGCCCGCCGTGCCGAGCTTAGCTTGTGAGCGTACTAAAGTCCTTTCCTACTTATCTCAAAAGGAAAGACGCGCACCTGGACTCGCAAGTCGCAACAGCCAATGGAAACTAGATGGCTGTCTTGATGGTTTGCTTCCTGTTTGTTAGTTTTGGAGCGCCCCACCGGATACCCGGACATACAACCGATCTCCGGCCTGCTTAACCGCGTGGGGGCCTGATCAAGTCTCATTCGGGGCACTCCTCGAATATGAAACACATCTGCAGCTAATCAGACCAAACAAACTAATCATACAGCGACCTTCGCACGGAAGTTCGTTAACCTCTGGACATTATTGGCTCTATATGTGGAGGGTCAGGAATAAGACTAGAAGGAGAAAATTACTGGAAGCCGACATCGAGCTCCATACGTCTTTTGACTTCAAAACATCTACGCGAAATGACATTTACTAATTTCGATGAAGTATCGAGTTCGAGTCATGCATGGATCACGAAAGGTGATCGACCATTCACCCTCCATTTCTAGGAAGGGTAACTACTAGGGTACAGCCACAACAAGCCACTCTTTGCATGCTGCACCTGCTCCGAATACGAAGTACGAGAGATGGGACTGTTTCCGTTGGGAGTATAAGTGGAAACCAAGCTTTTCTTGATGCCTGACAGCTGCAAGCGACCAGGGGAATTCGCGCACGCTTTGGATCGGGGCTATGCAAGCTTGCTGATCCTATCCCATCGTCGCACAGCTGTTAGAACAGTTCCTAGCCACGCCCCAGCCACGGCTCACACTAGCCTCTGGTTAAAGACAAGCTGCGAAATAAAAAAAGCTTAATGGGGCTATGTTAGCGATCTTTGCCGTTTTCAAAAGCCCCTGAGAGCATGGAGGAGCGGTGGTGCCTCAACTGGTTACGGCCCCCGCCCCATGGGTGAATCGCTTCGCGTGAGTGGCAATGTGACAGGGATCGTTAGCGGGGTACTGAAAAGGCTTTATTACTTCTTCGATGGCCTGTTTCCTTTCCTTCCTCTCTCTTCTTCATATATTCTATCAGGTCGAAGACCAGCCGAATACATCCTCAAGTATAGCTTAAGCATATACTTACCCCACCGCAACCTTTCACATTATGTCGCAAGAAAAAGCTTCTTACAATCCCACTCAGGGGTACCAACAAGGCCCTCCTCCATACGATGAGCAATCCTACAGTCAAGACCGTGGTGAAAACGCGTCGTACTATAGTGAATCTCCAGCCCCCAAGCAGCAGGGACCCCCTCCTCAGGGCCCTCCGGGAGATGAGCGGGGCCTTGGATCCACCCTAGTCGGTGGTGCTGTTGGCGGCTACATGGGCCACCAAGCCGGCGGCACCATGTCTACTCTTGGAGGTGCCGCTGTGGGCGCCGCCGGTATGAACATGGCTACGCACGCAATGTAAATTTTTGCTCGCAAAAGTCACCCAAAGAAATCCCAGACTAACAAAAACTGAAGCGAGAACCACCAGAACCAACAAGCTGCTCAGCAACAAGCCCAAAACTATCCTCCTCAGCAAGGATACGGACCCCCTCCCCCGGGGCCTCCTCCCCCAGGGTATGGACCTCCCCCCGGAAACTATGGCCCTCCTCCAATGAATTATGGCCCTCCCCCACCTGGGTATGCTTCTCCCCCTCCAGGACCCGGATATGGGTACCCCGGGGGCGGAATGACTACTACCACGACGACCACCACCACAACCGATGCCTACGGAAACCCCATGGGCGGCCCAATGGGTATGGGAGGCCCTCTTGGGTATGGTAGTCTTGGAGGTCCTCTTGGCGGTGGTATTCCTATGGGCCCGGGAGCTCGCCTTGGTCTGATGCGTCGCGACCTTCGACGCCAGCGCCTGGGCTTATACTAAGCTAGTCTTGCGTGAGAATTCCGAGGCTAGTGGATTTTGTCTCAACCGTCTCAAGAAACATGCCGATAAAACGAATTTCCCGTTTTTGTGCTGTTTTCTTTTTCTATGCATGAGGAGTTTTGCGTCTGTTTTCTGTGGTAGGCTATGCGGGTTTCATAACCTTGTTCGATCTGGATGCTCATCAAAACACAAGTACATCAATTGAGGAGTCCATGTTTACTATGCCCTGTATAGGTAGAAAAAAAAATTACTGGAACGACACAGTTCAAAAAAAAAACTTTGAAGAGAAAAGAGAATTCATTTCAAGCAGCCTTTCATTGGCCATGGTGGTTCAATATAGCCATGGGGGGGGGAATATCGTAAATAAGCAGTAGGCTAATGTACAAAGGATAGCTGATATACTTATGACCCAGCAGTCATTCGAGTTATGACAAAGCCGGCTCTTTTCTTTTCTGTGTACGACTTTCTAACGGTTGTCCGAAGATTGCATCGAGATTCGCGTTTTCAAGCACCTCGAAAGCCACCTGCGGCAGGTCCTTGGGTGTATCCCAAGATATGTTCCATTTTGACCATTCTTCATCCCAGGACATTCGAGGCACGTGGCACGAGATGCGGCGCCAAATCCTACTCATCAGGCGATAAGTGATAACGTGCGGTCGGCCTTCAACATACTTTTCGAAAGTGTGGCTCTTCTGCGGGCCATCCACCAAGAAAGACAAGATGGTGTTTTCTTCAGGTGGCTCTTCGCCTGCTGTAGGTGACGGCATTGCTCTTCGGGGCTTTGGGCTCCAAGGGACGTCTCCAGTTATCAAGCCGTCTAGAGTTGCGACTTCGTGCGGTGGAAGAGGTGGCAAGAGACACTCCATAGTACGACCATACCACCGAGTCAGCATGTTATTCACTCGAGATTGAGGCATCGGCCGACCCCAGCTATTTTTCTCTGGAATGACTGGCTCGAGGGTTTTGATTTGAGGACGGATCCTGGAGGATGATACCACCCCGTTGTTCATTTGAGATCTCATGAGGGCTTGTATCGCCGCTGGAAGTTCAGTCTTGCCTTCCGAGGACGGCCTGGACTTCTCTACAAGCTGTTTCCAGCCCTCCTCATCTTTGGGCAGTTCCGGGGCATCGGGGGTGATCAATGGCGCTAGCAGCTGGTGCCGCCGACGGCCGACACGGCCATCAGGACAAGAGTAGCACTTTCTCTAATGGCTGGAGGTACCCCTCGTTTGCTCTTCGCAAGTGAGACAGCTGATATCGGGCCTTTCGAATTAATTTGTACTCTGGCAGCTTCGAATCGAGTGCCCGTCGGTACCGACTAAGGACATAGTCTCGCATGTAGACGCGCGCGATCGGATCTGGGAGATAGGTACATTCCCGAAGACTGGCGCGTAGGAGATGGCGCCATTGAGGAGATTCCAAGTGGAGTGTGGGCGATATTGATGAGGCCATCTTGTAGACCAGAAGCGGGAAGATCCTCTAAGATCCTCGGTAAGTCCAGTGAAGCATTGGGGGGAGCACAGAATCCCAAAGCGGAAAAGACGCGAAAAACGTGACTGCGCCAAGGGCCCGACGCGCCTCTTTTCGCTTTACCCATTAACCCCGCGACTTTGGCCTGCCTTGCATTGAGCTCCAGATCTGCGATCTCGATCTATATAGACATTCTTGTGTCTTCACTTGGGTGTATGGTCTTTTGCTTGTGAAGGTGCTCTTCCCTTGCCGTGGCCACGCGCCTCTTGTCGCTTCGCGTCTTCCCGGTATCTCCACTTGCATTGCCTACCCTGGCCTCTCAATTCACTAACCTGGCTCCTCCCCTTCAGGATCTAATCGACTGCGAGGCTTCACTACCAGCATGTCCTATTCACAGGGCAGCACTGGTTCCGTCGCATATAAAATCATTCCTCCTCCTCTCAGTCTCTCTCCTCTACTCCTCGTGCAACACCCCCGCCCCCAAAAGCCTCGCAGGGTTCTACGTCCTTCGGTATGTCGAACGGAATGTCACGAAATAGCTTCGGCGGCTATGAAGGGTCAAATGACCACGGTTCTATGATGTCTTACCGCGAAGATCGCCCGAAACATGTAATTTACTCTGTCAGTGCTCCTTTTCCCCCAATTCCGCTTGATCAATTGCTGACAGCCTCGCTTAGGCTGTTTATTCCAACACATCGGTCTATGAAATGGAAATCAATGGTATTGCAGTAATGAAACGTCACTCCGATTCATGGTTGAATGCAACGCAAATTCTGAAAGTCGCTGGCGTAGCGAAAGCTCGTCGCACGAAAACCCTGGAGAAAGAAATTGCCGCTGGCGTGCATGAGAAAGTCCAGGGTGGCTACGGAAAATACCAAGGTACTTGGGTCAACTTCCAACGCGGCGTGGAACTGTGTCGAGAGTACAACGTGGATGAATTGTTGCGACCATTACTCGAATACAACGTGAACGAAGACGGAACCCCATTGGCGAACGCGGTCGATACACCAACCAAAGAACAAGCCATGGCTGCGCAGCGCAAGAGACTGTACAGCGAGGCCGAGAACAGAAGCTCGTCTCAGCCTCAGCAAGGCACGTTTTTCCAGAACATTTCTCGAACTGCAGCCACCGCCGTGAACGCGATGAACAAGGCCCGGTACGATTCACCGAGTATCAGCAATCGCCGGCCCAGTGTTGCGCGCAAGCAGTCACAACAAACGAGCAGCCAGGAGTCTTCGATGGCCTTCAGCAGCCAGCAGAGCATGTACAACATGTCCGACAGTGGATTTAGCAGCCTGCAAAATCGATACATCGCCCACGACGACGATGAACTCGCAGAGCCTCCCCGCAAACGCGTCCGCTCCTCTTCTCATCAAGCCCCCATGATTGGCTTCCACCGCGAACACTCCAACTTGTCTCTCAACGAACCCACCCCTACCGAGCCTAACGAATCTTTCTACCAAGACATGGACCTTCCACCGCCCCCCTCCCGATGATGGTTCTAAACGCGGCGTTGAGGGTCTAGGCCCCGCTAGTACGCCAGACAAGTTTCAAAAAATGAAGCTGCTTATGACTCTTTTCCTTGACAAGCGCACCAAAGACTTCACCAACCACCCGGCTCTCATGCAATTGACAGGCGAAGACCTTGAAATTCCCCTCGACGAATACTGCAACACTGCTCTTCACTGGGCCGCGATGCTCGCGCGTCTTCCTCTTGTCCACGCGCTGGTCGCCAAGGGAGCAAATATCGCGCGCGTCAACGGTGCCGGTGAAACTGCTCTGCAGAAATCAGTCAGCACTCGCAACAACCTGGACTACCGCACCTTTCCGCGTCTCCTCCAGGTGTTTGCTCCCACTATCGACATGGTCGACTACAGCGGGCGCACAATTCTGCACCACATTGCCGTTATGGCAGCAACTGGAGGCGGCGGCCATGTTTCTGCTAAGCATTACCTGGAATCCCTGTTGGATTTTATCGTACGAAACGGTCGTCCAGCCAACGCTGATACAAACGGTGATCAGCAGCAGAATGGTGATCATGCCAATGATGTGATATCCCTGGGTACCTTCATCTCCGACATTGTCAACTTACGCGACGACCAGGGCGACACAGCCCTTAATCTTGCGGGCCGTGCTCGCTCCGTTCTCGTCCCCCAGTTGCTCGAGGTCGGGGCCGACCCTCACATCCCAAACCACACTGGTCTTCGCCCTGCGGACTACGGTGTCGGCGTCGACATGGTTGATGGCAATGGGCAGTCTCAGCAAACTGATGGACGGGGTGATTCTTTCATGGATCAGCTGACCAAGACTAAAAAGGAAATTCTACAAGGTAAATATCACCCCCCCCCCCCTAACTTCGCATAGTGGATTTTGATGTATGTGCTAACATGTCTGCAGCCACCGTGTCCCAGATCAGTCAACTTGTTGAAGAAGCATTCAGTAGCACTGAGCGTGAATTAGCAGCAAATCTGTCCCGGAAACAAGAGAAATTTGAGCACTGGCATGGCAAGATCCGCGAGTCGGCGAAGGCCCGACAACTCCAACAGAAGCACCTGGATTCTTTGAAGAGCAAGAGCTCCGCTCGTGTGGAAACGGAGCGACGCATCAAGAATCTTGATACATCTTCTGATAATCTTCGGGACACTCTGCGCAACAACGGAGTTATCGATCACTCTGGCCGCCCTGTCTTGAGCGATGCCGACAAAGCGTCAGCTGTGAATGTGGAGACCTTCGAAACCCTCTTCCCCGAATCATTTGACCCATCTAATGGGTTCTCTGACGAACAAGCCGCATTTTTATCTGCTCTGCAGGCCCCGGATGTCCTCGCTAAACGCGCCAGCTTCTATGAATCGTTCCTTGGTGAAGTGAACGAAGAAGTTGAGGAGTTGAAGGCCAAGAACGTCACTCTAGGCCACAACTACCGTCGCATGGTGATGGCTTGTACTAATTGGACCGCAGAGCAGGTAGATGAGGCTGCCGAAGGACTGACACAGTGTGTGAAGGATTTGAATGATAATCCTGTGCCAGAGGACGAGGCTCTCGAGCTTCTGATGCGGGACCGTGGGCAGGACTGGTAACCATTCTTTGCCCGTTCCGTTTCTACTTTTGCGTTTTGACTTTTCTTTTCTTTTCTTTTTTTTTTTTCTAAATTTAGGCGGCGTTTTGTTTCATACGATCACAAATACCCGGAATGTTCTTTTGACTTTGCCTGACGTTTCTTCGAAATATCATTATTCTATTATTCTTACGACTTTGTTGTGTCTATTATGTACAAATGACATTTAACAGTATATCTGAGGCCTGACTGCCTACGCTATTTCACGTCCTAGACCACATTTAGTAGCGACAACTCGCAATTCGTATCAACGTACCTTCCGGAGACCATGCGTCGTCTGCTAATTCCGATTGATATTTTCTATGGCCGTCAGTTCAAGACCAGGTTTGTGACGTTCAAAGTGCATCAGATAGAAAGTGAGTACTCTATATGTTGCGTGGTAATACCAAATTGGGTAGAAGTGGTTTGTTCAAGTTAGTCATACTCAAGTCGAAGTAAAAAGACGTCTACGCTGACCATCATACTTGCTCACAGCCTCCAAACCCCAGGAACAGTGATCCGATGGTAAAAGGAAGTGCTAGGACCAGGATTCAGCATCTGATGAGGCTGGCACGGCAACATAGCGACTGTTGACCATGATTCGTGTTCATCTGAGTCACTGACTATAGTAACATTCACCCTGGCCTTGAGGCTCGGAGTCCTTTTAATTTCACGTTATGGCAATGGAGCTGCAGCACACTGGATGTGTTCTACAACCACTTTTGTCAAACCAGAGTATCATTGTATTCACGATATTTCTCCATTTTTGACGCGGAAGTAAACAAGTGCGTGGCATGAAGTCTATACTTCGACTTGAGTATGCGGATGCGCTTAACACCACGCACCATGTATCCACGCTATCGATAAGGAAAAAATCAGAGACGGCGGGGTTTCTGTGTCGCGAATCCTGTGGATGCGATATCTGGTTCTTTACAATAGACACTCGCTTTTGGATGCTCGCCATGGCCGAGCCTTCATATCCTGCCACCTTGAACGGGGCTTTCGAGCCTCCCCTGAACCAACAATATGAGCCCGTTCGCCTGACATCAGACAACATTGTCCCCATCTTCGAACTGCCCCTCGCGAAGAAGGTTCTCGGCCACGACGCCTCCGATAGCGAAAAGATCGCCCAGATCGCCAGCGCTGAATTATCCTACACCGAGTTCGTTGCCGACCAGGCACGAGCTGCCCTTCAAAGCCCATCTGATGGCCAGACACGCGAGCAAACACAGTCCCAGCTACTGCATATTGGCCTGGCAGCTCTGTTCAGCTTCTTACAGTCCAATGTCACCGGTCCACCATTGGAATATAATTCAGCAGAGACTGTCTTTCCTGCTCCGATCCGAACCGATAAGACAACGATCCGAGCCGTCCGCGCCAAAATTCTTCGTGCTCTGTCAGTGGATGGAGAGGCAGCCTACAAGCTTACACCTAACCCGGAGCTTTTCTCGATTGCCAAGGCTTTGCTGGCCGATATTGAAAATGAGGGCGCGTTGGTTGCAAAGACAGCGCGCATGCGCGTGAACTTCCTGCACCAGAAAATGCTTTCCGAGGTTACCAGCACATTGCAGGATTTGATCTATCATGATGTGGAAACCATCTCGAAGGCAGAATTGACGACGAATGAGAAAAGTCAGTTTTTGCTCGAGCGAGCCATCATTAATACGCACCATGACTTTGATGCGAAGGCGCGGGCCGATCTGGACCAAGCATCTCGAGTTCGCAATTTTGAGTTTGCCTTGACAGGCAAGCTGGGCAAGAGAACCAAGTTCCAGGATCGCGATATCAGTCAATTGGTGGTGGTGGCCAAGAGCGCAGACGAGGAGGCCCCGGCTGCAGTCCCCTCTGGCCCCAAGAATCTGGACTTGAATGATGATACCTTGCTTGAAGCCATCTCTTTCGCGGATAAGAAGTCTACGACCGTGCAGGACGAACTCCCACCATCTCTACAGTCTGTTGATCCTAATGAGCAACCGAAGCTTAGCCCGGTTGACTCTGCTATTCTGCTCGCCTTGGCCTCAGCCATCACCAACACTGCACCGGAGAACGGTCTGACGCGTGAGGAGACGCAGCCGTACGCTACCCGAGTCCTCGAGGGCGGCAGTTCGAACTGGCAGATCTATACACAGGCTCTGCTGGTGCGTAGTCGTGTGGAAGGTCATCGCTCACGTACAGTCGAGCGATCCGTTTTGCAATTACAGGCTCTCGTTGATCAAGTCATCGCAGATACTGCCACGGATGACACGGCCGCTCAACAGCCATCTTCTGATCCCACGACGTTCTTGCCACGGCCCGAAAAGTCTGAGTCTGCCCCCGCTGCCGATCGTCTACAGTACATCTGGCTGCTTAATTTCTCCACTCGGTGGTCACTGGAGGCCGAGCTCGCGAAGCGTTGGGTGGAGCTGGGTGGTCTCCGCACAGCCCTTGAAATCTACGAGCGGTTGCAGATGTGGGCTGAAGCGGCCCTTTGCTATGCCGCGACTGAGCGTGAGCAGAAGGCTAAGAATATTGTGCGACGCCAACTATACGAGGCCGAAGGACCGGACGAGGACGATGAAAATGAGGAATTCAAGGGCCCCGAGCGATCCACACTGCCGGCCGATGCACCTCGCCTATTCTGTATCTTGGGAGACATCGATAGCGATGAAAAGATGTACGAGCGTGCCTGGGAAATTTCAGGGCAGCGATACGCGCGAGCTCAGCGATCGTTGGCTCGCCACTATCTGGCTCTTACGCCTCCAGACCTAGAGAAGGCTGAAGCCGCTTACCGTAAGAGCTTACACATAAACCGTCTCAACCACAGTGCATGGTTCGCTCTCGGATGCGTACAACTGGAGCTCCAGCGGTGGAGCGACGCCGCCGACTCCTTCTCGCGTACTGTCCAGCTCGACGATACCGACGGAGAAGCTTGGAGCAACCTGGCAGCAGCCATGCTGAGGACGTCTGCACCCCAGCAAGGGACTGATATGCCGTCAGACGAAGATAAGGAGAAGGATCCCGCTGAAATCGACCCACATAAGCGCAAGCGCGACGCCCTCGCAGCGTTGCTCCGCGCAGCCCAACTCAAGCACAGCGATGCCCGAATCTGGGACAACGTGCTGACCGTCGCCGCCTCGATCCCGCCCCCAAATACCCCCTTCCGGGAGGTGGTGACTGCGCAGAAGCGAGTGATCGAGATCTTGGGCGACAAGAAGGGCGAGAAGTGCGTTGATCAGCCTATCCTGGGTATGCTGATCGACTTCCTCTCAGAAGCGTTCGAGTACGAGAGTCTTCTCATTGAATCCGATTCGGGCCCTGTGGTTCGTACGGGAACTCTTCCTGGCCAAATTCTTTCCCTGATCGATGACAACGTCGTGCCCCTGATCACGCATTCCGCCACCCTCTGGCTCCTCGTCGCTCGTGTCGAGGTTTTCCGGAACCGCCCCAGCCGCGCTCTCGAGGCCCACGAGAAAGCCTGGCGTGCCGCTGTGGCGGCGTCCGCGCAGGGGGCTTTCCAAATGGGCGACGAGAAACCGTGGCTTGATGTGGTGCGCGCTACAGAGCAATTGGTACGCAACGGGTATGCCCGCTACGGTCCACTAGACCGCGAAGGTCATAGCGGCGAGGGCGAACCAGAAATGGTGGCAAGCGACTGGCGATTCAAGGCTAGAAGCGCCGTCCGGGGTATTCTTGGCAAGGGTAAAGACTTCTGGCAAGATTCTGAAGGCTGGGAGCGATTGAAGGAGCTTCAGAACGAGGTTACGGGAAAATAGTTGCATTTTCCTTCTTTTTCTTTTTTTTTTACCCAAAAATATCCATAGCCAAATGATACATTTCATGTCCAGCACATCCACTAGAAAAAAAGCGCCGCCCCCAAGAAATCTCGGATGATTAGCTGTCCAAGTCGTTCCAAGGCAACCGCACGACGGTGCGGGGCTCAGTGCACAGACTGTGTGGGGCCTGTTTTTAAGGCCGCCAAACCAGACCTTTATAGAGTCTTCTGGGTCGCGGCTGGCTCTCAGCAGCCTCAAGAGTAGAAACTATGCAATTGAAATCGAGGTCACCAATCATGCCACAACTCCTAGGCCAGGAACACCAAAATGACCAGTCAAGATTTACCCTGCCCCTGGTGGCGGATATATGCTACCTGGTTCTAGAACACGTCTGTCATCCTGCCTTTTCCATACGCGTACATTCAACTAACCGGCTTATGCAGGTCGATAGTTGGAAGGATCTCTGCAACCTTTGCCTGGTATCTAAGGCATTTTACTCTGTCGCCACGCTTCGACTGCATCGATATATCGTCTTCCGGCCTACGAGATGGGAGCATGCTTCCCGCGGCTTCCCATTTCGCAATGTAAAGCAGGAGCAAAGGAAACCATGGGACTATATTTACCCCTTACTTTGCAGACTTCTGGATGAGACCAATACAGACCTCAGAAACGCCGTCCGCGAGATCGAGATAGGCGACTTCCCTGAGCATGAGATGGAAACCTCCATCTGGCCAGACTTGGCCGCGATGAACGCCTTACCAAGGCTCGTAGACTCGTTACGAAACCTGAGGCAATTCAGGTCAGTATGATTCAGGACTACCGCTCCGGACTTGGGGCTAATGTTGTATAGGATACGATGTACCCTCCCGATCACAGAGGAGTTTATTCACAGCCTTTGCAACCACCGGAATAAGCCAGAGCTGCATCTGTTGAGTGAAACGATACGGCGGGACTCTATCAACCACATGCCCTGTGTCACGCGGATTGTCTCGTCCGTCAATCCGTTCAAGGAGCGCTTAACTGGCAACAGACGTGCTCAGAATCGGGAGATGCTGCGGCTCCAAGAGCTTTTCTTTGCATGCCCCAACTTGAGGTCGTTTTCCATCGATGTATATGGTAACTACGGCGGCTGTGTTAGGAAGATGCCGCTGTTCCCGAGAGTGCTGTGCTTCCAACTGACTGGGAGCGAGACGTTCCCGCCCCTGGAACACTTGTCACTCGATGGATACAAGTTTGGCGTCGAGGAGTGGCCTCATTGGCGGCAAAAGTTCTCCTGGGGGAACTTGCGGTCATTAAGTTTGGGGCCTCAGAAGTGTGAAGTGGTTTTGAGTCTGATAAAAACCTGTACGCTGAATCTGAAAAGCCTCAGGGTCGAGAAATACTCAGACAATGGACCTGGGGATGTCCTTCCTGATCTGGAATCATTCCTGGGGTCCTTCAACACACTGGAACGGCTGACTGTCAATGGCTACTCTGTGTCGAGTGCTGGAATCAGCAATCATCCTAATCTGAAGCACTTCTGCATGCACACCATCGAGCCCTTTAACTCTGATACCACACGGAAAACTCTCGAGCCGATGGAGCTGTATGACCTCGACATCAATTGTCCTCATCTCGAAAGCTTGCATCTGGACATTCAGCGCGATGGCGAATGGGTAAGTGGTATGAATTCTTCTGTGGAGACCTATACTGATATGGAACCGTCGCTTAGCCCCGAGATATGCTTGCAATTATCGCCGGTGGATTCGAAAACCTTCGAGAGTTGCACCTCCATTTCGAGCTCGGCCTCCACGAGCCCTCCAGGCATGCATTATTCGGCACTGCTACAAGCAAAGACACCGATGCCGGTCCTCTAGCACCGTTCCTGGATGAGCACTCTGCAAAAGAGCTCTGTGACATATTTCTCGAAGCGCGAGCGCCGTCGAAGCTCCGAAAGTTGACGTTCAGGACGGGAGAGCGACTCAGAAGATTCACTCAATGGCTCCCAACTTATGCTAGATGGGAAAAGGAAAACTCCCGAGCCTTCGAGATCAATTTGCCCGTATTGCCTGGAGAGAAACCTCAGATAAAAGCCCTGTCGGATGACGATTACCTTAAACTGGCGAAACCTCCTGTGGAATCAGATGAACCTTAGCTAGTAATCTACCTCGTGCGACAATGTAAACTCATCCCGGTATCTCTAGTTCAAAAATAGGACTTTCATTCAGGAAAGAAGTGCCGTTCAGCATCGTTTGGTGCCTAATTTGCCATGCCATCGTGCGCAAGGATATCACGATTACACTAATTAGAGACGCTAGGCTGCTCGAGATAATTTCCCCACTCCTCCCCTGTCAAAGACCCGGTGAGTTGGCTGTCTCACGCCTTACCAGCGCCGCTCACGGTCAATATCGGCGTAGGGATGTCTGGATCGCTGGATTGGGGGGGGGGGGCTGCATGGCCTATTATCGCCATATGGCGTACACTTCACGCCGTAATCAAGATTCATTCGCTCATATATAGTTCATCCAATCGAAGCCAAGACCGAAGAAAAGATATCCTCCCACACCTCCACCGACTGAGATACCGTATCGTGATCCGAGCCCTCGATCGCCCTAGAGACAAAATTGATGGTCTCGGGATATCCCTGCCAGCAATCCTCAAAGTATTTCTGTCCTTGGCGCCCGATCATGATATCAGTCGCGCCAAAATAGGCACGAAAGGTGAGCTTGTTCTCGGGGGAGCGCTCGCGCGCCACCGTCTGTGCAAACTGCGCGTAATCCGAGCACACGCCCCAGTCATTTGCTTCCGCCTTGCGGAGGCAGTATAAAGCTTCGCTGTTTGCCCCGACCGATTCTTCCGTGAACATGAACCGGACACACAGACTGCTGAGCTCGGCGGACTCTTTCCGCGGCACGCCGTAGCTCTTTTCGATGCGTGCATAGTTGACCTCCATGAAGGTGCGCTCTTCTTCGATTGCTTTATTGCTCTTCGGCGCCAAGTTGCGGAAGAAGGTGCCGCTGGTGGCTAGTGCCGGGCTGGCCTTTGTTATGAAGAAGCGCGGTAGCTGGTTCCATATCGAGAACACTTTGGTGGGCATGTATTGCATGGACCTCCATAAAGTAGACCTGGAGCAAGCAGGGTCAATCCAGGGAGCTAGTTCGGGTTGTTAGCATATCCCTCATCAGAACTGCTTGGCCGCTGTCCATATGGTGAAGGGATTCAGCTTGGAAGTACCTATTACGAAGACTTGCGGGTGTACAAACTCCCGACAGAGAGCCAATGTGTTGAAGAGATAAATCGTGCCGGCACTATGCGATACTAGGGTGACCCGCGGAATCCCCAAGTGGGCCAGGAACCGGGGGAAGAGATCAACCCAGGCAGCGATGCGCTTCGGGAGAGGCACATTGGAGGTCGCGCCCATGCCAAACCGGTCGACAACAAGCAAGCGCACACCCACCTGCTCGGCGATAGCATGGATCGAGAGGGACCCGTAGCGCGAGGCAAACATGCCTGGAATGAAGAGAAGCACCGGGCCTTCAGCGCTGCCGATGTCAGCATATGAGACGCTCAGGGGCCCGTTCGCCGTGTCGAGAATAACACGGCGATGGAAGCAGCTCTTCGAGACGACGCTGAGAGGGTCTGACATGGCCACCTTCAGGTGAATCGCCGGGCATTACCAACAGGAGAGATAATCTGATCGGTCTTCGAAGCTTACGGCTGCTGCTCCCATCGTGGTGCCCCACATCAAATTGGGGCGGAGTTCGGCTACTTTTGTCCGCATCACGAGCATTCCCTCAGCACGCTCCCCTGGAGTTTTTCGAAAGGCGTATGCTCCAGCTAGACACTCAAGACCTTAGGATGCATGGATATGCGTTGGGCTATTTAGTTCCTACTTGCTTGCCAAGTTCTGGAGCAGAGCATACACGAAGAGCCCGCCCGCCCATAAGATCGAATCTCAATTGTTGCATATCGTACACCGGGGGATGCAGCGAGTGGTTTTGAGTGTGCACGACGTCCTCGAACACACTGCGTTTTCTGCGCTCAGTACCTGGCCAATACCCTCTGATCAAGTTCAAGGGCAGATCAGGAGCAAAGGACTCCTACCCACCACGTTTCATAGCGAAGCTTGGTAGAGTTCAATTATCCTGAACTTGAGATGGAACCTACTGCATCACGACGTACTTCCTGGAATGTGTGGTACTGGTGATACGCAGAATTGAACACGAGCGTCTGGCCAGCTTGATCCACAGGTATCAACTTGTAGGCAAATTTGGTGGCCCCCCACTGCGGGGCCAGAAACTAGGCTCAAAGACACGGCAGAGCCCCCGTAGTAAGCTTCCAGGTCGATTCCAAGGTTCCAAGGTTCCAAGGTTCCAAGATTCCAGAGCCCCATCACGCTCAGACGCGTACATCTCAGGGATGCTACCACCTGGTGGGCGTTCATAGTCTGGTCTATCGGGCGAATTCACAATCCTGTGGCACCGGACCCTATCTACGGGGCCAATCGGACCCTTTCCGTTGGGGCTGGTGAGGCTCAAATGTCGGGAGCCCCTGAAAATTTGAGGGACCAGTAGCGCCGCCACATCGGGACTAAGCTCTCGCTTCGCGCAGATGCCCTCGCAAACTTGGTCGGCTACTCCGGCTGCTGGAACGTGGCTGAAATAGTTCTGCTGTATTAAATAGGGGTCTCCTTGAGTCTTCTCCTCGGTATTAAAGTTCACTCCGATCGTGCAAGTTCTTTCATTTCGTAGTTCCCAACAGAATGGCTTCTACTGTTCTGCACCTCGTCGCGCTGTCTGCTGCTTTAGGCCAGGCGGCGGCTTCTTTCAGTCTGAACGTTTCGGGCCCTAGCTGGGACTACACAACCAAAGACTTAGCCGACTCGACATCCCAGGCCTGCAAGGATGCCTACAGTGCCGCTATCGACTGCGATGAAACCCTGGTAAAGCTCGTCGCCTCTTTGGATCCCGACTTCAACCCCAATGCCGCGGATTTGGAGACGACGTGCACTACAAAATGCAGTGACTCATTGGCTCAGTACGTCAAGAATGTCAAAGCTGCGTGTGACAAGGACGGCGATCGAGCGGGACTGGCGGACGGAAACGACCTTGACTACTCTGCCGCTGTCGCTACGGTGGGCGAGGTTTTCCAGTACTACTATGGCGAGGCCTGCGCCAAGAATGGGTAAGTTCTTTACAGAATGCGAATGCTCGGTCCAGGGGGGCAGGATTCTCTGACACTTCTGCAGAAGTAACTACTGTTACTTGACTTACTCCGAGAGCCAGGACTGGGCCAAGACCGACTTCCCCTGCACCGACGAATGCGCAGTCAAATTCTACGAAAACGCTCACGACCAGCCCGGCTCCGGATACTTCTTCAGCTACTTTGTGCTCGCTAGCCAGTCCTCGTGGTGGGATGGAACCTTTGCTGGTGGCTACAAGACCGTGGAGAAGTGCAAGGGCCCAAGCGACGCAAGCTCCGGCACGAGCGGAAGTACCATCAAGACCGATGTCGCTGACTTGTCCACCAGTCAGACTAGCTCCGGAGCGGCTACGTCTGCGACGTCGGCCCCGACGGCAGCGAAGGCAAATGATGCAGCTCATATCTCTGGAACTACCAGCGCTGCAGCTAGTACAGCTACCGCGACGAGTGGTGCTTCTAGACTCCGAATTCTCTGGTTTTAAATGTTGAGAGGGAATTCCGTCTGCAGTGTATAGAATGAATAATAAGCAATTACATATGATATATTACGTTCTGACCTATATCCACCCCAAAAGATCCTCGGAGCACATCCTCGGAGCACATACTCTGGTTGTCAAACCCCAGTACTACATGCTTCGAAGCTTGTGGTGGTTGATTTGGTGACAATCGTAGTGGTACTCTTGACAGCACTCGCGTGGCAATGTACTATACACCGCACGATCCGCATTTGCAACACGAACAATGGGAAGCTATCGTCTGATGATACGAAGCAATATCGAAAGGAATTGAGATGCCAGCGGCTTCGGCCTCGGACCTTCCGATAATGCCGAGATAAGATTCGTATCGCACTGGTTCTTTATCTTATCGCTCTATCGATAAGAGCTTGTCCGTGCCTTCAGGCGCTGACGTCGAAAGTTTAACAGGCTCGAGAACGCGAACCGGGGATTATCAATTCTTTGTATGCCTGGGGACCTTGCAGAGCGCCGTCATGTTCAAAGTGCAAAAGTTTCCATCTCCTGAAAGGCCCCGGGCATTACAACCTCAAGAATCTCCGCACAAGCAAGGAGCCGCACGGTCCTGCCTCGGATGCCATCGGCGCAAAGTCCGCTGTGACCGCGGCGTCCCTTGTACAAACTGTGCAAAAGGCGGTTTCACCTGCGTATATCCCACGAAAGAACGCGATGAGAGGATTCCCTCACTCCAGCGGATTGCCAGTCGCCTCGAGCGACTGGAAAATATCATTTCCGGGTTGCCTCCGGAGCACGGCGCGGAACCTCTCGACGAACCAGGAACTCAAGTTGCACGACGCGCAGAGCAATCTCCGCCAACTCGAAACTCGCAAGGTTCCTGGGAGCTATTGCTCAACGATGGACAAGCTGTTCACTATGTCAACAATTCGAATATTAAAGATCTTCTGCAAGATGTAAGCTTGAGCCGGAAAGACGAGCCGTAGGAAATACATTCTAATCCTATATCTAGGAAGAGCGAATCCAAGCGGCTCCAACTGCGAGCCCTAAACCCGGAATGCCGTCCACGCAACCAACGCCTCATTCCCATGCAACGCCCGCGCAACAGAGCCCTCTGCTGGATAACATATCGGACATATTAGAATTCTACCCCGAGCCACAACTCGCGCTTAAACTCTGGGCAGTCTATGTCGAGTCGGTCGACCCTGTGATGAAATTACTGCATATTCCTACAGTGCAGACATCGGTCATTTCCACCATCTTAGACCCGAAGGCCGCGGGTCGGTCCATGGTTGCGTTGACATATGCTATCTATTTTGCCGCCGTTATTGCGCTTGACCAGAATGGTGGAGAAAATTGCGCTGCCCGTAGAAAGCGCGACTCTTTTAAAACGATACAGAGCCGCGTTAGACCGACTTCTGATCGTGACGGATCTCATGAATTGGCCTGAGATGACCGCCTTGCAAGCCCTGACCATCTATGTGGTAAAACTCCCTCAAAAAGACCGTCGACCACCCGAGCCTCGCTAATTGCCTTTGTTTCAGACATGTCTACGAGTCAACGAAACAGGCCGCAGCATATGGGTTCTCATTGGACTCGCCATCCGGCTGGCCCAGGCTATCGGCTTACACCGCGATGGGGCATCCCTCAGGCTCAGTCCCTTTGAAACGGAGATGCGGCTCCGTCTCTGGTGGCATCTATGTGTGCTGGACGCTCGTGCCCCCGAGGACCATGGTTTTGAGCCCACAGTCAACCCGTGGGATGGAGAGCTGAGACTCCCGCTCAACATCAATGATGATCAAATTTATCCGAGGATGACGCAGCTTCCAGCTGAGACGAGGGGCTGGACCGAAATGTCTTTCTCCCTCCTCCAAACCGAATTGCTGATGCTCCTCCGGCCTGCCATTGGGACCCAGGCGCACAGGTCAGCAGACGTGGACGCGGACATCCGAGCGAGAAAACAACTCGTGGACGAACGCAGTGAAGCGTTACTCCGACGCTACGGCGATCTAGCCCGAGAGTCCAACGAGCTCTGCCGTCTTGCATTTCAACATTTCACAATTGGTCGCTACAAGATGCACTTTATCCTCCAGCTCCGGGAGGAAATCAGCGAGCAGAAGCGCAAAGGTTCGCACCCAGGCGGTCGCGACGGGCCAAATCTCTCTTTCAAAATCGCCTGCGACGTGCTGCAGGTCTACTACAACATAACGAAAGGCCATCTGGCGTCCAGATATAAATGGCTTTTTGCGACATACACGCAATGGTACGCGGTGGCATACGTTCTGCGCTGTCTCTGCCGGCATCCCGATGCCCCGGATGCAGAACACGTCTGGGCCCTCGTGGAGGGCGTTTTCCCTCATGTGCTGCGACACGATCAATCGGGAGTGAATGACGGCAATGGGAACTCTCCTATCTGGGGCTGTCTCATTCTCTTGCGAAAACAGGCTCTGCTGCTCAAAGAATCGTATGCATCGGCACGAGGGCCTGATTTGGCGGCGCAATCCTCGCGTGGCCATCAGCCGTCTCAGCTTCCCGGCAGTGGCGATCCCTCTCAGGGCCTGGACGTGCAGTCTTCCCAGCCAGTGGAATCGGTTCATTATATGCAGGACATGGGCCATGGTCCACTACCTGAACCACACCAACCCATTTTCTCTGATTTGGAATTTTCGATGCCGGAGATTCCGTTTCTACCGGAGTGGGATGCCGTTATTAACGGTTGTCTGAATAATGGCAATGATACGGGCATCTTCTGACATCCTCTAACAAGGTTCAATGCTACTATCAAAGGGATTTGACCAGAATTATGCAAAAATGCGAATGCGATCAGCTTCTTCACCGTGGAAAATTTTTATTTAAACTGGCCGAGTAGTTCATTTCCCAGTCTTCAACTCAGCTCAAAGGGGCGGGGGGGGATCCTTTCCTCCCAAATCTATATACAACGAAAAGTGAAAAGTTCGATGTCAACATCGAACGGCCTGCACTTATATGTAAAAAATGAACAAAATGCCAAAACCAAATATCTATATCCGTCCATGCAAGAAACCCAAGTCATTATGTCGTTAGGGGCTTGCGTCCCACAAAATCCCGCCTGAATTTTTGTTGCCGCACAACTGGCTGCTGCACGGCGTTTCAGCTCAAGTTTTCAAACCACCTCATCAATGCGAAAGAGAAACACGAATCAAGGTTCTCTCACTTCAAGACGACTCAGCCTTCCGCGCCTCCTTCTGCTCCGCCTTGCGCTTGAAGCGCTCACTGCGCTCCGCGCGCCACCCCGGCCCCCATCGCATCTCAACCGCCAGCAGAGGAACCATCACTAGCGTGATACCGGCAAGCAGAACGAAACACCATTCGGCCGTGAGAGCATCAATGATGGGCTGCACGGCGGCCACGCCCGCGGCGCCGATCAGGCAGCGCATCAGGTTGTTGACGGCGGTGGCACTGGCGCTGGCGCCGGGGTAGAGGTCGATGATGAGGGCGCTGTTGATGGTGAAGATAGCAGTCGCGCAGTATGCGAGGATGTATTGCAGAATGATCGGGACGGCCAGGTGAGTGCGGAGGGAGACGCCGTACACGGCGGTGCACACGATGAACAGCGCGGTGATCCACCAGGTGTTGCGCATGCGGGCGTACTCGATCGGGAAATCGGGATGTGTTTTGGTGGTGATGCGGGTGTCGAGGGGGAGGTTGTTCTGTCGGCAGTAGTCGCGCTCGGTTCGCTTGTGGTTGTAGTCCATGAGGTAGCCAATGGTGTATGAGCCGGACATGCATCCGAAGCCTGGTTTGGAAAAAGTTAGGGAGGCTTGAAGCTTTTTTTTTTTTAGGGTGGGCTGGCAAAAATGGGGTGATAGCTTACCATTGCCAAGGAATGTCAGGCCAACTTCGAGGGTGGTCAGGCCGTATCGAGACTCGAAGAGGTCGGATGTGGAAGATGTCACCATGGACCAGACGGTGTACACAATGGCGCCGAAGAACAGGGTGATGAAGACGTCCTTCTCGCCCAGGAAGGTGAGGGGGGCGAAGACGGTCTTGAAGGAGACTTTCTTCTTCTGCCCGATTGGCTGTGCGCCTTCCTTGGCCTCCTTCTGGCCCGTGATGTAGTAGATGAGGGGCTTGGAGATACCGTGGAGGCGGACGGTGCCGTTACCAGCAATGGGACGGAGTGTCTCGGGGAGGAACACCACGATAGACAGGAGACTGACCCCGGAGACAATGGTCAGAAACCAGAAGATCGACTTGTACCCGAGATACTGAGACAGGATCCCACCGAAGACGGGGCCAATGCCCTGGCCCAGCATTCGTACTGTCTAGATATCAGCCACATGGCCTCGTGGATCGATTGAAATTGAAGAGCAGAACTTACCACCGCCAAAGATTCCGATCAGACTTCCTCGCTCTGCGGATGTGGTGATATCACCGATGACACCGGCACCTGGTTTCTTTTAGATACTTGTTCCAAATAAAAAAAAACACTCGTGGGTGGGAAAAAAAAACTCACCAATGGAGATTGTAGCCGCACTCCCGGCCGCTTGCAAGGCACGGAACGCCATCAGCTCCCCGTAGTTGGTTGAAACGGCGAGGGCAATGTTGGCAATGATGTACACAATGAATGTTGCAATGAAGATTCCACGGCGCCCCATCACATCGGAGAAGGAGCCCCAGAAGCTCGGGGCGAGACCCTGAACAATCATATATACTGTGACAGTTAACGTTGTCAAGGACATCGAAACACCGAGTTTCTATTGCCTATTTAGCATGCTTGACGCAATATAGTATGGAAGTCTTTGTGATATGAAAAAGGCTTACCCTGGATATCATGCCAAGAGCTGGGAAATAGATATTCGAAGATAAAGGGAGAAGATGGCGGCGAGTGAAACGATGCAGACAATCTGCAATTTGCGGGTTCGTGTGAAGACATGGTATACCGGAGGAGGAGACGATTGGTTTTCAAGACTAATTGATGCCGGAGAAGGAGCCTCAATAGTCACGCCCTTTTCATCAGCGGCCCTGAGCCTAGGGCTGGAGCTGTTGGAGCTCACGGAACGCTCCGTGACATCCACCTCCTTTTGCTTGTCCAGGGAATGGGTGGACATGGTTATAAGCAGTAGAATGGAAGGGATATGATTAACAGTGCATTAATTGAATGACTCTTGGCGAGGGGGGGCAATATAATAATTATGATATGGAATGTTCAAAAACCACTTGGGAAGAAAACCTTGAATGCGAGAATTGGAACGACTGGCCCTCCCTTTATGTATATGGGCTGGCGTAACCACTCTGCATCAGCGTGCTCCCTGATAGCACCCAGAAACACGAAACAAGGCCCATGCTTCTCAGTCGGAACGGAGACCATGCGATCCACTGTGGGTTCTACCTAGGAGAGGCGAGTCCGCCATCCCCTTGGCACCCGTGGCGACGATCAGATCAACAGGGCGAGACGCATGCAACTTGGTACCATGGTGGATTGGTGATCGGCGGTGGGCCCTGTATTATCCGATTACGCCTCCATGGAGTATAATGCATGGAGACACTTCGGACAGGGCAGGGAAAATTCTTTGATTCGAATCATCCCGTGGACTCAACCTGAAGTCTAAGCCCCCCCCCCGCCGACTGACTTCTTGGCTTATCTCCTCCCCCTAAGATTTACAGAATCCCCAAAGTCCGATGAAGATCTCCGCCGAACTAGTTATGCGGAAGCCTTCCTTCAGTGACAAGATATGGGGGACAAATTCCGGTCCTTGTCCTGAGAGATTCCTCAGACCTGCGCGCGTGTCAAGCACAACACGATCTGCATGCACATCCACAAGGTCAGGGTTTATACTTGTTGTCTCTGTCATTAGACATGGTTCATAACTAAATAGGGAAAGTATAAAAAAAAGAAAAGAAAAAAAAAAGAAAGAAAGAAGAGGAATCCAGAAGAAAATCCAGAAGAAAATCTAAAAGCCAAAAAAAAAAAAAAACAAAAAACAAAAAAACAAAATTACATGCATAGTACGCCATTTCCTCCTGGATGTGCTTCAGGCAGGATCCTTAGTTTCCTTCGGAGGAATCTTACCAGAAGCGCTCGAAGACCGAAGATCCTGCAGCTTCAATTGATAAGGCCTTTGATGAATCATGACGGCCCAATAATAGTGGTAAAGCCAAGCCTTGGCGAGATTGGATTCTCGCACATGGTTCTGGAACCATGACCAGGGACAAGGCTTTTACGCGTTCTCACGACGAGCCCCGGTGCAGACCCGGTATAGGTTTGACGTCTCAGGAAATTCATCCGGACCCTCGTCATACTCGTCATCCTTCAAGGGATAGGAATTACTCCCCCGTGATGTCAAAGTAGAGGGCGATTTGTAGTTCATCTTGGAAGGCGGGAGAGCTACGGGACTAAATTAGGGCCCAATGGCGGATCTGGAAAAGGGGGCGGGAACAGCACTGGATTGCCCGGTACCCAATCATAGGGGGGTCCCCCGACAAATAGGGGGGAGCCCACTCTATTGGGGCTTGACTGTGAAGAAAAGGGTCAAGGAATGTATCTTCCCCCTCCAGACAAGGTTCACACTAGACGGGTATGATCGACAAATCGAACGTCGTTTACATGACGTGGTGCGCACCGCGCGGCGCCAATCCTTACCTGCCGATCATGACCCACCCATTTCTCATCAGCCCCCTTGGCGTGCAGCATGGGACAGGGGTTACGCGAAAAGGAAAAAAAAAAAAGGAAAAAAAAGAAAAAAGACCCGAAGCTGTCACTGCCTTCTGGCCACTCTGAAGCTCGAGACGCTGCATGAGGAAGCGTCGAACCCTGGGACTCCGCCGGCCGGACACTTTAGGTGGAGCCGGATGGCCAAGGATGGCCCATGGCCACAACGAGGCTTGAAGCGATGAAGTTCGTCCGACGGAGACACTTCGACGGCTATCGCAGCAGCCAAGCATTGGCATTCGAGTAGTGCCCAATACTCTTCAACTACGGCCCGGTTCATGATCGCCATCTCTTCCGAACGGATTGTTCGTTGCTCCAACCCCTTTGACAGTTACGAGGCTGAATGCATCTCATGCTGCTCTACGGAGATTTGCATAAACATTAACTCAATCTCTTTTCCCCTCCTCCCTTCTCCAGTCTTCCATCATTGATCCCCCCCATTCTAGCGTGGCCGGGGATCTGGACAGACGATCCCGACTCGGGTAGCCGAGTGCAACCCCCTCCTGTGCGGTGATAACGCCTGCAGATTGGCCAAGCAATTCTCCTTCACATGTAGGGTTCTCGTATCTCCCCACCAGGTGGGAATCAGCCCGTTCTAGCCTTGGGCCTTCTTAGGGTCTTGGGTTACAGCTCGTTTTAGCTTTTACGCCCCAAGTGGAAATCCATCGAACTCGGCTGATTCTAGTCCTGAATCGTCCTGGTCCCCGTCGAGGCATCTCGAGAGCGTTTGGGGCTCCGGACACCTTCCCAAACGGTCCCCACGCGCCACCACGATCGACACAGACACACTCTCTTTAGAAAATTCTCCCCACCCCACCCACGTTGTCGGCGCTGCAGATACAAGAGAGGAGTCTTCCGAGTTTACCCTGTGCAAGAACTAAGCACACGTCAGGCCCTCGAGATCAAGATAACTAACAGTCCTATACTTTCGGGCCTTAGTTTCCCCAAGCCTTCCCTCCAAGGTACATCACCACCCTCCTTCCCCCTTCTCCTCGGTCCAGCGGTATGGACCGACGGCTGTCGATTTGTCAGATTGCGCCATCGGCAGCAGGGTGCCTTTTCGAGTCTCTTATCAATGTGCGAATAGACCGGGAAAGTAGACCGGGAAAGTAGACCGAGAAAGTCGAATCACGAGAAAGCAACCTATAGACGCAACGGTAGCCCTATCACTTATGAAACACCTCCATAGCATCTTAGATGAGCCTAGCTTAGAAAAGACGGAGTATAGCAACACAGGGCAAGGTTACCCAATTTGGAAACCCTGGCCCATTGGAGCAACGCATTGGCTAAGGGCTAGGGCAGATCTAGAAACCGCGTGGGACCCTCCCAACCGTAGCACCGGCACCGTCCTTTCACTATGATTCATACCTTTCCCACGTCTTGCGTATCTTCTCGACTGGCAGTCACTCCGCATTCCTCACCACTCTCCCCCTAAGAATTAGTGCGAATTAGCCTACGCAATCCCCAGCATACCTCCGCTACCTCGCATTCCTCCCCACTGGGGCCCATTAACGGTTTTTTTTTTCTTTTTCCTTTTTGTGCCCCTCCCTCCCATCCTTGCCAAGGAATCCGTGATCGTCGGAGGACGAAGTCATCATAACGCACAAGTTATACTTTCGTAGGATCTGCAGATCGTATAGGGGCCGGATCTCATATCTTGGGCCCCGGCGCCCCAAAATTTAGACAGTGCATAAGGGCTTGGCGGTGGCTCAGGAGCGGAAAAAGCGCGCACGGTTTCTCCCGAGCCTTGCAGAAGTTCGGTTGGGCCCCCGGGCCGGCCCAAGTTCTCTCGGCGTGAGGCCCTACAAGGCCATATGAAACTTCCGGATCTGCGGACTCCTTTTTCTTGGCTCGGCGTTAGGAAACTCGCGTAGCAGGATTCGCCCCTCTCGGCAGACTTTGCCAAGATTTTCGGTCCCCGATAAAGCTCCTTTTGGGATCTTTGGAAGACGAAAGCCAAGCGGGGATGGAAGCAACTAAATCCATGGTTCCTTGGCTTCTGGCTCAGGGTCTATTGTGCGGCGTGGGGGGCTCTGGTTCTAGACCCCACAGGAGGGAAGCTCTCAAGGAACAAACAGTACTGGGAAAACAGAAGACGCTGATAGATCTGTGGAGGCCGTCCGGTCTTATCCTTATCTCACATCAGCCTCTTGAAGTTGTCTCGCTAAAGGATTCTACAGCAGTCTATATTACAACGCATGGCCCTAAGTACCGGTATCACACAGAAAAGGTTAGATGTGGCGTATTCTAGCCCTAGTAGTTGCTCTTTCCATTCCGTGGATGATAGAGTCGAATCAGTACGGTTCACCGACGCAGATGATATGGAGCTTCCCAGACAGGTAAAAATTAGACTCGATTGATATGACTGCTTTTTCAGCTCAAGGCTTATGGCCCAAAAGCTACCGATGCGCGATTTCTTTTTTTTTTTCGGTCGCCATGTAACACACTGGGCCCAATCAATACCCTCAGCGATGGTCTGCATCCACTGCGCGAGCATAAACGAAGTACGCGCGGGCAGCCAAGAGTATCTGTGAGTGAGAATCGAGCAGCGACGTCACCTTCTGCAACGTTTCCTGGGCTGATGCATGACCGGGGCGGCGGGCAGGAAGCACATCGCATAGGATATTACGTTTGATCAACTTGTCAGGGTACTCAAAAGCAATACCGGGGGCCTTGACCACTTGTTCATCCCATTTGACAAGCCCTGGCCCAGAGCCCAGCTCGTAAGCGAGTCCTCGAAGATTATTTCCGGTTTAGGCGAGAGGGGAGATGGAACGTCACGTCTTTCAAGGACCCAGCAGCACAACCTGCGGCCGTTGCCGACACGCCTGGGCCCCGGAGTCCCACGGAATGATGAGCAATATGAAAGATAAGTCGAAAGCGCTGTGGCAATTGGCTCCTGATAGGCGTTGTTGTCGGGGTATCGATGCGGGTTGATGGAAGAGGCAGGATGCGCCGCCATGTAGAAGGTGTGCAACAAACAGATGGGTATCGAATGATAAGGACGGTTCACGGCAAATCCCAGAGCTCTCCAACTAACGACGGCCCTTCTTGCCCTTCCCAGTACGTGGCTTGGGAGTGGTCATGGATTGCAAGTCCCGTTTGCTCAGGTTCAGCGTGCCCCCGGAAAATTTCCCGATTGACGATCCTCCGACGCCTCGCTCCCTTCGGCCTGCCTTTGACTTGGATACTTTGGCAGGCTTCTCCAGGATGATACCGTTTTCTTTGGCGTCTCGTCTTCTTTTCTCTTCTTTCATGGATGCCTTGGCTTTGATCCCTCGTCGATGAGCGGTGGGCATCTTTTCTTGCTTGTAGAGAGAGGTTTTGGCACCCAACGATTGCATGCGCAGGTCTAAAGCCTTGAGACGGTTTTTGCCAGTCGGGGCCAGATCTGAAGCGGACTCGAGTAAATGAGACTCCCGAAGAAGCCTCTGCAAGGCGAGATCATGCTTTAGGTTGTCGTGATCATCTTCTTCATCCTCCTTGCTCAGCTTTGGTGCCGTCTTCTCCTTTGGCACATCTTCAGACGGTAGTTTTCCTTTCTGTAAAACTTGTGAGCGCCGGCCCAAAAGTAATCAGCCAATATTGCACCTACCAGGAATGCCTTCCGGGCTTTCTTGTCCATGATTGCATCCGAGATAACCTGAGCATCCTTGTGCTCGACGACTTCGACTTGGCCCTCGCTCTCCTCATCTTCGGAGAGTCCATCCCAGTCTGAGTCCCCTGACTCGTCCATATCTGATTCGTTTCCCCTTTCCTCTTCTTTGTCGCTGTCCGACTTATCTGGTCGCGACGAAGCTATATCCAGAGGCTCAAACTGAGCCTCGAAGTATTTTCGGAACACATCCTGGGCATTGCTTGATGGCTCTGGGCTTGCATCTTTTTCGTCAGTCGGTTTGGATGCGACGGTAGTCTCTCTCTTGCGTTTGCCGGCCATGATGGACCCTTGTGCCTAGTGCCAGGATGCTGTGAATCGGTGGTCAATATTGTCAGTCCCAAGATTTTTTTCGAGCCAAAGCTCCATGTCACGTGCGATAAGATAAGCGATAAGCCCCTCCAGCAATGAATCGGCCCTGACGGTTTTACTCACTCACAGCAAAAATGACAAAATTCAGACCCTGCATTGATCTCCACTCGGGACAGGTCAAACAGATTGTGGGTGGTACTCTCAGCGCTGTGGCCGAAGACCTGAAAACCAATTATGTTTCTACACTCCCCGCGGGCCACTACGCCGCATTATACAAGCAGCACGACCTCCGCGGAGGGCACGTAGTCAAGCTAGGCCCTGGAAATGACGATGCTGCAAAGGAGGCCTTGCAGACGTGGAAATCCGGGTTGCAGGTTGCGGGTGGCATCACGGATCAAAATGCGCAATATTGGATCGATCAAGGCGCGGAAAAGGTGAGTACTGTACAGAATCTATCTTTGACCTACAGCTTGAGGGATTCGCCCATGCGTGGCAATTACTCTGCAAGGTTCTCTTTGGCTGTTTTAGTGCTATTACCACTAGGTCATTTTTCCTGGGGTTTCATTTCTATGGATGCGACGCGCAAAAAAAATAGCAGGACGGATGGCGCTAATAAGTGATAACAGGTGATCATCACATCGTTCCTCTTCCCTTCCGGGAAGTTCTCACTCACGCGCCTTGAATCAGTGCTGCAGTCACTGGGCGGAGACAAGTCAAAACTCGTTTTGGATTTGAGTTGCCGTCGCAAAGGAAATACCTGGTTCGTGGCGATGGACCGATGGCAGACTATCACTGAGATGGAGATCAACAAAGGTACCCTGCGACCCCCTCCCCAGCATTGTCCCTTTACTACACATACTAATAGTCTCGTAGAATCCATTGCCCTCCTAGAGCCTTATTGTTCTGAATTCCTTATCCACGCGGCGGACGTGGAGGGGTTACAGCAAGGTGTGGATGAGGAACTGGTCTCCAGGCTGGCAGAATGGTGTACAATACCTGTAACATATGCTGGGGGTGCCCGGAGCCTCCAGGATCTCGAGAAGGTCCATGTCAGTAGCCAGGGAAAGGTGGACTTGACCATTGGAAGCGCCTTGGACATCTTCGGTGGTTCCGGTGTGACCTTCAACGAGTGCATTGAGTGGAACAAAACACACTGACCCTGTGAGCCTAATCAAATAGCCCAAATGTAATCAAAACACTCGATTCGTAGAAAAAAGAAGTGGAAGGGGACAAGTCCATGTACAATGCGTAACGCAGTAAGTCCACGAGTCCGAAAGCGGCTAGCGCAGGCAGAGCTCCGCCCGCCAACCTCCGTGCATCTCGACTCTTCCAACCCCCAAATCCTTAATCGTCCATCCCCCTCCCTGCCCACCACACAACGATTCGAGCCTCTCCCATACAAGCTTTGCTGTGCCGATCCACGTCCCCTAGACCGCTGTCGTACCCCGCTCTGTGGAGCTCACAACCGCCAAGATGAAGCCTATCGTGTCGGCAATGAACGCCTGGTCTTGGTACGATCGCATACTCTCCCGGCACAGAGGCCTGAACGATGGGACAGTATTCTAACATATCTCCTCTAGTGTGGTGATATCCGCCTTTGCCATCATTATTCTCTCAGTCCTCGGATCTCTCTACGGCGTATGTCATCCCCCATCTGAAACCTCAGTTGGCCTGCCGTTTCATCACTCGCTCCCTCCCATTGCGCTGATGCACCCATCGACGGTTCAATTTACTAACGTGCAACCACCCAACAGAGCAATAACCACGCATACACAGGCTCTGAAGGCGAGCCCGAAGACGGCCCGGCAGTCGCAGCCTCCCTCTGGATCGCAGTATTCGTTTACCTTGTACGTCAACAACCGCTTGCTTGCCAGCAACATATCTGGGAGGTCACTCGCCACCCGAACTGTCACTAATACGTCTAGTAGGGGTTCTTCGTGTTCTGCGGATTCCAAGCCTACCTCCATCTGCGCGGGAGCCGGGGCGGCGCCATATCACTCCAATAAACAACCACATTTTCATATTGCTACGATCTCTCTCAAACGGTGTCTCTACAGGTTATTGTGTTTATTTGCAATGGGTTACATATCTTGGTCTTTTCGAAATGTTGCTTGATTTTTGAGGGTTGGAAAAGGGCGGGGGAGGACCTGAAACAGATCAGCGGACTCCGGATCCAGAAACTTAGCATCTTTTAGGCGCTTTACCCTGGAGCCGCTGGAGTCCGCTGTAGTCTCGCGGAATAGAGAGTTCTCCGTTCTTTTGAGGAATATACATCTACTTGCTGGGCGGGTATTCGGATATCCTTGAGGGCACGGACGGCTCATTAACTTTGTACTACATGTGGTTGTATATAGACCGCCCTACTTTAGCAGCTTGTTGGCACGGTCAAGTTTACGGATATTTCTCTTTGGCTCTTATTGCGCTGTCAGGCGATGATAGACATTTTTCATTGCTCATAAAATAATACCATAGATCCAACTTTTTGGTGTATTGTCCTGAACGCCAATGTATGCAACATCCCAAATAGAAAGAAGCAGCGGGTATTCTGGCCCCATTCTTTGTGGGGTTGTTTGTTTTGCCGAGGAGCGTGCTCAAATTACTCCTCGTCCTCCTCCCATGGGTCCAGCATCTTAGACATGTAAGGTCCGTCCAGCGTGTACCCAAGTCGGGCATAGTAGCTACGCACGCCAACACCAGAGATAACACTGATCTTGCGGCTGCCATGCTCCTCCCGCGCAATGCGCTCAGCCTCTTCCATGAGCAACGTACCGAACCCACGGTGCTGGAACTTGCGCGCATCACGGCCATGGAGCGGCACAGCCGAGCCGTACACATGCAGCTCTCGGACGATACTGGTCTGCTGGCCTGTGAACTCGGGCGGAAGGTGTGCGTGTCGCTGCACTTGCGCAGACGGAGAAGACCAATGAGAATGTCCTGCTTCGGATCCTCGTATGCCAAGAACGTCTCCCAGCCGCCGTTCGCCGCGTAGTCTCGGCGAATCAGCTCGATCTGCGACGGGCGGATCTTGTTCTTCACCTCGTTGATCCCGACTTCTCGGGTGCGCACGTCACGGCAGGTGGTGCCGAAATCCTTCATGCGGGCAAGCGCGAGCTCTCGCAGGTTGCCGTTCTCGACGCCGGAAGTCACCAGCGGCATGGGGATATCACGCTGCACGCGGTAGATACGGGTCCAAGGGGGTACCAGGGCCAGGATGCGGGCGACGAGATCGACGAGGGCGTTGGGGGGTGTAGTTCTTGTATCGACCTGTGCGCCAGAGCTCGTAAAGACCGGTGCCTCGGATGACGAGGGTGGGGTAGATCTTCAAACCGTCTGTACGGAAATCGGGGTTCTCGAAATACTCTTGGAATTGGAACAGATCGCGCTCCATTCCAACGTTGGGAAGATCAGGCATCATGTGGCTGACAACCTTGAATCCGGCGTCTTTCGATAGCTTGAATGTCTCTGCGACTGCTGCCACAGTGTGACCACGGTTCGTGTCCCGGGCCACGTCCTCGTACAAGCTCTGCACGCCGACTTCCAGACGGGTGCAGCCGTAGCGGAGCATGCTGCTCAGGTGTGTATCTAGACAGTAATCGGGCCGAGTCTCGATGGTGATACCGACACACTTGACATTGCTCATTTCCCCTGCCTCCACCGCCTCATCCACATTGTCCGTTTGGTATCCGCTGAGCGCGTTGTGAAGTTGAGAGATAAATTTCTCGCGGTAGTCCTCGGGCAGCGACATGAAGGTCCCGCCCATGATAATGTATTCGACCTTGTCCACGCTGTGGCCCAAGGACTTGATCTGATCGACTCGACCCCGCGCTTGTTCGAACGGGTCATATCGAGCGCGGATGGCACGCATAGAGGTCGGTTCGTAACCGGTATAGGACTGTGTGGAGTATTCGAAGTCGGAGTCCGGGCCACCAGGGCAGTAGACGCAGATGTTACCGGTGTAGGCGATATGAGGGCATCGGTGAGGCTTGCACATTACCGCCACGACGGCGATTCCAGACGAGGTTCCTAGGATTCAGACCGTTAGATTTGTGGATCACAAGATTGCCCATATGGAGGAAAGTACGAACGAATAGGCTTTGCGATCAGCTTCGGCAGAATGTATTTCTTGTAGTGTTCAGGCACGGCCGCAATGATGGCCGTGAGTGGCGGCTGCGAGCCCAGAGAATGCTTCTTTGCGATGGTGCCCCGCAGCTTGTTGAGGTTGATGTCTTTCTTGGGCTTCGTGGAATCCTTCTGCGATTCATATTCTTGGATGAGGGCATTCGCGATATCTGAGCATGCTTGCATGAAGCGCTCGCTCTCTGGCGCAAGCCTGGTGTTCTTCGGCTTCATGCCCTTCTTCGAAGAAGGCGGCATGGTCACGGTCATGGTCGCCATGGCGAGAAACGGTCCCCACGAGACGAAATCGAGCCTTAACTGGTAAAGTTATACTGCAACACGAAAAAAAAAAAGGGCTTCCAGAACAACAGTGGTGGGGGGATCGATTAGATCAAAAAATGGAGGGTCATGCCGAACTCACGGATCCGCTTAAGTAAAAAAAAGAAAAGGTTTGCCCGGCGAACGAAAACTCCCGGGCGCGCATCCCGAATTGCTGTCCACTCCAACCCCTTCACCTTTTCATCCCTCCCCTCTCCCCTCTTCCCCCCCAAACCTCAGTATTCTTGCAGCCATGCAGGCCTTCCGCCGTAATACCCTCTCGGCCGTCCGCAATGTCGCTTCTCAGCAGCGCCGCGGCTACGCCCAGCCTTCTGCTGCGTACGCCAGCACCGTGAACAACCTCCGGATCAACAAGGACACTCGAGTTCTGTTCCAGGGCTTCACAGGAAAGCAGGGAACGTGAGTATCTGCCTCTTTACACCCGATCCAATCTACCTTTTCCCGCGACAGGTGCTGACGTGTAGGTTTGGTATAGCTTCCATGCCGAGCAGGCTATTGCCTACGGTACTTTATCCCCAACTCCCTCGCGTCGCAATCGCATCCACGAAACAAATACTCATCCAGAGCAGGCACCAATGTCGTCGGTGGTACCAACCCCAAGAAGGCCGGCCAGACGCACTTGGACCGTCCCGTTTTCGCCAGCGTCGCCGAGGCCGTGAAGGAGACCCAGGCCACCGCGTCTGCTATCTTTGTTCCGTACGATCTTGATAAGCTCGAAACTCATAGATGAAAACATGCTAATAGCTTGTAGCCCCCCCTCTTGCTGCTGCCGGTATCGAGGAGGCCATTGCCGCTGAGGTTCCTCTGGTTGTTTGGTAGGTGTCCCAAAATAAATACCACGGTTGCATGGATAGTTCCTTTGACTGACTGTTCTTGGATCACAGCATTACTGAGGGTATTCCTCAACACGGTACGGGCGACAGGATCACACTCGGCCTAGCATCAAACTAATCGGTTTCTCTTAGACATGGTCCGCATCACCGACATCCTTAAGACCCAGAACAAGACCCGCCTGGTCGGCCCCAACTGCCCCGGTATCATCGCTCCCGTAAGTCTAAGCCTCGCGAAAGAGAAGGGAGCAGAAAAAAAAAAAAAGTTGAATGCCACATCCTAATTGTCCTTACTTTCTTAGGGCCAATGCAAGATCGGTATCATGCCTGGCTTCATCCACAAGCGCGGTCGCGTCGGTATCGTCTCCCGCTCCGGTACCCTGACCTACGAGGCCGTCAACCAGACTACCCAGGCCGGCCTCGGTCAGTCCCTCGTTGTCGGTATCGGTGGTGACCCCTTCTCCGGCACCAACTTCATCGACTGCCTGAAGATCTTCCTCGAGGACCCCGAGACCGACGGTATCATCATGATCGGTGAGATTGGTGGTTCCGCCGAGGAGGATGCCGCCGAGTTCTTCAAGGCCAACAATGTCCACAACAAGCCCGCTGTTTCCTTCATTGCCGGTATCTCCGCTCCCCCGGCCGCCGTATGGGCCACGCCGGTGCCATCGTCAGCGGTGGTAAGGGTGGTGCCGACTCCAAGATCTCTGCTCTCCAGGATGCTGGTGTCGTTGTGGAGCGCAGCCCTGCTTCCCTTGGCAAGACCCTTCTTGCCGAGTTCGTCAAGCGTGATCTCGTTTAGATGGAGTTGATGCTGGTGACGTTTCATGCTCCTTGGTATCTGGTCCATCGTTTGACTGAAGATTCTGAAGGTACATCCATCATATTACATAGTGATCTGCGGACCATCTTTTTATCGGCCGCTGCTGTATTCTTTTCTCCTTTGTTTTAGAGACCCTCAAGAGTAATTAGTTTCGTGTAACTCTTACTTCAGACTCGGTGTGCTTTCGTAGTCTTATGTAGCAGGCGTCCTGCCTTGTAGATGTGGTAAGTTGGGAATTGCCTAATAGATCCTTACGCTGCGCTGAGCCTACAATCAAGGACTACAAAGTCACTGCTTCTTTTTTTTTGTTGGTGCGGTGTTTTAAGAATCGAAATTTACCAGTATCTCCCAATCTCAGCTGAAATTCGCGCCGCCTCCGATCGAGGACAACGAACCTTGGGTCGAAGGCCGCAGATTACCCAAATAGGGATTAGTAAATAACAGTGCAGCGCGGATCTGTCGCAAAAGAGACTCCGACTCGGGCATGATAATAATGTTTTCACTCGATGGGATGCGTTGTAGTAGCTTGTCATTTTCAACTCCAGCCAAGTCCCCTCGCGTTCATTCATCTATTTGTGATTCAAAATGCCCAAGAAGACTCCGATATGGATCAAGCGTGCGATCAAGCGTGCCGAAACGGCAGAGCTGCAGCTGAAGTTGATGCTTTGTGACATGTGGCTATATACAAGGGACAAGTATCTCTCAGAGAAAGAATTGCAGGAGCTCGACACAAAACTGTTCGTGATTGATTTTGCGACGGGGGCTACCAGCGACCAGTTCCACAACTACTTCATGCCCCAGGAAGCCAAGATTCCGAAGCTCAAGAATATCTTCAAACAAGATGATCCCGGCACGGTCAGTTTCACAGTCGGCCGTTACTCCATCAAGATCGGCTGGAAATCTCCCCGAAAGGGGTGAGCAATGTTTGGATATGGTTCTGGCGAAGCACGCCAATAACCCGAAGATAACGGGCATGCTTGGAGGCGATAAATGGAAGAAGTGCTCGTGAGTTCCCCCCAGACCTCTCACCTACATAGATCAGATACTGATCTATGTAAAGATGTGATATACGAAAGATAGCCGACCAAGCTCACGACCGGCTCTTCTCAAGGCAGTTAGCCGATCGATTCCAGGTCATTCGTGCTGTGCAAATGAACAGGCTTCATCAATCTCACATCCAGGTATGGATGACAAGCTCCGGCCTTGCCAAGGACAAGACTCCTACGGTTGCCGAGCTGCTGGTGTTGGTAAGTTGGATGGTGGAGGGCTTCTATCAGCAGAAAACGGGACAAGCAGACAGGGTAGCACCCAAAGAGTCTCCCAATCTTGTGTTTCCGGTATGTCTTGCCCCCGTTAGATGGTTCTGGCGGTGGTTGACTAGGAAAACCAGACCCTAGTCATTTCGTTTCATCCGCGAGACCATGCCCGAATCTTATACGGATATTACGCCGAGGGGCTCAAGCTTGGCATCAGCGAGCTGGTGGATTTTGATACGTCAGATTATCTCGCTAAGATGGAGCGTCTTCTGCGATGGGCGTTCCCGACGACCAACAGTTTTACTACAAAGCCGGTGCCTCTTCCGACCATCGCGGAGAACGAAGAGAACATACTCCAGGTAGAGAGGAAGGCACAATCCGGGGATTCAAAAAGACATTTCTGCAGAGGGTTTGCTCGCTTTGGTAAATATCAATTTGGCGCTCGGAGTAAAGATATGGTCCGAAGTGTGTCCACTATGCTCTCCGGTTTAGAATGACAAGGGCGCATAGAAAAATTGGACGGGCGCAAGCTGTATATATAGAGACCAAGCCTAGCGAATATCACTGTTGTTATAATTAAGCTCTTCGCAGCGCTTTGACGATTGCTTCCGTCCCAAAGACCTCTGCAAACTCGCCTTCGAGACTAGCGACGGACACCTTATGGACAGTTTCGGCATCGAAACCACCTTTACCGAAAGTCGCCGTAGCGTCAGACACCAGAATAATCCGCCCTGCTTCGACCTTCAAGGTCCTATCGTGGCTCCCATCAGAGGCTAGCTTCACAGGGCCACCATCAGGGAAGCGGTCCACCACTCTCAGGTTCGCCGCCATGCGAACGGTGGTCGAGACGCAGTGATCCGTCGTCAGCCCGGCAAAGATCACTTGACGGATGTCCTTCTCGCGCAGGTACGCTTCAAGGCCCGTCCCAATGAACGAAGAGTTCACGCTCTTCCAGAACACAGGCTCCGAGCCGTCCTTTGCCGGGATGGCATAGTCCAGCGGGCGAATTCCTTGGGCTGGATGGGACGGATGAAGAGGGGAACCAGCCTGGACAGACGAGTGGAAGACGTGAATCAGCTCCAGCGGTGTCGATGAGGTCTCTTTGGCTGTGCGGAATGCAGTGATGAGCGACTGGATGTTCACTTCGTAGAGAGGGTTGGAACGCCCGTTGCCCCAACTTGAGGCGGTTGATGCATGGGTGAAGCCCGACTGGTTGTCTATGAGGACGAGGGCTGTTGGAACGGTGAAGGTGAGTGGGAGAGACTGAGACATTTTTTTTCTCCCCAATTTTAGAGTTTCAAGTTGACTCTTGAATGGCCGCAAGCGATATACAGTCCTTATACAGGTCTTGGTGGGATGTTCGTTGTTCGGGGTGAGTCACTTGCTCACTAAGACTAGCGCAGATAGATCCAACTGGCCACGACGGGGCGTCTTATAGTAACATCGGATGGAGATGTGACGTGATATTTGTTTTCAATATATATCTCTCCTTTTGGCATCAGTGGCCAGCACAGTCTCTTGCTCCGACCAATCTGAAAATGAACTGGATAGTTATGACGTCAGTGTGAATACAAATAGCCATCTCTTCAACTAATATTCAGCCCTGGACCATCCGTGGGATTTCCTGGATGGTAAGGTGTCACGGTTCACAGTCAGTCTAATAAGCCCCATTTCATGCTTCCCACCTGAAAATTGGGCTCAACTTGGTCGTGAATAGCTATCCTGACTCACAGGGCCAGTAGCTGATCTCAATTTCTAGTATCGGCAAATGATATTGAAACCGGATGCCTACTTATCATTTAGATGATTGGAACCGGATGCTTCAGTACTGTCTTGGGTCTTATCTGCTCGTTAGATCAGTTCCTATGATCCTGCTGTTAACCTACAAGGAGGTATGGAGGACCAAGGTTGGCTTTGAGAAACACGATGAATGACCTGAAGCTTCGTGACTCCAGTCCGAGAACACGGACAACATAAGTACGTGTTTGTTATCTCTTCGGCGCCCGGCCCATACTTTTTCGAAACAGAGACCGGCTCATTCAACCTCGAGGCAAGAATTGAGGAACTCGAAGACCGAGCAAAAAGGAAGCAAAAAAGTGGACTCGCGGGGAATCGAACCCCGGACCACTCCCATGCTAAGGGAGTATTATACCACTAAACCACAAGCCCGCTTAGGTAATTTTCTCTAAAATCTGTGCACTGAGTACCACATCCTGTCCGAATGGAGGCATGTCGGGGTCTAAATCAGTAGGGCAGAGATCTGAAAGGTTGTCGAAATCAAGCCAGCTGTTATGTTCTGCCTTCGCATCACGAAGCGTAACGAGTCCAGCAAGGGCGGGTGGTAAGCTCTATCTAGTACCCGCGGAATCAGCAGAAATAAACAGTGCACCGCTTTTGTCGCGGATTCCAGCTAGAGGGTGTACTATATAAGGCGTGCCTGGGCATATCTGCACTTCATGTGCGGATATAGTGGTCTTTTGGCTTAGCTGGCGTGGTTTTATCGTCGAGCACGCCAAAGCCACCTCATCCACGTTCTATCGGATCGACGCCAAAGACCATGAACCAGAGGTATATTCTGCGTGGGGATGGTTGAATGGCGTTTGATTTGGGTTCGATTCATCGTGAGTATATATTTCTATAATCTCGGAGCCGCTTTAGCGGCCAGATCTTCCCCGCTGTAATCTCTACCTCATCTGGGGGTGTTCAAACTAGCGTATGCTGGATATCCTATGTTTTCTCTGGGGTCAGGCACTGAGCTGGCCGGTCTAATACAGCAGACGAAGTAGCATGAATGGATACCCGATGTACGCCAAGGGCGGTAAACCCAGGGTACAAGTTCACCACCCCGTTCTCTCCTTTTTCAAGGGCGACTTGCAAGATATTACAGAAAGGGGGATGCTCACTTTAAGCATCTTCGTATAAGATTCCAAGTACGAAAGATTTACGAGTAGCACCTTTCTATTCTCAAAGGAGGGAACGAAACTTGAAGACGTCTGGACTGATGTTCCGACCGTGGGTTCATATCGCTGTGCCGCGAGAGCCGGGTGGGAAAACGAGGTAAGGGCCCTTTGGCCAGAGACTGTTCGAGCTACTTCCAGCGCAAATGTCGAGAGGTTCGAGACCACAGCAGAAAATCACGCATAGAAAACGGTCGGCTAACCTGCTGCTGCTGGCCAGAGGAGATTTTCTCTGGTCGGATAATCGGGTGATCGCCCGGCTTGGACGGCAACGCCAGGGGCGGGTTATTTTTGGCATGCGGTCGCATGAGAGCGAAAAAAAAAAATGATGAAAACGACTTATACAAAAATTGACTAGGGGAAACAAGAGGAATAGGATATAAGCGCGCTCGGTCACCAGCAGTCCAGCTCTCATCCATCAATCCATTCCACTCCTGAGTCCTCACTCCATTACCACCGGGATTCATACCAAAGTCTCCACATCACACCCGAAACCCTCAAAACAACCTCAAGTTCACAATGGTTGCTGTTCCCATGATTGGTGCTGGCCCTTACGGGACAAGCCCCAAGTCCGCCCGCTCCAGCGCCACCAGTGTGCCCAAGATCGACGCGGCGCAAATCGAAGACATTTTCCAGTCTGTGCACATGGCCCAGGAGCCCGCCCAGGGAGGCTCGAGCCGCTTTGGATGGTTCTCCCGCAAGTGAGTTGAGCCATACTTCAGGTCTCGTGCGCAAGCTAACAAGCCTTAGGGTCAACAAACTCCACCGTCGCAAATCTGAGTCTACTGCGTAAAAGGTTGAGGGCGGGCCCGAAACCTTGAAGATTGCGGATATACCTTGGGCAAGGTCATCTTCCATCCTCTAACGACTAATTTAACGGGAATATATATGTAATTAGATGAAAATATATTAATCACTTTTACTGTCTCCATCTACTGGATATTGACGATGTAGATAGAGCTGCCCCTGCACAACAGCTCTGCTTGTGGGGCCGCGGGTTTCCATGGAACGAATCTTCCAGGAAGATAGGAACGAAACCGAACTTCAGACTAATGCCAGTCACCACGCTGGCGCTTCCTCTGTGGATTTTGCACCAGGTTTCCTATCCTCGAGAGTCTAGAGTGGGGCTGAAATTCTTCTATCCAAACGCGATCTCGCACCATCTAAGAGGCTGCAACATGGGCCTGCCACAGCGATGGTTCATGACCGCATAATTTCTCACACAGGAAGGGTTTTAAGAGCGACCGGGCGTTACCCGACATTCCAACCTGCTCTCGGGTTCTAACCGTGAAATAAAGATACAGGTTTGTCCCAAAACAATTATAATCTTTCGCATATTCTTTAGCCTATCGGCCCAGGGTGCCGAGTCATCCATGATTGGCACTGTAGTCAATGGATATTCCAGGGGCCATGCTTCATATTGGTCGTCTGATTGGTTTCTTATAGATCCCCATGCTTGGCGCCAAGGCTGACACTGTTCGACCAGGGGTAGCCAATAGGGGTCTCTAAGGGGAATATTGACGTGGCGTGGTGCACGTCACAACCATTCGATCGCATCTGCAATGCAATTAGTCCCGGGGTTCGTGCCCTAAGCGCTATGCAGTGACGAAAGCGAACGAAGCAATGCGATGTCTGGTGACCAAGCCGGGAAGAGGGGTTAGAGTCTAGTGCCGGCAGCCACGGGCATTTTCATTTAGCCGAGAGGCTTTGCTTCCGACCAGCCTAACTCTTTTTGAAGACCTCGCGTCGTGGTGATAACAGGATGTTCCGAATGATAGTCTCCAATAAGCTTGGCGCGTCGACCGGATGAGAAACTAAAACCACAGAAAAGCGTGCGCGAGCATGCTCGAGGAACGAACCCCCATACGAAGTATTTCGTTTTATTTGGTTTCTTATTCGTACGCCGGAGATAGGCTGCTGAGGCATAGAACCTTTTATATGAAAACCCGACCCCTGTCGAATCATAGACTCGGGGTACGTGGGTGGACCTATGAACCTGGGACTTATCTTTTAGTGTATGTAGCGGTCGGCGTTCGGCTAGTCGAGGAGCTTGACCCTCCGGAGCTGCGAATATCTAGACTGCTTTAGTAGGTGCGCCACAGTAACATCGCCTGATTGTGGCAAGTCTGAGACCACCTTTTAGCCTTCTCCGCGCAGCAGTTCTTCAAATGCTCCCTGTTCCAATCCGTCCATGATATGCCGGTGTAATGCTGTACTAGTACGAGATATGAACTCTCCAAGAGATCGAAGAGATCACTCCAGATGACCTCTCCGGTCATGAATACAATACGAGAGTGGTCATATGCCAACAGGACAACCTCGAAATGACCTCTCGATTCGGCAGGTGATTGGACGAGCAGGCTTAATTGTGACGAATGTGGGGATGCATGCTTATCATCATGATGAACTCCACACGTTAATTGTGGACCCATCCGAGAGCACGAGGCGTTATCTATGGCCTGGTAGATTCTTGGCGTTGCTCTCTAGCTTTCGCCTGAAGATTGCTAAGCAGAAGCCCCTGAAAAGAATGCCCTAAACAAAATGCCCCTGGATATGATAAGCAGGGCTCTATCACACCTGTCTACTGATAGCTACCTCTTCAACTTGTTGAGCAGGGGGTAGGGAGATATATGGGTGTTCTTTGGTCCTGGTAGTGCGCGCTAATTGGCCGTGGAGCTAATGAGAGAACTAGATAGCGCTATTTGCCGAAACTTTCTGCACGAGCTAAGCTCTGTTCTTCAGAGAAGTGAACAATAACTTGAATGCAGGGCCTTGATCTGAACTAGTGCAAATGGCAGCGTCGGCCTCCGACGGCATCATTGTCTCATTCTCTCAAATGAAGCTATCCCAGGCCGCGTAGCCTATAGACTGCTCTTGCTACGTATGCCTCGTGACAATGTTGCATCGCTAAACGACATGGGAGGAGAAACCGACTTCAGTCGTGATGATTCCAGGCCTCAGCCCTGCAATTATGTTGAGTTAAGTGCGCGATTTAGTGCTATACAGGTGTATATAAACCGTGTGATCGCCGCTGATTCTCAGCTACTTTGTCCTCACCAGCATTTCTCCAAGTCCTCATTCTCCCCTCCTCCTCAAAGCCTACAACCTCAACCATGAAGTTCTCTACTGCAACTCTCAGCGCTACGCTCCTAGCTACTGGTGCTCTTGCAGCCCCTCTGACATCCCAGCGTCAGGCTCGTAACCTTGCACGCCGTGCTGCAGGGACTCGCCACAGCCACCCTCCCTACAAGCCCAACACCGAGGAGCCTCTCCAGCTGAACGCTACTTCCCACGAAGAGTACAGCTCCAACTGGGCGGGTGCGGTTCTCATCGGCACTGGCTACACCGCAGTAACGGCTGAATTTGTGGTCCCGCTCCCTTCTCCCCCCAGCGGCGGCTCCCCTTTCGAGCAATACTGCGCCTCCGCATGGGTGGGAATCGACGGCGATACCTGCAGCTCTGCGATTCTCCAGACGGGTGTCGACTTCTGTGTCCAGGGAAACACTGTCTCCTATGATGCCTGGTACGAGTGGTACCCCGACTATGCCTACAACTTCAACGGTATCAGCATTTCCACGGGCGATACCATCCGGGTGACCGTGGACGCTTCGTCCAAGACCACTGGCATTGCCACGGTGGAGAACGTGTCCAACGGTCAATCGGTGACTCACCGGTTCAATGGGGGTGTGGACGGCGACCTGTGCGAGTATAATGCGGAATGGATTGTCGAGGACTTCGAGTCTGGCAGCTCGCTGGTGCCTTTTGCGGACTTTGGGACTGTCACTTTCCAGAATGCTGTTGCTAGCAAGGGAGGTTATTCGGTGGGACCCGCCGGTGCGACGCTCCTGGATATCGAGCAGGGGAACCAGGTCCTTACCTCTAGCTCCAAGACCTCGAGCAGTGTTACGGTGAGATATGTTTGAGAGCTCTAGATGAGGGCGGATGGGGTATAAGGATTGGCGGATTTCATCATTCTGAGCGGAGACATGGTCGAATTTCGGCTTTTATATGATTCCTTGGGCCTTGGATGTTGATGCTAATGTAGCGAGTTTGTACCCAAGATTTAGAGGAAAAATGTAATCCGTTCTTACGCTTGGCCCTTGACAATGTTCTGTCGAAAACGAGAACTCATACTAGTAGGATTTCCCAGCTTGGGTTGGAACCTAAGGATACACTGACTAGATTTCAATCAGGTAGCGCTACTAGAAAAAGAACGACTGCAGATGATAGTAGCCAGTTATTATCAGTGACTGTTCAACATATACGCGGACGGAGAACCGGAGCTGTGGGCGGTTGCCACTCCGGTTCATGCCTAAAGAGGGATCTTCGGGTTTTAATAGGACAGTTCCTGAGAGCTGCCGCCAGGAACTGTTGCTTTGAATATTACACGTGGTTCGACTCGTCATTTCATTCCCAGTAGGCTAGTTGTATCCTAGATTCGCCTTCGAGCACATCAAGATCTGCGAGGATAAGGTTCCCGTGTTAATGCGCGATCTGCCGTGTATTTACCCCGGCTTGATTGGTTCACGAATGACCTACTTCTACTAGTGGACGTCTAGGTGACACCCAGATCTCGAAGCTGATCATTTCTACTAGTAGTAATGATATGCATGATCCGGGGATTGTATGATAGACCTTGCTTGCAAGTCAGATTCTCAGTTATTTGCATTGCATGTTTTGCTGGGAAGCCTCAGCTCCAGATCGAAGTCAACTCCGATATTTTGAGAGAAACATCGTCCGTACTCCCATCCTTTGAAAATACTTGGACATGTGTCGCGTTTGCGAATGGGAATATCTGGGCGGTAAGGGTAGACTCTCCTTCACCTCCGAAGACTTCAACCCCGGCCCAGTCTAGTAAAATCCGTAATTTGATTATTCCGTGCTCGTCTGGTGTGAGTGGAGCATGGTAGATGGTCGGAAACGTCTTGTCGATGTCTGTGATGCCAGACTTGGTGCGATCGACAAACATTAACTTTTTATCGAAGTCATAGCCGATACGTGTCTGAGTCTTCAAGTCTGACGTAGCTCGAACAATGATGCCGGCTTCAGACGTGCCCGAAGTCGTTTTACCTTGGTCGGCGAACGCTAGTTCGATATCGAGCAGTCGTTCTTGAGGGCCGAGATCCTGAACGCCGTTTCGGAGAGATGACCAAGATCGTCGGAATCTTTCCTTTCCTCTCAGCTCTGTAATGTTCTGATGGGGCCATTGAAGAAGGATAGCCTTCTCCCCGTCCTGCTTCAGCGACAGATGCCGAGGGAACGCCATCGCCCCGCGCCATGGATTTGTGGGAATTTTCGAGCCATATTGCCAGTTATTCATCCAGCCTAATTGGACATGGTCATCCTCGGGTAGGCCATTCCAAGCAGTAGCAGCGTACCAATCCGGGCCCCAATCCATCCAATTTGCCGTCTCGTTGCCCGGGTACGCGCTATCGGCGTCTGGAACGAATGCAGTCCCGTTGAAGTCGCCGATGAAGTACTGCGTGCCAGACCCGACAGTTCCCGGTGGTCCGCCGGGGTTCAGTCCGACGACAAGGACCCACTTTGACCCTGTCTTGTCGGCTTTGAAGGGCAATGGGAAGAGATTCGGGCATTCCCAGACGCCGCCGACGGCGTTCACGGGTCCGAATTCACTAGCGACTGTCCAGTCGATAAGATTGTCTGAAGTCCAGATCATAAGTTTGTGAATGTCGGACAGCGCTGTGACGAGGATCCACTTTTGTGTCTCGTCGTGCCAGAAGGCGAATGGGTCGCGGAAGTTCTGCCATTGGTCTTCGTACGGAGCGGCCGGGGTCTCGATGATTGGGTTGAGGGCGTCGTAATAAGACCAAGTCTTGCCATCATCCAAGCTATAGGCGAGAGACTGAGACTGCTGGTTGGCTTTGACAGATTTCCCGCTGGGTAGATCCTGTGCGTATTGATACTGAAGTTTTTTTGACGCAGGGTTAATAATTGCAATCAAAGTTGTCGACTCCCAAACTCACTGCAGAGGTATAGATAGCAATCAGAGGGATCTTTCCGTCGACGCCCAATCCGCTGGTGTTGTTTGTGTCCGCAACAGCACTTCCAGTGAAGATCATTTCGGTGACATTCTGTGGGTAGCCACGCGCGAGAAGAGCAATCGGCTGGTGTTCCCAGTGCATCAAATCATGGCTCGTGGCATGACCCCAAGAGATATTGCCATCTTGGATTCCATACGGATTGTGCTGGAAGAACAAGTGATAGGTCCCGTCATGGTACAGTAAGCCATTTGGATCATTCATCCAATTCTTCGTGGGCGAGAAATGGAACTGAGGACGGTATGGCTCGTGGAAGCTTGCCGCCCATGTGATTCCAGCCCACAGGCTCAAGTATAGAAGCCGCAAGGTGTTCATTGCGTGATAGGCTCCAGCTTCCCGGTGAACATGTTTGCTCCAAGCTACGTCGAAGAGCTGCCCCCAAGTGGTCTTTATAGCTTCATGGTGCGCTTTCGCTTACGCGCATATTTAATCCCCATGGGGGGGAGGGGGCTGTTTGGGGACGGCCGCTCGGACAGTTGCCGAAAGTCGTTAGCGCCGGCGATTCTTTGGAGAAACATGGACTATCAAGCGGCCCCCCGCATGCCGGATGGTCTCTCGTTTCACGGGGATGCGGGAGACGTAGTGGGGTTTACCCGTGGTTCCTCGGTGAAATTCATGAGGGGAATCCTGGAAAAGTCGGCATCGGGGTATCCTCGGCTCGTGGCGTGCATTGGGGCAGCTCGGGCTTTATTACGGACGCCAGGAGCGGCATGCTAGGGATCGTCAATTGGATCTAAGTATCTCACGGTGGGGTAGAACGTAAGGATGTCTGCGCGTCTTACCCGCAGGACTGGCCGACCTTCCTAAAACCGTAGAAGCCATGTAGCTACCGTGTAGCTTCCCCCCACACCTGTAATGAACGCCCCGTTGCTCTCCAATTCTGGGTTCTTGGCTTCGTCAGGATACTTTATTTATTTCTTGGCTTTCCCCGGTCTAAAGACGAGACCGGCCGCGTCGTTTGGATCGTACTGCCCCTCGACTGAGAAGTTTCCCCTTCTGCATTTCGACACTGGTTTAGCGAAGCCACACATGAGCTAAGGGGGTACTTTAAGGATGAATTGTTCTTGAATTTGATTCTGTTCGCTAGTGACTGGGAAAAGGGCTTCAAATCTTTCCCATAGACTCGAAGGAAAGCTTCTCTTGGCGTGAGCCAGCTCCAAAACCTGGGTGGTCAGAGTCGCCCGAGCTCGCGACACTGGGACCGTTTTTGACCCCAGGCGTCCCAGGGGTTTCGTCGTTATCATCACTATCATCATCATCCGAAATATTGGAAGATACCACTTGGCTGTAGTTATCTGGTGCAACGCGATTGCAAGGCACTCCCGAGTCCTCCTGGTCAATTATATTTTGGCATTGATATACCTCGTGCTGAATATTCGTCCCGGACATAGGTAACCCCAAAGTGCTGTTAACACTCTGCAATTCGACATCCTCAAACCTGATCCCCGGACAGGGGTGGAGATCGGAGCAATAGATGGAGGCGGCGACATTGTATCGCGTAGTGCCCTTGATATTAGACCAAGTGACATCTGAGATGGCCATCTTCGAGGTGTTGCAATTGTTCTCCGCCTCGTTGTAAATGCACTGCGAGATTTGAATAGGCAAAGCTACATTGGTCAGTTCAAAGTTGCGGAACTGTACATTTTTGACAGTCCCGCTTCCGCCGCCGCCGGCATCTCCGTTAGAGCTGTCATCTTCTGGAATACCTTGCCAGGTTTTGATAAACGCGGCTTCCATGCAATTATTGCAAACGATATCTTCGAACAGAATATTCTCAACATAGTCGGGGGTTGCAGGATACTGGCCGAGCGACCCGACAGCCATTCCAAAGCCCCAGTTGCAAACGACATTGCGGACGGTTAAATTTGTCGTATTACCTTTCACAGCAATACAATCGTCACCGTTTGTGATATAGGCATTCTCCACGAGAAGGGTGTCGCTATTCCAGGAGTCGTATCCGTCCGTATTGACTGTGCCCCATTCATCATTGCTGATAGCGCTCACGTAGAAATTGGTGATCGAGACGTTATAGCTGTGTGACACAAAAGTGGCCCAGAATTGTGGCTGAGTGATATTCAGATGGTCGACCCACAGATTCTTGGGATTCATAAAAAGTGATACTGATCGGGCGACCGGGTTGGTTGCTGTGGTTTCGGTTCTCGGTATACCATGCTTGGCCGTTACCGTTGTACCAGCCCCCTTCCCCCCTAAAGGTGACATTCTCTCCCCGAAAAGCCAAGCAGTGGATTGGTCCTGGAATACCACAGAATAAGAATTTGCCAGCCAGTATTCGATGTCGTCAGAGAAACGGAGCTCTCCTCGGAGCACCACATCACAATTTGCCAGGTTTGTAGTATTCAGCACTGAATTGATGTGGAACGTATGGTCCGTAAAAATCACCTCGCCGTCGGTCCCGCATAATTCGAAGGCTTCGTGAATCGACGGTGCATCGTCGACAGCTTGACCCTCATTCTTGAGAGACTCTGGATATAGTATACAGGTTGTGCCTTCTTGAAGAACATAAGCTGTTCCAAGAGTAGCAAGGCCCAGGGGCAGCAACAATTGCATGGCGCCGCACAGTTGCCCCTTGCTTGTGGGTTCAAGTTAAGGGGAATAGTCGTGTGTTTGAACGGACCTCAGAGCTGAGGTCGAGCTCACCCCTATATAGTCCCGGACTTCTTGTCCCTGGAATTACCCGATTATCGGACGTGACGGCATTCCACGCGAACAAGAGGATCGAGGGCAAAGCTTCTCCGCATAAATCGGTACCTCGTTCCTGTACGAGCGGAGATCAGGTGACTGGTATCCAATCAGCGCTGCTTCTTCGGCCAAGCGGTCCGAGCGGAATGCGTACGCATGTCGGGGAATGTCAGGGGCATCGCATTGAGGTGAGGAGATCTGCGGCCCTGCGGGGAACGTGACATGGCGTTCCCAATCAGATGATATGATGCTTCTAGCCGTCTAGTCTATCGTGGAATCATCTGACATTGCTATATTTCCGGGGAAGTCCACGAGACAAGAGAAAAAAAAAATAACTCAATGCCGATTAAGACTCAGGGTTCTTCTAATATAGCGAGGCGATCATATGCTATCGCTGTCGAGAACGACAAAACCTCGAGTCGATGTAGCTACAACCCCGGCTCTCGGACCCTTTGGCCATTCTATGACTATCGTCTTTATAATGGTTTGGGGGCATGATCTGGTCATACTCTCGATTTCTTAGAGCCGATAACCCGTGTTTGCCGACTGACGAGAGGAGAGAAGCCTTCATCACACGAGCATTACATGGACAGGACTCTCCAAGCAATCCGTCGCGGCCGAACGTCGCACGTCCGCCTTGGGTTGAGACTTATTCCATGGCAAGCATTCCTCGGCTGCGTCGATGAGAGCCATTTCACCTTGGAATCCGTGCATCCACCCCTGCTACCGGAGGCGCTGGGGGCTTGCATATGAAGGCTTAAGTGGCACCCAGCCCTTCCGTGGCATCTGGCCCGGACACTCCTTCAATTCTCAGGTGTTTCAACAAGAAATGCGATAATTCTCAGCCATGGCTGGGATTTGAAATTGGTCAACAGACAAATCGTGCTCAAGGGCGAAACTTCAGGTACAAACAAGGCATTTTAGGGCACCATCCAGGCGTCTTCCTGGATATTGTGCCTGAGGCATTAAAGCTAATCCGAAACGGGTGACCCGGTCGTGGATCGGTGGTGCACTCTACCTTTGACACTCGAAAGGGCTAACAATACTTTATTTGCGAGCCAGTCGAAACTTTTCACTGTGTTGGATATATTGAAGCAAGAAGTGGAATGGATCTCGGGATGGATGATGAAGTCATGAAATATCCCCCTCAGCGTGAGAACTGCAACTAGCAAGACCAACTGGAAAAATCTACCTTTGATCTTTGCTCTCATATACAAGCGAGATGACAGCTGAGAGCTTGCGTTCTCCTGAATAGATCCAGTCAAACTAATATGTGAGATAAAGGTGATTTAGACTTGTTAGTCATGATGCCAGTGCTTGAAGGGACACTCTTTCTGTCCCTGATGCCTTCTGGTTGAAGTCTTTACCCGAGTGTGGCGCGTACAACAAGCGGAATGCCTCATGCACTGTTGCTGGGACGGGTCGTCGGTTACGACGGAAATGATCATCGCTGACACACACGCCTATATAGTTGTGCGATTACCTCCATAAAGCCAGCCAGGAAAGATCGTGTCCCAAAGTGGTTACGCGATGTCAGCGCCACAACCTCCACAGTGCAGCCAGCCACTAGATTGCGGATAACTTAACTGGACACTTATCCACTGAATTTGGAGATCGACAGGATCCTCAGCATGCAAACCAGCAAATCGAAGGACTCCACGTCAGTCTGCGGGTGCATATCTGCAGTACTTTTGTCTACGCTCGATCTCAGTTGGCGTCTTAAATACCGTTCGCAAATCTATCTCTGTCTTCTAATCTATCATTCTTTAGCATAACTACTCTGTCGCTGTATATCCATTTAGTTGACCTCATCTGTCTTCCTTTCCACTTCGAAAATGGGTGCTATAAAAATTCCCAAAAACGATAAAAAATCCCCACGGTGGCTGCTGGATCTGGAGGAGTGGAGGATCCAACCGTATACTGAAGTCTCGAAGGACATTCTGGCTAGCGAAGGCTATGGAGTGGTTTCCTATACCTGGGGGGTTCATTGCAAACTGGAAGAAACCAGTGCCACCTTCGGAGTTGCCAGATGGTGTTATTTGGAATGTCCCTACCACTTCTAGATGGACCTTGGCAGAGGCCAGAGAGGTGATGAAAACTATCGGTACGCGCTACATCTGGTGGGACTGGATGTGTGTTCCGCAGGTTCGAAACGATGACTTGGGTAAAGGACTCCTCGATGCAAAGGGAGAGGAGATAGGGAAGCAACTGTGAGTTATTAGGGATATGTTGCTTTTGTACGGTGTTTCGAGATGTTTTGTGGACAAATCAGAGGAGAATATTAGCTGATCGTCACAGGCATATCTACAGGAATTCGAAGAAAAGCATCGTCTGGCTACATTCAACGTCTTGGGCGGAAGAGTCAGCGCTCAAGAAAATTCTGCTCTTAGGAATGACACGGCCCGGGGATGCGGACCCAGAAATCGTTCGAAAGCATACAGCTGACGTAGAGCAATGGATCCAGACCGCCCAGAAAGAGGAACGCTGGTTAAAGTCCGGGTGGACTTTGCAAGAAGGTGTTCTCCTGGGAGATACACTTCTCATTGATAGTAATGGAAAGCCATTCTCGGACGAAAGATTCTACAACGAAGCCCAGGCAACCGTTAGAGACTTGTCTATCCCGATTTCAGTCCTGGCACACAACCTTGCCTCGGCTTATTTCATACACGTTGAAGGTCATGATCCCGATCCCGTGAGGCCAGGAGCAGGCCAGTTTGGAAATCTGTTACCGAAGTCGCCCAACTCAGCACTCTGGCTGCGGCGATCGATCAAGTTTCTCGTTGAGACGGGATTGGTATTTTATTTCCGGGGGGAGCCCGCTCTATATCCTCGCTGGTAAGCAGAGCCGAGAATACAAGTACGTCGAAGACTCCTGCTGGGCATTGATCGGTGCAATGGAGCTCGAGAACGTCAAGGTTGAATACGGAATTCCCATGGACGATGTTAAGAGGCAATTCTTGTCTGCCCTTATCGCAAAGAACCAATGGGAAATGTTTTTCCTTCCCCCCCCGAGTGTCGTATAAAAGAGAAAGCGAAAGAAGGCACTGTTGAGAGAAAGTTCCGGTGGCTTTCGATCGCGGACGGTGCTTTGTTACCTCTTGGTCTCTTCTTGGTTGAGTCGCATCCAAGCCCGGGGTTTACCGAGGACAATCTGCCCCAGATCATATTCTCGGACGAGCACTTCGGTTCCGACGATCTCCGCCTCAAAGCAAAAGAAGGTCAAGTCATAGGTCTCTTTCGGGCAGCCAAAGAAACTGTTACCTGGTTCCGTCACTATCGCCAGGACGAGGATGGGTTGCGAATAGTCTCTCCTCGAGTCGTCGCATTTGCCGAGGATGCGCTGTTTGAATCGGCTTGGTTCCTGCCTTTGTGGGATGTCGATATCAAGGGTGAGATACGAGGCAAACGTTGTGTCTTATTACTTCGATTCAACGGCGAAAGCGCTGCTCAACCGGCGCGGGCGGCGTTTGGTGGGATGATTGACATTTGGGGAATTGGGACTGAGAGAATCGAAATCGACGAGATCATACTGGACCCTACTCCATGAGGTCGTTTGGAGGGTTAGTCAGGACAATATTAATGATGCATGGGTGTGTTAGATTGGAGTTTTAGGTTCATGAGAACCTCGAAGAAGGCGTTATTCGTTACCATGCACGTACGAGCTCACTGATTAATTGCCTTGACAAGCTATACTGATTTGAGCGTAGTGATATCTCCTTATAAGAGATTGTTGCGCAGTGGATTCTGTGGAGTCTGAGGTCGTGCTGGAATATACTAAGAGGCGCTTGCTAAAGCGAGGTCCTGGCTGAGAGCACAATTTCCTGTCGTCAGCCGAGGGTTCAGGGATGCCTTCAGTCACCGCCGATCATGCCTGTGTATAGTATAAGTAGCGCTTGCCCCGGAGAAAAGCGAAGATTTACACTGTCAGCGTGGGGCTTGAATTGCATTCCAAATCACCCTGAAAAGCGCAGTCCATAACGATAATGATATAACTAGTCTCTGGTCTATTTTACTAATATACACATGTGGATTCCATACGTTATAGAGATCCCCTAACATCGGCCGTTCTCTATAATACTCATGAGGGAGGGTTTCACGTAAGGTTTTGCTTTACGCTTTGGTCCTAACCGCTGCTCAGTCATCACGGTTCAGGGTCTCACCTTCGCTGACCTCCGCTTATCGACCCGATCGACGGTGTGTCTCAGTCTCGTAGGATGTTTTCCCGCGTCAAGTACGAAGTACCCTTAAATATGGAATCCACTTTCCTGATCCAGTAAACAACGAAGCTTGTCTGTAGGACTGTCATCAATGCGGTGACGAGATCAGGCTCGCGCAGTGGGTGGTGGAATGGGCCATGTCTTAGATCCCCACTCCCTTTCGCACCTGAAAGGCCGACATGAGCAGTTGCCACAAATCAGCCCCTCGGGGCTATCCTATTTCCGGTTCCTGGTCCGGGGTGAAAGTGGCCCACAATTCTTCACAGTTGACCCCATAGGTCATTCGTGTCCGTACATGAAGCTTAGTTACAAGCTACTGGTTTGTCATCTGATACATACCGACTCTTTTTTCTATTCTTGTCTGGTCTCTTAGTTTCTTGTTTTTGACACAACCCGTGGGGCGTAGCGCATCTTCGACCTCCTAGGCAAAGGATATAAAGCCGGAGAACTTGTCCACAAGATGTTGAGAATATCCTCAACCACTCACTCGCTTTGCAAATTAAATCGTTTGACGTTATCCCCAAATTTAAGATGAAGTTCATCGCCTCGGTTGCGTTGCTGGCTGGCACTGCCATGGCTAGCCAGAAGGAGTTCAAGCTCAAGTCTACTGGGGCCACTCTTTCCCAGCATGACAACCTGTACTTGACTGCCTACCACACCGGTGCCGGTACCAACGATGCTGTCTTTCAAAGCAATGCCACCGTTGCTTCCAACTTCTTCCTAAATGGCACAAACGCCTTCGCGGACTTGAAAACCCAGTACCCATGGGGTATTGAGATCCAGTCTGACACTAACTACGCCGGTAAGTGTTTCGAAGCAAATGGGGATACGGCCCCCTATAGAATGATCACTATGGCTAATGAGGAAAATGAACAGCCTGGGACTCTGTCACCATCAACGCCGGCACTGGCTCCGATGGATTCTCTGTCAAAGGTGGGGAGTTGGTTTGGTCCGAGGCTGACGGCTTTGGTGGTTGGTTGAGTAAGTATTGTATTCATCAATCGACCCATGAAGGAATTCTAATATCTGCGACAGTCTGCGACTGGAACCACGGTGTTCCTCAGCTGTTCTACCTGGACCGCTACTATGACGACAAGATTCCCTCTAGCTGCAGCAAGGCCTCCCTCGCTGTTTCCCAGTAGACTAGCTACTGAAGTTGAATTGATATAATTTAGCTAGGGTTCTGATGTTGGAGATGGATACTCGAAAAGAGTAATTAGCCCAATCTTAGATTCCCAAGTAATAAAAGTTTAGAAACTTTTGACGTGTCGTTAATTTCGGTATCATACATCGTAAAGGTAAAAGAGAAAAAGCTAACTATGCCGCCCTGATCGGGGGTCGAGGAATATCGCCATAGTAGCGCTTATCCATACCAGCTTGCAATCGAGCTTCTTCGTTAAAGGGACCTTTCAGAACGCCCTTAAAGTGCTTGATCACATTAGTTCGGAAGACCTGAACAGGATCGATCCCTTCCTGATCACAAATCCAAGTCAGCCACCGGTGGCCGGTCGTAACATGAGTAATTTCGTCATTGTGAATAATCTCGAGGGTGTCTACACTCTCGCGGTCGTTGGCATTTCTGAATTTCTGGATGGTTACGGGATTGACGTCTAAGCCGCGGGCTTCGTGGACAAGCGCAATAATGCTGATCCGAGCGCGGAGGTCATCTTTTGTATCAAGAGCCGAGGTCCATAGGGTATGATGGACTGGAAGAGCCCCGTAATACGACCCTAGCTCTTCGAGGCGGGTCCGGAGGAGAGAAAAGTGCTTTGCTTCATCATTCGCCACCTTCAGCCAGTCATGGAAGAAAGTTCGAGGGAGCTCTTGGGAGCTCTTGTCGGTGTGGAATGTGGCGAAGCGCACGCAGATGTCGATGGCTAGGTCGATGGCCCAGAGCTCGATATTGGCGAGGGCATGGAGAATCATGATGCGGCCTTTTTGGGAGCCTCCTTTACTGCTCCGTGGCATTTCACCGGCTCTAATAATTTCCATCTGCTCTCGCGGCGGGTAGTCGGGTGGGGTGACGGTGCCTCGACCAAGTTCCATTGGTGAGGAGGAGGACTCCCTCTCCGTGAAAATTGAGTAGAAATGAGTTGTTAACTCAATTTTGTGTTCGGGATTGCCAGTATTCAAGATGTGGACGGCCCACTCGCAGAAGGTGGCAGTGTCATCTAGATAGTTTGCCATACCAGGCTCTTCGCGCTTAGGTTTGGCAGATTTGTCCGATGGCCGCCCATGCTTCAATTTGACCTTCTCGCTTACAGGCTCGACCTTGGCCAAGCTTACAGGATGGCCATCGTCGACTGGGAATTCCAATAAAACAGACTCGCCGGTCACATCAATAGGGAACGTGCAAGCTTTAAGCCCGAGGCTGGACTCTCCCGTTTCCACGTTGAAATCATAAGCGTGCCAAGGACACGACGCGACGTATGCTGAATCCTCAATATCAACGGTTGAATCTTGCATCGGGCCTCCCGCATGGGGACATTCTGCTTCCATCGCAAAATACGACCATCCTTGTGCCTCATTTGGTTTTGGACTGGCGGGGTCGATAGCCGGTAGACGAAACAGTACCAGGCGCTTCCCCGTGGATAGATGAATCACATATCGGGCTTGGGTGAAGCCAGTCAATGGTCCACAGTTAATCTTCATCTTGACTTTCTTCACGTGGTACTGCAAACTAAACCACGTTGTTGCCACGCGACATGGTTTTTTTTTTCGCGGACCAAATTCGAGGTCACGTGTTGGTGGGGCTTATGGAACGCGGATCCTATAACTATGGAAATATAAGGCCCATTTAGGGATCGCAGCAGGCTGGGCCCGTCACCTATCCCTAGCATCACTTGCATGAGCATGATGTGTACAGAAAGGCTCCATATCGTACTTTTGCGTCGACGATGATTATCATGGCGTGGGCGTGGGAAAGCTGACAGCATTTTGAGCCCTAGTCGGGCTTGGAAATATATCTCCAAACTCCCAGGGTCGTAAATCATCCGCAAAGAATAAGATCGGGGGAGGAGATGGTATTGACTACAGTTCGACCTCGAAACCCAAGCAACTTAAAACGCGCATATAATAATTCGATTGATGCAAAGAGCCGCAACTGCTATTGAACTAAAAGACCCAAAATGGGGTATGCAGAACCGCGGTTATCTAGCAGCAGTCACATGGTCAACGATCCACCGAAAGAACCACTGTCATTGGTAACTTATGGGCGGATCGGAGAAAACAATCCACCAAGATCGTCGATCCACTTACTTGTTCCAAGAAGGCTGGTGAACAAACAGCAAATCGCAGATCCATCTCGAGGGAAGCAATGTGCTTGTGATTGCTAGATGCGGGGCTGTCCATGCCTTGATTACTGTGCACTCCAACCTGAAGGGCTCGGTCCCTCGGGGAGTCTGGGCAAAGATCCGGGGTTGTAAGTCAAGCTGGGCTGACCACTAGTTAACTAACCCAAAATTGGTAGGACTGCTAACCATAATAGGCTAGAAAGGGGCTTGAGCCATTCCCACATTTTCCGATTATTGCGGGGAACCTTGGGCGGATCGGGAACTCCTGTGACCATCTGCCCCTTTAGACCTTGTCGGACATTGTATTCAAGGAGAAGTTTCAAGGCGCAAAAGCAATATGAATTGTAGAGGTATGCTGGCGGAAAGGCTCCCTGATCATGTATCACCACTTTCAAGTGGAGTCAGAAATGCAAGGATCGCTATAGTCGTGATTTTTTAGGTTTGGAGCACCGAGATCGGCCGGGCGGGTCGAGGTTGTAAAAACTAGCACGAAGGACAATACTAATCAGAAGAGTCATTGGTCAGTACTTGTTTTCAGAACTCTTGGCCCGACCTCGGGCCTAGCTACTCTCTTCTCCTCATTCCCATCTCTTCTTCGCACACTCGACTTGGGACATTGCGCGAATTGGCAGCTGTCACTAACTTTAAGCCCGTGCGCTGAATTGTGCTGCAGTCGCAAGTGCACGCATCCGACCAATTTTAGACTTGCGCTTACGATCTTCCCCTCACCCCTCTGATGCTCTGACACACTGAGGTGTTCGAAAATGGGAGCCGCAGGTATGTGACTCAGAGACGTGTAGACCCTCTCACCGTCGCGCGTCGCACACAGTCGCAGCGCATTACGGCCTCCAATGTGTATCCGCTCGGCTCTCTTGAGGTTGCCTATTCGTGGCTGACAAAAACCGATGTAGAACTGAAAGGCGATGACAGCGGCGAAAGCCAGGTCTTCCAGCAACAATCAGACGATGGCTACGAAGATCATGAGCTCCCTCCGCTCCGATCGACGACCGAACGACGGCTCATGGCCAAGATCGATTGGCACATTCTGCCGTGCATTTGCATCTTGTACTTGCTCGCATTCTTGGATCGGTAGGCGTTGACGAGTTACCTCCTCTGATTATGGAAACTTCGCGATCATGCGCTAATCATTCTTCCTTGTGACAGAGTCAACATCAGTAACGCTGCGATTTTGGGCCTCACGAAAGACTTGAACATCGAGCACGGCACCAAGTATAACACCGCTTTGGTCATCTTCTTCGTCCCGTATATCATCCTTGAAATTCCGTCAAATATTCTCCTCAAGAAATTCAAGCCTCATGTGTGGTGTATGTGAATTGGCTCATTTGGTCAAAGTGCGGCGGCTAACCAATGAACCTAGTGCCGCTATGCATGTTCATGTTTGGCATTGTGATGCTTTGCCAGGGATTCGTTCAGAATTGGAGTGGGCTAATGGCTACTCGGTTCTTCCTTGGGGTTTTCGAGGCCGGAATGTTTCCTGGATGTATGTTATGGCGCAACATTCTCCCCTCTTGTTCGTTCGCTAAAGACCATCTCAGGCTTCTACCTCTTGGGAATGTGGTACAAGCGTAGTGAAGCCCAGAAACGATTCAGCTTCTTTTTCAGCTCCACTACCCTTGCCGGCGCCTTCGGTGGATTGCTGGCATATGGTCTTGGGCAAATGAAGGGAATCCGTGGATACAATGGCTGGCGCTGGGTTTTTATCATCGAGGGTGTCATCACCGCCGTAGTCGCCATCGCATTGTATTTCGTAATGCCCGACTTCCCCGAGGAGGTCAAGTGGCTGTCCGACGAGGAGCGTGAGTTTGTTCGCGCCAAGTTGGCCAAAGATGTCGGAAAATCAGCACACCATGTCAAGCAGGATGCTCGTGCGGTCTTGGGTGTTCTCAAGGATTGTAAGTTTTGTGTGAGCACGATGACTTAATATAACTACCGCTGACAGGTCTGAAGATAGGGTTATCATTGGTGGCTTCATGTACTTTGGTCTCATCGTGCCTGCCTATGGTAAGCTGCATTCCATTGTGGAAATCCATTGTGGAAAAGACAGAGATCAGCTGCTAATAACTTTGTAGGATATGCCTATTTCGCGCCAACCATCATCAAAGGCTTTGGATATAGCTGTAAGTGCAACGTCTTGCAATCTTGCCTGATTTTCATTAACGGGTGATGATAGCTGTCACGACGCAGTTGTATTCGATCGCTCCTTGGGCCGCAGCATTCGTGTTCTCCTTAGTTATTGCCTACCTCTCTGATCGGTTCCGACATCGCTTTATTTTTGCGGTCACCCCAATCCTGATCGCGATCGCTGGATTCGCGATGCTTCTTGGCATCCACCACGACACTGCCGCCCAGTACGGTGCGCTTTTCTTGGTGACAAGTGGTTGCTACAGCGCTATGCCGGTTGTTGTGTGTTGGTTTGCCATGAACATGAGCGGCCATCATCGACGCAGCGTTGGTACCGGATGGCAGGTTGGATTTGGTAACATTGGTGGTATTATCTCCACCTTTGCTTTTGAGACCAAGGATGCTCCCTACTACATTTCTGGGTACAGTATTTGCATTGGTTTCTCCTGTCTCGCAATCATTTCTTGTGTGGTCTACGTCGTCGCCCTAAGGCTGGAGAATCACAAACGCGATCGGGCTCCAGTCAACCCGAACGAAATCCCCAACGAGACAGAGGAGACCCTTGGTGATTTGGCACCGACCTACCGCTATGCGTACTAGATGGTCTTGATGGTCGAAATTGAGTTTAGTGTACTGGGAGAGTCCATGGGTCGTTTTGCACGAGGCGAACTCCAAGTTTTGATTCTCAAGCCAATCCCCGATGCACGATGCACAAGATGCCCTCGATAATGAGTGAACTGAGCTTTCGCAACTCGATGTGATTGCATTTCGAGTTGGAGATACAGTAAATACTTACGGCGTTTATAATCAGACATAATGAAACTGGAAAAAAGCGTCATCTAATAATAACAAACTGCTGGGAGAGTTGAATGACAACAGGATACACAATCGTACGAAATCTAAGGAGCCAAACAATGCCGCAGGAAGTACTCGCCAGTAATAGCCAATACGAGTAATATCTAGCTTGGCAACAAGCGGAAATTCGACCTGTGCGCAAACCCTATTTCCAGTGTGTGATGCAATCAACTTGATGTCAAGGACGCCTAATCGGGGTTAGCGCCTCGCTTAGCTGAGTCATCCGCCCACTACACAAATGCGCCGCGGGCCGCTACGATTTGTCTTTCTCCTTACCATCTCTCCTCATTTTCGCAGAACTGTGAGTCGCCACTCTCCCCATTAAGTTTCCGGATGAAGCACTCGAACACTGAACTGACCTCGCAATAGTAAACATCTACGAAGATGAGAGCTAAGTGGAGAAAGAAGCGCGTTCGTCGTCTCAAGCGCAAGCGCAGGAAGATGCGTGCCAGATCGTACGTCCTACCTCGGAATCCATTCGAATGACGGCCCTGAGCCGTGGACAACATCAAAAATTACCCAATGCTAACTTGGTCGCAGCAAATAAACTACTCGCCCCCTCCATCTCAGCTCCCCAGCCGAGACTCAAGTTTGAACGCTGAACACGACCATTAATGACTCGATGTTTACGACCTCGTTTCTACCTTTCACCGAACGAATTACATGTCGGATATGGATCCCGTCCTATGAGGGGTTCACAAATCGTCCAACGGAATCCGCCGTTCAAACGCAACTGTTCTCCCCACAATCCACTTCCTCGGATTAGTTAACGTTGTTCCATTTGATGCCGAACATGGGGGTTTGAGTCCGCTCAAACCCTGAATTTGGAAAGGTCCATGTGTTTTTGTTAGGAGTGGAGGATTGGTTGCTCGCAATCAGTCCGATGAGTACTGCGCTGGGGTTCTTGGTCAATTACTATGGCTCGCCTGCTACAATTACAGCTTTCAATTACTCGAGAGCTAGAGAGCTATGGAGAGGTATTTCACTGAGAGTTTACCGCCCAACAAAAAAAATACTGGAATTAGCTCGGGGTTCTTTGTTTTCGATAGCTACGCTTGCCGATAAATCAATGACTTACAGAGCACCATTCTTCCTCTCGTAATTGTAGACAATTTCCCATTTTTGTAAATGAGCTCAACCTTCGTCGTGCAGCTGATCCGTTCTCCTACATTAGGTCTTTTTTCCTAGTCTCAGTTCTGTGTGGCCGCCGTCTTCACCGCCCGTGTAGATATGGCAGAAAAAATTGCGGGAGCATAGAATTAATTTTCGAGATCAAGCAAGCTTTCACTTCAACGTCGGGGAATCTCTGTAGGCTCTACTGAGGTATCCTCACTCACAATGCCTTCCGACAAGTCAGACAAAAAGCGCAAGCGCTCAGATCACTCAGACGCTCCCAGCAAAAAGGCAGCTGGCCTACTATCCCTCCCGCCGCTCGCCGCTAGCGTTGTCGAGGACCAGAGCGCTCTGGCGCCAGTCATTGGTGAGTACTAGTGCTTTGTGGATGCTGATGTGAGGAAAATAACTGATCAATCTGGGGAAGCCTCCACACCCGGCGTTTTGAACCAGAAAGCTCTTCGCTGGACCCCGTATCTCAAGCCACGCGATGAGGCTGAGCGTTCTTCCACTTCGACCCGAAACCCTGGCATTGTCTCCTCGGAGATTTTGCTCCAGTCCTCCGAGCACGACAAGATGGATTTTGTTGGCCGCGAGGGCTTGGGAGACGACACTGATTCACAAGTGAAGCATTACGTCGCTGTGATTGATCCAGAACGCAAGACATGGCAGGTCGTCGAAGCGCGGCGAGTGACCCTCCGGGGTGCTGTCCGCAGCGCTGTCGAGGATGAAGAGGAGGTCTCAGAGGAAGAGGAGATGGTAAGCAAGACTCTTCCTTTCTTAATTACTTTTGCTTCTGCATAATGGGTTGGAAAAGGCAGGCGCTAACTTATACAGAACACCATGCGTGCTCAACGAACAAACCTCACAAACACATTTGGTACAAAGCAATCTCGCAAAGCGGTACAGTCTATGGCAGAAAATGCGCAACTGTCCAACGCGCCTGCTGGAACTGTTCCCGAAGCCGGCGCTGCGCTTATTGGATCTTTGCCTGCGGATGTTGCCTCTGGACGAGCGAAGGAAAGCAACGTCCAAGCCGAAGTCCAAGCCGCCAAGCCTGTGCCTACGCCCGACCTGACAGCCGTGCACCCCTTGGACATCTACAAGCTGTCCGACTTAGTCCCCGGTGGCTCCATCACTCTGGAGCAGCTGACGGGCGTCAATGAGTGGAAGAAGCAAGTCGAGTCAGGTAAGGAAGTAGTCACCGGCTCTCGCTACGTCTCATCCCGCGTCGAAGCCGTCGTCAAATCTGGCGACAAGCAACTCCTGCAAGTCCTCCGATTTATCCATCTCCTGCTCGAATTCTCGCGCTCGCTCAAGAGCATGGGCAAGGGCTCCGCGGGCGCCGCTCCGGGAAGTAAGAAATTGCCTCCTCGCGAGGACCTGCGCAAGGCACTCTCTAGCACAACAAACAGCAAGGACGCAGAGCCCTCAGCAGAAGAGCTCCTCCCCGACTCGGTGATCGAGGCTGTTCGTCGCCGTTTCGTGCCCAGCGGCGGTTTCCTGAGCAAGTTTGACCTGACTCTCCTGCACACCACGATCTGTGCGCTTACGCTGCACATCGGACCTAAGCCCGCGGCTGATAAGATGGGCGGGAACGGGCCCAACGAGCTTGCGACGGATCCGTCCGATCTGCGCGATGACTTGCGTTTGGACTCGCCTACGATCCAGCAGTACTTCCGCGAGCTGGGCTGTATCATCAATAAGCCGTTGCAGTCTGATCATGCCCGGTTCAATATCAAGGGCAAGGCCGAGGCTAATGCCCGGAAGATCGTTCGTCTGCGTGTGCCGCCTAGCTTCCCTAAGGTCAGTCGTGGGGGTCGTGCATAAGCGTTTTGTGTCTTGCCCCGGTTGGCTTGTTTATGTAGTCTCTTTGGGTCGAGACGGTATAAAAATGTGTCTCTTTTACATACGGAGTTTTTGACTGGTGTCAGTTCAATCTTACATGTTAACTATGAATGAAATGTTGCATATCTATTTAGTCCTGGTGAATTCCGATGTATGAAAAGTAGTAAGATAGTTCGTCTTCATGCCTTCAAGTTATTGCTGTGCTGACGGTGAAAAGAAGACCTGCCCCCCCGGGAGCGAATGATATAGAGCCGATCTCTCCGAGTCTGGAAACGAACCGACAACAAAAGAACAATCCAATTGCTAATCTATAACCAAAAGAACTAAAAAAAAAAAAATCCAAAATCAAAGACAACGCAGAATCCTCAGAACACCATCAACACCTATCGATGACCACACGAATCAAAGCTCCACAGACAAAACACCCACATCGACAAAGCCACTAGCAGATCCACGACACCCTACAGCGCGCGCTTCTTCATCCCACACTTCTTCAAACAGTCCTCCACCATAATCAGAACGCCCCCGGGCAAAGAATCCCGGATCGAATCCACATCCTCCCCAGAAACCGTCTTCCCAAAAGAAGCCGCCACAATCTCATCATCCAGCGCCAGCGTCTGGTTCGCCACAACAGTAAACCCATAGTCATCCGCATTGAACGCCGCCGCGAACCCCGCAGCCTCGCAGTTCGGGTTGACCTGCGTGTGGAACGACCCGGCCGGGTAGATGGTCATCTGGCCAGCCTGAAGAGTGTTCTTGATCATCCGCTCGGTGCCATTGGCGTCGGTGACGCCGCCCTCCGGAACCATCTCGGAGTACAGGCTGCCGGACGTGACGGCGAAAAGCTCCGTCGCGCGGGGGTGCAGGTGCAGGAAGGTCATGCCGCAAGCTACCGGGGGAGGTTAGACTCGGGGGTCAGGCACAAGTGGGGGTTGGGTCGGGTGTCTTGCCTGGTACTTGGGAGAGACTGAAAGCAACACCGGTGTTTATCAGGGCTGGGAAGTTCTGGCGGTTGGCTACTGGGACGGTGGTCTTGTTGAAGTCGAAGACGAAGTCCTCGTTCTTGGGAGGAGCTTGTAGCGCTCGATAGAGCTGAGAGGGGGAGAAGATGGGTTTTAGCTTGAGCTTTGGGGTTTGTGTAGGGCTGGGTGCTAGCGAGTGACTTACTTTGGAGCCAGCTGTAGCTGCACCGGCAAGCTCAGGTCTGATGCTGAGCGCTCGGCTATTCTGTGAGGTGCGGCGTCTGCGGAGAGAGAAAGGGCGAGCACAATGGCCGAGGCAAGGATAGATCGAGAAGGCATTTTTTGCTTGAAAGTTGACGAAGGCTGAGACTCGAATTGGGTAAAATGTTGGTACAGGTGATGTATTCTGGTGAATTGGGAAGCTGGATGAATGAGGGATCGTTGCAACGGCCGTGAAGTTCCTTATATACAGAGATCTTCAGTTACGGGGGCATACTACCAAGTTGATGATCTACGAGGTATTCCAAAAAGTACTCAGCCTTGGTGAAATCTAAGCCCCGTTTCCCTTGGCGTCGTGTAGTTGGAGAGTCGAGGTCTACACATACGCCCTGCTCCGCCATGCTCTCCAGCATTGCCAAGATATTCAAACCTGTAGTAGTAGACATGTTTAATGGATCGACAATCTGCACGAACGGCCTTAAAGCGTACCCAGAGCATGGTTCAATTAAACTTGGCAGCACGTTAAATCATTGTTAACCTAGACACATGCGATGACGGATCACGAGGTGAAGTCTGAGTCGTGTCATGCACACTTATTAGGACCATTTGATCACGAAGAGCTTGAAGAACCTGTAGATCACTTTACGAGACTCCCGTATCAGCAGTGTTAAAATTGGATAAGGTTTGAAGTGACAGGCCGGGGCTACGTGTGAATTCGTCCGGGGGCGGAAGCCGTATTGCTTCTCTGCAGGCGTATAGATTACCCGCAGACAAGTGGAGTGGACCTAACTAAGCGTATTAATAATACGACTGCCTCCAGCCCTGGAGCCCTGCAGCCCTGGAGCCCAACGGCGATGTGGGTCATTCATCGTAAACAGACTAGATCAGCCGGCTAATGTCGAGGAAAGGAAGTTGATGGTGAATCGAATACTCATTTTCTAAACACCAGCCAAAAGCTCCAAGTTGACAAAATACATGCTTTGAGGCCACCAGGTTTCGTCCGAGTCGGGGTCTGCTAACTGAGGAAGCAGGTCCTGATTCTTTATCAACGACACCACCTGGCCCAGCTCCCACTGTCCGATACGACCAATCCACCACACACCGTCCAGCAACAAGAGAAGAACAAGCCAGTGGGCAAAAATATCTACCGCCAGGAGCTGTGTGGGCGTGAGCAGGGCCATATTTTCATATCGCGGCGAAAGATGGTCCACGGTCCCCTCTGCAGCTGGTAAATCGAGCACTGACTGGATGATGTTGAGAAAGTCCGATGGCGCTTTATTCAAGTACGACATGATGGTTCTCCGGAGGACCGTCGGCAAGGTCATAGATGTCACGCTGATCATATACTTCCCAACCCAAGACGAGACCTTGCACGAGTCGTCAAATACCACGGATTCGGGTTTTTCATTCTCCGGGGTGTCCTGAGGCTCTGTTCTGGATAACGTAGCGGTGGCACATGCTTCCAGTAACGGCAAAGCTTCCAAACATGCGCCAACATCCAAATGATCCTGAAGAGACTCCGCTTCTTTGAACCGAGCCGCTATTGAATCAGCCCTCTTCCGTAGAGTTTCATGGGCCCGAACATATGTAGAAGCCACGAGAGGAAGGAAGAGGGACTTGGTTCTTTCCGACGGGCCAAGTTCCGGTGATAGAACACGACTATCGTTCCAAGCATCGAGAGGTAAGCCCTGGGCACTACTGGTTGAGCTACTCATAGGCGTCGGAAAATAATCTGCGGCATCCACAATATCCCTGAGAACCGCACTGGATGCAATGTGGGCTGCGCGGGTGAATGAGATCCACTGTGAGTTCTGCGGCAGCACATCGCTTGGAAGCTGCCGTGAAGCTCGCTTAGCAGTTATGGCGAGATGAACTCGCGTGGAGTGGTTTGCGGAGGCATACAAAACCATCAGTGCTGCATTCGCCAGAATGGTATCGTACCAGTCTGATTGAGAAATATATGCTTGGATATGCTGGAGGGAAGCTCGATGGTGATGCTCCGCAAGCCGCAGGAGGTCTCGAACTTGCGCTAATACTGGGCCGTCTAAAGGCGTCCTGGTTCCCGTGACCAGATCATGGGATTTGCATGCTGCGGCTAAGGCTATCAGAGACGACATTACCGGCTTGCTCGTAAACGCAAGATTAGGCATCCCAACCGATAGCGCGTAGAGGTCGAGCTTATCACATGGTATTGAGTGGCTCGTGTGCGTTAGATAGTGGCCCAAGAGGCCCAGTTCCATGGCATTGAGCGTATCAGGAAGCTGCCTTGGCACCGCTCGCTCATCTGCACTCCTCGGACTGGGAGAGTACCCAAGCGGAGAGAGATGACAAGAGGCATTAAGGACAGATCCAGGTACAGATAGGTAATTATCTGCTGGCCCGCTGGGGTCCTCTAACGTGAACACAGAGACTTGGGGACTCGGAAGAGGAATGTCTAGATCCGAATATGATCGGTCCGGCACCTCGTGCTCATCCGACGAGCTGGCATCCGCTGGGGGTCCTTGATAGCAGCAGTCATAGCTGCGATTGGCACATCTGGAGCAACTAGGTCTCCGCTCGTCGCACTGGGAAATACGATCAGAACATGTATAAGCCCACGCTGGTGGGAGCGACCTACCTTCTTACGTTGTTGCTTACACCTGAGACAGCCATTCCTCGACTTTGCGTGCGCTCTCCGCACTCTGAAACCAATCGAGGAGGTGGATAGCCGAGTCGTATCGCGGGGCATGTCTTCAAGTGGGCTTATTCTCGCAATGGCAACCAGTTGCACCATAAGTGTATCTCTTGCCAGGTTTCAGCGTATCGAATGAAAACTTCCGTGGGCTCCTTTTTGTTTCTTTCTTTGATATACATTCAAGAGGCCGAGACTTCTAGAGTTGATTTTCAGATCTCATCTCAGGGCCATTCTTTTGACCTCTTTTTGCTCGCCAGCATTGAGGCTGAGTAGAGGAGGATTTGGGGTCCGGGGCTGATGATTTGGAATAAGGTTGGACCCCACCCGATACGCTCGTGAGCGTATTCCCTCAATGTGACCAATCAGCACTCAGGACCGCCTGACAGGGCCTGTGCGCCCGTATCGTCCTTCCATACGAGTCGCTCTTGATTTTGTTTATAGTTGAACAGGACATGTCGTAGGATAGCAGTATCATTGGTGTCACCGATTAATTACCAGACGTAGATAGCTGGATTTAAGATCACGTATATCGTTGGTTCAAAATAGCAAAGAGCCCGTAGCCCAGTCCTTTAAGTTCAACACGCCCCCGAACCGTCAAGATAACTTGGGGGTTCATTCTAATTCTGCCAGGTCTTGTCCAGTAAGCTGCATGCCAGCAATTCCAAATCATCCCAAGAACATGGGCGGATTCGCATCCACGGCAAACGTCTGCATCCCTGCCGCGAACCACAGGACCGTTTACTGAATCCAGTATAGGAGCCAAGAAACGAGAACGAGAACGAGCTCCGGGTGACAATAGTCGGGGCTGGACTAGGCGGTCTTACATGTGCCATTGCCTGTCGGCGAGCCAATCCGGCCTTGAAGGTTACGGTCATTGAGCGAACCCCAGCGATCCTAACCGTGGGCGCGGGCATACACATTCCGCCTAATGCATGCCGTGTCCTGACACGGCTTGGGCTGCTCGAGAAACTCAAAGCTGCGGGGGCTTACCAGCAGGACTTTTTCCGGCTGAGGAAGTATGCGGATGGCGAGGTAATCGTTGCTAAGCCACTAAAAACGAGGACAGAGAAGGTATATGGTGCAGAATGGGTGTAAGTGTTGAGTGCTTGGCGCTGGGTCATCAGGCCAGGAAGATCCGCTGAAACCCCGTTTCGTTCTAGAGTGATGCATCGGGGTGATTTTCAACGCGTTCTTCTCGACGAAGCCATCGCCCTCGGAGTGCAAATACTAACAGGGGCGGAGGTCGTCGATGTCACTCGAGCTGCAGATACACAATATGTGAGCATCAAAGACGGAAGGTCTGTGGAGGCAGATGTGGTGATAGGCGCCGATGGTAAGTCTTGCGCACCATTGGAAGGAGGACACTGATTTTCCATCCCGTGCTAGGACTCTGGTCGCAGGTCCGAGACGTCGTCTTGAATAGACCCTTTTCGCCCGCCGCAACCGGAGATTTAGCCTACCGAGGTACTTTCAGCTACGCACAGCTTAGAGCTCTCAGAAACAAAAGGTTGGACAAGCTGCTGCAAAAGTCAGACACGCAAGTCTGGCTAGGTCCAGGGAAACATGCGGTATTTTATCCGCTCAGAGGCCAGACAGAATACAATTTGGTCTTAATGTCAGCACCCAGAAGTGTTTTCCACATTTGACAAGATTCTCACAGCAGTGAAGCGTGGCAGATGAATACCCACCAGGCACGCATGTACTCACAGCAAGTCCAAAAGAAGTGACCGCTAAGTTCCGTGGCTGGGACCCAATGTCGGTTCAATGAGATCTTGGGGCCGGCTGATGACTGACCGTCTGCAGGCTAATTGATATCATCTCGATCATGCACTCACCATTGACGACTAGGCTATTTCACTTCAAGGAACTTGACCAATGGACCAAGGTATCGCATCGGCACCCGGAGGATTGAAGATTGGCTGCAAGACTCACTAGAGACCTTTTTAGGGAACTATCACCCTCATGGGGGATGCCTCGCACCCTACTGCCCCGTACCAAGGGCAAGGGGCGGCCATGGCTGTTGAAGACGGAGCGATTTTGGGAATGCTGCTGGGGAAGTTCCAGCATCACACTGTCGCAGCCAGCAGAGAGAAAAGGGCTGCATGCGCTTCTAGCTTGTTCGAGCTGTACGAGGATCTACGGAAGGAGCGGACCAAGGTCAACGTCGAAGGCGCTGTGCACACGCGGCACTACTACCATCTCCCCGATGGGCCAGAGCAGCAGGCGCGCGACAAGGAACTCTCCGAATTGCCGTCCGCGAACTGGGAGGCCCCTTGTATGTTCAACTGGGGTGATGCTCAGTACCAGAAGGATCTCCTTGGATTTGACGTCCTAGCGGATGCCGAAGTCCAGTACGAGAAGTGGGAAAAGACAGCCGTTTATAGAGCTCGAATCATACGCTACATGTTGCGTTTGATCAACTGATTGCCATGAGGTGAAAATCTGGGGGGGTTCTCATATATATGCAGGGAATGGAAATATGCTAAGGCAATTATACACATGATATCGTGACATCTTAAGCCTGGTCATACACATCCCGACCTATGTGGCTTACCCGACGATAAGGCGGCGCAACCTGGCTCTGTCGGCGGGACGCCACCTGGCTCTGTCGACGGGACGCAGCGAGACTTTGTCGACGAGACGCGATATTACTCTGCCGACGCTCGTAATTGTGCTCGCGATCCGCTGCGAGTTGCTGGGCAAACTTGCTCCTCTTGCGGATCTCCGGACCCTTCCAGTAAAAGACATAGAGCGGGACCATGACCATGAATCCCACGATGCCCAGGATCGTACTGGCCCACTGGAGGTGGTACTTCTCGCCAATGTTGGTGTACATGGGCGTCGCGTACATGGTAGCGACGCCAGCCAGGAAGTCTCGCGCGAACCCGTTACCACCGGTCGCGGAGGCGGAGTATGGACCGTAGGCGGCCACCATGTAGTCGATTGTCGCCATGTAGATGGCGTAATTCGCCATCGCGATCAGGCAGGCGAAGATCAGGGGAGCGATCCATGGGATAAGGGGGGCCCATGGTCGTCCAGGCAAAGCCGAGGAGACCGATGGGTTCGAGGGGGGCAATGAAGAGCAGGAGTAACAGACGGCGCTCCGCGAATCGGCTTGCAGCGCCTTCTTTTCTCCGGATCTGGATTTGCCGGTAGACATCGGGGAGGAAAATGAAGTATGCGATAATATAGCCGATGAGAATGGAACCAAAGGTCATTCCAACGGCCAGCGTGCTCATATTCCACTGCCCGAAGACCAGGGTGAACGACTCGGTGAAAACGAAGATCAAGGCATCGGAGAAACCCGAGAGCAGGGACAGACAGAGGACAATGGGTTCCCGGAGGAACATCTCGAAGGGACGCTTCCAGATGTGAAGGACCTCCTTGACATCGAGGCGTTTCTCCTTCATCTCATTGGGGCCATAGACCTCCTCGCCGCTCTTGCGTCGCCGCTTCGCCTCCCGGTCGATCAAGATAGTCGAACGGGTTTCAGGGACGAGGAAAAAGTGCAGCGCCTGGGTGAATCCTCCAAAGATCAACTGGACCCAGAAGACCCAAGGCCAGTGAAGATACTGGCCGATGAACCCTCCAAAGAAAGGTCCGATCGTCGATCCACCGACCGACGACAGCACCACGAAGGCGACGGCGAATCCTTGGTCATCCGCCTCCCACATATCCGCCGTCATCCCCTAGGGTCACTGAGCCCCCGGCCGAGCTCAGACCGCCCAGCACGCGACACACGACAATGGTTCCATAATTGGGGGCAACAGCGCAGGGAATCTGCCAGATGTTCACCAGAAGCAGCGACAGCTGCATGATGGGCCAACGGCCGAACTCCTCGGACCAGGGGGCCCACAGCTCACAGCCAAAGGCGTACGCGACCAAGAACACGCATTGTCCCACCCGCGCCGCTTGCTCGCTGATATGGAATTCCTCCGTCAGACCGGGCACGGCGTTGGCATAGACACCGGAGTTGAAGTTCATGGACATCTGCACCATGAAGATGACGGTGAGGATCAGCCACTTCTTCCAAAAGGGAAAGCAGAAGCCGAGCGCCTCGTAACAATCATCTTCGGTGAGCTCGACCTTGCCAGCCTTCTCGACCTTGGGTGCTTCGTCTCGACTGCCGCGTTCGGATTCGGAGGCATGCTCGTTCTGCGAGTCGGAGGCGCCACTCAATTTCTTCTGGGCGTGTTCCTGCAGGGCTCGTTGCTGCTCGGCTTCTTGCTGCGCCGCCTCTTGCTGCGCGGCTTGGCTATCCTGCTTCTCTTCGGAGAAGGGCTGGACGTCTTCGGCAGCCATGGCAAATGGGTGTGGTCTACTGATCAACCCTTCTCTATGCGAGGGGGTGTGGAGAACTATAATAAGGCGAGTGTGTGGGGTAAAGAACGGACCAGGAGTCCCCTTGCATATGGAGACGGTGTTCGTAACAGCGACATGCTGGACATTTTATATGTACCACCCGAATCGCAGAACAAGAAAATCATGACCCAACGACCAGTGGGGCCCCATGCGCGCTCCAAGTGTGGTCGGGCCAGCCCAAACAGGTAATCCGACCAAAGGACGAGGTTTGGCATTCTGTAGTCTGGACCAATTGGAGCCGCCAGTGGCAGCAGAGTGATGTTAGATGGAGTTGGGGGAGCCCAAAACCTGTTGCGGCCGCGACGGCCTCGACGGCCTCCTAGCGTGGTCGGCAACCCGATCTCTACGTCATTGCTGGCGTCCACCACGTCAATCCATGGGGCGGGAGACTTTCTCCGCACTGTCTCCGATTCCCTCTTCGCGAATGAACGTTCTCCCTTCACGCGTGATTGCCGAATGGAGCCGCAGGGCCGTCAAGAGGCCAAACCCCACGCAATGGGGACTGCGCCTCAAGTGGTTCGGTTGGGTTTCTTGCCCTTTGGATATGAATCATTACCATGTCTCGGTTCCACTGTCTATGCCATGAAACATGAGGATGGGGGGGGATATGGCAAGATTATCTGGCCCGTATCTCTGGACAATGGCTCTAATGTTAGGTAGAATGTTCGTGACTTACCGCGTAGACTGCAGGTGGTCGCCTGAGCGGCTATGCACGTCCATCCCCAAATGACGCGCCCTGGCTCTAAATGGTCCCTGATACGTCTGAGCCCTCAAGCAATATCGAGTAACATAGCGATCTTCAGTGATCTACACCGTTGCTTCCCGTCAGACACGAAACCCTCTGTAACAAATGCCTATAGATTCACCAACTCGACCGTTCGCATCTCCTGACGCACATGCAAGAGCGCGCCCCGGGTGAATCCCACCGCTTTACCACAATTGCAATCCAGGCCCACTGCAATCGTCCTAACGTCCACTTTCATCATACCGTTCTTTAGCGCGAACTTCGGAAAGACGACTCGGAAAGTTTCGCTGCATAAGGACCTCACCTCTGGTATGCTGCCGGGAAGTTTCGAACTAGTCGAAACTTTCATTTCCTATCTCCGATGGTTCCAGCCCCAGGTATTTGAAATCCTCGGATGGGCCAGGAGTCTGGTGCCTCGTAGTATAATGCAACAGTATACTTGTCGGCGCCTTCCGACCGGTGGGGGTACCATGGAACTAGGCCTGCGGCTATAAGAATTTTTCGTCTTGTCAAGTATAAGGGTAATTTTTTTTTCTTTTTTTCCGGGTTCTTCCCTTTTTTTTCAACCCTATTTGCTAAGCGTTGTCGACGCCTATCCATGTGCCTGTGCTGCGCGGGGAGGCGCCGAGACTTGGCTGGAAAACCGGTTTCTCTGGGTGGTTCACGGCCAGCGCAAGCCACCCACAACATTCAAGGGGGACTAAAACCGAAGAGAAGGAACAGGATGCCCAATTGTATTTCCACTCGCAGTGATGCACACGAGAGTTTCCAGTCAACCAACTCCAAGTGGAACGCCATGTGTGCCCCACCTGGAAATAACCGTGCATTATCCCATCCGCAATCCGAAGGCTCTCCTTCAATTTCAAGTTGAAGGTCGCTCTGATTTGTAAAGATCAATACGAAGGCCTCGTTGCGTCCGCTGTACAACGCCGGTTTCTTTTTCTTCTTCTTTTCTAAATGACTGGAGTTTTGTCCTGAACCCATTGGGGGCCATCTAGTACGCTATGACATCATAGGAAGTAGGCAGACAAGATCATGCATACAGACTGCGGAGTAAGAAGATTCCCACCAAGATCAGCTCCTGTTAGTGGGCCTGAGCACCTGGGGTCTCCACCAGGGCGGAGTTTCCATCACGGAATGTTGAACGTTGATCCAAGGACGTGTTTGTATCGGAAATTTTTCTATTCGAATACCTCCAATGGACAAACCTATACTAAGGACTGTATATACACATGTTCCCCCTTCCAAGTCGCGTGTCCGGACAAGAGATGGATAGCTCCTCCCGCGTCCAAAAGAACCCCTTAACAAGGAGTCTTGATGGTGAAAGGATGACACTCCGTGTTGAAAACATACTTATCCAAACTGACCACGTCCGGTTCGGCGAAAGTCAGATACAAGTACTTCAGGACCTCTGCGAAGTAGAAGCTGGACACATAGTTAATGAGCGTGCCACCGTAGGGCTTGTTGACATCCGAGATCTCAGCATACGGCACCGCCTTGGAACGGGCTGTGTCCAGAGCGTTGAAGATCTCCCAGTTGTACTGCTGCCAGCGCGTGTCGCCAGTCACTCGGTAGGCATAGAAGATGCTCTCCAGAGGCTCCGGATAGGACCGGTATGAGGGGTCTTCGATGAAGTAGCCTAGCTTAGCACCCTGGGCGCGGTACGTGGCGTTGTTGTACTCGGGGTCGTAGGGCTGGTTGCTGGCGTTGTACCAGCCGATGCCTGTGGCTTGGTGAGCTCCATGTTGTACTGTACTATAGCAGGGGTAGAGGGAGTGGTCCTTACTGGAAGGGCCAAGGCCAGTTAGAGTGGCGTTGTACCATCTGTGGCAGCTGTCGGCGACCTTGATGCCCAGTGCGGTGATCTCAGGGCGGTCGAGGTAGTGGCCACCGAGCAGCAGGTTACCGCCAGCGAAACAAGCCTGGAGCAAAGAGCATCATGTTAGTATCTCCGATGATCCACCGAACGGGGACTCGGGTGCACGAACATAGTCATCCATCGTCCACATGATGTTCCCATCCTCGTCCAGCTGGGACAAGAAAGTGAGCTCGGGGTGGTGGTAAGGAGACAGCGCGATGTGCTCCTGGGTCGACTCGGCAGTCACCAACCAGAAATCCTTCATCGATTGCATATAAGTGTCGTCGCGGTCGTACACATAGCCCTTGATCAGGTACTAAAGCGCTGTTAGAGTTCAGGAACGCGAAGCATCTGTTTGTATGCGAGCCTCCGATGGGGTACTTACCTCGATGAAGCTGTCCACACCGGCCTCCCAACCTCCGTCAAAAGTAATGAATTGACCAGTGCTGGTATCAAGCTCCGTACCGACGAGGCCAGGGAAGGCCGGGGCCGGGCTCGGCTTGAGCAGGTACTCTTCTGCCTTTTGTGCCTTTTCCAGAATCCCGTTAGCTTCGAGCTCATCACATGGGCGTCGGGGAAGCTTACGTTCTTGCGGAACGACTCATCACCCGTGAGATCCGAGAGACGGTAGTACTCTCAGGATCAAGGTGCCCGCCTGGGCAGTGTTGGTGCTATTATAGCTTTTTCCGTGAACGCTGGTGGTACTTTGGATGACTTCGCCAGAGGTGAAGTTCATCGTGGCGGCAGGCAGCCCCGTGGCGGTTTCGAAGACCGGGCTAATGGCCTTCGCCAGCCGAGTAGCCTGGGTCAATAACATCTCCACGAGATCCTGATCGTAAGGATTGGGGAACTCGCCGCTCTTGATCAGGTCATAAGCACTCAGGAGTCTAATCAATGGTCAGCATGCAAATCGCCTATCATGCCATTTTTTCAGACCCAGGAGACGGAAAGCTCACCCCCCAATGTAGCGAATATTGATATCGAAGAAATTGACAATCGTGGCAGATTTCCTGCGCGAGTTAGCACGGAGCCGGAAAAAAGGGGGGCAAAAAAAAAGAAAAAAAAACCAAGCAGAGGTCGTCTCGTGGACATACGTGAAATCGGTAGCCGCAATGTGCTTCAACTGCTTCTCGACGATATCGGTCAGGCCCATCACGACAGCCGTATCGATGCCATCGACAACAGAAGCGCCCCAGCCAAACAGGTCGTCGGTGCCATTGTGAGTAAGAGGCTCGAGATCATCCTGAGGGAATGCATATTTGTAGTACTCGTTCCACTCCCGAACATACGCCTGCTTCACAGCCTCCGCACGCGGGTCATTCTTCCCGGTGCCAGCTGGGAAATGATATTGGACTTTATTGCATGACTGGCTGGATGCACGGGCATGGGATGCCGCGCTCGTAGTGCCGATCACGCTGGACAGGGCCAGGAGAGCGTGGGGAATAACACGAACCATGTTGATCGATCGAGCTCAGACCAGCCTACGGCTTGTTCTTTCTTTCTTGCTTTGTTTTCTAATTCTCTATCTGTCAGCACAAGTCATCAAGGAAGGCCGCAGGTGAGAATTATCAAAGAGAGAAATGGGAATTGGCGATCGAAACCAGCGATGCCCTATATAGTCTCTGCCCCTGCCGATCCATAGTGGCATGGTTACATTGCGGCGAGGCTGTAGCGGCATCAGGGGTTTAATACTTCGAACCCCAAACAAGCAAGATATGAAACCTGATAATATGGATGTCGCTAGAGTTCATTACCCTGGGAAATGTTCTAGAAGCTATTCATCTCCCCAGCTCCATACTGCCTGAAAGACTTGCAAACTCCAGGCTGGAGGGAAAAGGGGCGAGGGGAGTAAGCAGGATCAGCATAGACCGGGGTGATAGCCTGCAAGCCTCGTTGCAAGCCTCCAGCTCGCACTGACCATGTACCTGCGCCATGGCGACTCAAGCTTTTATTGCGGAGTCAACCGTCTCGGTGGAATCAAGTCGGTTACAAGGCCGTGGGGGACGATCTGGGGAACTCGTACAATCCCAACACTAAGCCAAGGACTTCCAACGCTCTATGGGATGTCAATGTCCCCCCTCTCGTCTCAGCGGCAGCACGAGGCTGCCCAAAAGACTCGCAGTAATCACCCCAATGCCCGATGCACTGTGGCGTCGCTCATTCCTGCAGCTCCAACCCCCCCCCACTAGGATCAACTCATTCCTTGATTCCTACTGTAGATAGCCTCGACACAGTTTCCCCTCCTTAGGCCGTTGCTTCCGGTAAGGATCGACTTCAGGCCGAAAACTCCGAACTCAGACTGGCTTAGCCTGACCCCGGAGGTGCAGCCGATCGGGGAGACAGATTAACAGATACCACCCTAATATCAGTGCGAGCAGATTAGATCCATAGATAATCGTACAGTGAAAGAGGGGTTTCGAGGGCTATTGAGCGGGCATTAGTCCGACAGGGCAAGAGGAGAGTTCCCAAACGCTTTAATGAAAGAAGACTCCGCGAAATTGGCATATCCGAATCGGAACGCGATTGGGTTCTCCAATGTCGGGCGAGACCGACGAACAGCTATTAGTGAGGACTAAAGCTTACGAAGGGAATTACAAGAGAAAGGAAATTGACCGTGAGAGATTGACCGTGAGAGACCGAATGGCTATGCCTCAGTCATCAAGTTCCATTCACTGGGTTTCTTGGTAGGATCTCATCAGTAGACCGCATAACTACATAAAAATGCCCACTCGCGACGACCGGGCCATACAAGAGTAACTGTACAACACGGTTGAAAGAATACTGCGAGACGATGATAGTCATGCAGGAGATGAAACAGATCGCAAGAAAAGGAAACCAGTCAGGAGGCTATGAACAGCAGCACCGATAAATTCGCAAAATGTAGTGAACGCATTATGCTAGCAGCTCCACGATCAAACGAAACGAGTGGACAGGCAACAAAACAGCGCCCCGAGTCCTGCACAAGGGACGGGTTTATGCAGCCACACCCACAGGGGTAGCAGAGAACGCGGAGGGGACGCGCTCGCTCACAGGGGTGGCGGTCGTGAGCGGCACGGCGTTCTGGGATGCTTCGGCTTCGAGTTCACGGGCAATGGCAGCCTCGAGAGATTCATCGGTAGACAGTCCCAGATGGCTATCCTCCCAGATTGGCTGGTTAGCGGCCTCCGCACCTTCGACACCGACGCCGACGAAGCCGCCGACACTTTGCCAGTCACTGGTGCGCTTGATTCCGAGGTCCTTCCAGACTGCATCGACGGCCTTGACAAGATGGTCGCGGAGTTCCTTGGTGTGGCCGGGAGTGGGGGTGATGCGAAGGCGCTCCTCGCCGCGGGGGACCGTGGGATAGTTGATGGCCTGCACGTAGATGCCGTGCTCTTCCAAAAGCTTATCCGAGGCTTGCTTGGCGACCTCGGCATTGCCAACGAGGAGAGGCACGATGTGCGACGGGTTGGGGATGACGGGGATATCCAACTCCTTCAAAGCAGATTTGACGGCGCGGGTGTGCAGCTGCTGAAGCACACGGTCCCGGGGCTGCTGGGACTGGTACTGAATGGCCGCATCAGCGCCCGCCATGGTCGCAGGTGGGAGCGAGGTCGTAAAGATGAATCCGGGAGCGAGAGAACGGATAGTATCCACAAGGTTAGCAGAGCCAGCGATGTATCCGCCCACGCAGCCGTACGCCTTGCCCAGAGTACCGGTGATGATATCAATACGGTCCATCACGGTGCCCTTGGTGCTTTGGGGAGTAGCAGTATCCTGCGAGGCATAGATATCATAGTCGAGATGCTCCGCAACGCCGGCTCCATGGGGACCGTACATGCCCACCGCATGCACCTCATCCAAGAACGTGATCGCGCCGTATTTCTCCGCCAGATCACAAATCTTTTCAATGGGAGCAATGGAGCCACACATGCTGTACACAGATTCGAAGGCAATGATCTTGGGTACATTGGCGGGCAAGGAGGCAAGCTTGACCTCTAGATCCTCCAGATCGTTATGCTTGAAAACCATTTTCTTGGCACCGGAATGACGGATACCCTGGATCATAGAGGCATGGTTCAGACTGTCCGACAAAATGACACAGTTAGGCAACTTACTACCGAGGGTGGCGAGGGTCGCGTCGTTGGCAACGTAGCAAGAGCTGAAAACCAGGGCCGCTTCCTTCCCATGGAGCTTTGCCACTGTGTCTTCCAATGCCACTGCATGTTTGTTGTGGCCAGAGATATTACGCGTGCCGCCCGCACCAGCCCCGTAGGTCTCGAGGGTCTGGTGCATGGTCTCCAAGACCTGGCGGTTACGGCCCATGCCCAGATAATCATTGGAGCACCAGACAGTCACACGCTCCTCGGCGGAGGCAGTATGGGCCCGAGGGAATTCCTTGGCCAAACGATTGATGTTGTTGAAGTAGCGGTACGATTTATCCTGATGCTTCTTCTCCAGCTCGCCATCATAGAACGCGTTGTAGTTGAAGTGAGAGGTGATCGGGGCGTTCGGACGAGGGCCATGGAGGGCGGCTTCAGGGACCGGCTTTGCGCGAAGGTGAGCGATGTTAGGGTGAACTACACGTGACAATTGATTAGACTTGCTTGTCCAGCAGGGGGGTTCTGTGGTGGGACTTACCTTGCTCATTCTTGCGGTAGGTGTCCGTCGCGACGCTAGCTGGGTGGCCACCGGTGGTGTGCAAGTCGCGCTTCTCCGCGGGAACACGGAATGGCTTGACGGTAGAAACACCAGCCGCAGTAGAAGTGAAACGCTTGGTTCCATTCATCCGGGCGCTCTGGACGGCAAGAGCCTTGCTCATGACCGGGCATCGGCGGGCCAGGACCTGAAGGTTAGACATGGTACCGCCGCCGGCGCTGGGGCGGGTGGCCGTGGACAGAGTACGCAGGGTAGCAGGGGCGGTGCGCTTCAGGAACGGACACATGGCCCGAGATTGTTGCAACATAGCCTCCATGGTGAAGAACGGGGGGGGAATTGGTGAAGAGAAACACCAGGGAGGAAGGTGGAAAGGATGTTTTATGGGAGCGAAAATCGGAGAGAGGTCTAAAAACTGAATCGACTCGTCGTCTGACAAATCCTGCGCAGTGATTGGCGGGGGTCCCCCCACCACCCCACACCGCTTTGTGCGTGGATGATTCGACCAGAGATGCCGACGTTGCCGCAAGCGTATTCGCTTCGAGGCTACGAAAGTCTATCGTGGAACCCTGCAGAAGGCTTGCGGGGGTAAATAGTCTTCTGTTGTACAAATCCAGAGGGCTCTTGCTCCTTAACCCGTGGAGTGCGATTCCCGAGCATATCACATGCGGAAATAATTGCCTTGAGCCTTTTAATCTACATAACCCCGGACGGCCGGCCACTTGATTTCCGTTCGTTTCCCATGGGATGTTCCGCGAGTTTGGCCTGTTTGTCCAACGTTCAACCGGCTCGATCGGTGTATCACTTATTGACGGGTATTGATTTCTGTAGTATAGTGTCATAATCGCAGGGTACTAGAACGAGAATATTCGAGTATTTGAGTATTTGACTTGCTCCTATACCCGACCCCCAACCATGACTCGGAATAGTTTGATTTCTAGCTTGCCTTGGACGCGAAAGCTTATATGTTGAATCCTTTTTCTTGGAAAAAGGAAACCGAGCATCCCGCAAAGTCTCCTTCCTGCAGATGCCAAAGACTAAATTTGCCACCGGTGGCCGCGCTCAACCGTCCCTCAATACCGTGATCAAATCTGCGCATCATAGAACTTGACACCGCCGCAACTCAGGCCCCCTCCAGAGCGCTCGATCTCTGGCTGTGAGATTATTAATACTCAAACCCACCTTCCGGGCTCCAGGGCTCCAGAGCTTTGATTAATCTCGATATCGCTTACACTTGTCTCAGAGAGGCCCGGACTGAACTAATGTTAGCCAGAAGAAATAAGCGTTGCTGGAAGTAATAGAATCCTACAGGTTCACACCAGCGATGTTGCCATAGGATGCCCAATTCTCTGCTTGCATAGTGGGATCAAGTCCGCCGATGGTGCAAAGCATGTTGTTCAACAAAAAAAAAAAGCAATATACGAAGATCAAATATCAGAAACAGAGCTTTGAAGTAGTTAAGCATCGACGAATGGCTACCATAAGCCCCAGAGACTCTCTGCAGCTTTATACACAGAGCCTCCAAAGCTGTCAGTCCGTCATTCTTTATCTGTGACACATCACAGCTGAGGCACCCCTGCTCGGACCCCAACGCCCTATCCAAATCGGCAAGTAATACCTCGACGCCCCAGGGCTGAAAAGACGGGGCGCGAAACGTATAGCAGCGATAGGGGTTACAGGGTGAGCAAAGTACCACCTGGGCGGTGGTACTCGAGAAACGTAGGGCTAAACCTTGGAAGAGCAGACAGAGCTTAGTCACAAGTACCAGGCGCCGTGTGTTCACCGCACCTTATGTACGAATGTCGCTGCAGGAGTGTCGTTCAGGCAGCTAGGGCCGCCTGGCTGGGCCTTACGACTGATAGTGAGGTTTGGGTTGATATGACTATGATTATTTCTATTTAGCTAGTTTTGCCGATCAAACTGGCAATTGATTCCGTTCCATGATAATTAGTTTCTAAGACTTTCCAAGTTGGATCTTTTGCATCAGGGGTCCCACTACGCTTCAGGCTAATTTGGCATGGTAGTACGCCATAAGCACGAACGCACAATGTGTAGTATTTAGGCCTTGAAAGAATTGGATTTTCATTGCGGACATCAAATCAAATAAGTTTCCAGTCGTTGGGGCAGAGGAACAATAAGGGTCTATCACGACGTCTTTTCTTTCCCAGCATGCGTAAATCCGAAGCGGGAAATCACAGCCCCCTGGCGAAACAGGTATGGAAATAAAAGCGAAAATCAATAGGAATTTGAATTTTGCCCCCCCGGAGACATCAGTGGTGGTGGGTGATCAAGGCGGTATGGTAATACAGAGCAGACGAGTGGGAACAAGGTCGCCAAGTGAGAAGATAAGGGCAAAGCAACACATGAGGAATGGAACATAACAGGAAGAAGAGAGAACAAATCAGAATTAGCTGCATGATCTAACGCCATCACCCCCTTTGCAATATTGAAAACAGGCCTCATTAGTTAACTGAGGCCGCCGTCCCCATCTATCAGGCGAAGGCGCTCGTTCATTGTTTTGGCCCGCTTCGAGGTTCCTTTGCCCCCGCGCCCACGGCCACGGCCACCCTTGGTTGCAGCGCCCGGTGGCGGAAGTTCCACATTGTCGGACGCTGGGGTAGCAGCGCCTGAAGGCTTCTGGCTTTGATCGTCAAAGTTACCCTCGCCTGTAGATATCATGGTTAGCAAGGACTAATGGTCGGAAGAATTCCGATGATGCTCACCTTCATGATACATGTCATCCAGTGTGAGGTCACGCTTCCGCTTTTGAGCCTTCTTACTACTCTTGGCGGCATTCTGGGCCTCGCCACGTTCAAGGGCTTCCTTCTCTTTCTGCTCGATGAGCTCCGCCTCATCGTCATCCGCAAGCCACATGGCGATATCCTTCGTGCGGTTGTCGCGAGGTCGAGTGTTGAAGTCGACACCACCGGCACCTCCACCAGTGATGACAACGCGTTGCACTTCTTCCTTTTGCAGGGCACGCTTGCGAATACGCTCCTCGATGGTACCGCGGGTAATGAGTCGGTACACCGTGACTTGCCGGGTCTGACCGAGACGATGAGCACGATCCATGGCCTGCGAGTCGATCGTCGGGTTCCAATCGGAGTCGTAGAAGATGACAGTATCGGCGGCAGTCAAGTTGATACCCAGACCACCAGCACGAGTAGATAGCAAGAAGACAAAGATGTCGTTGTTCTGCTGGAAATCAGCAACCGTATCGCGACGATCTTCAAGCTTGGTGCTTCCGTCAAGTCGACAGTACTTGTAGTTGCGGTAGGTCAGGTACTCTTCCATCAAATCGATCATACGGGTCATTTGGAAGTAGAGAAGAACGCGGTGGTCGCCAGCCTTGAGCTCCCGGAGCAGTTGGTCCAACTTGGCCAGCTTACCCGAGTCGGTAACGAAGCGGCGCATCGACGGAACTTCGATATGAGTGTACCGGGAGCGGAGAGAGAGTGGCGTGGGCAGCATTGGCGGGTGCGAGTATGGCGTGGGATCAAGCTTTTTGGCGAGGATTTGCTCCTCGAGTTGTCTGGTTGGGGTGCTGTACAGAGCATTTCGAACAACAGGATTGAATAGAGTCTCCTGGGCTTCTCGTTGAGCTGCCTGGCCAGCACACGAAAGCACAATTGGTGGAGCCGAGGCGGCGGGCACAGCACAAGGCTCAATGAGGTTGAGGCCTTGGTCTTCAAATGCCGTACGTGAGACATTCATCAAATTACGCATTCGGCCCTCAGGAGCGATCTCTTGTAGAGCCTGACGATTATTGCGCTGAACGATATTCAGCATAGAATGGGGTGACACGGAGTTGGCGAACGACGGATTTTCCTTGTCGTCATAGATGGCATGGAGACGCGAGAGACGGTCCACCTGGCCACGAAGGCGATGAGCACGTTCAAAGACACCCGAGCGGGCAATTTCACTGGCCTCACCAGCAGAAGTGTCGACAAAACGCAAGAAGGAAAAGGTCCCGTCCTGGCGAGAGCTTTGCTGAACATTATCAGGAGACCAGATATTCATCAAATGCGACAGGTACTTGTTCTTGAAACCCGCACGTTCGTTTCCAGGGCCTGGGGTATCGAGACGAGCCTCGGAGCTACACAGGAGGCGAGGCATCTCATAATCAATCAAGTTCTTGGTAGAATAGCGAACATCGACGAAGAACCCTTCGCGGACAAAAGATGCACATTCGGCGAAGGATCCGGCCAAGAAGGGCGACTTGGTTTCCGCACGCTCAAAGAGGTCCGGGTGGTTGCACACCTTCCGGAATTGCATGACAAGGTTCATCAGTGTGGTGCTATCGGTGTCGTCGCCGATAGCGGCCTTCTCAATGAGATCAATAATGCTGACACGGTTGCGCAGATTGGCGTAAAGCGCACGTTGGCGGTATGTCAAGTCACAGAAGATGTCCTTCTCAACCTTGTCGCCAAGTTCTTGTTGCACGTTCTTCTTTACACGACGAAGCATGAACGGCTTCAGAATCATATGGAGACGTCGGAGCTGGTCTTCGTTGAGCTTGGTGTTACTCTGAGCATGGGATTCGATATCTTTCGAGAACCACTCGCTGAACTCATCATGTGAATCGAACAGCGTTGGCATGATAAAATGCAGGAGGGCCCACAACTCCTGCATGTTGTTCTGGATGGGGGTACCAGTCAATAGCAGGCGGTTGCGGCAAGAGAATCCCAGGAGATTCTTCCATCGTGAACTCTGGGAGGACTTGATAGCCTGTGCTTCGTCAAGAATCATGTATTGCCATTTGACCTTTTGGAAATATTGCGCGTCCAGAACAACAAGCTGGTAAGAAGTGACTAGAACATGGAACTCGGAATCACGGCTGTAGGTGATATGCTTGCGGTCCCAGAACTTGCGGAGAACCTTACGGTCCTTGGCGTTACCCCAATAGGGCAACACTTTCAAGTTGGGAACAAACTTCGCAATCTCTTGTTGCCAGTTGTGCAAAGTCGAGGCAGGCGCAATGACCAGGAAAGGACCCCAAATGTTGTGGAATTCGGCGAGGTAGGCCATCACGGAGATAGACTGAATGGTCTTACCGAGACCCATCTCATCGGCCAGGATACCGTTAATACCTTGCTCGTACAAGTTCACCAGCCAATTGAGACCCTTCAACTGATACTCCTTCAAAGTAGCCGTCAACATAGTTGGTTGAGAGATCTCAATGTCGCCCAGACTGGTAGGGTTCTGGAAATTCATTTCTCCCTCATCGAAAGCAGCCATCTGGTCGTCGCCATCATTGTTGAATGCACGAGCGCGGTCTTGCGCTTGCTGCACAGCGTTTTGTGCATTGGCCATCGCCGCTTGCTGCAAAGCAGTTTCATCATCGGCATCGAAGTCCAAGTCCTCGAAGTTGGTGACCTTGGTGTTCGGGTTCGCCACACTGTTGGGGAGGTTGACCGTGTGCGCATTGGGATCGCCAGGCTTGACAGTCTCGTCGCTGCCACCAACTGTACCATCTCCAGATGCCTCAGCCTCCGCAGTCTTGATCTTACGACCGATAAAGTGAGAGTAAAGCTCGGTCTGAGAGATAAGGAAGTTGAGCTTGCGCTTCTGGCGATTCGCCTCACGCTCCGCCTCGGCTTTCTTGGCCGACTCCAGTTCTTGCTTCTCGGCCAGACGGCGTAGGTCACGCTCCTCGCGCTCGTTGCGTTTCCAGAACGACATCATCTCACGCATGGTACGTTTGGCACGGGCTTGAGTATCCTTCGTGCTCTTGTTAGTCCGCTCTTGCCACTTGCGAGACTGTTTGCTAGCCAGCTGGGCGGTCTTGCGAAGGTTCTCTTGACGGACAGACAGCGAGGTTGTCTTCAGCCGGTATACCTTGGGGATATCCTTGCGAGCGATATCCCGCCAGATCTGCTCATAGATCTGGTTGTAGCCCTTGGTATCATGCTGCACAGGCACCGGGCTACCCTCCTTGGAATGAAGGCCTCGTCTCGAATCACGGGGCGCGTAGTGATCATCTGGCAACCCATCAGCCCAGGCAGCCTCTGCAGCATCCTTCTCGGCCTGCTTCTGCTCCTTGGACTTCTTCGGACGGGTAGCGGGACCGGCGCGACCAGAGCGACGCCGTGAAGGGGATGATCGGCCAAGATGGAACTGGCTGGTGATACCGCCTTCAAGGTTGGGTGCAAGAGGGGTAACCTCGCCCAATTCATCCTGAGGATCTCCACCCTCCAAAGCTCGCTTGGTCGATCGAATCTTCTTTTGCGCCCGCTCAGCCTCACGGAGGAACTTGGCTCGTTCCGCGGAGTCTTGCGCATTGTCGGCCTTTCGCTCAGCCTCAGCTTTCTTGGCCATCTCCTGGCGAACCGTGTTCTCGCGACGACGCTTGCGTTGCATGTCCTTTTTGCGCTCCTTCTCGTCGAAAATTTCCTTCTGCTGGACTTCCGCAATGACTTCACCCTCGTTATGATTCCGGTGTCGCTCCATGCCAAAGAGGTATTCCCTTTCAAGATTATTAGCAAGGTCAGCCAAGTAGTTGTGGCGGCGCCGCTTTCGGCGGATTTGTTCCTCGTATCTGCTTTGCTGGACTCGCTTCTGAGCTTTTTCCTGGTGCCGCTTCATCACTGGGTCAAACTCGGGACTGTCCACGTCACTCTTCTCGGCATTGTCGATCTCTGCCATGGCGCGATTCACTTGTTCTGGATCGACACCAGGCGGGAGAGGCTTGCGCCGCGGCAACGGGGCAGCTTCAGGCTCCGGCTTCACTCCGTTTGAATGTGGAATATCCCTTGGTCCATACCCATTACGATCCGGGGTGTAACCTTTTGTGCGAGGATAGAATGTTCCCGCGACAGGCCCTGGCTCGGGGTGACGGTGGTCAAAAGATGGCGGTGCGTGCATTGCCGGCGTGGAAGGATGGGGAGAAGGTAGGGGAGAGGGCTTGCGGGCGGGCTGGTCTTCAGTGGGGCCAGACAGAATGCTGGCAAAGGACATCGGGTCTGCGGCTCGAGCAGGCTTCTAATTGTAAGGTGGTGGTCAGACAGGGAGGCTCTTGTTGGGGTTTAATTTGGGGAACATAAGTGTCCTCCGAGACGTACCGACTCCCGTGGCGGGGATGCAGGTCTTGGCTCTCGCCCTATCGAAGTCGCATATCCAGGGCCATTTTCCCTCATACGGTATGGCGACTCAGGCTCACGTGAAGGTGATTGTGAATGCCCATCTGGGTGGCCCGAGGGATGCCCGTGGGGGGGTTGAAGAGCCATAGGGCGAAGCACCGTTTCCTGGGGCGACGGAGCTGGAGAAGGGACGGGGAAAGGGCAGTGGAGGATTTCCCCCAGCAGGGTGGCCCTGGTACTGCGAGGTTGGTCCCGGTGGAGGCTGCGCAGCGCCGTTCAAGGGCGGCGGAGGAAGTTGGCCGGACATCGATGGAGACGCGTGCGAAAAACGAGGACTCCGCGTGACGGGCGAGGGGGCGTACGCTGGAGGAGTTTGAGGTGGGTGTTGCGAATATTGCTGCTGCGAGGGCTGTTCTCCGCTGGGATAGTACGGATGGCTCTTGGATGGGGACTCGTAGGCAGGCAAGCGCTGCTGCTGAGTTGGCGACTGGGCGTTGTATGGCGGAGCGCCGGTCATGGTGGCCGCGTCCCCGGCGCCGGACAAGCGCGGCGGAGGCTAATCCTAGAGGAAGAGGACTGTACGCGATGAATTGGACAGGGCGGGACGGCAAGTCAAGACACTTGCACAGCCCATGGACAGGTGTCAAGGGGGGAGGCTCGGAGATCTAGCGCGAACGCGACGTCAGCGTGGCTACACCTTAACGATGGAGATGGAAACACAGTAGAATTGTGATTGGCGATGGAGGAAGACAAGGTGAGAGATGGACAGAGATGGATTTACCGAGTGGGTAGATGGGGTCCGTTTGGTGGTGGGAGGGTGCAGGAAGGAGGGATCTTTGTGGCCGCGGAGACCCAAAGCAGAGAATGCGCGGCCGGTCTAGGCGAGGATGCAGGGAGGTTAGAGTACGGACGACGGGCTGAAATAGGATGAGATGAAAAAGGCTCGAATCCGAAAGACAAAGTGAATAAGTGAATGAATGAGAGGGGATTCGACTCGGGAATGAAAGAGGGAAAGTCTGTGAGGGAAACCGAGCCGACGGTTTAGGGATTGGCCGTTCCCTTGTCGTCTCTCGTCCGGATGCTGCTCGATTCCACCATGTTGTGGTTTCTCCCTTTTATACCATGCCTTTTCTGCCTCCCTGCCTCATTAGTACTTGCGGAGCTTGGGTGTGTCTATTAACCGCGATCTACATTCGCTATAGAGAGTCTGAAAATCTGCCCCAGACCCTGGCCAGGGTGAGGCCGGAAGGTCCATACTTAACGCCGAGAAGGAGAACTATGGAGGATCGCCAGCCCCAGGTGGGTTACATGGGCTGATATACATGGAGATGGCTCTTTTTAAGTGGTAGTTATGGGCAGGGAAAGCAGTGCAACTGTAAACCGAAATCAACTAACTAGGAGTTTTGGATCTGTTGCATCACGGAAGGCCTCCGTACCAATGTTTGGAAGATTTGATCGAGGCCGATCGCGGGTTCTCCATCCCGACGGTGACCACTCATATTCGCTACAGATCGGAGTCTAGCGTCTCCTGGGCATGGTTTTTTTTTTCTTTTTATCCCAACACCGTTGGTAAGCTTGCCTCCTCGTCTATTGGGACAGGTCATTTCCTGTAAGATCGCCCTCTGACATGAGCCGTGCGACCTGGTCATGCTGCAATGGGCGGAGATCCATACAGCTGACGCTCAGGGGATCAAAACGGCAACACCCAGAGCCCGCTTAGACAGAACCCAGGCGAAAGATCAAAGAGACCAGCCAGAATGCTCGCTTTAGTAGCCTCGTAGCCATGGTCTTTTTCGTTTTTTTTTTTTGTTTTTTTGTGACTCTTGCGTCGGTCTTCACATCTGGTGCGTAGGTATTACCCCTAGCCCTAGCACCGAGATCCATGGATGTTTCACCCTCGTTGAGTTGTTGAATGCCCCACCTTGATTGGAAGTCTAAGACCGATGTCGAACATGCCAAATATTACGACTATTCCTTTCGACAATTTCGAGTTGAACTTTTCCGAGTTGCTCGTGGGTCTGAATCAAATGTTGGAAGGTTAGGATACGTGGGTGACTCACAGGCCCAAAACCATCATTCTCATACCTCGCCCGCATCGCTCAATCCTCTAAATGCCCTCAAATCTGTGCCTGGTTTGCGGGTGAGGAAAGTCGTTTGCAGCGTTCGTCCCGTTTCCTTGTTCATCCCGAATCCCTCGGATGTGGGTGCGTAGAACCATTAATATGTTAAGTCGTTTGGGTGCGATTCCCGCAAGGTACGCAGTCCCTGGGGGTACTTAAAGGAGGTGAATTCCTGTCAAATGTGTGTATCCTGAGACCCATTTCGAGCCTCCAGGTCTCCTGTTCGCTTTCGTGGCCATATCCTGACACTCGTGGCGCGACTTGCGGCTATGTATCTCCTGCGTGTGGAGACGGACCGATGACGTCCTCCATTTCCACAGCGCCTGGGCAAGCACCATGCCATCTACAACTGTTCAAGCCACAATCCGCATTGCAATCGCTAGAGGCACGAGATTGGCTGTGTAAGCTGCAATCCACCCTCTCGAGGTCAGGGTCTTGACCCTTCTGGCCTTGGTGGGCGGCGTGTTATCGCGCTATAGCTTGGGATGGGGCTCTAGGAGGGGTGTCTAGGATTACCGCATTACTGCGTATCGCCTCAACACAACAAAATACTTGGCATTAGCCGAGATGCTACGGAGGCCATAGGATACTTTCTCCTCAGGAAGGTGATCAGTCGTGGCCAGATGAATGGTCCATTGTATGAAAAGGTCTGGAGGCATCATGCATTCCGGAGCGGCCGAACATGACCCAGTGGGCGTGGCTTCGTGGCTTGAGTGGTGTAGATGGACTTTTGTACTCTTTGCGCAGGCCTGATGGCATGCAAACGCCCGAAACCGGGAATCGCCATCATAGATCTGATGGTGTGGCACCACCCCACAGCTTTGTTCCTTATTTAAAGTCCTTCTACGCGTCAACGAGGTGACCATGGTTCATTGATACTTCGCAGTAGTCACCTCAACTACTTCCTACCTTCCATCTACCCAGGTGTTACCTACCCACCTTACCAATCCCTCCATCTTCCAGATTCCCATCTAAAGTCCCATTCACCATTATGGCTCCCACCATTCCCGAGAAGCAGTGGGCGCAGGTAGTCGAGGAGAAAGGAAAACCACCGGTCTACAAGGAAATCCCCGTTCCCAAGCCCGCTCCCGATGAAGTCCTCTTGAAGATTCGATACACCGGCGTCTGTCACACCGATCTACACGCCATGAAGGGCGACTGGCCCCTCCCCCCTCAAGCTCCCCCTGGTAGGCGGCCACGAAGGCGCGGGCGTTGTTGTCGCGAAAGGCGAAATGGCCGAAGGAATTGAAATTGGCGATCACGCCGGCATCAAGTGGCTGAACGGATCCTGCCTGGCCTGCGAGTTCTGCAAAACCGCCGACGAGCCGCTTTGCGCTGGCCAGCAACTCTCGGGTTACACCGTCGACGGAACCTTCCAACAATATGCGATTGGCAAGGCTGCTCATGTAACCAAGTTGCCGAAGGATGTCCGTTTTGACGCTGTTGCGCCTATTCTTTGTGCCGGAGTCACGGTCTACAAGGGGCTGAAAGAGTCTGGGGCTCGTCCTGGACAGACCGTTGCTATTGTGGGTGCGGGGGGTGGTCTCGGCTCCCTTGCTCAGCAGTATGCCAAGGCGATGGGACTGCGCGTCATTTCTATTGATGGGGGTGATGAGAAGCGCGCGATGTGTGAGAAGCTCGGATCGGAGGCTTACATCGACTTTACCAAATCCAAGGATCTCGTCGCTGATGTGAAGGCTGCTACACCCGAGGGCCTCGGAGCTCATGCCGTCCTTCTGCTTGCCGTCTCTGAAAAGCCTTTCCAACAAGCGGTTGAATATGCTCGTCCTCGCGGTTGTATTGTCTCTATCGCTATGCCTGCCGGCGCTTTCCTGAAAGCACCAGTCTTTGAAAGCGTCGTCAAAATGGTCAACATCAAGGGCAGTTACGTCGGCAATCGCCAGGATGCCCAAGAGGCTGTTGACTTCTTTGCTCGTGGCTTGATCAATGCACCCTTCAAGACCGCCCCGCTGAAGGACTTGCCAAAGATCTTCGAACTCATGGGTAAGTATCTGTCTGCGAATATACAATCACAACTGCTAATAAAATGCTACAGAGCAAGGCAAGATCGCTGGACGCTACGTCCTCGAAGTTCCCGAGTAATTGCATATGAGGTTCACGCGAGGGCACGCTGTCCAAAGTGATATTCGAATCCCCACTCCAATTTTCTGTTATTGCTGCCCGGGAGGCCGTATTAATCAACGAGTCAATGATTACCTGGAGATAATTTACTCCATACCCAAATGAGATATCCTTTCTGCGAACCAAGTTACCTGGTCCTCATAATGCCATCTACACCTGTCTCTGTAACTATAGAACAAAAACGGCACCAGAAAATCTGAAATGTGAATAGACCCGATTACGAGCAAATAGCTCTTCAATGAATCAAATTGGCGCCGCATAGAACATTTCTAATATAGGGTTGCTACATTTCTCTTTAATAGGCGTCTCCCTCTTCCTTGATGCGTTTGCCCTCGTCCTCAGGAGCGATCGTAGTCTGAGGGCCCTTGTAATTCTTCTTCGCATAAACAACGTAGTAAACCAAAGCCCCAATCCATAACGCTCCGTTGATAACAATGGTATAATTCATGTCTTGCGCTGCCGCGGTAGTTAGCCATCAAGCTCGACTTGAACATGTTGGTCGACACAAAAGTTTGCAACTTACGCGATGGGTCTGGGCCTCCAGTCGGAAACATACACAGTACAATGGCAAACACCAAGTAAATGACTGCAATCCACCCGATGGGCTTACTGAGATACTTTCCCGTATAAAAGTCACCAGGCACAAACTTCTCATTTCCCCACACGAGGCGTGCTAGAATGGGAGTGAGCCAGGCAAGGTCATTTCCTGCTACAGCGAGTGAGAACAGAGCATTGGAGGCGGCCTCATCAATCAACGATAGAAGACCGATCACCATGGCTAAGAAAGCCACTCCGCAAACCATGCGGACTGGCTGGTATCGCATAAGGCCAAACTGGCTGACTTGACGGAAGAAGGATGAGAAAGGAAGCGCGCCATCGCGAGAAAATGCCCAGCTTTGTCGAGATGCGGCAAGCACCTGTTTCAAAGAAGATTAGCCAATACTCCGCAGAGCACCGCGATCTCGACATACAATACTCAGTCCCATGAAAAACTGGACTGACGCCACAACCGCCATGAATCCAAGAGCTCCATTCTTGCCCAGAGCATCATAGTAGATCTGAAAGGGGCTATGTGTCAGCAAAAATACCACACCAAGCCAAGTGGAAGTCACTACCTGTGCCATGGGTTGTCCAAACTTCGACCCCAGAATATTCTCGATATTGTGATCCATAGATGATACCATAACAGCCAGCGACACAAATCCCAGAATGCCACACAGCCCAGTAGAAAGAATGATACCCAGCGGGACCGCCCTCGTAGCATGGGTCGCCTCCTCACTCATATGCACGCACGAATCGAACGCGCCGATGGTCCAGATAGGCGAAAGCCAAGCGAGCATGAACGCCCAGCCAGCGGGCCAGGTGGTCAAGTTATCAACCTGGCCGAAGACATAAGCACCGGAGTTGACCGGAGGACTGTTCTCATGTTTCCCGATGGGTAAGGCGATGCAGGTTGCGATGACGAGTCCGATGTTGAGGTATATACAAGCCGTTTGGATCTTGGGCATGACCCGCGCGAAGAAAATGGCGATGAAGGCGTGTGCTGCGACGGTTCCGACAAATGTTCCGTAGATGACTGGGTTGGATGCTGTCCATTCTCCGTTGCGGGCGATGGATATGAGTGAGAGGAGCATGTTTGCGAATCCGTCTGCGGGGAGGTGGAATTAATCAGACCAGAGCGTTGGGACAGGGCAAATGGGAGACGAACAGTCAATTGAGCAGATACCGCCCACCAGGCCGATTGTGTTACTATAGCCAACGACAAAACTGAGGGGATTCTTCCACTTCTCGGCGCTGTAGTAGTGCGTCCAGAAATAGAGTCCACCGGCTGTGGGCATGGCGGGACGCTAGATCGGCCTAAGGAGATATATATGAGCGGCTGATTCTCGTTCAGGGTAATTGGAGACGAGGAAAGCTTTACTCACCATAGCCAAACTAACAATGAAGATGAAACAGCTTGCAACAAACCATCCTACAGCACGGTCAGCTTCATCTTGTGGATTTTGACAATAACTTGGTGCCGCATACCCTATCATCTATCAGCAACGTCATCACTATAGTAGGAAAATGGCTAGTTCGCTCTTACCCAAACCATTCCAACCGGGCCAGCAGGCATCGAAAAAGAAAGCGTCGAGGCAATTGACGGCAAAAGACCCATGATACTGAATGCAACGGCGAAGATCTGCGTCGTGGAGTAATGGCGCCGCAATTCCTGCTTGTAGCCCAGCGAGGCTAAACGGAAAGCGCCAGATTAGCACGATGAAGACTACAATAAGAAGAGTACTGAATGAAGGCATACCCAACAGTTCGCTGTCTCCGGCCTCGACGACGGGCTCTGTAATGCTGCCATTCTCAACCACTTTCACTGGCTTCACATCTGCTGCTGGCTTTACTTGGTCTGCCATAATGTAGATGTCCTCAGCGAGTTGCTGATCTAGCTCTGTGATGTCGGAAGGGGTGAAGACTGAGGTCGGTTTAGCCCCCTTGGACCGGCAGTTATCAGTCAGACTAAACCTTGGAAATTTGGAAGCCCTGGAAGGGTGTATCAGTGGCAGGACAAGATTCTTTTCCAGCAGGAAACACCGAATGAGCCCTGGTGGCCTCAATCGCTAGGTCTTGCCATATCTAACCATGACGGGGCGTAATATAGATAGGTAGACGGCTGGACGACTCCACTGAGAAGCGGGGAACGGGAGGCGATAGCGGCTTGTGGCATGTGAGCGCTGGAATGGCCCTGGTGAGTTAGGACGGAATGTACGGAGTATTCCGCAATAGCCAGAGCTGAAGATAAAAGGCCGTCTTCCGGTTGGGCTCTGATAAGCGCCAAGATTGGTGCGACACATTAGCTTAGGCAAGTCTTGTTGGGCGTCGTGCTTATCTTGGGACACCTTATCTTGGGGCGAAGGACGAATGCTCCACAATTCCACAATTCAATTGATCCTCCACGCGAGAAAGGTGTAGTCGATGTCGGAATACGAGGTTGCAAAGCCAAGGGGAAAAAGAGAGAAAATCTATGCTACCTACTAATAACTTGCCATTTGGACCAAACCAAGGTGAATCGGTCAGCAACAGGGTACGGTAATTCAAAATCCTCCAATTTATAGGATAGCCGCGTTGTCCAGCAGATTAGAACAAGCCTCCAGCGCCTTTGGAACGAATAAGGCTGTAAAAGACCTGGTGGCATGATATGTTTGCGAAAACGAGGTTATTGGTTACAAATAAAAATTTTGCAGACCCGCACAACGAAAAGGCTAGATATACAGTCCATATGGAAGGAACAAGGCCTATGCAACAACAGAAAGAACACAAAGAACGTGATAAGGTATCATAATCAAACAGCTCCAGGTCCAGGACCCTTATGATTGGACTGGTCAAGCAGGAGTCGCGGCTTGATGTAGTCCTCATCGATCTGCCGGAACCAAGCAGCGTGGTCGCCGCTCGCACCACCCGACCATAGGTCCCGCAAAGCCTCACGGGCACTGAGACCAGATTGCTGCCCCGCACGGGAAGGGGAACACTTGCGGAAATGCCGTTGGGAGACGGCGTGTGCGGCGCCGGGGAAGGATGCGATGGCGACCGTCGCAAGCGAGATCCGCTCGTGGCTGGTGGAGGGTCCTCGTCTTCCCCATCAAGATCAAGCTCAAAGTCATCTGGATGAGCGACTTGGTTTGCGCGATTGCGGCCTGAAGGCGGAAGCCCGAACTCGTCATCGCTGTTGATGCCGTCGCTGCTAAGGTTCGTGCTATCCGGATCAACATTCCCGCCGTTCAGGAGAGTCGCAGTCGATGAGCGGTCTCGTCGGGCATTAGCATCTTTGGTGCTGTAGGCGGTCGAGTACATTCTAGTGTGGCTATGTGGGGGACTGGGCCGGCGGTTGTTCCCAGAAGAATAGCTATGGCTTCGCTCGCCGAGACCGCCCTGCCGGGCATTCGTGACACCATCCAAGGGGATCTGGTCTGCACGACGGGGAGTGTAACCGATACCGGTGTCAGACCGTTTGTAGTAGGTCCCCCCCGTGAGTGACCTCAATGTCGAACTCGTCGTCTGAATCGATCTCTTCCACAACGCCGGTGCGGATGTTCATGATTTCCAACATACGCGCCGTTGTTCCTCCGAAAATGATAACAGTGAGCACGACGACAACGAGAACGGTTGCTCGCAAAGTTGGCCCATTGACACCCGAAAGACCCGCAGCCAGCGCCACGCCGACAGCACCACGCAACCCGGCCCAGAAAAGCATGGCCTGGTACGAAAAGGGAAGCTCATCCGGGACTTCCACTCCTCTACGTCGTGCTTTCATTCGAATGAACCAATTGATGGCCTTGGAGAGGGGGAACACGGCCAAGTAACGGGCGAGGCAAATTCCAAAGACCGCCACAATAATGAAGAGAGGGTTAAAGTTCAGGTCAGTGTCAGCGAACAAATCCAGCCCCAAGTAAATGAAAATGAAGTTCTCTGACAGCTGCGACAGAATCTGGAAAAGGTACTTCGTCGTCAACTGCGTGCGACGGGACATATTATAGTAAGCGTAATGCTTTAAGGTGATCCCGCAGAACAAGAGAGATACGATTCCTATTAAGCAAGACATTAGCAACCAGGGTTGATCCGTATGTTCCGTAAGGCTCACCTGATAGATGAACGCCGTTCGAGAAAAAATAGCTGGCGTAGGAGATTAGGACAATCAGACAGCTCTCAATCTTGGGCATGCGGCGCACCAGGGTGTACTTGAGACCCAATGCCGTAGCAATACCAACGATGATACCGACCACCATGCTACCAAAGAAAACCAACAAGAAAAGCCCAATAGCCTCGAAAAGGTGCAAGATGGTCAGCGAACCGGCTGCATTCTCCGCATATTTCTGAGCAGTCTCGAACAAAACGATGGCGACAGCATCATTCAGAATAGACTCTCCGAAGATGACGGTGTAGAGCTTCGGCTCCACCTTGTATAGATTGAAGATGGCGAGAATGGTGACTGGATCAGTCGCAGAGAGGGTTGCGCCCACCGAAATCGCCTCAACAAAAGAAATGTTCAGCCCGTCCAGCGGGATTTGAGTCCAAAGGAAGAGAACCAGACCGAGCACGATGGCAGAAATAAAGGTCCCGGCGAAGGCGAAGGTAAGGATTGTGCCAATATGCCGGAAGAAATTCGCTTGATGGAGCTCGTACCCCGATGCAAGGATAATAGGTGGAAGGAGGAGATTGAAGAAGAATTGGTAGTCGAATGCGACGCTATCTTGGAGGCGGGATTGGGTGACACGGATGACGAGACCGACGAACATGCCTGCGACAAAATTAGCGCCGAGAAAGGGATGGCTCGAATAGCGCGACGCGCAATATCGTATATAATTTGGGTCAAACCCTTGCGAGACCACGTACCTGCAAAAATAGACAAGACGGTCTCATGAACAGCTTGGATCTTCTTCTGCTGGAGAATATAACTGGTGAAGAGCGCAAACATCAAAAGCATAATCATAATGAAGAGTGCCCATGAGCTTGTAATCTCCTTAGATCCCGCTTCCGGCATGTCTATAACCAAAGCGCCCCAGTCAGTCTATCGTGCTTCCAGCAGGGGTATAAATTCGTCATGACGAAGGGATGGAGGGGAAGGGTTTCGAGTGCGTACCATCAGGATCACTTTCCTCCGACGCTCGCCCTAGTAGAACCAACAAGGTCAGTATACAGCCTCTCTACCTCAGACTGACGGAAGGAAGCACTCGAGCATGCGACATACGAAGCAAAGCGTGGAGGGCGTCGCCCATTAATGGAGTAGCCATCGCGACGGAATTAGGCTGAAGGGTTGGCACGGACACCTAGCACTAAACTCCCACTGCGAGATTGCGATGCCAGATACAGGCGCACATAATCCACCTTGGAATCAGGCGCAATGACAGCACAGGAGACGTCGCAATTCCAGGAGCAGAGATTCGGAGGTAAGTTGTATCTGCCAAGCGGCACGGGGCGGTGGTTGCGGCGGGTAATCATGTACGGATACGAAACGGCCGATCGGACCAAAACAAGCCGCGCGGAGTAGGGAGGGCGGTGAGTGTTTCCGCTCCCGTCCTGTTACGAACGTTACCACTTGACACGTGGGCTGCTTCATCTTGTCGTTTCTTATTTCACGGCTGTCGGAAAGTTTCAAGTTCTTTCTTAGAATCCTAGTCCACGGGTATCCAGTAGATTGTTATATCAGCTTGTTCAATCAATCTGAAAATATATCCGCGAAAGGCGGGTCCACCAAGGTACATATGTGGGCACATATTGAATGCCATACTGCTAGCGAATTAGTTGAACTTTCGAACATGTTGCCCTGATCTCAGCAGGGGCATGCCTTTTAAGATGACCTGCGCTACGGTCCTAGCTGCATATGCCAAGAGTTCGGCTTCAAACCCATCCGAGTCAACCTTGGAAACATTCGAAGTAGCACCTCAAACTGGGGAGGCCTGAAATCACGGGCAGCGTATTCAGAGATCCACTCCCCCGGCTGAGGCTGAAAATCAAAGGTTGAGCCACTCTGCGGCCCGCCGGGGCTCCCCTATAGCCAGGGGAAACGGAGGGCTCGGATTGTTGTGTGGTTCAAGTTCCCAGCAAACATCTCTAGTAAACTGGGCTAGGGTCGATATTAATGGACATACACTCTATTAATAGCTAGAGATATCATTCCATGAGGATGTGAATACGATACCGCTCTGAGTAGGGGTGACCCCCGTCTCCCTGATCCAACACATGCTAAGCGCGCGCTTGAAAACAGCGCAAAGCTCAACCAATCGGTCCTGTTACATGATTCTCACTCCTGCTTTAACTCTCCTCAGTCATCCCGGGCGGCAAGGGTTTCAGGTGTCCTTGGGCCATAGTTCTTAAGAAGCGCACACGTCGAACTTCCAATTGACCTAGAAAGTTCTATACCCGCAGGCTGCTGCTTGACTTGCCTTCCTTTCCGATTTCAGTTACTATATTGATATTCGCATGACCTGAGCTCTCTGTTAAGCGGCTCTCTCTTCCTCCGATACGATGGAGGAACTTGATCCAAATGACTATACGGTCGCTTGGATAGCCCCACTTGAGATAGAGGCCCGGGCTGCCCTCAGCATATTGGAGAATCGACATCGGGGCCACTTTCCCGTAAGTCGTGGCCAGGATTATATCTTTCATGCAGGAGACATAGGTGGACATAATATTGTCATAGCTACTCTGCCTCCAAGCCTGGGAAATGATCAAAGGTCCATAAGCGCACTTACGAGTCAGTTGAAAGTGTTATTTCCAAGTATTTGGTTTGGCTTACTGGTTGGTATTGCTACGGGCCTCCCGGACCATTCAAACTTCCCATCTCGTGATATCCGGCTGGGTGATGTGCTTGTAGGTCTGCCTGACAGTGACAGGCCGGATATCATAGCATGTCGCTTCGGCAAGGAAGAAGAACATGACGAGTTCGAACCGATGAAATTAGGGCATATGTTTGCGAGAACGGAGACCCTCGTCCGATCAGCAATTCAGAGCATCAAGCTCAAGGCATACTGTGACTATGCTTATACGTTCATATCTTTTTACGAGGATACCCGACAGAAGAATGTTTCGACTGGTCTGTTTAACGATCCAGGACAAGATCTTGATCAATTGTACGATATGGACGACAAAGGAGATGTGCATCTTGTTCAACGCGAGCAACGATCTGAATCGAAGCGGACCCAAGTATGGTATGGGTCTATTGGGTCTGGGATGCAGTCAACCAAGAGCATCCAGCAACGAAACGAGGTGAGGGACCAGTACGGTGTCATTGGGCTAGAAAACAAAGCTGCTGCGATAATAGACTGCATCCCAGTGGGAGTGATACATGGAGTGTGCGATTATGGCGACGAGCGTCAAAATAAAGAATGGCAACCATATGCTGCGGCGATGTCAGCAGCATACGCCAAAGCAGTGTTGCATGAGATTCGACCAAGAAATCAAACATATGGACCCGCAAAAATACCAGCGAGTAAGTATTAAAAATGACACTCTTCCGTTCTCCCCTGCGTTGTCCCATTTGATGGACAGTACTTCAGCTTCGGAAGATAGCTCAGACTAATTATGACAGGTGGAACTTCCACAGCTTCTGCTCCCCGAAGTATTCGGTCCAAGATGCCTGTCCAGACACAATTCTTGGGCCGGGAACAGGAATTATCCCAGATATCAGCGATTTTAGGCCTTGATACCAGCAGAGCCTCTCTTGTTATATGGGGGTTAAGTGGGTCCGGGAAAACACAGCTCTCGGTGCGCTATGCTACAAGCATGCTACGGCTGTATGATTCGGTGATATGGATCGACAGCTCGACTTCTACATCGATTCAACAGTCGTTCGAGACGTTTTCATCACGTTTACCCGGACACAGTCACGATGAATCAGCGACCGATAAAGGTCTTGAATGGCTGGCAAATGGCTCAAACCGATCTTGGATCATGGTTTTCGACAACATCCCAGGAGCCTTTGATGCTGATTCCTCCGAAACCACAGACATTAGAAATTATTTCCCTCGCTGTGAGCATGGCCACATGTTGCTGCTGACGACAGCATCTGATCTACACTTGCGCTTAGGCATGTCTGCTATACATTTGAAGGGAGTAGATGACTCCACGGGATCGAAGATTTTGCTACGAACTGCGGGAATCAAAGCGCCTGGAAGCTCTGGTATGCAATATAGAAGCCCGGTTTCTCATTTTTGCTTTTCATTCTCATGGTCTTCCCCTCTAATGAAATTTTAGGAGAACTTCTCGCCCAGTCTACTTCTCAGAAGCTAGGAGGTCTGCCACTCGCCCTCGAACAGGCCGGTACATTTTTGTCATATGGTATCGTTTCATTACAAGATTTCAATAATCATTTTGAGGCACGGTTTGTCGAGAAGGTGCTCAAAACTCCCGTGAAGAAATACGTGGGAACTTATGAGAAAGGGAGAACTCTATGGTCCGTTTTCCAAATGGCATACGATGCTCTGAAGCAAAGAAGTCCGGATGCAGTCAAGCTACTTCATATTGCAACATTCTTGAGTCCAGAATGTATGCCGTTGGTATTCCAAAACTCGAAATCTCAGGAGTCTTCAGATTTTACTCCAAAGACGCCTTTAATCCCCCGCAGCCTGACAGAAGCACAGCTGTCCGGCCTCAGAACTTGGATAAAAAGCCTTTTCTCTGATATTGAGAAATTTGCGAGAGCTATCGATGCACTTGAATCATCCGAATTCATCAGAACAGAGCGACATTCACAAGACACCTACGTCAAGAGCTGTGATATACATGACTTGGTTCGTTTGTTTGTTCATTCAGGATTATCAAAAGATGAAATCTGTGAGAGCTCGGCACTTGCTTTTCTCCTTACTGGACTCAGCACGGGGTAAAAAGAGGTGATGCTGCATTACCTGGCCTCGTCAGACTGCCACGGCGCACATGAATATGCAACGGCTCGCCCCCCCCCAGAAGGCACCGAGGGACAAGACGAGAAAGGCTTTGGGAAACGAATGTACCTGATACTGCCTCCATTCCATGTGAGTTTGACCAGGCATATCCACCTATTCACGGTTCTCACGATCTTAGGCTGCCGGGATTGGACATATCTTGTTCGTCACTATGCTTGTCGATATAACTCTTATCATGCCCACTGCTGCGAGCAGGCAAGGGAACTGTGCAGCGTGCCGGGACCCTGATGCTGTATGAGGAAGAGATTGAGAAGCTCTACAATGATGCCGACAAGCTGGCGCAGTTAGATGCCACCCAGCTACCTGGACCCGGCGGAGTGGATGATGCTGCACAGGTTGCAGAGTATGTCAAGACAACGATCGCGTCCATCACAGGCTGGAAGCCCGAGGACCTGTCTGATGAAGCAAACTGGTTCAACCTTGGCCTGGATTCGCTGCAGACCATCACAGCGACCCGCGTTCTTAAGCAGGGATTAGATCTGCCCACCCTTGCCCCGAACGTGATTTACTTGAACCCGACCATCTCAGACCTTACCCACGCGCTCCAAAACCTTCACAAGAACACAGAAGAGTCCATTGAGACTAGTAAGAAAACATTGCTCCAAGCACGGGATCAGCTGCTAGCCGAGCTGGTTGGCAAGCTCAAGATTGAGGGAGTGAACGCCTCTGGAGAACGTCCAGCCATTCATACGGTTATCCTCACTGGCTCCACAGGGCAGTTGGGCACATACCTCCTCAACACCCTGGTTGAAGCCCCCGATGTCGAGCACGTATACTGTCTCGACTGCGATGAGCGAGCTCGCGACCGACAACGAGATCGCAGAGCGGCCTACGGTTTAGGCCCTCTGGACGAGAGCAAAGTCACTTTCTGGAAAGCCGACCTTAGCCAGACCAATCTCGGACTCCAGAACGAAAAGCTACAAGATTTGCAGCACAATTCGACTCTGATTATACACAACGCCCGGCCCGTCAACTTCAACATCTCACTGTCATCTTTCAAGCCGCAGCTCGAGGGCGTCGTCAATCTCATCAATTTCAGCCACCAGTCCACCCGCTCTGCACGCCTGCTCTTCATCTCCTCCATCAGCTCTGTTCTCGGCCACCGCGCGGAGTCCGACAGCATCCGCGAGGAAACCGTTACCACCAGCACCCCAGCGCCAAACGGATACGCCAACAGCAAGTACATCGCCGAGCACCTGGTCAGCCACGCGGCTCAAAAGGGTCTTTCTCGCCCAGCATATGCCCGCGTCGGCCAGGTGGCCGGGCCCATCCGACAAGCCGGCTTGTGGAACAAGGCTGAGTGGTTCCCCAGTCTCGTGCTGAGCTCACTCCGATTAGGTGCCCTTCCTGATAGTCTCGGGTTGGCTTTGGATAACATTGACTGGGTGCCAATCGACCTTCTTTCCGAGATCCTGGTCGAACTAGCCTTTGATACGAAGAAAGGGCCGAGTGTCTACCACCCACTGAACCCGCACCCGAAGACATGGCAGGAGATTCGGCCTATCGTCGCCGATGCCCTTAAGGCAGCTACGGGGAAGATCGTGGACACTGTTCCCTTCCGTGACTGGGTACAGAGGGTTCGGCGAGATGCGGAGGCTGCTAGCCAGGGCACCAAGAAATTGGGTGAAAAAGAATTGCTGCTTCATTTGGCTAGTAACCCTGCTGCAAAGCTGATCGACTTTTTTGAGGGCCTGATGGCTCAGACCACGCCCGAAAGTCCGTTAGAGACGGTGGCTACTGCTGCTGTTAGTGAGAAATTCGGTGCGGTGCAGGCGGTTCAGCCGGAGTGGATCCAGAAATGGGTTCGGGAATGGTTAGCATAGAAGAATATATTAGAATGATCATGACTGGATCTATATTTAACGAGGTCTAGCTGGCCAGGTCACAAGATATTTGTCGCGATGTCAAGGAACAGCTTTGCATGATATGTAAACTTGAACCAAGTTAGGATATACAATATCAATAAATGGATGTACTGTGGTCTCCGTGAACCGATCCGTTTGATATAGAACAGACTTCTAGCAGTCGATTAATGAGGACCGTCGTGTAATCGCTTCGTCAACCACGCAGCGACCAAGGCAGCACACCCACCAAACCGAAGCACCCAGCCCACACTGTCATCGTACGGAGCTCCACGGGGCTTCTGCAAGACCTTGAAAATGCCACTGCAGATGAGGCTCGAGAAGATCTGAGGAAAGGACACGGCAACATTATGCAAGCCAAGGATGATGCCCGCCTGAACCAGATTCTCGTCTTCGTCGCTAGAAAGCTTCGAGCGGCCGTTCTCCGGGTCATTTTCACGAGCACGGTCCTCATCTCCTTCACGATCTTCTTCCACGGGGAGAGGTACATACGAATTCGACCCGGCGTGGGTTCGAGTTCTTGGCGTCGAGCCCGTTGCAGCATGGCGGCGGCGCAGACGCCGCTCGAGATCCATTCGGGAGACCTCGGCAGAGATAAAAGCAAATGGCGCCCAGAGAGTCACCGCCCAGCATATTCCGGTCAAGCCGATAATGGCGGACCCAGCCTGGTAGGAGCTTACGAAGATGGTGCAGAATGCGCAAAAAGCGAAGAGGATATGCGAGGAAATCCAGGTGCGGCGCAGGGTCAAGCCTGGTACTTGAAGCTTAGTGAGCCATGATGGCTTCTTGTCAGACTCGACGGTAGCCTTTGCGTTTGTCCTGCCCAAGAGTGGTGCTGAGCCGGTACCGGTACGGGCTCCGGAGAAGGACGATCGGGCATTGTGCTCGTTCTCTTCTTCATCCGCAACAAGATCTTCGAAATTATCTTCTTGATCTGCGATGTCGGGAAGTACTGTCTCGTAGGTGGGGACGACGAAAAGCGGAAGTATCATGTTCGCGGCGAAGGAGACGATCGCATAGATAAGTAGGGCGAATGTCCCCACGCGGGTAGCTTCCTCCCATGTCTTATCAATTTGGTCCCTAGGGAGGTCGGGATGTTTCGCAAAGATCGGATTGACATAAAGCTGGCCGACGTAGGTACTAGAGTAGTACAAGAACGGGAACCAGCCGGTCCAGGCCGCTAGCTGGACTTCGCAGACCCGCGCGATCTGTGTCGGGAGATTGCGGATGGATTTGAAAGTCTGTCGGAAAAACTGAATAACGCTTAGACCGTCCGATGGTGGCGGACCATCCAGACGAGGATCGCGTTCTTTGATGTAGAGGCAACTAATGATTAAGGTCGCCGTAAGAGAGATCGAAGCGAGAGCGCTCAGTATTTGAAACTGAGTTTTCCCGAGAAATGGGAGGTGCTTTGGTAGATTCATGTAGCCAAAGATGTAGCCGACGATGTTGCCGACACCTGTCCACCGACTTGCCCAGGCGTTGGATAATTCCTGCTGGTGAGCTGGACAATTATCGAGAATGAAAGCTCTGATTCCCGCTTGCACTATATTGAAAAGTTGGAAAGTTAATACAAAAACTATCCAAGCCCTGAAGCTCCCACGTACCTGTATTAATGGCAAAATCCAGGCAATACATGAAAATCGTTGCCAAAGTAATAGTCGTGATTTTGGTGCCAGTCGAAGCTGGGTCAACCCCAAAGATGGATAAGAAGCCACCGACGATCTCCTTCACCCAAGCAAGAGCAAGAAGAGACACAAGGGTTGCAGCTCCGCCGCCTACCATGAACGGCTTCCTCTTACCCAGCGGGACCGGCAGTTGTCGCTGCGGATACCGATATACGGCTGCACCAATGCGCCTGTCAATGGACCGGCGATCCAGACAAAAGCAAGAAGAGCTTTGCTCATTCCCAATGATAATAAGAAAGGCTGGTTGGACAGATTAGCACATTGAATCAGTCGACATTAAGCGCTACTTGAAAGATCAGGGGCGGGTTTGGCGAAACATACCGATCCATTGCCAAGTTCCACAGACCATACGACCTGAAGGCTGCAGAAACACCTGCATCAGTAGCAGATTCCAAAATGAACTGCTGGTGGGCAGGATGGGAGCTGTTGGACTCCTTAAGATGCAACTTACCCCCCGATAGACACAGTCAACAAGAACAAATACCAACTACTCTTAGACGATTCATCGACGTTGTCCACCAAATCCTCAGCAGAGGCATGGTTGGGACCACTAGTCTGACCTTGGGACATCAGTGGCGAGTTTTCGTTGGCCTCTGGAAGAATGTTGGTTTTCCCCATGGGGCTCTGGTCTGAACGGAAGAGAAGCCGGATAGGAGAAGAATGGTCCCAGAAAAGACAGAAAAGGAGACAGGAAAAAGAACTTGGACCCTCATGCACAGCCTTTTTAGGCCCTAGGGAGGCGGGAAAAAGACGTTCAAGTATTTGGATCAAGCTGCTCCCGTTTTAGACCAGCCCGATGACTTGGTTTAGAGTGGTCCCAGCTATGCGCTAGTGGGAGGCGTTGCAGGGGGGACGCCAGGTCATGCGGTTAGAGTCGGGGTGATGGGAATCGCTTCCATTGATGGGGGAACAGACCCCGGATTTATGACAGCGCTTATGATCAGAATGGACAGCTGATCCCTGGCTTTGGTCCCTTGAAACGTATGGAGCTGGTGGCCTGCTCAAGGATTCGATGGCGGGTAGCACGTGATGCACAAGATGTGATTGGTATAGATGACAAATCATCCGTCTCCATGCCCAGTGTTCATAGATATCTAGATATCAAGTACATTAGGTACTGGGTGATTTGAGGAAGGATTTGTAGTGAATGTGCTCAAGTCCACCAGATCGGGGTCGAAGTGAATGAGGGGCACTCCCTTTTATACCCTCTGCCCCTTCATTTCTTTTCTGTTCTTTTCCCTCGCCTTCCCATCGCGCCAACACTTTCAAGTGCCCACTCTCTCGCGCCCATCCCACCATCTCTACCATCGTCACATATCTTCCGAAGCCTACCAGTAAGCCGCACAAGTATAACTCAGACACGTCTAAGGAACCATACTAATATCATTGCTCAGGCCAGTTCGAACAAGTTCGCAGTCATGAGCTCGAACGGGTCGTCGAGCCCTTCAAGCAGCGACCATGGACGCGGACGCGCAGATAGCAACACAAACATCCACATCAGGATCTCATTTCCATTGGACACCATGAACCCGAACACGGTATGTATAACTGCTCAATCTCATTTGATGATATTAATGCTGACATTGCGAAGGGTTGGTCGTACCATTACGAGGCTTGCCAGGCGATGTGGGATTCCCTGCAGCGGGCTCTTGATACAGTTAGTGTGGGATACGACCGAATTGCGGTGATCGACCTACTCCAGCGTGCCGGCAAGGTGCCCTCGGAGGAAGAACAAGCCTTCGTGGATAACTTCGACGCGGCCCAGGGAGAGTTAGATGAGAAGATCCCGATACTCTCCCGGTGGATTTCTAGATTGGAGGCGCGGGAGCGCCAGGCCTTCTGTGACCTCAACCCAGAGGTCGTTGGCCGTTACAATATCCTTGTGGCTCCGGATCCAGACCGGAGTCACATCAATAATTAAACCCAGATCGGCTCCCAGCCTTTTGGCAGAGGATCATGAATTCCTTTATTCATGGTCCTTGGGATGTCCTTTGAGTTCGTTCATTCACGGGGGGCTCTGGGAAATATGGACCAGTGTCCCCGTGGTCTGAGCGGCTCAAAGAAGATCTGGGTGAGAATGTTAGTTGCGTGCTTTCGTCGCACATATTTTTGTGCTTGTTTGAACAACGTCCAAAGTATCCTTTCGTCGCATGCAAACTGTAAGGCGTAATCTGTAAGCCGACGTTTCGTCGTAAGCCCACGTTTCGTCGCAACCTAAATCTTCTATAGTAAGAACTGTTAACGTAATAGTCGTTGCTCCCGGACTTGTCACATCGAGACGGTTCTTTGCATCTGCATTATATCGGACTCGGCTAACCTACCGGATCTGAAGGCTCCTGACAACTTTCTCAGCGTCAACTGATAGATCTACCGCTCAACCAATTGGATAGCAGAGAGAAGTTGAACCTTGCCCAAAAGCACAGATCTATATGGACGAAAGTGCCCATGCCCGCTCCGGAGTCTACATTCTATTGTTCGAAAAGCGAATGAACACACTACAAAGAGCGATCATTTCAAGGACCCATAACACGTCTACATCAATTCCCACTATACCATCATTCCCTGAAATGGCCATTTATTTACGTCGACGAATCCCTTCATTTCGGCATGACCTATCCATCACTTTAAGTGTCATTTGTACCAATCCCAGGCCTGACCTGTCCATCATCGAGCCAGTTTTCTCTAGCGCCAATCCAGCCGGCGCGAAATACTCAACAAACCTCCGACCCCACCCAGCGTACCAAGGATACCACTTTAACGGCAAGATTCTCCGTGTAAGATCAAGCTCGAACCCGCCCTTCCAAATCGAAGATGTAGCTAATAGCCCGCTGACCCCCGACAGGCCTGGGTCGGTCCGCCAAATACAGGATTCACCAGCGGTACACGATACATCCCAGCAGACATAGCGTCCACAGTGCCGAACAAGGTGGCACAGACCCATGGAGCGTACGTGCGAGTTGTAGTAATGAAGACCGCCGTCCCACCGTATTACCATCCTAAGTTCCCTCTCCCGTAGAGCAGAAAAATGCACGGCTCGGGCTCAGCGGGGACAAGATGCGGCACCAGTCGCGTGCTTATCTGGATCGCGTACAGCAACGAAGGATTAGCGTGGTGCAATTCGCTGCTATGAGTAGCGCGTCACCGGTCCTGGTTACGGCGTCGGAAGGGTCGCCATGCTCTTCTCAAAGAACTGGGCGTGACGTCTTCGATTACAAGCCTGCGATTACCGTTCGCTGATATGCATGGTGCGATCCGGGAGGCTGGGTATGACGATTTGGGTCATGTTCTTGAAATGATCCGGGGCTGGAAGCTGTGCAGCCGAATGTAGCTGTCGCGAATGACGAGTGTGCGATTGCGCCGGGCGAGGTCTAGCGCGATTCGCGATTTAGGATGGCGATGGTATGTTAGAGGCGGATATCTTGATGAAGCCGGTGAAGTTCCTGCAGGCTGTGGCAGTGCCTGCTAGGCCATTGAATAATCCAAGGGCTTGGGGAGTGATGAAGTGGGTTGGGGAAGACTTTGGGAGTGAGGTTGGATTCCCGACTGTGTATGTTCTTGAGAGCCGCGAAAAAGATGCACATGAGGAATCAATAGAGCTGGAGGTGACTAGGAGCTTGGAAAGTCAGCGCTTGGGCATCCGTTGCAGTGAAGTATGCTATGAAAATCAGTAGATGTTTCTATCAAAACTCCAGGGCTCTCAGTTGAAGGCTTACGTGGTTAAGTCATAAAACTCCCGAGGTCCATGCAGTCGAAACATGGCTGAACAGAACGAAAGGACAACTTGAAGTTCAGTTTAGCATTTCAGTCAATTCGTTAGATAGTCTATAGTATAATCCTAGCCGATTACAACCAGCAGTCCCGTCCTTGCACTTCGAGAGATCCCCGCTATTCCAAAAAAGCGTACAATAATATATCTCCAACTCCTCGAGTGTCCGCTGCACAGTGCCGGGCCCGCCAGGCTAGTTCTTTACCCGCACGAGGCGACGTTAAGCACCAGATGCAGCGAGACAACAGAAAGTTCAATATCACAAATCAATAGAACAAACCACAACCATAGGGAACAAAGAAGCAAAGTAGTACTCAGTGCGATGAGGCAGAAGCAATATCACAAGAACGAAGCGAATCCCAGCCTAGAAAGTCCGCCCGAAGGCTAGAGGAAGTGTCATGAGGCAGATAGGAAAGCGACAAAAGCATTAAAACACCTAGACAGAAGACGCCTGTTGCGCCTCTGCAAAAAAAAAAGGGGGGGGGGGCGGCGGGAAGACCAAATTGCGTCAGGATACCAAAAATATACAGTGAAAAATCACTGCCACGAGCTTAGATATGTTGCTGAAGAAGCTGTGGGGCAATCATATGAGGTGCCATCATATTGGGTACTGTTGACGGAATGGTCATCGGGGCGGCCATAGAGGTCATCGAGGTCATGGAAGTCATGGTGGGCATGTTAACCATTGAATGGGGCTCCGATGTTGGTGGAGGGGAGTCTTCATTAGGGGAATCAAATTCCTCTCCGTCATTCTCCAAGTCTTCCTCGTCAACAACAGGAGCCTGGCCGTCTTGTTGAGCCTCGTGGATGCGGCGGTGTCTAAAATTAGATCGTTAGCGGTAAATAAACTAAGGATCAGACGGCGAAACAAACATACTGTGCCAGGTTATCGGAGCGGGAAAACGCTTTGCTGCAGTATGGACAAGGGTATGGACGCTCTTGAGTGTGCGTTCTCACGTGCCTAGACGCCCGTGTTAGTCGGCGGCTAAAAGGAAACTCGTCACACCGGGGGGGGCATTGTGCAGATCGCCCCACCCGGTGTGAAGGAACGACAAAAATAGAATCAAGCTTACCTCTTGAGATGCTCTAACCTCTTAAAGAGTCGGCCACATGAAGGAATAGGGCAAGAGTGGGACTTATGAGGATATGGTCCAAGCTCCATCATGGTGGCGCTGCGAGCCCTACGAGCTGGGCCTGGGCCGGAGCGATCAGGGCGGCTAGTACTGTTCTGAACAGCGCCTTCCATGGCAGCGCTCGTGGGGAGCGCTGAAAGATCATCCGTAGGCTGGGCCATAGGCATCTGCTGCCCCTCCACGCTGCCATGGAGGTTTTGCAAAGGTGTTCCGTGACGCGAAATCTCCTGCATCAAGTCTTTCTGGGGGAGCGAGGCGCTGGGGTATGCGCGCGAAAAGTCCTGGCTTGCATCTTCCCCCTCCAGAACTGGGGCCACTGAGCTGGACATCGAGCGACGAAGGTCGCTAGGCTTGTGTGCAGCGTAGGCTGGGGGCTGCGAAGGAGCAACAGAAGGCGGCCCGCTCATCACACCCGGCGTTCCGTTGGAAGGACCCGGTGTAACAGATGGACGACGTCTTCGCTGCTTGTACGTAGGAGACCCCTCAATGACCGAGTAAGGAGTGGACGAATAAGAACGGGGGGCAGTAGAGTAGTGACCTCCAGCCAGGTTCGACGCCGGCAGTTGCATCATAGGGTTGTATGGCGCGGCGCTGCCAATGTCTGGGATCACTGTGTACAGGCCCGTGTCTTCATTGGCGATGTATGCAGGCTCCGCTCCAAGTCCGACTGCATGCGGGGGCGGAGTAACGGGCTCAAACGACAATCCACGGTTGCTGTAGTCTTCGTAGTGAGAAGACACGAACGATGGGGCGGGGGAGTACTCGTAGAAGGTTGGCATGGACGAATGGCGCTGGTGAACCCGGACGGGCATTCCGTTCCGATCATACTGAATAGCTCCGTAGTCCTGTTCACGCTTAATAATGTTGTGAACCAAGTTGTTCTGCATCGGCATCTGCGGGTTGCTGTACATCGAAGTGGCCGGGTCGTCCTGGAGAAGAGGGATCGCTGGGGGAGCCATCTGGGGAGGAGGCATTGCGTCAACGGTCCGTACTACGGGAGAGCTGGGCTGGCCATATGTCGTACTTGCGTGGGCGGCAAACGAAGACGAGCTTGCTTGTTGCGCCTTGGTCAATTGCTCGTAAAGGGACTGAGAAGAGTCGAACTCGAATGACATAGCGGGTTCGCTGACAGCCTGGGTAGTCGCTTCTTGACCCATCTTCTCGCGCTTCAGATCGCGCTCGAGCGCGTCCAAGAACAAACGATCATGCGGAACACTGTACCAATAAAAGACCTTCTGCTTCTTCTGTGTTCGAATGCAGTTGTTTTTATACAAAAAGTCCAGGAATGCGCTCTTGGGCTCTTCGAGGGTCGCATCGGTGCCGGCCTTGAGGTTTCGGAGATCGGAGAAAATGCCTTCTTCGAACTTCTTGGAGTTCTTGACTGGACGACCGAAAGCTTGGAAACGGAATGCAAGACATCGCACGATATCGGTACCGGAGATGTGGAACAGGTTGCTCCTATAGTAGAAATGTTTCGTCAGGTCTAGTTCTTTGGACGCCTGAGGCCGCGTCGGTCGCAGTGAACACCTACCAGAGAACACACGACACATAATCGCCAGTTGGCAAGAGGAATCGACGGATCAACTGGTCTGGCTGCCAGTCTACGGGAGCTGACAGGAGGAAGTATTTCACTAAGCTTCTAGTCAACACAGCTATTCAGCAGTAATATGCAGGGCTCTAGATGCGTACGGTTGTCCACTTGCTGCAGAGCGACTTGCGCATCATGCGGCAGGCTCTGCTGCGCTTCGGTCGACAGCATGAACGTCTCAGGCTTTTGGGGTGGTGCCATAGGGGCACTGTGTTGAGGATACATGATTCCGGCGCTTTATAAGAAAACTGTCAGTGCCGACCGTAGCAATGTGATAAATATAACCCAAATCATGACAATAAAACACAAAGCCGCCTAAGAACAGAGCGGCCATGTTTCCGTTCCAGGGTAAGACCTGGGACCACGCGACTTGAGCAGCACACTCACCTCTACTAGATTCGACGTGCGGTCGGACCCGAGGCGCAACTAAATAATAGGATGGGCTTGATGCTATTGACAGTGATCGGGTAGGAGAGGATCTATAATATGCGACAGGGGTATGTCGATATGCGAATCATGCGCGACGATTGGGTCGAAGGAAAGATAATGCTGACAAGAGGGGCCGGCCGCTCTTTTAGAGGTAGGAACAAAGAAAAGTAAAGAAGAGAGAGAGGGGAGGGCAGAGATCTAACTAGGCCAGCTTGATCAGTCTCTGTTGAAGATGTATTTCTCGCACAGCGGAAGAAAGAAACGAAGGTTTTGGATGGACTGAGAGGGGAAAGGGGAGAAGAAGAAGAATGGGGGGGGAGGGAGAGGATAAACGATGCACAACGTCAGTTGTGCTAATAATAATCGACCAAAGCGAAGCGCCAGGGCCTCTGGGCCAGTCATGGCTGGACTTCCAGCAAACCTCCACTCCAGATGGAAAAGGTGTGGGCCGGCGATAAATGACATAACGGATCCGTATTGACATTGTTCCTGGCCTGTCCTGGTCTTTTCCCGGCTCTGGCTTGCGCGAACTTGGTTGGCTTGCGGTCCCACTTGGCCCTGGCCCTGCTGCGTCGAGTGGAGGAAAGAATGGGGCCGCGCTGGTGTGATTCGCGCTCGCGTCGGTACGCAGATACGTACCAGGTGGGTGGACTCGACATGTGTTGTACTCTGTACAGAATCCTGAATATTGAGGGCGCCGATCAATCTCTCGAGCTAAATCGGAAAATGTTTGAGATGGTTGCCGCACGAAGACGAAGGCTGTTAAGGGATATTGTCCTTTCTCCAAATCTTATGACTTGCTCGAGTGCACCCGACCCTCCCCATGTCAATCAGGGTGCCCCGTAAGACGTTCCGTAGTTACTCCTTCGTCAGTCATATCTTTCACAGGTCTGCTATGGTATCTTATCGTGGCATAATTCAGGTGTCCCATGTTGGATATTGATGGGCACCCCGGGGCTAGGACTCCATAGTTGATTGCGTTGCGTTCCTCCCTGGCTTGATAGCTCGCTTGCCAATATTGAATGTATCGTGGTGTTTACTCTGCTAGTCATCCCGCACTAGTCATAACTAGTGACTCGAGTACCTATGGTGTACTCCGTACACTTTACTAACTAATAACCTTCCAGAACTCCGCCCTCAACTCGACCAATCCCATCGCGAATGTCCCCGCAGCACCCCTGCGCCGCAGATGATTCGATGCATCATCCCCAGCCACGACCGGACTAGGGTGACCAAACTGCAGAATCTGTGCAAGGGAAGAATCCTTTCTCCATTTTGGCAAAGTGGAGTTCCGACGGCCTTCGCCAAGGCTCTGCGCACATCAAACTGGCGCTGGGGACCTGAAGCACCCGCCCTCGTTGTTTCAGGACCCCGGGCGCTTACATGCAGGGAATTAAAACGGGTCACGCTCTTCCCGTCCCACTCGCATCTCCCCTGGAGCTAAACCGATCTAGGTTGGACTTCGCTCCCCCCTTTTTGTCTTCCTTGCCCTGGTTGTGGCTTGAGTGGATTGTTCGTCCGGGATTGCCGGGTCTGGAAAGGTTTAGCCGGAGATTTTCCCGTACGAAGAACGAAGGACCCGACGGATCAAAATACATAATTAGACAAGTCCAATGTGGAGGCCATTGTCTGGTGCTTAGCCTCTGGTTGGCCTAGGGGCAGTCTCCTAGCATAACGGCGGCCCTGGATACCCACCGGCGAGTTTGGTACTTTCAAAGTTCAGGGCTACCATGGAGTAGTGCGCTTTAGCAGCCCATTCGTCGCATAGCACCCCCTTTTTGATTGGAAACCCTCGTCGGCATCTCTACAAAGCAGCACATCGTACGATTTGACCAGTCGCTCGCCGTATTTTGGTCCTCCACAGACGCCATACAGTAGATGAAGATCGACATCGTTACTCCGTAGAATTCGAGACCTTACCCCTCGTTCTGAGAGAAAATTCAGCCATATCAAAAGCTTGGCAGCCTGTGGACTGGGGCGGGTGATCACAGCAATTAGATGCACCAAGGTCCAGAACCCGCCTGGCGCCCCATGACAAACCAACAGGCAAAAATTTGCGATAGAGAACTTGGATTAAGCGAGGCATCTTTGCAAAGTCTGCAAACTAGTAGCAATAGAGCGTCCCTATCCTAGTCTAAACCATGGGTGCCGCGGCTCGCTCTATCCTCAAATGTTGGGCGCGCTATACAGACGCTCGGCCGCCCAACATTTGAGTCGTCGCCTGATCTTCTCCGTCCCGTTGCGATCGGAATACCTGAAACCGGATCTGGCATCCTCGTGGAGCAAAGATTAGGGGTGATGCGGAGTCGCGCTGTTTCACTTGGTGATCAAGATCCTAGGTCACCGGGAACTTCCTGTCAAGGGTACTAGTGCTAAATTGGCAAGGTAGTATAGCAACATGCAAAATCTCCAGAGGCTGTGGGCATAACACGTCATGTCTTACCTTGCACTATGGATAGGAAGACTTTATTCGTAGAGATGCCGAAAAGTGCCTCATACATGGATTGGGAGGGGGCGTCAGCAACCCTGCCCGGTCGAAGGGGCATCAGCCAGGCGAGCAATAGACTTCAAGTGGCATGTTTCATGACCCCTCGAACTGCTTGGCAAACAGCGCCGATGCCGCGCTAGGTAGAGCGCATGGGGCAGAGAATGGTTGTTGCTTTGTTTGATCATACAACCTGAAACGATCTAGAAGCTCTCGAGGAGGTTGGGTCTGGCTGGGACTAATGGCTATCGGGGCTTATTGACAAATCTTTCCGGTGCTATCATTCTGCAGCAGCCCAGAAAAGGAAAGTCAAGTCAAGATTGGTGGGACCTCGCCAGAATGGAGTCAATCCTCCCATCGTGATCCTTGCCGGGACGATCGTTGCCCTCCACAACGGAAGCATATCATAGGTGGAGGCAGTGTAACGTTTAGGGTATCTGCCGGTAGAACCGAGCTCGGTGGTTGCTTCTCGTGCTGCATGCTGCATGGTACTACTATATAGGAGGCCTAAGTGAGAGACCAGGGCCTTCTTTGATTGACCTTCGCGCATATTCACAGATCACCTTTCAGTTTAAAAGTTCCTTGGGAGTAGTGAACCTATATGCGAGCGTCGGGCTTGGTGTCCCTAAGCTTACAAGCGTGGTCGTTGTTGGGGGCTAGTGTCTACTGGTGAGTTTCTGTCTAAACCCTTTTCTGCAAAGCCTCCGTTCTTCCTCCTGTGGATGCGACCTTCTAGCTGAACTATATTTCGCTCTACCGAGGGTTCTAGTCATCCTGCTGTCCGTTCTCCGAGGAGCCTTCTAGCGCTGGGGCCATAACTACCGAGGAATGCTTGACTAGAGATGCGAGTCATGGCTCCACTGGTATTCAAGGTTCAGCCCGTCTGTTTCTATTGTGCTCAGTCTGTTACGCGGAGTACAAGGAAACTTTGGTTGAACGGCTCCACTCTATACTTACCTTCAAATGATCACTCTCCGAGTTCCCCTCGAGATAGCAAATGACGCAACACGGACCAAACTCGAGTCCGTGAGGGCTGCGCCTCATCGCAGAGGTTTTACCATCGCAATCTATGCGTGGGTAAAGACCCGGCGGATGGGCCAAATCGGCGACGAATCGATCGAGATGTCTTCATCGGATGTCGGAAGTTTTCATCCGGTGGGGATAAATTGGATCAAGCTCCGGTTATCAGTCGATATGGGCGATGTACGATTGGAAACTGGAAGAAGACGATTACTCACAGGAACTTCAGAAAGATTAAGAAGGAGATGATCAAACTCAAGTTGCGTTCTATTTTGCAATCTGCCGTTCTCTCGGACTACTTCGGACTTCTTGTATTAAGTTTCTATGGATGTGACTAATTATTCTACATCGAGGGTGGCGAATGCTCTGTGCACATCAGTCTTCAGAAAATGGCACAGGTTTTGCACTCCGTATTTACTCCCTCCCTGATGGGTTCAATGGACTAATGGTTAATATCACCTCATTCTTGCGCCTGCAAGAGCCTATCTGTGCAAATCTTCCACTGGGTATCATTCAGCGGACCACCAGATAACGCGATCCGGGATCTGAATTCCAAGTGTCTGTGCTCATTTCTTCAGCATTGCCCTGGCTGATCTATTTGGACAATGCTTTTGTTCCACAATGTCTCACTTTTGTGGCGAGGGAAGATTGTGGACCATGCTGCAGGTGGTCCTGAACTGTACCTCTTCGAGGGAAAGCTCAACAGATTGAACACGTCAGGTCTGTTTCTCCATCTCGGGCTTTGTCAATTGGCTGGGACAGATTCATGGTCGTAAATCGTTCAATTCTTTGCGCTGTAAGAGACCTGCTGAGGGTATATATGTGCATTTTGACCATAGAGGATATTAAACCGTGTCAAAACTATTCTTTCTCTCCACCATCGCTTCGCGCATAAACGGGCTCCGGGCTCGGATCTCCTTCCCATATACAATAAATAGAGTAGGAGCAAAGGACAGTGCTAAGGAAATGAATGCCAGGAGGGTGCTCGCCCATTGGAACCCAAGGTTCGAGTACATAGCCATAGCAGCCAGAGGCACGAAGGCAGAGAAAATATTCTCACCGCAGGCAGCGATTCCTATTGCGCTGCCCGAGTATTTCGCATATGAATCTACAATGTAGTCGGAGATCCCAGTGACAACGATCACACTGCCTGCACCTACCACTCCCAGCCCAATTGCAGGGGCGATCCATGGGAGATCAGGGTATGAGGTCCATGCGTAAATGAACATGCCACCAGACAGGCCGAAGATGCCGCCCACAATGGCGAGGTATAGTCGTGCTTCGGGGATGGGAGTACCGGGCACTTCTTTGTTGCGCGAAGCGGAGCTGAAATACAGCTTTGCAGAGAACAAGCTAGCAGCCCAGCCAATGATCTCACCGATCACGATCGCGCCCTGGACATAGCCACATTGTGCTGCACTCCAGCCGTAGAGACCGGCAAAGACTTGCTCGACTGACTGAGTGAAGAGGTATAGTGTGCCGATAGTAAAAGAAGACCACATGACAGAGACAAACACAACAGACTCGGTAAAGAACATGATAACTGGTCGTGTTGAGCTACGAACAATGATCCTCCACATCGAACTTCCTTCACTGTCAAGCTCGTGCTGGGTATAGGCCAGTCTGCCTTGTTCGCGCAACTTCTTCGCCCGTTTTCCCAAGATGGCGATCCCCCGGCACTCCTTGAACAAGAAGAAGTAGACGGGGAACAGGGCACCAAGCCAGATAAGCTGGAGGTATCCAATCCATCGCCAGGACAGGAACTGAAATATCGGTGCTCCAATCACGGGACCAATACTGCTTCCAGCGACATAGCCTATGATGTACAGGCTAACTGGGATATTGCGTGCTTTTTCTGAGTCCCAGATATTTCCCGTCACAGTAGCAGATGTATTGGCTAGGATAGAGACGCAGCCTCCAGCAAAAAACCTTGTCACCACCAAGGTCGCAAAGCTTTGGGCTACGGCTTGAGGAATGACGAAGCATATGAAAGCGAGCCAAGTAAATAAGAAAACGTATCTCACGCCGAAGTCTTCCATCAGTGGGAGGATAAGAATAACGAAGCATGCGCCACCGAGAGCCCAGGATGCGACGGGCCAGTATGAATTAGGAAACGAGGCATCCGAGATGCCAAATTCTTCGTTGATGGCTTCGTGCGCAACGGTAATGATTGTACCGTTCATCATGGTGATAAAGGTGGTGAATGAGGCCAATATTGTCATGGTCCATTTTTGAAGGAGGGACCAGTTGTATGGGTTACCCGGGTCTCGGGGCCCATCCCAGTCAACGATTTCAATATCAGTGGTGGGATTGGCGTGGTCTGCAAATTCCGTTAGTACCGTTTGTGGAGTTTCGTCATGACCTGTAGTTCTTCAAGTGGCTCATACTGTGTACCTCATCGATATCGTGCGATATATCACCTCGGGTGAACATCATATTCGCCACGCAAACCTTGAACTCGAACTGCTCTGGCAGTATCGAATATTCAAGACTAAATACCCACACCGAGTCCCTCCGCTATATCTTCTGCGTATCGAGCTCCCCTCTCTGTTTTTTGGCCTCTGCTTCGACACCAAGTCAGAGTTAACTAGGATGATCTCACTTCTTTGACTAATCACTGCCGATTCCGGAGTCCAGCAAGATCGCACGCTAAAGACTATAGTTGATCACCAAACCGGTATGAGGGATGATCCAGCAAAGATCGAGGAACTGAAATTTAAATAGTACCATCTCGGATGCTCGATCCGAGAGACTTTCCACTTTTCTTGCACCATCATGAGAATGGCCACATAGACGCTGAATTTGCAGGTAAGTCCCACCGGGACCCAGTCTCTCCAGACAATGACCTCTTTGGGACTAGTGCCGATGGAGCCGCATTCAGTCTCGAGGTCTGATTCGCCTATCGCTCGAGAAGGATCACATGATCTGCCAAGGCCTGCCTACTTCGGTCGTCAACAGGATTCATTACACAATTACTTGACATATAGTTAGTTTGCAAGGTTGTATTGGTGAGGCCGCACCCCGTCCTATGCTACATTCAAATGGAATAGCTCACAAGGGGATCTATCAAGAGACCTGTCTCAGTGGAGCATGTTGTAAAACATCATTTTGTGGCCTACTAGCTCATCTATATGTGGCAATTAGGCATATTGGTCACCACGATCTCCAGACGAAATGGGAGGCTGCCACCTAATTCGTGTTCAAGCTTTTCCAAATCAATTGACCTCGGCCAGTAAATGACCACGTCGAAGTGAGAAACCTGTTGTACGACCATTAGCGGCCGTAAGAGCCAAGCCAAGCCGCCGATATCAGGATCAAAGGACAGCCAGAGCTTGTCTCTGGTCAAAGAGATTTTGAGGTCTTCAAGGCCCTCCATTTTGGAGAGAATGTCACATGCCCCCCTCCAGTACCACAAGTTGAGTACGGGCCATCTCGTACTTCCATATTTGGTGTGGAACATTGGACTGATTGCCTCTGTATCGAGGTGCAGAGAGGAGATCGATTTCAAACGGTGTGGCAATATCACTTTTTCCATGGCGACTATTGTCTGTGTTGATCTGATACTGAGAGTGCTTCCTCTGTAGAGCAGATGGATGGATTCGGAATACCTAAACGGCTGTCAGAGAGTAAAAGCAGTGACACGGTGATTTGAAACAACTTACATTCTCCTACAAGATTGCAAAAGCCCAAAGAACCCTCTGGAAGAAGAATCAGAAGGATCACCTTGGTCGACCGAGCGGCCTCCCCGGTCGGTAGGCTCCCAGCAGTTATGCTGCCACCCCCGTGGGGAATCAGGCTCACTACAAGGGATGCCGCACAGTCGGTAGCTTGTGATGCCTACATGAAGATCGGCGCCGTCAGAAGGCACAATTATTTGCCGATATATAAGTTGTCGCAAGTTTGGAGGTAGTCGGAAGAATGGAGATTGCAGTTGGTCAAATGACCTCTGGCGCATACAAACACCCTTCCAGTGCCAATGCGAGGACGACTTGGGAAGTGGAAGGGTCAACGCACGTTTGCGACCGCGTGGTAAAGGTCTAATGGCCTTTTTTGCTTTGTGCTTTTTATAAAGCATGGACGGACCCGATACCATATAACTGACGCCCATGAAAGGGTAGTAAGTCAGATAGATGAGTACCATGAGCCATCTGCTCATTGGAAAGCCAGATGTCATTTTGGCAAGAATGTTCTCAACTATCGATGGCTGTTCAATGAGGTTAGCCCTGGGGTCTCTGATTTGAAGAATAAGAGCCACAAAGAACATTCCAATTGAGTGCATATATTCTCAGGGCCAAGGCTCACATGGGCTGATTTGAGAAGGGCCCGGAAGACACCGTGAGTGGAGCAGGCAACAAATAGTATTCTGCGACCCCACCTTGAATGGGGCTTAGCTTGTTGATCCCTCATGCCGGTTCGTATTCCTACCCACTTGATGACTTGGTCCTTTTATGGACGAACTGCTTGCTACATGGATCGCTTTAGAGGATGACTGAGGTGCCCAGTCTGGGGCGGCCCCCGGGAGTTCAAACAGCTTTCTGGTCAAGCACACATGTCGTGTTGATGAAGTTGAGAAGACAAGCTTTAGGGAACTAATTAGTTAGAAAGGAAGTATGGTATGTCCGTTGACAGATATATGGCATCAAATGGCAATATTCCCTAACTTTCCCCCAGCATAGGAATCGCCGTGTCAACACCGTTGAAAATGCGAGGTCATGAAAAATGACTGGGAAAAGGGGTCTAGACAAAAGCCGTTTACAAGGTTATATGTCAAGGTAGCCCTAGAAGCGCGCTTCATCTCACATCGCCATCTTGACTTCACTAATTAACGCCACTCAATAGGTATGGCGGGGAGAAAAGCTGGCAACAAGTGTTGGTATCATAACCTCGCCACCGCAGCACCCTGTTCCACGGAAGTTCTTTCCCCGCACTTTGCAATGTGCAATTAAAGAACGGAGCCTCGCCTTCTTTCAATCTTCGATCCATCCAATTTCTATTCCCAAATCTTGATCAGAGTACCTCGACCGTCACAATGGTCTCTTCTTCTATCGATGCGAACCCACTGGATCCCAACTCTTCTCATCAGGGTTGTCGAACAACCGAGCAGTCTCGCAATTTGCATGACCTAGACATGATCATTGATAGAAATATTGCGCCGTATGTTGGAAGACACCAGAGAGTCATTTACGAAGCACATGGTTCTAACCTCGAAAAGATCTCCCCAGACAAGGTGTGCTGAACTGGCTCAGCAACATGCCCTAGAAGATCTCCACAACATGACCGAGCATGTCACTGTCCGGGATCGCGATGAATCAGAGAGTATGACAGAACCCAACTGGCTTTCAATGTTGTATTTATCTAACAGCCAAGATATAGGGCGCGGATCTTTCCGTAATTCTGTCGATCGCGGCACCCAGGTTGAGCCCCGTCATCCCGAGGAATAACTTGGTGCTTGAGGCTAGTGTCTGGCTTTCAAGGAAATGTGTGTTCATATGGAGCTAGTATGACTTTATAGCAAGTCAGTATCTAAATTAACAATATTGAATGAACTCATGAACTGAATATGGCCGGCGTAGCTTAACTAGTTCGAGGAGAATGAGATCATCGTGACCCAATAACTACATCGGCCCCGCGAAATACGTCACATGATTTACATCCCATTGGAGACCGGTAATCCATACCACAGGATTATCATGTGATAAAATATATGCAGATGAGATCTATTTTGCGTATCAGGATTATTTGCTATATCTGTAGCCGAAGCTGTTATGATACTATCCTAGAGGCTATCTTAAAAGGGGGGTCATGTGGCCTCTCGAGGGCTAACATCATGGCCCAGGCGAAAAAGCATCGTCCCGATGCGTCTTGGGAGATGAAAAGGAAGAGAAACGAGAGGAAAACACAGGAAGAAAGAAACCTCTCAATCTTGCCTTCGGCGGGCCCTGGTAACCGCGGGCCCTGGTAACCCTGTTTGGGGGAGCTAAGCCCTTAAACGAGCTATCCGGCTCGCCGGGATAGCACTCGTCGCCAAGGGTCTCAGCCTCTTGGTCTCGGCTGCCCCTAGCCATATTGAAGTACTTGGGTTCATACAAGACTTGTTCTATATCCGTAGGGTTTCCATATTTCGCTTTCAGGTTCGCCAACATGACTAGATTGTCATATCCTGGCTTAGCGATGACCGCAAGTGTATCTGTGGCAGTTGGCCCTATCTGTAATGTGCGGAGCTTCTCCTGTATATCCCTCCACGCCGCGAGGGCGTCATCGTAATGTCCATCCACGGCCAAGATATCCATCCGGATATCAGCCGCGAGGTCGAGGTTCCTGGCCAGGGTGGGGAACTGCGCCCTATGGTCTCCTGTGGGTGTTACAGCCCTCACTCCCTTGAGTTCGTCGATTAGATCTTTTAGCGTAGGATTGAGCTCTTTCAAGAGCTTGGTGTCAGGTGCCTGGCTCTTGAGGTTGATCACTGCAGTCAGGCAGAAGCGGCCGCGAAACAGTATTTCATATATCTGCAGCTAGGCCTGCGCACCCATCTTGTTTTCCGTGAACTGAATTGACGGTGTTCTGCAGCAGTGTCCGTTTTGGTGGTCTTTCCATAAAGCCCGGCGGTTTCATTTCGCAAATTCCATGATCTGCTAGGACGGTTGGTATTATGGTAAAAGGCTGCGAGCTATGTTTCAATAGCTCGCTGAAACGAGAATGGTGATATTTAAGCTCGGTGTTCGAGAAAGAGTGTTCGCAGCAGGCACTAAGGCCAGCCGCAGAAAATTTAATATCTTATTCCCTCATGTTTGGTGCTGGCTGGCGACGCATGACGCGTTCGGAATCGAGGACCAAAGGAGAATTTTGAACACCTCGACAGTGATGACGATTCCCCTGGCTGAGATAATTTGCGTAGCATTATTGGAGGGCCTTCTTAGATGGCGGGAGATTGGAGAGCAGAGTGCGCTGGGTTTCACGCCTGGGCTTCTGTAGGCCGCGGGTGGATCTCAGACTGTGGAGCTGTGAAGCTTTATAATAACTCTTCGCTCAGGAGATCTTTGGATGCAGAGAAATATCATTAAGTGTACTGGGTTGTCAAAATTTGTAAACCACCAGTATGTATTCTGAGTTGAGCGTTTGACTCGGAAAATCCTTGTCTCAATGACCAATGATGGCCACTCATCGTGGGTACAGACATTGGGGGAGGGGATATGGGGGCGGGGACCGATCGGCTGCTGTGGCGCAAGTTTGTCCTTGGTATCGCGTGGCCGCATGTAGAGTGTAGGCTCTGGGTAGGCTGCACCTCCATTGTCGCTGATGATAAGAACCATATGGTAGCCTAAAATGGAATAGTGGAATACTTGAGTAGCCACGGCGTTCGACAAATACTTAATCGAGTTGGCAGTGATAGCTAACCGAGTTGACAGGGCTTAATCGTAAGTGTCACCCGTCTGACCACCAACCAATTAGAACGACTGGCCGAGTTGATCAGAAGGCTTGTCATTAGCGGACGGCGGTAAGCTGCCCGCTAGGGATTCATTGTGATTAGGAGGTCTGTGAGCTTATCAGACATTGTCTACTCACTGTACTATGTTGACGGTTATCATAGGTTATCATTCGGGTTCATTCTGCTCGGTCCGCTATTTTCGCAAAAAGGAAGGTACACGCGGGCCTTGTCCAGATCGACCCTGAATTCGCCGCTTCATAAGTCGAAGTCGTGTTCCGAAAAATCATACAATTTCAGTCCTCTATATTTGTTCGCCCTCCGGATTCCGTCCACCTCACTATGACATCTGTCTTTCGGAATGGCCGGATCTTTGCACCGAACCAACATGGCGAATTTGCCGAGGCTATGATCATCAAAGATGGCCACATTTCTTACGTGGGCTCCCTCGATAAAGCAGACATACCCAGAGACGCGAATCTCGTGGACTTGCAAGACCGGGTTGTGATCCCCGGCTTCATCGATGCGCACGTGCACGTCTTACACTACGGCGCATCGATTCAAAAATTGAACCTTATCGCATGCACCTCTCTTGACCAGATTCGCGAAGCAATCCAAGCGTTCGCCAAATCAAACCCTGCACTGCCCCGAATCCTATGTCAAGGATGGATTCAGTCGTCTACGCATGGCGTGGCCCTTGCTGGTATGATCGACGACCTCGATTCCAGGCCAATTTACATCGACGCTTTCGATCTCCACTCCATGTGGTGCAATTCCGCCGCTCTGGAAGAAATGAAAGTCCACGATGCACCTGACTACCCCGGTGGCACCATTCATCGTGATGAGAATGGGAGAGCAACCGGTCTTCTCGACGAGTCTGCGCTGATGAATCATGCATGGCCTTTTGTCGAGAGTCTGTACTCCAAGGAAGATCGACTAAGCCACCTGGACTCAGCGATTGCAGCTTACAGCGCCGCTGGATATACCGGCATTGTCGATATGGCTATGGATGATAGCTCGTGGGAGCTCTTGAATGAGTATCGACGGAAGAAGCACATCCCCTTCCATATCGCTGCTCACTGGCTGATTCCTTTCGAAAATGACAAAGAGGCTCACTTCCGATATGTAGATCGTGCAGCTGAACTCCGAGACAAGCATAACACCCCCGATTTCACTGTGGTGGGTTGCAAATTCATATGCGACGGCGTGGTAGACGGCTGCACTGCTGCTCTGCTCCAACCATATACCGGCAAATCGGATCTCGTGGAGCCTATTTGGCCAGAGGCTATGCTGAAAGATGCCGTGGAGCGGGCGGATAAGGCCAAACTGCAGTGTGCAATCCACGCAATTGGAGATAGAGCTATTCGTCAAGCAATTGATGTGTTGTCACAAGTTGGTACCCCTGGTGCGCGACATAGAATTGAGCATCTGGAAATGACCACCTCAGAGGATGCCAGGCGGCTTGGAAAGCTAGGCATCACGGCTTCGGTGCAGCCGGTGCATTCTGACCCGAAACTTTTCAAGGCTTGGCCGGGTCTAGTTGGACATGACCGATGCAAGCGAGCTTTTGCTTACAAGGACTTTCTTGACGGGGGCGCTCCTCTTGCCATTGGAACAGATGCTCCAACTGCACGCCATTTCCCGTTCCCTAACCTGTATAACGCGACTACCAGGCGCTCTGCCCTGGAACCAGACACCACGGATACCGTCAACGAGCACTTTGGTATTAGCTTGGCGCAGGCAGCTACTGCTGCCACGACGGGAGCCGCATACGCTCGATTTGCTGATTCTTGGACTGGCAGTCTTGAAGCGGGTCTGAGTGCAGACTTCATTGTAGTCGATATGCAGTGGTCGCCAGATAAATTACTTGAAGCAAAGGTTTGTGAGACTTGGTATAAGGGAGAAAGAGTATTTGATTCAACTTCGCGTCATGCTTCATGACATGAGTTATGAAATCACCGTCTTAAGGACTCTAGGTCATGGTCTCAAAAGAATCTCACACCTCGCGTTCGACAAGAATAATGCACACCTTGAATAAACATCCTCAAATATCATCCTTTTGAAGAACCTATGAAACCCCTTTGCTCCCCCAGCATTATATGCTTCCAAGCGAGTAGCTCCCATGTTCATGAGCATGGATCAGGCCGTCGTACTTTGAGATATTGATGTAGCATAACGAGGATATACATCGAGTGTTTAAATAGTGAGCTTCTTAAGGCGGGCCACGCGTCATGACGAGCAAAAGGCCCGGGAGGTCAGACTCGACATTTCGGACTTGCAAGACCTCGTACGGATAGCCGCGGTATCCACAAATAATATTTCCCTGTTGAGTAGATGTATGGCTTTCCCGTTCGAGATTTTTTCTCGTGCGCAATGCTACAATATCCCCCAATTGATTTGGCAGCCGTGATCTTTCGATACTTGAGCGGACAGGGGATGATGTCACGAACATAATGGGACATCATAAACCCAATTATAGTGTGATAGAAGGCCAAACGTGCAATCCGCGCGTCATGATAAAGGTGACTCCGTCCACACATGCTATCCTAGTCATTGGGAGGCAAACAGCGAGTGGCAAGAAAGGTAGCCAGGGGTCCGGCTTTTTCTTCCGGATGTTATGATTAACTTTTCCCTAGGAAGTTGCAGTAGATATGTGTCTTGTTGCTTTGAGAGGCAAATCGAGAGCCTCTTTGAGATGGTATTGCGTTGAAAGGTTGGCTCTCTGATATGCCGGAGATACTGTTGCACGACCCCATTGCTCGATCGGGAAAGACTGACCTGAGCATAGTTATTGTCTGAGTCCTGGAACCAAACGAAGGCCCTACCTGGGACACGAATAGGGAAAACCTCTCACATTTCTAACCATCTGTAAGATTTGGACCTAACTAACTACATACCAGGAGGCGGGTATTATTAGCGCCTAATGAGACCGAATCGCATGTTCAGCAGCAGTACCCCAACAGAAGAACCTCAAGCAACAGAAACCAATGAAGGGCCTCATATGAGCGGCTCAGTTTTTGGGAATCCAATTGGAACAGTCGAAGAAACCAGACAAGCGCATTATGCACGTATATTAGGTCATTCCCCCGGCTTTGCTCTGGAGACCCGGAACTTCAACCGAGCCTAGAATCTACTGACGTTGCGGACTAATCTCATTCAAGTTCTCGACCATCCTGCCAACTCCGACATCATGCAGTACAGATGGGTTGCGAGTACCTTATTTGCAGCTATTGGGATTGCCTCCCCCGCTCCCCAAATCCCAGATCTTTCGAACCTCATCCCCACCAGCATTGAACAGATCCTCCAAACAGCTATCCCCACCACGTGGGCCGATGCCTTTGCTACTGATCGGGCCTTCTTCTCTTCTGCCGTCAGTGCAATGCAGTCCGGCAGCTATCCTGACTGGGAAAGCTCACTGCCCACCGACATGAGCGGTTTCTTCACATCTGAAGTCCAGGCTGAAATCTCCAGCCTGACCGTTTCTGGAGGCTCCTTCGCTGGTTCTTATTTCTCGAGCCTTCTGTCCTCGGCGACGGCTACTCAGATGAACACTGCGGTTACCACTGATGCTTCCATCAGCGGCGCTTCTAGCTCCGGTGTTTCTACCTCTGATGCTTCTATCTCTCGTTCCTCTATCTCTGGTTTTTCTAGCCCAGGTGTTTCTAGCTCCGGTGCTTCTAGCTCCGGTGCTTCATTCGGTCCCTCATCCAGTAACTCTAAGATGACAATGACTGACTCTCCCTCTCAATCTGTAACTGCGTCATCTACTGCTACGACACAGAGTTCTTCTGCCGCATCTACGCATGCTTCTGGTAGAGCTGCCATTGGTCTTGCTGGGGTTGCTGGAATTCTTGGTATCGCAATCGCCCTTTGAAACGGACTCTAAAAGCATCTTAGTTGGGGAAAGGCACTTGGCCGCGACACGAGCTCGGGAAAGTTGCATGAACTAGTATATAAACATTATTATCATGATCTCCTTGTGATTTTTTCTGATATTTTTCTCGATATATATCGTGAAATTCACTTGATCTTGTGTTTTGACGGATGGGTTGGTGGATAATGAATTTTGTGCATATTTTGTAATCAGTGACTCAAATCCATGGATTCAAGTTTCGCAACAATATACCGGTAGCTTCTAGGAGACGTGACAATAAGCGACTTGTAGTGTCCACAGGCTATTCATATTTAGCTGAAGCCAGAGCTAACTTGAAGTCCAGCTAATACCCAATATCCCCCAATCAGCTCTCTTGAAGAACGCATAAACGTAGTTGCGCAACTTTGTCTGTGAGATGCAGCAGTTTGGACGTTTAATTCGTTCAGATCAGCACATAATAGGTATGTTGACAAAGGTAACCAGTACAGAAAAGGTGGCTCAAGCAAGTCCTTGCTAAAAGCTTGGGTCGATATTACACTAGGGTACTCGAACATAGACTGCAGCCAGCGTTCATAGGGCGGGGCCGAGCCCTTTAGTTGCCAAGTTTCATAAATGTAAAATTTCAGGGAAAATTTCCCTACGGGTCTAAACTTTGACTCTCGGTTTGCGGGCGAGAGGCTCCACACGGTCAGCACCTTCAAGTTCGGTGCCGGTAATATGCGTGCGGCGAATGGCGCCGATGGCAAGACTCAAAGATGCCACTGGCGAAGATATGACAGGATGCAGCACCAATAACTAAGAAAGACGTAAGAAAAATCGGTTTGATCCGCTATCGGTGGAGCCTTGATCAAAGGTAGCATACGCTAGCACTGCAACTTGCTGGTGTTTCATAGCACGCCATTTTGCTCCCGCATGAGGCATATGAACAAACCATAAAAGTTTATAAAAGATGCATCGGCACGCCACAAGAGTATTCATACATGCTTTTCCTAGGTTTAAATATAAAGGAGTGTTTGGGTTTATACCGAGAAGACTTCGAGATCGCTTAGAACACCATGGCAGACGCGACCGTCTTGGCCGCGTCCTCGGTCTTCCCGCCGGAGAAGCGTGTCTGGTATCGGAGTACACTTTTTAATGCGACCATCATTGGAGGTGTCGGCTTCCTAGCCCCTGGACTATGGAATGCCATGTCGTCCCTCGGTGCTGGGGGAGCAGAATCGCCATTTCTCATCAACGCCGCTAATGCGCTCGTCTTCGGATTGAGTATGTGCTCAAAAGATTCGAGTCCGCGATGGTGACTAACAAAAGAAACTCTTTTAACAGTGGGTTTTCTCTGCGTATTGGGTGGCCCCATTGCGAATCGCATTGGTTTGAACTGGACGCTGTTGCTGGGAGCTGTTGGCTACCCGATCTACTCGTGAGTCTGCTTCTTCTCCAAACGCGCACGTACAAGAATGGTCACTGAACTCTCTTAAGGGCTGCTTTATATACCAATAACCGCTATGTGAGGACCCTCACGCCCAAAATCTGAGTTCGTACTAATATCTGCGATAGGGTAATGTTTGGTTCGTGCTGGTCGGAGCAGTTGCCTGTGGTCTATCGTGAGTGACGGATTTCAATTTGTGAACGGGCACAAAGTCGCTGATTCTCAGAGTAGAGCTGGCTTGTTTTGGGCCTCAGAGGGCGCAGTGGCCCTTGGCTACCCTGAGCCAGGCAAGCGCGGAGCGTACCTGAAGTGAGTGTCTCGAGCCCTTTTTGCTCTCCTATTCGCTCACCTCAGATAGTATCTGGCTCTGGTTCCGTACAGGAGGTCCACTTCTGGGAAGTGCTATTGTCCTTGGCCTGAATCAGTATGTTGAAAATTGCTCAGAAGGGCACCTACTATCAGATACTAACTACAGTGCAGTTCCTCGGTTTCTGCCGCGAAGGGAAAGATCGGGTCAGGTAAGTCATAATCTCCAGCATACACTCGTGAGTTTGTTGCTGATTGAGATATTAGAAACCTACCTTATTTTCGTTGCCTTGCAATGTCTTGCAGCGCCTCTGGCTGTCTTTCTTACTGCCCCTGAAAAGGTTCAGCGAAACGACGGAACGCAAGTCAAGGTGATCCGGCAAGAGTCGTGGCGCGATGAATTTCGTGAGCTCTGGCGAGTCTGCGCCCGCAAGAATGTATGTATAATCAAAGATGAAGGTTGACCATCTCAGCACTGACCGTGCTTTTTTCAAGATCTTACTTTTGCTCCCGGTATTCTGGGCTGCATACTTCAACCAGTATTCTGGAAGTAGGTCTACCTCTTTCGGTGCCATCACGACTGCCGGACTAATAGCCGTCGACAGATTTTGAGACATACTACTTCGGAGTCCGGGCTCGCGCTCTGATTGGTCTAATTAGTATGTATTCGCAAACGAAATCGACGAATAGGCAAAGCTCATACCATTTCCAGGCTACCTTTTCGCTTTGTTCTCCTCGTGGTCTATCAGCTGTTTCCTGGACTACAAAGGTCTACCAGTGAAGAGTCGAATCACTTACAGGTAAGATACTCTATTTGAATATGATTTGCTTAGCCATGCTGACTCACAGAAGCTTCTACTATGTGATCGTAGTCCATATTATTGCCTGGGTATACGGCTGGGTCATCCAAGAGAAATACACGGCAAACCCACCCGCTCTGGACTGGGCGGACAAGGGCTTTACGGAAGGCATGTTTGTAGTTCTTCTATGGCGTGAGTATGAACCATATGTTCATCGACGCCCTCGCTAATCTTTTTCGCAGAATTTTCGCAACAAGCGCTTCAGAACTGGCTGTACTATTTACTTTCGACGACGACCGATAACATTTCCGAACTATGTGAGTAATAGGAGCTCAAAGGTTTTAATTGATTATTGTGTCTAACAGGTTTCAGCGCGGTTATCGGGGATCCTGCGAGGCCAAGAGAGCTTTGCTCAGGCCGTGTCCTTCGGTCTCAACACTCGGGACTGGTATGGAGGACGAGTTCCCCTTGCTGTGAACACAATACTCCTCGGTAAGTCAGGAAGTCCGTTTTCCTCGCTTATTTTCTTCTTTTGTACTAAGAGAGAGAAGGTCTTGCGGTCTTCCCGACTTGGCTAGTGGTCCAGAGTCACGAGCCAGTCGACCAGCATTCCGTGCAGCAGAGCCATGGGAAGGATGAGGAGCACGTTTCTGTTGTAGGAGACGGCCATACGGCTCCCCTATCACACGATGGTCAAGTTACAGTTGTCGGAGAGCAGGTCAAGGCGAACTGATTATAGTCTTTGGTTATGAGAGATAGCTTAGAACAAATCTCTACTGGGAACAGCGCGGGCCTCGAACAAGTCTTAGTACCAGTTACTCACTTAAACACTATGTCCTGCATCGATATCGTTTGGGCAATAGGGTTCACATCAATCACCGTAAGTCTCAACCGACTCTGATGGCAAGTCCTATCTCGCTCATTGAGCAAGATAGTCTGGATTTCCAGGCAAATGGACTGGCTTCCGCTTCTGAGATCTTTGACAGTATAATATCATTCAAAAGAATGTATCATGTATCTCGTACAATCATTTCGAATATCCAAAAGACTTTTGCTGAAACCCGCTCTCGAGCTAATAAGACTGGAGAGTGATGAGCCAATCAGCGTGTCTGATAGCGCCGGCTGTTCTCCGCGCCAATGCTATAACCCCGCGGCGATTTTACACATTTCAACGCGACCATACCGGCTCGAAGATGCAGAGCGAAGAACGGCCCTACAAGTCCCATGTGAAGCCCGCGTGTCTGCCTTGCAGGCGACGCAAATCTCGCTGTAAACTCGAGCCAACCACCACGGCATGTCTTATGTGTCGAGCCCATGGGACTGAATGCTCGTTCCCGGCAGAGAAGCGTCGAAAAACGGCTCCTCGAACTCCGAGAAGACGGAATTATGAAGGAAACGCTAGCGCTTCAGAAACACCTGTTCCGGGCACTGAAACTGCATTAGCACCTGACATTGGGGTCTTGCGGAATGCATCCTCCCGGAATCATCCTTTTTCAAGCCCAACCGTCAGGAATATGCATCAGCCTGCTCGTTCGGAGTGGGGCCCGCCACCAGGTGCACAAGAAACGCCTCTTTCTTTGGAAGCAGAGGACGACAATCCCCACATAGTCGGCCCGGCCGTCGTGGATGATAGTCATGTCCTGGCAGACTACCTCTCCGGATTCTCTGGGAGCCGCGGAATTCGGTCTATACAACCGATACAGCCAGGGTGCTCATCGCCCATAGTCTTTACGAAAGTGCAGAAGCGACCAGTGGGGATAATGCTCAACTCCAATCCGGCGTTGCATAAGCTCCAGATTGTTGAGAAACTAATTGAGCCCTGGTCATCTCACATGGTCGACCTGTGAGTAGGCCCCACACTGAACTGACGGGCAAAGATCTGATGAGTTGTATTGTGCAGTTATTTCCAGAAGATAAACAATTGCTTCCCTCTTCTTGATGAAGCCAATTTTCGGTCGCAGTATGCTAATGCAAAAGACCGCATTTCACCGGCTCTCCTGGCCAATCTGTACGGGCATATGGTGGCTTTCTGGAGATGCCATGATGAGCTGTCACAGGCGCGCCGCCCTGACGACCGATTCATTTGGAATATTGCTGGAGAAACGATTTTCTCGGAGCTACACCTGTCGCCTGGCATATCTACAATAACTGCGATCCTTCTCAATCTTGGGGGTCGACCGACCACCTCGATGATTGGCAATGGGATCATCTTGGGATCAGCAATGGCACTCTGCTACGCTCTGGGCTTGAATCGTAACCCGCTTCCATGGGATATCCCGCTATCTGAAAAGCAGCAAAGGATGAAAGTGTGGTGGTGTATGCTCATAATTGATCGCTGGTAAGTTCTCTATTCTTCTGAAGTAATACTCCCATGGGCAAAATGATTAAAAGCAGCTCGCTCATAGGTCGAGTCTTGCCTATGGGACACCGCCACATATCAAGCGCGCACAATCTGATGTTCCACTCCCAACAATAGAGCTACTACAAGCTAGCAATGAGGGAAGCCCAACCAGAGCGTTAGAGGTCTTCATCGCACTGGTGAACCTGACGACTGTGCTTGATCACTGTCTTGAATACGTGTACAACATTAATTCGGAGGGCCCCACGAAGAACTTGGACCTAGAACTCAATCGATGGATTGAAAGCCTCACGGGAAATGTCCGCAAGATCATTATCCGCGGCACATGTCTCGAAATACCAGGGGCATCCAACCTGCGCTTAGCCTACCTGGTAATCAAGCTCCTCTTACGGCGCTTTGAGCTCGATCGAGAGAGGCAACGGCCAGATCATGATCCAGAGGACCTGGCAAACTACCTGATTGCTGCGCGAAGAAGTGCAGAAGATATTGTTGTCCTCGTGCAAGAGCTCGAGGACTGGCAATTAGCAGATTTCTGGCTTCCTATTGCGTCTTTCACATTTGTCACAACCGTCACATTCTTAATTCGCTGCGCACTGGAAACCGACCAGAGCTCAACCGGGCTTGCCCAAAGTCCGTCTCTTCTGATGGCACGCGATTTCCTCAACTCGCTATCGCAACATCAACGAAGGGTTGGCTGGGATCTAGCAGATTTATGCCTTGCGCAGCATTCTGAGGTTGTCAACAAGCTGTTGACTTCGGTACCAGTGGATCATGCGTTTAATGATGCCAACATCGAGACTCGACAACCATTCATGCCGGACATGGCATTCATTGACACGATGTTTCCCAGCATATGGGATACGTTGCAAAGCATGTAATATACAGGGTACCTCGAAATGTACCTGATCAAGAAAAATACTCGTGAATACCATTATCTATCTATGATTTGGTTCCGAGGGTTCCTAGAGTGGAATTGTCCCCGTTGTAGTTTCAAAGGCCTTACCCAAGATTTCCAGACCATGCCGCAACTGATCCTCGGTGATAGTGATAGGAGGTGCAATTCTAAACACTCCTCCAAAGCTGGGGTGACTGCTGAGATTCGCCCATAGACCCAGTTCATAGGCACGATCACCAATCGCCCTGCCCAGCTCCAGTGCGGGAGTCTTCGTCGCACGATCCTGGACGATTTCGACGCCTGCCATGAGGCCGCGTCCTCGCACGTCGCCTATACAGCCATACTTCTCCTTCAACTTGTTCAGCCCATCATGAAGAACGCGGCCCATCGCACGAGAGTGTTCGACCAAGTTATCCCGGACCACAATCTCAAGAACCTTGTCTCCCACAGCCGCAGGCAACGGATCGTTCACATGGGTAGTATAGAAGCAGAAATCGCGCTCTGCACACACGGAGTCGATTTCCGCGCTCGTCACCACGGCGCTCAAGGGCAACCCGTTCCCCAAAGTCTTGCTCAGCGTCAGAATATCCGGCACGACGTTCTCATGATTAATCGCCATGAGATCTCCACAGCGCCCCACCCCCGTCTGAGCCTCGTCAACAATAAGAAGCATGCCCCGTTTCTCGCACTGCTTCTTCAGCGCAGCCAGATACCCCGGGGGCAGCACATGCATCCCCCCGAAGACTGGATACACTCGACAATACAAGCAGCCAGCGAGCCGCACGACTGCATATCCACCATCCGCCATCCATACTCCATCTCCGCCTCCCAGTCATACGAGCCATCCACCCGCCGGAACACAGACCGATAGCTATTCGGAGGCGGCAGCATCAACATCCCCGGCATCAGCGGTCCCTGGCCCTTCCGACCAAAGTGGTACTGCGCTCCGAGCGCCTGCGCAGTGACGCCGTGCCAGCTCGCGCCGAGGCCTACGATCTCGAATCTCCCGGTATACACCTTCGCCATTTTAATCGCGGCCTCGTTGCTCTCGCCGCCAGTCGATAGGAAGAACGCCTTGTCCAAGCCAGGCGGGAGGAGGGTACAGAGTCGCTCGCCCAGACTGATCACCGGGGGCGACACCATCCCCGAGAAGAGATGGTCGAGGGAGGCTGCATGATCGGAGATCACTTTGACAATCTCGGGGTGGCCGTGGCCTAGCAGGCAGGACATTTGGCCGGAGGTCCAGTCTAGGATTTTGTGGCCAGAGGCTGTGTATACGTACAGGCCTTTGCTGCCCGTGATGACATCTTTGTTGAATTGGGTGCCGTATTTGAGGAGGTATTTCGATGTCTTTTCTTGTAGAGATTTTTCGTTCAAGTTTTGATATAGATGGGGCTTATCGTCGGGGTTGGAGGTAGCAGTATCGGGGCTGGGGTTGATTATGGTTGCTCCTGGAGCCATGTTGATTACTTGACGGGTATTTGGATATACCAGATAACCTAGAACATGGGGGAAATCAGAGAGTCTCTCCCTTATATCCCAGAGCAACTGCAACACCCCCGCATGTGGCTCCATTTGATATCTTGGATGCGCGGAGATCAACCAGTTTTCCGCGGCCCACGGGCTGGAAACCCCGCGGGCATTTACTTATTTACTCGTAGACATAGAATCTAAGAACTCCAGCCTTATTGAGCGTAGTAAAATGTTGTTGTTTGTTTTGTTTACAAATCAAGTAGAGAATGGAAGTTCGGGCAGAGAGGTTTTGGGCACCTAAAAGACATCACGTAGGAAGATTGTTGATATATGGACATATAATCATCAGCACGACTACCTAGGTAAGTCTAGTCTAACACGAAATGGCAACCAGCCCCTGACCAGATCATGATGCAAAAATAAGGGTATTTGCAAGAAATTTCTGACAAAGTCAACAGGCTGAAGCTCAAGGAGACGCATGTCCTTCCACCTCGGATGGCTTGCCATCGTCTACTGCCTTGCCCCACGCACGCTCAAAAGCCGAGTCAGCAGCGGTCTCTTCCTGCTGTGGTTGCTGCTCTGGCTCTATTAACGTCATACCAGGAGTGCCTTCTCCATGCTCAATTATGCTGGGTGTAGTCTGTGCCAGATCAACGCTGGCTTCAACGTCTACCTCTTTGTCAAGCATCACGGGCGCAGACGAAGTATCAGAGTCCGCGTCTGTCGCACGTGGAGCCTCAGTATTTTCGGGCTTGTCAGTGGCACCGAGTAATTCAAGATCAAAGTTGGAGCTATAAATCACGGCAGAAAATGCCTCCAGCTCTCGGACATCACGGTCCATCACGGTCAAATATTCGTTTGGACCAACGGGCCCATGGCCAATCACATGGGCCTGGCGGGCAAGAACAGCTAGGAGATTTGCAAGCTTGGTCTTGCGTCCGCCGGAGCCAGGGGGGATGACGGTTTGCACAGAGTCGAAAGACTGCGGCGCTACTTCTGGCTCCGCAGCCGGCTTGAAAGCTTCGTTAGCGCATTTCACGTCCACTAGAGTCGAGAACCCCTCGTTCAGTAGAAGAGTCAAGACGAAAGAGAAAGACGGCGAATCAATCAGATCAGCAGTTTCGTCGAGAAGGTGGCGAAGTTTCGATGCGGTCTCTGCCGATGAGGGATCAGTCACACCTTCAACGCCCGATTCGCGCAGGACAAAGTCTTCCTCTTCGGTGGAAGGGAGGAGGCAGGACAGCCATTTCGTGGATCTAGCGGGAAATCCCTGTTAGACATACCCATGTCAGATTGGGGGATCGTAGGGTCCTTACCGTCGCTCGGCCTCTGTGCTCCCTTCAACCTTCTTCCGAATTTCGAGGGTCAGTTCTGATAGCTTGTCCAGGCTGATATCCTCGCGAGGATTGAGCGGTCCAAAGAATTCTTCCACGGCAGGTTGAACTCGTCCCATAACCTCCTTCCATCCACGGTGCAGCAACCACCAGCTGAATGCCAAATATCGACGATTGGTATTAAAATCATCGCCTAGGGTCTGAGTGATATCATCATCGTGGTCTTCCAGCTGATGGTAGATTGGGAAACAGGTTTGGCGAGGGAGATGACACTGGAGAGGTAGTTTCGACGGCCGAGGAGATTAAGCTGAATGCGGGTGAAGATGTTGAGCAGGGCAAGGGTGTAAATCATGGTAAACGCCCTTGTGATAGCTATCAAGCATCAGCAATAGTTTCCTACCGCTATTTGGATTTTTCGAGCAGTCAGTTTCCGGAACTTACAAGTGATCTTGACTTCATTCCACAGCTGTGTCTTGTTCCGCTTGGGCCGAGCTTGGCCGTCCTCGGTGGACTGCCCCAGCTGCGCCTGACTTGCATGCACGTATCCTTCGCTTTGGAAGCTCGCAAAGCTCTTCCGGTCATCTTCAGGTAAGCTTGGGGACACCGAGCTCATGTCCGAGCCGGCTGGCTCGCCCGCATTGATCCGCGCTAGCCTCTCCGCCCTTTTCTTCTGTAATTCCTTCGTCAAGTCCTCGACAGGGAGTGCTTCGACGATATTCTCGGTGGCGGTTGGTAGTAGAGCAATAACGGTATAGGTACAATCGGTCTGGTTTTGTTCGAATCGCCGTCGGAGGCTGTTTGGAATGGTCAGCCACTCGGATCAACGCATCGGGGAGGGACTGCGCCTATCACCAAGGTCGTGTGCTTGCGAACACCAGCAACTAAGGGAAGCATTAGATGATAGGTTGAGCATAACTCACTTTTCCCGGGCAATTCTATCACTGCTCATGCGCTCTCGCGCCTCAGAGATCTTGGAAAGCACATATTGGCCAGCAAGATAACCAGCTCCTAGCACCCCGGCCCCGATCGCGAGACCCTTGCGATTGCGTTTGAGCCAGCGCCTTGCGGCACCGATCATGTCGAAGATTTTCTTAGATTCACTTGATAGAGAGTTGTTGATGGCTTCACGATTGCGAGAGCATTCTTTGTTATGCGGAGGTTGGGCAGTTGACGTGGGAGGTCCTCCTCGGCCGCTGATCGCCGCCGCCAGAGATCGCCCCAGCCTCGGCTAGGCGCCTCTGTGAACAGACCCGTGATGGTTATGACCACTCTATGGGCGTTGTCCTCTGTCATTGCTTGAAAGTATTATGGGATTTCGCTTTATTAACTCTCTAATTTGAATTTTCATTTTTATTATTTTGATTACTCTGGAGAGATCAAACAAAGCTCTATGAAACATGGTGGTGGCATCTGCTATGACTCCAGCGTTTCCCCGGATTGGATTACCCTATGTGTTACACCGACGGATACAGAAAGCGGTGAGCCTGATAGGAATTTGCCATTTATCATGCCTTTTAGTTATTAGCCGGAAAGCTGCTACCGCCCGCGGACGGCAGAAATTATTGTTACGAGAATTACAGTTACTAACCCCATGAGGTCAGTAGATGCTGTGTTACGTCCCCGTACATTGCCCCATGAGCTCGAGGGCAGAGAAGTGTTATTCCTTTCTTTTAGAATCGACGCCATAGACGCAGCTCTGCGCCATGCTCTTGGCACATTGTCAACTGAATCTTCTTTTCCTGTCCACTCAGTTACTATGCCCAAAATATTTGTGTCTCCAATACGACTCGGAACTTGGAGTGCCTTGTTCTCGCAATAATCTACACCTGCTCTTCCAAAGAACGGGACAGTGCTCGGTATATTTGACTGGTGGCATATCTAGAACGTGGCTAGCCAATACAGGCTTTTGGGACTTTCAAAGTTCAAAATTGACTTCACACCGCATACAGCAAATTCTCACGTCAGAATGAATGCCATAGAGGAGTCCTTTTGAACACAGCAAAGTCCAACAACTTGGAAGAGCACAGATAACTATTCTTTTCGGTAGATACGACGCATGTATCCATTCCGATCACACTCTATCTCGTTTTTTATAAAAATTTTGACTTCAACTTGGGATGAGGGTTTGATTTTGGCTCTATCTCATGCCATGGGGAAAGAATAACTGGCTCTTAGCTAAAACCTCATTAACAGTGCATTGCTGTGTTCTCTAGACCGTGCTCTGGAGGTTTGGCCAGAGGATTCCCTGTCTCGCTCGCCCAGCAATGACTAACTCTGGACAGGCGGCTGACAAAATGAGTCTTTCTCGCCGACCTCTTCTTGTCAAGTGTATCGGCCCTCACCTCGAGGTATTCCTAGGACGAGCTGAGCCATGATTATGTTACCGGACCTGGATGATGTTGTCAGGCTCACCATTTCAGTGGAGGATACCGCTTCTGTAGAATGTGCTGGGCTGGATCTGAGTTTCCCTGCAGAGCCTAAGCAGTCTGTCCGTGTTCTTTGTGGATTTGAGAAGGTCACTGTGGCCCCAGGTAAGACCGGACAGGCTGGACTTACCATATGGTGCGTCACCTAGCTACAGAGATTTTACGGCTCAACAGTGGGCATTTGCCAAGAGCAAGGATACTTCTGGTTGGGGCCAAACTCTCGAGACCTGCGTGGCGACGCCGCTCTACAAATTTAGGGAGCCTGTGAGTAAGTCCTACCTCTAGCACTTGTACTAGGAATATCATCTAATCCGTAGGATGAATACCGGAGTCCTCGCAGGATATACTTAAAGTTTTATAGGATAACAACCAGTTCGCTTCTTTCCATCTATTACCTATCCCGATTGGCTTTGTGCGTGGGGAAAAAAGGACAAACAAGCAAAATGCACCCCACGACCGATGGGCCCCAGAGCAAGCTCAACTCGTCCAAATTTGCCTCCGCGGCCCTGGCCGTCACTAAGCGACAACATGGCAGACGAAAGCGGGACCCCAAACACCATTACGCAACCAGCACTCACTGCCGACAGGGCCAATGATAAGCTCGATAAGCGTCATTCGGGTCAGCCCGATGCCAAGTTCAACATCACGAACTCACCCCGCCAAAATTCTCTCTATGACCTGAATCACAGCTCAGCATCCTGTACATGCCCCCCTCTGGCCTCCGCCAACCCCGACACACAACACCGTCCGTTAGCCGCGCTGGGCTCGTTCCACTGCGGGCGGGGATGGAGCCCCGCAAAACCCCTCCAGAGTATTTTCTGGAGATCTTCGCCGACACCAGCACAGTGCGCGACGTACTCAAAGGTGAGTTCTACGAAGTTACAGACTACAACCTACACCCGGTGGCTTCAGAGACGGGATACCTCCAGGCTCTTCAATCTTTTCATTAGCGCCGCCCCCTCCGGCAAGAGTCATTAGCTAATTGTCGAGCCCCGCCGCTCTCCAGGCGTCCTCAATCTCATTTTCTTCCACCGGTACTTCCCCTCCATCCAGCCCGTCACTTTCGACGTCCTAGACTTTACTCTCCCTGCCATCAATGATGCGGATCTTGAGACGCTGATCGACTCGCGCGTGGGCGCGCTCGTCCGGCAACGCCTCTCCTCGCCGCCGGACGGCAAGGTCGGCAGCGGCGGAGGCGTGCGGGGGCGCATCGCGGTCGAGTTCTACGAGAAGAAGCGGCGGCGCTCGGGGATGGGCTTTTTTGGGCTGGGGCAGAAGGGAGAAGAGGAGGTGTGCTGGGAGATCTGGACGTTGGATGTGACGATCGCGACGCCACGGACCGAGGCTGGTAAGTTGGATTGGAATGCTCCACGCGGTCCTAAGGCGCGTTTCATTTATTCTTTGTGACTGCGATTTCGGCAAAGCCGAAAGTGGGCAAGTTAGAGAATACTAACTGGGTTTACAGAGCGCATGAAGGTTCGGAAGGCGATGAATAATATGCTGCAGAAGGCTGCGTTGAAGATCTTGACCTTTGTCAATCGCGACAAAGACCATATCCCGCCTATCACGACTAGCGAGTCGAATCCGTTTCCCTACAAGATTGTGGTGAATCCGCGGGCGGATGGTTGGGGGAATCGCATTGGCTTGTATTAAGCTGCGCGACTTCGAATGGGCCTTGACGGACTTATATGTGACGTCTTAGGAACAATGAGCCATGTGGAGTTGGGGATTTCTGTTTGTACTCCCTTTTCTGTTGGGTCCTTCCCTGGTGGCTTCCAATGGCTTCCCTGGCGTTTAGGAATACATGGTCTTTCCAACATGCTCTCTGTGAGTAAATGAGGCGTAAGAGCTAGTAAATACCGCGCCGGCTCAGCTATGAGGCTTGCGCAATGTAAAATATGGATGTACAAGGAAACGAAGCTACTGTGGTCTCTTCAAGGTGCAACATAATTGTGTTCCATTCCACTTATGTAAATCCAACATCGGAAACCGCCCTGCCCCCAATCCCTGGAGGACACACATTCTCCTCACCGGTCCTCCCATTCTATGGGCCCCCCCCCTTCTTACAGTTTCATTCATAGCAGTGACGGTCGCAGACCGCCGTGCGTTCGTCTCGTTAGCAATCCCCGACCTGGTATGGAGAACCGAGCACCTGCAGCTGTCAGAGCTAAGCCACAGGGCGCAACATTATCGGAGCGACTCTCTATATCGATCTATCGTGCAGGCATTGTTGGGGTCTTTACTGGTCCTTGGCGGCAGCCTCGGCCTGAGCGCGCAGGTTGGTGGAGGTGCCAGAACTGGAGAAGAAGCGGCCAACAACAGGCTGGAGGAAGGAGTGGAAGACGATTTGGGCGCCGCTAATTAACTTGTTAGCTTGGATTCTAGAGAATACACCATGGATATAACATACTTGGTCTGGGGAAGAGCCATCCAGAGCACAAGGACGAACTTGAAGATGTAGTAGAAGGCTAAATCATAATGTTAATGGGGATTCAGGCCTCTGGGTTGTGTGCTTGAACATACGGAACCAGTAAGCGGCACTGACGGCGCTCTCAAGAACGGTCATAAAAGCAAATACAACCCAGTACTGTAAAATCGTTAGTTAGATCATAGGTCCGAGGTACTTGTGAAGGTTCATCACGTGGAGCTTATCGCTCCCGGTCGGCATGTGGTGTGCTAGGAGCAGCAGACCTGACCCGAGAGGTGAGTAGGTCATGAGGAACGTACAGTAAGCCACTGTAGATAAGACTGAGTTAGCGACATTTCCAATGGTCCGTATCAGCCCCGAGGGCATAAAGAGAGTTCTCGTACCTGGGTGTCATCCGCAGTGCCCGAGGTGAAGAGGGCCTGCAGGGAATAATAACCGGGGAGGAGAAAGCCGGCGAGGTTGACAAGGAATTCACCAGCAATGTTGAAGAAAACCAGAAAGAAGTAGACGCCAACCAGACCCAGGACGGCGTAGACCTTGGGGACAGAAGTCTGACGCTCCAGGTTGTTCAGGACGGGGTACTTGGAGAGCTATGAAGACGTCAGCGAATATCCACAAGTATCTACGGTGCTTGCATGGTGCCTCAATGAAAGGCCGTATCCCGATCTCTCTGTGAATTTGCACACAGTGATCGCACAATGGGACATCGCCAGAGTCCTGCAGCTAAAAATGGGGCCGCGGGTCCTGGGCGAGGCACCAGCAAACGCACAAGAGGGATAGACCTACCTCCTTGTCGAGCTGAGCAACGGCGTGCTGGGCACGATCTTGGAAAGAAGCCATAGCGGAGAATGTAAGAGCTTTGTTGATGGATCTCGGGGGTATGCGATTTGATGTATTTGAGAAGTAGGAAGTGTCAAGTGTGAGATCGTTGCGTGGGCTGCACTTCGCTCAAGCTGGCGCTTCCGCTCCCGCTGGCTAGGCCGTGCGCTGGGCACGTGACCCATGACGTATCGAGTAGTAAGGTTCCAGAAGGGCTGGGATGACGGAGATTTGTTTTGATTTCACTTGCAATATCACTTGGAAGGCCTAGGAACCTGGATACCTTGTACTTGGCCTACTCTATGGCTCCCAAGTAATAGTTCCAAGAAGAAAATAGAAGAAAATACTCCGTGCATCCGTACCTTGGCCATGAGCAGCAGCTGCCAATCAGGCTTGAGGCATCTCCCAAGCGGAATCTTTACTCTAACACGCGACTCATGGTTATCTCTCGAAACCGAGCAGTCTCAAGGGAGTTTCCATTGAAAAATTTGTCGATGGGCAAGATGTCAGTTAGAACTTGAACACCATGTAAAGCTCCAGTGTGTTCCTCGGCTGACGTTAAGAGTCCGCAGGCAGCCAGAATAGTTATGCATCGGCTCTACTACTAGGCATTACGAGTCAAACGCATCATGATATACTAGTAAATGTTTTGGGTTACATCACAGTGACATATCAATAAGAAGTAACATCTATCCAAGCTGGGGAATGATTGTTTACAGATCTGTAATGCCAGGACTGAACGCCTTACCCACCTTCCTCACCGTACTCCGTGCCCTGTCCCCACCTGCCCTTCCATACTTACGGCACGCAGGTACGCGGTGAGGAACCAGTTCGGTCCCTACATGATAGAGCGGCACGGGTATCAGGCTCGCCATGTTGAATTTTGGGGAGACCTGGACCAAGCTCTGTTTCATCAAGCACATGTGGACTCGGATATCACGGTCCAAATAGTATGTTCATTTTGGGTATCCAGATCTATAGTGGGGCTGACGATCCGAGGTCTTACGTCGCGAGGGCATCATGTGATCAGTTATAGATACTCGCATGGCTGCTTGGAGTCATGAATATACAGCAGTGGATGTTTCCTGTATACCTCGCACAATCTAATCTTCTCCATATGTTTCAGGCCTGTTTCCAGCGTATCAGGTAAAGGTTCGTACCGGACACTCGGTAACCGGGCCCTCATCTCACCAAGAACTTGAAAGAAGTAGATCGACCGACTCGGGTTGTATACAGAAACCACTCCTATAGCTTGAAATATCATCCGCTCCGGATACAATGCCCGGATTCTCGTCCCAGGACCCTCAAGTATCAAATGCAAATTCTTGAACTTTAAAGCGCCCCGAATTGTCAGCATAAAACCCCCATTGTGGAGCAGACTCACCGCCAGCTATGCATGATATGATTGGGAAACAGGGGTCTGCGACGTAAGAAACCGATTGGATTCGACACTGCAGCACGCAGCCGAAACCTGGCTTCTTTCAAGATCTCTACTCGATGTTTCTGTCTCGTAAGTCGCCCCCTTTTTTCGCCCGTAATGTTTTCGCGCAAAATCCAACATCCTTAAAAGTCGTAAGGCCCGCCCGAGGTCTAGCCCGCCACACCCGCTTTCCGCAACTTTCCCCCTCTCCCCTCCCTTGATTGCTTTCTCAGCCTCAACCACCTGGGAAGTTCCTCCAGCCCATTCCTCCATTGTGGACTGGTGTCCCCACCTCCACTCGAGCCCGTCCGTCATTCACCACACCTCGAGGACTCCGATGTGACCGATCCCTCCACGCTTCCCCTATCGGCTCCCCCACCCCTCCATAAGGGCGACTTTCGCCAATTGATTTTATATCTCGACCACCGCAGACAAGCGCATCGCATAGTCCGATACCTGCTACCTTCTGAACCAAGGAAACACCAGGATCGAGATCCTTCCCGCGTGGGACAAGCAATTGTGCACCCGAACTGGCTCGTGCCATTGATCTGGGTCAATTCGCACGGGGAACCATCGCTCTTTTTTTCCCCTTCAATTCGTCAAAAGATTTCTGTTTGTGAGGTTGGATCGTCCAACGACTCATCTCAATGAGACCCCAGTATGTTGAGACATGAACTTCCTGCTATCTGCGTTGGTTGAGACCCAGCTTCTAACTAATCCTCTTTGTTTCCATCAGACGAGAATACCATATTGTTGTCTTAGGTGCCGGAGGCGTCGGAAAGAGCTGCTTAACGGGTACATATCGCTATTCTACCGCCGCTGAGGCTTACATGCGCAAGAACTATGGAAGCTAATTACCCGTCGCAGCACAATTCGTGCAAAATGTTTGGATCGAAAGCTACGACCCGACAATTGAAGATTCATATCGGAAGCAAATTGAGGTAGATGTGAGTGTGCCTTATTTTACTGAGTGAGGAGCGAGCTCCGTTGTTGACGTATCATTTCCAGGGACGCCAATGCATACTAGAGATGTACGTACTTCTGTCAGACAAGGACCGATCGTCTTACCTGGAGACAAACTGACCACGAATTGGGGACTATAGTCTGGACACGGCGGGAACAGAACAGTTCAGTGAGTAACAACCCCCCTCCTGAGTCCAAACTTTTGCCTTTTGCTAACGTCAATCCAGCGGCCATGAGGTAAGAACACCGCGTCCTCTCGACCAGTCTATGTGACGTGTCCATCAGACTAACAAGTGTTATCTCGTTAGAGAGCTTTATATGAAACAGGGCCAGGGTTTCCTCCTTGTTTTCTCCATCACTAGCATGTCATCATTGAACGAGCTGTCCGAACTTCGGGAGCAAATAATCCGTATTAAGGATGACGAAAAAGTCCCACTGGTAATCGTCGGCAACAAATCCGACCTCGAAGAAGACCGCGCTGTACCCCGCGCTCGTGCTTTCGGCTTGTCTCAGAGCTGGGGCAATGCGCCATACTACGAAACATCAGCTCGTCGCCGTGCAAACGTCAATGAGGTCTTCGTCGATCTCTGTCGCCAAATCATTCGAAAGGATTTGCAGGGCTCAGGGCCTCACGGCGACTCTGCCCGTAGGCGTGAAGGGAGCGGTAGCGCTCGCTATGACCGCAAGAACCCTGGCAGGTCGCAGCGCCGCAAGTCTCCGTGTGTCATCCTGTAGATGATCCTGCCTCAAGACTTTGCCAGGCATTTGGGCCTCCCGAATGAAAGTGGGAAATGCCCGTTCGAACCTTTCGACGTCTCTTTACGTATCTCACGATTTCTTTTCTTACGCCTGTCATGCATATGCACCTCTTATAGAACACTGCGTCGCCGCCGTCTCTTTTCTTCTTGTCACATATTATACCATCTGTTCTCTTCACATCGCAAAACAGGGACTTGGTCTCGTTATCTGTTTCAGATTTACTGAGGATTTCTTTTCTACCGCATGACGGGCTCTCAAAAGTTGGCTGGAATAAAAGCCTCAATATTGGAATGTTTCTAAGTGGCCTTTATTATCCACAAAAAGTCTTGCATCTTTACAGACGGTGAATCAAACAATACCAAAAAAAAAAATTAAATTCCAAGGCTTATCCGGACGTCGTATCCATGACTCATATAAATGCGAATTGTATCCGCACCTTCACATACGGAAGACACCAAACCTGGTCTGGATATCGGGCTCTGCTTTCCCGCCAACAGCAGCTGCCAGACCCAGCCCTAACATGGTTCTGGTTTGAGCGGGAGGAATGACTCCGTCATCCCATAACCTAGCAGAGGAGAAAATGGCCTCGGATTCGCGATCTATACGGTCTTTGAGCGCTGGGTCTGCGGTTTTGCCAACAGCTTCCATGACGGAAGACAGTTGCTCAGAGCCCATGACGCCGATCTTGGCATTAGGCCACATGAACATCAACCGAGGCGAGTACGCACGACCACTAAAGAAAGAATTAGCAGAATGAAAAGCAAATGACACAGAGAGGGGGAGGGGAAAAGAGATAAACTTACCACATGCCATAGTTACCAGCACCAGCACTCGAGCCGAAAACAACCGTAAACTTAGGCACATCTGCGCAAGCGACTGCCGTCACCAGCTTCGCGCCGTTCTTCGCAATACCTCCTTTCTCGGCATCAGCACCGACCATGAACCCAGAGATATTCTGCAAAAAGACCAGCGGAATCTTCCGCTGGGCACACAACTCAATGAAATGAGCCCCCTTCAGCGACGATTCGGAGAACAAGATCCCATTATTTGCTACAATCCCAACCCGATGACCATGTATCCGCGCAAACCCTGTCACCAAGGTCGTCCCATACTCGCGCTTAAACTCAGCAAACTCGCTCCCATCCACAATCCGCGCAATGACCTCGTGCGCAGGGATCTGGCGTCGCAGGTTCGTCCCCACGATTCCGTTCAATTCTTCCGGGTCGTACAGTGGCTCTCGCACCGCCTCTGCAATCTCGCGCGGGAGGTCGGTCGTGGGATAGTTTAGGTTTGCGACAGAGCGCCGCGCGAGGGTCAGCGCGTGCGCATCGTCGACGGCCAGGTAATCCGTGACGCCGGAGATGGAAGAATGGAGCTGGCCACCGCCCAGGTCTTCCGCCGAAACGATCTCACCCGTTGCAGCCTTCACGAGTGGGGGACCGGCAAGAAAGATGGTGCCCTGGTTCTCGACGATGATGGTCTCATCGCTCATGGCAGGGACGTAGGCGCCGCCCGCGGTACACGGGCCCATGACGACGGAGAGCTGGGGGATGCCGAGGGAGCTCATGCGGGCCTGGTTGAAGAAGATGCGGCCGAAATGGTCACGGTCCGGGAAGACATCTGCCTGGCGCGGCAGGTTGGCGCCGCCCGAGTCGACGAGGTAAATGCAGGGCAGCCTGTTTTCCTGCGCGATGGTCTGGGCGCGCAGGTGCTTTTTTACCGTGATCGGGTAGTAGGTGCCGCCCTTTACGGTGCTATCGTTGGCGACGATCATGCATTTTACGCCGGAGACGCTTCCAATACCTGTTATTATGCCGCCGGAGGGCACGTCTTCGCCTTCGTATACGCCGTGGCCCGCTAGTGGGGAGAGTTCAAGGAAGGGGGTGCCGGGGTCAATGAGGGCAGAGACGCGGTCACGGGGGAGCATCTTGCCGCGGGCGATGTGCTTCTCCCGAGCCTTTTGGTGGCCGCCTTGTGCGATTGTTGTGTGGAGGGTCGTCATGCGGTCGAGAAGCTCTTGCATTTGCTGGGTGTTTTCGCGGTACTCGGGAGACGAGGTATCCACAACCGTTGGCAAGACAGAGAGTGCCGATGCATGATGAGGGTGTGTATAGTTTGCAACTGTCCTTGCGCCTTGGATCGTTGACCTGGGTACAGCAAAGCGTGCGAGGTAGCGTGGGCTCGCCCGTATGCCCACGCTTCGTAGGACGAGCGGGGACGGGGTACGCATTGCGGGGAAGAGGATAGGGGAGCCGGGGGAATTCTTTAGAAACTGATTCAACTAGCCTCTTGCTATGAGTCGAGAATAATATCCCAGGGCATATTATGGCCCAAGTGGTGCATTCGGAAAATATGTAGAGTCGAAAAGATCTCGCAAGGGTTCTTCCCCGGATCTCTTGATGCGGAGGTGCGAGCATTGCCGCTGGTAACCGAGCCGAAGCATCACCGCTTCCAGTACAAGATATGATTTGAAAACAACGACAGATACGGTTGGTGATAAAAGCTGATATATGAAGGGGAAATGAAAGAGAAATATCAACTCCGTAATTTACTGATCTTCAAAATAGGCATGATTTAGTCGTCTCGAGCAAATGCGGTGGAGTGATGTCCGTCGCAGGGCGGGGATGCACGCGCCGAGGCTTGCCGCGTCTCCTCCGCTATTAATCTTAAACCCAGACTTACTCCTCCCATTTTCTTTGTCCGCCATTGTGCTCGACATTCGCAATGGCTTCTAGAATACTTCCCTCATTGCTACGTACCTCCGCACGCTCACTGCGGCGGAACCCTGTCCCCGCATTAGCTCCGGCTTTTGTCCGCAATATATCCACGAAGCACCCAGCAGGTTTCACGCCACCAACGGAGGAGGACTTACTTGAATTACGAGAAAGAGTTCAAGAATTTACCCGTAAGCTAACCTGCATTTGCCCGTCTTGCGAGTAGAGCTGACTCGGTTTCAGGACGAGAGATTCCAGCCGAGGTTGCAGCACGGACAGATGAGCAAAATAACTTCCCCGCTGAGATGTGGAAGAAGCTCGGTGATGCTGGGTGAGGTTATGCAAGGGGTTATCCCTGACGGATTATCTGTATGCTGACAATCAAGTAGCTTCCTTGGAGTCACCGCAGACGAGGCCTACGGTGGCTCAGGATTGGGCTACCAGGCGCACTGCGTGGTAATGGAGGAGATCAGCCGAGCATCAGGTAGGAGAACTATTTCCGTTCGGGATATGGCATGATGTGGCTGACAGAATCTGGTCTTTAGGAAGCATTGGTCTATCTTACGCAGCTCACTCGCAACTCTGCGTCAATCAACTCTCCCTGAATGGCTCCGCAGCGCAGAAAGAAAAGTACTTGCCAGGTTTACTATCAGGAGAGAAGGTTGGCGCATTGGCCATGTCAGAGCACTCGGCAGGCTCTGATGTCGTTAGCATGAAGACCACCGCTAAGGAGGTCGACGGCGGCTGGGTGCTGAATGGAACAAAGATGTGGATCACGAACGTAAGACAGCTTGCTATGTGAAAGCAAAATCATACGGGATTATACTGACATTTTCTATTTTGCGCAGGGCCCAGATGCAGACTACATCGTGGTTTATGCCAAGACTGAGCCAGAAAAGGCCTCCAAGGGCATCACTGCATTCGTTCGTCGAAACGGGCTTCGAGGGCTTCTCATGTGCGCAAAAGCTAGACAAACTGGGGATGCGTGGTTCAAATACTGGTGAACTTGTCTTTGACAACGTCTTCGTTCCTCGCGAGAATCTCCTTGGCGAAGTCAACCGAGGAGTCAAAGTATTGATGGAAGGCCTTGATTTAGAGAGGCTCGTTTTGAGCGCCGGTCCGCTTGGGTATGTTCGCACCATTCCAGTACGACGGACCATACTAATATTAAACAGTATCATGCAATCTGCCCTTGACTTGGTCCTGCCGTACACGCACACCCGGAAGCAATTTGGGACTCCTATTGCTCACAATCAATTGATCCAGGGCAAGCTGGCCGACATGTACACTAAGCTTGCAGCCTCGCGAGCATACACATACGCCACAGCGCGAGAGGTAGACAATGGGGCCGTGGCTCCTGGTCAGTTGGTGATCCGAACTCAAGACTGCGCTGGCGCCATCCTCTATGCCGCTGAAAGAGCGACAGAGTGTGCCTTGGATGCGATCCAGCTGATGGGTGGAAACGGTTATATCAATGAGATTGCCGCGGGACGATTGCTTCGGGATGCAAAGCTGTATGAGATTGGGGCGGGTACCAGCGAAATCAGGCGGATGGTCATCGGTCGTGCGTTCAATAAGGAGTACTCCTAGAGCTGGAAAAGAGTAGGAAACAAGAATATAACGTGGTAGTCAGTCGTTTTAGCAAAACCAAGGCGCAGGATCTTCTGTCTCCAATTCTTGTGACTGACGCAGTATCATTTTCCATCGTATATAAGGTTCCAAACTAATTTATTTCCGGTAAGAGGACTGTTTAATCAGCAATTTACCTGGTCGTCGGTACGTCACACTGAGTCAGGGCCTTTGGCTGCCTGGGGGACGTGCCCGGGAAACAATGGGTCGCTGATTTGGAGTTGATACTATCGGGCTTCGGATCAGAATGAGAAATGGGGTTATATTGATCAGAGCTGCCTGACTGTATGTAGTCGCTGCAAATATAACCTTGGGGATCACCTATTGTACAAAAGTCCATCTTGAGAAGCCCAGACTGAAAGGGATTCCTACACAGCATGAATATCCCAAGGCTGGCTCCATGGTACTGCAGATCGTGTATCCGACATCTGCTATGCGCAGATAGATTGTATGCATTCCTTCGTTCGTAACTTTCATAAACGCCATGACCTGAAATATTTACCCCAGGGGCCTCGAATAGCAACGCAGATCTTGAAGCAGGAACAACTACTTCTTTGACCTAGCAGATCGACGCACAGCGCCAGATGAAGCAACCGGCCTCCCAGAGTCCTTGATATCTGACTCGAGCGCCACCCTTTTCGACCGACTGCGCGTCGAGTTACCGGCTGGATTACTCTTCTTCGGGTCGGGAGAAACGACCTCGGCCTTTCGCTTGCGCCCTCTCTTTGCAGAGCTCACTTCCTTTGCTCCGTCTAGTTCGTCTGTGGACTGAATTTGCTCCGGTGTAGTATTTGAAGCACCTCCAGCGTCCATACTGTCTACATGATCCGTTGACAAGACGTCTGACATCTCGTCTGAACTCTCCATCTGGTAGCCCTCACCTTGGAGGTTTCCATCATCGGCGTCTGAGGCATCGGCGTCGGATGAGTTCGTCCCCAGCGACCCACGGGCCTTTCGTTTCCGTAGTCTTGACTTGTTCAACGACGGCTGAGCGGACTTGAAGATCTCCCGCCAGTTCTTGAGGAGAGCGACCTTGTCCCCATTACCAGGTTGATAGATCTGGACTTCGACATCCTGGTCTTTCTCCAAGTTTTTTGTTCGCCAGACCACGCCCTGAAAGGATGCCGTGTCTATGTTCAAGCGCGACGTTTGTTTAGGTAATTTTCTAGAGACACGAGGACCTGGGTGGCCGCGGGAAAATTGGGTCGGTTCTGACTTTGCGCGAAGGGTGCTCTTCTTGACAGTAGGGTCGTCATCGTAGTAGTCGTCTGAGTAATATTCCCAGTCGCTGAAATACTCTTCGAAGTCGTAGGCAGGGTCGTCGTACAAAGCCGCTTCGTAATAGGAGCTTGCGGCGAGTTCATCCTACACCGCACAAAAGGAATTAACAACAAGGCTCTCGAGGATTATAGGTCCCAATCCAAGTGCACTTACCACTAGATCAGGTACAGGGTCCTCGAAAAGGTAGTCTTCCTCCCATTCGTAATACTCCTCGTCATCCGACATGTTAAGGAAAGGGTGTACAGCTGAGAACTTTGAGTAGATGGCGCAAGGAACTCGACAGATCAACAGCAATGGCGATCCAAAATGGCACGCATCTGTAATATATGCCTGGGTATAAATGCAATGCGGAAACAAAGACGGACGCGAGGGAGTGATCGGTGATCGGTGATCGAGGTGATGGGGGCTGATCTTTTGCAGAAAAGAGGAGCCGCTGAAATAAGCCTTGGCATTTTTCTGCGCGGCTCCACTCTTTTTTTCTTATACATTTGGTTCTCGTGCCAAACATATGGCTTTCCCAGGAAAGCCTTTTGCTATTTAATAATCATCACGTGGAGCTAACTCATGAATTTAAATGAGTTATATGAATCTTACCTTTATATATCATATATGTGTTGAACTTGGCTTCGTTGTCGTTGGATATGGTTGCAATGGCTCCTTTTCCCGCTGATCTTCATGCACATTACTACCGTGGTGTCCCCAACTAGACAATGCAGGACTCTGATGAGATTGATGAAGCTCAAAGGATGGTTTCTTGACGGACCACTCTAACGTACTGGTGCTTACTGCCTTGGTTTAGGCACTCCCGAGTCTACAGAATATAAAAGTCAAACACATCCGTTAAATGTCGAATGGAAGCACAAATCCTGCCTAACGCTAATGGGTATTCATAGTTCAATGGCTATATATCTTGTTTGTTTTTTTTTTGTCTTTTTTTTGTCTTTTTTTTTTTTGATAAAGGAACTCTGCCAGCTATTGCCTGGTCGTGGATCATGGGTGCTCATTCGGCAGCTCCCACCGGTATGGTCTTTGCCATACTGCATATAGCCTCAATTTCATTTCTTAGAGCTTCTCTGTGGCTGGAACCCCAGATTAGAAGAATGTTAGAGGATTTGAGCTTGAATTGAACCCATTAGAGATTGTAGATGAGAACCAGTGTCTAGACGATGTTTTATCCATGTGTTGACGGAGTATCTGCTGAGTGTATTGAGACGTAAGTGTAGCAGCCTACTAATTTGACTCAACATCGTGAGGAAGACAAATAGATGGCTGGACTCTGGAAAACTACTGCGACACAAATGCGTTGTTGCCTAACTTGCTGCTCATATTGCAGCAATTCAATTTCGCGTTGGAACGGGGAAGATCCTCGATTTCCCACTCGGCACTTATTACTAGTATTTGGCTCTTTACATCCTCTCAGAGACTCTTTTTTTTCTTATTACGCAGTTATGCATCGTCAATAAAATGCGCATGTCACATGTCCATGGCTCTGGGGCGGTGAGATCAATTGTTTCCCCGCAATCTCGCTTTGCGTCGGCTAACGGCGTGAGCTACGAAAAGGCATCCCTTCCGCTCTTTTCTTCTCCAATTTATTTCTAATCATGAAAATACACTGAGACCTACCTTCAGCTGAATCATCTCAGTGGCATACTGCTGCTCCCACCATCATGCCCCTCTCAACCATCCTCCGCATCGCTCCCCGTCTTGCGCCAGCTGCGGCCCGCAGGACAAGCAGAGCCGTGTCGTCAGTTTCCGGGAACACTTCCACAGACCAGAAGTCCTTGGATTCAATTTTAATAGCCAACCGTGGAGAAATCGCACTGTAAGTCCTAATTCTATTTTTCCTCTCCAGCTTAAATAGTTTTACTTACTCGTATTCATAGACGTGTTGGGCGAACAGCTGCCGAACATGGTATCCGCGTGACAACCCTCTACACAGACCCAGATAGCAGATCACAACATGCTTTGAGCTCTCCATTTGCATATAACTTGGGACCGGTTTCGGCGTACCTCGATGGGGATCGGATTATCGAAATAGCCAAGAAGGAAGGTTGCCGAGGCATACATCCCGGCTATGGATTTGTATGTTCTGCAGACACACTGGTCATAGCGCATAGTGCTACGAACGGATTTTCACTGACTGGACCTACAGCTAAGTGAGAACTCTGCATTTGCCCGGAAATGTACGGAGGCTGGCCTCGTGTTCATTGGCCCACCGTGGAAGGCGATTGAAGATATGGGTGACAAGAGGTAGGATCAGCAAGTGCTAAATTTCCAGGCGCGAGTACTGATTTCTAATCTTACCTTAGTCGTTCCAAAGAGATTATGCTTGCTGCAGGTGTACCCTGTGTTCCGGGATATCATGGACAGAACCAAGATCCGCAATTTCTTGAACAAGAAGCCGATAAGATTACGTACCCTGTGCTTATCAAAGCTATCAAAGGTGGAGGCGGCAAGGGAATGCGGATCGCTAGTTCAAAGGCAGAGTTCCAAGCACAGCTTGAATCTGCAAAGTCGGAGGCGAGGAATTCCTTTGGTGATGACCAGGTTCTTGTCGAGAAGTACATCACCACACCTCGGCACATTGAGGTCCAGGTCTTTGCGGATAAGCATGGAAACAGCGTTGCACTTGGCGAGAGAGACTGCAGTATTCAAAGGAGACACCAGAAGATTCTTGAGGAATCACCCGCACCCCATCTGCCTGAAACTACCCGAAAAGATCTGTGGGCCAAGGCTAGATCTGCTGCTTTGGCTGTCGGATATGAAGGCGCAGGAACAGTTGAGTTCATCTTCGACAATGACTCGGGTGAATTCTACTTCATGGAGATGAATACCCGTCTCCAGGTTGAGCACCCTGTGACCGAAATGGTGACTGGTCAGGATCTAGTTCACTGGCAGATCATGGTAGCTGAGGGGGCCCCGCTCCCTCTTACACAAGAGCAAGTCGAGGAGCAAATCGCCAACAGAGGGCACGCCATTGAAGCGCGCATACATGCCGAGAATCCGAGCCAGGGCTTCATCCCTGATTCTGGAAAACTGCTTCACGTGAGAACCCCTGCTACGTCCGAAGACATTCGGATCGATGCCGGCTTTGTCGAGGGCGATGAAGTATCAGCTCACTATGACCCAATGATCTCCAAGTTGATTGTCCGCGGCGAAACCCGTGAAGAAGCAATCCGCAAGCTTGGAACAGCACTCGAAGAGTATGAGATCGCCGGCCCAGTGACAAATATCGAGTTCCTCAAGACGATTTGTCGCAGCCCGGACTTTATCTCAGGTGCTGTTGAAACTGGCTATATTGAGAAGCACCGCGAAGAACTTTTCCCACAGAAGACTATCGAAGATGAAGTGCTTGCGCAGGTCGCTCTAGCATGCTTACACCGAGACACAAGCTATGGACGTCAGGGATCTCATGGTCTATCCGGAAAAGCGGTCGGCTTCACTCCAACTTATCAGCAGCGACAGCTGTCGTTCGCCGAGTCTATTGCCCCTGGGAAGGAAGGTCCTGGGCTTGATGTCCGCATTCAGCAAACAGCTGATCGATTCTTCAACGTGGAGGTGAACGGTCGAGTTTTCGAGCAGGTCGAGAGCCGCCTAGATCCAGTCTCACATGTCGTGACCTCTTTCTTCCCCACACACGGCTGGACACAACGGTTATTCAGGATGAGAATACCCTTATTGCATTCCAGCGGGGTCTGCAATACCGCTTGGTCATTCCACGAGCGACGTGGATGGAGAAAGCACTAGGAGGCAAAGATGTGGCGAACAGCGTCCTGGCACCGATGCCTTGTAAGATCCTTCGAGTGGAGGTGCAAGCAGGGGATGTTGTAAAGAAGGATCAGCCTCTCGTGGTCATCGAGAGCATGAAGATGGAGACAGTGATTCGCAGTCCTCAAGACGGAACGATCGCGCATGTGGTACATCAGCAAGGTGTAAGTAAATCCGCCACTCATCATGGGTACTATCATCATCGATTCCTTGTGGACTGCCCTTACCCCACTCAGGATAACACATGATAGCATAGAACTAACATTTCGTTTAGGACCAATGCAAGAGCGGCACCCCACTGGTTGAGTTCGAAGAAACTGAAGGATAAATATAAATTTGACATCGATTGCCGTGAACGTGTTGATGATATTAAGCAACGAAGCATAAATTAGGTTTTCATGTTTTAGAATCCATCTCACAATATCTGAGAGATATTCTCTCGTCTAGTACTACTAGTTAACTGGTAGGAGCCTATTTCCAGGGCCAAGTACCCAGGTAAGTTGCTGGGCGGGTTCACTGTTCAACACCAAAATATACTGCCATTGAGCTCGCCATTGGGATATGTTCTGAGAACTTTTTCTCACGCTCTTGATTTCATCCTGTTCTTTTCTCTTCTTTTTTTTCTTACCCAATCCGGGCGGCTGTGGTCAAGAAGACTTTCATCATAGAATAGTTCCTGTATTGTACGGCACGGTGGACCTGCCTGGCTAGCAAGGCCTTCCGGGGTCCTTAACTATGGCAAACCCTCCAGGGTCCCAGATTAAGGAGTACTACAGAGAGCCTTTGATTAATGAGAAAACTGTCTATCCTGAGACATTGGGTGTCTGTCAAGTTCAATTGTTGGCACTCCCCACATTGTGGACCTTTTTCGGGGTGCCTTGGGTCAGCGGCTTGGATATTGAGAGTAGGCTGTCTACGAGCCACGGAAAAGGGGGAAGCGGCGCAACTCTGGAACAAACACTATTTATGTGTCTACTGAAGTAAGGTGGTACCCCGCATACTGACTGCTATCCTGTAATACTTTCGCACATTAAGGTCAATCATTTCAATTCATACAAACACATTCTTACTCTTTATGCCTTATATTTTCCAAATCAAGCTTAAACTCAAGTAATCTCATGCTAGGCACGTAAAGACGCAAGAGCTCTGTCAGTATTATAGTAATAGTGGCAATACCTTACATACGCTTATAGCGCACTGCCCAGGTGGCTACTCGAAACTTACCTAGACGTCATGTGCTAAATCCATTAACCCTAAATACAGTTACATGCCCAAGTGGCTATGAATGCTGATCTAGAAGATAATCAACCCTTCATAAAGTTTGAGAGCTAAATTCTAGGCTTGAAATAGTTGAAAATTTGTCCACGCTTAAAGACTGTGTTGCTGATTAGGAAGTTCGCGCTTCACCATGCCTCACCCTAAAAGGCGCATCAACCTGACCTGGTTATAGAATAGCTAATCGTTCGTTCTCTGGCAATGCAAAACTTCATATAGACCCAATAAATATTTTCAACATACAAGATGATTCTGAAGAGTTAATTGACCCTCCAAGCAAGACTGTCGACCCTGGCACCTTAAAATGAACAAGTAAAGGCCGACGGTGTCATGGATGTGCTTGATGAAGGCAAGACAGCACTGCTTCTTCGTGTATACCCCCTACCCCGCCCTTCTGCTTCTTGTTTTCTTTCTCTTTTTCTTTTTTGTTTTGTTTTGACTTTTTTTTTTTACTCCCTCTACTTCCCCTCCCACCCATCCTGTGCTACGCGGAAGTTTTCATACGCGTCCCAGCTTCGACATTTGTTTATTATCCAATCAAAGCATACTGTTCTTTCTCAAGCCTGTTAAGTATGGAAAGCATTGTTTTCGCTCTCAAGTCACATCTAATGCTCAAGAGGCATCAGTCACGACGCGTCCTTCGTTCGCGATGGGCAGCCCTATGGATGAGTCGTTCCCGGCAAACCTGCCCCCCGTTCCTCGCAGACCCCAGCTGCCCCCTGTTCCCCGCGACCCCCCCTAACACCTGGGGTTCCAGCGGCGTGTCTTACAGCGACGATAACGACAATGCGGACCATGGATACAACGATTATCACGAGTACAGCGATTATCATGGGTACAACGATTATCAAGGGTACATCGATTATCATGAGTACGACGATCATCATGAAGACGAAGATCATCATGAGCACGAAGATTATTATGAGTACGACGAGGATTATGAGCCCCCGGCTTCAATTTATGCGGGTTCAATGCCCCCCTTGGAGTCTGAATCCGCTGCATCGGGAGATGATGTGGACATGGACATCCACGGTGACGATGAGTACGTGAACGACTCCGACGATGGCCCAAACGACTCCGACTTTGACTACTACCGGTCTGATGACGAGTCGGACTCCGACCCTCGTTCCAATGAGTACTTCTATGGAACGGTCGACTTCAACGAGGAGCCTGACGTGGATAACTGGGAGGAGGAGACTGAGCCAGTAGTTCAACAGCCTGTGACGGTAGCTCAACAGCCTGTGGCTTCTTCGAGTGCACAAGCCCATCAGGCTCGCCGATTCGAGTTGGTGCACCGATCAGCTCCTGGCCATGAAGTATGTCGCCGATGCCCCCTTTCGATTGGACTTAAGGCGCAGTCAGTTCTAACTTGCATACAGTCTGCTCGCAAGTGAGCACCTGGCGGATTGTTGATGGGGACTGGAGAATTGTCAAGGCCCTGAGCTTTATAGTCCCCATCAACATGAATCAATTGATGCCCTGTCAATAGAGGGCATTAGCGTTCAAGTCCACTTGGTGGTAGTGTCCTGACTATGATGTCGTGTCTGTATTCTCACAGTGTAACATATTGTCCTTTTTCATGGTGTTTCATGTCCATGGTTCCCTCACACCTCGAAACGGTAGCCATCCGTACCTGTAGTAGTGTCTTGGTAATATGCAAGCGTTTCCACACTCGACCTCTATGTGTGACCCAAAGCGTAAAACAGGCAAGACTGAAGCGAGACCAAGGCCTACAATACCCGTGAATCAAACCATGATGAGAAGTAATCGTCAATTGTTCCAATAGTCAAGATGATTTCGCCATGATCTCACCCCCAATAGCCCAAATATCCATGCTTCAAATGGTTTCTCCAACACGTCCAGCGGGTGACTCCTCTCAAAATAAGCATGATGAAACCAAGAGCCCAATTTAGTATCCGCCATGAGCAACACTCGTATTTCCCAGCAATAGAACTTTACTCGCAAGCCCTCCACTCCCAGGAACATAATCACAGCTATCCACGATCTGTATTGAAACGGGTTTCCAGTAAATTCGCTCCCATTGCCGCCAGCGCACAAAGCATTTCCTCCATCCGGCATGATCCTCGCAAGATGTTTTCTCGGCTGCGCAACATCTGCATTCCGAACAGTATTAACAAGGCCAACCCAATCATCCGGAGCGCTATCCAACCGCGCAGCAACCCTCACACGCCCGAGCCTCTCTCCATCCTCGCTAAAAGGCACGCAGAGATTCTGTGCGCTGTCGCTAAAATACACAAAATTCCCAACAATCTCAGCCTGTTAATCCATTTGAACCGGGAAATTCCCCGTGGTCAGGTGCCTGAAAATAAGCTTGTACGCCTCCCTCGAGGGATTCGCACGGAAGAGCGCGCCAAGTCAATCATTGCGTATCAGGACCACATGCTGCTATTTTCGGTAGCATATCTAGACCGTTTAGCATAATAGCTTCCGGGGTACGAGCTACTGTGGCAGCCTCAGGGCTGTGCGCAATATTGTTCAAGTGGAGCGTGTACGCCGTTTCATTGTAGGAGTCATAGCTGTAGTGGACGCCGCCGACTTGGCATACTCTTCCTCGGCGACTGTGCTGATACCGTAGAGGACGGTGGCGGCCTAAAGAGAAGGTACGGCTTCTGACTATAGACGTTTTCAGGATGGATCGAGGGTGTGCAGCTGGCGTTGGTGGAAAGTCGTTGATCGGTAATTGCCGTCCGGGCTGGGTTCGCTGGTTTCGATGTCCACGGTCAGAGGGCAGAGACTGTTTACTGGCTAGACTATTGCAGCTAGAGCTATAATAACCCTTAAGTAACCTCGGAGAGTGTGGCTTGACTGGATACCAGGCTAAAAGAACGGCAAAGAAACTGAGATGGCATCGAGGAACATCTTTCGGTTGGTCTGTATTCTTCATGCTGTCGAAACAGTAACAAACCGTCATTGTAGGTCATGCAGGTATCCGTGCACGGATCTGCTCAGGTACAAGTATATCTGCCATCTACCCGGAGCTCGGATCCCGTGGTATTTTCGACGCACCGCTAAGCAAAAAAAGGCCCCATCAGATCTCGAAGGGACGCCCATCTTGCCGACAGGAATCGACGATGTCCATTGTTCAGAGAGTTGGGAGTTCTGGTCTAGGATCTTACGGGTACTTCGGAGGAATCACTTGCTCATACCAGATGTGTGGCATAATGTGTGCATCCCCGAAAATCTTTAGAGGGTGCATCATATACCCTGGACTGATGGCATTGAAACGAATACCATGAGCGGCCCATTCAACAACCAGCAAAGCTGTGAAGTGGCTGCCTTAAACGCATTGTAAGTTGTCCGTGGCTGCGGTAGATTGACGATAGATCCCGGACATAGAGACCATGACGAGCCTGCTGGGTGCTTCCATTCTGTATGCTTAGCCACACCCGCAGCGAACAAATAGGTGCCATGCGCGTTTACTCCCCAGAGCTTCTGCATGCGGTCGAATGGTTAGCTGATGGCATCGAATTTCTCAGTGGATCGCACCGATGGTACTAGGTTGTCGACGGCCGTGGCTGTTTATCTAGTCGTAGTGGGCGATGGTCTTCGGCATGCTGGTTCATCTGAGCACCTGGCGTGCAAGCGGCTGTTGCTGAGCAGGATCTGTGAACGTTCAGACTCGGGATTCTCGATGCGAATCTGCTCCATAAGCTTCTTTGCCAATAGTGGTGACTCTGCTTCTGCAAAAACAGGTCATGCATCTAGATACTAGACTGGGAATCAACTAAATAGCTCATCTTGCAGATCCACATGTACTGTTCAGATTGACAATAGCCAGATCAGGCTAGAGGATACAAGCATCTTCGCCATGGCAAGACCTAACCCATGCACGCTCTTGGAGAGCAGGCTGGCCTTGTTCTTGAGGATAAACTGCGCGAGGGTCCGCTTGAAGTGTTCTCCGCCACGTCCCTCGGAGACAGGCTGCGAAAGCACCTCGTTGTCTAGAGGGCAAGTTATCTCCGCACTTTTTGTCTGTACGGGCAGAATGGCCTTCGAAAGGCCTGGAGCTTGGTTCTTTGGGCTGTTTGTCGTTCTTTGCTTGGCAAGACGTGATCGAAAATGAGGGGATTGTAGATGAGAATGCTAGTGGGTGGGTGGCGTTCAACAGCTTAAAACACGTGTAATTACGTGTTGAGCTTTGTGGCTCTGAAGGCAGGTTGTACTTGGAACGTAATCTGTAAGGCCGAGTGAAGAGCCGAGCAAAGGTGTATAATGGCTGGGGTGGGGAGGGATCAGGGGTAACGTGAAGATGAAGCAGAGACACTGAGAGCGGGGAAAGAAGCTGCGCGAGGAGCGTCGGAATGTCTGACAGCCTCACCAGAGTGGTGTGTTATAACTCTTTGCTGTTGTTATGTTAGAATTGGTTTGTGGATGAGTGACCGGGTCTAAAAGGCAATGATAGTGTCGGCCAATACTACGTGACAATATTAGAGACATTCGTGACCTATTCGAAGATATACGTGGGTAGCAATAAAACACCTCTGAGATTATTGTGCACTCTAGTGGTAGTAGACCAATATAGGGGGCAGCGCGTGGGTGATCTAACAAGAGTAAACCCAGGGAAAGGAGAAGGCAGTGCGGTAAACAGTAGGGGCCATCCATGGAAAAGACCTGGGTAGAGCAGGATAATTGAAAGGACGGAGCTGAGAGTAACTACCTACAATGAACCAGATAAGGCTATAACCAATCAAAGTTATCTGTCTTCTGCCCCCTCGCGGAGGTGGTCTAGTGGACTCATCCCTGCTGGCATGATCTGGGAACAACGTAGTACGTGTCTACGCGACTCGGAACATGGATAGCACATCAACCCTCTAGACACCCTCCATCCCCAACGTGGCGGGGGATCGAGAAGCGGCTGCCAAGTAGAAGACCTGGCCTAACTTGGGGGAGTAGGTTAGGGGAGAAAGCTGGGCATCTTGCTTCCGTGGACGCATCGAGGGATTTTTTTTTCTTTCCTTTAGCTTCATGCATTATTCGAATATCTTTGTTTCTAAAAGGACTCATAGTTAACTAGTGGTGGTGAGCTTGTTAAGATGGTCTTTATGGCTGGTGTTTTGAAGCTCAAGAAGTTGCTGAAGAATATCAAAGTGGGTCCGAATCCAAAGGACCAAAAATAAATTACAGAGTGTTTTAGACGTCTGGAATACAATAATACAGTACATCATTGCCCGTCTTGTCATATTCCCTCACAAAAAATTATTTCCCTAGGTGTGCGGTTCAACCCCTGCAACAATCAAATTTATTTATTTTCAGTATTCTCCTTCCAGTATTTCTTGCATGATCACCAGTTTGACCTCCTTTCCGCCCACTTTTGCTTTGTGATACCACTCGGGTGACTCTGCTCGATCTCGTTACAGCCTCTCGTCACAGTATAGTACCTATCCACTACATGTAATAACCTTGTAAAAGTTAGCTTTGGTACCTAGTAACCCGAAACTCAATGTCTTCTATGTGCGAGTCTCGCTACTAGAGTATCTGAGCTTCACATCCTTGTAAAAACCATTCTACATCCAGCTTCCCAAGGTCTATAGAGCTTTCTCCGCACGGTTGATCCGCAGTGGGTCGGTGGAGCGCCGATGCGGGGAAATGGGGATCATGAATGGTTCATCCTCTTTGGATACATTGGATCTGTCTTCGAGAAACCAAGCATTCCATTGGTGTATCTGGCTGCATTCGGAGATTCCTCTTCTCCACAACGGATGGGTGCAGCACCACCTGATGATCCAGAATGAAAGAGACGACACGGATAATTGCTTGGCCTGGCTTATTCCCGGCCCAGAAGGGACAGTGGCCCATTCTAGGAGCTTCTAGTGTTCAGAACTTAGCCGTAGACCTTATATATAGACCTCCTGTGTCACCTATCCCATCATAAGCTAACAGGGCTTGACCAACCTGTGGGCCAGGCAAGGGGCAAAATCGGAATGCAATGAAGAGGTCGCCCCGTAGGGGCTGGGACGGGGATTTGTCATGACAGCCGCTCTAACCCGCAAGAAATGATCAAATGTGTGCTAGCCCTACTCCCCATCGTTGTGGCTTTCGCAAAAGTAGGCTAGTGGGCTCGTAGGCGGGTGAAAAGCAGAAGCTCATGCGCTAGGTTGTTAGGAAGGAGCCCAACCCTGCTGGTTCCGCATATCCCGGGGAAAAAAGCTCCAGGCTTGGCATGCCAGAGACCTACAAAAGGAACTGCCGCTTCTCAATTCCGTCATGATTCATGTCTCTCGGCTCTGGAAGTGGAGTCGCCGCTGCGCTAACCGTGGTTCTGCGCTTCTTGATATCATCAAAGTACCATCAGCAGGAGTAGACCTCCGTTGAAGACTTTTGACCTGAAAAGCTGTTCTTGCAGTCTCGGCAATCTTGACATTCCACTTCCCAGTATCCGGAAAAGCCCCCCACCCTGTATCCCACGATCATGCAACCCCTTCATTTTGTGAAGATAGTCGTTGCCCGGCTCGGTTGAGTTGCTATAACTGGCCCCAGGTATCGCAAATCCCTGCCCTTGTCAGTGCCTCTCTGCCTGGGAGGGGAGGGGAGGCTATTCAGCTTCCTGCGCTCTTTCTGCTTGTGCTTTCTCACTTTTCCGCTGTTGTCCGCTGTTGTCCAAAGTTCCCGTCTTTCTTTCTTTCACCATAGGATGCTCTGAGCACTGGAGCTTTCCCTGGAGCATCCTGTGTTGATTCACATAGGTCAATAGTTGCGCACATTCTGCCACTTGCCTCTCGGCAGGATACTTTTCGCCTTCACAGGATGATGCAAAAGATCCCAAGCAGCCTGGTTGCTGTATCGCAAGTCCCATATCCTGGAAATTTGAAAGGAACAGAGTTAGTGGGAAAGGATTCTATCCAAAAATTATGGAAAGGTATGCCTTAGAACAAAGGAGATGTGCACTGCAGCTTAACATGAACTCATAGCATTCTCGACTTCACGCCAGGCAAGCAAAGATGGAAAGGATTGCAGGCTTGAAAGTCTTTTCTGGCGTATTCTGGGGACCGAGAAGCTGGTCCAACAGATTAACGTTCAAGGCTTGGACCAACTGATCACACGGATCATATCCAACGAACCTTTACAGCCAGTAGGGTTACTGAAGGTAGGTCTAATTGATAACGTGACTACGCTTAATACCCCACAATTATCATGAGTTCGTCGCTAAGCAGTCAACAGGCTTCTCCACAACCTATCCCTGCCACTCAGCCTACATCAGACCCCATCGATCAGGTGCCAAAAACCATCCATCCCATTCTCAAAAAGCCAAACACAGTTCCTGTTGAGCCTTACCACAAGTCTGCACGCTTGCTGCTCGAAAAGCCAGACGGAGAAAAGATAACCTTAGGCCCTTCGAACTCACCACCTCCAGATATCGTGACCACTCAGCCCAAGGAGAGCCCCCCATCAAGACAAGCACCCAAGCGTGCACAAACTGCAGGTCCCCGCACAACCAAGGGGTTCCGTCGCCGCCCATTATTCAACCGCCGTAAATCATCTCAATCATCTTTCCTGAAGACACCGACGCGGGAGAGAAGGGAAAGCATAGAAAACGTGAAGAAACGAGAAATCCCAGACGGCCACATAGAAGCAATGGACCAATCCACATCCAAAAATAACCCCGAGGATCTTGTCATTCTCAACCCTGCAGATTCCTTCGATCCCTTCTTTGACGCGGATGATGGAATCAACGATGGACTTGGCCCAGAGATCACCCCTCCTCATCCCCAACCTCCAGCTTCCCTGCCCTCAGGCCGTGCCACCTCCTGGACAGAAAGCGAAATTGACCCTCTGGCCGTTAAGCTAACCATCCCAATCCGAGCCAAGCCCAAAAATCCCCTGACACCAACTGAGCCGACCTTAGCAACTGCAAGTTCTACCACCCAGGTACCAGGATCTCCCCCTGTGCACTCCATGTCTGCGAAGACCGATCCCGTCATTTCTCCGGGAATAGAAACGGTTAGTGCCGGACCCAGCCAGGATTCCAAGCTCCAAACTGAAACCCAGGATCCCAGTACATCTAACCCCAAGGACACGCCACCCACGCCTCAACCCGTAACCCCCCTGGACCATGATCTCGCACCGTGGCCTCATTTGCGACGTGTCCCCATGCCACAGAAAATGCTGGACACTCTGGTCGAGATCTTCAGCAACCCCGTCCCTGTGGAACGCATCAAACTTCCCGACGCACCGCTGCACCTGGTTTCGAACGCAGGTCCGCCTCGCGTGCCAGCGGGCTACCTTGAGTCCTGGATGCTCCAGGGCCCAGATTCGACAGCGCACCCGCAGCCATCGAATACGCCGTTAGTGCAGCCCGGTTTCCGGTCTCGATTCGCGCGGGAGATGGAGAAAGCGCGCCTTGAAGAGGAAGAGCCGACGCCGGAGTCCGAATTGCGCTTTGCTGCTATTCAGAAGGAACTAGAAGGGCAGGAGGAGGCTTCCGCAACAGCTTCTGAACAAGACCAGAATGCTCCTTTTGCTCAGAGAGAGCCGTTATTTCTGACTGACGATATGCTTTCTCGGTCTGATCCTTCGCATACGGATTCTTTTCTTGAAGCAATCATGAACGGGGTCCCTAAGTGATGGACGATCCTTGATTGTGGCAAGCTGGGGGGCAGGGACGTCCACCTTTTCGGAAAAGGGGCCTTAGATCATTCGGGATCACCGCTTGCTATCTACAAGTGCTGTGACATTTTTCATCCATGAGAGCGGGTATTTTACTCTATGACTACCGACAGCCTTGTCTGAGACTCATTTCTCCGTATTACTTAGCCGATATACTTCTTACCCCCTCATATCAAGTACAAACTCAGTCTTAGAAGAATACAAATCAGACCGAGTATTTTAGGAAGCTTGCAGATGAAGATAGAAAAGAACAGTTTTACATGGTGGTACTTGCTAGGAGCCTCTGATAAATGCGCTAACACCAACACCATATCAAAACGAAACCAAAAAAAAAAAAGAGAGAGAGAGAGAAACAGAGAGATAAACATCCAGTAGCTAAGCAAGCAGTGCCAACTTACCCTCTCTCCCCTCCGAACCGCAAGATGGTACACGAAGGTAAAAGCCTCAAGCAATCTTGACCCGCAAGATCCTGAAACCTCACACCTTTTCGAAATCAGGCACAGGGGCGGCACGTCGGCTCTTCAACCAGCTCATCAACACCAACGCCGCGGTAAACACCCACAAAATAAGATTCGTCAAATCAAACCAGACAGCATGGCGCATTCGAGTAATCTTACTCGCATCACCAAGGCTACTCGTATCCGAAGTGTTGTCCGAACCACGCTTACTCTTCGAGTCCTCATCCGGATAGACGCCGATATACATGCGGCCGAAGATGCCAAACAGCACCAGCCACAGAATGCAGAGCACGAACTCCCAGGCGAACTGGGGCATCTTGAGCTTGGGGCTCGCGAAGGTGCTCGTGCGGGACATGCAGAAGGGCAAGATCAGGTGCGCGGCTGAGGTCACGGAGGCGAAGAAGCTGACGATCAGCGCGAAGACCCATTTTGCGTGCCAGGTGTGCTTGTCCTCGTGGTCGTGGCGGACGTCGGTGCCGTAGAGGCCCATGACGGTAAGAGCGAGGACGAATTGCACGAAGCGGATGAAGGTGGTCAACATGCCCATTTTGTTGCTGCGCTTGGGTGGAGCGCTTTCGAACTGGGTATCTGTGCCCGGGACGAAGCCCGGGGGGGTACTCCTGCATGGGGTATTGCTGGGGCGGAGGGTACTGGTAGTTGGGGTATTGGGCCTGTTGGTTTTGGGCCTTACGGTCGGAGATCTTCTGGATGCCAAACTTGGCGATTTTGATGGCGGCGAACATCTTGACGGTTGTTTATCGGGAGATTATCAATGAATGGTTTGATATGGTTTCCAAGGTTGAGAAGGGGACCAGGTGGATAAGGATCCAGAGAGTGAGGATCTATGTCGAGGACCAGGTGATGAAGAAGCAGACGCACAGCGTGGGGAGTTCTTCAGGAAAATATATAGAGGGCTAGGGTCTGAATTGACCAGCGAAGTCGTGAATGCAATGTGCAAGTTGTTCCAGAGAATGTGGATCTGGTCGCCCGGGCCAGAATTTGCGAAGCTAGAGCGTGAATGATAGAAGCTTTAATGGGGGATATTCAGGTCATCAGCCAGGATGACTTAAATTTGCGTGAATGAATAAGCTTTGTTGAAAGAGATCGCGTGAATGTAGAAGAACGGAAAAGAAAAATGAAACCCCGTTTAAGCTGGCGGAGACAAAAGAAAGTCGTTGCTGGTTTCAGTAAGGAGTAAGAGGGTATGATTGTTTTATAGAAGAGAAAGCAGAACTACCAAGGAGCCCTACAGACAAAAATACAATGAGGTCTGTTTCTGCTTTGGGCCGTTCTGGCCTAACATGAAACTCAGGATTTCATTCTGACTATTGGCGTTGCCCAGGCTGGCGGCTCTAGCAAGAATCTCCACCACGTCAATCCTTGACTAGTGGCCAGCTGCCAGTAGTTGGGGAATAACGCAGGGACTTGAAACAGCTGGCTACTTCTGCAAGACAGAAATAGGCTCATCTGCTAAAATCGGCAACGACTATTAAGAGAGCTTGAGCGGAGTAGGCGCTTCGGGTCGCGCGCGCCAAAGTCAGGATGATCGAAGGTTTCAGCGCAACTATGAACGGGAGGCTGACAGCCAATCATTCCTATCAGCCTAAGTTTATTGGCTAGACCAGAAGAAGGAAGTTTGGTTCGAGCTGCTATTGGCCAGCGGAGAAGCCTAATAATAGAGGCGTCCAGAACAAAGACTCTCCCCGCATCTGACTGTCACTTGGAAGAGTCGAACTTCCGTTAACGACCTCCTTCTCCGGCATATCGCATGTTTCATAATGGGATACGATCTACGGCATAGCACTTGTGAGCTGGAATATGCACATTGCCGTAATTGGCTCACGGACATTAAAATTACACCATCACGAAAAAAAAAAGACTTAGTCGACCCCGATGCTTGCCAGCCCATGCAATGCTTGAGAGGGGAATTTCCATAATGCAGTCGTGACAGCAGATTCAGAACATCGAAATCATCAAATAATGGCCGAAACGCCGTCCCATGAAACTATCAATAACCAGAATGCAACGTAAAAGAAAGGGGGCCACAGAATGCTCTACAGATGGGGTGGTCAGGCCGGCCGACTTGCCCCAGCATCTGCGGAGCCCTTAACGTTGGTTCCTGGGAACACCTTTGGATTACCCGGGGGTGGGAGGGACGGCTTCAGCGAGGTTGGCGAAGGAGGCTTAGACACCGGGGTCTCAGGCTCCTCCTCATATTCGTGGTACTCATCCTCGTGAAGCCCAGACCCCGTTGCGGAAGAATGGTCGACAGAGGCGCGGTCGTAGCCTCCGTGGGGAGCACCTCTTGAGTTCTTCGGGGCCTTCTTGGTCTTACGGCCCTTCATCTTAGCCTTCTCCAAGAGTCGCTTCTTCTCTGCCAGTCGCTTTCGTTCCTTTCGATCTTTGATCTCGTATTGGCGTATCAAAGCTTCTGGGGGATGGCCGAAGATGCTTTCGTATTCGCAAAACTCGCAGATCCAGATATCTTCCAAATTGGGAGGGTGATGGATGTTGGTGTACTGCTGTTGGATTTTGCGCTGACGAGCAGCCATCGCATAGACGGTGGCTGGTGACCGTTTCTTCTTACGAGTCGAAGGAGCTTGATCTCCTTCCGCTGGAGGTTGGGAGCCTGGAGGTCCGTTTGGAGCTATGCTAGGACTTGTTTGTGTGCCTTGGGCAGAGAAGCCTCGGGGATTGTGAGACGCGGGAGCAAGCGGTGACGTCGGAGACCGGTTGGGAACGGAGTAAGGAATTCGCTGCATGGCCATCCCTTTCGATGAATCGGACTCGCATGTGAAGGTAAACTGCGTCTTGGTGGGGGTGGTGTTCTCTTGGTCCAGAAGACTGACATTGCTTAGACCACGAGTGGGAGGAGAGAGGGAAGCGGCGTTGGCGATCGCAGTGGATATGATGCCCTGGTCAGAAGGCTCGCCTTCGGAATGATAACCGTCAGTACCAAACACAAAATCTTCATCTTCCCGGCGTGGTGGCTGGGGAGAACTACCTGAAGGGCCGGGAGACGACATCAAGCCATCTCGCCGGGTTGGAGTGCGAGCAGTCATCCACGCATTTTGGGCGTTTGCAGACAGTGGAGTTCGACTGGAGGTGCTTCGAGGAATGAAACGACCCAGTCGACCCCTGCCCGACCCCGAGATCCCACTGGTGACGGGAGATCCTGGATTCCCAGTTCCGTGGAGTGTTCCGGTATCCATTCCTTCGCTCGGTGCTGCAGAGGGCTCGCGTGAGTTGGACAAGCCCATGTTTGCAAACTCTGGCGATAATGTTGAGTGGTGCCCACCTAGGTTACCTGGGGTGGGGATTTTCCGTTTCTTCTTGTTATTGGTGTTTTCAAAAGCGTCGTATCCGTCGGGTCCAGCGGGGGTTTGGGGGGACGGTCTCTACTGCCACCAGGGTGATGCGTGCTAGGCACCGGTGACGCCGAAGTCCGGAATCCAGCACTTCGACGGACCACTGCTGGACCGTCCTCGTCTCCGCTCTCCAGCTCTAGCGCTTGATCAAAGGCATGGTGAGGGTCAGCTTCTGGCGTCAATTCTTGTCGTTCCGCCTCAAGGTTCTGCTGCACATAAACCTTGGAGTCGTTCACAGCTTCGTCCGAATCGCCAGAGACACCGTAGAAGATTTGGGATGCGGGCGGGGTGGGTGGGTAAAGGATGGTGTCGGCCGCGTCGGTGGAGAGGCGAGAGCGGAGGGTTCGTTTTGGCAGAGGACGAATCAAACGATCGGGGTAAATGGGAGACGGTGTGTCAGGGGCCGAGTTGAACGTCCCATCTACACATTTTTACAAAACCACGTCAGTAACTGAGTAACCAACAGGCTTTTCTCCGCATCGTCAAGCCATGACGGTCCAACCAAGTTGGACACGGATATCCTTTATATGAGCAAGACATACTCAGGGCAGCAGTCATGATGCTGATTCTCGATACTCGGCCTCAACCACAACCAAAGTCTGTGGAGGTGAGGCAAGCTAGCCCGATTTCCTCTCTTCCTTGTAGTCCCCCTCCACCGATATTGTTACGAGCCAGCGGGACAGGAGATCAGATCAAGATGTTCGGGGAGGAGCGATGATTGTGGGAATAGAGACCTGTGAAGACCACGTCAGCCAGGTTTGAAGGGATAAGATGGGATCAAGGCCCTGATGACCCTAGCAGGAGCTGAAGAACACAGGACATCTATCCTCGTGCTTCGGCATTCACACGGAGAGGAATATGAGAGCATACCCACAATCAAAAGATATTGATCAGCCCTGGCCGAGTCTGGGACAGGGCGTGCGGGGGAGAATTTATATAGATCTGCCGGCTCTCACAATGGAAGCCGATTCGAGCCACAAAAACAAGGTACGGAGAATCAACGATGATGCGGAGGGGTGATGTGAAGCGAAAGACCAGCGAGTCACGGGAATTCGGGATCGCTCTGTGCACTAACCCTATTAGGAAGGCCTGGGGCACCTAACCGGCCGTGGGGGAAGGCGGCATTACGCATCATACGCTTGCAGAAGGGTACCTTGGCGCTATAGTCAGAGAATACTGATTTCTAGGATTGCACGTTAAATCGGTATGCATGAACGGACATCCTTCTGTCACTTATATGGCCCAAGTCTACTACACGAATACTCAGCAGTTCATTAGCAGTGAAGGCTTCGTCTGAATTATTCGCCAGTTGCCGAGCTGTGATACCTGCCTGCGATAGTACCAACACGTCACGCGAGAAATAGCTTAATCAGAGTTGTGCTTGTTCGTCAACTGTGAAGCTTCAGAGGTAGCATACGAGCTTGTTCTCGTGAGGAAGTGTTTGGTATGGTCTCTAGGCTACGTGTTGATATCTAGCAGTATAGTCCTCGGCCCTTCGCCCACGCTCCCTGTACGGCTCATCAATCGAGCGACTACCACGACACCATGGTGATGAGAAGATGGCACAAAAGACACTGGCAAGAGACATACAATACGGGAGTACGTAATTCGCCCATAGTAACTCGTTATCAGCTAGATGCAAAGCAATTATCATGTTACTGCCCTTACTAGAAAGTGCGCTTGTAGCGGGCTGCCTTGCTGGTATACAGCTTTAATACGCATTTTCAACCGAAGGCATTCCGCCTTCGGTTTTCATTCGCTGGATTTGCATAAGGAACCTACATGGAAAACGTGTCTGTGCCCCCTCTATAAGTCAACTTCGAAAGCTTCGAAGGGCCTAGTAGAGCCTGGTCGAGCCCATGTGGAGTGACCAGATCTTCAAGGGTTTCTGGTACGGCACATAGCTAGCCAGTAAAGGATCAAAGTGGTCAGAGCTGTACCTGCATAGACTGCAGCCAGGTAGCTCCCCTTTCTGAGCGCCTTGCGTACGATCGAAACACCGCTGAAGCTCAACTCTCTGCCAATCATCTGTTGTAATATCCAAGCAATGACTTGTAATCCTTGTGGTGAACCTGAGGTTGACGGCGCTTGCATTGAAGCAATTGTCCTGCTCCAGAAAAGGAAGGTACTTGACAGGCAGAACATACCAAACGCTTCAAGGCCAGAGCCAAGGATGGGTCTCATTCATCCAAGACCCGCAATGCTCAAGCAGAGTGTTACCAATCCTGGCAAGGCGACGCGAATTTGCTTCAATTTGCGTTATCCTCCGCGGAATCCATTTGTGCGGCCGTCCATGAGATCCCTTCAAGCTCATGGCATCTTCTCGAAGCGCGCGTTCGACTATCGATGATCGGAGGAGGATTAATGACATGATAAAAAGGCAAGAATGCAACAGGCGACGTCGTGCCAGGAACCTTTGAATCTCTGATCTTGCCGGGCGGGTTGAAGCGAAATGGGGGGCGCAGGAATGAGGAGTCACTGAGACAGAAAAGGACATTCTGCCGCGCACGTCAGCATCAAATCTGGAATCAATCAACGCAAGAATTGCCCAGGGAAGCAAATTAGCAGCCAACAGCCTTGGAAATCGCAAAGCGACAGCAGCCAGGAGGGGGAAACACGGAAGGGAGGTACCACAGGGCTGTACCACAGGGCTCGCGCGTCGAGAGGCGTCGAGAGCGGGGAAGGACGGGCGAAAGTGGTTTTGGAGTCCCGTTCCGGCACTTTTCCTCCTTCTCTTTCTCTCTGCAACCCCCGCCAATCTTGCTTCTCCTTGTCAGACTATGTAGTCTTCGGGCTCTATTATGAGCCTCGTGACGCCGTGCTACAGATTCCACTACAAATTGCAATTGTTCTCTCCTCTTTGTCCCCGCCAGGAGCTGGCAATCGCGCGCAAGAGCTCCTTCGCAGCCTTCCACCAGGCTGTTGCTTGCCTCGGGGCTAAGCACCCACCCTTCTCTTTCATAAAATTACCTTCAATCTTGGTGATTATAAACGAGAATTATATTTAGTTCGAATTTCCCCTCTTCCGAGACGCACCGCCATCATGTCCCCTCGTCGCTCCTCCAGAGCTCGCACCACCCAACCCTCCCCAGCCCTCCTCCAACACACAAACTCCTCCAACTCCTCCAACTCGTCAAATCGAGAGAGAAGCACTCGGTCGAACCATAAAAATCCTTCTCCTCAAGGATCCTCCGCTCATCGCTCGCAATCCATCGAAGACACCGAGAATGGCTCGAGGGCCGAACTCCCACAAACGCGCCAGCGTCAGCGCAACCGTGGCGATGATGAAGAGCTCCCTCGCGAGGAGGATGAAGACGGTATCGACGAAGATGACGAGGAGGAAGTGACAAGGTGTCTCTGCGGGCAGCAGGACTATCCAGGTCTGCCCGCTTCTCGTCGCGAAGCTCTCGGTCGCACCCTTATCAAGCCTGAGTCTGGGCACCCACCCACAGATTCTTCTGATATGATCCCCGATGACATCGGCAGTATGTTCATTCAGTGCGATCTATGCAAAGTGTGGCAGCATGGCGGTTGTGTGGGCATCATGGATGAAGAGAACAGCCCCGATGAATATTTCTGCGAAGAGTGCCGAAAGGATTTGCACAAGATCCGAGATGAGATCAATGGGTACGTTCCGGAAACTTTTTTTTTTTTTCTGTCCCGTTTTGCCCTCGTCTCGTGCCAGAATAGTCGTGTACATCTCACTACTCGATGGTCGGAAATCTTCGCTCAGTCCTGTGGCAACACCGGGCGACAAGCAGTCGAGGCGACGCGACCAACTCAAGCCCCCTCCCCTGATCTTTGGCCAATGAACCTCCTCACTCCCGGGATTTCTTCGACTTCGCAGTCTTTCTCAGTTAATCAGTCATGCTAACGACCGCAAAGCTCGCGATCCTCTACCTACCTACCCGTTGCGCCGCCCGCGGCCCCGTCACCCGCGCCCTCCTCCCCCGCCTCCTCACGCGAGACCTCCCGACGCTCCAGGGATCCCAAATTGAGGAATAGTGAAGGTGCCTCAAATCCCAAGCGGCGGTCGACTATGAACAGTCGGGATGCTGCTTACGATGAAGAAGAACTTATTCGACGAGCAATTGAGGAAAGCAAGGAGGACACAAAGAGTATCCCTGATGATACGGCTCCCCAGCGAGCCAAACGCAGTCGGAGCGGAAGCGAAACGTATGTTTTCCAGGTTCAAAATTTGTAAGCTGAGCACAGGTTCGCTGACAAGTTACTCTCCAGGAACAGACAAGGTTCGAAGCGTCCACGGACCACTTCCCCATCCCCGCAGCCACGTCGAAGCACAGCAATCCGGCGTCGCAACCGCCCTCCGATGACGAGCACAAGCAAAAACCCGCCTTCAATGGCACTCGGAGGCAAAGGACTGCTTCTCGAGGTCAGCGAGATAAGGAGACTTCCGCTCCTATCACGAAGGATAACAATGAGGTCGAACCCGACGCCCCGGAGGCGACTCGGGCTCGTCAAAAGGAGCGAACAAACCGACGTAAAGGAGAAGGTGAGTTCTAAGAAGGTCTTGTAGACTTCTACGTTTTTTGCTAATTTACTGGATCCTAGAATCGGAAAATGAAGGGGCATCTCCGACGAAGCCTGCACCAAGCGAACCCGAACCAGTGCAAGCGAGCCCTAACACTCCCACTCCTCAAGAGACAACACCGGCTCGGCCCTCCACGCGCAAATCTGGTCGACCTCCAGCCCGCCGCGGGCGCGTGGGCCGGAACCAATATACCAAAGACCGGGATGCCAATGGCACGGGGACCGAGTCCCCCCGCCGAGGCCAGTCCCATGATATTGGCGGAGACTCGCCCAGGGTTGGATATATTGGAGTGAACGGCACACACGTTAACGGAGACTCAACCACTCGACCAAGCAAACCACGGCACATGCACCCGCAGCGTACAACCATGAACGAGATGAAGCGACGAGTAGCTGGAATTCTAGAGTTCATCTCACGCATGCAGATTGAGATGGCTGCAGCCAGCGAAAATTCATCCACGCCGACGGACAGCAATGGAGATCGGGCCCACGGCTTGCTGCTGAAGAACATGGTTGACCAGATCGACCAAGCCGTGAATTCGGCCGCCAGCGATGGCGGGGAATCCGCACCCACCTCCGTGTCCATGGAGAATGGTGATACTCAAGCGAAAGACTTCAAGGACTTGAGTAGCGTTGAAATGATGGATGTGCTCACCCGCCATTTGCTCAAGTGGCAGCAGGAGTATGGCAAGTTCGGTGAACGGTAGCTTTTTGCTGAGTCTTGCTGAGTCTTACCAGCTCTCGTTCTCCTTCCTCTGTTCTCTCCATCATACGTGCCCGTGTTACGTGCACATGCATCCTTTGCTTCGCCAATATTGTTGGTGCTTCTCCATTCGATACCCCTGTTTCAGATCTACTGCCGGTGGCTGTTGTAAATTAGAACCTCTCTGCGTCTCCCTCGGCGTTGTGGTGATGCTTTTCTTTCCCCTTTCTTGCTTTGCTCTTTGTTATATGTCTTCCCTACTCATGTCATACTCAACTGGCGTCATGACCATCTTATTGGTACCGGAGAGCAACGGCGATCATGGCTAATTTTTTCTTTTTTCTTTTTTCTTTTATGCCATACGAATTCTTTGTTTCTCGAATCTCCCCTATGCGCGATTAATCACGGATCTATATGGCTTATATGGCTCCAAGGTTTCCGGAATGTTTTCGACAGCTTTTGCCCTGGGCGCTCTTTGTTCCAGACTGGCGTTTGGGATATTGGTTTACATACATTGCTTTATTGCTGTATTCAATATCATTTCTATTCGACATCCATTCTTGATCTCTATACCCGGGACCTCCCTGTCCGGAAGAAGAATAGCGGGTGGGTGTTGGCAATGGACGATTCGAGATAATCCTAAGCATTTCCATACATAGCCAAGTCCGGAAGACAGTTTCGCCTACGGGATACTAGGAGCGTTCAATATCCGCAATAACATATCTAAGCTTCGCATATAGCTTGCTGCCGAGCTCGGTCTCCTGTACACCAAAACACCACTGATCTCAATGTGCATATCGAATGAAGCGCAATCACTGATAATACCAGTACCAGTAACAATATCTTATAGTCGACAGCATACATTTATTCGAGTTCCTGAGCCTTCGAGGCGATCCAGAAAGAAATAGCTCATCAATCACCAGCGGTTCCCTGGGATGCGAGATATTTCTAAGATGGCTCATACTCCGAATGTCTATGTCCGAGTCTCTTTTACCTCACTGCGAAAAACTACCAGGGCATGACACTAGGATAGGTTGATAGCGTGTTGGTAGCAGTGCCAATGGCTGCAATGTCGGGACCGCCGAGTCGGAGCGACTCGGCTATTTCCTCAAGATACTAAAGGACTCCGCCCCGCGGCTGTAACATAGACGCGTACGTGCTGATGAGATAGACTAAATACTATACTAAATAATTCAAAGTCGAACTCTCGGGTTTCAACTTCCAGTTAGTCTATACCTTTAGCTTGGAGTCTTCCTGCTGGTTAGTCTTGAGTATCGACGAGAAGGTAAATCTAGTACTAGGGGCCACTCTCCGTAAGCTGCAGAGTCATGAATTTAGTGCCTATTGCGAGGATCTCCAAAATTTCCCATTGGACATTTGGCATTGAAGCCCTGACGTTGTGCCGTTTTGCCTCTTGCCCAGTCCATCGTCTCGGGGCTATATATCTCTCTCGACCAAATCCCAAAAATCGTAGCTGAAGTGAAGAACCAGAGACCAATTGGCCTGATTTTGACCCCTAAGGTAGAGGAAGAAAGGAGGGAAAAGGGATATTGAGAAGCGACTTGCGTATTTTGCCAAAAAAAAAAGGAAAGAAAAGAAAAAAAAGAGAACGTAATGAACATATTGCAGCTACTCACTTAATACCCAGCAACCTGACCTTCGTTACGACCGCAGCAGGTTCCGCTACCGCCTTAAACCTAAAGGAGAATCCGAAGATATCGGCTGCTAATACCAGTCTTGATACTAGCAGTACTCAATTGATTCAAAAGATCCACAATGATACGTGCTACAGTTGACAAAGATCCGTTTCAGCAGGATACTAGTGCTTGGCGATCCCAAGCGCCTACTAGTACACATGTACCGGTGCCCAGTGGGTAAGATGTATACCCAACAACGGGGAAAATGGGGGTTAGACCACCTCCACATCTACGATGATCCAGTCCTGCTGTCAAGAAATTGGTGGCGTTACAAGCTGTTTTTGTTTACAAGGAACACAATTGAGTTTGAACAGGGTGATTTATGTAGCATTGTGATCGCTGAAGGTTACCAAGACCAGCCCCTGAAGGATACAAAGGATAATCGAGTCTCATTTTCACCAAGGCAATAATATGAGTTAACTGTCATGGAAGTAGATCGTCAGACAAAGGAGAGAATTAATTCACACAAAGAAAAAGAAACAGTAAAAAACAAGATTCATCATAAGACTCCCGAAGTTCAAGTCCAGCCACGACGCAAAGGGAGCAGAGACTAGACTAGGACCCACATGGAACTCCCTCGAGATTAACTTAAAGCCGGGAGGATAACATTTACAGGCGGGAACCGTGAATGACCTTGTAGTCGACAACGAGCTCACGGCCACCGTCGTTGATGACGAGAGCACGGACGGAGCCCCGGCCATCAGCGAACGACTCGCTGATGCGGGTGAACAGAGAGTTCTGGCTGATGACGGGGAGACCCTGCTTGACATCACCGGTCTCGGTCATGGCGGTGATGGTAGAGTCGACGTTGACGTCGAGAATGCGGTAGGTCTTGTAGACAGGACCCAGCATGGTCTGGACAACAACGGAGGGGGAGGGGTTAGAGACGAAGCTAGACTCCTCCTGGAGTTGGCGAGTGAACAGGTCAACACCGAGGTAGCGGTGCTGGCCGGTCTGGGAGGAGACCGAGATGCGGATCACCTGGCAGGGGCGGCCCTGAAGGATCAGGATGTCGCCGATGCGGATGAAGTGGCAGGGAATGGCGACGGTCTCGCCGGGGGGTGCCGCGGTTGCGGGGCTCGATGATGCGGATATTCTCCACCACAGGAGCGGGAGCTGAAGAGCGTTGCTTGTCAATAACTACTTCCTCGTGGCGGTCATGGAAAGGGTGCAGCAGGTGATCGGCCGCACGTTGAACGCCACGGCGGAAGGAGTGGTACTGACCCTCGTCGTCGTAGTAACCCATCTTGCGAGTTGGGGCGGTGTCACGAACTGTAGTAGTCTTGGAAGAAGCTGAAGGAGCCTTGGGTTCGGCGGGGGCGGCACACGAAGTACGGGAGACGTCGACTTGGGAACGGGTATAAGCTTCGCCTTTGTAAGGGGCGGAGGGCTGCGAAGGGTAAGCGCGGTCGTACGAGAAGTCGGCGACAGGAGCCGGCGGCTGGGAACGGTCTACGGGCTGCTGGTAACGACGGTCGTAGGAGACGTTGACGTCGTAAGTGGGAGAGGTCCGGCGACGGTAATCTCTCTCAGTGATGTCGAGCTGGGTCTCAACAACAGGCTGGTCGTAAACTTGGGGTTGTTGCTGGTAGCGAGCAGCGGACTGGGGCTGGTAGTTGTACCTATAGGAAGGAAGGAAGAGAAAAAAGTCAGCTTCGGGGGGGATGATCCACAAAAGGCAAGAGGTGTAAACATATAAACAATAAACACGAGCTGGTCACCGCTCATTGGGGCCCCAAAAAAGTGGATCGGTAATATTTCGTGACACGTAATTCAGTCCGGGGCTAAATCCGTAACCACTCTAGTCCCAGATAGGACAACCGACAACAAATAGTGGCTCCACATGGCTTGTGATTGCAGGTGAATTGACGCGTGTGCTGGGTTTCTTTGGGGATGCGGCGGGGGAGGAGGTTGGCGATCTCAGCATTCATGCCTGGCCAAGAAAAAGAGGCAGATCCCGAGGCACAACAGCTGCGCTCCAGATAGGATGGAGCCGCCCAAAGACAAGAGCTTATGAAGAACCCAATTCCCCCCGTAATTCACTCCCTTTCCCAGGGTGCCAATTCCGAAAGAACCGTCATCCGGGGAAGTTCGTTGGAGGAGGGGGGGAACCCCAAAAACAGAAAACAAGGAATTGAATCTGAAAACATACCGTTCGCGGGTCAAGTCAACCTCGGCGGTGTAAGGCTGAGGGTAAGCTGGCTGATTGTAGGCCTGCTGATTGTAGGTTTGCTGAGCGTAGACTGGCGCAGGGGGAGCAGCGGCAGCGGGACCAGAGTATTGGCGATCCTGAATGCGGATATCGACTTCTTCTTTTCCAAAGACACGGGGGTCTGGGAGAGGGGCTTGAGTATCTTCCCGTTCGACGTGCGAAGTGCGATCGAGTTGAACTTCTCCCTCTACTCGCGTCTGAGCAGTTTCAGAGACAGCGTCACTCCGGTACGACGACGGGAAGACACTGAAGGGGATGGGGACGCGGGCGTCAAAGTCCAGATTGGCGGACTTTTAGCGTCTCTTCTCGAATGCCTTTCGAACTGTTAAAAACAACTCGAAAGACGAGACAAGAAAAGACTTGACGGGGGGAAAGTCTTTCTCGAAGAGAGGTTGAAAGAAGAAAGAGCTGATCGGCGAGATCAGATCTGTTAAGATTGGAAGAATGGAGGGGTAGGAATGCTGGGGAATTGGGAAGAGGGAAGGAGGAGAGGAGGTGGAAGGTCAGCGCTGACGGTTTATTTATGATGCGCAGTCGGTCCCCATGTTACCATGTTTGTTTACGCCGCTTGTCCCAATCGGGGTGGATCCTCGTCCCGAGGTTCTTTTCTGCGGTTTCTGGGTGATGGAAGGGGAGATGACTGATGGCCCATTTCTGATTTCCTTTAAAAAAACGCATGGCAATTCCGGTCCTTTCTTTCCCTGGAATTGACGTCTGGAATGTGGAACTGGCCACATGGACCTATACCCCCATAATTGGCAGGAAAACATGAATATGTAATGGTATCAATACTGGTACCTACGAGGCTGTACAGCGTGTACTTTGTACTCATCACATGGAGGCTGGGCTAGTCCTGCCCCCTCACCGCTCACCGTCGCCATAGCAACTTGCGGGTCGAATCGGAGATCGTCGAACCGTGGGACGCGATCGCGTTTTTGCTCTGGCAACAGCCTCCAAGGAGCTCATATCACTCAGTGACGAGTAAGGCAGACAATGTGTTGATGTACATCAACACCAGGATAACGTTTCATCGGGTCATCGCCATTGGATCTCCTCGAGGCCCAGAGGTACCCACGTAATGAATTAATGCATCTCCCAACCACAGTGGAGTTCGCGCAAAAACCTACCCACTTGTCCAACGTACCCAGATCCCTGTTCCGCCTCACCCAACCCCAGCCCAATGGAGGCTGGGAAACCCTCCAGCACATCCTGCAGGTGTCTAGACCGCGTTGTTTCGCTTGGCGCGTGCCCGTACAACTGCATTACGGTAACGGGGGACTCAGCTCGCCCAGGGCGCCACCGGATATCCCCAAGCCGCGGTAAAGCTCCGCCTCTTGTTTACTGCGGGTCTGCGTAGTCTGGAGCCCAACCCCCCCCTGTTGCTCCGCCAAAGGACCGGCAAACGCAGATCGCAGGGTTTAACAGGGTAAAAAAAATACTCAGAACCGAGGCTGTGGGGGGCGTCACACAGGCTGGTGTTTGCTCCACTTCGTCAGTACTGGTCGGGGCGCGATGCCAGACGGTGATCAGTCCTGCAGCACCCCTGCCCAAAGGAGCGATTGGTGGAGGGCTGAAACAATTTAGCATGGAATGGCGAATAGGACTTAGACTCGGTAGGTTGTAATCACATTGATGAAGTTTTCTCTGGATTTCAAAGAAGTGATCTATCAAACACGTGGAATACAAGGGGGGGAAGAAAGAGATGGCAACAACCAGAGCCTGTAACGAAGGACACGATGGTGCGGTTTTGAGAAGAAAAGAGGGTATCAAAGTATATGTACAGCGTGGGAAACTTCACCAGCCTCCCAGAAACGAAGGAAGACGCCGCTGACAACGTCCAGGAAGAACCAATCGTCCTCAAATCCAGGGTTACCGCCCTCAACATCAATAATGAATGTAAACAGACTTGGTGACAAGTCATGCATAAACAAGAGGAGATATGTCACTCATTAGATATTAGATCGACCTCAAGAAAATCCAACTTCGCGAGGTAATAGATAGCTTTGCTCAGACGCGGAAGGAAAGGAAAAGAAAGGAAAGGCGATGAACAAGAATGGAATGCTGAAACGAAGCATTAAACATGTATAGTGGAAGATTCGTCTTGGTGCATCGTGTCGAACAAGGATGTCAAGCATGAGGCTCAAGATACTCATGCGCGCATGCCAAACGCCTTTCGGAGACCCGGAAATCGCTTTTTACGCCCAGACCCGGCAATGACCACGTTCCTGGCCATGCCAGGCTCGTCCATGTTCCCCGAGAAGATAGAAGCCGCGTCGGTGTGAAGCGACGTGTTTCGATTCAGATGTGGCCTAGGTCGGGCGGCTTGAGGTGACTCAGGATCTTTGGCAGCATCCCCCCCTCCATTGATCGTGACGCTGCCGTTGCGCTCCGCACTCTCGGCAGGAGCTCCGAGCGGTTGGGTCTTCGCTTGTGCCTGCGGCAATGGAGGTGCTTCCTGGCTGTTCTCGACATTCGGCTGGGGCGTCTCGGCCTCAGCGGCTTGACGGATCGGCCAAGACGAGGTGTCACTGTTGGCAATGTGTCGCTTGGAAAGCCTTCTAACCTGCTTTGGCCGCGACAACGGAGGCTCAGAGCCTCCCGCACTGACCGAGGTTACAACACTAGAGTAAGGGTTGGCCTCATCGCGCGGTGGCTCCCGTTCGTAAGGCGTACTCTCGCGCTCTGCTTTTCGGATTGGGTTGCCGGGGGTCTTAGCCTTCTTAAGGCCAATGCGGCTGAGAAAGCCTTGCTTACGACCCCCGGGAGGCTGCATGACAAACTCCTCGAGTTCCCTTTGCGTCATGCCGCGTTGCCGAGCCACGGCTGCCATACCAGACATGTTGGGAGTAGACTTAGCTTGAACAGGAGGAGCCTGGGCGGGCTGTGCTCGGAGCGTAGCTGCAGCGGCGACTGAAGCTCGTTTCGTTGTCTGCTGACGACGTTCTTCCTCAGAGCTGTCCTCTAGATCGGTCGAGTCTCCATCGTAAGCACCACGGCGGCGTGGGATACCGCGAACAGGCCGCAGCTTCTCATTACCACCCGCAACGTCTTCATCGCTAGAATCGGCAAAGCGGCTGCTGAAGGGATGAGCCACATCCTCTTCTCCGTCCGAATCGATAAATCTCAAATCGCCGGCTGACTTGGAAGCTGCCTTGCCCGGAAACTTTCCGGATCGGGTGCGCGCGGCTTTCTTGTTTGTGGAGAAGAAAGAATATCGGTCAGGTTGGGCGCCTGAAGCACCTGGAGCACCTGGCCCTCGGAGGGTCTTGCGCAGTGTGCTACCTGTTGTGGACCCAGCAGACATCGGACGATAATCGGCTGGTGACTCCGTTCTATCCGGGAATGACTGTACAGGACCCTGGGAAGCAGACGAACGCATGGTGCGGCGCATGCTATGGGCTCCCCCATTCCGTGAAGAGCGCCCCGCACGTTGGAAACTACTGGACGAGTCACTGCCATTGGACGTCTTTCGGCGGAGCGAACTGGGGAAAGGCTCGACTGCGGACCTCTGTGCAGCAGCAGCAAGGGCAGCGGGGCCAAGAGATACAGGTCGGGCTTTGCCTTGACCAGCAACCAGCGAGGATGGGTCTCTGGGTCGAGGATCATCTTGCTGGCTGGCGTTTGTATAAGAGTCCGCGGCGACAGACATTCGCTGCTTAGGCTGAACGCTGCCATTTTGCACCCGAGCCTTTGGTTGGGCTGGGAATGCAGGTTGAGAAGGTTGTTGTGAAGGTTCAGCAGGTTCAGGAGTGAAATCAAATGGCGCATCTAATTGGCGACGAACAGACTCCTGAGTAGGGGTAGCTGCGCGGCCTTCGTCTCCGGATTGCTCGACAAAGTCCCCAGCAGAAGCGTCTCGTGGCTGATCAGGTGCAGCTTTCTCAGCTGGCCTGGGAGTAACATCGCGGTCACGGGGCTTATGCTCATTTCCCAATGGGGTTGCTGATCTCGGTGTTGATCTGGCATCAACAATTGCGTTGATGGATCCAAATCCGTCACCATCGACATCCTCTGGTGCATCGGTGTAAATGCTCTCGGATTCTGCTTCCGTATCCATATCTTCAAAGCTCACACGGCCGGCAGGTGGTGGTGTTGCAGGCTTGGCCGTTGACTTGAGACTGCGGTCCGAGTTGGAAGGTGGGAAGCCACCCGGAACCTGGTACTGATCCATACTCGAGCGGTTCGGAGGCTGGAGATCAGGAGACTTCTTTCCGCTGTCGAAAGTCTTGCCAGTTTCGAGGGGTGGCGTCGCAGGCTCAACAGCGATGGAAGGCGCAGCTAGATTGTTGGCTTGAGCAGCAGCTGGGGCTTCTGCGTGAGTACCAGTGGATGGTTCTGGAGCAGGGACCGGCGTCTCTTCGGCGGGTAGCTGTTCTACAGGCTTGACATCATCGGCTACCAAAGCTTCTTGCGAGCTTTCTGCAACCTTGGGAAGAATGTTGCCAAGGGCGTGATCACCGGAGAAAGAAAGAACCCGTGCGCTGACCTCCTCGTCCGATGAGCTGCTTGACTCGTTGTCACTGAAATCAGACATGCGTGGTGGCCCACTGTCCCTATTTCCTCGGACGCTGCCAAAAGAGGGAAGCACTGCACGCGGCTTTAGGACTTCATCGAAATCGTCGTCTCCAGTGACAAGCTCGGAAGCCTTGTTCTTCTTACCGACCCCAAGCCAGCTCATACGAGACTTGGCCTTTCCTGAAGGCGGAGAGCCAGGAACGTAGTCCTCGGGAGATGTGGGAGGGCTGGCAGCCACACCAACGACTTCAGCCTCCTCGTCAAAGCTCACTCGGACTTGCTTCTTCTTGGTGCCAAGGCGGGAGCCTTCATCCGAAGCCACGGATGTGCCATCAGAAATTTCACTTGGCGCTTGTACATGGGAGGTGATGATTGCAGACTTCCGTTCCGGCGAGAGAGAGCTGCCACGAGCGGTTTTCAATGCTGACTTCGCTGGAGAAACTGATCTGCCCGGGGGTTCATGGATCTGGTCATCAGATCCCGCAACGGAAAGCCATTTGGAAAATCGAGCAGATCGGACGGGACTGCTCGAGTCACGTTCGGGCACATCTGTTTGCCTTTGTTCTTTGCCTGCCAAAGGCGACGGCTGAGGGGTCGGCAATGATTCCACATGATCAATGGTTGGGGATACGTTGGAGAGTCTAGCGGTAGCAGCTTGAGCGGGGGAGATGCTTTCAGACCGGGGCAATGGCTCGGCTTGAGACCGTTGCTCGAGATCGGCGGTTTCCCGGGCATTGGCATGCGCTGAAGGCGCGGGCGGCGGACGACTAGAAGAAGGTTCCTTTCGTGGAGTTGTGGAAGGTGACTCGGAGACCACCCGCTCAGCCCTTGCAGCAGAGGGGCCTGGGCGAGGACTGCTCTTCTGCGGGCTGGTTGCCTGCCATGCAGCAGCCAGAGCTGTATCTGCTGCGGCCCCGGCGACATTTGATGTAGCACTTCCTCCCGCATTAGCTGCATGCGACCGCGGCCGCGTACTGTTCGATCTTTCGGGGATGCTCTGCTGAGTGCCAGTGGGCTTTGTTATAGCAGCCTCTCGAAGCGCAACCGCTTTGGGATTCATTGACCACCCATCTAACGAGCTTGGTGATGTTGCTCGGGCGCCCTTGGGTATGAGAAATTGACAGAGTTTCGACTGGTCGGGCGCTCGTGCTCCGGCACGGTAGTTAAACTGCCGAGTCGGTGATGAGAGGCCAGCTGGCCCGGCGAGCCCGTCGCCCTTGGATCTGAATGTGCACCTCGTATAGGAGAACGTGGCGGGGACGTCGGTGATGCTCGCGATTGCGGATCAAGGCTCGCCGCCCGGCGAGGTGGGGGAGAGCGAGAGTACTGCGACGGCAAACTTGGTAAAGGAGGCACATTAGTCGGGGCATGCATTATAGGACCAGAACTCGTAGAGGGGCGATTGGGCGAGGGTTCACGGAAAGTCCGTGAGCTCATCGACCCCGAGCTTCCCTTGCGACGAAGAGGGGCGCTCGCACTGGCAGATCGACCGCTAGCCGAGCGCCGAGGAGCAACCAAGTTCTGCGTCGATTGCGTCGACTGCGTCCGCTGGAGCATGCGCTTGGTCTGGACATTTTCCACATTAGTAGGCGTTGGTGACCGACTCCGCAAGGCTGCGGCGGCGGCCGCCGCTGACAGACTGGTGGTTGAGGTCTGTGACTTGAGGAAGGCATGGCTGGCGGCGGACTGCGCTGATTGCGACGCCGGTGAGGATAGCGGTTGCTAGAAGGAGCAAAGACAGGATATTAGCATATATATGCATCTCATAGCGATCTCGAGGGGAGATAGAGGGCCAATTCCATCGAGATGGGTTGAAATTAAAAGGGGGGGGCAGCGGATACACACCTTGTGCTGCGAAGCGCTTCTCTTCCTGCCGAACATCTTGGCTGCTGGAAGCTCTCCAAGCTCACAAAAAGAAGGACGCGGACAGCCGACCGGTCACTGCGTAGAGCAGCGCCGGGGTTGATCCGAAAAACGGAAGTCTCGGAAGTGACAGAGAGTGGAACGAGAAAAATCAAAGATCAGAGAGAATTCTGAAGCCTCAAAAGCGATGCGACGCGGAGAAAAGGGAACGGGGCGAAGGACGGACAATGAGGGCAGTGATCGAAGCGATCGAAGCGATCGGGGCGATCGTGAAAGAACAGAATCTTGGTGGGGATAGGGATGACGGAACAGGGGCCGTGGCTTGTGAGCCCAAAATAAAAACGCCCCAAAAAGCAGGCGCTTGAAGAAAGTTGATTCTGGTCGAGAAGGACTTGCGTCATGGACTTCCAAGGCACGAAACGGGGCCAGGCACGTTCGTCTTGAACCTTACCAAACAGGCTAATACTTCCCCCGAATCAGCGCTTTATTAATCGGCGGCGCCTCATGAGGAGAAACAGGCTAGTGAAATCTATGGGCCCTATCCTGCGATCCTACGAGCCCCTTAAAAAAGCCCTGCCGTCATAATGTAAGTGCAGTAACATACATACTTCTCTCTCGCCTGCATAGCCCAATGCCTCCCGTAACCCAGTTCTCCGCGCTACACCGGGCGACGTTACGTATACATGAGTCACGCATCCAGTACAGCATATTGGGAAACCATCAGACCGAGGTACTGAACATCGGACTAACAATGGTGACAGACATCAAAACGAGATAGTATAGAAGAAGTTCAATATTTCCTAGATCGAATCAACCGGAAGCCTGTAAAAGTGAAACACCTTGCAAAGCTCCAGAAACATGACCCTGGATACTTCGCTCCCCCTCCCAGAGGGCGTGTCCAGCCGCCTCGTCTCAACCCCCGATCTCACCTTCCACATTCTGGAAGCCGGAGGAACACCTGCACGCGATCGCCCTTGGTCGTACTCCTGCACGGCTTTCCAGAACTCGCATACTCCTGGCGGCGCGTTCTGCCCCAATTAGCCGCGGCAGGCTTCTACGCTGTCGCCCCCGACCAGCGAGGCTTCGGCCGTACAACAGGCTGGGATACCCGCGGCTACGATGAAGTTGACCTCTCCAGCTTCTCGCTAACCACTCTCGCGCGCGATATCGTGGTGCTCGTCCATGCGCTCGGCTACCGGTCTGTCGCCTGTGTAGCCGGGCACGACGCGGGCGCCATAACAGCCTCGACCTGCGCGCTCGCGCGGCCGGATTTCTTTCGTAGCGTGGTGCTGATGAGCCATCCGTTCAACGGGAGCCCGACGCTGCCCTTCAATACGGCCAGCGGGGAGAGTCCGGAAGAGCAGGCGGCGGCGGCTCGGGGTGGTGGCGGCGGGGCCGAGGGCTCGGCGGCTGCGTCGGGGATCCATCAGGCGCTGGCGGAGCGTGGGCGCAAGCACTACAAGTGGTATTACTCTACGCCGCCTGCTGCGAAAGATATGTGTCCGCCCTCGCTTGCAGATCTGCATCAGTTCTTGCGGGGGTATTTCCACCTCAAAAGTGGATCGTGGCCGGGGAATCAGCCGCGAGTGCTGAAGGGGTGGACGGCTGACGAGATTGTGCAAATGCCATATTACTATATCATGCCGCTGGAGGATACAATGCCCCAAGCGGTAGCGAGACACATGGCCGATGAGCCGTCGAAAGGGACGAGCTCCCATTCGTGGCTGCCAGACGAGGAACTCGCGGTCTACGCAAATGAATACTTCCGAACGGGTTTCCAAGGGGGACTCAATTGGTATCGTGTACGCACGGCTGCGGGTGGGCGGTATACGAAAGATTATGATCTCTTTGCGGGCAAGAAGATCGAGCCGCCATGTGCGTTTCTAGGAGGTAAAGCGGACTGGGGCACCTACCAGGAGCCTGGTGCGCTACAGAAGATGACTGACGGGGTCGTGTGCTCTGATTTCCGGAAGCTTCAACTACTGGATGGAGTTGGGCATTGGATTCCCCAAGAGGCTCCGGATGTAGTTGCGCAGACGATTGCTGAGCTGGCCAATAGCTTGAACGCGTAGATTCTGGGGCAAGATTGTCAACTGTAAAGACCAAAGAAACTTGAACAATGTTCTATTCTCATGAACATAATGAATGCCGTCTTCCGTTAAACAGAACCAATGCTGATATCTATCAAACCCCAGGTCCCCGTCATAGAGCCCCCAATTAACCAACTTTATAAGGCGTCACAAAATCCTAGGAAATATTAGCAATCACCTCATTCCCCCTATTTACCAAATATAAGAAAGGCAGCAGAAGACTTACCGCAGCTTGCCTCGGCTCAAGAAAGAGTGCCCTCGCCTCAACCAGCAAAACAGACTCTTTCCCGTCAACCGGGAGCGTCTCTAGCCTCCCCCTCAACCCACGCCTTCCTCCCCTCGACCCTGGTCGTTGCAGCCCTGAAGGCGATATAACTGTTCGCCATAGCTGGCGCTCTGTAATCGATATTCAAATTCGCCGTAACACCGACCTTATTCGGCAAATGAGGAAAACAGCACCGCGCCAATCCCTCGTCTACAATCGTCGCCAAAACCCCTCCATGTACGATTCCGGGATGGCCGCAGACCCCGCTGCCAACATAAAAGAACATGACCATGCTGCGCTCCTCCGCGTTTCGGAACAGGAACGGCGACATGATAAGCTTTTTTGGGCCGGCGAGGGCGCCGGTCATCAGGTTCTGGTGGCGCTCTTCATCAGGGATGTCCAGGCGCAGCTCTACCTCACTTACTGCGGGATCCTCGCGGAGCGAGACGGCTGATGGGTGGTTGTGAATGAAGTGCAAGATCTGAGAGCTCAACAGGTCTGATTTGTGGTCGATGTCGACCTCCACTGCGACGTCGCCCATTCTGTGAACTGTGCGGATTGAACTCTTGAGGGGTGGTCTGTTTGCCGAAAAGATGCAGGTAGAGAACCTGAAGGGCCGGGGCAGTGTTTATCTGCAAATAGCCCCCCCCCGCCCCCAGAAGTGTGATAGATATAGCGGGAGCGTGGATCAGTGGAGCGAAGGTTCCTTTCGGGCGGTAAATCTCGGTAAAAGGCTGCGGTTCGGCGGAGCTGCTTAACCCGAGAAATTCCCAGGTCTCGGTGGAGGTGCTGCATGACAAATTCCTCTTAGGACGGACGTACAATTGGCTGTTGTGCGGAAACCTGGCGCTGGTAGGCTTCAATCAGATGGTGTCTGAATATGACCAGCCTCTAGGCGTCGATCAGCTGGGGGAAAAGGGAAGGTCAGCTAAGGATGGAACTCTTGCGTCTGGAAACTTGTATCAAATCATGATTAATATTGCCAATTGTCAATATTCAATTGTCGAGGTTATATAGAATAAACTCGGGCATAACTAACACCAGAAAACGTCAAACCGTTGAGAACATAATCATCTCAATAATTTTGAACATTGCAGAGATTATTCGGCAAGGAGGGGTATGTGTTCGAACAAGACGCACGCAAATGCAACAAACAGAAATCAAAACCAGATCTTATCTACAGGAAACTGCCAAACACAGCCGCTATCACCAGCGGTACTAAGCCGAAGACTGTGTAATGTGGGGGACTGATGGTGCCGGCACTGTTTATCCCAGCAGTTGTGTACATATACTGAAATGACATCCAGGTTGAGTTGAAGCAATTGTCGCGGGTGACAGGGACGATGTCTGGATCATGGACGTCGGCGAACTCGATATCAACGCACTACAGACACGGTTAGCATAAGTCATAAGTAATCAAGCTCAACGAGATCATGTTCTCGAGAACACATACATCATACAGTCCAGCACCGTGCTTCGCAACCTCAACCAGCTGGATGGTAGCCTTGTCGCCCACCGACACGTTGATGCCAGCCGGCAATGGAACCTGGGGCAGGCAGACGGTGCCCGGGTACGGGTTGTTCGGTAGGTCCGGTGATCTGGAAGGGTGGAAGGGCGGGATGGCTCATGTTCTCAGGGATTTCGCCGAGGCCGAAGTTGACATAGATCAACGCGGTCAAATGGCCTGGGAACCAGCCCGGCTGGAAGGCAAGGGCGCCACCACGGACGGGCCACTTGGTGCGGTTTCTTGATGTCGACATACCACCGCCTAAAATAGGGCATCGGTCAGTGATTACATTTTCACAGGAATCCTGAAGCTGAAGAGTCATTCTTACAAGGGCAGATCCATTGCATGCCGTATGGGTACGCCATTGAGCCATTTTCGTATGCGGCGCCCAGGCCGTTTGTGCCGGCGATCGTGCCGTTGGTGTGAAGGTTGTTTCCTCGATATCCAGGGTATGTGATGACTGAATGCGCATTTACAAGGCTGGCGCAGATGAGGGCCAGCAGAGTGGCCCATCGAAACGTTGACTGTTGTGAAGGCATGGCGTGATCTATCAACGTAGCAGTTGGAGGGCTTGAAACACTCGAGAGACGAAGAAGTCCGAGGCCTCAGAGCAAGAATGAGGCTATTGAAAACGTCCCGAATATTGTTTCGCAGTTTACAGCTCTCTCGATGTTTTCAACACTGGCAGAGCGCAAGAGAAGATGAGCCACTAGATAAAAGCTCCCGGAAAGGGATTTGAGGGCCGATCGGCCTCTTTTTGAGGGGTTCTGGCGCAGTCATTTCGAGCGGCGAGTGACAATGCAGGATTGGGATGTGACAGCGACTGCATGCTGAACGACAATTTGAGTGGTTGGGATTGGGCGAGTGGAGCCGAGATACTGGGGATCATCACAGCCCTTCTGCAGGCGCCATCACTTTCAAGGGGGATCCCGGTCGCTGATTGGCTGCGCCACTTTTGCTCCAAGCGCCGAGCACTCACGCTAGCAGAGCTTTTGAGGGGTTTGGCCCGGTTTCACTGGGCGCTTAGAGAAGTGTGCCCTCGAGTGCTTATATGCAACTCTGTACATCTATCCCGTGCACGTTATCTGGCCTAGAAGCTTAATTTTGCCTAGAGACGCCCTCGGAAGAAGCCCAAGTCCCAAGTAAATGTTTCCTAGTTTATTGGATTTGGCCCTACAGCCAATGGGGGAGTGGAAGTCCAGAAAGTGCGCCCACAAATCATGACAGACGGTATAACGAAAGACAGCCCGGGGGGACTGATGGATACGCCTGGGTGAATGCTCACAGTGTAATCTTCAGCCCTTTAGGGCTGAATAAAGGGCTGAAGACAGACCTTTGTTTTTGATTTAAGATTCGATACTGGCGATCAATGCTGAGAAGCCAACACTTTGTGCATGATACATAGCCATCAACTGTGTAGAATTATGGCTGATTGTGATTCGTTCCAAGAAGCGACCATCCCTAAACCTCAGTCCACTCAAGTTAACCCAGTTAGACACAAGAGGCCATTTTCCAAGATTTTGCATGCCTACCCAGAAAAAAAAAACTTTCCAGAGTCTGCCTCCGAGGGACCCTGCAATTCACAGAGATGTGCCCGGAGGCGGCAAAACTAACTCGAACAGGAAACCAGGAAATCTCATGAGGTCGATCGCCGCACAAAGTAACACAAACGACTAAGCAGGTATTGGACAGCTCTATAATTAGTATGTCACCTAGAAGCCACAAACATTAGTCTATACCTCGGCACTCACGACGCAATGCCGCACTCATCGCGTAACAAACGCCCCACACATCAGAAACGTCAGCAGGTGACCGACAACGACGGCTGGACACATGTCACAAACAGCAGCAATGCTCGGCGAGTGTTCCGGTCAACGGCCCATGTGAAGAAACAGGATGGTGCTCAGCAAACAGATCACAATGCGCAAGAATCTGAACCCACTCTCGGTCCCGCCGAGGCACCTGCTCGTCTTACTCTGGCTGAACTGGAGTCCCAGTATAGAGCGCATCGAGAGCAATGGATCACTTCAGTTACTTGGAAAGCACTGAAGGCGGATCTCAACACATATATCTTGGGTACCCGGGTTGTGCCTCAGGGCAATGAAGGTTTCGATCAGCTCGACCCGGAAAGTCCTGGGCTTGCAGTCGAGAACATTGTGTGCATTGGTCTCGGAAGCCCGAGTGGCTTCTTGCGAGGGGGATGGGTTGATCGACGCAGTGTCTCGATGTATCAGCTCGCTGCGCTGGAGTGCCTCAAGAACCAGCTTTCCGGTACGTTGACCCTGGTCCGAGCTACGCGAGCATCAAGCAGAAAGAAGAGGATGGATGAGAGCTGAACTGGATGAATATAGGGTCAGGATCATTATCGGTCTATGCGCAGGACCCAGTCTTCAATAAGCTGGACCGAGACCTTCTGGAGTCGCTAGGGATGACTATTGTCGAGCACCCAGCGGCGTTTGGGTTGATCACTCGTAACACTCTGCTGTTCTGCCCAGGGGCGGAGAGGCAACATTTGGACCTCGTTCTTCCTTCTAATCCGCAATGCCTTTTTGGCGGGCCACTGGAAAATACCGAGTCAGACATCATTCAGTCATTTGTGGGGAGAGTAGGGTCACGGTCCCTTGTGCCGTTCGAGGTGAACGAGCACGCCTTTTGGAAAACCAGGCTATATTATCGGCGGGAAGATGAGGATCCAAGTTCTTGATTGTCTTTTCGTTCGAGATCTTCTGTTGAAAGGTGCCCGAGTAGCATAGTTGCATTGTGGTTGGCGCTCAAGGGGGTTTGATATGATCTATATATCTTGTCTATACTAGCAAGGAGTTAGTCAAAACTGACTGTACAAAGTATTCAGTCTTTAATACGAGTAAAATTGACAACTGATGGCACTTCTCGATGAACACAGGCCTGAATACTCTGCAGTAAGATTCTTGCTGCTGATAGAGTAGTCACAAACCCAGTTCGGGTTGACTCAACCGACTGAGTGACTCTGACACTTCCAGTTATACTCTTCACTATTACCTACCTACCACCTACTCATACCGCGGTCCTACTATCCATAATTGCCTCCTTGCTTTGGATTATTCTAGACCATCAGCTGGCGGGCCAAGATCTCCAACGATGTATTATTCTGCGCCTTATTGGGGGTATAAAACTTCCACCCAAATCCTAGGCCTATCTACGAGAGCTACAAAAACTTTTGAATACTAACAAGTCGGAAATCCCCAATTAATCATTTCTACGAGAATGCACGCAAGCCCGGGGTCAAGATTAAGAGAGTTATGTACATCCAATCGAAGCAGAAAGACTAGAAACAAAAACCCAGGACCGGCGGCCCATGATATAATGCAAATATCCCACCCGACTAATCCAAACAATGAGACAAAGGTACCAACCATGACAAAACCCAACAGAGTGCACGTAAGGGATAAAGTGTTACATACGCGAATTTTTGATCCAATGACCATCTCGAGCTTCAGCAGATGCAGATATGCCAAAGCTTGATAAAAACCAAAAAAAAAGCCCAACAATGGACGAGGCCAAAGACTGGACAAAAACTGACCGACCGAACCGAGAAAAAGGAGTGACCAGGGGTAGAGAAGACTCCAGACAAACTCCAGCGCGAAGATAAGCAGAAACGTATATGCATAGAAGGAGGTTGCCCTCCCCCTCATTGATGATCGTATACCGTGAAAGGAAATGTGTCGCCTATGGGGCAGTTTTGCCACCGCAATCGGGGATCTTCAGACCATCCTTTACCTTTCGCGCTTGGTCCATCAGCCCCCACTTGTCTTCCCAGTTCTCGTTGGCTGTATTGAACTGGATCTTCCAGGGCTCGTCGAACGCCTCGAACCAGAAGTAGTCTGTCCCATTGTCAAGAGCCTGGCAGACCCAGTCGGACATGAACGTGTTCATATTGTCGATACTAGCCACCGAGCCCGGCGTATCAGAGTCACAGGTAGGACTGCCACCGCAGTCCTTGCCGCCACCGCTCGGCCAGCCCACTTCAGAAATAATCTGCTTCTTGGTCGTGCCCTTGGTCAGGTCAACGTCGTGGGTCTGCCAGAAATCCCAAGTCCAAGACGCAGCAACATTGACATTAACGCCCGCAAAGAAGGGGTGCACATTCGACATGACCACATCCACCGCATCCACCAGCTGCGAATTCCAATTATCACCCAGGTCAGACGTCGCAACGGAGATATTCAGCTTGCGCTTATCAACCTCGTCCCGCACGTCCTGAATATACTCAATCAGGTTCTTTTCCGCCTCCGCCTTCGTTGAACCTGCGCGGTAGAGGGCTTCGTTGCCCACAATTACACCCTTGTAGATCGGCGTATGCTTGGTATCATCCAACAGCGTGTACAGCTGATCCAGCTGCCGCTTCGTGGTCGTCTCGTTCGAATCAATCCACACACCCAACCACAGCCTCATATCCGTCAACTCCAGCTTATCGATCGCATGCAGTGTCATCTCTGTCTGATTACAGTCCGTCCCGTAAAGCCGCACCGTATTCGTCAACTGCGACAGCACAGCTAGGTCGCGTGTGACATTGTTCTGCGACGGCGGATACTTCTCGCAGAGCGGGTACTGCACGCCCCACGGCGTATAGTCCATGCCGGGAAACACCTTGTGCAGCTTCTCATTGCCCATCAGCGCCTTGATCTCGTCGGAGTTCTTGTCCAGATCGGTGCTGTCGTCATCAGACGTAGGTTTGTTGCTCGTGCTCCCGTCGTGGCCGCTGCGCGTGCCAAGCGTGCCGCCCACAGCGCCGCCCACGATGGCGGCAAGCACGACGAAACCGAGCACGAGCCCGATGAGCAGCCCGCGTTTCTTCCGCGCCGCGTTATCGGGATTCAACGTCCGCGATCCGGGTTGCGCGGCTTCGAGGCCGCCGCCAGGTACAGGGCCGTAGGAGACGTCTGCATTCTTTTCTGTGCCGAAGAAGCCGCCGAATATTCCAGCGCCGGTGGCAGCGCCGGCACCAGCGCCAGCACCAGCACCCGCACCAGAGCCGCTGGCGCGGTGCGCGGGATGTCGTGGCGGGGCGGGGACGAAGTCGTCACCGTCGTCGGCGATGTCATCCGGGTTGATGTCCATGGGTGAAGTGTTGTAGTATGAAGTCCGGCTGTAGGGGCCGTCACTCACAATGCCATTGCCCGAGTAGCGGTAGTCGGGATGAGCGAGGCCATCGCGGTCGTTGAGGGCTGCAGAGGAAGTTCCCGCGAGGCCCATACTGGAATCTGAGCGCGAGGCGGAGTGCGATGGGATGTAAGGGTTGTCGGAGCCGGCGGTGTTGTAGTCGCGCTCAGCAGGGCCGGTGTAGGAGTCGTGCATTGCTTCGATGCCGCTGAGGCGGTCGTGGCTGTTTGCTACGCCGAGGGCTATGCCGCTGATTCCGCCGCCGATAGAGGAGGGGCCGAGGTTGTCGACGCCAGGGGTGATGCTGGCGCTGTTGCGGAAAGATTGGGAGTAGCGATGGGGTGGTGGTGCGGGAACGTCGGAGTCGTCGTTCATTTTTTGGGCCGTTCGAAGGCCTTGGCCTGGATTCTTCTTTTCTCCCTTTTTCCTTTTCTTCCCCCTCTATTATTTTTCGCTTGTTGGGGAAGGTGGAGTGTGCGGGAATCAAGAATGAGAGGGATTCCAAAAGCGAAGAGGGAAAGATGTGTGACCGAGTGTGGCTTAGATGCCTGACATTGATTGCAAACGATCCACGGATGCGGAAGTGGGCCACAAGTTGCGATGTGTCAGGTAGAGTCCCAGTAGGGCTCCGAACTTCCTGACAAGGCTGGGAACACAACAGCAGAAGAGCCGAGAGGGTAACTGAGCGCAATCGGAATGGAGGAATCTGGAGGGCAGGAAGCGGGATTGTTTTAGTTTTAGAGTTGTCAACAAGACGTGGCCCCGACAACGGACCCCGCTCGGCTGTTTTTGCTCTCGGATTGCTTGTTGCATGAGATGTTGTCTCTTATCTGTACAACTAGCAGGATATCTATTATTATCGATTAGTGACTGTATCCATCCACTACTTATCAGTACTCCATATCGAACTTGTCTATCCCTTTTCCATACCTCGAGATCCTCGATGCAAGGGTCACAGGTTCTGTGGAGATGCGGGACGGTGGGTCCGTGGTTGCTACTATTTTTGGCATGTACGACCGAATTCAATTGGTATCACTGGAACGACTGGACGTTTGATATATAAGAAACACAAAGGCATAACTCGTAATAGCCTATCCCAGGCGATAACCCTTCTGAGAATTTGTGGGTTTTTGCTCGTAGTGTCCATAAGACAGATTTCACGTTGCACATGAACATTAAGACCATATTCGTAGAACTTCGTCAGGCCCTACCCGTCCACCTCCTCAGCACTCCGCTGCGCAGCAGTCGGGACGTCGCGGCGTGCTCGATCCAAAAAGCGCCGTTTCCCTCGTCGAGTGTCGAAATGCTCTGGCATCTCAGAGGGATCTTGGCCCGCGGCCAACATGCTAGTACGCATTTTGTTGCGGTAGGCGTCCACTGACGGAAACGGCGTTAGCATTCTTCCACGATTTCGGCACGTGGAAATGGCACTGAGACACGCCACACAGCCCTTTCGAGCCCCAACCACGATGCATAGCAGAAACTCAAAACGGGAAAGGGAATAGAATAGAACACGCAAGAAAGTAAGACAGAAAAGAAAAGAAAAGAAGAGCCAAAACTTACAAGAACGCTGCAAAAATAGCATCCGGCCCGCAAACACCCGGCTTTGGCTCCAACTCAGCCGGTAGGCAAGGTCATTCAACAGCACCTCTTTCCGGTGCCGCCTCCGCGACAGCCGCGGCACATCGACATTGCGCTCGCCATCTAGCGAAGGCGCCGGGACTGACGTACGCCCAACGACCGAATCCTCTGGATCCGCAGACTGGTCCTGCTCATCAGCGAAGAACCGTTTGCTCGGATCCACGAGGACAGAAGCATCCTTCATTTGGATGGGGAAGTAGGTGCGCGGATAGACAGCGTTATTCTTGCGGTAGGAGTCTGGAATCTCGTCCATCTTGACCTTGTCAAGGCCGACCTTGACGCGGACGCGGGCACCGCGCTGCGGGTCCTCGACGAGGATGAAGGTGCGGCGCTTGCCATCGGGGAGGGCGCCGAAGAGGTCGTTATTGGTTGGACCGGTTTCGTCGTCTGCCTCAGGCTGGCTGATGCCGCTGGAGGTTGCGATAGTTGATTGGCGGCTTAGCGGGCCCAGGCCATTGTCTCGCAGGAGGGGGGCCATAGAGGGCCCTGGGCCGGCACTTACGGGAGGCACAGGCTGGGTGTCGAAGGCTTGTGCTGGTCGGATGTCGGTGGCTCCGTGGGGTGCAGGTGGAAGGCGCGTTGGTTCGACTGAACGTGCGTTGTAGTCTGTGGTGCCTATTGGTTGGGAAGAAGTAGGAAGAAAGGGATTAGCCTACGCTGTACTTGCATGTGAAAGGGCTGGAATGTGTCCGAAGGAGATGAGGCAGGAAACGCGCGGCGGCATCAAATAGTCGAAAGTGGATGAGGAGGAAGTCAGGAAGAAAACGAAGAAACACTCAGGGTATGAAATCCACAGACATTGCGAGAACCAATGTGAATAAGGTAAGAAAGGCCAGCATCCAAGTACCAACCATGAAGATAGATCTCGCCTCTCGTACAAGAAATCCTTTCCACAAGTAGAGCGCCCCGAGCACACAAGATGAAACTCCCCTCGATAAGCATACACACAAGGAACATAGCTCAAGTCCATCAAGAAGATATTCTCAACAATAGATAATATAAAAGAAAAGAATACATGGAAAGAAAGGAAGGAAGAAAGAAAAGTAGAGAAACATGTAAAGTTTGAGGCCTGCCGCGCGCATGAAATGTAGGGACAAATCGACAACGGGAAACAGGCATCATCATATATGGTTAAACATACCGCTGGCTTCCTCGATTTTCGGGCTCCCCTCAGGCTGATGATGATGGTGTACCTGCGGCGGAGCCATAGACATAGGTCCCATGCTCGAGCGCGACAACGAGCCCGCTCCGGGCAAAACATTGCCCACGGAACCAACGGACGAAGTTGCCATGTGAGGTGTGTGCGCAGAGATAGACTGTCGGCGATGGACCTTGGCCTGCCGACGCACACGCCGGCTGCGCAACCTGACGTCCTGGTTGCTGTTACGCCAGCTATCGACGGCTCGCTGGATAAGGCCTCGTTTTCCGCGCAGGGCAGGGTTGAGCTCCGCGAGGGCCCAGCCGACAGCGTTGCATTCCGTCTCATAGACTAGGCGGTTGCCTTTGTATTGGTCCTTGCTGCAGCAGGCGCGTGGGTAGACGCAGTTCGCGGTTTTGAAATCTTGGCTCAGCGTGTCCACGTTGACGGACTCCACGTCACATCGGATGGTGTACTCCATCTTCACGCGGTCTCGCGAGTATTCGAATGCAATCCACTGAACTCCATTGCCGTCTTGTCGGACGACGAGTGGAGTTGTTGCGGGGATTGGCCCTGGTGCAGCGCTGGAGCTTGTGCCTGGCATTGGGGAACCTTGCTGGATGTTGCCGGCCGGCACGCCTGAGCTGGCCGACCCAGGAACAGGGTTGAGCATTGAGCGCTGTGGGCCACTTGTCTGACTACTGGGGTCGACTTTGACTGTTGGGCTGCTGCTTAAAGCGGTGTTTGGGGCATGAGAGGGTAGATGTGGAGACATTTGAGCGGTCGTAGTTTGAGGAGGCATCATCATGGATTGCGACGTAAGAGGATGGTGTGACTGAGGAGGCGGATGGGTATAGGGCGATGATTGAACCGGGTTCAGAGGTGGATTATAAGTCGGATAGGCATACATCGGTTGAGGCATCTGTGGCGACTGGGTGTAAAGGCTACGCCCGTGCTGATCATGCGGTTGAGACGCCACAGATGCTGGGGAGTTGGACTGAGGAGTGTGGTAAATAGGCGGATATGAAGGCCTCTGCATTTGAGCGGTGGTTGCCATGAGGCCTGGTGGGCCTATTTTCATAAATCAGTTGCGGAGTTCATGTCGTTCGGTGTCTAGCAGTTCTGTTTTAGGGTTTTCATCTTTTGCGAAGACCTGGTTTTATGCAGGTGTTCACAGGGAACCGCCTCTAAAGAAAGGAAAAAGAAAAAAAAAAGCTCATAAAGCCGGGGTCTCTTCTTACCACTGGAGGAATACTGCCCTGGCGCAGTGACTGATGTGTACAAAGGTTGGTGAGGGGAGTAGTAGTGGGGTTCTTGAGATGGTTGCGCGTATGGACTTGGCGGGTGTAAGATGCCGTTTCCAATAGAATGCGGTGGATGATAGGTGGTGGGAGGGATAGAGACAGGAGTCTGAGCTGGGGAAGCCGGTTCTTGCTTCTGGTGAAGATAGGAAGTTAAACTCGGTGGTTGTTGAAGATGCGAGTGTTGTGGATCCGAACGCAGCGAACTGTCGTGACGAAGCTGAGGCAAACGTAAATATCAGCGACTTCAAGGCTTGATTGATTCCCTCACTCCCTCAAGCCCGCGAGACGTGTTCGAGAAGTACGAGGTGGTACAATAATCCAAGAACGTGGGAAAGAAAAGAAGAGAGAACAAGAGGACTTGAAAACACGGCCAGATCGTCCGGACGAGTGACGAGATAAGCGGAGGGATTCAAATCACCCCAAACGCAAGAGAATCCTCAGCCATAGGAGAGCCATAGGAGAGGGGAAAGCGGCCACGAATGAACGACGCCTCGAGCAGGGATGATGTTGGATGCGTAACAAATGACCGGGGCTGAACCAGGATGAGCCGTCCAGGGCTAAAGAAGACCGCGGATCTGTGTAGCGCTGAACAGTGCCCGAGACTGCGAGTGGTTCTTTTCTTCCGAGAGAGACAAAAGCACTCCAGCCGCCGTGTGTTTGTCCATCTCCATAGCGCCGCGCCGCTACTTAGACTCAGAGTGGCTTTCATTGTGCCAAGCGCGAGGCTGGTTTTCCTTCCGGTGGCGTATCTTTTCTTCACCCTCAGTCATGACGCGATTAGAGGCATCAGGCGGCTCTCACACCTTTCTCCGGGGAGAGACTGATACCAGATCTGCGGGCAGTGCATCCTTGAGGCAGTTCTTGCTGTTGCGCATTTGCTCAAGATCTCTGATCCCCACGGGTGAACCATTGCCTGCTCATTTTGTCCCGCTGAAGAATGGGCGCATGCGTGAGGTGGTGTTTGACCGTGGGATCCAAGCTGGAAATGCAGCGCAAGCCAATATCCCCCGACGCAATTATCTCAGGAATCCACTGAACAGGTAGAGGGAAATCCTCAGAGAAAGAAACCAACAAAAGGCATATCAAAATAACGAGGGAAACCAGCAAAGAATAAAGCAGGAGGTCGCATTGGGTGAGGCTTGAGGAGTGTAGAAAGGAAGTAATTCGAAGTACTCACTGGATCATCAGCCGGTTCTTCCTTGTACCTTGACACCGGGGAATCACGGTCAGTCTGTACCATACCGGTCAGACCTCGCGTACGGCCTAGGACAGAATCCGGGCTTTCAAGAGCACAATTGGAGGAAAGATACGTCTGACAAGGGAAAGAAGAACTAGGATGGGGGTGTTTGGCGCGCAAAGGAAGAAACGCGCCTGGAGATGCCCAACGCCAAATGGGGAGAGAGGGACGATCCCGAGGGTCTGAGGCTTAACTCGCGCAACACGGCTAAAAAGCCTCTTCTTCGTTGGACTGGGGTATGTGGTAGGGGCTCAGGGCATGGGCCGTGACAAGATAGAGATGGGGGGGGGTCCAGGGTCGTTTATTTAGCTGCACCGATGAGATCCTCATCCTGGTTGGACCCGGGGAGGGATCCAAGTTAAATTTGCCCGCAGAGAAAGAAAATAATTCAGCGTGAAAAATTAGGAAAATTTGAAGAAATAGGAATGCGAACAGAAAGCCAGAAAAGGGAAAAAAGGGAAATTAAAAAGAAAGCATGGAGAAAACCCAGAAGAGGAAAGGTGCTGAACGAAAAAAAAGGCGCGGTACTTGGGATAGAGGGAGAAGACTATAGCCAAAATTACCCCGAAAAACAAAAACGAGCAGCGAGTAATCGAATGATTATGAGGGCTACCAGAGGGGCACCGAACTGCACCAACGGGCGTGACGTCGAATAACGAATAAACACCTTTTTTCTTTTGCTTTTTCTGCCCACTTACCCGGTAAAGGAAAGAGCAACCAGAGTTGTTTAGATATTCAGATATCAGGGTCTGGTCCTTAGCGGGAAAATGGTGTAATATTGACTAGGATGGGTGCAGATGGGAGATTACAGAATTCAAAAGGATGGACACGGGAGGAAGACAGAAGAAAACCTCGAGGCCAGATACATCGCAAGGAGGCTTTTCTCTGCCCTAACCGAGCGAAAATTCTTGAAACGCGCTGGGAAAGTGTGTGGGAAGAGAATGATATGCATGCAGAGTGCGTGGGTAAAGAGCACTTCTGACACCGTGAGGCGCCAGTGGGGTGAAAGGGCCCATCACATCATAGTCGTCCTTAGTGCTCGGCTGTCGACGGCTTTCGATTTGCCCTTTCCTTTGATCTGTGGAGCCCGAAGTATACGACCGTTTCTGGATCCAGCTTTCGGCTCACTCTCCCCGACGTCCATCTCTAGTCTAATCGAGGCGAAGATCTGCCTTGTTTTCGATCCAAAGAACGGTTCCTCGGAGCGGTTGGAAGCATCGTGATACGCCCGGGAACAAAGAACATGTTGCGTTGCCAGGTTGACCCCATGACCCCATGATTGGCTCTATCGCGGGGCAACTGGCAACGCAACATCGAACAGAGAAAAAGGACGGGGGACGTTTATGCCTGGGAAATCCATTGGGTCCTCGGGCAGGGAACCAAAAGAAATTACCCCGTAGATCATAGGAATTCCCGGAATTACGATATCAAGAACATCAAAAGGGACTGCAAAACAAACCCCCAAAAATACCTTAATATCCACAAAAGATCACCGTGGAGAAAATGCGATTCCAGTGTGGGCTTTCTTCCAATGGGGCAGTATCGCCCCGTCAGTACCCGCATGCAGCAACAAATGGGCACCATAGGACCTGTTGGTTACCCATGACGTTTCGGGGGGGGAGGGAAACTGAAAAGAAAAAAAAAATCAAAAAATCAAAAGAGAAGGGGGTAAGTAGCAGACCGAATGCCATCAAACAAGGTCAGAAAAAATCAGGAAAAAGGAAGAGGAAAATCAAAATGGAAAAAACACAAAAAGAGAAAAAGCAAAAAAAGCAAAAAAAAGAGAAAAACAAAAAAAAAAAACAGATAAATCCCGCGGTCTAGAATGGATAGTCATGAAGATTTCATCCCGTCGGTGGAGAGGGAAGAGAAACGCTAACCTCTAAAAGAAGGCTATTCGAAAAAGCAGCCCCCGTCGCCCCCGTCGCCCCCGTTGATGTTCGGATCGTGCAGAGTCCAGTTTCAGGTACTCATGAGCGATTTCCACGGAGTATATCTGGAAGGGCAGATCGGCGGGGGGAGATTTGCTACCTAGGTACCGGAACCGCTGGTTACACATCAGACTCGAACGCAAGAAACTGCTCTGTTGCCACGGCCCAATCCGTTCTTCCATCTTCAAATGCCATGTCGACCCTAAATCAACTCGAAACAGCCTAACGGCCGCCTATCTTCTAGCCTTTCGTTCGTGAGCATCTGTGTAACCCCCGTTCAAGCTTGGAAGGGGGGGGGGGTTCCCCCCACCCCTGGCTCTCCTAGGTAGGATACTCTGTTTCTGGAGTAGTTTCCAGCGTAGCCGTTTGCTAGCTCCTGCTCCGTAAAGTGGGCGTTGCTGATCGTTCGCGTGAACGGGTCCTGTAGAAAGACCACTTTTGGATGCGGCTGAGGGAGTTTGGACGCCTGTTACATACACGTCCCCGAGTGGATAAAAATTAACCTTCCACACCGGGGCAATCAAAGAGGGAAAAGAAAGTAACACCTGTAAAACAGACAACAGACGTGTGCTCGAGTCAGTCGACCGAGGTCTATGGCCAATCAGAGCTGCAACGTATAATCTCCAGACTTACCCCGAGACGGGCCTCCCCACCTGGGCTTCTTGCCCCTAACCCTTGAAAGATGCTAGCATCGACCTGGGCCGCAGCGCTAACTGAGGATCGATGAGAAAGGCTGTCCGAAACAAACAGGGCTGCGCCACACCTTACGCCCATGGGAAGCGCCATTTTTGAGGATCCGCAATCAAACTTGCAAACGCGGACGCACAAAATCCTAATGCCGACACAACCGAGTGATGCAAACTGAAGCTTTTGTCCGCGGGTTCCATGGGGCGGAATTCGTTAGCCAAGCAGGAGTTGGCCAAGGTATTCCCCATGTTTACGCAGTAGATTCTAGACTGTATACACTGGCAGAGTGCAGTCATGGTATCGGGAAATAGGTCCTGCCGCTTCAGGGCTTCAATCTAGAAAACTCGGAACTCCTGCACATAGGTCAGTAGGCCTGCCGATTCAATCATGTTGGGCTGTTGGGCGTCTCTTTTCGTGCCCTAAGTTGACCTCCTGACCCAGGCGTGGCTTCCTCCAAATCTCGGCGAAAAGGGAGGAAAGCTACTCGGCTTCCTGAGGCTCAAGCCACGACCGAACGGGCAAACCGGGATGCTGCGCATCGCGGTGCATAGAACGGAGCTATTCGGCTGGTTGAGCTCGTGCTTCCAGAAGCAGGCTAGCTCTTCAGTAGTCGTAATCACAATCACTCGCGGGCTGCTGCGATTGGGTTTCCGGCTGCACTGGCCAATGGTTGGGCGAGATCTGAACCTAGGCAGATTAGTCAAAATTAGACCAAAGTGGGGGGAGGGAGAGCGGAAGAGAGCGAGGGCGACATGAGCAGACCGGCCTCCTGCGCCGAACGCAAGTCTGGGCTGAAGGTTGGGGCTAACGCTGCATGGCCCACCCATTTCCACCCCCTCCCCCTTGGTGGCTAAAGCGTGGGGCCGACAACGGCGTCATT